ACGCCGGCGGTGCGATGGCTAGGTAAAAAGTCGATCGAGCAGCCAGCTGAGCAGGGAAGCTTATTCTTGCTTTTCGTCACTCACATTGATAATAAGGATTGATACATAAAAGGAAAAAACCTACGCAGTCACACGATGGGATGGGAATACGCATGCAGTCTGCAGCAACTAACTAGTTCCTGTACTCCACTGGGATGACGGGAGGACGAGCCCAGGAACGGGGAGACGGACGTCGAGGGAGAGGTGCCTACGATACAACCGGGGTGCCAAAGCCTGGCAGGGATATGCATCTACGGCTGCTAGCTACTGGATCAATACCAGCATGTCTCTGCTGCTACTGCTACTGGCTACGGCTGGGTCATTGATACATTGATACATTGATAGGTGCATTATAAATGATGTAAAGAACCGCTATGATGTTTTCCAAATGCCTAACCCAGTAAAGTATTATTACACAGAGTAGAGTCGTCCTTTTCCCACCAGCAATGCGAGGCTCCAATGACAGATGAACAGACGGAATAAGATGAATAGATGAACAAGATGATGAAGAAGACAACAACAAGAGAACAACAAGAGAAGAATATAGGCTAAAGAGAAAAAGAGGAGAAGAGGAAGAAGATGTCTAGGACTCCAAGTATATGGCGTAAGATATACTGAATCTGTAAAACGGTATTGTACCAAACCAGACATGTAAAAGCAAAAAGACGGCCGCAGAAACTCTATCTCTGTAACGTCTCGTACATTCGCAGTATGTTTGTATGTTTGTATATTTGTATGTTTGTTGTATGTTGTATAGAGATATGGATGGTCTGTGGATGGGTGGTGGCGGCTAGGAGGTCGAGGTCGAGGTTGAGGGCATCGAGAATGGAGTCCACGGTACACCGGCTGCACCTCGGCCAGCGATCTTGATGTATTCATCTAGGCCAAAGGAGCTGCCGGAGGTGTTGCTAGAGCCGGAAGTAGTACCACTGCAGACATTAGCATTCACCTTGTATAAACAGTGATGGTGAGATGATGGTAAGAGTGAGAGTGAGAGTGAAATGATGGTGAGAGTGAGGTGATAGTGAGAGTAATGGTGAAAGAAGGGAAGTACCTGTAGGTGGACGGAGGACCGTTGGTGGCGATAGATGGAGGCATGGTGATTCTGTTCGTGATCCTGTTGATCTTCTCTTGTTCCTGTGGTGGTGGTAAGGGTGACTTGGTGTAGAATGTAGACAGGGAAGCTCAAGGGCTATAGATGGGTAGACGGTGGTTGACGATGGTTGAAGGGTAAAACCTGACCTAATATTTGGGGATAGCTTCCCTATTTATATCTAAGATCTGGGAGAGAGACCAAGAAGATCCGTATTGAGCAAAGGCTCCTGTTCTGAAATCGATACGGAGTGCGGTATCGCTACTTCATGCTCGTAGCTAATAGGCTTATTCCGGACTTTATTCCCTGTCTTTGTATCTGATTATTACAGCCGCACCCGGCACGGCCACGGCTTCGCTCTCTAGCACTAGCCACACCCATCCATCAGTTAAATGCAAAATAATACGGAGTAAAGTGCAAAAAAAAAAAAGAAACACTTTGGGGCGTTAGTGTATCCACAGTATATACTCCGTACATCGTCACCTCGACACCCCTTTGCCAGTCCATCCACAGGGAGCATATTATGTATGTAGCTGCAGGAGGAATCACCAAAGGGGCGAACGTAAAAGGTAAAACGTAATTCCTGAAATCATCAGATAGTCCCTCTGCCTGACTATAATATCACCCCGAGCTACTCCGTACCGTAAGCTCAACCTCTGCTCGTAGCGGAACAACCAATTCCAGGGCGCAGACTCATCGTTCACCGGCCATGGAGTCGCCCGTCCCACAGCTGCCCGCACACTCTTTTCCTGCTTTTCGAGCTACTCTCCCCCTGGAACCTTACCCACCACCATGTCTATCCCCCCTCCTCGCCCCCTGCTGCAGAGCCAAGGGCCGCAACGTGGTTTTTACAAATAACATCTCGTAGGTTGGCTGCCTTGGGCCTGCTCGGCGAGTGGAAGCGTTACGTTCGAGCTTCGGGCTTATCTTATCTTCCGTCTTCGTATTTCCTGACTCTTGTATTGTAAGTAGGTATTGTCTGTGGCGATATCTCACGTCCGGAGGTCCCAGTTGTCCGCCCCGTTCTGATCATGATCGGCTTGGTCCATAGTTAACCTAATTCGTTACCTAATTATTAATTATTCATTTTAATTAATAATGGCCGTGGACAAGCCACACTGCAGGCAGCACGAGAGAAGAAGAAGGCAGCAGTGCAGGTTTCATGGCAGACATGGCAGACATGGCAGACCAGCGAGGCAGAAAGTGCATGCTGTGCAGGGCGATACTCGGACGCGATCCAGGATGAAGTGAGTTGAACGGGTGGTCACAGGCAGACAGCTGCTTCTTTTTGTAAGTACCCGTGTATCTACCTGTATTCGTTTCGCCGTTTCAATGTCAGCGTTTCGCTGTTGGTCGGTGGTCGTTGGTGGTGCTTGGTCGCGATGGTGGTGCTTGGTCACAGATTGAGGCGCCATGCAAGAGGACAGGACCAGCAAGCCAGATCGACTCTCGACGAACATCAAGCTACCTCCACCAATGATAGACTCCAGTCCCCGGCTCCAGACGTCTATCATCCAGTGCCAAAAACAAAAACGCCCTCTCCCGTCCAGATGAGACGTGCTGCACAGACGGGCGAGAAGCGAGTGGTCGGCACACTGCAGGCTGGTGAAGCTTCGGATATACGACATGCTTGTATAGCTCCCGACTGATCAGCTTAACCTAATCGACAACAGAATTAGCCCGGGTAGGGATTACTGATCAGAGGCCGTAGTTTGGCGCGCGTTGATACCGGGAGTGGACGAGAGATCGCGCATGGATGGACCCTTGTTCGTATAGACGGCAGTATGGAGGAGCGAGCTCTGCTGACCGGGTTACGGCGTTGACGCATCTATCGATTTACGGGGATGTGGAGTGGTATAGATATGCATTGAATATTATTGTGTCTGACATGTACATTCAGTCCTGTGATCCAGGTACAACAAGTAAAGATCTAGAAAAGATGGGAAGATAGAAAACCATCTAGGACAAAGGATAAAGAAAGTAGCAACGGTGTAGGCTATAGGAAATAAGATCAAGACAAGGCCTGTCCAGCAGCCTAGACGAACTCTCTCCGCGTCTTTATCATCGTTTGGAGGTCGAGGTCGAGTTGGAGGAAGAAGTCGCCATGGTGTAGGGAGACCATGGATCTTTCGTGCTCTTGATGTACCTGTCCAGGCCGAAGTTGGAGCCAGAGCTGCCACTATGGCTGCCACTATGAGATGTCAGACTATACGGAGAACACGAAAGCAAGGGAATATACCTGCTGCTGCTGGACTGGGAAGAGCCGCTGGTGTTTCCTGGCATGGTTGCGATATATGTATGTAGATAGTATGTAGTATGTAGTATGTAGGTAGATAGTGATCGCCGTTGTTACGAGCCAGAGCAGCTCCAGAGAGTGCTCCCGTCGTTCTTATATACTCCGTACCAGACACCACGAAGCAATGTCTCGCCCGAGCATACCACCAAGACTGCGTAGAAGCGTGGCCTGCGACCTCACCTGCCTAAGCAGGCTCCGGCCGGGAGACATAAGCCAAGGCCGCCCGTTGCTTGCTTCACTGTTACAAGACTCTTCAAAGGCGCAGTTAAGTCCGGGCGAAGATACTAGGCGTTTACTCGGACCAACTGCTGCTTGGAGCTGCTCCGATGCATGTTTCTTGTGTCTCGTCTAGTCTGCCGTCGTGCAGCATCGGTCGTAAAGTACCAGCTTAAGCACTAAATATAGACTATAAACCGGAGAAAAGGGTAGAGATATGTCTATGTCAATAGTGTATATCATGTATCCTGGTGCAGTTGTGTAGGTGCCGTCGCCTACAAATCTCAGAACACCAGGTTTGCCAGACCGCAGTGACATCCCTGCGCCCTTGATAGGACAATGCCAATTCCTTCGAGCTTCTCTGCCTCTTTGGGCGTTTCCGTGTGCTCTCGAGGCCTGCGTGGACGGCCGTGACTGGCTGCGACGAGACCTGAAACAAAGGGATAGATCATGATGCCTATGACTGGCTTTAGGCACGCGGATAACTATACGCACGCAACGCCTTCGCACCGCAGCAGACGGTCGACAGGTCGAATAGCGACAGGGACATCACTGCCCTGTCCGAGCCTGTTTCTTGGTTTTTCCTGTACACCGTCTCCGTATAGCAGAGAGTCCGAGGGGCAGGGCCCTGCTTTCGACAGGATACACGCCCCAAGCCAGTCCGCGGGCGCCAGGAACAGGGTTGAGCCCAATCGGCAGCCAGTGGAAGGCCGGTAAGCTCAAACTGGACGTCCCTGTCGATATGTATGACGGTCACGGTGACAGCGGCCTTGACTCACACCGTAGCCACGGGGACGGACGCGTAATAAGGAGTCGAGGCATCTGTCGGACGAGTGAGGCTGTTATCGAATAGCCATCGGTCTTTATTTTTTTTTTTTTTTTTTGCGAAGTTTGACGTTATGTTATTCAAGAGTTCGCTGCCCTTTACCTGCATCCTGTCCAGGGCCGAACTCCTGGGCCTTGACCAGGCGATCTGACCGCCAGGAAACATCTCGAGCCCTGTCCTTGCTAGCGCGCAGAGATGGATGGACATGCATATCGTGCTTCGCCTGTTTAACGCTGTGTGCCGATTTTGGTGTCGGTGCAGGGGTGGTAGGTGTATCCAAAAGGCAGACAGGCATCAAGGGGCCATCTTTCATGTGGCATAGAGAAGTAACAATATCGTACATGCGTATTAAACCAGCGATTTTTAACCCCCCTGAATAACTCCATAACTCCATCCGATATATAGATAGATGTACATGTGATTATCGTTTATCTCCAGGTGAACGCCATGACGGAAAGAGGAAAGATTTGATAATAATACATGCAAGAGGGATATTAAACGGCGTCAAAACACTCTATCGTGGCGCGGACTTAGGCCGTGGTGCCACAGAGCCGGAGGATCAGCTCGTACCTGGACATCGTAGATTAGCATCAGTGACATCATGTCTATCGGACGGAAAGGAGTACTCACATTCCAAACATGATGGCCGCGCTGGGCACGACTCTCAGCAGATGTGGCGTTAGGCCGCCATACATGCCTGCCATACCCTCTTCCTTCCAAATCATCTTGAAACACTGCGCCAGGCCCGTATACTTCATCTCGACCCGTCCGCTTCCGCCCACAGGCACGGTAGGCGCCTGTCTCAAGCGCGTCCTGACCACTTCATGCGGATATGTCACTACCGCAGCAACCAGCTTCGCGGATCCAGCCGCCACCAGCTTCCCACCCCACGATACAGCGTCGTCTACCCACCCGGCAACATGTGTCGGGTCAGCAGCCAGTCGTGCCTCGCGCCGCGCCAACCCTCGCTTCATCTGCTCGTACAACACCCACTGAAGCGCGCTCTCAGACACACCCAGATAAGACGCCGACAACCCACGATAGAGGCCCTGTATCCCTTCATGTCGAACGGTCTGGCGTATACAGTCTAGTGAATTCACGTACTGTCTCCCCTTCCGGCCCTGCTGCGAGGCGTTTTTGTCCAGCTGCATGCGCGTCTTGACTAGCCAGATCGGATTCGTGGCTGTGCCCGTAGCTATCCCTGCTATGGCTGCCGCGCCGAGATGGATGGCCACAGGTGACTCGTTGGGATCATAGTTGAAGTATTCATTCAGCATCCTCTTGCCGTTTCCGTAGACGTAAAAGTTTATAGCTCGCGCAGGCACGACGCCGGTCAGATTAGGTCCTAGACCCTTGAAGAGGGCCCGCCATCCTTCATGGACATGTATAGATCGTAGCATCTGTATCGTTTCGCTAAAGTGGATGGCCGCGCTGCGCGTGATGGAGGAGAGAGACGACGTCGTTGGCGGTAAGGGGTGAGATGCGCGAAGCTGCTGTAGCTGTGCCTGGTAGAAATCAGACTGTAGTCTCGTTTTCAGCACGTCTAGCGGTGACGTGAGTGTCGCTGCTGTCATTCCGCCGAGTCTATTTTATCTCCGTCAGCATCTTATGCCCGTTAATTAAATTTGATGGATGGGTATAACGCACCCTCCAGCAAGGAAATGAGCCCACGGCTTCGCAGTCGGCTTTTCCATCTCCACTTTCTCCCTGCCAGGAGCAAGGTCGACATCGTCCGTCTCGCCGGATTGTACCAGCACACTCCTGTTCTGCGTTATTCTGTCGCTGCCGCTGCCGTCATTGCTCTTCAATCCAGTGCCACCGGACATCCCGGCGGACGTCGAGAGGGAAGCCATATCAGACTGACTTCTCTAGGGCGTTGAGGATGCCATCTATATACAAGGAAATGGGGCAGAAGAGACCAAGAAACCCGTCAACCTCCTGTGTTGAAAGCAGAAGCTGAAATAATATATTTTTCTTTCGTTCAACTCGCCATCCAGGGATGTGATTAATCCGTGATGAGTAATAGTCTTCCGGATAATATATTTTCCAGTATTATATAAGATTACTCCTGAACTGTGAAAAGAAACATACAAAATACCATGGACAGACCACACTATGAGCAGACGAAACATGAACAGACCATGAAGACTAGACAGGCGAAACATGAATAGACTACTCAAGCAAAGCCGATATGTGGTCCGGTCTTTTGTCAGGGATAACTAGGTAAAGTCAATGCAATGGTTCGAGTTTAGTCCGACGACTGTCCTTACTATGTCACCGTTTCTATGAAAATCAACGAAGGACACCCATGGTGAAGGTTAATAATGACATTCTGAGGCGTTAATACAAATACTACGAAAACGGCAAGTGGAAGAAGTAAAAGATTATGATTAATCTGCAACGAGGTCCTAGACGGATAGGAGTCGAACTGAAAAGGTACACAAAAGAAAAGGGGTGACAAAAGTGTACAGTCAATACAGCGTAAGAAGAGTAAGAGTAGCTTATGAGAAAGGGAATAAGAAGAACGTCGACGGACGGACAGGCTGGATATGATCTCGCTGGCTGGCTGGGCTGTGGAATCAATATCAAGTGATGGGTTGAATGGTAATAAGACAAAAAGGGCGAAGTAAAATAGAGCCAAGGGGGAGAGTCAAGGGGGAGAGCCAAGGGGGATTGGGTAAAAAGGTCAAAAGGTCAAAGGGTAATGAATTGAAATAATGTAACAGCGCTCGCTCTCTATCCGAAAGGGGAAAAGGAGGAGGTAGGAGGTATCAAGTATCAAGTATCATCAACCGGCAGCTGAGTATCCTCACAGAAAAAGAATTGAAGAAAAGGGGACATTGATAAGGTGTCTGTGGTCTGCCATCTACCGCACTGTACGTATACAGGGGAAGTTGACGGGCCTGAACACAGTAAAGTCATTAATGCTCTGCACATGACGCGGAACGAAACGAAATAAAAAGGGGTCAAGTTTTGTATGTAGTGTGACAATGGATGCTTTTTTTTTGTGTTTTTCTTTATTTTTTTCTGCTCTCCAAAAAACGTAGGGTATCAAAGTAGGTGCATCGTATCAATCCGAGTCCTCTCCTATCTGGCATCGGCGACATCATCTCGTCACCCGTCCACCGCCGTTGGCATGATGCGGTTGCCTCGCATGGTGGTTAAGACGGGTAGTTCTCCATCTCTCGTACCATACCTCGCGACTGGCTTCACGCAGATCTCCTCTCCATTCGCTGAACACGCTATCCTTCAGCTTGACAAAGTCGCAGTGCTCGGGATCGTAAGGGTCTGCGAAACCCCATGGGAATCGGCGGCCGACCTTTTCGTTCTTGTTGTGCAGGGTGTGCGGGTCGGGAGAGAGGATGGAGAGCGGGAATGTGTGGTTGGTGACTACTTCTTCGGCGGAGGTAGTAGAAGCGGTGTCCTTGGGGACGTGAGAGGGCTTTAAGCTGGCGTCGGCAGCCTCAGGGTCGGGAGTGGCATCCTCGCTCTCGTTGCTGGTATGATGGACGTCCATCTCCTTGAGCAGATCGTCTTCATCATGTTCGTCGAACTCTTCCGAGGCATCATCGTCCTGTTCATCCAACGCCAAAACCTCCAAGGGGTCGATATTGGCTTGCTTCAAGCTATCCCACACCGTCTTCTTGAGGTATGCCATGTGGGCGGACGTGATGGTGTCGGCTTTGCTGATGATGGGAATAACGGTAGTCTTACCCTGCATGGTACGGATGACCTGAATATCAAGCTCGGTATCCAGACCACCGATGATCTGGCTGGACGGTTTACCACGAGCAGCCGCCTTCTGAGCGGTAGCAATGTTTGCGTCGAGTCTGGCCGGGTCGAGGATCAAAAAGGCACAGTGAATGTGTGTATCGCGTACTCCGGGTGCACGAACGACCTTCATCTCCTCGGCGAAGGTGTCCTCGAACTTACTCTCCAAGAAGCTGGTGATGTCACGCAGCTGCAGGTCGACGATGTTCTTCTGCAGTCCCTCCGAGTCCCATAGCGTGAGGCCGATGCGTTCATGATCGATCTCGGTCTCGATGTAGCGCGAGCTGAAGGGAGAGTTTCCAGCCGAGTCTGGTCGCGGCTCGAGGTCGTCGGGCAGCTTTGTTGGCCGTTTATTCGGTGGAAGTGCGAGAGAGCTACGCAGGAATTCGAGGAAGGATGTCTTGCCGCAGTTTTTACCTCCCACGACAAGAATACTATAGAGTACGGTTAGCATGTCACTGTATCATCACGGAGAGAGGACGTACTTGTATGGAGTGGGATCTTTCCGTCTCCTCACTCGTCTGGGACTGTTGATAGTGCTCACGGCGCTGCTGGCATAGCTATATCGTCCACGATGCGCCATGCTGTCTGCACCGCCGTACGGATCCCGAGACAAGGCAGCTCTGGCGCCCGGCGGAAGCGGCGGAACAGGAGGGACGTCCATCATCCCAGGTCGATATGCTTGATACGAGCCGGTCGACCTCGCGGACTCTCCTCCGAACGAGTTCAGCTGAGGCGGCGGCGAGAGGTCCGGCAGGCGCGGCGCATGTTTGGGGACAGCAGCAGCTTCTCGCTGGCGACGCAGTTCTTCCTCCTTGGCCTGCTCCTTGAGCATCTTCCTGCTGATCTTGTTGGACGACTTGCGCTCTGCGACCTGCTCCGTCGACTTGGAGCGGCGGAGGAAGCCGAGAGAAGTCCGTCGCGATGCCTGAGCCGGTTTGTTGTTCGTAGCAGCGTTGACGGCGTTGGTGCTGTTGTTGGTGCTGGTGTTGATGCCGCCGTTATGGTCGCCAGGGGTGCGGGGCCGGGAGGGCAGAGCTGTCTCCATGGCTGCTGCTGGTCTATCTCGATCTTTTTATATCAGAGCTAGTCGCGGGATCCAAAGCCTCGGTTCGGCTGGTCGCACTGTGCCAGGTCGATGCGGTGTTCTATGCAGATGTCGGTTTCTATACAGATGTTAGCATCGAATCTCCATCTCTCACCGTGACAGGGCAGGGAAGTAATCCAGGCTTATCGTACTATCCAGGTCTCCTGCTATCGTATCCTCCGTCTGTCGTGTCCGTCTGCTGTCTATCTTCTGCCTGTCTATCTGCTCCTGTTGTGCTGTCTGTGGCTTGCCGGAATATATGCAACGGCCCAGCGACGTCGGACAGCCACGCACGTCAGACAGCCTGACAGGTTCTATTCCACTGCGATGGTCGCGCGATGAGGTACAATCCGATTGATTCGACGCAGAAGAAAAGTAACCAGGAACCCTGTCCTGTGCTGTTTGTTGGATGTCCTCCCGTCAAGCTCAATTGACGCGCAAGCGAGGTCCAAGTCCTGCCGGCAGAAGTTCAATGTCGAGGTCTAGTCGACCTTAGCGAAGAGAAGCGCCGTAACGAGCGAAGAGGCAGAGGTCGGCGTCGAGAGAGAAGAAGAAGAAGAAGAAGAGAAGAAGAACAGAGAGAGAGAGAGAGAGAGAGAGTGAGCAAGGGGCGAGATGAAGGGGCTTCAAGGCGAACCCGCTAAGCCCGCGAGCGTCTTCTTAGTGCTGCTATGGGCGTCGAGTCCGAGTGTTTGGCCTGCTAACGCTTAGTGATTACAAGGAGGCGATCCACTGGGCGTTACATCTCTATTATTACTCTGGGTGTTGTTTATCGTGGCCGATGTCTGGAGTAGAGGGCGTTTAAGGGGTAGATATACGGGATACATGGAGTATACTGGGACAGGAGACATCAACCAGCCACGCCGAAGCATCTTCGTCAATTGGCACCAGGAACACTTACACGCAGGCTAGTTGCTTGCGATTACTTGCTTGCCCGTTTGCTTACTGGTCTTTAGCTTGCGCCGGTGGCTTGACGTATCTACTTCGCGATGTTTACTCCGTACCTTTAGCTTCGATCCCGGCAAACCTGAAACGCACTAACAGTACGAGCCAGGGGCAAGTTGGCCATGTTGGCCATGTTGTTCCGGCGGCAGCTGGATTGAAGATAATGGGACCAGTATGAGAAGGGATAATATGGGCAGAGGATGGGTATAGAAACATTAAATCAACATCAAGCATAACCGTGAACCATGGACCGAAATCATCATCATCATCATCATTAGGCAGACTTGCGTCTCTCCCTCTCCAGCTCCTCTTTCACCAGGCCTGCCAGGACCTGCTTCCTCTCCTCTTCCTTCACAGCAGTCACCCACGGCAGCACCAGACACAGCTTGACGCCGCTCGGACACACCTTCTCCCTTACTAGCTCTTTGAACATCGGGCCGTCAGGGCCAGTCGCATACTTTCGCTGTCCGAACAGCTCGACCTGTCCCGGAGCGTCGTCGGGAAGTTGCTCGTCGCCCCACCGGCCCTGGAAGTAGAGCCATCTGGTGGGAGTCGAGGGGTCGTAGGGAGTGAAGAGACCGGTGGTCGGGGAGTAGGAGTATACATATGCACTCAAAGTCGGGTCCCAGAGAGTGCCTTCGTCTGCTTCGTCTTCCAGAAAGCCGGCAGGGAGATCGAGACCAGGGATCGTGTGGTCGTGTGTTCTGTGCAAGTCAGTACTACTATTACGTTACAGCAAGAGATAGACACGGCGTACCCTGCTGTGGCATAGACGGCGTGAGTACCGTTGCCGCTGAAGCCGATTGGCCTTACGCCGCGCTTGTCTGTCGCTTGGAACTGGAATGCCTGGCCTGCAGCGTGCTGGCTGTACCAGATGGCCTCGGGTGTGCCGTTGCGGAAGCGAATCATATTGTGCTCCCTGCGGGAGTCAGCTCATCCCCGTCATATTTACCAGATGAGTATACATACCAGTCACCGACATGGTCGCCGAACTCGATGCCTAAGACCGTGTTGCCCTGGTTATATCTATTTACGGCTCGTCAGCACTACACTACGTCACGCTGGCTTGGACTGGATTGCTTTGCTCACGCGTAGAAATAGAAATAAAACGCATCTACCGTCCGATCCGCATCACCGTGTTCTCTAACCACGATCGCAGATGAGACAGCGCCCTCCGTCTTTCCGTCCTTGTTCGGCTTGACGCCGCCAAACCACTTCGGTAGGGCCTGTATGCCTTCCTTCGAGGTGAGACAGACCTTGTTACCGCCTAGCTTGTTAAGCTCGTCGAGGTTGTTTAGTGTAATGTTAGTTGGCGAGTTTGGGATGGCAACACGGTCTATCATGGGAACCGTGTGTGAGAGCTGTGCACCAATGTCGGAAGGCTGGTAGGGGTCCTGGGAGTGTATCCAGATCAACGGAGCTATACACTGGTGAGCAAAGCCGTCAATTAAGCAGAGTAGAGCAGACGGTGGATTACCATATTTCATCACATAGTCCGGCACCGTAGCGGACGGCTGGGGCGCCAAACACTGCTCCGAAGCGATGTAGACGGAAGCAGCTGAGATATTACCTATGCCCAGCCCGAGTATCAGCGCCGCCAGCGCCGGCCAGGCGCAGTACGATGAAGCACATTTGCCCATTCTTATCGTAGTTTATCGGTTCTTGGTTGTTTATACCGTCTCGCCCTGTTGCCGTGGAAAGATGGCGGCGCGGTTCGTAGACGGAAGGAAGGGTATTTATCCTGTTTTCGTGCCGCGATGGCCGTGCAGGATCTCGGCTGGTCGTGATGCCCTCAGCAGATCAACCACCAGACAGGCAAGACAGGCCGACACGCTCACGTTAACCATCCCATCACGTTGTGTCGGCCGTGGTCGTCTATGGCGGCGTGATGGGCCTCGTTATCCCAGTTATCCCATCGCACGCCAGCATCGGCCATCGTGGTGTCTATCCTTGTCTGAGGCTTGTCCTGTGGGCTTGAGTTAGCTCGCGGGTCCGGCTGAGGGTCAGGCTTAACTTAATGTAGGCTCCGCTCGCACCAAACATTGAACATGAGAGTATGAGATGAAGATGAGTAAGAAGAGTAAGAGTAAGATGAAGAGAAGAGAGAAGAAGAGAAGAAGAGAGAAAAGAAGAGAGATACTTGTCAGTACGTAAAATGCTTGTCCGTATGTATTTCCTGTTTAGGTAATCCTGCTAACTTTAGTAATCATGCTTATGTTAATAATATCACGTGGTAATGGTACGGGACATAGTTATTCCGTGATTACATATCACTTAGTCATGTCATGCTTAAGTTAACTAACGTAATCCACAGGCGAGCGAGCCACCCAAGCGAGCGAGCCACAATTTTTATTATATATAGATTAGTAAGTTCTTAATATAATTCTTAATTCTAAAAAAAAATTATTAAATTAAAAATTAAATAATACTAGGATTAGGACATCTTGTTCTTCTATGTCCAAGAATATTACAATTACTACATCGTGGTTGAGCTCGTAATTGTGGTTGTAAGACTGGTGGTTCGGTTTCTGTAGGCTGGTCGATCGTACGTTCAGTAGGTAAATCAGGGGGAGTAACAAGGCTTTGAGCTTCTTCTCTTGTAAGACCCCCTAGTTGTTGAATTCTGCGGCTGGATCTTGTACGTTTTTGCTTCTCCTTTTCGTTTGTAGTAAATATATCCTGATATTGCTTCTTCATTATTGTTGCAGTAACCATCCCGTACTCACAGGCCTTAATAATTTGATCAAAGCCTTCCCTAAATTGCTCAGAGGGTTCCGTACGGTCTTGTCCGAAAAGGTTCTTAACCTTATTTGCTTGTCTGTATAACTGGCGAGGGTTACTAGGTGTTTGTAGACCCCAAGATGACTGAGAGTTGCTTGATCGGCTTCCTGGGGGGGTAGGTGTACGAAGTTGAATATCGAGCTTTTGGACCACTGTATCTGGATCAAATGGACTAATCCCAGTTGCAGTAAAGCTATTTTGAATATTCTTAGGCTTAAAAGCCTCTACCCTTGCCATAGGGTACGCATTTAAGAAATCAAGCTTCTTAATAGTATTGAATCCAAGTCGCATTCGTTGTTCGACCAAACCTCCGTACGCTCGCTTTAGGACAGCAAAAACGCTTACATCTAAAGGCTGTAAGAGGTGTGAGGAATGAGGAGGCATACAGAGAGGAATAATATTATTCTCTGTACAGAGTCGGTCGAATTCAGGTGTAAGATGGCTTCCATGACCATCTAATATAAGTAAGGAATGACTGCCTCTTTTTCGTACATTCACAGCTGGAATGAATATCTTTGTAAGCCATTTAAGCCCAATCTCATCTGTTGTCCAGCCATTAGGACTGGTATCAAGTCTCCAGCCATTTGGAAGCCCATCATACCATCCTTCCTGAGTATTCTGGCCTTTGAGAATAATGTACGGAGGTAGATCCCAGCCAGACGCGTTCACTGATTCAATAACTGTAACCCATTCTCGATTTCCAGGCTGTAGGAGCTTCGTACGGCCATATTTCTCAGAACTAGAAATAACTTTTGTGGTTGCACAGAGTCCCATTGCAAATCCAGTCTCATCAAAATTGTAGATATCTTCTTGTTGAATTCCGTACGTAGTAAAGGTGGTATTTAGTTGATTAAACCACTCTTGAATAACCTTAATATCTTTACATTTGGCCCGTTCATGGTTATAACGCCTTGAGTATTGACTTTGGAGCTCTGTACGGCGGTTTACTAGGTTTGAGACCCAGTTCTTGCCAACTCGCGGAGGTGAAGATGCAGGATTTCGTACGGTAAGAAGATGGTTGGCCATATTCTCAACAAAGGCAGGCCGGGGTGGTAATCCTCGTTTATCTAGATCCAGAATCCATTGAACAAGCATTTCCTCTTCAGTATTTGTTAATTTATGTGAATTTGCGCGTAAATCTGTACGGGAAGAGCGGCCATTGATTCGATGAGTGAGTGTAGATCTTGGTACACTAAATTGACGTGCAGCTTCACGAATAGAGGTAATTTCCTTATTTTTTAAAGCAGAAATTGCAAGTTCGATCTTTCCCTCTATTTCTATAGAGTTTCTATTATTTTTATTGTGAATTGGTGGCATTATTGCGTGTAGAAGTTGTTAATTAGTTAAAAAGAGTACGCGTTTGAATTTGGTGGCTCGCTCGCTTGGGTGGCTCGCTCGCCTGTGGATTACGTTAGTTAGTGAATCGCTTACTCAGCGGCGCTGCTGCTTTCCGTGAGTGCATAAAAGAAAAGGACAAGTCGACGATGGAAGATGCAGCGATCCTTCGGCTTCCCAGCTGTGCAGCTCAGCTTCACGTCAGCAGCGACCAAAGCGGCGGTGGTACGGTACGCTCCAGTTAGCCGACGTGAGCAATCGACCGTTTGGGGTTTGATAATACGGGGGGCGCTGGTGCTCGCCTGGATGGCAATGCTAGTAGCCCGTCACCCCGTAACTAGCAGAGGCAGCCACCCACCACACACCATCCATGGAAGATGTCAACTCTAGCTTGTAATACTGTACTTGACTTATGCATGGTATGCTGTGCATCATACCTGTCGACGAAGGTTCCCTAGACTGCTGATCAGCGTGGACGGCTGGTGCACGCCCAGCTCGTTTAGGATAATGGATCGCCTGGCAGGGGGGCCAGGGACAGGAATGAAAACAAGATGAGCAGAAGTACACGGAAATCCTGTCCTATGTACAGTGTACTTGCAACCTCTGCTGTCTGCCGGTCCCCGGGACGGCACGGCGGACGGCGGACGGGGGACGGAGAAGGAGGCGGAGAAGGAGGCGGAGAAGGAGAGGGTGAGATGTAGCAGCTGCTGCCGGGCGTCGTTTGTGGTCTCGATTCTGTCCAAGAGAATGCGCTGTGCATTCGACTCGGTATATATACACGACTACGTGGCTCGTCGCAGGTACGCTCACACGTAGATGGTACATGCGCCAGGCCTGCATCCATGCGTGCTAGCGAGTGTCGCGCATCGTTAGTGGAAAGCTACCTTCGCTACGGTGGTGTTACAGAGCTGGATGCAGCAGGAGGCAGGTTGCCATGGCTTGAGTCTCTTGACTACGCCGTCGCTGGGATGCTGCACAACTGAAGAATGCATATCAACTGTCTCTTGTCGGTTTGCTTGATATGGCCGCCTACCTAAAACATTCCAAACCCGGCGACTGCAACCTCCACCATGTAACCCATTCTTGGCCGTCTGCATTGCTGCCAGGCCACGGGACCTCAGTCACAGCATCAACGTCCAAGTCCGGGGACTTGAACCAGACCCATACCGTGTAGGCGTGGATGTGGGTGTGGGCGCGGGCGCGGGTGCGGGTGCCTTCCGTTCGACCGTCGCTGTGGGATGGATGGGTGGGCTGGCACCGATAGACCGGTCAAGCGAGGTCGTACTCCGTAGATTGCTTTGGAACTAGGGTACCGAACAAAGGGTTGTGCACAACGAAGGTGAAAGTTAAGCCAGGAACGAAGAAAAACGAAAAGTAAGGCGTCCGGTCTGGTTCGATATATGATGGCTGTGAAACTTCCACCCTCCACCATCACGAGCCGACCGCTTGGAGTGACAGGTACATGGTGCAGCAAGAGTTCACGGCTGCAGTCGATCAAGAAACCGACCAGTGCCTATCATCCGGGACGACGGGAATCATTCAACAACCAACCATTACCCGGCTATCTTGGTTCCTTTGCTTGTCCGCCAGCACTTCCCCCCTTTTTTCTCCCTGGAATCGAATGGACAGGACTGGTCCGGGTCAGGCAGGACAAGGCGGTCAACTAACTAGCTCGGTCTTGGGCCGCGCTTCGTTGCTTCTCCGGCTGTCAGTTCGGGTATAGATAGACTAGCCAGCGCAGGAGTAGGCGATACATCCAGATAGAAAGCGTATGAATATGCGAATCCCAGCGATTTAAGTATCTACCTCGAGGTGTCCACCGGGGATAGGCCAGGCAGCCGTGATGGTGTCGACAGGGGTTCTTCTCCAGCATTCTTTTACTATCGATGTGCATGCTAACCCTGCCTCTTGACCAGCTTGGGGCGGGGAAACGCCTCGTACACAGGGGTTCCATCCTCGCTGTCAATCTATCGTAAGCTAATGGTGTGTCGTCTGTATGAACCGGGCCACCATAAACGTTATCTCCAGGAATGTAAAGCCGCACCTAATAATAAGCCGTAAACCATTAGTAGGTTGATTCTGGTGTTGTTGATGCTGTTGTCGAAGTTGTCGAAGTTGTCGATGTTATTGTGTCGACGTTGTGTTTTATGTCGTTGTAGTTGATTATTTAATCCGCCTCGCTGGTAGCTTTTCGGCCCGAGCCCAAAAGAGAAATCGGCCACTTCAACTCTTCAACGACATCTTCACCTCGACATAATCTCGCTCTCTGCTCTACAGGGGTGTCAAGGATGAGCCACAGCTCCAGGAGCTTCGAAAGCTCCGTCAGTTCCCAACAGTTAACACAGCTAACCCAACTAATATGAAACGAACACGGAGAGACATGATAAGACGACGCGGGATGCCTGTGGTTCGAACTAAAATAAGGTACGCTGTCCGCTCATCTGAGTCTTACATGCACAGTATAAGAACGAGCCGAGAGTCCGAGATGCCGTCGCGTGGAATCACATCAATAGACGACGCTGAAAGAGCTCTTGTTCGGATCGGCCGGGATTAACGCGGTGCTTCAAACCGCTTACCCTGGTGTCCCCGCGTCAAACAGACAGTCAACAATTAAACACGGAAAAAGAAAAGAGACGGTCAGGGAAAAGGAATATGGCACTTGGCGAACTGCCGTGCGATGTATATGTGCGGCATACGCACACGCTAGCTGCCGACGCTTTTCCATCGCTAACCATCCTAGCGCCGGTTGTGGAGATTACGGCCCTGGCTGAGTTCCTTGGACGATGTCCTGGTTGAGCTATGAGACGCACAAGAGGGAAGAAAAAGAAGCATACCATTCGGATTGAATGCAACAGCATTCGACGAATGTATTCTTTTTTTTGTTTTTTTTTTTGGAGGGTTTCTTTCGTTTTTCCTACCTTTTATGCTTTGTTCTCCTCTAATAATAAACACGACATTAGAGGAGATTCTAGACCAAGCTGTTCCATCCCCAGCCCATCGACACACCCCAGCCAGTCTCCGCTTTTGCCTTTTCCAAGGGTTGCAAAAATAGACAACCACCACCCAAAAACCTGCAAATTTTTAAGAGAGAAGACCACCTAATGGTACCGATATTAGTGCGAGGATGTGAGAGGGTAGTGGTCAAGGTGTGAGAGGCGTGTGAATGCAAGGTGCAAGGTCATGGTCTCATACCGTATAGGGGAAGGTGGCTCGGATCTTTCTTTTCTCGCTATCTCCTCCTCTCCTGACCTTGTGTTTGAATTCTGGCCTCGCCCACCTTACCGCCTCAAACCCAATCATAAATCAATGATCTTCAAAACGGACTTTGCTTACTTTGGTTCTGAGAAACAGTCAGGGTATCACCACTCTTCGGCACCCTTCCCGTCTCTCACTCAAACCCTCGAAGCATATAAGCTGGCCTGTCTCGAGACGTTCTCTTCCTATCCTCTTTCATGATCGATCACATCTGCAATCAACCATATTTGGTATAACCCGGTGGTTGCTATTTGGGCTTGCCGCGGTAGCCTACAGGTTCGTGACACTCGACCTTTCTGTTTTTATGCATCCTTCCGAGGAAACCGATCATGCAACTTTCCATCTGGACATGAATAGGGCAAGCCGAGCCTGACTGTCAATATTTGGATCACCGCACCCGCGGCTGTTTTACGAACTTTCCCCATCAAGCCGCCTGCTAGCGAGTGGTCTTACCGTAAGTTCACCTTTTTTTATTCCTTTTTGCTTTTTTTCGACCTGGCGAGAGGGTGCCTCTATTTTTTCATTTGTTCTCCATTTTCTCCATTTTTATACTTTACAATTCTATCGCATTTATATTTATCTTTCCCCTCGCCTTGTGGTACATACCTCCTGCTTTGTCATTGTCCAATTCTCTCACAGACCGACACGCACACCCGCACATTACCCATGCTTGTCAAGCTGCGGATCCTAGTGGGAGGCTGATGGAAGCGGCCAGACCCTGCCTATATCCCGCATTGCCATCTGAACGCTTCACTCACAACGCAGCAGATCACGTCGTTTCTGCCGGTTTCCTCTTCTCCTCTTGGGGGTTGGGGCTTGGGATTGCCTCGTAACTATTGCTATTTGCGGTTGGACGGGTATACTGTTTACTCCAGCATATTAATTTACGGTAGCACCCATTTCCATCCTGCCTGGATCCGGATGCTCCTGACTTTTGTTTTTCATCAATCTTTCCCGTTTATCCCTTATCGGTTATTCGCCAGGGCTTGGATCCCACGTTTCTGAAAGGGGGACCCGTCAAACGTAAGAAAAGGAAAAAAAGTCACCCCAAAAGCAAAAAGAGGGATCCGGAGGTTGACCTGAATCTATTGGAGGGCTGCAGCTGCGTGGAGGTGGGTGACCTTTGACAGATATAAGAGACGGGCACTAAGAGGTGTGTGTTGTGGCGTGGCATACATGACCATAGCACAGAGCCCGTCCGATTTCAAAACGTACTGCGATACCCTTCTGAGCCTCTGAGTATACTACTCCGTACTCTCCCTCCCGGCAATGTTATTATGTCTTTCGTGGATACCCAACGTTTGTTTTAAATTGACGTCTCCCTTCCCACTACTTTAACACTACTCCAGGACAACGTTTAACACCAAGAAACTTTAAACATTCGTTCTGCCTGTCTTTCAAGCTTTTGAGTTAAGAGCGCTCACGCTTTTCGGTTTTATTCTCCTCAACGCTTACTTGGTTTCCTTGCTATTTCAACTTATCATCTATACTCTCCTCACCGATGTCCCACGGCTCCGTACGCACCGCCAAAATGCGGGAGCCACCGCCACAGCCTCTATCAAAATCCCGTCTTACCCTTGGAATGGAAATCGAGTTCTATGCTGCTATCAAGGCTTCTACCTTTAATCGTATTGTTGTTCACGACTGTATTGCAAGCCTCTTAGGGGAACGGCTACGACAACTTCGACTTTCTGGTCCTGAGGGCTATGGCTCAAGGTTCAAAGTCGTCTTCGATTCCGACTATTACCCAGACGAGGACAGGCTTGTCGATTACTCTCTTTGGAACCTGACTACAGATGCCACTGCACGAGCCCAAAGTCCAGAATGGTTTAGAGGCTGTAAGCATACCCAAAGCCCGAGCACTGAGATTACCTGTCTTTTACTTACACGGCTCCTTTGTGAGATGTCCGGATATGTATGTGTGGGTGTTTGGCTAATATTTGTTACGATTAGATGAAAGCCAGGCAATCGAGATCATATCACCCCCATATTGGGCTCGCACTGCACACTGGGAGAATGATATTCAACGGATATTCTCGTCAAGGATGGGCCAGTTCAATCCCATTTCGGCAAGAGAATTACGTCTATATTATGAACTGAACAACACCACCAGCTTTCATGTACATGTCGGCAACGGAGTTGAACCTGACGCTTTCTTTCCATTCAATACAGTACGGAATTTGGCAATGATCCTGTTGGTGTATGAACCAGCAATAGACAGGCTGCTTGATGCTAAACTATATCCTCTCCCCACCCTCGTTGGCTCATGCGACCGATCTCAGGAGGTAAATAATACGCTCCTTTCTCGGCATACCGTGTCTCGTTTAGAAAGGATGGCTGACATATAATATTCCAATTTAGCCTCAGAGCATATCTTCCATCCGCAACCCCCATTTTCAACCTCCAAATCTGCCAGCACGCTCCCTTAGAATTGTCTTGGCACGTCATCTCTACAATACTTGCTATGACATTCAGTCGGTAATTCGCGCAATGAGCCCTTTACCCCCGGATGAGACATCCACCCCGGATTGTCCGTGGTATTATAAATTCAACTTCAACCCACTGCTTGATTCTCTAGACGCACCCCCACCAGTACTCCCTCCATCAGAAGATGTGGAATGTCCGAACGGCTATATCGAGTTTAACGGTCATCCCGAATCGAACGGCCATGCTGAATCGAGCCGTCATGCTGAATTGAACGGTCATGCCGAGTCGAGCCGTCATGCGGAATCGAACGGTCATACCGAGTCGAACGGCCACACCGTGTTGAACGGCCACATTGAGTCGCCCTCACCCACACCCGCAGCTCAAGCCCGGCCTACGCCATATCCAAACGCCAAACGAAAAGCCCCGACTATTGAGTTTCGGCAGCAAATAGGCACGCTTGACCCTGATACGATGGTCCACTGGATTAGGTTTTTAACGGCTTTGGTGGAGTTTTCCAGTAAACTTACAGGTCGAGCCGCGATGGAATTTCTGGGCGTGGAGGACATAGAAATCGACTATTCCCCTATTAGCGAGGCTTCATCGTCATCGAATGGTGCCGGAGAACAACAGATTCCTCGTGTTACCTACAATGGAAATGCAGACTCGAACGCAGCTCTTTCCGCATTCGCTTTTCTAACAAGTACGCACCCTATTGGATCTCTCGGGCGGCTCCTTACCGCCATGGACTCCATAGCTATAGATCTCGACCCTGAAACTACACGATACTGGAAACGGAAAGTCTCACCCTAACTCTCCCTCCACTCGCTCAATATGAAATGCTATACGCAAAGAAACGAGTGTTAGTAAAAAATATGGAATTTTTGAAGTACACTTTTCTCGTTTTCGCACACTTCGGCCTTTTCACTTCAGCTTTCTACTTTTTCGGGCTGGAATTTCGCCTTACGACATTTTTTTGGCTTGGTTTCCACTGATGAAGAGTGGGTCGTCTGGAATACAAAATTGATACTATTCGTATCTTTCTTTTCGTTTCTATTTTTCATTTCTGTTGTCCCAGGAGGACAAGGAATGGCCCGCAGGGGCATCGTCGGTAATTGATCCGAAACCAGACGTCATAGTTTTATTGCACCGATGAGCAGTTGATGCGAGCTCATTTAAAAGAGGAGGAACAAAATCTGCGCGGGCGCTTGTATGACTAGGCGTCATCATCGCCAGCTATCGAATCCACGAATTTCCATACCTGATGGCAGCTGAAAGTTACACCGTCCTGTTACTGGAGCGCCATGCTATATCCGAGTCGACCCGAAGAACGTCGTTCATCGTGTTACACACCCAATATTAAACAAAAAATCACAAAAATACGCCAAACGAAAGAATATTCCCCAGTGTCAATCCACAACTGGCTTACTTGAATAGCGATTTGGCATGAATTCTTGTCTGCTATTTTCTATTTACACTACTTGCACCGGTTTTTCCTTTTTCGCCCACTTTTTTCTCTTCGAGGCCTACCAGGTTTCCCTTCTTCGGGTTATTTTTGCAGGTGTACAACTGTTGTCACTCCTTCAGAATGATTGATTAATATAGGGGATGCAATTATTGCGGATCTATACTACCTGTTGCAGGAAAGGTTTAGGATATGGTCCCGGGTTTTTAAATAAAATATCATTGGCATTCGGCCTTAGTACTGCCGCTCCTAGACTTACTTGTACGCTGGAGTTGAAGGGACAGAAATGGAGTTTTAACAAGAGGCTTGTTTACAATTTCGCTTCACTCAAATCGGTTATCGTTTTTCTTATTCTTGTTTATAAACATGTCTGTCTTAGTTCGTGACCCCATATTCTCATGCCATATGGTAGCCATTTCGATATGGCCAATCTTCTTAATGCGACATATAATCTTTTCATATTACCGTCGATCACCTTCGGTGATTCCAAATGCAGTTCCCCTTTTTCAAGCCCTCCTTGCATAAAATTACTCATTAACCGACATCTTGTCCATCTGCGGCATCAAATAAAAGCAAACAAATGTAGGGCTACCTTCGTGGATCAGAAGGGCATCTAGGTTTGTAACCTGAATTGCTTGAGGCTTGGATAACTGTGACTTGAGAAATGTGACATCCTTCTCTTGTAGAACCTACTTTCCCCCTTTTCAGTTTTCTTTTTCTCGTTGACAAGGAGGTTTCCCGCCGGCAAACGTTCACTCCCGATTCGAATACGATTGGGGAATACGGTGAATTTAGGTATTACAAGATGTATTGCTGGTTCCACACGGAGGATCATGTTCTCTGCGGAATTAACGCTTTTATTCACTGTATTGGGGGGCAGAGTCGGACCAATATACTCCGTATGCATGCGTGAGATCGGCCTATAGGGCATGTTTGCTGGTATAGGATGCACCGACAACCCTCATGTTGGCCTATTGTAATCAGTTTCCCGTGCATCCATGGGTTTAAAAAAATATTAAACCTAATCGGAGGTTTCTTTTTTTACCCATCTGATATTTAAAAAAATCGCGGGCTGGCTGGATAGTGGCAGAAGGCACACTGTGCAAGGGTGTCAATTATGATTTTAGGCCGCTGCAAGTTGGAGCATGTAGCGAGCAGTGTCCGGGTACACAGCATAACAAGACTGAAAAAACGGAACGAGATAATCCTGATAGGCACCTGGTAGCCAAACTTTTTCTCCGTTGTATCCTCACAACTCATATTCGTCATCAACCGATGGATCTTTGTATTCATGTAAGGGGGGAATATAAATCCAATATCGAATTTCGGCTTGTCCTACTTCGCAGGGTATATCGAATAGTCGGCCATTATTTGTGCCCCGTTTTCTACCAAGTAGGCTTAACAGAGACGTGACCATCCTCGTCAATGACCTTGCCGCGATCCCATTCCCTCCCTTCCCCTTTCTTAGCCCACTTCACACTCTCGATGTCCCTGCTGTCACCATCGAGATGGGTCCTGCTACTCGAATTTAGGCCAGCGAAGGATTTGTTTGCTTCCCACTTCTCTACCACTTTATCCTCAAATCCGGCTTCACGTAATCGTTCTGCGCCCTTCCGTTTCCATAGTGCACGATCCCTGAGTGCCTCTAACGCCATGTCCCAGTCATCATCGACATGTTTGTCTATTTCTTTAGGGTTCAAAAGACCTGGCACAGGGCGGATGTGCCCGCGGCGGTCAGCTTTGGTGTCATGTTCATCTTCGAGATGTACATCTAACGCGGGGTCGTAATTTAATAAAAAATGCGCGTCTATGTTACTCGAATTTGTGGCTTTGAATGCCCCACGACCACGAGATCGGAGAGGTGTATCGGTGTCTGCAGAGCTTTTTGGCGGTGGAGCAGGTCCAATGATGTTACTCAGCGGATCTGAGTCGTCGGAGTATGTGCTGTCTACGTCTGTGGGCATAAGACACATAGTCTCCTTCTCTTCCGCATATATTCGAGGTGGGGGTGACAATGGTGAATGCTCGACGGCGCTAATTTGGGTATCTGCATCTAAACTGTGACTCTGATTTCGCATTTGGTTAGGTTTTCCACTTCTCTCTTTCTCCCTGCTGTGTCGCCTGCGGCGATGTGCCCTGTTTGGTGATTTGGACCGGCTGCGGGATCTATCGTCTCGGTGGCGGTGTGATCTCCTGTGACTACTGCCATGGCGAGCAGCATTTTCCTTTTCAGATCTCTCCGCACGACCGGATATCCGCGTTGGAGATCTATGCGTTCGATGATGCCGGGTATGGCGATCCTTTTCGCTCTTTCGCTCATGTCGACTGACTGCGGATCCTCGCATTGCCTCTTCCGTGTCTGATCGATGTTCCCTGTGATGTCTTCCCCGCCTCCTCGACTTGGTATCTTCATCACTATCTGAATGTAGATATCCATCATCCGCTTCCCTAGCATGACGTGGCTTATGACGGCCGTGATCACTCCGCTTTTCTCGTTTCTCCTCCCTACGTTCCGGAGACTCAACTCTTCGACGTTTATGTTCCCGTCCATTTCGTTCCTCTGGCCTCGAGGAACTAGATTGCCGGTCTCTCCCTTCCCTTAGGCTTCTCATTCTCTCCCTCGCCTCCTCCTCCTCCTTCCGTTTCAAATTTGCATTGTGACTGTCTGTTTCGCGGAGGATATGCTTTAAAAACCGGGTATTTGGTTTAGGAGCACCACTTATAGATCTAGCGTATTATCTTTGTTAGCTTGAGTACATCTTAGGGGAGCATCAGTAGCTGTAATACCGTTTGGTTGATCCATACACTCCGAGGGCGGAGTATCTAAGTGAGCAGTCTCGTGCATCTTTAGAGAGGAGCTGCGCCAGGTAATCGTCATCAATACAATTCGAGGTATCTGCATTATCGTCCTTAGGCCCTGACATGGTCTTCCTGGTGCTACTTGATTGATTTCCTGGCCGTTTGTTCTTGTCGACTTGAAGCTGGGGGGCGATGCCGATATCTTGCCGTTTGATATGACTAAGCATACAAACAAGACAAACAAGACAAACAAGCCTTGTTTACTTTTGTTATCGCGATAAGCTTAATAGGTATGTTTATCTTCACCCCTCGGACAAGAAAGCGATATATACATATATAACTTTGCATTTTGGGTTGCTGGATCTATTCCTCTAGCTCTGCAAAATGGCTGGTGCAATGTACTCTGATTCCCTGGCCCAGATTCACTCGTTAGACAGTGACGTACCTGAGTCCACCCTCGCGATAATTCGAATCAGTGAGCCTATCGGCTCCGCATCAGACGGCAATGCTGGACCAGATCGCTCGCCATCGAAGCGGGCCTCCGATGTTTCTACTGATGCATACGATAATCCAACTCCAGCTTCTTTAGAGGCGGACCTAACACATTATAAGGTGCGTCTTCGTTTTCAATCTTGGTTGCTAGCCTCCATAGAACAGCTAGCTAATGACCGTGTATAGGAATTGTTCTCAAAGTTACGGTTTTCCTATCTCGAACAAGTAACGAAGGAGAAGTTTCTACGCGCAATTGTTGGCGACCCTCCATTGGTTGTTGGGCATAGCGATAATCTAGAATTGGAGGCGGAGTTGGCGCAAGTGAAGGAAGAATTGCAACGAAGGAAAGAAGAAGTTCGGATTTCGGTGGAGGAAATGGAGAAGATGGGTAGAGACCTTGCCAAAAGTGATGATCCCCGGCCTTTCTGTCCCACTAAGTTGTTCGCTTTGCACTAATATCTTTAATACAGGATATGCAGCTGTACAGTTACAAACCGCCCAGCTTTCGGAGCTGCCTTCATCAATCGCAAACCTTGAATCAACAATTACACAGCTTCGTGTGGCACAATCGTCGAAGCTCCATGCACGTTCATCGTCGTCTCCATCCCAGAATCTTCCCCTTGATGCTACTCTTCACCTCCTGGCCGACAAGGACGCGGAACTGACGACTGTCAAACGAACATTAGCATCATCAGAAACAGCATTAGCCCGGAAGACGGCGGAATCTGAAGCAATGGAACGGGAGCTAGCCATCCTGGAAAAGAGGAGAAATGACGTTGTTGCGCAAGCCAAGGAAGCGCAGAGGCGGAAGCTCCAGGGAGAAAGTGACGGGCTGGAAGAAATGGGGAGATGGTATACTGGGACAGAGCAGGTGTTGAAGGAATTAGTATGATTGATGGCATTGTATTTTTATGTATAATCCGGCGTCTGGATAAAAGTCATGGATTACAGTTCTTGGACGAGAGAGCTTTATATAAAGGGAAACCGGTCGCTATTATGATATTTGAAGTTTTGAACATAACTCGTATTTCATGGTCATACACAGAGTGTTGAGGATAGCGACATCCTTTATTATTTTGGATTATTTTGATTATTTTTTCATTGTCTACTCTTCATCTTCCTCCTCCTCGTCGTCACCACCCTTCTCGGCAGCCTTCATCTTCTTGCGCTTAACGCGGCCTGGGCGACCACCACCAAGAGGAGAGGTAAGGGAGAAGTCGATGTGCTTCTGGGAGTCAAGTCGGACAACGAAAGAGGGGACGTTGACGATTTGCTTGCCGACACTAGATGATGCATGTTAGAGTGTATCCTTATACATAATCGTCATTTGAGAAGTAAAAGTTGCTGCATACCGGATGTGTCTCTGCTTGATGAGGACACGGGCGTGGTGGATGGACTTGGCCAATCCGAGTCTGTAGACACAGGTCTGGAGACGGCGCTCCAAGAAATCCTCGATCTTGAGAGCAAGGACGTAATCGAGCTTCATGCGGGACTCGTCGAGCACGCCGACACGTACAAGTCGTCGAATCAAGGCGTTACCCTCGAAGAGGCGCTTGGGGTCCTTCTCGTCAAGAGTAAGAAGCTCACTATAATGAACCCCATATATTAGCTTCCGCCCACCCCGCATAATCCTCACAATCGCAATTCGGGAGGGCCATACCGAGCAGCACGACGGATCTTGGACAGGGTCAGGTTGACACGCCACACTTCACGCTTGTTGCGGAGGCCATATTCGCCGACCAGCTTCAATTCGGAGTCACTAGAAATAGGCGAAGACGCGCAAGTTAGGAACAGTTTGCGCCAACGACATGAGCAAAAGCAAGCTAGTTGCTCAGTGGCCGGGAAGTACTAACAGACGAGCCGACTCGAATGCTGCGAGAATATATTAGCCGCTGTCCATCATATACGTATTAAAATGCAATGCAATTCTGAAATTGGTATACTCACGACGACGTGGGACCTTGTAGGTCTTGGAGTATGCGCGCCTGCAGACACAAAAGGTATTAGCAACTGTATATCCCTCGATCTCGCCGTCTCAGGGAAGACTTCACGTACGGAGCCATGGTGAATTATGTCGGGCTGGGCTGCACACCAAAGTTGTCGATATCGAAGGAAGAACAAGAAGAAAGATTGAAGTTCAAAGTTGCCGTTTTCATTTTTGAGTGGTGATTACCTAAGCAAATCGCTTCTCCCGTTTGGGTGAGGAGTTAGGGCTTAAACCCCAGCTTCCCAAAGCGCACGCTAAGCGAGAACCGCGAAGTGCAACTTTTGAGATATCCAAGCAGCAACTTTACCAGGTCGACAATACAGCAACCACCAAACCCTTCAATCAGCCGTCAAGATGGGTCACTCAGCCGGTTTGAGGGCGGGCACGCGAGTACGTTCTGCTCTTCTTGTCTTGCGATCGCTCGTTGGTGGTGGAATTATGGACTAACCTGGCTCTCTATCGAATAGTATGCCTTTTCTCGCGACTTCAAGAAGAAGGGTGTTATCGCTCTTTCTACCTACTTGAAAATCTACCGGTACGCTCGCTGAAGTGATATATTCGGTCCTAGAAAATTCGCATAACTGATTCGTGTTTTTAGTGTCGGTGATATTGTTGATCTCAAAGTCAACGGTGCCGTTCAGAAGGGGTTAGTTAACCGTCAAATCCATCCATGTTGATTCCTATCCGTTCCGTTCGTCCTCGATCGATTCGCATGAATGTGGTCCAAGAAGATTGCAAGAGACGGGAATTTTATAGGCGAACAGAGCCGCATTCGATTACTGGATGAATTGAGAAGAACCGGGTTTACTAAAACATTTTCGTTCTCTCCAGTATGCCACACAAGGACTTCCACGGAAAGACCGGCGTCGTATACAACGTTACCAAGTCCGCTGTCGGTGTCATAATCTACAAGCGCGTCGGAAACCGATACATCGAGAAGCGAGTAAACGTCCGCATCGAGCACATCAACCACTCCCGATCCAGAGAAGAGTTCCTCAACCGTGTCAAGGAGAACGCTATCAAGAAGCGCAAGGCCAAGGAGGAGGGTATCCACGTTCACTTGAAGAGACAACCCGTCGGTCCTCGGGAGGCTAGAGTAGTGAGCCTGAAGGGAAACACTCCAGAGACTCTTGCTCCTGTTCCATACGAGACGACTATTTAATTTAAGAAACCAAAAACGAAATTATTGAAATACCAATTTCTTTTTTTTAGCTCGTCTTAAGTTAAAAAGCCAGGGTCAAACGGGGTTTCTCTGTTCTACGAATTTTTTGTTTTTAATGTCGTTCCACGGAGCATAAGAGAGAATTCTTACTTTCCCCTCCTGTTGCTACAAAGGACATGATGTAGCCATCCCTTCGGTCGTTGATTGGGGACAAGGCGTCATAAACATGCAAGGCCCTGCGCCATATCAACGATTTTATTTCCAGAGGAAAAAGCTACTCTATGACCCAGGTTCCCTTGTATCCCCCAATCTAGGGTAGTCTTATAGATTTACGAACTACCTTGGCATATATTTCATCCAGTAGTTTAGTAGCACACTGGCAAAATGAAGTAAGCCCATCACTTGTGCTGGTCTGCTTAGCGCAAGTTAAGTTGTAAGATTAAGTAGAGGTAGAGATCACTGAGCAACTATGGAAGTGCTTCCTCGGATAGACGTAAATAGGATATAGAGGATAGTAGAGAAGCGATATGACACACCTAGGTACACCCCGTTCATTCATCCTGGGGGTAACACTATGATATCCCCGACATTATCAAAGAAATCACCCTCCGGCTCCAATTATATAAAGAAATTAGAATAAGAAAACCAAACAGGGCGAAAAACGCCATCAAGTAGACGGCAAGTCACTGATCCTCATTATCGGTATGGATACTTGAACTTTTGACCAACTCCACGCAGAACTCCGCCCATTCCGTCTTCTTTTCATGAGCCCCTGCTCCTCCAACCTCGATAATCTCTTCCTCAATGTGATCCTCGATGTATCTACCGTATTTACGGCGGTACTCTGATTTCACCTTCTCCAGGTGTCGTGGCTCCCAGTGCAAGCGGACTAGACGAGAAATGAGAAGCTCGGCACGGTCCCGCCCTGTGCCAGACTCCGTTATAGCCTGGTGAATAAGTAAAGCGTCACGCATGGGACGGTTACGGACACCGTTAAGAACATGGCCAAGAGTTTCACCCTAGAGGGGGGAGTTAAAATGTCAGTACTCTATGCATGAAGGAGCGTGAAAGGAGGAGACATACGACCAGGTTTCGAGATTTTGAGAGCATCGCCCGTGTGAAATTCTCCCGATATGCCATCTCATAGGCTTGCAAGACTTCTCGAATGTGGTTATTTCCTCTCACAATGATAATCTGTATCATAGCCGTCTCACCTCCGTCACGCGAAGTTACTGCACGATGGAGATCATGCACATCCTTTCGAATTAAGTCGACATTCAGTGGTGCATGGTCGGACTGTCTCTTCTCTTGCAAGGCTAGCAGAATGGCAACCCGGAACTTGTCAGCCTTGAGTTCAGTTTGCATACATAGCTCAAGGTTGTCTTGATATCTCTTGTCACGGAAACAAGCTTTAATCTCTCTGATTTCATCATTGGGCCTTCCGATGAGTGATTCGATAAGTAGCTCATGTCTAGTTCGGCTCGATTGATACCAGAAATTGGCCCATAGAGCTTCAGACTCCCATTGCCCGAGGGCAGTCGCATAGCATACTTTACCGAAATTTCCGGGCACCATCATTTTGATATGTTTAGCCATGTTGACTCCTTTTCTAGTCATAACTCTTAGATTCTTGTACGCGGCGCGGAGATCCAGAATCTCATCAGAGGTGAGATATGGAAGGATTTTTATAAGCGGCTTTGGGTTAACCTTCGAGTGGTTCAAGGCAGAATGGATCAACTTTGCATCATCCTTCGGGTCATAGATGTACGCTGGTTCTTTAGGTGTAATCACCTTAACTGCGCCCGAACCCATGCTAGTGGACAATCGCCTAATTCTTTCAAGCTGATCTTTGGATGTGTTTCCTGCCTTCTCACTATCCCTCTTACTTTTTTTGCGTCCGAGCGTTGCATTTCCACGACCACTGAGAGGTTCAATGTCGGATAACCCGTCGTCCCCAAGAGACGCTGGCCACTGGATCGGGGATATGCTTTGATATGTACCCCGATACGGTTCTAGAAGCGGACTTGCTGGTGGATTGCTACCATCGGGAAAGCTCCCTGGTATCTTCATTTGATCATCCGCAGATATTGTCAAATTGTTTGGCCTACTACTAACGGTTTGGCGTCGTGGTTTTATTTCCATGTACGAAGCCTGCTTCGGCTGGTTAACGGGCTTAGCTGAATATTGAATCTTGTCATGGCTCGCAGCGGGAGCGGGAGCGGGCGTCTTGGTGGAATATCTGACTTTCGATTCCGGCACAGCATACTGGTATACGTCTGGTTGACTATAGGTCTGCTGTGTGGGGATATTTCCGGTGGATATTGCGCGTTTATGGCCGGGAGTTTCCGTCGTGGCTTTCAAATTCTGAGCGGTAGCCGGCGTTTGAGCGTACTGCTGAGGCACATATCGTGAAGCAGGTATGCTAGGATATTGCGTAGTGGATGCCGTAGGGCTTGTGATATTAGTTCCGGGGATCACGCCAGGAATAGGACGGCTGTAAGTAGAGCTCTTCGGCCGCGGTGGTAACTCTGGAGCCGCAGGGGCTGCTGGAGGAGCCACGGGTTGTGCTTGGTAATACTGCGTAGGAGTTGCATATAGGTTTGGCATAGTAGGCAAATTTGGCATAGTAGGCATATTACTTTGTGGAACGCCAGTGGTCATATGTTCAGTTGGAGGAATATAACCTTCACGTTCGCATTCAGGAATTTCTGCCCACGCATCAAGGTCGATCTTAGATGACTTTTTCTCAGGCTGAGGAGGGTTTGCAGTAGATGACGGGTAGAGCTGCGATTTGAGCTGTTCAAATGCGTTTGTGAACCCGGATTTTTGCGCTGAAGGGTACTTCTTCTCATCACGAGAGTAAGCAGCGGGGGCAGCTTGCTCCTGATCGAATAAACTTCCGTGCTGGGTTGATTCCCTGGTTCGACTGCGGGAGTACCGTTGCCGATCCTTGGTAGTATATTCATGGCTTGAGTCTGAATCATACGTGCGCCTGTGGTCTGTGGGGGCTCTACCGCGGGACCTTGATCGTGGCCGCAAGTGGTGGTTGCTGGCGAGCGGATAGTCGTAAGGGTCGCCGTAGGCTAAGTCATCATCCTCTGAATCCGAATAGTATTCAGGCTCTGGGAGCCGAGACGACCGAGAGGAAGGGTATGCTGCTGACGACGGTTTGGGTGCCGGCGCACTATCGATATCCGAATGAGAGTCATATAGGTAACTCGACCGTTTGCTCTTGGAGGGTTTAGAGCTGGATGAATATCTAGGAGCTAGCGCCTGCTGGTCGGAGAGATAATAGGGATCGCTCGGGGCCGCTACAGAATGCCTTGAGCTCCTTGATGCCCTATGCCCCTCGTCATCGGACGGCGAAACCTCGCGATACTGACTTGGCGTGTGCCGCGAGCTTGTACGGCGAGGGGCCTCGTCTTCAAACGAGTCGTAATCGTAGTACTTTTTGGTTTTCTTCTCCTTTTCTCTAGGCGGAGACGGTGCGCGGACATGGCTGCGACTGCGACTATGGCTGCGGCCGTGATCGTGATCGTGGTCACGGCCGTGGCGCGACCTTGACCGTTCTCGAGATTTGGACCTCGACCGATAATACTGGTCTGGAATGCGGAGTGACATGGTGACGAGCTATTACTAGCTATGGCGCTCTGGCTGGATAAGGAAGCTTTTGAAAGGGCGAGAGCAGTGATAGCACTCCTGAGCCACGGCCGGCGACTCTGTAGCTTCAACAACACACGATCGAGTGTGAAGAAGAGATGCGAGTTGGTGGGCGGGCGGTACATGCGATAGCTCGAGCCTTGCGAAGTGGGTTTCAGCCGCTCTGCAAACCCTTGGATGAGAGAGCGCAAGCAACAGCTGCTTGGCCCCCATATATTTGCTTAACTTCACCCGCCGCCGTTGGTTCACATTGGCTGGTCACGCATGGTACCTGGTGATATAGTGCAAGCCAAGTGGGCCAGAATCGTGTTGTTTATCCCTGCGATTGGTTGTGCAGGGACATGGCGTTGGTCAGGATCCGAGGTTGCGATGCGCATGTTTGGCAGGCAAGCAAGAGATGTAAATCAAGCAACGAAGTTCAGAATGTAGTCATTATATATATGTCCAAGAAGTACGAAGTAAAAACATGAGCTTCCTCGTCCCAAACTTCGTCCCAAAAAAAGCGAAGAAACACCAAAAAAAGGGGTATCGCAAGTAAGACCACCAGCCTTGTCACTTGCGCCAAAAGAAACATGTACGGAGTAGTCATGACCGCTCCGTATAACCCTAGAACCGCCCTCGGTCGAGTGAAACCAATGTATAGAAACCGTTAGCTACAAATCACAGGGTAGGCGATCGATTAGGCCTTGAGTTTTCCCTCTTTAATCAGTCGATCCGTCATCCTCTTCTTGAGATGGACCATTGACATTGCTTGGGAGACTGGTCGACCATTCCTGCACCGAAGGAGACGAAGTGGTAAGAAAATAATCTATGTCGAGAGATGGGGATTGGACAACTCACATCAAATCATCATAAAGCATCTGCCCACCCTTGTCCTTTATATGTCCTTGAGAGCGCTTGTGCAGTATGTTCCCAGCCCTACTATCCAATTCCTTTATCTTAGCCCAGGACGGGCCACACTCTTCGATCAGCTCCCTCAGGCAGGTTTCTTCTTCAAGGGACCAAGGTCTCCGTATCTTCACATTAAACGCCGGCAACGTCTCAGCTATTTGTTCAAACCGATGCGGTGCAGTAGAGGCCGGAACCGTGTACGTGGTTCTAGCTGCCAACCTGCTATCCGCTGTAGAGTCTATACTAGAGCTTGCCGTCGCAGTAGGCCGTGGGGGAGCCGGTGTTTTGTGCGGACGTTCACGGCGTAGCTTTCGAGGACGGGTGTCCGTCTCAAACCCGGTATCCTCCTCACTCTCTTCGACATGGAAAGCATCTTCAGCGGTTCGCTTTTTGGGGCCATTTGGGAGGTGTCTATCAGATTGTGTGCTGATAGGCGATACCCTATGTGCATCAAGTTGCCGGTCTATAAAAGCCGCACGAGGCCTATCCTGCTTAGTCGACCTTGCAGTCCTAATTCCCTCTTCCGAAAGCCTCAAGATGTCTAATGATGAAAGTGGGGGAACTCTCTCTTCAGGCTCACTCCTGGATCGATCCTTTAGGGGTGGACCCTGGATTGTAATTACGGGTGCAGCCTCAGTTTGTAAATCTCGCGGGGGTGATGGGGTTGTCGCTCCAACATTCAAGAGTGCGTCATCATCATAATCGAGCAACTTTGCAGTAGGCTCATTGTGCTGGCCCCGTGGTGGAGCGTCTTCTTCCGCGGCTGGAAGTGTAACAGGCTTAGGAGGAGCGTTTTTCGCAGTACCAAGCCCAAGGAGGCGCTGGAGTGCGCCTTTTCCTTTAAATCGATGGCGCTGAGGAGGGCTTGGGCTCGCAATAGCCTGTGACTGTTCTTCAGCCTCCTTGCTAGTTTCCACAGATGTCTCAGGTGCAGGGCTCCTCTCTGGTGTAGGGTTCCTCTCCGCCGGAGGCTCAACATCATCCAGTATAGGTGACGAGATACGATCCAGGGTATGTCCAGGCCCAAAGCTTGATTGCTTGTCCAGTTCGGCCTGTAAGATCTTGGTCGCCTCTTCAATCGGCATCTGTGATTCCAGTTGCTTGTCGATGTCGCTCGCCTGTGCTCGAATCCAGCCTGCAATCCCAACAACAAATTCTGACCACGGAAACTCGGCCTCTAACTCGCCATCTTTTCCCAGACACCTACGGATTAAATCGATCCTTTCTTCAGCAATGCCAAGATATTCTTCGGGAATACAGCAGCTGTCATCCTCGAGGCCGTCCATTTGCCAACCCCGTATCTCGCCGTCGTCCTCTCCGAGAGAGGAACTAAAAAAGACGTCTTCCAACAATTCTTCGGGCTTGGAAGTTTGATTTGCCGCTTTAGACCGTAGGTTTGCTATAAAATGTTGGGTCCGTATCTCCAATCCTAGCTGGACCGTTTCTGTTTTGAGGTCATCCCCTTTGGAGGATGTGACCGACTCAATGAACGCAAATGGGAAGCTGTTGTCAACGGCCTCTATTAATGTAGTTGGTTGCGGTCTGATTAGGTCCAAAGCGAGTTGTGCCAGGTTAGCTTTTTGGTAAATTCCCCGTGGTTTCCAATCCAATGGTTTTATCGACGATAACGCTGCTACAAAGCGTTCGATAGGGATGAAGCTATCTTTGCTCATGCATTTCTTTTGCGCATCAAATGTCTCCTTGATCCGATTGAGCCTTGCTCCAAATTTTGATGTTTGAAAGTGTTTTGATATGTTAGCATATGAAAGCCCTGATGGTGTCAAGAGGCGGAGGGCTTTATTGGATGCAGTAAGAAGGTCAGGGAGAGTGTCAAGTATTAAGTGAAGGTCGACTTCTTCAGCTTCACGTTCAGAATCGTCGGCTTGAAACATCGTGGTGCCGGAGATGTTACCATGGTCTGCGTGCGATTCGGCGACATACGTTTGACTGATATTTGACTGGTGGCTAGGAGAGAACTCAAGACTATGTCTTGCTTCATTGGCACGACTCTCCGTGATGGGTGAAAGGCCTATGAAGGCAATTAGTGATTTATAAAGCGAATAGAGGCATTGGGGGAATGCAGAGTGTCGATTTGCTGTCTGGCTAGGCGGGATCTATCCCCACGATATGCAATGCAGTTATCTCGAGATGATTGACCAGAGTTATACACACCATTTCCCCTGGATGAAGCATCTGAAGTCCTTGGAGTCCGTAGCACAAATGTCTGTCCGGCAGCATAGTCGCTCTTCTGTGGAATTGAGGGAACCTTGAAGCTCGAGTGAGCTGGTGCCTCTCCAAGCTCCCGACTGCGGCTCCGCGTTAAACGCGAGCTTGTGCTTTGCTGATGCTTAGCGGATGCGGAGCGACTTTTCGGCGGTTGACTTTCGCCGCCTGGGGTGGCTCTGTGGGACCGCAACATGGTTGATGCGTGTGAGGCGTCGAGAAGCCAGCGACGTCGTAGATGTGATGTATCTACGTATATAAAGCTGCGCAGATATTGTTGCAGTCGGTATGATTAATGAAAAGTGAATGCAGGTCTCTATTGTTGATGTTGATGTTGAGGAGTTAGGGGTTGAGGATAGAAAATTGAGGTCAGATGTCGTGAGAATAAACAATGAGGGCGCTAGTCTAGATTTAGTTGTTATTGTCACGTGTATACACTAAACTCCATTGGTAACCCTAAACCCGAACCCGAACCCCAATCCCGTGACCTAACCGGGGATAAGATAAACCTTCGGAGATATTTAAAAACGCGGGGTGCGATTAACCTGCTTAGTCATGGATTAGCCGCGCGTCAAATTTCTCCATTATCTGATCTTCACCTAGGTATGTATCATTGGTCCCCATGTTATTCTCTAGGAAGATGTCCAGGGCGAAGATCCGTTGGGTTAAGTTTGAATCCTCAAGGCTACCGTTATGGCTCCGGCTACGCGAGCGGCTAGGACGCTTGCTCTACAGGAACCGAGAAAAAACACAGTCACTGAGAGTTTATCGTCTCCCATTTCATCGAATCATCAAATTCGAGTGTTATCCTGCTGAACTTGAGTCTATGCCATATGTCCGGCAAAACACCACAATCCGTGTTCCTCACGTCATAGAAGCGTACAGTTTTGAAGAGAGGCACCATTTGACCATGGAGCAGTGATAGCCTGCCATTAGATTATGTCTGGCTAGACATGCCTGAGGAGCAGAGGTAACATCGTGAAGGAGTTTACGGGCTATATCGAACAGCCACGAGGCCTTATTCCGCCCAAACAAGGGGCAGTCGGGTGGAAGACGATGGGGCCGGGCTACGACCATCAACTTAGAGATCGCCACTTCGGGCCCTTTAAGAATATTGCAGACTTCCACTATCATATTTGTCGCGGAACCCCACTTAAATACTAGGATAAGGCCATTTCTTATATTCATGACCCCTTGAGGTCATATACTATTAAGTATAACCATGCAGACATGTGTCCTAACAACGTACTGGTGAAAGATGGGAACATTGTGGCGGTTGTTGACTGGGAATTCGCCGGGTGGTTCCCTGAGCATTGGTAATATACGGGGTCCTAAAATACAATATGGATGGCGGCCATATCGGAAGGAATTTACGACGCCCTCGAACACACCTTGACCACCTATCCAGAGGAGCTCAAGGCAGAGTCTGTCATTTGGTCTCGTTATAGTACGTTTCATTACGAAGATCCACTTCCTACGGATCTCTCAAAACTTGATAACGAACGGAAGCTGGGCGTGCGGACGAGTTGCCCGACGCCCGAAAGGAGTAACGACCATGTACAGTGTAATCGTGGCCAAATATACGGAGCACACTAAACAGATCACGGCCGACTCGCACACATTTACACCAACGTACTACGTACAGCGAATAGTTTACCAAAACAGTGGACATTTCCTATCTTATGGGTACCCCCTGACTGGTGCACTCGTGGAACTGTGTCCTGCACCTCAGAAAAATCACATTCATGACCCCAGACTCCATATACTTTGCACGGAGTACGGATGGGCTAGTGGAAGGCGAAGGTAGATACGAGATAACGCCCAAACACTGGTGGTGCAAGGGGCACTCGCAGCCAAGGCCTAATGCTGTCCCAAGCATAAAATAGGGAAAACTCTGTTCTCATCGATAGATCCAGGTGCGATATTAGGTTGTTAGGAAGGCGATGTGATCCGTCTGCCGCCCTCTAGTTGGACCATTACATGCATGGGTGGCCCTGGCTTCCTATATCACATTGTCCCCTCCATGGGCAGTTTTATCGATTGTAACAGAACTGGTGGGCGCAGGCTCTCGGGCTAGTAACACCAGAGAAAGGAATATCTGTCTGCAAGCCTGTGGATCTATCCTGGCTGAGTAAATAGCTAGGGGCCTGTCTCATCGTGGCTGTTGCCCTTGAAACGTCCTACCTCAACCTGGCGTGTCGAGTCTGACAAGGGTTGCACACGCTCGCGCGGCCGCTTCTCGAGCAAGCCAGTTCCTCTCGGTCCGCAGAGGCAGCCCCTGGTGTCGCCGCTCTGCAACCTCCGCGGCCTGGTAAAAAGGGGCTTTCTCCGTATTATTTATAGAAAAAGAAAAAAAAGGAAAAACATCCGCCAAGACTTGACCGAGGTCGAGGCCTGGCTCAGAGCACGTGAGCTGGAACATCGAAAAAAAGCGACTCCAGCGCCCCCTTGAAATCACGACTAAGTCCAACATCTCTGCATCTTACCCTCATCGCTACCTTGAAGAGACCCTTTAACGACTTGGATTCAGGCAGACGTGCAGTGTCAAGCCTCAGACACACTCATTTTACTTTACTTTTGGGTACAGCAGCTGACAGAGTTTAATGAGCCCGGCGTATTCCTGGCTTCGTCATCGCATTTGCATTCAGTCCGCATCCCTCTCCATCAGCACATTACGACCTCGAGCCTCGCGGTAGCCGCCTAGTTTCTTTCATCTGCGATCTGGAATTGCTTTTGATCGACTCGACCGTGGAAGAAACTTGACTTCTGCCTTGGAATTTGGCAGCAAACGTCTGATCAGCAACCTCCGGAACTCCCGTCACAGCAGCCCAACATGCGTGTCCGGCCTTTCGTCTCATCTGCTCTCCTCTTCCTCTCCATCTCGACAGCCATCGCCGGCCCTCCCTCGAACCCGGATTCGAAGAAAAAACTCCCTTCCAAATCTACTCCGGACTCGGGTGCTGCGAAGCCCGTCCCCGAGGCTGTCGCCACAGATCGGCCCCAAACCAGGGACTTCAATAGTCCGTTCGATGGGAAAGATGGCAAACCTCACGCCGGGCCGTTTATAGAGACAAATGCAGAGCGAGACCGCAAGAAGTCTCAAGACGGCTCAAAGACCACGGACGATGACGACGAGACCTTCTCAGATCCAGATACTGAACATATCGCGCCAGATGGAACAAAGATCCCCCATTCAAATGATGGAGTCATGGACGACAAGAACCGTTCTGGCCCAAAAGAGGGAACCACAGGGACGGAGGGAGGTGTGTCAGAGAAATCCAAGGGAAAGGACACCAGTGAGGACAGGAAACCCGACCCTCCAAAGGAAGCACCGCCGCTACCTCATAGCGAGCAGAAGAAGATTCCTGGACAGGAAGAACAAACGGGGGATGAGGAAGACGAGCAGAAGAAGGGAACGAAGGTATTAGAGGTAGGCTGATTGGTATCAATTTGACATCTTTTTGACCATCATGTGCTAATATGGATTGTAGAAACCCGATGACTTGCCAGAATCCCCTCACTCGATTACCCCCCCATCTGGACCCGGGAAGTCAGACAAATCTCTCAAGCCTGGTATCTCCACGAAGCCCGGCTCATCTCAGTCTTCCACTACCAAGAAGACACCTTTAGAAACCTCAAACAACGAAATTATCCAGCCTCTCCATTCCTTTGTCCTATCCCTGACGATGATCCTCTTCTCTGAAATTGGCGATAAAACCTTCTTGGTTGCCGCTCTAATGGCTATGCGCCATCCTCGAATGATTGTCTTTTCTGCAGCTTTCAGTGCACTCGCCGTCATGACCGTTCTCTCCGCTGTCCTTGGTCATGCCGTACCTACCATATTACCCGCACACTTTACCAGCGCCCTTGCATCTATTCTCTTCTTCGTTTTTGGCATTAAAATGATACTCGAGGCACGCAACATGGCCCCAGACGAGAACGTCAGCCAGGAAATGAAGGAGGTAGAGATGGAGCTGGAGGAAAAGGAGCACGAGCAACGCCGTATGAGCCGTAGCCGCTCCGGTATCAGCGCATATGCGCTAGAGTCAGGACATGGAGGAATGCCACGAAAGAGTCGATCCTCCAATCACCGACTTCCCTCTCCAGAAAGTATATCTTCTTCGTCTTCGAGAGATAACTCTCCTTCTCGCGCACACACTATCGCAAATTTTACAGCTGGGATTAGCAACCTGTTTTCGCTTCTCTTAAGCCCCGCTTGGGTGCAAACCTTTGTGATGACCTTCCTCGGAGAATGGGGAGACCGAAGCCAGATAGCTACAATTGCTATGGCTGCTGGTGCTGATTATTGGTGGGTTACCTGCGGTGCAGTAATCGGACATGGAATATGCACTGCGGCCGCAGTCATTGGAGGGCGAGCTATTGCTGGCAAAGTTAGCATCCGAGTTGGTACGTTCCCTTTTCGCTATTTTCACTTCCATCAGCGAGCAGCTACTAACATATTCCTCTAATAGTTACTTTTGGTGGCGCCATTGCCTTCCTGGTCTTTGGCCTCCTCTACCTTTTCGAAGCGATATATTAAACCCTCGCAACAACTACTCGCTTTATATATCTTGCGTATTATCAGCATCAACACATTCCCTTCACCCAGATATGAATTACTACTCTCTACTTTAATTTCACTAATCCAACGTCTGGTACTTACTGTCTCTCATGAACTACTCATATGCCTTTAGGAATCCCCTTATCTTTCCCTTTAGTTCCCTTTTTTACTTCTTTTTTTTATATCTCAGATGTCCTACTGGAGTTCTGGTTTCTTTCCCTTGCCTCATAGAGCTTGTTCTGAGCTATCTTTCTACAACTGTTCTCATTATTGTACTCTTTTGGCTGCTAAGCACGCATTTTTATCCCTTATTTTCTACTTTATTGCCTTATTTATCTCTCATATCAATCCAAATCTCCTGATAAACCAGATCTACCACATTTATTCTCTATCTACCCCCCTATACTTTCCCTCTTGTTTCAACATTTGATCTATTTAACGACTCGAACCTTTCAGTATTTTGTTGATGTTTTCCATGAACATGCTAAGCACAGGGCAAGGTTGTCAAAAGGTGGAAAGGATATGATTTTCTTTATTATGAAGCTGGAGGATGGAAGATATTATTTCCATATATGCTAATCAATAAGATATTGTTAATCTGTGCAGCTGGTGTTCCAGTGTTAAAACGAATTACATGATTCCCTGTGCTGTGTTGTGATGTTGAGCAAACACCAATATCACTGCTGATATTGGTTTCACTTGTCTAAACAACCTTCTATTACCTCAACGGAAGAAGCCGTCTACTATACCTACTAGTGTCATACTAACTAGTAGAGGACTGAGGAGAGAATAAGAGAGATAAATTCCTTAAGAGCATCAAGGATCTCACCAAGATATCACACAACCTCAGGTCGCGTTCACAACGCTCACATCAACTTATACAACTCCAATAGCTAGCAAAGACAGAGGAAAGATCAGGCTCCATGGCCCAACTTGAAGTCCCCAAGCAACGCTCAGGCAGCCCGAAGAAAACATCGGAGCACAGCAAGGACTTTCCCTCCTTCTCATCCTCAGGATCCTCCTCGTCCGCCGATACTCCCGTTGTCTTCAGCGTGTTTTACGGTAGACCGCCTGGCCCTCCCTCTTCCGTGTCGCCTCATTCCAGTGCGCTCAAACATGTTTCATTCGAGACCAGGTTGAGCACCACATTCATCGAACACGCTCGAAGGAGGGCGAAGGAACCGCGAGGTCGAATATGGGAACGTCGCAAACACCGTCGGGACTGCGATGCTATGCAGTTTAGAGAAATCGCGTCTCTCGCGAGCACACACCAGGATCGGATACTCGAGCTATGGGGGGAGAAATGCTGTGTTATTTGTGAAAACCAGCCTGCTACAGCGGTGGTTTACCTGCCTATTTGCTGCACATATGACGGGTATTATACTCTTGCGGACGGGGATAAGCTGTTCGGGTTGATGCTGTCGATTGCAAAACTGGTGACAGACCTCGACTCAGACGTGAAGGTTCGCTCAGCTATTGGAAGCAATGTCCATACACCGTATATCAACGTCATAGCTGTGCCGGTCTGTTATGCAGAGGATAGCTGTCGCAAGGAGGCGAACTCAGACATCGTGAAGTTTTTAAAGGGGTTTGGATTCGGTGATAGCCATGCTGGAGACGAAGGAAAGACAGAGAGCTACGAGAATAATAACGAGGAAAGGGCGAAAGATGAACAATCACAAATATTCAGACCGCTCCTGCACCGTCGATCAACTTGCAGCTCAAAATTTGCCACAGATATGGCCATGTTTCGCGATGCGGTCGAAGCCGATGAATGGGAAGACAACGATGTCAGTGATAGCAGCGAAGATGGAGTACCGAACGAACCCCCTGTTCCCAGCATCCCCAGCAGCAGTCCTACACGAATGTATATGCAGGAGCGGATTCCACTACGATACACGGTGATTTGCGGCCAACCGATCCTCGACCAAGGCCAAGATACGACACAACTCGATGCAGGCCGTCTGACATGTCTTGTCTTCACTTCTCGATGGGAAGCTGGCCTACTAGAATCAGTCGCATGCACCAACAATGACCCGGAGACGTACCAAATTATAGCGTCATTCCATGAACGATTTATCATGGCATCAGCTGAATTCCGCTGCTGCATCTGTCCAGATCCGGTATTAGCTATGACGTTGGTACATTGCCCGATTTCCTTTAGACGAGATACTGAGAACTCCTCCGGCGTCCAACCTCATCGGCAATCAATGATCAGGCTGCTGCAGTATACCAAAGGAAGGTGGAATTACCCCGAGGCGAAAGCGGCGCTAGGATATGATGGGATTTGGCACATCAGCGACTTTGTGGTCCCGATATGCCATAAGGGTTCGTTATGTGAAAAAACAGCAAGGATTGCTGCCAGGCAGTTTATTGACGGTATATTTGCTAGTAGCACCAAAACCTGCTATCCAGATCTATCCCCCGATACCGACCTCCTTAGCGCATATTGGGTTGAGAATGGAGGTAAAACGCCCAAGGTGGTAGTTGAAAGAGTAGGGCTGGGGCTGTTTACCGACAGTGAGAACCCGGAGGACGCTAGGGCACAGGTGATCGCGAAGAATAACGAAGCTATTGGGGAACTCAGGCGCTTTGTCAAAGCCAGATACGAAAGTAGCGATGAAGCTATCGTTGCTGGAGGTTCTAGTGCCTTGTTCCCTGAACCGGATAGCAGAGACAACGACACGGGCCCATGTCTCCCCGAGTCGTTGCGTGAGGAGCTTATGCTGGAGGAAGGAAAAATCTACACATACACTATTGAAGATGAGAACGCTATTGGGCCTGCTGAGGCAGAAGAACTGGGTATACCGACATGGGGCGGATACCCTCTCTGCGAAGAGTCGGCCAAGCTCGTTGCCGCAGGATTTCACGAGACGGCGTTGATGAAGCCGATGATTACGATGGATGTTCTTAGGACACTGAAGGAGACGAGAGAGTCTATTAAAAGGAGATATCGTATACGTGAAGGCGAGGATTTCAAGGAGAAAATGTAGTATTGAATATCAAGATGTAACTAAACCACAATGGCTAAATAACATTCAGTGAAGGGGCTTATAAGTCAGGCATGCATGAATCACCGTATATAAGATTGAACGCAGACGGGATTAAATAGCAGATAATTTTTTTTTCGAGGATTTTTTGTTTTTCAAGTTTTTTTTTTTTTTTTTTTGAATGATAGGAAATTGAATAACCAAGGAGGGGGACCAAGGAAATTTTCTTCATACATGCATCACCACATACAAGATCAGAAAACCAGACTGTAGACATTTCACTGAGTAGTAATACCTTGGCGGAAGATTGAGTCCATTTCCCTGTGGCTGATAATTGGAGCCATAGGAAGAGTCAAGGTGAGTACAGGTGGAGAGGGAGAAATAAATATACCAGCAACGGTCTCAGCAACGGTATCAACAGCGGAATCAGTAGCGGAATCAGCAGCGGAATCAGCAACGGAATCAGCAACGGTATCAGCAACCATGTAAACATCGGTGTCAGCATCGGTAGTAGCATCGGTATCAGTATCGGTATCAACATCGGCATCAGCGTCCGTATCAGCAACAGTGTCAGTACTAACACTGGCATTAGCACCAGCACTGGCGCCTGGCGAAAGGGGCGGAGTGCGCCGTGGTGACTTTTTCTTATTAGCATTAGTCCAGTTAGATGGACCAGGGTCGGAGCTGGTGGATGACGAAGCTGGCGACGACGGGGGAGGAGGCGGAGAGTCTTTATAGTCGAGTTCGGGATCGGTATATAAAGGATCTCCCCATAAGTTACGGTGAATCACAAGTGGTGGGTATTCACTGCGAGCAGCGGCTTCATCGAGAGCAGCAAAGTCGCTGCGCACACCTTCAGGGTCGGGTGGTACGCGCTCTTTCCCCTTGTCTTGTCGTCCAAGGAGACGGTTTTTGAACTTTCGCGCCCTGAGGCGGCGGGCAGAAGGATGGAGGTTCCTGGGCTCGAGGGCCTGGACGTTGAAGATCTCGTCGACGTTGCGTGCCGTCATTTTGGAGATCGTAGTGGTGCTCCAATATATGCTTGATATATGACTGATATATGATCAAGGGTTGCTAGGGTATAGACTTGATGTATTGGATGGCCCGTAGATGTGTTGTAGCGCTCTGTATAGCTTTGTAGATGCTCTCAAGATAATAGGAGACAACTCAGGAATGGCTTGGTGACGGGAGAAAAGAAATATTGAGGAAGACAGGTGCGGATGGACGTTGGGGGAGCAATAAATGCCCCTTTGGCCACCAACATGTCAGTATTGCATCATGGACAGCATAGTGAACCTTGGATAGCATGAACCAGACCCGAGAAAGATGGTAGTCCCCCATGGGGAATATATGACATACTCATACCACGATTAAAAAAGGGAACAGCGACCTAGAACCGTGGAACCATGTAAAAACTCGAGTCATACCCGTATGTCGTTATCTTCATGTAGGCGTATTATTTGTATGGAGTATAGAGAACGACGAGGAGGGCAGCATAGGATGTGCATGAACAGCCATGTACATTCTATAGCTGTTCTTTGAGTCGAATAGGAGTAGGTGTCAACATGTCATAGATCAAGCGGCGGATATGTGAAAAAACTTGCAGCCAGGAACGATCCATGACTGACCATCATGGAACCGTGGTATCTGGCGAGTTGAACCAGCGTAGGTAGATAGAGATTTCGTAAGCAGAAGAGTATTTATATATTCATATATATGCTGATACTCCTACTCCGTAGACATAGTAGAAGTTGAAATGCATCACCTCTACGCATATGGCTTTGACGAAGATATTGTAAGGCAGATAGGTTTTGCCTAAGCCTTAGTATGATATCATCGGTGTTCTGGCACTGTTTCAGTGAGTCTGTGGGAAATCACTTACCCAAAGATGGATGGTCAGTGCCGATGTATTCCTCCCGAAATTTGTCGTACTAACTCCGTCTGAAGATTGAACGGTGAGCAGATGAAACACGAACACAGACGAAAAATGAATATACCCGCCCAGCTGAGCCGGAGGTGGACGATCCCCCCACGCATTGATAGACCCGAGCCCACAGCCTAAACCCTTTCACGGCCTCCAAAAGCCACGAGAGACACCTGTTATCGTGGCCATGACAAAAGCTCGTAAAGCAGGCTGATCGCAGCGAACGATATACAACATGTATGGCTGCTGTGGCCGCCGTGGCCGCCGTGCGTGCTGATCCCAGGCTCGTCCGGCTCTGCTCCCTTTCAAACGCAACCGGAGACTGATAAAAGAGACAGAGCTAACCCGCCTTATCTCGAGCGTCCCATGCGCTGCGTCAACAGTCTAAATGCCCTAACACGCTTGGCGAAGATATTAAAAGGCGCCGTTCGTGACGTTATGATATCATCGGGCAGCCGCACTGGTGGGCCGCGATTGGACGCGTTGCTGGGTTCCCCATGTGCGGCCGCTGTCTCTGGTCGAACCGCGGAAGGATATGCGGCGGAGAGAAGCCAGAGAGAAGCGAAGAAGCGATGCGGTGGCCACCGATATGCACGCGGGCATCGTGGATGGGCTGATCCTAACGCGCCAAGGGGCAGGGGGAGGCGATGACGATATCATTATAGTTGAGTATAGGAAGAGCGTTAGCAGAGTATCAGCATCATCAGGAGTATCACTTATTATCGTCTGAGTCCGTCTGGTTAGGGGGTTCGTCTATGGTAGTCTATGGTAGGAGTTCGTGTATAGGAGTTCGTATACTTGGGCGTACGGAAGAGGAAGAGAGGAGGACGGCGTGGTGCTAGATAAGAGTGACCAATGAGGTACGCGCGTTGGGGGAGCTTCTCCCGCTCTAGTCTAAGTACCCTCGAAGTACCTCCCGTCACATGGTTCTTCTTATCGAGATAGGACTCCGTGTATATATATCATGGACTCCCTCGCTTCTCTCTCTCTTCTCTTCTCTTCTTCTCTTCCTCATCTCATCGACAGTACGGAGCAGACGTCCGTCTGAGAGAGGTCTCCTGGTGCTGCTCTTCCGCCCATCCTTCGCGTCTCTGGTTCCCGCCACTAGCTCTTGGTTCGCTGAAACGACATCTCCTGACCTGACCAAGAGACATACCTCCTGATATTCTTAAACTCCTTACTTATAGACCGTTGTTGCACATATAAGCTTGCATTCTCGCCTAATTTGCGTGGCGGAATCCCTTGGAACCCAGCTGCATCACCAGGAGCACAGCAACATAACATAGTGGGAGCTGGTTCTTCCCTGCTGTCTATTACCAATTGAACTGGTTTCAGCGTTATTATTGAGAGACAGCGTTATTGAGCATCTCACATGGCGGACGAAGCTCAAGCTGGGTCGTCCCCAACTCAGTCAGACGTCAGCAAGGAAGATGTGGCAGCCAAACCGGCAGTCAAGTGGACAAAGTATCTCGGCCTGAGGGGCAAGGACTCGGAGCGGCTGGAGGAGAGATGGGCGCATAGGGAGAAATGGTCGATGGGGATACTCTCCGACAAGGAGACCGAGGAGGTGCCAGGTAGGTGTCTATCCTTTTTTTGACGAAGCTGCTGTTCTAACTTGTTACAAGGTACCATTTTACTGCTCGCTGCAAAGCGAAATGAACCTCTCGGCCTTAGACAGGCTCCCGCTCGAACATCTGCAACATCCTTGCCCTCCCCATACCCTCCCTCCAGGGCCTCGTCACAGGGTCCAGCAACCCAGTCGAAGCGGACGCCAGACGGGAATATAGTGCTAGATCCGCAGCCGGAAGAATCCATGAACGACCCGCTCAACTGGCCTGTCTGGCGTCGAGACCTGGCCCTGCTCTGTCTGGGCTTCTACTGCATGCTCGGAGGCGGTATGACTCCTATCCTGGCAGCTGCATATAACGAGGTCTCCGTAGAATACGGTATTTCATTCCATAAAGTCGCTCTAACCACGGGGCTATACATGTTGGGTCTTGGTCTGGGTTCGGTGGTCATGTCCCCCACTGCCATCTTATACGGCAAGAGGCCGGTATATATCGCTGGTGCTACGATGTTTATCCTCTCGGCCGTTTGGTGTGCTCTTTCTCCTACTTATATCAGTCTTGTCATTGCTCGCATCTTCCAGGGGTTGGCGGTTAGTCCGGTCGAGTGTCTGCCCTCTGCTACCATTGCAGAGATTTATTTCTTGCATGAGCGTGCCTATCGAGTGGGTATATATACCTTGTTGCTTTTGGGCGGGAAGAACTTGATTCCCCTTGTTAGTGCGGCTATCACGAATAGCCTAGGATGGCGTTGGATTTTCTGGTGAGTCTACATCTACTAAGAGTGCAATGCATGAATCAATACTGATCACCATTGCCAGGATTGTTGCCATAACTACTGGCTTTGGCGCGATTCTAGTGTTCTTTTTCGTCCCAGAGACGTTCTGGGATAGGACTCCACGGCTTCGCACCAAGAGGCCTAACATGCGCAGAAGCGTGTCTGACCTTGTGCACGGTAGAAGGGGCCGGTCCTCGCAGCCAGTTACTCCCGCCGCCGACGAGCCTGATAGGCAGCTTGGAGCCCCGCCTGCTGCTCTCAAGAAGCAAAAGGACGTCCACGTTGGATTTGCCGATGCCGAGAAAGCTGAGGCTGAAAAGGAAGCCAACCCAGCAGACTATGAAAACGATACTATCCAACCTCAAATCCCGATAGTAGTGACCGATCCCGAGGCCCAGCGGTCTATTCCCGTGTCCAGAGACCAGTCCGCAGACCCTACTGCCGGATTATCACAGCAGCAAATCTACACCAGTAACCTCCGCGCCAAACCACCAGTCAGCTTCGTCCAATCTCTAAAGCCATGGAACGGCAGAATAGCCAAAGATAACTGGTTCCGCGTCATGGTTCGCCCGTTCATTCTATTCGCCTACCCTGCCGTCCTCTGGTCATCCATGGTCTACGCCCTCTCCGTCGGCTGGCTGATCGTCCTCTCTGAATCCGTGGCTGAAGTCTACGCAAATCGCGACGCTTACAACTTCACTCCCCTGCAGGTTGGACTCGTGTATATATCCCCCTTTGTTGCAGGTATTCTTGGAACAATCGTTGCAGGCAGAGTCTCCGATATCATTGTTCGATTCATGTCTCGTCGGAATGGTGGTGTTTATGAGCCCGAGTTTCGTCTCGTGATGGCCATCCCTATCACTCTGGCTACTACTATCGGCCTGATGGGTTTTGGATGGAGCGCTCAGGAGAGGGATAACTGGATCGTGCCAACTGTATTCTTCGGAGTCCTCTCCTTTGGCTGTACGCTTGGAAGTACCACGGCCATCACCTTCTGTGTCGATAGTTACCGTCAATATGCCGGTGAGGCCTTGGTGACCTTGAACTTCAGCAAGAGTAAGTCTCTCTCCCACCTGTTTTTACTGACAATATGACTAACGATTAACCCAGATGTTCTTCACGGCTTCATATTCTCTCTCTTCTTCGTTCAATGGCTCCAAGCAGATGGTGCCAAAATGGTGTTCATTGCATTGGGCGGTATTCATCTTGCGCTCATGCTCTTCTCAATCCCCATGTACATTTACGGCAAACGTGCCCGTATGTGGACTGTTAGAAAACGTCTAATGGAGAAGTTTTAGATTCCCTGTCCCCTTCCATGTTTTTCTTTCTTTCTCTTTTGAATACCTGATATGTCCATGATTTGATATCTTCCTTGGCTGACGATATCTTGTTGATGTCCTTATGACTGCGGTTATGATACCTGCTTTGTTTAAAGAGCGCTTGATATTTTGAAGTTATATATCCTAAGATCTTACACTTTTCTTGATATTTACACATACACATACATACGTTATGTTATCTTTCTGCTAGGTGTTTGCATTGGCGATTTTTTCTCTCATCTATTTGGGTCGGTCTAGTGTCAAATTGTCTACATAGTCGGCGCCCGTTTTATCTATCTTTAATCTAAGCAAATTGTTATTACGATCAATGAGATCATGAAGAAATGATGTAATTCCGAAACCCCGCCTCAATAGCTATGCGAAAGGACGTGCCCAAAAGGACGGCCCGCATTCTTAGTATTTCTCGATTAACCAGTTTCGCATCTTGGTTTCGCTCATACTATCGAGCAGTTTCTGCTCTCCCCACCGAACATCGATATACCGTTTCACAAAAGTTTTGCCTAGCACCTCCTGAAGCGATGAATCAGCCTCCAAGGCCGCGATACTCTCTTCGATCGACCTCGGGAGGGACGTGGTTATCCCTAGGTTCTTGCGCTCTCCATCACTGAGATGTGCAGGATCAGCTGTGTATGCCGGCAATGTTAGCTATAGGTCTCTATCCGCCGGGATGAGAAATGTTACATACCATTGCACGCTTTGATTTTCAACTCTAGCTTCTCCTTCATACCTAGATATCCCGCACCAATCACAGCGGCCATAGCCAGATACGGATTCGACATGCCATCCATTGACTTGATTTCCCAATGTCCCTCACTGATCTTTCGGATGGGTGTTTCTCGATTCTGTTCTCCCCATGCAATCCATATGCCGCCAGACCATATACCAGGCAATACACGGCCATAGCAAGACTTTTGCGGGAACGTAAAGGCCAAAATGGTTGCGAAATGTTTCAACATACCTGCCAGGAATGCATCCTCATGCGTCGTTGGTGTGACTGATATGTGGACGTGCGATGCAGTTCCGGCATGGCTAGGATATGGTCGGGGGTATAGAGTTGCACGAACTCCGTACCTCTCAGCTACAGTGACGATGGCCTGTCTAGCTCTGATGAGGGTGTCAATGGAGGCCAGAGGACGGGCTGGTGGGAGGACGAATTCGAACTGTCCCGGTGATGACTCGGCGTGGAACTGTTCGATTTCAATGCCTAGCGAGAGTAATTCAGCTGCTATTTCTTCAGCGAGGGGCAGCGCTTTCCTTGTGTCCGATGTCATGTTCGACCATGAATGGTTCAGTGTCCAGGGAGTGAAGTAGTGTTTATCTTCAAGATATTGGTATTCAGGATCACGTTTGACATCAGATGCTTTCATGAATACAACTTCAACCTCGAAGCCTAGAAGTAGAGAAACGCCGAATTCGGATTTGCATTTATCAACCACATTCTGCACCATGGTACGAGGGCAACCTTCTTGGGGTTGACCATCTGGAGTCTTCCAGAAGGTCATTACCGTTGCGCTGTTAGGGGGCCCAGACTTTTTAAGATTTGGCGATAGAGTGGTGACGTCGGGTCGAAGGTAGAATTGACCTGCAGTCAGAGCACCAGGTTGCCCTAAGGTATCGTTCTGTAGTAAGTTCATAACGGCCATTGTGATTCCGATTGACTTTCCCTGCAGGATACGGTGGAATTGACGAGCAGGAACCATGCGAAGGCGCACAGTGGCTGTAAAGTCGACGAATTGGAGCCAATAAAAGTCAATATTTCCAAAAACAGAAGCAAACCGCTGTGCCGTTTGAATGCTGGTTTCTGAGGGCTTCTGAGCGAACAGTTGAGGGAATGGGGTTTCTTCAGTTTGTTGTAGGCTTAAAATAGTTTCGAAGCTCACTCTTTGGCCAAGTCCGTAGAGTTCGTTGGAGTTATTGAACAGGATGTCTTTGACCGAGTCTGCAGCCTGTTCAATACTAAAATCACCCTTGTAAACGTACTCGGTGAACACCTAGAACGAGTGTATTTAGCCACCTGGATTTGTTGAGAAAGGGGGGCATCAAAAATTGTGGGGAGGGATATACCGATTCCAACGCTTGCCTAAATTGAAGATTAGCCAGCCAAAAGGTTTCAGGATGGAAATGACCATCAGTGCTCCAAAGGAGTTTAGATGTTGGGACCAATTCCATTGACTGACGAAGGACCGATATCTGGCCATCCCGGCTTATCATGGGAAATACCTCTCCCAGGTCCAGATAGACGTTTTTAAAGGTATTCGCCAGATATCCCGCCTGTCTCGTAAACGGGTATGACGAGTGTAGAAGGACAAACTTGATAGTATCATATTCTTCTATGACAGGCTGGAGGAGAGCGGGATCAGAGAGGCTCAATTCTATGTCTGAATCACCCAGACCCGTATGGAACTGGACGGGCTTTGTCCTCCCGCTGGTAGCCTGATGTTGACGGAGGATTTTAAAAACCGACAATACCAAGTAGTCATTCAAGGGCTTGTGTTCAATACGACTATTCCCAGTTGTCGATAATGACTGAAAATAAGCATTAAAACTTCGAAGGACATCATCAGCTGGGGGCGTTTTGATCGCTAGGCCAGACCGATAGCAGATGATGGATTTAAATCCCACGACGTCCACGTCATCCAAGTAGGCCCTGATGCGGCTCCTGAACGCCCCCTCGAAGATGCATAGGAGCTGTGAAGAAGAGTATTTGCCGAGAATGAGACCGTCTTCGTCTCCGGGTCCAGGAGTGGTATCGACGTGGAACTCGTCATCCTTTGCCTTCTGCAGAAGCACCGTCAAGATCGATGCAGCCAGGACTTCAATCCGAACGATTCTCTTTGTAGATCCAGGAGTAAACTGGTCATGCCACTCATATGATTCTGCATGAACGAGGTCGAGGCCGTCGTCGAGGAGCAGCATATGCGTCCCCTGAAGGCATTTCCTCACCACCTTGTCATAATCGGTCCTAACCGCCTCTTCTCTTGCTATTTTGATGGCATCCCATTCTGCAGGACAGCCATAGAAGTCTGCCAGCTGGCTGACTGCTCTGATATGAGGAAGCGACTTGCAGCTGTCCGAGAGCAGCGATTCCCCCTGGGCCTCAGATACGATGCTCTCGAGGGGGTATTTAGTGTAGTCTGCCGCATGGGCTGCACTCAAGATATTATGTGCATGGTTGTCGATGATCGGGTGAGTTTGGATGAGCCGTCTAAGGGCTTGGATGTCTGCCATTTAGTCCTGGATGTGATTCGTTGTCTCGTCTTGATCCTGGGGATACTTAGGAGGCCAAGGGGGGAGAAAACAGCGCGATATAACCGATACGACTTTTTGACCTCGACGTCGCGCCAACGGGCTAACACATACGCACAACAACCAATGTATCAGCACTAGACAATTCAACGACGGGCACCTGCAGAGGTGACTTGTTGTGCTGCCCTTTTTTCGTTCTCGTTTCCGTGTTGCGCTGGCACTGACTTCGTTTTTAGGGCACCTTTCGTTTCAACCAGGGATACCCTTGCCAGCCAGCCATTTTATACCTACCGGCTCGCTGTGTCACTACGGAGCATAACTATGTGTGGACAGAGCTATCTAGAAGGTTACGGCTTAGCCGTGATGAGCAGTGCTAGCATGGTGCTATCCACCAGACTTAAAAGCGAAGCCAACGGGGACCAGCCTCAGGGAACTATAGAGGCCGCGGACTGCATCAGCTTTTGCCTCAACTTCCGGCGATCACGCTGAGGTGGATAAATAGTACGGATAGCAGCATGGGCTAACCTGCTTCTTGCATCCTTCCTGCATCCATGGTGCGAGCGAATGATTCACTAACGCTGCTGCGCCCTTCCTAAAAAAGTCCTGGGTTTACCATGTCGAACACTGCATGTACGCTCTAACTGACACGTAGACCGTGTCTCATGGCCTGTACAAGAGTATGTCGCGCTTCTCCAACGCACCCCTCCCTCTCAGGGTGCTGGTACTGGTGCGGTGGGGAGGAGCATATCATATGTATCCGGAATGCGAGGAATGCCGTCTGGCCGAGCTATCGATCGTGGGGTAGCTATCTCCGCTGGATGGCGATGAACCCAGGGCATGCGTCTACTGGCTGATTCAGGGCATCGAATTGTGACTGTCAGGGATGTGCGGCAGCTTTCTAGCACACTAGATGTCTTACAGACGCCGACTATCCGGCCTAGTACGTTTGTGTTTCTACCTTTTATTGGGTCGACAGATGGAAAAGGATATCACCATCACGTACCAGTAACCAGGGATGATCCTTATCTGTGGTATTAGGGTACCGGAGAGCTGGTTGGCGTGAAGTAGGTGATTCCCAATCGGACACGACGGCTGCGAGACATGTTGGGCTTGCAGGCGGTGAATATTGTGACGAGCCAGCCCAGAAGTTGATCCGGTTGTGATGAGAATTATGGGCTGTCAGATGCTACGTGACATAAACTTTTCTGGGGTAATTATATCCTTAATATCTAGCCGATAGTCTCTATCAGAGCCAACGAGGTGTACGCTTAGGGTCAGGGAAATACATACATCGTGGAATAAGCATTAACGGTATCATAAATTAAATTAGAATAGTTGGAAATGAGCGAGGGTGCTTTTTGTCTCCAGTCACCAAAGAAAATAGAAAAGAAAGAGAAGTATCCCGGCAACAAGGCGTCAGAGGTGTAAAAAAAAAAAAAAAAAAAAAAAAAAGGGTAAGACAAGGATTCAGCCCATCGATGATCTGCCCGGCAGGCCATAAAGGAGAGTGGAATAATTCGGGTGGTTAGGACTGTGTTGGTGGTAGTTATTGTTATAATATTCGTATGGAAGATGGCTGCCAGGCCTGAATATCTCCTCTCCATATCGCTCTCTGTATGCCTCAGCAAGTAACTCCATCGTCTGTCCATCCGGAACCATATCGAAGGTATTCAAATTCAGAGTGCGAATGAACTCCCTCTCCAGCTGCTTGCCGTCTCTTTCGCGAATCCATTTCATCATAGCCAGTGCATCGGCAACATCGGGTTCCTTCTTGTCTAGCTTGCCGGCTGCGTATATGCGTCGTATCTTGCGTTCGAGCGCCCACTCCATGGGAGCACCGTAGATGATAACGTTCTCGCCTCGGAATAGGACGATGCCTTGCTTCTTTGCGCATTCCAACAGGCGAGTCCGGCAGATTTTGGTCACGAAGAGACCCATGTCTTCGTTGAGCCAATCTTCATCGTAGCCTAGTTGGCGTGTTATGGTGGCCATGGAGGCGTATAGGGGGGTCTTGATGTCTTCATCTTTTGACCACTCTGGGTCAAGGAGGTAGTCGAGTTCGAAGGCGGTGCTACGACATTTGAGGTACTTGAGACAGAGGAACTCGCCTGAGCAGAGTAGTTGGATGGGAGCGAAGGCAGTGATGAATGCGTCTTTGCTCAGTTCTTCGTCTAGAGCTTCAAGGGCTAAATGTACATATATTGTTATCAAACTGTTGGAGACAGCAACGACAAGACGACAAAATTAAAATAAGATTAATAGTCAAAAAAAAGGACGAACCAGTCTCGAAATCCTTAAGGTCCATTTCGGTCTTGTTTTTCTCCTCCACATAATGTTTAGCCTCAGACAACATGCCGCGCGCAAAAGTGGTTGGTTATCGGGACGGGTCAATTTTGTCAGGACGGACTAGAACGGGACTTGTAAGGCGCGGATTGCGTAGTCATGCTAGATAAGAGCGAGGAGCAGCGAAGAGAGCCGAGGCAAGGAGAGCCGTAGAATGGTAGCTAAAGATGAGGTAAAGATAAAGTAGGGACGGAGGAGAGAGATATAGAAATCAGGGCGAGACGAGCCAGGCCCCCCCGGACAAAGGTGACAGCAGATTGGCAGATTGGATAATAATGGAGCGTGCTATTATTGTTGTTATTATTTTGGCGATAAACCCGTTTCCCGCCATAAATACACCATGGACTTAGCCCTAGGCGGTCGAGATGCAGCAGGCTAACGCACCAGGAGACGGAAGAGAGGGGCCAGGCAAGGAAGCCCCCGGTGTCTTCCAGCGCCGCCAGCCAGTCATACGTCGGGCGATATGATGGCTGCAGCCGCGAGAGACAAGACGACGACGTGCACCCTGCATCCAGCCATACAGGAGGCAGAGCAGCGGACGGCTGGCCGGACAGGGAGTCGCATCGCCATGTACCAGAAGTATTCATGTACTGCCCTAGTCGAAGCCGAGCGAGCGAACAAAAGAAAACGAGCCTTGGGGGGGAGAAAAGAAAGAAGAAAAAAACTGGGGGATCCACCTCCACCCGTAGGAGCTTTTCAAGCAGTTTAGGTATCTGTACGGAGTAGTTAGTTCGATGTATTATTGCATCATGCTGGCCCTCATATTAGATCTAGGCGTCCCTTTAAGAAGAGACGGCCATCCTTTAAGCTCCGTCCAGCAGAGTTTTTTCTTCTCCTTTCCCCCTTTTCATTTCTTTGATGCCGTCGTGCGCTGGTCACAAAGAATATCGTCAGACATGGCAACGCCTGGCATGACCATGACCATGGCATACGGAGTACTCCGTGCATACGGATGAGTTACGCAGCCATGGCGAGAACGTATCGGATCCTTTAATCGCTCGTTGCCATGCCTTTCAGCAATCCTCGCAGCCTCCACCACCCGTCGTGCATTGCGTATCAAGGCCTAACTCGCGGGCCAAAACTCCGAAGAGAAAATACCACGGATATCATGTAGGGATGACTTGACATCGTAAGCTTTTTTGCAGCGCTTACGTCCATCGACCTTCCCTTCTGAACGTCCACATACGTCGAGTTGCAGAGGGTGAACCACTATCGGATCCTTGGATTTGGAATTGGATTGTTCCCTGTTGATTGGTCCCTGGGCGTAACTATGGGATAGGCGATGCCGAGGGAAATTGTAGCAGAACTCCATGCTGTTTTGTGCTTATTCTCCATGTGACTGACCGGACACCCTGTCTCGCATCCATAATGCAGCCCGTATCTGGCGTTCTGACCCTCCCCCAGACACACGGTCCGCTGGCGGTTAGCGAGCACAGCCAACACATATGTATAGCCATGTTTAGGGACGGTCTCAACCATGGTAATTAGCTTTGGGGGAGCTCGGGAAGGGTGTTTTTCATGCCCGTTAGGATCCACGGTTCCGTTGTACCGTATGCTTATCCTCAGCAGCAAAGTTTGGCCCACGACTGCGGACGGACGCTCTCCTCGATATACTTAGATGCTGGCAAGACACGAACTATGCATATATGTTCTTTTTTCGAGACCTGGGTACTCCTCACGGGCCGATCCCAAGGTCTGGTACGCCTCACAGTTGCATCTGCATCCCAGAGGCGGGATAGATAAAAACCTTGAGAGCTTCTCCTCATCCTCCATCCCAGGATTCCTGCTTGATGTGTCTGTCGGTGAAGCTGATGGAGTCTGTCCGCGTGACCGGAATAACCTGGTCTCTTCGTTTTGCTTCCTGCGAGCTGGAAACATGCCCAGCGTTTTATACGGCGTTGTATACGATGTATACATTCGACAGGATGTCGCCGCCGTCTATATAAACACGAGGAACGGCTTGCATTGCGTACTCCACAAAGCCCCACGGGCTACTGCAGCCTTAATTAACTCTTGTGTCCAGCTTCTTGCGTTTGAAGAGATGGGCTGGGGATACATATTCCATGCTCCGTGTTCCATGCATAGCTTATAATATCCACCAGATGGCGAACGGACCTCTGTCGAAGTTCTCTCTTGTCTAGAACGCGCTGGATCCCAGTGATATATGCCGAATGAGCCGTGTTTGACTAAAAAGGCGGATGAATGTTGAAGCCGCTCGCTGTTCTTGTAGAGGTCTGGTCTATAGACTGTTTGAGCATAATGACATGGCAAAATCAAGGACATATCATCTAGATTGCATTCCAGGCATAATCACGTTGCCAGTCTCGGTGCTGGGGTAGCTGTTGATTCAATATTCAATATTTCGGAGTGGCGGAAGACTCGAGGATGATATCAGTGTTGGATGTCGTCTATACAAACAAACCCATCATAGAGGACATATTGGCTCTCGACGTCCTAGCATATATTCCCAGGGATGGATGTATATCTATATGTCCTAGGTTAGGCTCTTCTGGTGTTATGTTTCTATTAGCTGACGGGGATTGCCATCACACGGTGAATAGAAGGCTGAAAACTTGATATCACCTGTGTTTATCTCCCCTTGACCTCACTTTCTTCACCCACAACAACCAGTCAAGTGGCCCCCTACGCAGTCTGTCAAGCAAAACAGGCAAATATCCTGATCAGCGAGTCGTTAACCAGTAAGTTTTCTTCTATGTGTTACTGTTTATGTTGCTGCATGACCTATCTTTAGTCCAAACCAGGCTTCCTCTCCCAGCTACTGATACCGATGCCCTTTTTCCAGATACGACTGTAAACGATGGCGAAAAAACAAACTAAACACAAGGCAACGCCTCTCAAACTGGAGGAGGTAGAAGTGAAGCGTGAAGAAACGGGCGAACCAGCAAAATTATCGTGAGTGGCTGACATCTACACTGTTCTTATCCCACTATGCTATAAGGATTGACTGTTAACTTCTCTGTTGATAAAAGCCCATACGCTTCTGCGCCTTGCACTTTCAGGGTTGGCAAAACCAAGTACATCGTACCTAGTCACTTTGTGGATAAAGTACCATCGTTGGCTGAGTCTCGTCGTCGGCATAGAAACTCGTCAATTCCGTTGTATACAAATGAAAATGCTACCCATACGTTCTTACACTTCTTGTGTACTGGTGAATATGAAATGCTTGAGCACCCTCCGGACGATTTGAACGACGAGGACAAGGCGCTCCAGGAGCTCGAACAACACTTTCTTGTTCATGTTGCTGCAGAAAACGAAAGTTTCCCGGAGTTAGCGAAGCATGCGGCAGGTGAAATGGAGTAGTGTTTTGCGAGAGCTCCTCTCTATCCAGTACTAGAGTTTGTAAAGGACCGCTCACTTTATTTGTCGGAAACTGAATATGATGGATTCTACTTCCGGACCGCGATTAGGAGAGCCATTGATAAGGCCTACAACGACGATGTAGGAATTTTTCAAACGACAGAGTTTATTAGACTCATTGGAGATGATTCGGAGTTTGATAGAATGATGGTGCAGCTAATCGGAGAAAAGCTTCTTGAGATGGCCAATCTAGTGACTAACATGACAAATGATTAGGCCGACCCTTAGGCAGCGGTGCCGAAGGGAGGCTTTACTGTTCATACTGCACATTATTACTACTCATACTTTGCCTCCTGCTAATTCGGTAGTTAACACGCCTCTACAAAAAGAACATTTGACCACAGGTCTTCATTTATTTACATTGACCAAACACCCAGATACTTATTGCTCTCCGATACCTAAAGTTGCATCCTACTTGCAACGGCACTGATGCCCGCAGGTAGTTAAGATATCGGTTCTACCTCTAATGACTACAGCTTAATATCTCTCTCCTACTTTACTTACACCTCATTCCTCTCCCATATCACAAGCAGCGGCTTCCTTGCAGATCCAGTTTCATCAAGGATACTTAGGCTCAGACTATCATACCATTTACCTCACTCGAACTTCGGATCTGAGGTTTTGATATATAGCCTTGATTGGATTTACCTCATAACCAACTTACCCTCTCTCCCCTTCTACTCTACCTCATCTGAGGAAGATCTCCAAATAGACGAATGCCTTAGAACGAACGGGATCGTGAGGCTCTGCTTACCGTGTGGGGAGCTCTTCACGGCCTTTAAACCTGCAAAGAAAGATCAAATCTACAGCAGTCTACGACGTAACGTCATATACACCAATTTAACAAGATGCCAAAATCTAGTTCAGTTCCACCAGACCATGAGACAAATGAATCGTAAGAGTCTAATTGCTATGCAGTACTTGCAGACCTACTATGGCAAGGCGAATTCAATTACTGACGCTTCTGGTATCCAAAGGCCTTACACAAGCACAGTATGCGATATCTGTTTCGGGGCCAGTACTACGAAGTATAGGACTCACACCTATCTCATCAGAGATTCTGAGCCTTTAATGGACTTATATCGCCAGGGTCTAGGCACCATTCGGCTCCGTGAGGCTGATGAGTCCGTTGCTCATAAATTCGTGCATTATCTCTACACTGGAGAGTACGAGGGTGGCGATTCGAAAATGTGGAATGAAGAAGAACTGGAAAATGCTATGCATCTCAAGTTTGCTGCGAATACGTACGGTTTACCTAGATTAAGTCGCCGTGTAGAAAAAGTAGCGTCTGAGAAGGATACGTTGGGTTTGGGTGAGATTCTCCCTACTGCAAGAAAAATGCACAAGTATTTACTGGGTGATGAGTGGTTTTCCTCTTGGATAGGGGGTATCATGGAAGCATGCTTAGTACCTGATGCTGATGATGAATCATATTATTTCATGAACGAGTTCGTTGACCTAGTGGGACACGATATAGCGTTTGATAAATTTATAATTCAGAAGCTGGTGGAAACATTAACAACCAAATAGCTATCCGGGAGATCAGAAATGAGTGAATGGTCTGCACTGACAAAAGCGATGCCATCCATGGACTCAGCTCTGCAAATGACGACATCTGGGGAACGAGGGTTGAAACGAATGAAATGGTCTCGGTGTTGGGGATTTGGCTTGCATTTCTCTTCCATATTCTGTCACTCAACTTATATCCAAACAAACCAATGACAGTGGATACTACATTGCCCGAGCAGGCACATTCACTAAAAAAACAGTTTTATAGAGCTGATTCCACATATCCATGGACATCGTAGCAAAAATCAAAAATGCATCACCCACACAGAGGCTCGAACTCTGGACATATCGGTCAACTGGTATAGATACATCGTAAAAGCCGATCACTCTACCGACTGAGTTATGCGGGCTGGCTGGAGGCCGGAAATGCGATGCGAAGAAGAAGTGGCGAAGGTGGTGCACTAGATATATTAACGCATCAGGGTTATGTTACTGTTACTGTGTGCGGTTATATCCATACTTACGACCATTTACTACTCGTAAGCGGATTGGCCGTAGAAGAAGGAAGATGGGGGATGGAATGAAAGGATATCATGTTCATATAAAGCTATGCTCAACTAGTATTGTCCGTCGATGGTAAGGGTCCCGGTCTTGGTGATCATGTACTCGGCAACAGCGACATCCTTCCCGCTCTCCTTGCCATATCCTGACTCCTTTATACCACCGAATGGCGATTCTGCAGCTGACGAATTTCCTAAAAAAGGGAATAGTTAGAAGTAGTTCTATAACGAAAAAGTATTAACTGAAGGGCCAGTTCATACCTGTATTCAGACCAATCATCCCTGCCTCTAAATTCTCCAGCATCCTCCATATCCGATCAACGTTCTTGGTGAAAGCATAGCTGGCAAGTCCCATACTCGTATCATTGGCTAGTTTCACCACCTCGTCCTCAGTGTCGAATTTGTACAATGCTGCAATTGGAGCAAAAGTCTCTTCTCGAGAAATCAGCATCTCCGGCTTCATATCGGTGATGATAGTCGGCTCAAAGAAATAACCGCCACGGTCAGTCATTGGTTTACCACCCAGTATGATATTCCCACCCAGCTTTTTAGCATCTTCCACTTGGCTCAGCGCCTTGTCGAGACTCCGGGGTGTGGTGACTGGTCCCATAGTAGTTTCATCTTTTGCCCCATGGCCAACTACCAATGTCGATGTTCGTTCTTTGAACATTTGGGCGAACTTTTCATACACCCCACTTTGAACATAGATCCTGTTCGCTGTGATGCATGCCTGTCCAGCATGACGCCACTTGAGTGCCATTAACTGGGCGAGGGCTTGATCTAAATCAGCGTCATCAAAGACAATGAACGGGCAGTTTCCTCCAAGCTCGAGGGTTACTTTCTTCAAGCCCTCTGCACAGTGTGCAGCAACCAGCTTCCCAACACGGGTGGAGCCTGTAAAGGTTACCTTTTTAACTTGGGGATGTTTACATAGAGTCTCACTGAGAGCAGGGGTATTTTCCAGGTCCGTCGTCAGCACATTGAATATGCCGGGTGGATAGCCTGCCCTTTTAGCAAGTAGTGCAAGCACAAGCGTCGTAATAGGAGTCTCCGGACTGGGTTTCGCAATCATAGTGCATCCAGCAGCAAAAGCAGCGCCAGCTTTTCGAAGAATCATAGCAATCGGAAAGTTCCATGGCACTAGAGCGACCGCAACGCCAATTGGCTGCTTTATGGTGAAGACTCTTCGGTTTGGAGCAGCGGGCACTGCTATGCTGCCATGGATCCGCTCTGCTTCTCCGGCAAACCACCAGGTGAATCCTAGGGCGTAGTCAATCTCACCCAAAGATTCTGTGATTGGCTTGCCAGTCTCGTGAGTCAGGATTTTGGCCAGATCGGAGCGTGCTTCACGAATGAGTCCATCCCATTTCATGAGCAATTGTGCTCGGGTACGAGGGTTCACTTTCTTGAATTTCTCAAACGCGGCATGAGCGGCTTCTACCGTAGCTGGAACATCTTTGACCGTGTTTGCTGGACAGCTCGCCCAGGGTTTGCCGGTGCCAGGATCTATATCTGGTCAGTAATTATAGAAGGCTAAAAAAATAGTCATGTTGAAACCGGTCAGCATCATTAACACCATACCGAGAACTTCAAATCGATTTCCATCTTGAGCAGCAACCCATTCATTATTCACAAAGGAGTCAAATTGAAGTAAACTGGGATCATCCAGCTATTAGACGGTTAGCTTAACATGTAGTAGTTGAGTTGAATCTCAGGAGAATCCTTACTTGGAAGGGAAGCTGATACTCTTTCGCCATTTTATATTATCCGTCTGTAGACCTATATCTCTTGTCAACAAGGAAACAGTCGAATATATAGTCCATCTTGTAGGAATATTTCCCCGCAGACTTTAGCCGTGGCCGCGGATGTTTTGGCCGGACAAAATGCCCGAGATCCGGCGTTCTCTCCGCAAACTCCGGCTCGCCCGCAGCTTTGTATCTAGACCTGACCTTGCTCTGATGTTACTGAGAAACATCGTCAACCACAGGCCTCGATGAATGGCCGTATCCATACGCTGGTCAATAAGCGGTCGGAGGTCTACCTGCGACGGACACTGCTCTCCGCCACACAGACCCAAGCGCCCTGATGTGCGAGCGTGCTGGGATACGAGATGTCAAAGAGACACAATCACACCAGGATACGTCCTCCGTTACTAGGTCGAGAATGCGGAGAGGACGAAAGAACTAGGTTTATTGGGGTTGATCATCCCTGGAAATATGGCCAACCCTGCGATTATCCTACGTCGTAGCGCATATCAGACCCCGGAGATGCGCCGTGTGCCTTCAGGGGTAAACGAGACATCTTGATATGTCGTTTTCTCTGCGCGACGAGCTCCTGCTTCTACTCTCTACGTGTTTGATACTCCGTACGGCTTGCCGGATAGACTAAGGACGAGCCGAAACATAGCGAAAGATGATCTATCTCGCGTGGTGTGGCAGAGGCGATCGCCACTGTGAAAAAGGAAGATCTCTCGCATCTTGGTCGATGCTAAAAGTCCCGCAAAGCTGGTACTTAACGGAATTTTGTCCTACCTGGCTATGAGGCAGCCAATTATACAGGTCTCCTTGCCTCCAACCAAACTGTTAATAATTGGTGGATTTAGATATCCCATTCACGAAGGGTGTATAACATGTACGCTTTTGACGGGGATGCTGTCCACGAAAGGGAGAATAGTGCGTCCTTCCCCTGCCCGCGGGCTATATATATCCATATAAGGGGGTTATGGCGGGTTGACAGCCTTATAACATGGGCATTCCCATAAACCGACTCTTGGGGAAAAGATGCAAGACCTGAACAGTGACCTTCAGCCCCACGAATATTGGGTTTTTTTATGAGGCGATCTTCGAATATTCTACCGCCGGCGATCGCTCGGCGAAGTAGATAGTGTGTGCTTCGGTGGCTTGAATGCATCTTGACTATTGATCAGTTACAATCGCGACTCCATAGCTAAATCTGCCAAGTACTCCGTATGTTGATATATATCTATCTCATCCTGCACATTTCTCGTGCATTTTTTATTCTCGTCCCCCTCGCAGCGAATATGAGAGTTTACGGTTTCTCAACAAGATAGCACTCACCAACCGACCTCTACCTACACATAGCTCTCGATACGCGGCAATGCCACATCCCTACACTCAAAATACCGTTCCAATTCCAACTCCAACCAGTGAATCATATACCACCACACAGGAAGAAAATGACCACAAGCGAAAGGTCCTAGTCGCGGTCATCGGCCCATTTTTCGGCATCTGCGTCCTCATTGTCGCGATCTCACTGGCCATCCGCTACTGGAAAGAAAAACGAAAACAAAAGACCGTCAAGTCGGCCGCCGAGATGAATCAATGTCCAGATGACGTGGGCTCGGTCCCCTATTCGCCTACCTTCGGCAAATATCCAAGAGACCTAGAGGCCGCGACTTGGAAGCCAAAACCGGCGCGACAGGAGTTACCTGGGTTACATGGTTAGTTTTCGCGACCGTTTTCAAGGATTGCGGGGAAATATTCAACTGTATTTGGGAGTCGGGGCCTGGAATCGCATTCGGGGTATGGTTTGGATCTAGGATTGGGATTGGGATTGGAATTGGGCTTGGGCTTGGGTTAGGTTCTATATGTTTCGTGTTTGGGTTTTCAGCCTGGAGTTCTAGGGATTGGGTTCAGGCGAAAGTGGTTTTCATGGCCTCGTGTCGGCCGTTACGTTTTTTGCTAAGCTTTATTCCGATTAGCGAGTAACATGTCATAGTTGTTGGAGGTACATGCAGCGTTGTTTGTACCATCGTCGTCTCTTTAACTAAAGTCTCGGGTGTTAGTTAAAGAGATGCTAGTTAAAGCGCCTAAAGTCTAGGCGCAGGAACCGGACAAACTATCATCCCGGCGCCGTTTTTCCCCACCACAACAACCTTCTTCTAGGCTACAAGATAGGATGATGCTGAAGTATGCTTCATATATTTGGCGGGATTAGATTGTACAATCTTATTCCTACTGTTATATGACAGGAGCCGTCCGCGGATGAGAGAACATAGCCCAGCTAGACTCCGAAATGACAGACATCTTGACGCTATATCATTTTAATGATGTCGTGAGTTCGGCAGGCTGGGTCTCATGGGTTCCATTCTGCTAATCAAGCCCGTAGTACCACATTTCGAACGCTGATCTCATAGCCAAATTTGCTCATACCTTTATCCAATCAAAGAAATACGACATCCATCAGGATATCCCACCGTTGACCATATTTGGCGGAGATGTCTTCTCTCCATCCACGGAATCCTCCGTGCTAAAGGGGGAACATATGGTTCCGATCCTTAACCATCTAAATATTGACATTGCCTGCTACGGGAATCATGGTATGATCTTGTTGATTGTTCCCACTAGCCTATGCCATCTTGATACTGCCCGGAATTATTCGAAAATTATACAATTGACCACCTTTTATGTTAATACCAATTCCAGACTTTGACTTTGGAGAACGTCGACTTATCGAGCTGTCTGAAATCACAAATTTTCCATGGTTACTGTCAAATGTAGTACACAAACACCGTCGTGTTGAAGATTGTTCTGGGGAGAAAGCAAGTCTACTTGCTCTTGCGCAGGAGTATACGATAAAGATGATGGGGCAGTACAAAATCGGGTTTATTGGTCTCGCCGGAACGTATGTTACTACTTACTTTTCTTTTTAGATATCTTCACTCTTGTGCAGTTGGCTTAAGGCGACGAAGGCCATACTATTGGTGGTCTAACCCTTACTACATTAGAGACTGGCCATCGAACTGCCAACATTTACCACCGGCGCATTTCCTTTCACCGATAGTGGTGGCTCGAAGGCTAGCCAAGTATCTACGCATTGTGGAAAGATGTGATTTTGTTATTGCGATTACACATATGCGCCTTGCCGAAGACCTTTCAGTGTCAGACGCCACTACGGATGGGGAAAGCCGTATTGATCTATTACTAGGCGGTCATGATCATGAAGTTCTTTGTCGTTTGTTAGGTGACACTGACCAAGACCCGGGATCCATATATCAAGGGATAACGGATAGAAATTTCCTGGTGCAAGCGGGACATGGCGTCTGTCTAGAAGGTAATATACGAGTTGTCAAAAGTGGAACAGACTGGAAGTCCTACTCTCGAGTGCAGCTGAAAGTTAGAAGGCAAAGCGATGGTAGAGCTCATCTTGAGAAAGTTGAAGGTACGAAACACGGAATCTCATTTCCGTCAGATATCGGGGAAGATAATATCACGAACATTTGGCTAACACCTCATAGTAACCCAATTTCTCGACATCACTCGCATGCAGAATTATGATCGGATACCAAAATGCCCCAAGATTCCATCAATTCTTAAATCAGTTCAAGATCGAATAATGGATGCCGTTCGACATCCGCTCTTTCGCACGCAAGTACCACTGGATGGCCGTTCATCTGTCATTCGCAGTGAAGAAACCAACTTAGGGAACATGCTGGCCGACGCGGTAAGGGCATTCTACGATACTGATATCGCCTTTATAAACAGCGGAGGAGTAAGATGTGACCGCATAATCGGGAAGACTGATGGACAAGATGCCCTAAAGGTGAAGGATATTATAGGTGAGTAATCCAATCTTGCGCCTGGGATTCAATATCCCTATCAGGTAAAAGGAGGCTATAAAACTCATGTTTACATACGGTCAGATATTGTGCCGTTCGATAACGTTTTTGTGGTCAAGAATATCCGTGGATCAACGCTACTGACTGCCTTGGAGAATTCTGTAAGCGATTCTCACACGGATGGCCGCTTCCTACAGGTTTCCGGTATGCGCTTCACAGCAAGCTGGCAAAAACCAGAGGGAAGCCGTGTCCTCGAAGCCTACCTTCAACTAAGTCGCGATGTTCCAGAAAAGATCGATCCGGAGAGAATGTATACCGCTGCAATGGTTTCATTTATCGCCACAGGTTTTGATGGATATGATTGTTTCAAGGACGAGACGACGCTGGTCGATGCAGAGAGCGCAATGACAGATACAAGTCTGATGCTCCAGGTCTTTAGACATTCGATGTCGGAGAACGAAGTTGCAAATAGTAGTCGACATAACGGTACTAATGGGGAAACGGGAGACAACCAGAGAGAAGGAGATGATAAAACGGGCCAGGGAGTTAAACGCGCGAGGGAGGCGATTATAACGGGTTATGATGATGCTGATGGTTTACCGGTCATAAGTCCAGCCATAGACGGCCGGCTGGTATTTGTATAGACGACGCTGTGCGTTCATAAATAGGCTCATATAGATAACAATTCCATGCTATTATAGTTTTTCGGAGATATTAGTAGCTGGACGCTAAGATTCCGGGCTTCATTCAATAGGGGGCCATCCTATATCCACTTCGGACTTACATCGCCATGAACGCGATACGAAGGCCGAACATTGGCGGTGTAAGACCAGCCATGGGTATAATTGCGAGGACTCCAATGTACAACCGAGGTAGCCCGAAATAGATACGACATGCATTCCCATGTTGTCAACTTTAGGGCGCGATCTTTGACCATGGCTATACTGCAAGATAGCAAACAACATCGGTGAAAGAGCTCGAGTTGACACTTGAGAGACCTGGGATATAATCTATCAACGCAACTATCGCGAGCAAAAATTGTGCATTATTTTCGCTGCAAATCCCTGTTCGACCTTATTCGAGGCTAAACGAATTGATAGCTACCTTGACCCTCATAATGACAAACGATCTCAATCAGTTTGAGTCTCTAATCCTCGATGTCCACCAGTTACGCGTGCATCCATGCCGAGAGCCTCTCCTCGCGCTGGTAAACAAGTCTTACTATGACGGCGGCCATGCAGTGTTTAGTGGAATATTCAACCGCTTCAAGGACTTGGAGGAAATGCTGAGTTCCATGAGCGATTACGGGCGATGCTGTATCCTTTTCCGCAAGCCATACGGACAGCCAATGAAAGACTTTGATGAACCAGTCGCCACGGCGATGTTAAGGCCATTTCAAGAGAACGTTCTCGGTTTGCCAGATATCGAGCCTGAACCGTTTGATATCTCCGAGGATGACGACAATTGTGCTAGAGAGAAGGATAATTATCAGACGCAGCCCAACCTGCCGAAAGAAGATGAGCCCGTTGGTATTTTATCTGTCACTGACTGGGAGCCAGTGTCAGTTGCTGTCAGGCCTGATCCGAGCCTCCGCGGTCAGGGATTGGCGATTCGTTGCCTTGCGCATCTGGAGGCAGATCTCTGCTCTCGGGTTAGACAAGCTGAACTCAACGCTTCCCAAAAACGAGAAGGTGATACGCCAGATGATATCCCATGCAGGCGTGAGTTTCTCACGATTCGGCTACGGGCAACCTGGGAAATCAATGGTCAATACTGGCAACGACGCGGGTACAAGCCGGTTGAAGTTCGGAAAGTTCCAGAGGGTGTTTGGGGTGCCAAAATCCCTTTTCATCTAACGACGATGACGAAGAAGATCTCTTGCACACGATACCTGGATAACTAGGATTTGATATCTGGATAATTAGGATTTCGAGGTATAGTTAATATACACGTTTGTTAACTCTATCGTGCATGATGCCAAACACAGGACCGTCATCAGACTCTCCATCCATCCAATCCTATACCCGTGGAGATAGGTGCGCGAAGTTAAGGCCCATATGATAGGAGAAAATGGAGCAGTCACGGTTACCTTCAATTTACTGCAGGGTGACCATGGGCGCATCGATTCTGTTTCAATCAACATCTTTCTCTACGAAATATTCTTTACCTATATCAACAATTCAATCTCGCAAATCATGGTTTATTTCGGACACCACTCACAAGGCGCAAATACAGAGTCCGTCATTTTCTCCTTTAAGTTGAAATACGAGTGATGGGCTGCTCGTGGTCGCTGCATGACACGCACATGAGAGTGAAACTGCTGGCATAACAGCTCAGCCGTGCATAAATCGATCGACCAGAATACGTCAATAATGATATCCAGTTCAGCGCCCCGCATTTTTCTAGAGCAATATTGGCGGAATATCTACCCAAAGTAAGGATGCAGTTGAGAATTGGATTGAGAGATTGGACGGCTACTTCGCTTAACTTCCTCTTTGAGATCGCAACAATGACGATATACTGGTCCTGTGGCCTGCAAGATGTTATTTTCTCCTGACATCGTCATCGCTGCATATTGAGCGGTCGAGTTACATGATATATAAGGAGGAGTACGGGGAGTGATGTGTGATCTCAACCGTCGGAAGTTCTTGATACCAAGTTTATATCTTCAACTCGCGATACAACACGAGCTCGTCTTTATAATATGAAGCTCTCTCTCGCTCTACTCGTTGTGGCAGCGCTTCTTTACAGTGTCGATGCGGGCAAGGTAAAGCAGGGGTCGGCAACCAGGCAAGTTCTAGTTCATGGGTTCACTCCAGCCCTTTATCACCTCCTTTTTCCCTGGTTGATTTGAGAAACTAACAGGCACAATATAGAGGGAACAAGTGCGGCAGGGTAGTTGATCAACCATCGGATTCAACCCAGAAATCTCCTCACGGCCACCCTTGTTAAGGAGATCCATTGGAGATATTCCTTGTGCGAGTTCAAAGTTCAATGCTCGATACCAAGGAAAGACGGTATGCCTATGTTTACTAGACAATATAAGCGGCTGTAAGGACTTGACCTCTAACACATCACTCTCTGCTTGGTAGAAATCGAATCTGTCTCAGTGGCTCTGACTGGGTAGACATGTCCAAAACACTAGACCAATATCAACTTGGAACTTGAGGATATAAAGAATATGTTTAAGAATAGAATCGTGCCTTTATAGGCCACTCGAGGCGTGATATAAAACGTGAAGCACCGAGTGAAGGAAGGCGGCCATGAACATGAGATAAATACTCCGTAGGTCTATCAGTCCGTAGTAGAACACTAAGAATAGATCTAATGTTATGTCGACCAACAACCCATCCGCAGCTGTTAGCATCAGGTCTGCATGGCTGACTGCATCCTTGTCTCCGGCGCCTGGAGGATGATATCTACTTGATGATCGCAGCTTGGCGTTGCGGATGGGGGCTGAACGCGAAGTCACGAACGTCACGCAGCGCTTGCTCCGGCCACCAGACTTGCTCCAGTGACCGCGCAGCAGAGAAGGCTGGGAGGGCGATCCCAGGCCGTCGACGGCGCTTAGGCGTTATATAAGGGCTCTCTCGTCGCAGCATCTCGACGTTCTAGCGGCATTCGAACCGAGTCATTCTTCTCGTACATATCTGCGTCCGCGAGTCAACACTGATATACGACCTAGCCTCCAGCTCGAATACACGGCTGCCGATGAAGACGCTGGAACCTCCCTTCCCGCCGCATTATAGTCAGTCCCTCGTCGACTCTCCCACAGATGGGACCGACGGGAGCACTCAGACGGACCAGACCACCTCCAAACGAGATGAGACCGGCGGGAGCACTCAGACGGACCGAACAACCTCCAAACGACGGCTGCGTATCAAGCTAGATCCCATTGGCACGCTACCGACGATTGCACGCAAGAAGGAAGCATATACCGCGCGGGACGAAAGACATGGCAGCCACTCCGTATACCTGGTCGAGGACGCCGGGATAGACCAGTTCGTTGAGGCAGATCTAAGCGTTAAACGGCTGAACGACATCCATGGCCTGCTGTGGATGGCCGGACGGCCTCTTAATGCCCGGAAGCTGCAACGATACAAGATGATTGGCTTTGAATTCCTACCTACCGAGCAGGCGGACCTTCACCTCATCCACTTCTCGAACAAGATCTATATCAAGACCCTGCCGGATTACATACTCGACTATGACTTCTGGGATAAATACCTGTGCAAGAACGAAGAACTGCACAAGTCTGCCTGTGGCTTCTTGCTCTCGTGGGTATGGCTGATTTGCTCGCCCATCGACCTCAAGCTGGCCCAGGACTCCCACCTGCTTTCGCCCCAAATCACCTGGCCGTGGTGGAAGCAGTTCGTAAGGGACTTGAACGACAAACTCGACTTTAATATTCTCGACAAGGTCAATAAGCGGTATCATTTCGGTGAACTCCGTCTCGGACGAATCAACACTATTTTCCGCATTCGCTTCTTCCGCTCCCACTTTATTCGCGGCTATCTATACAGCTATAACCGCTACCAGGTCTTCTTCGAGCGGAACTTTGGCTGGCTCATTGGAGCATTCGTGTACATTTCTGTCGTTCTCTCTGCCATGCAGGTGGGCACTGCCATTCGTCCTCTGAGCGATAGCGTGGCCTTCCATCGTGCCTCTTACGGCATGGTGGTATTCTCTATTGTTGCAGTGGCAGCTTGTCTGGCCTTTGTGGTCGTTCTATTTTCGTGGATATATCTTTATAATATGGTGACTGCTATATGGCATTCCCGACGCGAGAGGCAGAAGAGGAAGAAGCTTGCCCGGGGTGGTGAAAAAGCGCGTGGGACCGATGAGGATTCATAAATATTCTGAATCGAGACTGTACAATGGTTTTATATCAATGACTGATGTGGAGTATACGGTGAAACGAGTCTATCGTTTGTTTATTTGCTTGATTTCTGTTGTTTATGCAGCTTTATTTGCAGGCAGTCAGATAAGGAGTAAAATTTCATTATTAATCTATATTCATGAGCAGTATCTGGTAGCCAAGTCCGACTTCAAATCACCGCGTGAGCTGCTGTCCCGTTACGACGAGCTCATCCATAAATGTGGACTGGACGACGTCCTTCTGGGTGGCTAGGTGATGGACAGAATGGATATGAAACAACATATATATCCTTGAGAAGGCCCTTTGAGATACGACACATACGGTCGTGTCCTTTCCCATCGCAATACCCAGAAATACAAGACCCTTATGCACCATGTTCCGTCATTGATAAGCATTGGTTGGTTTGACTATTGGCGTTCGCCCGGGTACGAAATACCGGTTTATTCGTGTAGCTGACGGGCTATGTAAGTGTATCTATTCATCTATCGCTGTTTGTTCAAACTGTATCTCAGCTTGGACTAGATCTATTAAACCTCCTTTAATTTTATTGGATAGCTATCATGCAATAGCTTCATTCTGAACAACTTGCATTGTTTAATATTTTAAATAACAATCTTGTGCTGATAGGTACAGGGAGCCGTGGAGCGTAAGATGCTGTCCTTGAGAGTAACTGAGCCCATAGAAGACGTCCTAAGAAATGACTTACTATTGCTGGGTAAACTCGAGTAAAGTTGATGGTACATCTAGAGTAAGAATATATACTGACTGGACACGTTTGACATCGTTTTCGTGAACTTGCAAGATGCCGTCTGCATATTCTTCACTTTAGGCAAGTTCACGGCTCCCTAAGAGGCGATTAGCCACCCAGCCGAGAAGAAAATGAGCCCAATATATCTTCTTGGTATTGCTATATTGGAGCAAAAACCGCCTTCTGCCAGTAGAGAAGAGTCTCTAATGTTTGGATATGAGGACTTTCCTCTCCCAGCTCGTCGACCGCTTTCTAGGCATTTCTAGCAGGTTTGATATCTTCACAGCGCTTGGGTAGTCCTCGTTTATATGCTGTGTAAGAAGCGTCAAGCGAAGTTTTGAGCGCATCAATCCCAACCCTGTTTGGTTGAGTTAATTTTTCCAGTTAGGTCTCGGAAGCCATAAAATATTTAAATGAGGCCGTGAAGGAGAAGGCCCATTTCATTTTTGTAAAGTCGCTTCTAGAAAGTGACTGTGAGAAGCCAAGTCCGGGCCTTTTTTAATGTACTCCATATAGGAATAGTTTCGATAGGTAAATAGGTAATCCCACATTATTGTAGTGTTCCTAGATCAGGGTATCACTGCAGCGCTTTCACACTTTGAATTAATCGGTGGGGTGCATTCATTCTCCTCCTAGCCAAGCTTGACAGGCATATAAAATGGGGCTGGTAAGTCCTCCGTAGCTGATCAGCCAAAATTCACGGCTTGCTCAACGAGAGAGGCATCGGAGCCGGATGATTCCTGGAAAAAGACCTGGTTGCCGATTGGCCATGGCCTTCCAGCTGCATAGAGGTGAGAGTTGATCCCTTCACAAGCGTAGTCCTTTCGTATCTTGGCCAGGTGTCCCTTGTCGTTGCGATGGTGCGAAAATTCGGACTTGACCAGCCAGAGACCTGTCCTTGGTTGCTCGTGGATATCCTTATGATGCCATAGAAAGGGTAGCATCCTTGCCCGGTCCTCCGATAACATATTAGAATCTTCAACGGCCTGTGGTACTCCGCAGACCTGAGATGGTTGTTGATGTTGATGTCGTTGATGTTAAAGTTGAAACGTTTGCTCTGCCCCGATCCGGCTAGCTCAACGCCCTCAACCCCCTTTTTCTTTTCTTTTCAACCATCGCGATGTTTAGACGCATGAACAGAGTATATATTTCCTTTTTCTCCCTCCACCATGCTCGAACCCATGTTCTGGCCGTCCTCCGTTCCCTGTATTCCTCAACGGAGTATACATCCACGCACTCACTCAGTTATCTGCCAGTTCGGTCCAAATAGCCGGCGATGATCCCAGCTCAATTGCCAATCCGCCTGCCTCGAGATCAGGGTGTGATCTTCACCTCATGTTGGCATCGGTACTCGCCGAAGACGGATTGATTGCTTATCGGGGAATGCGTTCCGGATAGCATGAACCATGCATCACCATGCCACTGGCTCCGTTTTTAAGCTTAGAGGCGACGGTACAGAGAATGGTCAACGGCAGGTATATGTGCGATATCACATGTACTGAACGCCATTGTGGCTATTCCCGTTACACAAGACGGCCCCTTAGAAAGGATAGGAGATCGAATTCGAGGACTTAAAATATTAGACAGGCATCCCCGGGACCAACTCGCCGTTCCCACTCCACGGCGCTGAGGTATACGGGAATTCCATCATGTCTATCGACGAAAAACCGACCCACCAAAGCTCGGAGTCTAGCAGCGGAGAGCTAGGACGCAGTGATGATTCGGAGGCGAATAGTACAGATTGTGCTTATGATCTGGATGGCCTCCTAGCGCTAGGATATGTTCCTGAGCTCAAACGAAACCGGTCCTTACTCACACTCCTAGCCCAATGTCTCGCAATCGCAACGGTACCCTATGGCGAAGGCGGGCCTCTTCTGAGTGCTATATACGGCGGTGGACCACGAGCAATCTTCATCGGGTGGCTAGCTGTCATGGTGCTTGACCAATGCGTTGCCTTCTCCCTCGGCGAATTGGCATCGCGGTACCCAACCTCCGGAGGCCCGTATTACTGGTCGTTCCAGCTCGCACAGAAGCACAAAATCGTCCTGTCGTTCATTAATGGATGGATATGGTTGATTGGAACATGGACGATAACGCTTTCTGTCAATTTCGGGTTTGCGGGACTCATCGGCGCAACCGTGACCATGTATCATCCAGATTGGTCTGCGAATAGTTGGCAGCTGTTGCTGATATTCTTCCTTATGTGCATCCTTGTGTTCGTCATCTGCGCATTTGGCAACCGGTATCTTCCCAAGGTGGATATGGTATGTGCTACATGCACCATTATAACCATTATAATCGTCCTCATTGCACTATCAGTCAAGGCTGGAGCAGGTCGTCACAGCATCAGTTACGCCCTAGCACATTATGATACCTCCTTCTCCGGCTGGGGAGGGTTTACTTTCTTCATCGGCCTACTCCCGGCAGCATACACCTTCTCCGCCATCGGAATGATATCCTCCATGGCCGAAGAAGTGTCTGATCCCTCCGTCACAGTCCCCAGGGCAATGAGCCTCTGCATCCCCATAGCCGGCACTACGGGGATTTTCTTCATCCTACCAATCTGCTTCACCCTCCCGCCGCTGGCAGACATCATCAGCAAGTCCCCCGGCGGTCAAGCGCTGCCATATATCTTCAGTGTCGTCATGGACTCACCGCACGGCGGGCTCGTCCTTATGGTCCTAATCTTTATCCTCGTCCTTCTTTGCGATATAAGTGTCACTGTCGCCGCGTCCCGCACCACATGGGCATTCGCACGAGACGACGCCATCCCTCTATCTCACATATGGTCCCGGGTTAATAAGAAATCAGGCGTCCCTGTCAATGCCCTGATTCTGCTAACCTTGGTGCAAATGCTCCTTGGTCTGATAAATATTGGGAGCACCAGTGCGTTTACTGCATTTGTATCAGTGGGGGTCATTGCATTGGCGATCAGCTATGCAATCCCTATCGGTATCAGTCTGTATTATAAGCGCAGTGAAGTGCTCAAGGCAAAATGGAATTGTGGACCCGTCCTGGGAGCGGCGGCCAATGTCATCGCCCTTGCTTGGATTGCGTTCGAGTTGGTTCTATTTAGCATGCCGACTGCTCTGCCAGTTACTCCGGTTTCGATGAATTACTCGTCCGTGGTGTTTGTTGGTTTCTTGGTCCTGTCAGCAGTGTGGTATTTCCTTTATGCAAAGACATGTAAGTTCGACCTTCTCCTGACACATTGCCAATATCTAGATGTTAACTTCTTTCATTCTAGCATACAAGGGTCCACCCGCTTCGGAAGGAATATGATACGAACGCATCGCTACAAACTACAGTATAAAGCGATGTCATGTCATACTAGACAGATGTATTATTAGAGTCCCGGAACAAATTCAGTCTATTTAGCCTGCGAGAACATTGGGCGGGGGTATAATTAGATAACGTGCCCATGAAATCAGCAAAGAACATACGAGAGAGAAGGAGGGAAGGAATGGGAGGGAGAAGGGCCTGTAGTTATACCAACGTCCGTAACAGTTTGGAGGTTGAGATATGGGGACCAAAAAGTGAAACGATATGGGAATCGGTATATTCGGGTATAAGTAAAGAAATAGACATAAAACATTATAGTAGGCGTATATAGATCAAGTCCACAGCTTCATCGTTCCTCGCAGTGACAGGCATCCTCTTCATCAATCAATATGACAGCTGCTAGTCTCTTCTCAGGGCCGGACAAATAGATATCTCCAGAGTAGAATTCTTCGTGGTCTGGTGGAAGTTGGGACTGCTGTCTAACATTCGACTGGGTGGTGACACTCCATATGGCAGCGACTACTTCAACGACGACGGCTGACACAAAGAAGACGATTATCAGCACGGCGACTATGAGCGTCCAGGCCATGATGGGACGAGCGGAAAGCCAGTCGAGAAACGCAGGTAGATCACGGTTGGCGACTATGTCCTCGAGTCGAATTCTACTCGCGTAGGCAACCGGCACTGATGTCGATGACGGCAGTGACACTACCACCAACGACGTTGGCGATGTTGTAGATGTCGACGTAGATGTTGATGTTGATGTTGGCAGCGCGTCTAACTGCTCTTTAAGCGCGGGCGTCGACAATTGGGTCTCGGCTGCCGCGCCGGGTAAAAATGGGGATTCCGCCTCCGATTTGTCCCGCGATGGGCTCGCAGTTCTACCCGAGGACGGCCATCGGTCAACGAGATATTCGTACTTCTCGTTCAGAATGGCGTCGCAGTCGATGAGTATCTGGCGCCCCCTACTGCTGGTGATGTAAGGGAATATCGCGCTGCAGGGCTGGGACCCTATGGCCGGGAGAGGAGGCGTATCTTTGGCAGCGTCTGGGAGCAGAATTGGGGCTGAGAGGGCGATTTGGAGGCCGCAGAACGCAGCGGAGACAGTAGATGCTCTCATCCTGCACTGTATCCGACAGATTGGAAAGATACGGAGCACGATCAGGCGGTTTGCGTGGTGAGATCGTATCAGCTCGCAGCTCGACAACCCTTTTAACGCACCCTAGCAAAGACTAGAGGCCTCTTCGGTACGATAAGATGGCCTCAGATAACCACAGCTGATGCTAGCCTCGCTACAGGAAGCGAAGCTTTACCGCCAAGTCATAAGCTATCTGTAGCCTCAGACGAGAGAGATGATGCCCAAAGCACTCGCCATCGACGTTCTAGCAAGATTAGATCCGAAGGTACGAAAGGAACGAAGAGAAGAAGCAGCGGCGCGAGGCGAAGATATATTTTTGCTTTTCTCCGTCGTCTCATGCAGAAGCACTAGGCCATCTATGATGTACGCTATATACTAGAAGCTTGTTGTCACGACCATGGGTACCTTTTATATGGCCGACACCGCAAACAGGTACTCCGGGTACTTTGGAACCATCGTGCGGCGCACCGCCTGATCCTTTGGGGGGAGAGAAGGGCATTCCTCCATGTGCCTGGACGGGCGGGCTCGAGTGGACGGCCGGATAGTTTTGGCTGGCTAGGGGCATCCACAGGGGGTCGGCCACAGCATCACAACTGTTAAATAGCCATATTAGCATACGGAGAATGTCGTGGAGAGGAGGAAGAAGGAGGACTCCGTAGGAGGTGAAGATAGGACGTTGCTGGCAGTTACAGATTTTATGTAGATCTCCAGCGGTTACCCCAGACTCCCTGTCTTATCCCCGTGCTTCATGTTCAGGAGACGTTTTGTCGCATCTTTTTCGAGTGTTTCTTGCTTCACTTTTATTGATCCGTGATATTACGTAACGGACTCAGGGGTCTTTATAGTGATGACTAATAAGAGATCTATTGTATTACGTAATTTTTATTGGTGAAAATGCAAATTACCTAATGATACTCCACGTGACCATAAAACTATCTCCAGGATTACTTTTCTTATGTAACGAGTGCCTACTCTAGTTGCTATGTATAAAGAATGTTATGCTTGAAACATCCAGCAATATGTACCGACGAAAAGAAAGGAGATGCAAGAAAGGAAGAACAAAAACAGACAGACAGACGGACAGATCACTCTACTCGATCCAACTTGACGTCGTGGATCGCTAGGATCTGTGGCCCAACGTAGCTCTTTCGGCGGACGAGATACCAAATGACCACGAATATCGTCACGCCGCCAGTCATCAACGACGCATAATTCATCGACTTGGCATCCACGGGCATCCCGAAGGGGAAGCAGAAGATCACAACGAAAACCATGATATACAAACAACTGACCCCGTTCACCACGAAGCCTACCCAGCCCCTCATGAAGAAAGGGCCTGGCACGATGCTGGTGCGGCCGCGCAGGAGGTGCGGCAGGATGGCAGCGAGGTATGAGAGGGTGGACAGCTGGACGTAACATCCGACAAAGGCGTTGAAGGCCGTTGTCGATCCGACGTAGATGCATCCAAGGACTGTGACGACCAGAACGCAGACTGCGGTAGCGTTGAATGGGTTGTGGTACACGGGATGCACCCGTCCAATGAACTTGGAGAAAGGGGTGGCGTTATCGCGGGCCAAAGTCCAGAGGACGCGGCCGGCGGTGATGTAGCAACCTACACAGGTGATAAAGGTAGGTAGGAACGCGATGATAAGCAATCCTAGGGCGCCAGCCCTGGTCCCGGTAGCTTGGTGGTAGATGGCGGCCAACGGGAAGGTGGTGTAGGTTCCCAGCACAGCCCCAAGATCGTTAATCGAGTAAAATAGCGCGATCATGTATGGGATTGCAGTGACAAAGCCGGTGACAGTCTGGGCGAGGATTGCGCGTGGAATGTTCTTGCTCGCACTAAGCCATGCATTAGTCTCGATTTTAAAGCTTTCGATTTAGCGACCGGAGGACACTCACTTGGGGATCTCCTCAGCCATATGGGAAGTCAGATCACTGGTACCAACACTGTACGCGCCGTTGAGCATTCCGATTAGGAATACCAAGCCGTCGCTTTTATATCCCGTGGTATTGGTCCAGTCCCTCCACACAAAGTCGTTTGTGGCATAACCTTTGCCATTGTAATGGGGCATAACGGCGCATACTATAATGGTAACAAACACACCTGCAAGGATGAGGAACATGCCAATGTTGGAGATCATCGGAAGAGCTCTGTTGGCATATAGTACCGTGAGGCAGCACATCCAGGTACAAAGCAGGTAGCAGACGAACACCTGCCATGCCTGCGGCATGTGAGTTGGGTGGAATATCAGGTACATAGACATAATCTGATTTCCGAGAATGGACGATATAGACGATGCACCGAAAAGCCAGGCCAGTGCGTTCCAGTATCCCGCAAACCAACCGACCGGGCGGCCATATGGACCTGCAGTAGCAGTGGCCCAATGGTACACTACAGAGGGAATGGATTAGGTTCGTTATCAGGCAAGAAATATTTCCTGTGAACTAGTGGCCGTTGATGACTTACCTCCAGCAGCAGATGGAATCGCAGAAGCTAGCTCAGCTATGGAAGCAGAGATAAACCAGTAGAACATGGAGACAACCACACTATTCGAGTAAAAGTTAGCATTATTCCTTCACTCATCATACGAACGTATGCGCCAACACTTACTATTCGTAGATGACTCCAGGAGGGCCACCATTGAAGATAGCGGTTGTCTAAGCACATGGATAGCGTATCAGTAACGGATATAACGTTTTTATCGCAGCAATTAAACGTCGGATAACCCGATAGCCAGGTTAAGGAATATAGGGAGGTAGGGATATTACTAACAATACTGCCACCCATAGCAATCCAGGTATTTCCTGCCGTAACTCCAATAGCGCACATACTCATCAGACTAAAATTGCGATCAAGCTCCTGCCTATGACCCGATGAGTTTAACATGGGGTCTAAATCAGGCGAAGATGGCGACTCGGTTGCTGTAACCGTGGCGCCAACCTCTTTGATCTTGTCCTGTGGCATCTCCGACGATGATTCGATTTCCTTCTCGGACATTGTCATCGTTGCGGCGTTCTAGACAAATAGTTCAAGAAGCCACACGATGCTCTTTGCCGTTCCGATGCCACAGATCGGGCAAAAGGCTTGGGTAGGCTTCGGGTTATGCGGTTAGCTACTCTGCGAACAGACAGCACCGGATCAATGGAAATGAAAGACGCCGCGGTAAAAAAGAAATATTAATAGACGTAGACAATGGCCGCCGTAATTAAATATAGAGAAAATAGGCTCGCGTTGCACGGTCAAAGGGATTGGGCGAATTGGATATCCTGCAGAGTAGGACAGAGCAGGGAGTTGGTCAGGATAGTCGACTCCCAATCATGTCACCACCAAGCAAGAAGACACTTAACGAGACTCGAATTGACTTGGTCACAGGTCACAGTACGACGAGGAAGATTCAATAAATGATTTTCTCGTGGTCAAAACGTCGACTAAAAACGTGGCACCGGCTTTTTCTAGAAATCAGGGTGATCCCTCTAGATGAGCAGGACAACAGGGGAGTACGCCTTGTTGGAGGTCAAATGAAACCTCAGGAGAGTGTCGATAGTCCACCATGAACAATGGCTTGTTCCCTGATATAGAAATAAAGCCGTATCCTAGCAGGCCTGTCTGCAGTGTGCACCTCACTTGTCCTACCGGACCAGCCACGTTAGACCAAAGTAGACATCGCGCAAGTCCAGACTGGAAGGTGGGCAAGCAGCATCAAGCATCGTCGTTGGTCTCGTGGAAATACTATACCTCCACTTTGCATGGGGTGCTGGTCTGCGGAGGCGAGGATAGTGTAGCATGATGCAGCGAAGAGTGGATGTTCCATGCACTGAGATAGAAGACCTTGACCTAGCGAAGTCCGATGTGATTGGCATGGAGATAGGTGCTAGTAGATTTAAGGATTAGGCCGGTTCCATTTCGCGAGTGGGCTTTTAGTGGGCAGAGTCTTCGTTCCGCCAGCCAGTCCCCCTCGTCTTCCTTGTCCCTTCGGCTTGACTCTGGGTCTTGTCTCGTATATGCACGAGGGAGCCGGGGTACGGAGTACAGAAAGCTGCTTCATAGGCGCGGAAGGAAAGCTACCCGTAACATCCATACTCCTGTAGTCGGAAGTACTTAGTGTCCTCACAGCCCAGCAAGCCATGGATGGCAAGGTTGCCGGCGAAAATATATGATGGGTGATATTATGTGAAAAGGTCGGGATGTCCAGGCACATAATCTGCAAGCACGAAGAGACCGTAGTTATGCAGCCAGGTTTCTGCATGTCTGGTGAGACATTTTACAGCAGGTTTGTTTCCTCGACAAACTCCGTAGATGTTCACGCTCATCTCAGCGTGACCGATATCTCGGTGATATCTGCTACTTTTGTCTGTGCCGTGCCGCGTAACCTATATGCTCCAGTGGTCATATAATTCATATATGTTATACACACGTTGTTAGGTGTGCGTAGTACTTTTAATACCCGGTTCTAAGCAACGGCATGGCAAGCCACGAGCTGCATAACAACCCTGCAGGTGTTCCTGTCAAGCCATCTGCATGAAACATATGAATCGTCAATCACCTTGATTTATCTTCGACGAGGGTGAGTTTTCTGGTAAACTCTAGGAACCCCCTTTTTCGGTCCTATCGAATGAGCCATCGCGCGTAAACGCTGCGGTCCGTTATCGTATTCCCACGAGAAAGCAAATTTCGAGAGCGACTGTTTGCCCCAGAAAGCATATTTCTGGTTAGCTGGCATCGCTAGCCTTGCATCATAACCTCGGAGATGCATCATATATCCCAAGTTGCTATAGGACATGTGCATATCTCGATCTAAATGCACGGTAACGTAGCCCGTATACATGCCCCAAACTCGGCCACCCTCGTAACGAAATCTTCCGCCACGGCGCAAATGCCACATTTTTTTTTTAGCTCACCGGGTGCCGTGAGAATCTTGTGGGTGTTCTGGCCGGCAGCCACATTCCGTTACCCCCATGTTGATGGCCAGGCTGTCTGGTTTCATACCCGACTGGTCCACCCAAACTTTTTTCCCGAGGCGCGAGCTTGCTCTATATCTGGGGCAACTTCTGGCGTTCTCGTTTTCTCAATCTATCCTCCAGCCTTAGCCCCAAGCCGTGGCTTGTGTAAGTTAGCGAGCGAGAGTCCCCGAAACTGCTTTCTAGAATTTTGGGTGCGGCCTTTTCATGCAGAAGCCACACTCTCGTGGAAAAGCGGCAAGATCTTGATGAACCCTAGACAACGCCCCTGAAAATTTATCGATACCCTTCGCTTCCCTGCCGGGGTTTGTAAATGAGCCCAGGGTCGTCATTGGCCCCTCGAATGGCATCAAACTTTATTAGGAGACGATGCAAATCTTGTATACTCCCTCCCCCAATGTGAAGGTGAACATTCCGCGTTCCCCCAACACAGAGTACGGGGTGCATACATAGTAGAAAACCATACTTTCTGTCAGAAATGCTTCAGATAGTCCGATTTTAGGCTACCCTGAGGGAAAACGCCATCTCTTGCACCCCAAGATGGGCTAATTACCAGATCCACTCATGGCGTGAACAGCTAATCCCTACCGAAGGATGCCGTAAGCTTGCACATACGGGGTTCTAGGGAGCAAGAACGGTCCTGGTTCGAGAAAGATATATATTCAATCATCCTCTGTCGCAGATTCACCCACATGTAGAAAATTCCAGTGGATTGGGTACGGCCGAAACCTGACGGATTATCAACAATAGCGGGCGAGATATCGAACAAGGTGGATATTTAACGCACTTCAATAGCCTGCCTCCTCACAGGTTCGAGACATCACCTGCAACGATGACTGCCTTAGATACCTCATATGCCGCTGGCTTCAGGAAGGAAACATGGGTCTTATACTCCTTCGGGATGCTGGTTCTGGTCCTAAGAACGTGAGTTTACCCATCTATGTGGATAACGGGGTCATCCCACCTGTGAGAGAGCATTGGCTAACATGGAGACGATTTGTTGACGGTTCATAGTATTGCTCGAGTGCGGCGACTCGGATTGAGGTCGTTACAGCTCGATGACTATATAATGTTGACTGGCGGTGTATGGTACACACTGTTATGTGTGTCACTGAATGAGGTGGTCTCAGTCGGAGGTTCGAATTTGATGGATGAGGAGGATATTAGGAATCTTACGCCCGAGATCAAGGCCGAGCGTATCAAAGGCAGCAAATGGGTGTTCGTTTCTGAGCATGCGTTTGTGATGACTATTTGGTCGTTGAAGGCGTGCATGATCATACTATATCGTCGCATAATGTATGGATGGGACCGCATTCCTAGATCAGGAGAACCAATATGCTAACGGCTTGTTCGATAGGGAGGGTTTGCGCCAACAACGTCTGGTGAAGTACCTGACCATCTGGGTCGCTCTTGGATTTGTCGGTTCCGAGTTGGCTCTCTTCTTGATATGCCGACCGCTGCCGAACTATTGGGCCGTTCCCACGCCAGACTGTGAGTTGAAATCTTGAATCTATAAGCCGTATCTGCTTGCGCAAATGCTAAGACAGCAGCCAGACCAATGTTCCTCCTACCAATATTATGAGATCATCCAGGGCATCCTCGCCATTTCGTCCGATGTTCTCATGCTCGTTATCGCTATCCCCCTCCTCATGGCCGTTCGACTACCCCAGAGACAAAAGTTGATCCTCGTCTTTATCTTTGGACTAGGAATCTTCATTATCATCTCAGCCGTCCTGACCAAGATATACTGCCTGGTCCCCTCCTTGATCTCCTATGTGTACCTCAACTGGTACTTCAGAGAAGCCACAGTCGCCATGCTTGTCACCTGCCTACCCATGACATGGTCCTTATTGAGGGATATATTCCCAGCGCTGAAGAGTTGGACTGGTGGATCACGACAATACGGCTCAGGGAAGAATGCGACGACGCGCGGACGAACAAATTCACGCCCACTCCAAACGAAGGATCATATGCAGCTGAGTTCCGTCAGCCGAATGCAGTCAGCTCATGCTCATGGCCCGGACACCGAAAGCATGACTGGATCGAGCACCGGATATCCTGTACCTCACAACCGCAACAGCCGGTACTATGATCAAACAGACACAGAGCCATTGAAGTCAATTCACGTTCGACAGGATGTCACCGTTACCGTACAAGACGAACGGGACAGTGAAGAAACGCTGTCAAGCACTTATCAAAGACAGCAGCGAAAAGCTGCTGGTTGGGATATGGCCTAAGGCGACGCCATCCGATCCTGATGCAAAACTGCCTCCTGGGCCCTTTGCCATGAATATACCCTTATAGGAAGAAAGAGTGTTAGGCGTTTGCGCGGATTTTTGGCTTTTTTTATAATTCTTCGTGGAGATCTTTTTCTAGGGATAATGATTTGGGTGGTATCCCGCTTCTGTGTTTATAGTAATGACAATTTAGATAAAGACTATTAATTGATATCAAGATCTGTTCTTATGCCTTCATCAAGGACGTTGAAGAGTTTGATCTGAGAAAATGGAAGGGCTTGCCCTAATCAGGTTGTGTTTTGATTAATCAGAACCAGGTATTATTTGGAATATAGAGGTTCTGTCTCAGCAATTGATGGCATTATGTGGAAGATAGCAGTATTACTTTTATTTATGAGATAACTGGTGATAAGTATAACTAAAACTGCTAAAGGACAATGTCTGGGACTTTCCACTAATCCTTATTGTCTATATCTAAAGTGGGACACAGTACAATCCATCTTCCATATCTAGGCCCTATTCTAGGCCTTCATGTTCAGCCTCAAGACAATCATATAATACAACCTTTATCTAACTAGGATAAAGCCCTAGTAGTATACTTTGTTACTTATAGGTTTCTCGAGTTCTGCGGTAATAGTATGCCAGGGAGCTTTGGACTCGGATGTATAGACGGTTTGATAAACGGTACCCAGGATTGTTCTATTGTGCATGCCGGTGCCGTCATGATTGCCAGCGGAGTTAGGGTACAGCTCATCAGGCCAGGCAGCAGCCTGGAAGGGTACAAGTCTAAGGGATAAGTATCATTTAGACAAGCCAAGGCGTAATTTGAGAGGTCCTAGTTAGCTATGAACAGCTGTGTTTGGACAACCCGATTTTGGGGACTTATAGTAAGCGATCCTCACACTCTCATCTTATATATGGGGTTGTGACCCTTTAAACCAGCTTAATAGCTGTAAATGTGGCCACGGTAACTTTGCGCTTAGCAAGTCCTATGAGGACCCATTGTCTTGAAATGGAGCTCCGGAGTAGTGATAGAATGATCGAACGACGAGTTGCTTCGCAGCAAGCTATCATAGTCATGACAAGAAACATCGAAAACTGGGCAATCCGGGACCTTTTGGCGAGAGACAGTCAACCATGCAGTATTTCAATAATAGTCTTCTGCATTCATATTTCCCTATAAATTGATTATTCGTGAAGCAGAGCCGGCTGTTATGCCACTGCTACAACGCATGATGCTTATCTGCCTTACTATAGTTTGTATAGTTGGTACGGCAGATGTAATTCGAAACCAGCATTAGCTGGATGACTGTGCCTGCTAACCGCCTCCAATGGCTGTTTAGAAGATTAGGCTTGGGGGTTAGTCAAGACTGCTCGCTGGTGAATAGCCGGAGGATCAAAACAATGGTTGACGGAGTGTATCCACTGAGTATACCAGGCTCTGGAAACTGTGCCTTGTTTGCCGAAGTCCTAGAAGGTCCCACCAGTTTGAACATCTGTTTTGGGATGCTGGCCAAACAGATGCTGTATCGCCACAAGAATGAAGATCAACAGGAACACAAAACTATTGACAAGTAAGCAATATTTTTGTACAGCCAGCACAAGCATTTGAGGCGAGTCATTGAGGCTGGATCGTGTGTTTTTGAAGATAACTGCCTGAGTCCAGCTTCAAGGAGATAGATTCTAATAATGAGGCTCAATATAGATTCTTAGCCGGTTGAAAACAAGCTGGCCACATGTTTTTGTGCTGCCCCATAAACGTTGACTTGCGTGATTTGTGGCTCCATTGGCGTATGCACAAACCCTGCTCAGTATCCGTTCAATGTAACCTTAGCGGATAACAGCGATTTGATCCCTGTATACAGCATGTACTCCGGACAGGCCGGGGATAACTCCTTTTTCTCCCCCCGATGGCCAGGAACCGATCATCTAGGAAAAAGAGGCAACTCTCGTCGATGATCTCAGCGAGGAAGCAGACGCATTATTAACGGGAAACACCGAATAGTTGGATCAAATGTAGATCGTAATGAGAGAGTTCATAGAGGTTTCTTATATGAAGAGCATCCCCTCCCTCTGCCTTTCATCTCCCACTCCCGTCTTCCGCGATTGTTTGCCTCATACCCCTCTCTTCGCCTAGCCGCATCTTCCGACCAGGTACAGACGATACAGCGGGCATTATCGCTGTACCATTATGGAACTCCAGCCAAGTACCGAGTACTAGTCGACTCGGAAGCCCACGCGCTAGGACAGGCTTCCTTCGTCCATCTCCGTCTCCAGCGCGGGACGTACCAGGAAGGGCGGATTGAGCAGTACCTATAGCTGACGGGACATATAGGGTGGTGTAATTTCCCCTGCGCGAGAAGACCGGAGCTCCTAACCGCATGCGGGGCGTGGATGGGCGTGTTGTGCTGCTGGGGCTCGCGGTGATTTGCCTTGAGTCTTGAGATGAAAAAAGGAAAAAGCCCGAAGGAGGCTCTGCGCAGGTTGTGCCCGGGCCACCAAGTAAGTCCGCGGGTTAAAGTTGTTCCCTCCGGTCCCGAAAGGGCTTCAACTTCACCGTCAACATCAACTTCACGGCTTCACCAACCGTCAAACATCAAGGACCATGTCGACGTTAACATACATATCGATATCAGTGATGGCAGCAGCAACATAATAGAACAGCATGGCGCAGGAGTAACATCATGGTGACAGGATAACAGCATGACGATATGTTGGAGCTGTCTATGGCGACTCCAAAACCAACAGTTATACCCTGGTCGTTACCAGACCAACGGAAGATGAATACCCATCGGCGGGCCTATCGTTCCACCATAACAACCTTGCGATGGACTAGCCTTGCATACAGGGCTCTGTCGTTCACTATACATTACTTACATCTGGTCGGGAGCCCGCCGGAACATCTTGTTCTGTTGCTCCTGCGATGCAACGTCTTGTGCTCGGTAGCATACGATCCCTTGCTACTATCCACGCATTTCCGCGCCTCGTGCGGTGTGCTGCATGGTACCTGGTACCTGCTGATGGTGTGCATCCGTAGCGCCATCGGCAAACACGCTATGTCCATTTCAAGTCTGGAGCTGTCCTGCTAGGCTACGCCGCGGACATCCAACTACATCTCGATTGTGGCCCAGTTGACTCGGATATGCTGGCAGATATACCCTCCCCTCCATGGCTATGTGAGCCACGTTATCGTTGGCGTTCTGGGGGCCAGATTCGGTCCTCGGACCTCGACATATCACAGCCGTGTGATCACAAAAGTCACAACGTGGTGACGCTCCCATTGTACGACTATGGTAGTATGGAAGTTCATGCATGAAATATGTTTAATTATATCTATATGTCGGAGATTCCCCTGGAATTGACGCCGTGCGATGTAATACTACCGGTATTGCCCACTGCATCCTTGCCACGAGCACAATACCCCTGCTATCATACTCCTACTACTGTACAATATGATAGTCTAGGATTGGAAATAATGAGTCAGAGGCTGAATAGGGAAGAGCGCTCTTCTGACCGCAGCCTAAACCTTCCCCCCCAGTCATTTCCCATGGCAGGCTTTTTTTTAGATATAACATCGCCGTCGCGTTGGTTCACCTTGCGACTGTTTCCTGTCCATCTTTTACTTTTTGGCCCTACCCAACTGCTCACAGGCCGTTAGCTTGTGTCCATTCATTGCGGTCGTTCCCGACATCACACTCGTTACTTCGAGGCTGTGTTCTCAGTGCCATTCTTTTCCCCTGAGCCGGAGCATCCATTTCTATAATATATATATATCGTCATTTGTGCTCTGTATACACCGTTATTCAGAACGCAGCAATCACTCATTTGACATGGCGTCTACAAAGATCATGGCGGCAATCATTGCCTTTATCTCCTTACTCGTATTTCCTACTTTTGCTTTGGACCCGTCTTCTAACACCAATCTCGTCACTTACTGGGTAAATGCAGCCCCTTCTTGTCACAAAATATGAGAACAACTGCTAAACAGTTACATGCATAGGGGCAAGGCTATGGCCAGTCACGGCTGGCTGAATTCTGTCAGCAGACGGAACATGATATCATTGTCATCGGTTTCGTCAACCTCTTCCTCGGCCAAGGAAAGGGTAACTACCCTGCAAGTAACTTTGGAAATCAATGCAATGGCAACACCTGGGAAACCCCAGATGGGAAGAAGACCGACTTCCAAACAGGATGCAACTATATCATAGAAGACCTGCCGAAGTGCAAATCTGCCGGAAAGACGATCTTGCTTTCCCTTGGTGGTGAGGTAAAGCCTGGCTCCGTTGGATATAGTCTCAATAGCGATAAATCTGCTGTTGACTTTGCAGATTTCCTCTGGGGCGCCTTCGGACCCGTCTCTCCTGAATGGACTGGTCCTCGACCATTCGGTGATACGGCCGTTGACGGTTTCGATCTCGATATTGAAGTCAACGGTGGCGCATGTATGTTCACGTATCCCTTTCATTATTATCACTTCCTTCAATTCGCATTCAAATTTCAACTAAGCACCTCATTACATAGTTTACGCAGTTATGGTCAAGCGACTACGAAGCTTGTTCACCACTGACCCATCACAGCGGTACTATATTTCTGGTGCGCCGCAGTGTCTTGTCCCCGACACCCAGCTCGGACCTGCAATCACCCTCTCGCAATTCGATTTCATCTTCGTCCAGTTCTACAACACACCCTTGTGTTCAGCTCGCAGCGCGGTCCTAAACACTGTAGGAACACAGTTCACATTCGAAGAATGGGTCAAATTTGTCCGCAAGAGCGCCAATCCCAATGCTAAGATCTTCATTGGTCTCCCTGGCTCTCCTCATCGGGAGTGGCAGCCCGATGGTCCTTTTGTGAAAAATGACCAGAACTATATCTCGGTACAACAGGCTCGGACGCTTGTTTCGAAATACATCAAAAAGTACCCTAATAATTTTGGCGGTGTGATGCTCTGGGACGCTACGACTTCGGACCGAAACCGCATCAATGATCGAAGCTATGCGTCGCATATCAAGGAGATGTTGATTGACTGTGGCCCTCCTAGACCAACGACAACTTCCACCTCTGTTAGCAGCACCAAAACTTCTACGTCAATGACCAAGACTTCGATGAAGACTACTAGCACTGAGATGTCCTCGTCGATGACCACATCGTCCTCGAAATCCTCGACGAAGACCTCGACGATGACTAGCACCAATACCTCTACATCAAAGAGTTCGTCTTCCACCAAGACCACCTCATCTACCAAGGCACCTTCGTCTTCATCCACCAAGTCGTCGTCGTCTACAATGGCCACTTCCTCCACCAAGGCGACCTCATCGACCAGGGTAACTTCATCGACCAAGGCCACCTCGTCTACCAAGACAACATCGTCTACCAAAACCACAACCTCCACTCAGACAAGTTCATCCACCAAGGCCACTTCTTCCACCAAGGCCACTTCTTCCACCAAGGCCACTTCTTCCACCAAGGCCACTTCTTCCACCAAGGCCACTTCTTCCACCAAGGCCACTTCCTCCACCCAGGAAACATCGTCTACTAAGGCCACTTCATCCACCAAGGCAGCCTCATCTACCAAGACAGTGTCATCTACGATGGCCACTTCCTCCACCGAGAAAGTCTCGTCTACAAAGTCGTCGTCCACTAAGGTCACTTCTTCCACCAAGTCTACTTCATCAACTAGGACAGCCTCGTCTACCAAAACAGTGTCATCTACAAAGGCTACTTCCTCTACCCAGGTAACATCGTCTACTCAGGCCACTTCTTCCACCAAGACAGTCTCGTCTACCAAGACAATGTCGTCTACCAAGCCGACGTCGTCCACTAAGGCCACTTCATCCACCAAGACTGCTTCGTCCACCCAGGTGTCGAGTACGTCGAAAACCCTCTATCCCACTGGAACAAATTCGACTCTGTCTTCCGGTGGGATGAGTTCAACTTTCTTCTCTACCAGTACTTGGATCTCCAGCGGTGGAATGCCAACTGTCATCACCACCTCAATGTTCCCCAATACTACCTCAACACGTATTGAGACAAGAACCCCAACGACCTCTGATGTTATAACTACGCGCACCCCAACATCCTCCATGCACCAGACTAGCTCTATGCACCGGACCTCCTCTACGCACCAAACCACCGGCGTAACGACGTCACTTCCAACTCGTATTACTACGTCAATGGTTACCGGGTCCTCGTCATCTGGCACAGGACGTCCAACTGTCACATCCGTGATCATAACATCATACACGTCTGTCTGCCCCACTGGAATCACCACAGTAACAACATCATATACCACAACCTATTGCCCTGAGACGGGTCATCCAACCACCGGGCCAGCTTCTGAGCCAACCTCTCCGGGAGCTCCAGGCACAGGCAATACTCCACCCCCACCCGGGATGGAATGGACTACAACCGTCACTGTGTGCACCAAATGCGCTTCCACCGCTACTACCATGACTCTCGTTATTCCAGTCAAGACCCCAGCATCGGAGCCAGTCATCGTCGGACCAACAGTGACTGTGATCCCCACGCCTGTGTCTAGCAATAAACCCGAAAAACCAACCACGTTGTCTAGTGTTTTTACTACTCCCTATCCCACCAAGCCCAACCACCCAGGTGATAGCAGTGGGGTGCCATATCCTTCCGGAACAGGCAGCAACACAGTGGTTAACCCCTCATCTACGGGCCCTTCCATGCCAGTATACACTGGCGGAGCCGCGTTGCCATCATTTTCGGTCGCGACGATGGTGTTTGGGGCATTCGCGTTTTATGCAATGATGGTATGATTGATCAGGTAATTGACCAGGTAATTGATGGTAATAAGTAATGGATTTGACTGTTTTTTTTTCGATGTTGATGATGTTTATGGGGATAAGCTCTCCCATATACGTCACTTACTTTCTACACCAAGTTTGGGGAAACAACTAATATTTTACTATTCTTGACCTTTTTCCACGTTTCTTGAGGGAGCTCTTTTTTGTATCTTTAACATTAATCATCTATACCCCTCCCTCTATACCTATCGTCTTTCATTTCCTTATTCCGGTCAAGTAATTGAGGTGGTCCCGGGAGATACCTAAATATAAACAAAATATACCGTCCTTTTTGAATTGATGCACCCCACAGCTAGAGTATCCAGGTCATTTACGATGAACCGTGTTGCCACTGATAGGAAGCCAGGTAGTTCCTCCGAGGTCGTGACTGGCGCTCCAACAGCACGACGGTAGAAGTATAACCACCAAAAAGGTCGCGGTCAAGAATCATAGAGAACTCAAGGTGAAACAGAGGAAGTGTTAGCTGTGTGCCTATTGGATATCCGCTAGGGCGGGAGGGCATTTGAAGGTTGTTCGGTCCGTCAGACACGGCATAGCACTGGTAATCTCCATGCCTCTGCCTTGACATATGCCGTGTCCCATCTCCTGCCCAGAATTCCTGTATTAGTTAATGAAGTCTAGAATGATATCTTTCATCTCTCGGATATACTTACACAGTCGCCTCCACCAAGTAAGCTTATTTCTCTTTTCTTTTTTGCCCCCTGGCTTGGAGCCACGGAACCCCTGAAAGTACCTGATATGTACACTGGATAACTACGGGAGAGCGATTATCCTTTAAGTATATTATAACTTTTACCGTGGATGCCATATTAATGGTCGATAAGGGTCCACCTGTCTTCGATTCTACTGGCTTAAACCAAAGACACCATCATGATTGACCGGATAAAAAGGAGAACTTGCCTCAGTTCTTGGCTTTGTGACAGAGATTTCCTTCGAGTTTTTCTGGTTGATTTCACTGTATATGAGTAAAAATCTGACAGTTTCCGCCGTCTGAGCAAGTTAATGACGCCGTTCCAACGGCTGCAGCGTTGACTGTGCAGTTGCATCATCGACGGTCTAGATGTTGAAGCCGTTGGATTTTGACTAGCTACCTAGCCATCCGGACTCCATTCGTGCATAAGCCCAGTGGGTCGACGGAAGAACCAACGTAAAATCGAGATGAAGTTGTCTCATTCTCACGGGAAGAAGAGAGGACTCCTGAGAAATAAGGGTCCATAAAACGATCCTCTTGTGATGAATGAACTCTCCTTAACTTTCTCAATCTCTAATTCGGTGTTATCTAAACTTCAAAACGCGGGAAAAATACGCCGAGAATGGTCGCAGACAATTATATTCCCAGAAACAAATTGGACGAGAAGAAAGAGTAAAAAGGTATCAAAATTTATGAACGAAAGAATCAGAGGTAAAAACTATGTACAATCTATTTTCCAGAAACAACCATGGGCCACCTTCCAAATCCCTGGAGAAATAAATTAAAGAGCGTGAGGGAAGGTGGAGGCCCGCTCAACATGTAAAATGATATTTTCTCTCTTCCCCGGCTCATTCTACCTTGCATCCCCATTCGTACTTTTCGTGGCGCGGCGTTAAAATGATTGCTTACGACTTGAGGACAAGGACGGGTGGTTTGGTTGGGTGGTGCCGTCATGTTTGGTAGAGTAGTTGTCAAGACATTTAAATGTAAGGGGTTGGAATGGTGGTTGGCCAGTGGTAGGTGCCAGATGGAACGACGGTGTCAGTGACGGTGCCGGTTGGGTATGGCAGGGTACCAGTGCCGGTTGGGATTGGGATCCCGGTGCCGGTTCCAGTAGGAATGCCGGTGCCAGTGCCAGTGGGAGTGAGGGTAATTTGGGTGCCCGTGCCGGTTGGGATACCAGTGGCAGTTGGGAGGGGCAGCGAGCTGCTGCTATCGAAGCCGAACAGGTCAAGCCAGTTGAATGGTCTGGCAGAGACTGCGCTGGCGAGGCCAAGGAGAATGACGGCGGAGAACTGCATTTTGATGGAAAGAGTGGGTTTTGAAATTTTTTTTGTTGGTTGTTTCTGGTGTTTATATTGGAAGGATAAGAAAAGAATGAATGTGTCTTTTGATGGAAGTGAAGCCTGTTCAACTATATCATCAAAAGGTAGGAATAAATGGCAATAGTTGAGGGAGGGAGGAGGATATTATATAGACAAAATGATTAGACCTCCCGAGGGGGCTAACAGGGGAGGGCGCGGGTATGGGTCGTAGACCGTAAGTATATGGTACTTGATATAAGTCAAGGACACCCTCATCTGATAGGCCCTGTAGCACGGTACGGGAACAGCATGGCGGCTGACTCGCCATGGGCAATTCTGCGCGCCCATACCACGCAAAAGCCGTGATTATACTTAAAGTTGGGTGGAGGTGCGGAACTTTTGACAAGTATACGCGCAGCCTCGACCCTGTCAGAAGTCAAAGACCATGGTACGGAGTACACCGTAGAGATTGCGAAGATCTCCTTATCACAGACCACGGCTTGGGGACACGTACGAGAGGCCAATTGTTGTCTCTGGCCCTCCCTCTTGGTCTCGCTCCGGGCTCCTCGAGACCCACAGATAATCAGGGCCGTGGGTCGTTTTTGTTGGAGAATAATCCGTCTAGAATATTTCCCGTCATCATTTTTTCTTTCTTTTGGACAGGCACAGTCAAATCAGAGGTGCAAACGTCCAAAGCTTCGCGGAGCCTGACACAGTGTGCAGGCCAATTGTCAGCGGATGGCATGCTCGGTGACGCAGCCGACTCCGCACCAACACGGCCACCATCCCGGCTTATACGCCAGATGATAGTAAATGCAATCCGTAATTCTGTGCATCGGCCTTGTTAATCGGGCCTACGGAGTGCCCGTGGCTAAACAGAGCGCCGACAGGACGCGTCCTAGTCCTGGTCCTGGGGTTCCAAGGCCGATCAGTTCGTCTTCTCTCTCTTCGTGATACGGGGAAACGAAGGAATGAAGCTTTGGTAGGGCGGACGAGGAGGCCGTGATCCTTGTGCACAGTGGAAGATCACTGCTCTGGTGAGAGAGATGCCCACAATTCTGCAAGAGAGCGCGAGCCAAAGAGCGTAGAAAGATAGAGAGTTGCATGAAGCCAAAGTCGTCGTTGATACCGAGATGAAACAGGGGCGAACGGAGGTCTTGGCAGGAAACATCTCAACTTCGACATACGTAGACACGATATCAATCTCGCCCTCTCTTCTAGTACTCCGTATGTACTTTGTACTCCGGTCTTGTATACTTTGTATCTGTACCCCGTTTTGTACTCCGTTTTGTACTCCGGCTCTGCTGTCAGCACTGCATAGCGTTGGAGGCCAGCCTTGATCTGGCCTGCATGTAGACCAAGTCATATCCATGGACGATCGTCGTCTTAGTTCTCAGGGAAGAACCGTCCAGTGCAAGGCGAACAGGACCCCAAGTCCGCGGTAGGCTTCGGAGGATAATTTCTATACAGGATGAGAGCCTGTGAATCTGGCAGTATAGGCTGATCCCGTCGCTGATTCCTGTCCGGGAACGGGGCAGGCCACTATCTCTGAATATTCTGACTCGTCAGTCGAATGCAAGAAGACTCCGCCGCTGATCTGCAAACCGCCCGATGATCTTGCTATCTTCCATGTCTTACTCGCCGTTCTGGATACGAGTGTTGAACATTTGGGAACCGGAGGCTGGAGAAAAAAACGAGATCCCTCGCCCCAGGGCTGTTGTCGTACGGAGTGCAGCCTGATAAGCATTGCTCCGTAGGAGGCTGATTCTTTTTATATATACGGCGTTTCGGGTGGTTCCTCAAGGCTTGCGCCTTGCGCGCGTGTATTCTTTCGGCAGCCGACACGTTTTGATCGCCTGGCCGAGGTTTGATTAACTTAATTCTTCCTTTTTTTTTGACATTTATGCAGGCGGGGATCAGGTCGTTAGAGTGTACGGAGTATGTTATAGGTGAAGGCCAAAAGGCGTGCGGAGTTTAAGGTACAAGTGGTTGCATCCGCGGTCCCGAGCAGTTTAAGCTAGAAGCCATGGTCTCCCGTTCATCTCCACCTTTATGCTCGCTTGAGAACATTCGCTAAACGTTCCGGCAGACATCTAGTGTGAAATAAGTGTGTTTGGTGACGACGGCAAGTATAAGTTGACTGCTCCGTTGGACGGCTTTGGGTTCCATAAAGGGCATCATTGCATATGTATCTGTATTGAGTCCACTCTTGCCAGAGTGTATTTCCGATATTGCTGTTCATATTATATCTATACATGCCCACCCATGTCCGCCCACATGTATATCTATCTCAGTTTAGAATGCCGGATATGACTCGCAGGCCGTTGCCCACTTTCATCCTCAAGTTGCTCCGATATTCCCACTTGCGCTGTATTGCAGGAGCTATATTAAGAGCATGACGCGTAGAGACCCATCAGCTTCGTGCTGGAGGTGCGGTCCGGTCTAATTGGGGCTCCCCGTGGTGAAAGTACGGGCAGCCTGCTAATGCACGAACTGTGCGAGATGAAATTGAAACAGGTTAATAGGTTAATTGAACGGAGGACGCCTTGCATATCGATGTATGGATCCGGTTCGTATCTGGGGCTACTTACGGCTCATGTAATCCGCGGGGGTGATATAGTGATATATGTCCAAAGGGCGAGGATGGAATCTTCAGAGTTATGCTGATCACAGCTAGGGTAGTGCGGGAAACCAAGGGAGTGCCTTGATATGATCTTCACTGCCCGTTCGGCCGGTTGTAATTATTCATGAGTACCCCCGGAGGAAGGAAATCAGAAATAGAAGCGGTTTGTTTCATTTGTCGCGTCATGCTCTTTTTAGCCCTTCTCTGCATCCAATCTGGGATATTTTGGCCGTCCCCGCCTGCCCTTGGTAACCCCTCGCTTTCGCTTATCATTATCTATTCCAACTTCTCCACAAGCTTGTTTCTCTCGAGAATTGTGTTTCTCGCTGGATGGCACTATGATCTCCACGCATATCATGCGCAAACTGGAGCTCTTGCCGCTTGATACCGGATGGCCGGACAATGCTTCTTTCTTCACCTTATCTCCCATATCTTCCCCATATTTCCCGCTCTCCGGCTCCTGTTTAGAAACGCCATCGTCCTTCTTCACATGTTCTTTCCCTTTTTCTTCTGCTTTATCTTCTTCCTGGTCTTGTTTTTGTTGCGCTCCCCGAGGCACAACAGTGACCCGTCTCAGTCTTGTGCTCTCTAGTGTGAGTTGCTTGTATTTCGGAGGTCGCCCTCTCTTCCTCTTCACCGGAATGGGTGGTGATGGTGCGGTATCGGCCTGTTTAGCTGCTTTGCTAGGTTCACTGACTGTCATTCCGACGCAAGGCTGTAAGTTGACGTTATCAACCCACTCCATGATGCTCGCATGCTTCTCCGCGCTCAGATAACGTCGCATCGTCGACATGGTGTCAATGATCGCTCTATATTCGGGCCACGGGAGATAGGGAATGGATGAAGGAATGGTAAGGTTCAGGGTCTTAATAGATCATCAAACTGAGGACTGAATGAAAGGTATCGCTGCTATCATGTCAAATGAGGTGGAGTTGCTGATCGCGAAAAATAAACTGCCATGCCACGGATAAATGGCATCGCATTAAAGGAACTAACGAATGAATAAAAAATAAGCTGAAGAAATAGTGAACGTCGGGGGAAGAAGTTGATGTTGAGATGGATGTTTAAGATCAGAAACTCGACTGAAAACGAAACTAGACGCGACATCACATGGTACAAGCGCGCGTCCGCCCAACAATGACATCACCCCTTAACATTGACAACATCGATAAGTTATATGATGGACTCGAACTGAGTTAAGTGAAATACAGCATTCATTATTCTATATACTTATTAATAATAGGTTTATGTGCAGAAACATCCAGCTAAATGCACCACGATGTCCTTCGATCCCCTTACCCCGCCCAAATAATGCCTCGACTTCGTGAAAACGCTGAAACCAGTGGTCATAAAGGCATCAAAATAAAGAAAGCAAGCGATCTATACAAGTATTTTGTCTGACCCCGAACAAGAATTGACTTTTTCAGTCCCAGTGCCGTCGTATAATTGGCTTTGCCGGGTCCCAGGGTCCGATGACAACATTTTTATACCTTTGCAGGCTGATCAGCCACCAGCTGCAGCTGCCCATTATCAACGCCGTTGACGGGCAGCCAAAAAGGATTCCTATGATCGCACCGGCCAGGCCGCCTCGGAGCGTGATGCCGACAGAAGCACTGGCAGCAATGACCAGTGAGACAGTTAAAGCAACATGGCCGCGCCACGAGTAGGATCGTAAATAGCGACGAAACACGGGGAAGAGGCCAAACACTTCGATTGAGAAGAGCGTAAGGCTAAAGACGTGTGAGGTGGATTTGAGGCGTGACGCAAGCACGGTAGATGCCATGAGTGCTGCATTGGTGGAGAGTGAGGCAGGGAAGTTAGCGGTAGCGGCTCCGCCTACCGGAATATTCTTTTCACCCGACCCGTAATCAAAGAAGAAGATGTTGATGGCCATTAGCCAGCAACTCATGGCCCAGATGGAGTCGCTAGTTGTCGACTTGGTGAGCGATTTGAGTATCGGGCTAAGGCCACGGAGGGTACAGAATATTAATAGTGCGGATTTAACGGTGGTGAACATCTGGCGGTGTCGTGAAGCGATGAATGCAGCTGTTGGTGAGTGTGCAGGCAAGGGAGACACTGGCGTAGTTACGCCGGATGGTTTGATACTGGAGACGTCGGCCTTGGAGTTGAGTGGACAGTCTGCTGCATTCATCGATTCGGGAGAGAGCGATAGATGAGTAGATTGCTCGGAATGCAAAGACGTTGCGGAAGTGCTGAGGGAATGAGAGCGGGTGCCAGAGCCAGAATCTGAGCCTTCTCTGCTTGGAAGGCTGTCAATACTAGATGAATCCAGAGACAATCCAAGGCCATCATTCACACCATTCTCCTTCCCATCCAAGCTCTCCGGGTTACTGCAGCTCGAGTTAGAGTGGTTACGAGTAGCCGCGCTAGACCGTTCGCTTGATTTCAGTAGCTGCATAGCCTCCATAGCCTCTGCGGCTTCCATTCCATCCTTTGCAACCCAGTAGTCCCAGACTACCCAGCCGAGGATGGTGCAGATGCTTCCGCAGCTGACGACAGATATAGGGTTGACGCGTTCCTGGAATATGACCGTAAAACAGCAAACGAATATAATGACCGAGCAAACATGTTGTACAATGACGGTGAAATCCGCAACCAGCGGCCAAAAGTCATACGGTTGAAGGCGAGGGTTGCGTTGTAGGTGATCGAGGAAAGTCTCCGTGTCCGTATAATTATCAGGGTCTACACCAGGGCGTATGTTAGTATGCAGCAAACTCCCACGTATAAAGCTGTGTGGCACCATACAAGACTGCTTAACCCATAGAAGCTTCTTCCACTGTCCTTTCCGCTTCCTTCGACTCCGATTTCGATCCCTGGCGGGCTTCGACTCCAACCCAGGCACAGCAGGCGGAATCCTCAACGCCGCGACCGCTGCCGGAGTCGCAACGCTTCGATTAAGTAGCCGTGCCGTATCATTGGTGTTATTACCGCCATCTCGCCTTCCACCAGATACATTCCCCGGCCGTAGCCTAGGGGGCGATGTGAAATAGGCGTCTTCAGGCGCGAGCCGGCTGGGATCCGGCGATAGGACACGGACAGGTCGAGCCTTTAAGCCTGCGCGGTTCGGATGTGTTTCGACTGGGACGGGAGGTGGGATTGGCGCAGCGAGGGTTCGGGGCGAGTTTTGCGGTTGCGATCTCGATTGCGGCCCCAGAGATGGAGACGACTGGGGAGATGGGCGGTTGCTGGCCATGACAGGCTCGGGGGATGGGGTCGTCACCGTCTGTTCATGGCGTGGCGCTCAGATAGAGGCCATGGGCTGTCTTTCGCTTGATATGAAGGCCGCGTTGGCGCCAGGAGTTTCATGAAGTCCCTGAAGTTTCCAAATGGGGCGAACGTCATTTTATATCACGTGATCGAATCTCAGCCTCGGACGAAGTTGATGAGTTGATGAGTTGATGAAGTGATACAAGGAGACTACGGGTAAAGAGGTAGTAATTGTACATGAGAGTATATTGTATATCTCTATAGGGCCTGCTGGGCTAAAGTATGTTAACTGGGTATAGATACGTCGCGCCAACTGAGGAACGACAGATATGTTCGTTGCTTCATCTACTTTGAGAATGCCTCTCGAGAGGAAGCGAAGCGAGGTGCCATGGCATTCTCGACGCTGTTCCTCCTGCCCCAATGCTGTGGCTGTCGCTTGAGGAATGCCCCGACAGCTCCAAGGTAGCCTTCGTGACGAAGGAAATACGCCTGCTTCTCCCCCTTGGACCAAAATTTAATAGCGTAAGAGAGAGTGTTCATCGTCTGGCGGTGGCCGCGAATGAACGAGCCTCCAAAATAAATGTGTTTGATTTGATGTTTTTCGGACTGTAGGTAGGCAATTTGGCCAATGTTGTTACTAGCGAGAAGAGTCAGCTTTGATTATGCACGTCAAGGAAGAGTACCTACCTTATAGCGAATAAAAGACTCTGGCTCATGTCTTCGTGAGAGAAATGGGAGATATCCTGCTCGGAAGTCGGTGATTCGCTTCCGCTATTCTCGGCATTCCGCTCCTCCAGCCGCTTCATCTTGAAGACTTTGCCAAATGTACTGGCGATTGCAGTACTCTTCAGCCCGATCTTTCCATAGTCAGTACCATAAATATCACCAACAAGCATGTCGACTCCACTGTTGTCTCCACGCTCCGCCATCGCCAGCATCTCGTCGAACGTTCGGGCGCCGGTTAAGAGAGCCATTATACCCCAGAACGTCCCCCCGCCGAGAGACGTTCCACCTACACGTTCGAACTGCCTGGGGCCGGAAACCTTGACCATCGACACGCCTGAGCCGATATTGACCAGCAGGTACGGGTAGACGTCTGCCCGGGCCTCTGCAAACTGCATCGGGGTGGTCTCGCTATATGTAAACACCTCGTTCGGGATCTCTGTGATGAAAAAGTCCAATCCTATACAAGAATTAGTCTCACGCTCAGCAAGTAATAGCCGTGACCACGTACCAATGATCAAACACTCCATCTCGTCCTCTCTCAGCACGTTCACGCCGAGAGCGTCCTTCAGCATGTCGTAGTACTTGTATGCACCGCCCCCGGTAGCCATAACGCACAGCTCGTACGGAGCCGAGCCATTACGCTTCATGTGGTTCTCCTTCAACTTCTTCAGGAACTCGATACATAGCTCGATCCGGTTGGTTTCGAAATTTATAAAGTTGAGACGCCCGCCGCTGCCGGACTGGCTGATTTCAGGAGAGAAGTAGACAAGCTTAGCGAGCGTTCCGCCAATCTATCAACCGTCAGTCATACATCGTGCCCAGCAAGATCAAGAGCGAACTCACGTCGACGGCGACATGGCTCACGACGTCGGTGTGGTGGGGAAGACGAATATCCTTGTGCTCGTAATGCACGCCGTCGGCATCATCACGCCTGTGTTCGGCCAGCTCGTCGAGGATGAAGGCGCCCTTGACGTTGATCTTGACAGAGCCCGGGTTGGAGATGGTCTCCCTCAGACGCTCGACCGAGACGTCGTTCTCCGTCTGCGCTCGCCGGCGCCGCGAGGAGGACTCTGCGCCCGCGCCCGCGCAAAATCCCGGCGCGGCAGACATGATGGCGTTGACTGCTGCGAGAGGTGGTGCTGGCGGATGGGCATTGCTCGCTGAAGCTCGACTTTGGCTGATATCTCGTCCCTTTTGTTGCCTCGACGGAGGATCCGGGCGCGTGCCCACGCTTACGCCGTACTTCTCCTTCTGGTCGGTCTCCAGCTGCGCCGAGGGAACAAAAATAGTGAGTTTTGGATGGATCCGTGGGACGCCGAAGAGTTACAACTATCGCTGGATCATCACAGGATGGCTACTATTACTCTGATATAGTACTCTACTGTTACTGTGATAATATTACTCACTATGCTAACAGGATATGATACAGTCTATGATGATGTGCTGGATATCTTGATATGTGGCGACGTATACCATGGGAGCTTCCTCAACATACAAAGAGAAAGAGAGAAAGAAAATAGAGAAAGAGATATCTCTTTCTCGATCTCAGATGTGCCTGCCATGGCTACTGTGTGGTCTGTTTACTGTTTACTATGCGGAGGGGAAGACTCTTCTGTCTTGCGTATACCATCGCTCAAGATAGCTTGATACCACTACTCGTTGACGATACTTGAATATCAAGATGAAAAGACTCCTGCTGGCTCTTCTCGTCTGCACGGCGAGGGCGCACATCATCTTCAAACACGCACCGCTCTCGTGTGATCCCATTCTCCCGGCATTCCAAGGATGTCTACGAGGCCAGCGGTGCTCCCGACACGGGCAGTGAGTAGCTCTTGTCCCGTAACAGGAACTACGTTGACAGGTTACCAGATGCGAGAGCAGTCGTCGGGCAGAGGATGAGATCCAGCCTCCCCAGTTTGATAGCCGAAAGTTAGATGTCACGCCGAGAGACCTTGAAATAGAGTATGCGCCTGGAAAATGCCGGGGAGAGTCCGGCGAAGGTGAAAGAGGAATCAGAGACGGGTGCATCATGAAGCATCCATCCCATGTCTTTAGCGATGACTCCGATGATGTATCCCAAAAGGTTGCTCGTCCTCACTTGAGAAGACCTCTACGGCGGCCTGTCTATCGCCCAAAGGTGCCGATTTCTGGCGACGACAAGCCTAAGCCTCCTAGCTCTGTGACTTCTACCACACCAGTACCTTCTAACACGACGACTCCTACTGATACTGGTCAAGTTAAGCCACCGGCACCTTCACCCCCCTTTGCAAATATAACTATAGACGGGGCGTGTGGCTCTACCCATGGGAACAGCGTGTGTGGGAATTGGCCGGATGGAGCTTGCTGCTCTGCTTATGGCGTACGTACACTTCTGGTATTTTGCATGACAGTTCAATAACCGGACTATAGTTCTGTGGTAATACAACATCGCATTGTGGGCCAGGGTGCCAATCTGGCCCTTGCATCAATGGTCCTGCCTTGAAACCCATCGGTCCTCTAACGTACCACCCGTTTAAGATCCCGGGAAAGTTCAAGGTTGTTGGTAGTTCAGGAGTTCCTGCGATGATGGCCGTCTTGATGCCCAACAGGAAAGTCGTGTTTGCCGACAAGATAGAGAATTACACCGAGATAGTCCTGCCAAATGGACAATATGCCTATTCCGCAGAGTACGACCCGGTTTCAAACGAAGTTGTCGGCCTAGAATACAAGGTTCGGATTCCTGGTTGACGAGTGCGATTTTATCACGCTAACTTGTTCATCCGTAGACAAATGCATTCTGCGCTGGTGGAACAGTCCTAGCCGATGGCCGTGCACTGTCTGTTGGCGGAAACGGCCCATTGTCATTTATAGACCCAACCGTCAAGGATGGATTCAAAGGAATTAGATATCTAGAACGGAAGTTTGACGACCCAAAATTAGATGATGGCCCATGGAGCGAGCCTGGACACACCCTATCTTCTGCCCGCTGGTATCCCTCTGTACAAACTCTCCCTGATGGGAAAATATTTGTTGCATCTGGAAGCTTGAACGGCCTGAATCCTACCAACTCGGACAACAACAACCCGACATACGAAATACTGGACCGCGATGGTTACCCTCACGGAGAAAGTATAATATTGTCCATTCTCGAGAAAAACCAGCCATACTACATGTACCCTTTCCTTCATCTTCTTAAAGATGGCAATCTTTTTATCTTTGTCTCAAAATCTTCCCAGATATTCAATGTGGAGACTGACACCATCATCAAGACCCTTCCCGACCTTCGTGGTGATTTTAGGACCTACCCGAATACCGGAGGCAGTGTCATGTTTCCCTTGAGCTCTGCAAATGGGTGGGAGCCTGAAATCATGGTATGTGGAGGGGGCTCTTACCCTGATATCAACAGCCCGACTGATGCCAGCTGTGGGCGAATAAAACCCTTGTCAGAGAACCCAACGTGGGAATTAGAGTCTATGCCAAGTGGAAGAGTCATGGTGGAGGGGACTCTATTACCAGATGGCACAATAGTCTGGCTAAATGGATGCAGCCGTGGCGCACAAGGATTTGGCATCGCAAAGGACCCAGTATATGATCCATGGATATACAACCCTCATGCTTCCCATGTTGAGCGCTGGGCTGTTGGTGGGTCTACTAATATTGCTCGGATGTATCACTCTGTTGCTCTTCTTCTACTTGATGGGACAGTAATGGTCGCAGGTTCAAATCCGGTTGAGCAACCAGTCCTGGTCCCAAACCCCAAGGACCCCAAATTAGCATACGTGACTGAATTTCGCGTCGAGATCTATACCCCCCATTACCTCAGCGGCAAGAAGGCAGACCAACGGCCGCACGACGTCGTACTATCTTCGAGGCACTTAGTCTCTAACAGTGGAAACTTCACGATAAATTTCAACGTCCACAAGGAGGCTATTGACCTTCATGTCGTGCTCTACCAAGGCGGGTTTGTTACCCACTCCTTACACATGGGCCATCGAATGCTCTACCTTGACTACTCTGGCTGGAAACCAGGCGAAGCCAACCAAACTGTCGATGCGATTATGCCTCCAGACTCTAACGTTGCACCTCCCGGAGCATATGTAATTTACATTGTTGTTGACGGAGTACCTAGCATTGGGCAATTTGTCATGGTTGAAAATGCAAACCAGGGCGACAAGCCGAAGGATGGTGAGAAGCCAGACGACAAGGACAGCAAAAATGGGCCGAAGAAAGACGGAGAGAAAGGTAAAAAAGAGAAGGGCAACGGAGAGAAGGTTGCGGAGAACGAACAGAAGAACGACAAGGAAAAAGGAGAAAAGGATAAACCGGAAGGCAATGGCAAGAATCATGGCAACGAGGAGATTGAGGAGGAGGAAAAGGACACCAAGGAGATCAAGGGAGACGGGGCCAAGGCAAAGCAAAAAGGCGATGACAGGAAAAAGGGCAACGAGGACAGAGACGATGATATGAAGGATGGTAAGAAGGGTGGTAAGAAAGATGAAAAAGCTGACAAGGAAGACGAGAAAGACGACAAGAAAGATGACAAGAAGGATGACGAGAAAGACGAAAAAGACGATAAAAAAGATGACGACAAAGAGGCCGACGGTGGTGAGATGGAGGCAGATGAAGAGTAGGCCGTAATCAGAGCTGTTTCAATTCCTATGGATTATACATGCATTCCTTATGAGTGACAAGCGTTATGGATGGTACGGAGTCTGAGTAAATATCAATGACATGGCATCTTATATAATATCATGAATAGGACTGTTGAGATAAATAGAATATCCTCGTTCAATGCATTGATATAGATGCAATCACGATGTAAATAGGGGAGGATATGTGAGCTCTGATTGGCTATGACTAAACTGAGATATCATGTGATTATACAATGATTTTATCCTAGTCTCGTGATAAATATTTGATGACTAATGATGTTTATTTCCTAATTGAGAATTAATACGCTTACTCATCTAATTACTCAGCATGTTTCACATAAATACCAGAAATACGAATGTAGACCAATAGAACAACGATACCCTATAATTACCTGTACATATAATACATATAAATATAACGACTTCAAACTTCAAACTTCTCGCCATTCTGCTAATATTTGCTTGTTGATATTATTCAAGAAGCTCTGTTGTTGATCTGTGGGATATAAGGTCGAAGGAAACTAGATGACACTTTCCTGTTTATTTGATTCGATGCTGGAGGTAATACCACATTGTGTCAGTCCTCAAAATATCACATTCTTGAATCAAGAACAACAGGAGTACGATCTTAGCTATGAATACCCCTTTAAATATAACAATATGCCTTCTACAGAGCACTCAAACGGTTGATCAATTGACCCAAGCCAATCACTCTTGCAGCTCTTTATTTGATACCCGTCCCGAGGGCATGTAGGGTCCCGTCTCCATTGCATAAATGGTTCTACAGCTCCGATAGGCTGCGTTTTCCATCTATCTGGCCATGTCTGTTTGTTTTATGAAGATATTTCCTTCTTGCTATCTACTATGCTAGATGTAGCTACCCATAGGACCAACCATGTTTCTTCTGGCTGCAATGATACCAATTAAATAAAGAATCCAGGCTTGTGGGATATGTCTCTAGCTGAGATACTCTTTAGTGAGTATTGTTCTCCTAGGCAACCAAACCAGACATTGCAAGTAACATACAGAAGATAGAATACCTTTTCTGTCTCATGTTGTTGACATGTCCTGCTGGTCTTTCTATCCCCTTCTGTCCTCTATTCAACGCCCGCCTCTCTCTTGACTGTAACTTACAACCCCTTATAATATTATAGGGGACACACACACGGTGACTTGTAAGTGACAAAATTTTCCCTCTCGGCGCCGGGCATTATAAAAGAAAGAATTTTCTTTTGTGTGCCCTTTTTCCTTCTTCTCTTCCTCTTCTGTTGCTGTTATTCTTCACGTGTGCAGAAACGTCTCCAGACTTTTGGTTTTTCAACCTCATCTCTCATCACTTCTCAGTGGCTTAAACTGGGACTGCCTCAGTTGCTTGCATAGGTGACATCCTTTGGTCTTTTTACAGTACTATTCCTGTATGTCTCTCTTCTTCGTTGATATCTACTCGCGGGTTCGAGGCTGGTTGACCTGTGACGCGTTCAAGAGAGGCTGACTTTGACTTGATAGCTAGGACTAGTCCTTGTAGCAGCACCATGTCTGTTACCGGCGTCGAGGTGGCAGTCATGCCTCCTCAGGAGCCGCTTGAGGATATGTCCAATTTGGCTGCAGCGTTGCCTGGAGGCGAAGAATCTGCCGCGTTGGCGCGTGAAAAGGGCTGGGTTGCTCCTCAGCGCTACAACTACGACGCCTACAATACTCTCGACAAAGACGAAGTCGTCAATGCCTTGCCTTGGGCTTCTAACTCTGCCAAGTATGAGTGGAAGGAGGAATATGGTGACATTGGGCCTCCAAACGAGGAGCTTGAGAAGATGCTCTTCCAGGATGAGTATATTCCTCGCGTTGGTAAACTTCTTGAGAAGTAAGTATTTGCTACAAAGCCTGTCTGGATTCCTACGCGCCTTTCCTCGTGCTAACATCTATCTTTCTCACCATGATAGCCTTCGTCAAATTGAGGTCACCGCCGAGACGACAGAACGTCCTGATCCTATCAAGAGTGTAAGATACTCCCGTGATACATGGCCGTTACGTAGTATAGATTCTAAATTTTGATATAGTTCGATGAGGCAGGATTGCATCCCATCACGTTGAATAACATCAAGCTTTGCGGATATGTCTTTCCGACTCCTGTCCAGGCTTACTGTATCCCTGCCGTTATGACTGGCCATGATTTGATTGCAGTCGCCCAAACTGGTATGAATACCACCAAGTCCCTAGCATGATGATATTAATAAACATATAGGATCCGGAAAAACTGCTGCCTTCTTGATCCCCGTGTTGTCTAGATTGATGGGCAAAGCGAAGAAACTCGCTGCTCCCCGTCCTGACTTGAGCAATGGCTTCAACGAGAGTTTGGACTCGGTCCGTGCCGAACCTCTCGTCCTCATTGTCGTTCCAACGCGTGAGTTAGCTACTCAGATCTTTGATGAGGCGCGTCGTCTCTGCTACCGCTCTATGCTTCGTCCCTGTGTTATCTACGGCGGTGGACCAACTCGTGACCAGCGCACTGAGCTCATGAAGGGATGTGACATTTTGATCGCTACTCCCGGTCGGCTCATTGACTTCATGGACAGACCTAACATCCTGACTCTCTGCCGTGTGCGCTACACCATCATTGATGAAGCTGATGAGCTTTTGCAAGCCGATTGGGAGGCTGAGTTTACCAAGATTTTGGCCGGAGGAGGTACGGAACAGTTACCCTTTGTTATCGTTGCAATACTAATCACTTTTAATAGACGTTAATGAGGATGCCGACCACCGCTACATGATGTTTTCCGCTACCTTCAACAGAGGCTGTCGTCAAGTTGCTCGCAAGTTCCTTGCTAATGACTACGTTCGAATCCGCATTGGTCGTGTCGGTAGTTCCCATTTGAACGTCACTCAGCAGGTATGTGCTTTATAGCCTGTTGTCTTCCTCTGCAGCGCACCTCTAACAAACCATAGGTTGTCTGGGCTGAGGATAGCATGAAGAAAAAATGTCTCTACGACCTTCTGATGGCTATGCCACCATCCCGTACCATCGTTTTCGTCAACACCAAGCCCCAAGCTGATCTCCTTGATGATTTTCTGTTCAACATGGGATTGCCGAGTACTTCTATCCATTCGGACCGCACTCAGCGCGAACGTGAAGATGCGATGTTAGTGCCCAACAACTCCTTTTTGAGTGCATTTATACTAATAGTATGGCAATTAGCCGTGCGTTCAAGACCGCAAAGTCTCCTATCTTGATTGCCACCGCTGTTTCCGCTCGTGGTCTCGACATCAAGAACGTTATGCACGTTGTTAACTATGACTTGCCCTCCATCTCCCACGGTGGCATCGACGAGTACATTCATCGCATTGGTGAGTCGCCACCTAGTAACACATTGATACTTCAAGCCTAACAAACACTTTCCTAGGTCGTACTGCACGAATCGGTAACCAAGGTCTCGCTACCTCGTTCTATAACGAAAGAAACTCCGACATGGGTCCCGACCTCGTCAAGATTCTCATGGAATGCAACCAGGCCATCCCTGACTTCTTGCAAAGTGAAGCTCCTCCAGATGGTGTCCTTAAATTCGACGATGATACCGATGACGAGGCTGGTGACGGTGATAACACTGGCGGCGCAGGTGATGCCTGGGGAGCTGCTGCTGCCCCTGCAGCCGCGGTCGATTTCACGGCGAATGCCGGCGACAATGCTACCGCTACGGATGCTCAAGGTGCCTGGCCAGTCGATGCCAATGGGGACTGGTAGATTTGATCCGTGATACTTGTTTACTCGCATCACATTTGGCCATCACACTCCTAATTTCAACAGCACGAATGCATCCATTTCCAGAAATCGTGATTTTAAACCGAAAAGGCGAAAAAAAAAAAAAAAAAAAAAAAAACGCCACTTGATTTTACTCCTTCACTTTCAATGCTATGCCATGGATACCGCCCTGCCGGCTCCCAGTTGTGTTTACCACCTCTACTTGTTGCTCCGTTTATGGGACCCCAGTCTCAGGGATAGGGAGCAACAAGCCCAGCGAGATTAAGCTATCGGTAGGGCGGTATCCATGGTTCATACATCGTGTAATAATAGTTTCCCCTGAAAATAGCGAGCCAACTGTGAGCGCAATAGTCCATAGCTAGTTAGGTAGTTCCGATAAGCCAATACAGATTTGTCTCTAATTGACGCTCTTCTCTGTTCTGATTATATGTCGTACGTATCTCAAGAAGGGTGAAGGATGTTTATTGTCATTATAGAACTTGATTATGCCTCTGTTATTCAAGATCAGCCAAAGATAGGTAATATCGAGTCTCAGCAGGCGCCAGACTAGCGCGACCTCAACGTCGCGCCTATTCTCCAAATTTCTTATAACAACCAGCTTGACTTCATATAAGAGAAGCAGCTTGAATGATCTCAAGCACAAGATATAAACATCTTATCCACGATGAAAATGTCACTCCAGATTGTGCCTTCTGGCTGCATTTCTATCTCATCAGCTCTTTCCGGCTTGTGGTGTCCTCTTACTCCCAATTTATTGTTGATAGGAAAGAAACTTGCTAGATGGTTTCACTCCTACATGAATGCCTCATAACATTCATGTTCATCATTCTCCAAGGATAGCATTTTATACCCTTGATTCATCGTTTGTTTATATTGCATCTACGTGATAGAGCTTCCAGTGCAGTGTTAACGATACCATGGCACGGTTATACGGGTTCCGGCGCAAGGCCTTTATGGCGGCAGCGGCTGTTCTCTTCCTAAGTATTGGAGCGTCGCTTGGTGCTCCAGTCACAAAATACGATCCCTTGGTGATCGATACTTTTCGCAGCCCTGCAACAAACGACCTGGGAATTTGGCATGGAGTTGACGAAGGGATGCCAGCTGAATACGGCGAAGGCTCTCTTCGCCTTAGCCCAACAAATGCCGATATGAACTTCTATACTCAGCTTTCCGGAGGGTGCACCGATATGACCGTGTACAAGGATGCATATTTGCACGTTGTTATCAAGGGGACCGATAAGTTCACCATCAGTTTCACTCAGCATAACGCACAGTGTAACCAGAATGTGGCCCCGTTCCCAGAAACTTGGGATTCCGTGGAGGCTTCTCGCTATGCAAATGGGGGGGATATCTATGTTCCTCTCTCTCACTTCAATATAGACCTCGCAAGGGCTAACTCGATTGGCTTCCACGGCTTCTATACCAAGGAAGAAGTGACATTGTTCAAAGTTGAGGTTGTCTCTTCGCCCCCTAATACTCTGGGTACACCCAGCAAACTTCCCACCGGCACGCTGGCGTTGAAATGCAAAAGACCCAATTCCTTTGCATTTGGGATTGATGATGGCCAGCCACAATATGCCCAGGAGGTCATGAATATGCTGGCTGAAGAGGACATCCTTGTAACGTTTTTCACTGTTGGCAATGGGCTATTAGACGAGACCGCCAATTTCACAAACGTGTACAGGGAGATGCTTGGACGCGGGCATCAGATTGCTCTTCATACCTTCTCACACCCAATGCATGTTATCCCACAGTTTTGATTTCACAGTATAGGAGTCTCCTCAGGGGAATTCAAGCTAACAGTCTTCTAGGATGGAAGGTTTGCCAACTACCGAGGATATTGATCAAGAATTCACGAAGAACATGCAAGTTTTCAAGGACAAGTTAGGAATTGAAAGTACGTACACCATCTTTGCTCCACATAATCCAATACTTACTGACTAATAATATAATCAATCTTAGGTCGCTATTTCCGCCCGCCTTTCGGCAACGTCGGTGCCCGAACCAGACAACGTTTTGCTGCTTTGGTTCCGGATCCATACATTATCAACTGGAGCGTGGACATTGAAGACTGGCTCTGGGCTGGCTCTCCAACGCCCGAGAAGCAATTTGAAGCGTTTAAGAGAGATTTTGAGAAAGGGGGTGATATTGCCGTGATGCACTACTTGAACCCCACGACCATCTCATACTTCAGAGATGTCTTTCAATTAGTGAAGAAATCTGGAAAGCGCATTATGCGTGTTGACCAGTGTATGGAAGACCCGTCTGCACCACCATTGAAGTGATTTCATCGGGTGCTTCGGAGATTTGGGTAGCAAGAGGCACGTGGAGTTTATCATTATGGGCGGTGTATTCAGAATGATATGAAGTGTAGAGCCACACTCGTTTGTATTACAAGTTTATGAACTAAGAAATATTCAATGGTATCCAAAATGGGATATGCCTCGACTGACCCCGAAGTAAACATGTATACATGGCTGAAGTATAAGGAGTATTCAATACCTACAGACCACTAGCACTCATTGTTTATCCAGCGGTTCACTTCCCCTCGTGTGTGCCTTTCGCGGCGGATTCGATCATTTGAGAATGTGCTTTCTTCAATTCTGGAATGATCAAACTTTCGATTTCCACATCGGGCTGCAGATGTGTCCCACCTCCACTCGCCGCCACACTTCCCTTTCTCATCCGAGTACTCGACTTTGGAACACGAATCCACTTCAATCCAAACTCTCCGGTCGCCTTGTCTCGGCTCACAAACACAACTTCCCATTTTCGGGTTGACAGCAAGTTTCCAATCACCAGATGGTGGGAGTAGCGTTGCAAGGCTTGCTCTGATTTTGAAATTAATAAGTCTGGATCGGTTTCGAGTTTGAAGCTGACTACCATGCTGCCGGCTGGTGCCCATCCGTCAACAAGTCTATGTAAGAACTTAGGAACAGGGTCGAGATCGATAATTAGCTTTTTACCGTGCGTTGGTGGCACAGGATCGTTAAAGCCGGTATAGATTGAGTCGGGAGGAATGCTAGAGTCGGTTCCAGTTTGATCCTTGTTTTCCTTTTTGACAGGAGGCTCGTTGGACGATTGGATTTTATGTTCTACCATTCTATCTCTTGGAATGAAAAAGTCGGAAACGGCTGCAGCGAGGTAGAAGAGTGCGTTAGGGCCAAGTGGTTTCATGAGATATGCTAACGATCGAAGCTCGTATAGATATTCCGTCACCGTGACGAAAGGGAGGACAAGGAGAAGATTGTTAGCTTTAGCGTAGTTGTATTGTCGTAGCACTTTCCGCATTTCATCTTGATATTCAGATCGAACAATTATAGGACCGTGGTCGTTCTCGTTGTTATTATTCTTCCCAGTCGAGCTCGAGGATGTTGTCGATGACGAACTGCCTTCATCCATGAAATCGAGGAAACAATTTGTCGAATGACTGAAATGTCTCGAGTATGGAAGAAGACTGAACTGTCGATGCAAGAAGATCACAGCATAACCTTCTTGTAAAAAGTATTCAGCAGATGTAGCTCCACGCGTACCAGCTGAAAAGTTATCCACAAATCTGACCGTCTGCGTTTCAAGAGGCACCGTTGTCCCTCCAGACGTGACGAGGACCAATCTTCGACCTGACTTGACATGTCTGTCAATAAACTCCTTTGCCAGCTCATGGTGCTCCTGCAATGACGGGGGTGCTGGGTTGATTTTGAAGTAATAAGATTCAGCTTCCTCTGGGGTCAGAGTCTGCGTCGACGGAGCTATGTGCGCTGCTTCAGGCATCTTTGTGGTGAACGTTGGTTATCTCAGGGTATATACTATGAAATATTGCACGCCCAATCTAAGAGTGCGCGGCGACGAGATATGAACCTAGTTGGAACAAGTGGTGGTTGTATTGATCAATCTGCTCCCATCTATCATGTGTCAAGTGTTGAGAGAGGATACGTGTATTTTCTTCGGCGACTTCTTTAAATATGCGATTGACTCTTAGCGGTTCCAGATCCTACTTTGTATATCTTATCATTGGCGGGGCAAGCGGAAGAACATCAAAGGCGTGCTTAAAAAACTAATTGCAGGGAAATGAAAAGTAATATTTATGGCGAATTGGATATACGGCCCTTGGAGTGGAGTAAGACTGTATATCGACCGCCGGTAAAGAGAATGTGAACGGTTGGATGTTGTTGTGACGTTTGGGGTGTTAGAAGATCTTGATTTTGTGCCTCGGGATTACCAAAGGTAGTGATATCATTTCTTAGTCAGCAGATATCGCGGAGATAAGTGCTTAGTCATGTACTAATCGCCGTTGATAGATCGGGGCTTCCTCCTTATAGAATATATTGTATATCTTATTGTGCAGTCCGCGATAGATGGCTCGAGTATATGTACATGTAGAACTGGAGTTGAGAAGTTCTTGGGGAGGGTTGCCAGAGACAGACAAGGTCACAGATATCTGCTTCGTAGTGCCTGGCTGATGGTACTCATCCGGCTCGTAACACCACTACGTTGCATATTGCTCAATAGAGCTTCCTCTAACGCAGACTGGGAAACGCTGGCATCTAATTTACCAGGTACCGGGTATAAGGTCAGCACTCGACTCGCCAATACGGAAAGAAGTTATAGCAGATTTTGCCAAGTTCTTCATTTTACTACAACATACCATCCAAGTCGCTAAAGCTACTTCCCATGCTAGGGCTGCCTTCGCTACCTTCTCGACGGGCGCCGCGTCCATGTGGCACCCGTCCGGCTAGTTCTGCGGTTCGTCGTGGGCTTAAAGGCCCGATAGGCGCGGCGGGGCGGCGGGAAGATGGCGGACCATTGACAGGCGATCCCGTTGCCATGCCAGAGCTTGAACTGGCGGTGGATGATTCCGGTAAGACCTGTCTCTCTTTCACCGGTGGTGTAGTGCCGCCTGATACCTTTCGACCTTGGAGTTTGACCTGTGGGGGCACCTCGCGTAACGTCGATGCGGGGTCACCAATCGATGCACCCTTCCCATTATCATGTACCGATTCCAGTGGTAGAAATGCAGGAGTGTCTTCTTCTTCATCGTCGTCATCATCGTCTTTCCTTGTCTGTACACGTTTCTGTACCGTAGAGAATTTGCCATACCGCCTATATTGCGGCCGATCACCGTCCTCAGAGCTCGAGCTCGAGCTTGATGACGACAACGGTTCGGGGCTGTCCTCACCCGGCCGTGGTGAGAGTGGGGAGAAAGCGGCCGCCCGAGACTCTCCCCTACCTCTTGGCTGGACTATCTCGGCTGAGCTTCGCCTTGAGGGTCTCTGTAGAGCACTCACTGCGTCTCCAGATGGCTGTGTTTTGGTAGCAAACGAATAACCAGTGGGGTTAGAAATACCAGGTGGTTGACTCGGAGCTAATCAAATGTGTTCGTGTTAGCCTAGCTCTCCTACCCTTTCCAGCACATTTGTATAAACCGACCCTGAGAGATATTTGGAGTTGATGGGCGACTGCTGTCTGCTCTATTTGCCGAAATATCTCGTTGAAGAGCAAATAGTCTCGACTGTATACGAGAGCCTAGGAGTGGAGTTAACCGCATATCCCTTGCTCACTCTGCCTATCGATAACCCATACCATCGCTGCCAGACCTGTTCATTGGCACACTGCCACCTGGTGTACCACCACCGGCGGATGTCGTTTGACCTGAAAGAGGGTTCTGGTGCCCGACTCTCCGAATCTGCGCCCTAACCTGGGACAGGCGCCGATCATATAGCCAAGCAACATGTTGGAGGAGGAAGGGGAGGGTAACATTGAACTTTTCGGCACTAGGGAAGCAGGTAGTTAGCTCATATAGATCGAGAAGAGTGCCGTCGTACCGCATACAGAGCTTTCCCTATCCGTGGGGGTCAGTTCTATAGTACTAGAGGTAGATTGATAACATTTCAACTCTCACAGTCTACCCCTTCCTTGGGGGCCACAGATAGGACATCCCATAGTAACCGATCATTACGAGCATCCCAGCTCACCTATACCAGCATACTAAGTCAGAATGATACTATGCCGCCCATATGTGGTGAAGCTCAGACAACTCACTGGAGGAGGGTCAACGAAATCGCCGCGAGGGAACGGCAGGCGAATGAACACGGTAAATTTAGGGTCACCGGTTAGATCCTGAGGAGACATATTGGCTAGGGTGTAATAGATGTTATTATAATAAACACCGCATAGCTATCCAACTTGACATGCACTGCAACAAGCTGCTGTTGATTTCAATGTTGTTGCAATAGAGATTCGCGGATGTAGATAAGCAGCCTCCGCCAAGACCAGTCACGTGCTTCTATCAAAAACCACCTTCGGCTTTCTAACATCACCGACATATAAAAAGACGACGGCAACGAGACATACTTGATCTGCGGGCATCTGATGGCCAACCCGTTGGATAGACGGGAGCTGTCCTTGTATAGTGCTGGTGGAGATGGCACCCCTGCACCTTCGTATTCCTGGCATGTCATATAAAAGCGCCTGACCTGGCTCCTCTTTGTCCGTCGAGTCGGTACCTCCGCAAAGTCAAAGCAGCAGCAAGCATCGTGTAGCTAGACGCCCTGTCGCCCTCATCTAAGAGCCCTGTTGGGCGATGGCATGGACGGACTGCTACCTTATGCAGGTCTGTCTAGGATAGGGCACATCACCGATCTTCAACTGGCTGCCTCCTTCGCCACGACCCATCTTGGGCCCATGCAAGCAGCCACCCCTTGTCATCGATAGTTCTCTCGTTCAGTTACATCTAACAGCTTGGCCTGTACTCTGTATGTACAGCATGTCACTGCGGCCGAAGACATCTCCTCCGGAAGCAGGCTGATATACAGGTTTCAGGTGTCTTGACGGGCGTACTCCCCGTCCTACAGAGCTACCCGGCTTCCAGAAGTAACGGTGTGAAGGGGTACGCGGGAGAGATCTCAAAGCTAACAAGTCGCTCTCGCAAGCTTATCGGTCGAATGCCACCCTGTTTGTTGTCTCCATGTCGCTCTCCAGTGTTCATGCATCACTCTAGCGGTGTGAGCAGGGCGGTTGGGTAGATATCACCGTCACATGACAAGCAAAGTGGCCCATGGATCTCTCCTGCAGGCGAATAATGCGGTTTTGGGGCACACCTAGGGAGGAGGCCCGGCGGGCGTTTGCATGTGGACAGCAAATACTCTGTAGAGAGAGGAAAAATCAAACGCTCAAAAAGTCACCTTCACTCACCTCCCTCGACTTTTCTTTTTGTTCCCAGTCAACGGTGGACGGTTAGATTTTGCCTTTGAACATCGATCTGGTGCAGGCTTAATCAGCCAGAAGAGGTACTTTCCGCTATTCCCCGAACCAGGAGAAGCCGCCCATGACGTGCATATTGGATGTCCGCAGCAGTTCATATATCTGAGAGCTGTCGCTTTTGCGGCTCTGGTGGCACCCGGCAAGCATACAAAGCTCTCATCGACGGGCTTCCCATCTGCAAAGGAGATCTAGTGCTGGAGTGCTCGAGCTTTACTCGTTGCGCCCCTGTCAATGTCCCCTAATTGCACTATCCATAGCAACACTTTCTTTTCTTCACCAAAAATAGCCGTCGAACCATATCTACTCTTACAAGTTATTCTTCCGCGTTGCAAACATAACGCATTGGTGTGCTGTCACAGTTTCATTCGGTTGCTGTTGTTATAAAGATAGTCTCGCGCTCGCAAACAATCAGCTGTGTTTTTGCCTCCATTGCACGAGCAAGCAATTGCTTCCTTCTCAAGTGACGTGCCTACCATGAAAAGCAAAGGGTGGTCGTCTACGGATGAGCCGGATGCCCTAATTGACGAATCGAGTTACCGTGAATATGTATTACAACTGGCAGAGGACCGGCTAGAAGAAAAGGAAGAAGAAGAGCTGGAGAGGCTTCGTCAGAATGCACTTGATCTCGGCTTGCCGATTAAGGATAATCGTGAGAGCTACGAAGCTGTTTCCGAAGGGTTTACTGCATCGACGTCTACTTCCACGACAGCCATGTCGGCCAGCCAGGTCACTATCCCGTCGTCGATGTCGTCCACAAGTGCCCGAGTGTCAAGCTGTGCGCCATCTGTATCCTCTTTGGCAACCTGCCCGGCTATCTATAACGGCCCAGATGCACGCTATAAGTTCTCGATATTCAATTATCCGCCGTCTAGGCACTCGTTTGATGCCTCATACTACCAGGATCACCGGTTTTCGCCAGGTTTTAGGCAATCGATATTCTCCAAGTTTTCCTATTTCAAAAAACGGTCATCCATGTCTAGTGCTCTGCCGTCTAAATCTCAATCAACGATCAACACATCACAGACCTTTCCAAATGAATACCTTCCCGAGGCTAGGGAAGAAATAACACCGTCGCCTGAAGTTCCGATAACACCTCGCCAAGAGGTAGCCGATATTGAAGAGCCGATCGATGAAGAGTCAGTTGCACGAAGCCTATCTTGTTCCATTTTGACAACATTGCGGGAGATGCACCAAGGACAAAAACAGAGGCACATATCCTTCAAGAAGGTCCTCCTAAGGGCTATCGAAACGAAGCACGATATCTATATTGAAGAAAGAAAAAAGCAAAATGCCGAGAATGAATCAGCACTTGAGACCCAGGAAAGTTACCCCGGAACCTGCTCATTGTCATGTCTATCTAGACTAACATATTGTATAGAACGCCGCCAAAGCAGCACGCCTTGAAGAAAGAGACCTCGTCGCGGAAATATCTCTAGTCGCCGAACTCCAACGCGAGAAGCAAGCGCTGCAAACTAGCATACGTCACATGGAGGCATATTTCAATACACCACCGCCCAGCTTGTCATCCAGCAAGAATGACTTTTATAAAAACCTTCAACCACGCGAACTCACCGACCAGAAACGAAATCGTCTATATCAAAGCTATCACGAGCTCAACACACTAGATGCATTACACGAATCTAAAATCAAAGTCCTACGAGATAAACAAACGAGGAACTTCCAAGAAAGACTCAGGAACATGGAACTTGATGCCGTCACGTTTGCTAAAATGAACGAATCAGCTTTACATGCTCTTGAAAAGCGTCGCCGAGATGAAATCTCGGATGCTATTGCTTGGCTAGACTGTAGGAAACGGAGGCTTATCTATAAGTGGTCCTTGGAGGAGGGTATTGCCAGGAAACAACTTGAGATCGAAACAAAGCAGACCTATGGCCCGTTGCCTGCTATATCATTCGATGAAAGTGACTACGATAACTATACGACTGATCTACTGGAGAGAAATTGAAGATCGCAACTAGCTCGTCTAAACATTCCCTCCTTTCGCATTCCGCACTTCCTTTAAAAATATCCCGTGATGGCAGACCACTTGATTTATTATATAAACCTTTGCCATTTTAACTCCTTTTTTTTTTTCAATTTCCCTGGAATACCTTGGCTACGAGTTTCGCCATCCTCCGGCTCCGATACTTTACTCCCAGAGTTTAACTCTATATCTCACACACAACACGAAAGATGCCTTTATATTAATAATATCTACATTTCTTCCGCCATAATTATACAACTATCATATCATTATATCAACGAACTAACCTTAATGCCTTGCCCTATGTTCACCTTGGTAACGAAGGCACTCATACGTAGAACCTAGATCATAGACCCTGAGTAGCCAAGCTCTTTTCGTAGCCTATAAGTTGAGGCTTAGACCAACTTCGATGCGCTTGGCCCGGAGTTATCGCCTTCAAATAACTAGGTGGCCCTACTGGTCTCGTATTTCTTGTTCGGGCCGCTCGGACTAGATATGACTGTCACGAATTTTTGTGTCTGCAAATGACAATTAGTATATTCAAAAATTGCGGGGGCTTTCGAGGCCAACAACAGGCTATGTGTAAGATAAGGGAGATCCGCTTAAGCAATATTGATGAGCATCCAGGCTATGAGGTTGAGCCGCAGTTCGGCCCCTGGATCTCTGTTGATCAAGTAGTTCATGTTGAAAATCTCCGACTTTACCAGTTGTTAATCAGGCGCACCTCAAAATGCTGTTTAACACCGTAGTTAACAAACTAGAACCGCCTTTCATCCGAGCACGCGAGAACGAGAAATGACGCCGGGACTTCCGGTGATGTCTAGCCGTTCGCCCTAGCTATAGTTCTCTGGGTTGTCACAACAAAGGCCCATCTCTACGCAAGAATGTGGGGAATGGTAGCTGCAATACGAGATGCCTGTGGCTGTCTTTATAACTTCTCACCAACATTCTGCTTCACATCTGTTCTTTAAATAGACATATCCAAGGATAACACCACACGTGGGATCTACTCATCTACTAAGGGGATATATGAATATAACTGAGAAATACGAGTTTGTGCACCAGGGCGTATGTTGTGCTTGGCTTCCATGGTATCCGCGGCTTCATTTGAGCAGTTTGCCCGACTCATTTGAACGATGAATAATTGTTCCTCTATATCTTCCACACGGCGGTGATATCGTCCCGAGGAAACCTTGAGGAATACGGGACGGAGCTCTGTTATCAGCATGAGGGTATAGCTGGTCTTGGAGAGACCTTTGGCCAATTGATAGTGTGTAAGATCGAACGTGGGCTTCAGCATTGATGCTGTAGTTCTGCATAACTGAAGAAAGAGATGGCTCGACTCAGGTATAAAAGGCCTGACTTGAGGACAGCAAATTGATTCCGATACTAGAGATCAAATCCCAATCCAGTCTCATAAACATACAAGCCATCGCGAGTACGATCAATAGTAAGACAGACCCCAATATCCGATGCAATTCTATCCTTCTAGGGACACCATCTAACCAAGTTTACCCCTAGCAATAAAATGAAGGTCTCATTCTCCGCCATTGCCGCTGTTGCATTCACCTTTGCTTCGTCCGTCAACGCCTGGCGACTGAACGCTTTCCAGCTCCAAAACTTCGAGGGCCCTAAGTTCACTGCCGGAGGCCCAGGCGCATCTGGAAGTGCCTGCCACAGTATCGGTGATCTCAACAACAAAGTTTCATCTCTCGAATGGTACTCTGACGACCCAACTCACGGCACTCGCTGTTGCTTCGTTCCTTTCAATGGTTTAAACTGCCAGGAGGGCTTGGGCCAAAGCTGGTGCCGAAACATTCGTGTCTATGACCTTGGACAGATCAACATGGACAACAAGATCAGCTCCTTCCGCACCGACTGCTACAAGCCAACAACCAAGCGAATGGAGGAATTCCAGTTTTAAACAGCTTCACAGGCAGTTGAAAACGAGTTAACGATGAGGATATCTCTGACATCGAGTCGGGCCTTTCTTCACAATATGAGCTCTGGATAATGTATATAGTTAAAATTTTGGGCGATAACACGCTCTCGATAAATATTGTTGATTTCTTGATATAAAATTATCAGTTGTCAGTAGCCAGAAGTAAACTAGAGGCTTTCTCCTTCTCTTGACCAGGCAGGACAGGCGAGATCCCATATGCCCGTGGAGTAGTTGTTCGTATATGAACAAGGAAACGAATATCGAGAGCGCCCATGTCCAACGTCGCACGTGACGTGATATATGTGATGATATAATCAACCCCTTAACCAACCTCGGCTTCTAGTTCGACCTCCCTTTCCTTTGTATATGTCCGCATTGAGGCATCCTTCAGGCATTCAACGGTATGCTTCTTGCTTTCCATGGGCAATGGGGCGTTCTGCTCGCCAAGGGTCGTCGGGCGCGGACGAAATATACTGGTCTGAGCTTTGCCTAACTAGAGCTAGCTGAGCTCTGGCAAACTGGGAGAACTTGGATTAATCTCCTCAAAGCCGCGAATATATAGGTATTTCTGCCATACAATTCCTCCTTGGATTCGATATACTTGTTCTCGCAAACCATGGTCTTTTCTTTAGTTGCGAGCTGGGCCCTTTCGACTATTTAGACCCTAAAAAAGGAGTAGTCAAGGTGGCGCCGCTTTTAAGCAGGCAACCAGGGGCTTAAAACAGCGCTAGGTATGTCGAGCCTCTGCTGGAATACGGCCTTTCCATCGCAGACATGAGTATAACCAGCTAAAGGAAAGGTCCACAGGACGTAATTCCATGCACCTCTCATTCTCAAAAGAGATGAGTTTCGTCAGGGTTAGGTTTAACCCATCTATATCCATGCATCAAAGAGATATGCACCATATTTGACATCACAAAAAGAGCTAGGATGGTAGTAAACCCTTGGATTCATGTTTTGCCGTCAAGGAGCCTTCGGACAATATTCTCGGCGCGGCCATCACCGCCAGCAATCAGGGTTTCCGTGGTCTTATCACGGCCATCATCGCCTATGATAATAGCTCTTTCAACAAGGCCTCGATTTGATACCTTGATTCTTCCAATGCGTCCATCTTGCCACTGGACGCGTATGTATCTAGCCTCGATAGACGCTGCAGAGACAGACGATATTCCCAGGGTATATGCCACAGTATCGGGTTGCATACCAGCAGACTCCAAGTGGGATAGATCACAATCAGTAATTCCAAGCTGCTCCTGCAAAAGTGTAACCACGTCTCTCCGAAGATGCCAGGCAACGAGCTCACGACGCAGTTCTTGCACTAACTTCTTGAGATCTTGCTTCCTCCTCTTCCATGGTTTCAAGCTTCCACCAGAGTCATCCTCGGAAGTCCAACTAGGAAGGTATTTCTGCTCTAGCTGTTTTAACGGAATGAAAACCGGTATAGTGTGCCGGTGTATCTGTAACGACTTTCGATCCTCTCCTACGCGTTTGAGGAGTAAATAATATGGCTTCGCAAAGGTGCCATCGCGAACATTGACGTCAATACGGATACCAAGTAGATCTGGGGAGTCCGTATGAGGCGACGGGTCCTTAAATGGGAATGAAGTGGCTGAAAAGATAATGCGATGATGGTTCGTTTCGGCGTGTTTACCGGACTCAAGGATAGCGGATGGCGCGTCAGAGTCAACCCTGCTTAGAAGATGCGACTCGAGGCTGTTCCTGACACTGCTGCTCGACAAAAGACTGGCCGATAAGACTTGTCTGCGCGCTGTGAGCTTCCGAACTAGATTTCGCAGGTTAGCCATGGCTTCATAGAGGGCGCATCTGAGACCTACTTTCATCACGCACGGAGGAGATCTCTTCATCCAGGACGAGTGACGGATCCTCCTCACCGGGAATAGGAGAAACCGATGCTGACATCTTCAGCTCATCATCTCTATCCTGTATCGTGATCTTTATCTTGATCTTTATCTTGATCTTTCTCTGGTAAACGCGAACGTTCTGGTTAGAGTGACCGGATTAGTCAGCAGGATCGCGATGCGACGAACCGAAGCTTCTTCGCGGCGAAAGGACAGCTTGCTTCAAGGGATCTCGGGCGCTGGGGGATTCACACCCGCCCTCACACTGATATCTGGTGACTAGAAACCCTCTTGCGCACTTCTTCTGACGAGAATACTGACTCCCGCTCTTTACCAGGCAGAGAAACCGTCGCATACACAGTTCTTGCATCGGAGTATCAGCTCTCTCTTTTTTTTGAAACTACTACCAAACGAACGACGTTATGTCTTGTCCTTTCTCCACATAAGTTCTCCAGGATAGTCTTATATAGCCTCACTGGCGCTTTTGAGCATCATACTCGGACCTCTCGTTAAAAGGTACAAATGAAACGCAAGAACGGCTCTATCCGAAAACGCGCCAGTCGGCAGAGCCTCAACCTTCAGACGGGCTCGAACGGCCTCGCCAACGGCAGCATGGATTCCAACATTGAAATGCGAAAGAAGGGCGTGTCCCTCGAGTCTACATCTACACATACGTCCAGAGTATTAGGCCAGTCGACCTTCTCCCTCGACGACGCCCCTCCTACCCCTCTACCTTCCGGAGAAGCTGTCAGTACCAGCTTCAACGACCTACCAGCGTCCGATAAACGAAATTTCCTTCTGTTATGTGTACTATACTTCCTACAGGGTGTCCCGATGGGTTTGGCCATGGGATCGGTACCCTTCCTACTCAAACCAAACCTCTCCTACGGCCAGATCGGCGTGTTCTCGCTTGCGTCATACCCATATTCACTCAAGCTTCTTTGGAGTCCTATTGTCGACGCAGTCTGGAGTCAGAGATTTGGACGACGGAAGAGTTGGATTATGCCCATTCAAACCATCTCCGGCTTGGCAATGGTTTATCTTGGAAAGCATATCGGCAACATGATGACTGCAGCGGCAGATAAAGGTGGTGATGGAGTGTGGAACTTCACCAAGTGGTGGTTTTTCCTTGTATTCCTATGCGCAACGCAAGATATCGCTGTTGACGGCTGGGCCATTTCGCTCATTTCACCTCAAAACATTGCATTCGCGTCTACTGCCCAAACCGTCGGGCTTACGGCTGGGCACTTTCTTTCATACACTGTCTTCTTAGCATTCAATTCTCCCCATTTCGCCAACACATGGTTCCGCTCCACCCCTTCCGAAGTGGGATTAATCACTTTGGGTGGGTACTTGAAGTTCTGGGGATGGGCATACCTACTTGTGACAATAGGCTTGGCCGTTCTCAAGAAGGAGGAAAAGTCGAACGAGCGTGACGGCATTGTCGAGGTATACAAGAGCATGTGGAAGATCCTCAAACTCAGCAACATCCAGACGATTATTATCATACACCTGATCGCCAAAATTGGCTTCCAAGCAAACGAAGCTGTGACAAGCCTAAAGCTTATCGACAAGGGCTTTGGTCAGGACAATATGGCTCTAGTCGTCCTGATCGACTTCCCGTTTGAGCTTGCACTTGGTTACTATGCTGGGAAGTGGTCGACAGAATATACGCCTATGAGACTGTGGTGCTGGTCGTTTATAGGTCGACTTGCAGCAGCCGTTCTTGCCCAGGCCGTTGTCATGATATACCCGAGCTCGCCTGGCTCGGCCGTCCCCGGATGGTATATGGTTGCGGTTATCGGAGAGCATTTACTGTCAACGTCAATGAACACCATCATGTTTGTCGCATGTTCTGCATTCCACGCAAAGATATCCGACCCTACCATTGGTGGTACATACATGACATTACTTGCAACGTGAGTTCCCTCCCTTAATGCTCCTTGAATATTCCTTTTACTAATCGATTTTACAGCGTCTCGAACCTCGGGGGAACATTCCCTAAATTCTTCGTCCTCAAACTTGTCGACACGCTCCACAGGGCCACCTGCATACCACCGTCCAAGACCCCAGAGGGCTTAAAATCACCACTCATATCCCCTTTCTCCTGTGCAATTGAATCCGACAAGAGCCGTTGCATTGCTGGTGGCGGCACATGCCGCGTCGACCGTGATGGCTTTTATTTAACCAATATATTATGTGTGGCCGTTGGCGCACTCACATTCTGGTTTTTTATCCGGGGCGCAGTAACGAAGCTCCAGAGACTTCCGTTACGTGCATGGCGAGTCACCCCAGAGAGAGAAAGCCGGTAATGCTTCCTAGTTGGAATAGAAATATCGCCATTGTCTCTTCTTCTCTTTGTTCCGGTTCAAAAAGAGAGGGTCCTTTACAGCATTTTAATCCCCGCATTATGTATTATTAATAAATTATTTAACGTGTAAATATTACAATAAGAAGACCCTGCCTTGATTTCATCGAATGATTAAATAGCTGACTCAGTGCTCGTATATCCAACTTTAAAGGGACTGAATATATACGTAAACCAGACGGCATCACCCACTATCTCCTCACACTCTGTTTCTTACGAATATTACTCAACCTGTAGTCCCAAGTGCTAGGAGCTATACGTTCTATCCAAATGGCAGCCCGGGTACCAAGCACTCTCACTGGCGGGTGTCTATGCGAGGAGATACAATATACCGTCGAGATACCAAAGGATCTCACCTGGCCACCAGATGTATGTATAGCTATCAATCAACCTCTCGTCTCATCTCAGCGTAGCATTGTTAAACTTGGCGTCTTCTTTGATTGACCCTTATTGATTTTCTCTAGCCTCACACTTGCTGGTGCACTCAATGCCGCAAAGCGACTGGCTCCATCATCCTGCATTTCCTCACCTTCAACCCGTCCATGGTTAAATGGAAGGGTACGCCTACTGAGTTCCAGTCTAGTACTGAAGGACGCCGTGGCTTCTGTCCAAAGTGCGGAACGAGCCTATACTTCAGGGACCTAGGTCAGCCAACTGAGATAGAGATATGCTCTGGTTCACTAGACGAAGAAATACTTGAGAATCCTGCTCTAGCAAAGGACCTTTGTGACCCTAGCTGTGGGCGTTTCTGGTGTAAAAGGGAGATTAAGAGCACCATCTACGAAACTTCGACTGGTAAACGATGGTTGGAGGGGAGCAAGTCGCGGGTTATGAATGATGATGAATAGGAGAAGACATGCCATTTCTTCTATCAAAACTGTGACATGAGCCGACTGCTTGGTGATATCAACTTTTTGGTTCAACATCATAAATATATCAATGAAAACATAATAGTTCCCATGGCGCTGCAGGTCTGTCCCTGATCAAACCAAGAGGTTTATCGTAGTAGCGTTTAATTCCGACTTCTTTCGACCCAGTTCTGACTGTCCTAGTAATGTTATATGAATTAGACTATTCGTTCTTACAGCTAACGGGACGTATATTGTTTATCATAACATACCTGGTCCAGTTTTTTGCCCTTTTATAATGAGCCATGGGCTTGCCATAGTATTGTAGTGAAAATGCTTGTATTTTAAAGCAGCGGCCCTTCGAGGTACCTCTCCTCACGGCCCGTTCAACAAGAGTAACTGACTAGGCATGGAACAGGTGGTTAGCGAAAATTCCCTTGAATCCATAATAGGTTGTATTACCGTAGGATTGCCACAGCCAGATGAGGATCAAGGGCATTCAAGAGATGCAAGCGTACATCTTCGAGCCAACTGTTCGGTGATATCACCCTTTCTCAACAGTAGATATGGAAGCTGGAAAATTTTTGTTGTTGTTGTTGTTCCTTTAGATACCGAAGGAGCTTCCCCCCAGTTGTGCCTACCAAGCCATCAACATTATAATGATATAATTCCAAAATATAATGCATCGTACACCACGTAGAACTGATTTCCATGCATAACCAGGTGCATGCTTTCCATAAGATCTGCGAACAGGTACTAGAATAGTTACTTGTTCATATAATCGAAATTGGAATAGGATATACGAGTAATCTTGCAGCAAGGCTCTATTGGTGTAGCAATGTTGGTGGATCATGAATGGGTATTATTGATGATAGAGCTATCTGGGATCCTGTTTGAACAAGTATAGTGCAACAGAGAGATCAAGGGCGCCAGGTATGATACTTCGTCCAGCAAACAGTGTCTAAAAAGGGTGATGGGTGATTATGAATATGGAAACTCTCATCCCATAGTAATTATACTTCATAACGATGTTTGTGTATTCTAGAAAACTGTCACGAAGGAATCCCCGGTCGTCAGAAAGGTATTGCTTTGCTGATAGCAAAATTTATATCCACGGGCGTCTTCAAAACCCTATATCGTGCGATTGGGCCAATGTATTAGCTTGGATCTTGCAATCAGAAATATAGATATCGGTTCCAGCCCTGAAAAAGGCAATGCGAGAGTAAGAACGTACTTCTTGCCCATATCCGTAGCACAACAGCCACAGAATAGAGCTGCTGGATAACATACGATCTATAAGCATGTTTATGTTAGTGCATGCACACGGTTCTATTCCATAGTTCTCCTGCATACCGCCGACAAGACACCTATCCAGAATCCTAGAGGTAGAAGATATTAGATATCCGTTATATACGGGGATTCGATGCTTAGCTACCTAGCGTAGGGCCCACGATCTTGCACCTGCAAGCGTTATCTGTTCCGCATTGGATACACAGGAAGAATGGCCTGGGAAGTGGACACTGGTCGCAATTGTCACACATTGTTGGCAGCTTGGAATATACAACAGTAGTTATGGGTAGCCAAGCGCTCTCGGCTTCTCGAGGGAGCGGAAGAATGAAATCAGCGCTCTCAGGGGCTGTTGTTGGAGGATGGACGATGTGCCGTGCTATGATATCATAGTTGTTTACGGTGCAGATGGTGGTGGAGAAGTTGGCACGGCAAGAACTGTAGTATCAGAAACCTTCCCGCCATCCAGGAACCATCCACACATGAAGAACGGAGATGTAAACATTAACAATAGCCAATATTGTGGAACGGGGCGTGGGTCGTATGGCGATGCTCGCGAACGGAGGAAGAGGGAGCTTGAAGGTGTTTGCTTGATTATTATATAGGACATCAGCAAAGCAGACCGGGATCATTTGCCACACGGCCCATGCTGCCTGTAAGTGAAGGCGAGGGTAAGTGTGGATGGTGATCAGTACATTAAAGTAGCGTGGAGAGAGTAAAAGTTCTAAACAAACTATGACTGGCAGGCGTAGAAAAAGATGAAGGGGGAATTCCGATATTTACCTCAAACCAACAGAGGCCGCCACGAAAGAAGATAAAGGGCAGAACAGAAGATCAGGTAGAGATATTGAACATTTGGAGAACGTCAAGGAGAGTAAAGTACAGGTTAAAACGGAATCAAATTGAAAGTAAAATGGTTGAAAAGTTGTCGAGTCAAAAAACGAATTCCCGGCGAAAATGCGCATCAATTCCCAGTTCGTAAAGTCATCACTGTTCTAGTATGATGACCGGTTTTTAATCACCCATTATATCGTCATCTGGAGTGGGCGATGCTTCTTCTCGTTCCTCTCCGTCACTCGCGTCTTGTTGCTCCTCCTCATCTTCGACTAGACCCCTGACCCGTAGATTCTCTTCGTCATCTTCTTCCCCGACAGCTGCCTCTTCTTCTTCCTCATCCTCATCGTCGTCCTCATCTTCTACCATTTCTGTAGATTTGACCTTTCCGTTGCGGGTGTTTGAGGCAGCTCCATTTGCACCAGCAGCATCATGGCCCTCTGGTTCTTTCCCCTTAGATACCACCCGCCTCCGGACGGTCCGACCCTCTTTTTGACTATCTTCCAAATACGAAATAACCTCTTTATAGTTCTGTCCTAGGCGCGATTTGTTTCTGAGAAGTTTGCGTTGCAATTTTCCTGCTTGTGGGCCAGAAACATCCAACACCCGACCGATAATAGCTAGGACGATTTTGCCGGTAATCTCGCAAAGTCTCTGTTCAGCAAGGAGCGTTGCACGCTTGACATCGTCTTCATTCTCATCGGCATCACTTCCATCCTCATCGTTGTCTGAATCGAGCTCAACCTCTGATTCACTCTCCAACGGCTCAGCGTCAGCTGCTAGGTCTAGCTTCCGTTTCGACTTCTTGGCGAAGGTTCGTTCGGCGGTGTCGTGAAGGCGGGAAAGGAGGGAACGTATCTCAGGGGTGATCTCTTGGGGTAATTCTTGTACTTGGAAGGCGAGTTCATTTTCCGTCATGGCAGTTAGATTCTTCCCCGGAGGCCCCGCATGGCGAAGTGTACCAAAGGCAGTCTGCAGATCGAGGAGTGTCGTTGTAGCTGCAAGTTTGACTTGTTTTATACCAGATCCATGCGCCTGCATAAGTGCGCAAAGCGTTGCAACGAACGATTCGCGTCTCTGGGAGAGAGACTCGAAATATCCAGCGTTGTATGCGCCCTTGTTGCTGCCGGAGGAGAGGGCGGCAGTCAAGCTTTGGATTTTCCACATGAAGTAAACCAATAATGTTTTGAATGTGTTCGTAGCTATCTCCTGCTCAAGTTTATTCACGTCCTCGTCATCATCCTCTTCACGGAGGCCTCGTTTAGCTAACGAGAGAAGTAAATCCACGGGGGCTTCTGCGCGCCCACTCCGTTTCTTCGATGTAGATCGAGGCACTGCCTCTAGAGTCGAAGTGCAATCAGATATGCTAGCAAGATTCGATATGCGCATTACGGTATTGGAAAGGGTCTTGAGTGATCCCAATGACAGGCTCATGACCTCAGGCCCTTTTTTGTCCGCTAATATGCTGCTCAAAGAATCAATGGTGTCGTCCCAGAGTTCTTGAATCTTGCCCTCCATGGCTTCTTTGAGCTCATCGGAGTTTCGAGCGCGCAGGAATGCGACTGTAGCTTCGGCTAGTACTTCTTGGTCTGAATGTGTCAAAAATTGTTGGTTGATATTGTTCATAAGGTCGGAGTATGCCGCAGCATCCTTTTGTAGATCCTGGATAAGATCAAGGTTGACAAGGTGTTCTAGTCTCAGGACGGGAGATGCAGCTTCCGGTACGGCGCCAAACTTATTCAAAAGTCGAGGTATTATCTGGGATAAGTTATGTGCAATAGACTCCAGGCGCTCCTCCATCATTTGCACCGATTGCTTCGTTTTCCTCCCTTTCTTGTCTACGTCTGACTTCGAAACAGCTTGGATGTGTAGTTTGACAGCGCATTCTAGGACCTCTAGAAGAATGGTCTCCTGACCCTCATTAAGCTTGTACAGGTACTTTATGGCATCTGTAGGATCACTGTCGTCTGACGGCTCTAAGATCTGCGAATGGTCATAGAGTAAGTACCCGGCTAGAGATTCCCAGTGCTCGAAATCTTTGAAGTGAGGGTAAATGGATTCGGTGGCAAGGACAAATCTGGAACCGATCGGACTACCAAATGGCGCAGATCGAGATGGAGGCTGTTCGTTTCCATCGTGCAACTCAGACTCTTGCGAATCGTAAACCTGCAACATATCCACAAGACATTTGAACTTGATCCAGGATCGATTTGGGGAATCGAAATTCTCATCATCCTCTTCGCCAAAGAATTCGTTGACTTCTTCTTCCATACTCTCAATTGAAGACTCGTAAACGTCTGCAATGTTTGCGACAAAGAACTTTCCGGCAGCTTTACGGACCCGAGGCTCAGTGTCGAATATAAGCCTTCCTATACTGTCAATGTCATCGGGTTCTAGAAGACCAGCATCACGGATGACGTCTAATAGTTCCACTGTAGCAGCACGAACTCCAGGCTCTGCGTCTCTAACTGCCATTTCCACTATCCTGGGACGGAACCGTTCAGTGAAAGCTCGTAATCCGGGGATATTGTCTTTATTCTGGAACAGTTTCTGCAGCTGATGGACAACAACGGATCTAGTAGCGGCTACAGTGTCCGAGAGAACCCAACCAAGGTACCGAAGATATTGACCATCAAAGAACATGTCCTTGTATAGGCCGATCCATAAGCCTAATAGACCCATACACTCCTGTCGGATCTTGGGATCGACGTCCCTATACCGATGGACAAAGACTGTGTCAAACGAGTCCCGAAGAATCTCGTCAATGGTTTCGAGCCGTTTCTGCCCTTCCTGGATCTTAGTTTGCAAAGCACTGATTCTTCCCTTATTCGTAGTCTTTTTCTTCCGCTCCGTTTCTAGTTGAGTTCGAGTATTTGACACGCTGGATGAAACTTCCCGGGCGATATGGCATAGCGTGGTCATGATGGTAAGGGAGACGATGGTAGCGGTATGTCGGAACGGTCTGATCGGGGCGGACGACATCGAGGTAATCCAAACTTGAATGTTCTCAATGAGCGCAGGGTCGGTGTAAAGCGTAGACGCACTGTGGATGGTTCGAATAAGGTCATCAAAGAAGCTGGTCAAGACAGACTGGAAAGACTTGAAGTTCCTGGCTTTCGACACAAGCGGATAGTCGGTGATGTCTTGTGCCTGATATTCCTCCTGTATGTCGTTCAGGCGATTGGCAACGTTGTCGACGTCCTCTATGTCGGTGCTTTCAACCTTTATATCGGTTCCGGAGCATCTTAGGATGAAATTGATCAAGTCGCGCATTCCGTTGATATTATTTTCTTCGTATTTTGTGAGCCACTCCGCCGCAACGGCCTCCGTGGTATGACCGCGTCCAAACACCTCCGCTGTAAATATATCAGTAACGGTAAATTAGTCGTGTGTATTGGCTAACTGAGCAACTCACCGTATAACCCGTCTTCATCACCAAGTTCGCTTTGCCTCATTCGAGGCTTCTTCTTCCTACTCTGCGGTTTCGGCTTCTGCCCGTTCATGATGGGACGCAGGGCAAGCTCGGTCGATATCCCGTTCGCGATCTTTTGTTTCTTCGCAGCCGGCTTGGCCTTGGGTTTCCTGCTTTGATTCTGCTGTTTCTTGCCAGCAGCAGCCCTATTCCTCCCCTGTCTGCGCTCTCTCAGCTCCTCTTCGTCAGCTTCTCCCTCGCTCGCATCGGTTTCCCCATCTTGTTCATCGTCTTCCTCATCTTCCTCTCGCGCCTGATCAGAGGTATCATTCAACGCGTCATCTTCATCTTCATTGGCCGCGGACTGGCGCTTCCTCTTTGGACGGCTCGAATTGAAGGTCTGTGAAGAAAATATCTCTGGTTTCCGCCTAACACGCCCGGATTGTCGCCTGGACAGCCCGTTGTCTTCCTGGCCTGCAAGGCCGCTGCCCGCCTCGGAGAGCGGGCTCGAGTCGCGATCGTCGGCTGCCTCCATCGTATACTTAGTGCGATCCGAGTATAATGTCGTCGGTGACGGTATCTCGTATGGCTCGTTGGAAGTGAAGGGGAAAGGATTCTTGTCAACAGCTTCAAGGGCACTAAGACGCGCTAGATGTTTTGGTAGAACTTGCGCGCAACGAGCGGGGCAAGGGAGCAGCGAACAGCTGAACGAGACACAGAAGGCGACCGGCGGAGCCGAAAGTACCTGGTCCAGTCACTGCTCAGCAACAAGATATCACCGTCGCGGTGGTTGATGTCGAAGGCCTTGGAGGATGAAGAAACGCGCGAACTTTTTGGACTCGGCTCCCTTTTTAGGCTGCAAACGATGCAAATTTACAAAGTGCAGGCTGTATTACTGTACGGTATGTGTTATTACCACTGTGTACTGTCATAATCCACGCGATAAGAGTAGATAAGCAAGTTATGTATGTAATATTACAGAGTACTGTAAACAGCTTTATCACGACCTTCCATTTGGCCTTTTTCCCCGCAAGAACATAAACATCTACCATCTATCATCTATCATCTACCATCCTCCATCTTCTCTGTATAGATATCGTCATTGCAGACGTGGTGAGAAGGAACCCGTTGACTTGCCATCAATCTATCCGCTGGGATAACCAATTGATCTACTGGAAGCCTGGTGCTCCATGCGGTGGTCCATGATATAGAAGGCGGCGCAATGCCGATTCACAACTCGCCCTTTGCAGCTTCGTCCCTTGCCAAAAGCTCCGGCCGTGGTGAAGTCGTTCTTACGGTTCTTCCACCGTCTATTCCATCACTGTCGACGCTGTCCTATAATTATCCACTTAAACTACTGTCCCGCACTCCAGAAGGCGGGCTGAAGTCGAGGTATCCCGCTTCCGCAACTGCGCCATTACACCTCTACCTTCTCACGTATGGCGGCGGTTTACTTCCCGGTGACCACATCGATGTTTCCATAACCATAAAGCCTAGAGGAAGACTTGTCGTCACAACTCCACAGGGCAGCACAAAGATATTCAAAACCGAGGCGCAGGGTGGTAGGAAGAGACACGCTCCCAAGACGGATAATGATCGGAGCAAACAGACTCTGAAGGTTCAATTGGGTCAAGGAACAGGACTGTGCTTGCTTCCGGACCCGTCTGTACCATTTGCAGATAGTAGGTATGACCAGTTTCAAAGCTTCACTCTTCTCCGAGAGGATGGCAGAGCTGGCGAACATGCGCAGGGCAAGCAGGCCGTGAATGAGGACAGGGTGTCAGGTTCCAAGGGCAGCCTCTGCGTTCTTGACTGGGTCACGGAAGGACGTAGTGCCAGGGGAGAGAATTGGTCGTTCGATTCGTGGACTGGGAGAAACGAGGTCTGGCTGGAAGATTGCAAGACTGGGAAAAGGAGACTCCTACTTCGTGATTCTGTGATTCTGGAGAATGGTACAAACGATAAGCCACAGGATGGCGATGATTCGAATAACTCAACGCAAGCACACCTACCTTCTCCCACGGCGCACACACCAATCCGCTCTCGCACACACTCTCATGGCATTCTTGGAACATTGATCCTACATGGGCCATTATTCGAGTCCCTTGCTGACTTCTTCATGGAGACATTCACATCCCAGCCGAGAATTGGCGGCCAGAACTGGGCATCAAGCTCGGAACAGACAGTGTTCTATCCCACAGACCAGGATAAACGCGTTAATGAGAATACGACGAGCAAAAAGAGTAACGACAGTGCTGCGAAGCCGACGGAAAAGAGCCAGGGGAAAGTAACGTGGACTGCTGCACGGGTACGGAATGGATTTGTGCTTGTGAAGTTTGGTGCTCCTGATTTTGAAACTGCTAGGAATTGGCTGGGCCATATTCTCAGGACAGAAGGAAGCGTTCAGCGGGAGTTTGGAGAAGAGGCACTGGGCTCTCTGTAATATAGATCTATGTGTATATCGCATATTGCGGGTTTCCCATGTTTCTATTAAACGATATTACCAGCGAAGCAATGTTTGTTTACGGGCGTACTTAGCTTCATCGCCAGCGTTACAGAAGGCGTGCTGATTGTTTGCTTGCCTAATGCTATCGTCGTCACTATTACTATTATTATCATTATGACGTAGAGAAAAGCCAGTAAGCCGGTGGAAGAAGGTATGCATCCGAAGCAGAAGCATTCGATAAACAAGTTATGAGCAGGAGCTATAACCATTAATTGCAAATTGAAGATAGCGCAAGATCTACTCCATGCTACCGAGGTTATCAATTTTGATGCGTCGAGTTGCCCGTACCCAGAGTAAACCAGATTTCTAATATAAATATACGAACTCATAACGACTGAAAATCTCACTTGGCAAGGCTTTCTCTGTGATAATCATTCACATGTACCGTTTTGTTCATGTCGGTGGTCAGCTCAGGCCAGAACTCGAGATGATAAACAGGGGCCGAACCAATAAACTAGATATACCGACTCCTGTAGTACGACGTCAAGTAATAGGGTAGCACTTTTGTGCAAGGGACGTTTCATCGCAGCTTAAATAAAGTTGATCTGCGCAGGTTCAAAATGTTCTATAATTAGTGTGGAAGGGCTTTATGATACGAGCCTCAGGGGAACGTGGATAGGAGACTGGCGGGTTCAAAATATGGATCGTCCTCAACCCCCGCTGAATTATACGACGAAGGCTCCGTAAGGTCTAGCGATCATTGGATAGCTCAAAAGGGACTGAAATACTTACCTACACGAAAGGCTGTGCAGCTAGGTCCATCACTCCATCTTGATCACGGAATATTTCAACAAACCATCCCTTCAAATTTGTAGTATGGGGTAGTAATGGGCCCCAGCCTGCTCTATCAGTTGCATGAGGGGGCTCCCGAGCTAGAATATCCTGGATTTGAGCTCGTATTATCGCGGGAACAAAAATAACTCGAGAGGCAGCAGGCAGAAGGGGTAGGTCTATATAAATCTCGTCAGTATCCGTCCATGAAGCTATCCAAACCAAACCAAGACAAAAGGACAATAGCAACAATCGTAATCTCAATCCAACAATTCCTTTCATACCACTACCAAACTTCCCTTAGCAATCAATAAAAATGCGCTCCGCAATCTTCATTTCTGCCATCTCCCTTCTCCCAGCTGCATTCGCAGCTCCTCTCGACATCACAACCAGAGGCTGCGTTGGCCCAGATGTCAACTCTGCCACCATCGCCCTTGTCAAGGAGTTTGAGGGTTTCGTTGACTCCCCTGCCCCAGACCCAGTTGGTCTCCCAACTGTCGGCTATGGCCATCTTTGCCAGACCAAAAACTGCGGCGAAGTCAGCTTCTCATTCCCGCTCACCGAGGACAGCGCCACTAAGCTCCTCCTCCAGGACATCAAGGTAAGACTTGCTCAGAGCATAGTAAAGACGAAGATCTGTTGCTAACAGTCAACCCTAGAGCCCTCAACAAACAATCACCTTGAAGACAGCTGATGGCGTCCACTTGAACGAGAACCAGTACGGCGCCCTTGTCTCCTGGACCTTCAACGTTGGCCCTGGAAACGTTGCCACTTCTAGCCTCCTCAAGCGCCTCAACGCCCTCGAAGACGTCAACACTGTCCTCCGCGAGGAGCTCCCCAAGTGGAAGTACGGTGGTGGCAAGGTCCTCCCTGGCCTCGCCCGTCGCCGTGCCGCTGAGGTCGCTCTCGGCGAGACCGCCACTGAAGTTGGTGCTTTGCCTGTCGACTGCTAGACGCAGTCCAGCCAAGTGTTATCCAGGCCAATTAGGGATGTGCTGGAATGCTGATGGACCAAGTGCAATATACCGGTGTATCAGGTTCTCTGTACTTCTCATACTTGTCCTTTTCTTCCCCTGTTCTTTGCTGGCTTTCCATGTCCTTCTTTCTCCGGTAGACGGGGGCTTTTTCATGTAAATAATAATCAAGCCATTTTTCTTCAGTCTCACAGTATTCCCATTATCTATAGAGATATATGGATTGCTGTTTGAATGTATATATTGAATATATATTCTCAGTTTCCTTCGCACAGCTAGCAAGTAGTTAACTTGTAGAGTATTGGTATCTTTTTTCATCCTTCATAAGGTCATTTCAACCCATGGCAGATATCTCTGTATGTGTCTGCACTTCCTGTCTGCGTCTCCGCAGTCATCTTGGATATAAAAGCTGTTTTGTGATGCTGTTGAAGTCGAAAATGTTAAAGGGAGCGGAGTCTTGGCACCAACCTAAATAAACTCTAAAATATTCAAATCTTGAAGGTCAAAACTTCGTATGAAGAAATAGAAGAAAACAACGATAAGAAAATATATCGCTATTCAACATGCCGCATAAGCACAAAAGACGAGGGAACGGGGCGTGAGTACTCTACATCTCTTCAATGCCTAATCGCATCTATCGCATTTCGGTACTGCTGAGCTAAGTGCTAACAATTGATTTATTAGCGACGATTATGATCTTCCCCCAACTTCGATAGCAAAATCTCTCCCCACCAGATCAGAAAAGCCTGGCGCCAAATCTAAAAAAGGGCAAGCGCCTAAGAAGGGATCGAAACAAAAGACGGCCACAGTCAAAGAATTACAAGATGACACCCCGCGCGCCTTTGCGCGACTGATGCAAGTGTACCAAGGATCGGCCAGCAAGCGGAAGAAAGGAGATGGCGATGGAGATATAGACTCAGACGAACAGAATAGCCGCAAACGAAAACGAAAAAATGAGCCTGACCAACAAAAGAAACCCAACACGAAGAAGGTTGCCAAAGCCAAAGCGGCGGAGGACGCAAGGGCGGCGAATATTCCTAAGATTCTACCTGGAGAAAGGATATCGGATTTTGCTGCTCGAGTCGATCGCGCGTTGCCATTCTCAGAGTTAGCAAAAAGAGCTTCGAGTTCGAAAGGAGGGAAGGATGCGGCGATAGGAAAACTACGAGAGACCCGCCAGACAAAGCACGAGAAACGATTATTACGACTACAGAGCCAATGGCGTGAGGATGATAAAAAATTCCGCGAGAAACGCCAAGCTGAAATTGAGGAAGCAGAAGGAGAAGATGAAGAGGTCAACGACTTGTGGAAAGAATGGGAACGCGAAGCCGGAGCAGGTGTCAAAGGAAAGAGTAAGAAGAGTAGCATGGCACATAAGAAAAAGAAGAAGAAGAAGAGTACTGGGGGAGACGATGATAGCGATGGGTTTATCAGCAGCGACGATAACGACGATCCATGGGCGAAATTGAATCAAAAAGCGAAAATCACGAAATCAGTTAACCCGGCCGATGTTGTTCAAGCTCCGCCAGAGAAGCTGGCTAAACCCAGAGAAATATTTAAGGTGCATGGGATGGGAGGCGCAAAGGTCCATGTTGCTGATGTCCCTACTGCAGCGGGAAGTTTGAGACGAAGAGAAGAATTAGCCACCGAGAGACAGAGTATCGTGGAGCAATATAGGGCACTCATGGCCAGTAAGAGGGAGTGATCTACTTGAACTGAATAGCCATAGACTAGGGACCTAAATATTATATGTACAGAGATATCCATATCATGACATTCCAGGTATCATAATCTAAACTTTTGGTAAGAACACGCCGACACTAAAAAAACAAAGGATTGAACGCTTGACAGTAGAATATGGACTAGAAGGCCTCGGTCCATTGCGAGCCCCTATCTCTGAGGAAATGCTTTCAAGCTTCTCCTTTGATAGACCTGACATAGTCTGCAGCACGAGCCTTAACCTCATCGATCATCTTCGAATCCCCATCAGTGGCAACCTTCTCTTCAAAAGCAAGCCACTTTTTGAAAAGGAATTTGGCTTGCTTTTCCTTTAGCTTCTTCTTCGAGCTCGATTTACTTCCATCGGCCGCAACAACACCATGGCCGATTCCAAGGACGCGCTCAAACAGCCGCCTTACCTGCTCTGCATCACCGACCTTGATTTCCAAGTCCAGTAGCACGTTCCATAAATCAATGCGCTTTGGGAACGAGGACAAGAGTCCCTCAAACACTGTTCTTCCACGCTCAACATCTCCGTTGGGGGAACGGAATTCCAGCTGGCCGAATTTAGATGTAAGTTCAACATGCGTATGAGAAGGGAGAGATTGCAGCGCTCGGGGAAGTAAGTCGCGTCCGCGCTGGGGTGCATCAAGGGTATCGAAGAGGAAATTGGCGTAATTCAGGAAGAAATCTGGCGTAGAGGAGACCTTCTTCTTCAAGGCGGTTTGGAACAATTCATCCGCTTTCTATAGTTTAATGTTCATTAGCATATGTGAAAACGGACAAACAGACCTAAAGAAAGGGGTTGCACATGTACTTACCTCCGTTTTACCGGATTGAATGAATATGCTCGTCATCCTGTCGTAGATTTCGTGCGCATCGTTATATTCGCAGGCACGTTTAAAGACATCTTCAAGGCTGTCATCGTTGCCGAAGGTGTTTTCCAAATTGAGCTGAGCAACCCAGACATTGAGCTTCTCTTCGTCCTGACCGATACTCATCGTCCGCAGAGCACGTTCACCAATTTCCCTTGCTTTGTCCACTTCGCCCAATTCCAGTTGGAAGGCCATATACTTCAGCCACAGCAGACTGGAATCCGGTTCTCCAAGAAGAAGTCGTTCGTAATCAGCAACTGTCTGTGGGCCATTTGCATCCAAATCACCAGTCCTGTCTACTTGGATCTCAGCCTTCCGACGCTTCTTCCGTTTCGTCGCGCCATCGTCCTCCCCAGAGCCGGCAGGGAGTTCATTGTCCTCTTTATCTCCATCACCAGTCCAGTCGAAACCGGAGGTAACAAGACCTCCCTCCTTGGCATCATCAGCTACATCCTTCATTTCAACGTCATCGTCATCACTTTCTTCCTCTTCGTCTTCATCTTCCTCGTCGTCGATATCCACTCCTCCCATTGACATATCCTCATCGGAGTCATCGTCAGACCTGACGTCAAGGTCAATACCGCCAGCCTCGTCGTCACTTCCGTCGTTTTCTGCCTCTGCAAGTATATCCTTGAAGTAGGATGCCTTCAGACCCAATGCAATTTGACCTTTGTCCAAGTTAACCTTAAGGACCTTCGCTTTCACGATGTCATCCTTTTCGTACAACTGTGTGGCATCTTCGACCCTCTTCTCTGCCATCTCGGATCTATGGCACAGACCACTGAGGTTCGCGCTACCGTCAATAGCAATGAAGGCCCCGTATTCCTCAACCTTTCGAACTTTACCAGTCACTATCTGGCCTGGCTTCAGGTCTTTAAGAGTGAACGGAGGTTTATAGTTGGGGTCAAGGGCTGACTTCTTCAGAGTCATCTGGATCTTGTTATTTTCCTTGTCCACGACAGTAAGCCTTCCTTGAACAAGTTGGTCGACTTGGAATTCGTCCTTCCATTCTTTCAAAAAGGAGTCTGAAAGGCCTGAAACTCGGATATAGGCTGACACGCTATGCCCTAGAGTCACAAAGACACCGATATTGTCTACCCTTCGAATAAATCCGCGAACGATCTGACCAACACTCAACTGGTCGATGGAAGTGATCTCGGGATCTTCAACAGGCAAAGAGGAGCTGAGAACTTTTGACGGTCGCACTGAGAACGAGATCTTTTTGTTGGGGATATCGACATCGACGACGCAGACACGGAGTGCCTCATTTTTGTGGAAGGCGGTTGGGTCTACTTTCGTATAGTCGTCGGCCATATCTATCAGAGAAACGACGCCAACAACATTGTCGTTTACTTGGACCAAAACTTGACGGTCAGTTACTTTCGTCACTCTGCCCAGCAAGATCATGCCCTTGGATAGATCCGCTACAGTTAACTTTTTGGCGGCGTCTCCAATTCTAGCGGACAAATCGAGTCGGTTTTTATCAGCATCAATTCCAGTAACTGCTACTTTGATCGCTGACCCGACAGGGAAATTCTTCTGAATGTTGCCTGTGACGGACAAGTTATCAGAGATATCGGTAATACGCAGTCTTCCTCGCACATTCGGTGAGATATTTAGCCATAAACAATCTTCAGCGATGTTGTTGACATATCCGACATGAATATCACCGATTTTAAGAGTTTCCAACCGAAGAGGCTCGAAATCTGATGCCTCAAGACAACTTGATTTTGCGGACAGCTCATACACCGAAACTTTACCAGCTCGATGACTGATGGGGAGAAATCTGTGATTCCTAGCGTCATGAACTCCAAGCACTCTAACGGGGAGAATTTGTTTGGAGTGGAAAAATCGTAGTGGTTGTTTTCGATCTTTGATATCCTCCCATCCGTCGAAGACTTCGGATACATCGATACGTCCTTGAACATTGTCAGCTAAAACAACGTTCAGCTGTGTGTCTTTGATAGAGGTAATCTTAGCTTTCGTGATTTTCCCAAATGAAATATCCTCAATAGATTTCAATTCTTCATCAACAGGGTTCGTCAAGGTCGTCACTATCGTCTTCTTCTCCGGTGCTGAGCTTGTGTCGGACGTCTGCTTGTCTTTTCCAACAGGTTTCAGGCTAAGAAGAAATCGTTCCGAGTCTTCTTGGACGGCGCAAACTGTGGCGGAAATAACTTGAGATCGAGTGTATCCAAAATCCGGCCGAGAAATATGATCATCGTCAACCAAACGTTTCGGTATCAGACCAGTGAGGTTGTCCAAGAACTCTACAAATATTCCGTCCGGGGTAATGTTCTTGACTAGTCCCGTTACTTTCAAGCCATGCTTGACATCGTCAAACTTGGCAGGCAGCTTCCCCTCCGCAGAAGCCTCCTTCAAGGTAGCCTTGTTCGTGACTTGAATAAGGCGGTGGGTCTTCTTGACTCTGAAAACTAGAAGGCCCGCCATCTTCTGGCCGACTCTGATACGGTTCAAAGCTGATGCCCGTTTCGATGCTGAGCCGTCGGAAATATGCTCAGAGTTCAACCTTGCAACTAAGCCTGAGTCCTGGAGTTTGATAAGTAAATCATCACTTGACTTTTCAAAGACTGTTCCAGAAACAACAAGACCGGGCTGAACTTTCTCGAATGCCGACTGATAGTCTTCAGTTGCGGTCGCGGGATCTTTGCAAGAAACGACTAATTTTCCATGCTCGGCATCTACGCTGAGTGTGTGAACGTTGACAACCTGGCCAACCGTGAAATGTTGCGAAGGATCTGTAATATATGCTTCACTCATTTCCGAAACTGGGAGGAAACCCCTGATGGTGCCATAAAACTGAACGACAGCACCGTTATTCTGGATTTTAACCAGGGTTCCTGGAGACTGGTCTCCAGCCGAGATGTTTTCGTAGTCTTTCCACGGCGCGGAGTCACTGTTCAGTAGGGATTTCTTCATGGTTAATCTAAGTTGATGCTTTAGGAGATCAACTGATAAAACTCGCACGGAAACCTTGAGGCCTTCCCTGAATTTCTTTTCTGGATGCTGTAGCTTGGTATCCGCCATGTGCATTCCGGGAACAAGACCGGATATGGTATCCGTGAGAGAGACTATCAGCCCGTCGATACCGTTTTCTCCAATGAGAAGTTTTTCAATCTTTCCCTTCACGACACTGCCGACTGTTACATCCTCAAGGCGAAGAAAAGGTTGGTCGATGATTTTTGGTTCCAATGACACTAAGAACATGTTGTCCATGGCGCTGAAGCCAATAATTCTGCCTTCATGCGTCGAGCCCACCTTGTAAGGACCATCGGAGGAAGAAATAGAGTCCACTCGTTCATCTGCGACCCTCGAAAGATGTACGAAACCTTGGTGTTTGGTAGATCCCAACTGGACGTACAAGCCAAGTGTACTGTCGACATAGGTAACTTTAACCTCTGGTATTATATCAGAGATTGCCGGTGTGTCCTTGTCATCTCCGCTAGTCAAGGTGGCTGTGGGAGAAAATTTCATGACGCTGTCAAGGATCGAGAAACCGAGCTTGATGGGGTCGCTGGTTGGGTAAGTAGCAATAAGGCGACCTTTTATTTTCGCGCCTGGATGGTACTTGTTCGTGAGATCCCTTTTCCCGTCGCTTGACCCGGAATGGATAACATCGACGACAGTATCCAGCATTCCCATAATTTTTCCAGCCATGCCGCGTGGAGTTACTTCAGTAATGAGCACCTCGGCTGCTGTTCCCGGGAGGAAGGCATTGATAGTTGGTGCTGTATTTAAGAAATGTGCCTTTTTGACAGAGGCAGCTGAGGCAAGGTCTGCTGAGAGCTTCACTACAGTCCCGCTGGCATTGTGTCCGGTGACAATGCACAGAAAGACTGACCCCTCCTTGACATTTGAAATATCAACCCCGGTGGGCAGTTCTCGGGAGGAGATGAAGCCTTTCGTGTCGCTATCTTCCAGTCCAAGGTCCATTATGAGACCATGGTCTTCGACACTTACAACAGAAGCTTGGACCGTGGCGTTTACCACGACATCAGCCTTCGTAAGACCTGAATTTGCGACATGAGGTTCCACGGATAGCTCAAGGTGCTTTTTCGTTTTGACCTTCTTGTCGTCCTCGTTACGAGTTGTTGCAGTAACTGATGCACGCAAATACTGCCCAACCTTGACAAAATCCTTCAATTCAAAGTCGTCGTCGTCGTCTTCGTCTTCATCGTCACTCTTATCGTCTCCTAGCAAAGCTTCGACTTTTCGTGTTAATGACTTTGAGACCGCAGCCCAAGGAATAAAACCCGTCAGGTTGTTAGGTAGCGCAAGAGAGATATCGTGGATGCCAATGCTTGAAACCTGACCGAGAATTTTGGAACCGACCACAATACGCTATTACATGTTAGTTTATGATCCTTGTATAGAAAATACGACGAGTGTAGCTCCTCACCTTGTAGGTGAGCGATTCAATCTTAACTCCCTGCTTGGTAGCTGCCGCTGGCTCGTCCTTGGTCTTCGTTCCTTTGGTCTTTCTTTTCTTTGACTTGGTACGAGTATCCTTCTTATCCTCAGCTTGGTGTATGCTTCCTTCATCGTCGCTATTGGCAAAACCCGCGCCATTATTCCCCTTCTGCTCAAAGAGCACGTCCTTGGTCGCTTGGATCTGGATCTGCTTCCGTTCGAGGGGAGTGAGCACACTGTTACCGCCTCGGGGAAAGGCAGGCTGTTCATCTCGTAGCATGGAGATCGGCGCAGCTTTCAGAGCAGTATTCATATCATTTTTGGCTCCTCTAGCAGGCTCATCCTGCTCTTTGTGCTCCTTCGCAGGCTTCGTCTTCTTCAACTTCGAGGCGCCATTGGATTCCTCCACGGCAACCTTGGCCTTCTTCTTCGGCGCCGCCGCCGCTGACTCGTCCTGGCCGTGGCCCTTTCTCTTGATTTGCGCCATGGCAGCTCTGTCTCGACGAATTGGCGGTTCAAGAGCTCACCTTATCCATCATTATCCTCTGCTGCAGTGAACCATCTAAAAAAATTATTTGAGTTTCGCAGTCTCTATCTTAGGTAAGCAAGCTGTTTTTTTTTTACTGCCAGTGCCAAGCCCTTCCCACCGCCTGCCTGATCAGGCGACCTGGCGCTAGTCTTCTTTTGGGTTAAAGCCGAGGTTAAAAAGATAGAAAGCACGGACCAACTTCGCGTCACGTAAAAAACGCCAAGACCAAGTCACGCTTTTTTTGCGATCTGCCCGTAAATGGGAAAACATCGCTAATTAAAGAACATTTCGTGGCTCGCGCGCGTCGTGAACTGCATATTTCCATTTAAGTGGCGGGAGGCACTTCCAACATCGATACCTGCTCGCCGTCCGCCATATCAACACTTCTCTTCGTATCTTACTCACGCTATAATCTCACTTTAGTGAGAATCTATCTACTCCCCGTGTACGGAGTACTCCCGTAAACAACACTGGTTAGATCTGCTTGCCAGCAGCAGCCATGATTGAAGTGCACGAGGATGTCGTCCCGTCCTCTCCTCCATCGCTCAGTGCATCTCACGATACTCTGCCTTCGTCTCCTCCTCCTATGAAACCGAAGAAGAAACCTCCAGTTACTCCCCGATCGTTTCGACGCTTCTTCACTCCAAGGTCCTCGCTCAACGCTCCCAACACCCGAAGCCGCTCTATTCGCAACGCTCTACAGGAGATAACTTCTTCACCAGCCCTCAACCGGCTAGGACCAGCTTTTCCAGGCGTTTCTGAGGGGAATGAATGTGCAATTGCCAGCTCGTCGCCCTGCCAGGACCCGTTTCGCACGCCTACCAAGAAGAGAAAGCTATCATTCTGCGGGTTAAGCTCTCCGCCGCTTCAGTCGTCACCACTACGAAGGGTGCGAATTGCGCCCCCTATCTTTAGCGATGTGTCCCCGAAGAGAAGCAGTCTCTTCCATCCCGGTGAAATAGTTCCAGCGCAGCCAGAGAGCTTGGTTGAGCCATTACCAATGCCAGCTCCGTTACGTCGATCCAAAGTTCTTGCTCGTGCTTCGCCTAGCCTATATGCACGTAATTTTGGCGTGTCTCGATCTTCCCGGACAACTATTCGAGCTTCAAATGATGCCAGTATGTAGCAGTCACCGCAACCAGAAAGTCACTCAAGCTAACCTTCCACAGACTGGCAGGATGAAACAGCAAACTTCTACAGTCAGCCGGAAGACCTTCACCCATGCTGGAAAGGCGAAAATCCCGTCTCGCCTTATTGCACCGCTTCATGCAACAGTGAGTATCTTCATTTTCTCAATTGACTTGCGCAATTCAATTGAATCCACGTTTACTAACGACATAAAAGCCAATTCTTTAGTTGCCATTGGCGACGAAGCTGGCGGTATTAGGTTGCTTGACACGTCTCCGGATGACAAGAAAGGCTTCTCTAGTGCCTATTTATCGTTTCCGTCCATGCATAAAAACTCCATCATGGATCTCGAATTCTCCAGTGATGACAAGCTGCTGGCCACAGCGTCTGGAGACCAAACCTCACACATCATCGATATGGCTACGCAAACCCCCATCTATTCTTTATCCAAACATACATGCTCTGTAAAAAGAGTGCAGTTCCAGCCTGGAAGTAACAACAACGTGGTGGCAACCTGCAGTCGAGATGGCAGTGTCAATATATGGGATCTGAGATATAAAGCATACGATAAACCTGCTTTGCGACTGCAATGCTCTCTTGGTGACGATGACGATGATTCTCTCAGGCCTCCCGTCAAGATGAAATACGCCCAAACATCCAAAACAATTGCAGGCGCACATTTGGAGAGGACTCGTACCAAGTCAGAGCAGGAATCTCAACTACGGCGTGATGACACCACCGTGACTTCGATTTCGTTTCTGCAGCCTGGCCGTGAACACCTGTTCGTTACCTCGTCGGAATCAAACGCCTGTGTGAGACTCTGGGACCTGCGGACAGCATACTCTCTTCGACGAGCTGCCGTTCCGCTAGCTTCGACCCGTCAGCCAGATAGCCATTCCCGCTTCCGGCAATTCGGATTGACCTCCTTGACTTTTAACACCGACGGCAGCAGATTATATACCCTGTGTCGAGATGGCACCATCTATGCATACTCGACCCCCCATTTACTCCTCGGGAACTCTCCCGAAATGTCACAACCTAATAACACCCCCGGACGACGGTATCCTGCAGAGGAAGCCAAAGCCGGTCTAGGCCCTCTGTACGGTTTCCGCCATCCACGCCTGATGGTTAGCTCGTTTTTCGTCAAACTCAGCCTCCGTCGAGCAGTGGATGATAAGTCCGAACTCCTATCTGTTGGAAGCAGCGACAATTGCGCTATCCTTTTCCCTACTGATGAGCGTTACCTTACTCCCTCCCTCGCATTGTCCAGCAACACACCTCCACCTCCACCTACAACTACATCTACATCTGTACCACCAACGCAGCCCCAGGCTGGACATCACCGTCTCCGCAGCAGCCTTCGAAGGTCTAACTCTAGCTCAAGTCTCCCCGAGAGATTAGAGCATACTATCCCTATATACCAACATGGAACTCCTTTAATCGAAGGTCATAATAAAGAAGTTACTGCCGTCTCATGGGCACATGGAGGCGAGTTGATTACCGTGAGCGACGACCTAAATGCTAGATGCTGGCGTGAAGGCCCAGCTGCTCGAAAACTCCGACTTAATAAGGATAATGATGGTCAGCGATGGCAGTGTGGCTGGGCAGATGTCAAGGACCCATCATATGATGATGACGAAGCGTGATTGAATTCGATTTTTTTCAAAGCATTATATTTATTAATGATATCTCCGTGGTGATGACACATGGCCCTAATAGGGACGAGTTTTTTAGCGTCCTACTATCTCTCAGTTGGAGCAAGATCTTTTTAGTTAGAGCATATCCATAAACTACAGCTTTTATGAATTTCTGAATTAGCGAGCCTTTATGATAGCTGCGATATACCATATTTCGTTCGGAGTATGTCCATCACTAAACGTCCTTCCTATCCACCAAAAGTTAACTGGCAGAAAACCAAATATCTATCTGAATCGATGCTTTTATATTTCTTTTCTCTTCCCAGGACATTAAAGTAGATGCATTAAGTTGCAGAAGCCAAACGAATTGCCGTAGACAGCACAATATGCGCTAAGCCGACATTTATCGTTGAGCTCGAGCCACGTCTGAAGAATGTTTAATCTAGTGACCATGTCCGTCGTCCTCGCGCTTCTCAGGATCCAACTTGATCATGGTATCAATTCTCATGATAGCGATACAGGCTTCGACGGCACTCTTGAGCTGCTTCACCTTGCTCATGCTCGGCTCCAAAACACCAGCCTTGACGGAATCCGTTACTCTGCCCTTGATAAGCTCGAGTCCATAGTTTCTATAGTTCTTTTGCTTGGCGATAGCCTTGTCAGCTTCGTTGGCGACGCCCTCTTGGACGCGGAGGGCGTGGGCGTGACGAGAGCGTAGTTGGGCTACGAGTTCAGAGGCGTCTTTGGCAGCGTTCACGGCGAGGGTTTTGGGAATAATGAGGAGGGATTGGGCAAATTCGCCAATCGCAAGTTGCTCTCGGGAGCTCTATACATAGAATTGGTTAGATTTATACATAAAGGAATAAGGATGGCTGTAGATGAGATAACTTACCACTGTGCTTGCAAACTCCTCAAGGTAGATGTGAAGGGCAGTTTCCACAGCACCACCACCTGGGACAATGGAACCACTCTCGAGTGTTCTCTTGACGGCACACAGGGAGTCGTGTACGGATCTTTCCATCTCGTCGAGCTGGAAGTCATTTGATCCACGTAGGATGATTGACGCAGAGCTGAAGACTTTGGTTCCCTTCACCAAGATACATTCATCATCAGATATTCTCTCTTGGACAACCTCTTCTGCATGACCCAGGTTCGAGGCGTCAAATTTCTCATCTCCATTGAGATCAGAGAGAGTGCTGAGGAGCGTAGCTCCAGTAGCCTTGGCAATTCGTCGCAAATCTTCCTTCTTGCATCGTCGAACAGCCATAGCACCCTTTTCTACGAACATCTTCAAGCACATGTCATCAATTCCCTTGGTGGTGAGAATGACGTTGGCACCAGACTTGAGAATCATCTCTATCCTGTCAATAACGATGCCAGCCTCTCGCTCACGAATCTTCTCAAGTTGCGTTGGGTCTTCAACGGTAATGTGAACACCGAGTTTCATTCGCTCTTTCTGGAAGTTCATATCGAGACAGGCGATTTTCGCGTCCGTTATCCTGGTTGGCATGGCCTGGGAGGCGATGGTACAATTCAACGCATAGCCGTTGACCAATACGGATTCCAAGCTACTTTTTCCATGTGCTTTGAGTAGGTTAACTGCCTTGACGGGGTATTTGACCTCTCCTTTCGGGGTCGTGGATTTGACAGAGAGCATAGCATCGACAACCATCTTGGCGAAGAAATCCATATCCGATCCGATAATCTTACTAGACATGGACGTTCTGGCAATGCTTAACAAACTATCCTTCTCTAGGTTATCGACTTTGATGTTGATGTTCTCGTTCATGTACTTCACGGCCTCACGGAGGGCTAGTCTGTACCCTGTTATGATGGTGGTGGGGTGTATTCTGTTCTTCATCAATTCGTTTCCACGTCGAAGGAGTTCTGCAGCAATCAAAACAACTGAAGTCGTGCCATCTCCAACCTAGTCCAACCCCGTTAGATGGTCGTCTAAGAATGTAGTTTTATTGCGGGGTCCGTACCTCCTTATCCTGCTGCTGTGCCAAATCCACCAGAATCTTCCCAGCCGGGTGTTCAACATCAAGCAAGGCCAAGATTGTTGCTCCGTCATTTGTAACTGTGACGTCCTGCAATATATGTAAGAATGTGAGGGAATCGTGGCCGAGGGGAACTCATACCCCTATATCATCCACCATCATCTTGTCCAGGCCAGAGGGGCCAAACGAGCTTTTCACAACATTGGCGATAGCTTGCGTTGCAAGAACTGACAAGAGAATTAGACACCAGATCCATGACCAGGGCAACAGAGCTTAACGAACCGTTCTGGTCGCGAATATCGGAGCCGCTCAATTTCGTTCCTCCTAGGACTGCACAACAAATTGTCAGCTTAGTTAGCTGCCTAGCGGGTCGAGAAACCGCAGACGACTTACAGAGGGTCCCGGAGTTCCGCGACTGTTCAAAAATGCCTGCCATGATCTCGAGAAAAGATCAGATATGCCGTTCGACTGTGGCTTCGAGCTTGCGATGGTATTGTCAAAGGCATGCGATGTTCAGGGACGCAAGAAAGCAGCTAGGTTTCTGCCACTAAAGGCGGTGAACCCTTTTTTGATTTTACGAACTTCCCCTCCAAGTCGCTATTTGTGTGTGGTGGGAACAACAAGCATCACCATAGCTGGCCCCCTTTGATACCTCGCCGTTTACTCTTCTACGCCGCTGTTAAACTCGCAATTTACCCAGGGGATAGCCATGTCAGGCCAGGAATCTGCTAATCCGGCCCCCGCGACCAAGCCTACCTCGCTCCCAGAGCGCAGCGCGAACCCCGCCAGCGGCGACGGCAGTGCCCCTCCACCAGCAGAAATCTCCAAGAACGCCGCAAAGAAAGCTGCGAAGAAGGAGAAGCTCGCTCAGGGGAAGGCAGGGAAGGCTGATAAGGGCATTGGTCACAGCGGAACGAAACATGCGGCTGTAAAACCGGCGAAGAAGAAGGGTGATGGCCCTGCGCTTATTGGTATAGACGTCACGAAGGAAGATGATTTTCCAGCATGGTACCAGCAGGTGTTGTTAAAGGGAGAGATGTTAGATTATTACGATGTGTCAGGTTGTTTCGTTTTAAAGGTACGTCTGCTTTATATCTACGTCTTAACTTCCAAGTCGTCGAGAAAAGAACAAGTCGCTAATGGTGCTCATGTAGCCTCATTCTTTTTTTATCTGGGAGCAAATCCAAAGCTGGTTCGATGCCAATATTAAGAAGATGGGCGTTAAGAATTGCTCTTTTCCCCTTTTTGTGTCAGAAGACGTTCTTAAGAAGGAAAAAGACCATATTGAAGGGTTCGCAGCTGAAGTCGCATGGGTGACTCACGCGTAAGCACTTCTACCACCACTCTCAATTTATATGACGAAAACACCAACTAACGATGTATACAGTGGCAACTCTGCTCTAGAAAAGAAAATTGCTATCCGTCCAACCTCCGAGACTGTTATGTACCCATACTACGCTAAATGGATACGAAGTCATCGTGACTTGCCCCTTAAACTCAATCAGTGGAACTCGGTGGTGAGATGGGAATTCAAGAACCCCCAGCCATTCTTGCGCACAAGAGAGTTTCTATGGCAAGAGGGCCACACTGCCTATTTAACAGAAGCTGAGGCTCGCGAGGAAGTGCTTCAGATTCTCCAACATTATGCCCACGTTTATGAAGAGCTTCTTGCAGTCCCCGTCGTTCAAGGGCAAAAGACAGATAAGGAAAAGTTTGCAGGTGGTCTTTATACTACCACTGTGGAAGGATATATCCCAGCTACGGGTCGTGGAATTCAAGGAGGAACGTCTCACGGTCTAGGCCAGAATTTCAGCAAGATGTTTGGCATAACTGTTGAGGACCCATCGTCACGCCCTGATGAGAAGAAACCACCACTCCACGTTTGGCAAAACTCCTGGGGATTATCCACCCGTACCATCGGTGTGATGGTTATGATCCATGGTGATAACCGCGGGTTGGTTATTCCTCCGCGTGTCGCTGATATCCAGACCATCATCGTGCCTGTTGGCCTGGGTGTCAAGACTCCCGATGATGAACGTGCATCAATTATGGCCGAGATCGATGCCATAGCCGCTGTACTATCGGCTGCCGGTGTCCGTGTTGAAGTTGATAGGCGCGACGGCTATACCCCAGGATGGAAATTCAGCGACTGGGAACTTAAGGGAATCCCACTTCGTCTTGAGTTTGGCCCCGGAGAATCCGCCGGTTCTTTCGTGACAACCTCCCGTCGTGACATCGCCGGTAAAGACGGTAAATCTTCCATCCCAATCAAAGAACTAGGTACCGCTGTCCCTGCGTTACTTGAAACCATCCAAGCAGACCTTTACTCTCGTGCAAAGGCATCATTTGATGAACACACCAAATTAATCACCAACTGGGACGACTTCTGCCCTGCTCTTAATGCCAAAGATATGTGCGTCATCCCACACTGTTTGACTGAAGAGTGTGAGGATCAGATCAAAGAAATGAGTGCCAGAAAGGCGGAAGAGGAATCTGGCGAAGAGCAAGATGCCAAAGCACCTAGCATGGGCGCTAAGAGTTTGTGTATTCCATTCGATCAGCCTAAAGGAATCGAACTTGGCGTAACTAAGTGTACTAACCCCAAGTGTGAGCGGACTGCTGTGAAGTGGTGTATGTTCGGACGTAAGTGCTCCCTCATTATCGAATTCATTCTATATTTACAGGATCTAACCGTTTTATAGGATCATATTAAGCATACACGCACGTTGATACCACCAGTCTTACTTTTTTAAATATCACTTGAAACATTCCTAGGAGTTAGCCGTTCAATTTAATCAATTTTTTGTATTTTTATTTTCCCGACATACAAAGATCTCACACATCTATATTTTTATCAAGAAAGCCATTAGGGGTACCCTCCAATATACCCTATAATGCAAACCCCTACACTTGCCCTTGCATCTGCCCTTGCATATACCCTTAGGCTTGCTCCTAGGAGAAAGATGGTATCTTCTTTCGATCCATTAATAAAGTACTAGTGGTCATACGCCCTATATTTTATTAATTGGTTAGATGAAGACACTTAACAGTTATGTCTCAAACGAGACACAGCCATTTATTAATTATATCAAGGAACTGATCTCCGTCATTTCGCTGTCTACATGCCAAGTGAAAATCCATAGCAGGTGGGACAAACATTTAGGCCAACTAAGCCGGAGTTATTTGTGAGAGCAATCCTAGGATGACCAGGGATTTTCAGCTGGCGTATTTCGATCAGAACAAATACTAGACCTTCCAGGGGATGAGTTCTCTCCTACACGGTAGGAGACTCGCTGTACACCATCAGTAGGCCGCAACCCGTTTAGGAAAAATGTGCGTGAAAGGCCCGGATTTTGCTGTGTACTCCGTAAAGGTAGCACAGACACGTTGCCCGTTGCACTGCGGATTAAGCGGGAGTTATGGTGCGCCCGCTCCTAAGGGAGTGGTGCTTTGACTCAGAGAGACAATATGAAACATGCGCATTTCGTTCATCTATAAAGATTGAAGGGCAGCTGTGGCCGTTGTTGACGCCTAACAGGTGGCAAACCTGCTCTCTCCCCCCAGCCAGTCTTGGATTCTTGGAGTCGCGGTTCATCCTAGTCAGACATTCTGTACCAGACGGTACAACCTCGCTAGGACCGATCAAAGGATTCAGACCAGTTGACGTGGTTGTCTCACTTGACGTCGTACCCACAGATGTCCGGAGGGTGACTACATGATGTGAAGTTGGGTTGTTGAAGAGTGGCTGCATTTAAGTTGTTTAACTCGTTGCGGCCCGCCGAGCCAAGACCCCCCTGACCCAGCGGACTGGTAATCCCGCCTTGGCTCCACTTCTACAGGTCTCCGCGTCGATGCATATATCGATTCGCTGCCTCATCTAATGCCCGGGCCATTTGCTTTGTTCTAGATTCAGGCCATCTATAAAGCTACACCTTGAGGTGCTCTGCTAATTTTTTCCCAATCTCATCATGCAGAATCTGTTGTTTAAGCGCAATCTCAGTTCTAGATCGTAGACTGAGGCCAACCATTGGAATACACCAAATATGTCGGCTTGTCCACTAGAACCTGTCGCGAAAAGCGCCAGTGCGAGTGCGGCCCCGAGTACAGATTTGGAAGATGGCGAGAAGTGCAATCCGCTTGTGAGATCTGGAGCTGACGATTCGTCCACGGATCCTAATGGCATTGGCTGGGATACCGACGACCCTGAAAATCCCCTCCACTGGTCGCCGCCTAAAAAGCTCTTGCATATTGTCCTCGTGAGCTTCTTTACATTCATTTCGTGGGTAACTTATTCTCTCGCATTCCGATTTACGCTGACATCTAGCTTATCTGCGAAACACAGAAACCTGGCGGCAACCATGTTTGCGCCTGGAGCAAAAGAACTGTCTGCAGAGTTCCATGTCACCGATTCCATGATTGAAGCTATGACAGTTAGTATCTATGTACTCGGTTTCGCTCTGGGGCCTCTCATACTTGCTCCCCTATCCGAATTATATGGGCGCCTCATCATTTACTACTTCTGCAACATATTTTTCTTCGCATTCACTGCCGGCTGTACATTCAGTACCAATGTAGTAATGTTTCTTATCTTTTCGATTCATATGTGGTTGCGCTGCATCTGGCCCTATGAGCATTGGCGGAGGTACGCTTGCAGACATCATCCCTCAGGGGCAGCGAGGGAAGGCCATGGGGTTATTCACCTTAGGACCGATACTAGGGCCGGTATATAATCAACCATACCATACAATATCTATATTTGCTAAATCATGATATAGGTCCTTGGACCTGCTATTGGAGGCTTTATAATGCAATATGCTGGCTGGCGTTGGACGTTTAGGATCCTCTTTATACTGGTAAGTGATATCAATATGCCCACTAATTTAAGCATAACTCTAAGAAATCTTACTTTTAGGCTGGGGTCCTCGGAATCGGCACAGCCATATTTATGAAGGAAACCAACGCTGCCATTTTGCTACAGCGGAAAGCAGAACGCATACAAAGGGAGACTGGAAACGCGAATCTAGCACCTAAGAGATCCAAAAGGGAGGCCCGTCGCCAATTACTTCATAACATTATTCGTCCAGTTAAGATGCTGGTCTTCTCGCCCATTGTTTTGCTTCTATGCCTCTATGCAGGGATAGTGTACGGCCTCATCTTTTTGCTCTTCACCACCTTCCCTCATGTCTTCCAGGGGACATATGGCTTTAATTCAGGGACTTCTGGATTAGCCTACCTTGGTCTAGGGTTTGGGATGATGTTGGGCCTGGTAGTATTCTATCTTTCTAGCGATAAGCTCTTAGAACAGAAACAAGGTAATTGCGATATCAAACCGGAGCAGCGTCTAATCTTGATGAAGTGGTTTGGCCCTCTCACCCCTCTTGGTTGCTTCATATATGGCTGGAGTGCATACTATCATACCCATTGGATTGTGCCAATCTTGGGAACTTTCGTCATAGGATTTGCTGCCTTGTTCGTTGTCATACCTGGACAGATCTATCTGGTGGACGCTTTCGGGGCGCAGGGGGCTGCTTCGGCTCTTGCAGCAAGCTTGCTTGTTCGTTCTCCTTTCGGTGCCTTTCTAGATCTTGCTGCCCCGCCTTTATACAGAACTCTGGGGCTAGGCTGGGGGAACAGCGTGTTAGGTTTCATTATCCTTGCCTTCACTCCAGTTCCGTGGTTGTTTTGTCGGTATGGTGAGGAACTGAGGACACGCTTTGCGGTTAATATTTAACGTCGATAATTTCAAGTTGGCAGTTAGGAACATGCATAAATACTCACAGCTAGATGTAGGGCCCTACTATCAAACATATGTATGTGGGAATAGTAACTACTCAAAATGGAGGTCTGATGGATGGGTACCGTGGGGTTAAGTGTTCTGTTATATTTAATGTAGCTAGCTAGCGATGTGAAACATAAGGAAAATAAGAAAGGGGGAATCATAGAGAATGGAGACTAAATAGATACACGAACAAACGCTAAAAAAAAATGCCAGCACGATTTTAAGGAAAGACAAGGAAAGCCATCGTCCAAAGAGTACATCACCTGGTATACAAACAGAGGAGATATCGAGATATAGAAATAGGTGGTATGCCGGCAGGCGGATGACACAGTCATCGAGTAAAAAGGTAAAAGGACTAAAGACTAGTTATTAGTCTTTTGCGAATAATGTCTCGAAGTCGACTGGAAGAGATTTTAGTTGCTTATAATTCGGAACGGCATCCGTCTCTTTCTCGACGACAGTGGAGAGTTATTGGAGTTCTTCTGGTTCCCCGCGCAAGAGTTGATGATAATGTTGTTGGTGGTAGTGTCAGAAATAACAATGGGGATATGTTTTGGGCGTGCGGGTTTGCGGGAGGGTATGAATAGATGTAGTTTAGAGGACTTTGTCGAAGAAACGGGTTTTCCCTTGGGGTTGGGGTCTAATTTCTCATCGTAATAGTCGAAAAGAGATATTTCCGGTGAGGTCCTAGAAATATCCTCGTGGTTTACGAGAGTTCTAAGGGACTGCTCGGAGTGGGACTGTCTCAATGTATCAGGCGCGTCCATAAATATCGACACAGCTTTTGAAAGGAAGCCCTGCGGCGCCTGCTGGCGCGTATTGGGACTTGACTGCTTGTTCAAGCCATTAGCGAAGTATACATTGGGCAGCTGGCCAGCAGCTGCGGAAGTCTTTGGTCGCTTTCCTGTTGTAGATCGAGCCGGTAGCGGTGGAATATCATTGGCATCGGAAATCCGCACACGCGCCGCCGATTGAGAATAGGTGTGTCTCCTTCTGCGAGCCACCGTATCCTCAGGCTTCGATTCTAGTCCCTTAATAGCAGGGAATGACAACTCTCGCCCCTGTGAGTCTGGTCTTCCACCGAGTTCGCGGACGGAGTTCCGTTTGGAGGCTATACTTCCATCCCTCGAAGATAAGCTCTTACTCCTTGATACAGCAGTCATAGGGCGACCGCTAGATTTCTGAGAATTCCTGCCGTCCGAGCTAAGACCAGGAGTAAGCGAAGGCACGGGAGAAATGGGGCTCGCGCTCTGCGGGCTGATATGGCTGAATGCATCGTGGCTGTTAATTTCACGAATAATAGCATCCTGGAGAGACTCAAAGGTAGGGTGAGAACTCGTTGCTTGGGATGATGTGTATGCTTGCTTGAATAGGTTCATCATTTCCACGGCGCTAAATCCTGTGATCCTCGGGGATGGGTTTACAGGACTTGTAAGCGATATTGGGCTGTTTACAATCTCGTCAAGACTGGCGTTCAGATCTTTGCACGGAGGTGCAGCAACAGCTACGATGGATGGTTGCCTTGATATTTTTGCAAATTTTCTCCCAGGAGCAGCGAGTTGCGTGTTGATAGAGAGGTCACGAACGTTCCTCTTTGAGCCCCTCCTAGCAGCGTTTGGAGACAACAGGTTGCCTGATGGGTTACTTGGGGGGGACTTTGCAGCTTGTTGAGATTCCGGTACGACTTTTTTGGTGGCTGTGGGTGTGTCCTTGAATGATGGTGTAGGTTTTGATTGGGGTTTCCGGCTGCCTCTGCACTCGGACGGAACATGAGGCGTGTCGGCACTGTTTTTGGTTCGTCCTAGGCCGTCGTTGACTCGAGGAGATGGAATCTGCTCATCCTCTCCAGCAAATTGGACAGAAAAGGCTGGTGCGGACTTCCTTGAGCGCAGGGAACCATTTACTCCAGAGTCTGCCCTGGGTTTCCTCCCACTCGACGACTTGCCATTGCTTAAACAAGATGGAAGCCTGCGTAGGTCTTGATCCGAAGAAATAGCTCTGAGGGCAGCATTCTCTTCGAATGACTTTGAACAAGGTATCCCTTGACTCTCTTTCACCCTTCTAGGCTTGTTATATTTCTGGCTATACCCACGAGTCGGACCTTCCCCCGGCGGCGGTGACACTAGAATTGGAGGGCTAGAAGACACCATATTCCGGTCTGCAACATCTTCTTGGTATATTGCGGATATAACCTGTGAGTAACGAGTAGCCGTGCCTGCGGATGCTTGTTGGCTATTTGTGATATTCCGTTCAGCAACTTCCTCGTTATAGGAATCGGTAGGGGACAGAATGATTGGGGAATAGTGCTGCTTCTGCCTAAAGAAGATGGCCTCCAAGACATCGACATGGCGCTTCGTTCGCGAAGGGGACGACATAATATCTATGTATTTGGAGCGCTTTGTGGATGGACGTGATCGAAGCTGTTCGTGTAGATCTTCGAATTGCTTTTCAAACCCAAGATATGGCTGAATGCTCCTATGTCGTAGTTGGGGTGGCCGTACATCTGGAGGAATCGGGGCTTCTGAAATCGAAGTGTGTGGAAGGTGAGATGTCGCGTGGTGTTCTCCGTCGGCTTTCTCAGACTGGAACAACGGCCTGTCCGGGTGAAATAATTTCTTGAGGGCCGACATAGTTCCTTCGGCGGTGTCTTATATGCCGAAAGAGAGACAGGGAGAGTGGGAATAATCAAAATTGCATTGCAAAATTCATCGCTATGACTTGCATCCCAACTATCTCAAGGTCAGGGGATAGTATTGGTCGAGAGCCATTATCTCAATGTAAAGGGGGAGCTATATCAAGAGCTTCCCTGGAAAGAGCTAGGGTTATGTTGACGGCTAATGCAATTCCCGAGCTATCCAGGTTCAACCTTGGAAGGGGGCATGAAGGAACAAGAATATTCGGAGTAATATGAATGACTATGGAGCAAGTGAGACTGGGGTCATTATATCCGGCGCCAGAAAAATAAATACTATACGAGGTCCGTCAGTCTAGCGATCGGCAAGGGGTGGAGTGGTTAGGCGTTCCCTCGATCTTCTTTTCCTGTGCCAATGCATGCACTATCTATACCGCCTCCACAGCCATAGTCGAGCGAAGGTTATATAGAAGGGTCTGGGCCGCGTACAGAGTACGTATGCAGTATTTGGACAGATAGCCATCGTCCTGCGAGCCCAAGGGCGACGGATTTCGCTGTACTCTTGTACTCTGCTCCTCAGCTGCGTGGCTAGGCGCAGCCAAGGTTGAAAGAAGCCGCATCAAGGGGTGCATTTACGGTATAGTCGACCTCGGATGGGGAAGTACGCCAGTGAGCCGTCTCCACTGGTAGCGTTAGTATCTGCCGTCCCGGGGCATTGATCAGGACGATCTTGCGGAACAGAGTGCTGTTAGTGCCTTGGCCGGGCTGGCGAGCCGTTCAACGGCGACCAAAGAGTGGGCGTCGAGGCCGTCTGCATATTGCTCCATAGGATGGCTTCAGGTCGACTGCCAAAAGCGACAGTTCGATTCCAACGTTTGCGGTCAGAATTACATTGAAGTGCGAAACATATGTCTAAGTATAGCCCGAAGCTAAGATTCCCCGGAGTGGGCAGCCGGAACGGACCATGAGCTAAGCACAGCCTTTGGCTGAACAGGGGTTCACCTTGCAAATCGTGTGATATCCCTCCTTTTCGCGTGCAACCTGAGAGTGATATCACCCACCTCAGCGCGATGAGAAGAGCAGGCGGACGCGATCGCAGCTACTCCGTACTCTGTACCCTGTCCGCCCGGCCCCAGGGTTGAGTCTCCGTGCAAGATGGGATTCTTCATCGCAATCGGCCGCCGTACCGTACCCCCTGAAAGCCCGCGCTTGGTGTTCTAGCTGCAATTAGCTCTAAAGCAAGAAATCAGCACCGCGGAACTGACGACGGCAAATGGTAAACATGGATTCCTAGCTGTAGCTCGTCATTCTGTTTGTCATCTCGACACTGGAAGCGAGAGATGCGCAGTTTCAAAGCTCCGTAAACGCCACATCCAACCATGGAACGTTCCTGGCCCTCTGTTCATCAACTGCTTGAAAGTCGATACGGCGTGCTCCGTCTCGAATGTATCCCTGTCGACATCCTCGTGAAAAGGGGCAGTCTAGAAGCGTCAGATTTCTAGATCCAGTCGAGTTCAGAATAAGCAGAGAATGACAAGATGTCATGGATGTCTTGCTGCAAGATGAGCAGAAGTCGGAAGTTTCGAAGAGTGTACATGTCACGTGGTTTGCATATTTGTTGCATCGGCATTTTAAGCGTCGATCTACGCAGGATATTGGACACTAGATCAATTATTGAACTAAGCATAAAACTAAGCATCATACGTAGCACGGCCCTCACACAGTCACAACTTTAAGAGCTGGAGTATTGGCCGGATGAGCGCTGGTAGCTCATAAAGAGGTGGCGGCAATCGACTCGATCGCCGGGATTACGCTCGACGCTATGATGTTGGCTATCGGTATATCAAGGAGATCACCTTGGGCAGCGATGGTGGTGGCGATAACCTCTAACGGCTGGCCGATATTGCGCCATGATGCATGAATGCAGAAAAACGGAGCGTTAGAAGTCCTGACAGGCGGGGGGACGAGGGCGTAGTGGCTGGTGTTGGAGATCCTTTGACTGTTGGCAAGACCTAAAAGAGTCCAAGACGTGCATCAAAGATGGGCAGCTAGTAGACTGCTGGCGGGGGCGAGTGCTATCGCCAAAGCTATTGATAAGAGCCACCACTTAGGCAAACATCCGAGGCATCGATAGCCCGTTCAGCCTGTTAACAGCGGCTCGCTTCATATTGCGAGGGGTCGAGGTATACTTGTCTCCTCCTCAATGGGATGGGAAGAGTTAGCACTGACAGGCCCCCACCCTCATTAGCTGTAAACGGAGGATAAGAAGGAATTGGTCATGGTGAAGGTCAGTTTCGTTATTATTTTGTTCATGGATCAATTTTCACATTTCCATCTCGCTCTTATTGTCATTGTGAGGTATCTTTGTTGACTGGTTGGCGGCTTGCTCTGCGGACTCCTTGACTGCTTCTATAAGCACGGTATGAGAGGCCTTTGCGGCAGCAATAGCGCCATCCATCAGAGCATCGTGGCCAAGGGAAGCGTTAAGCCCGTTCGAGCCCGTGCCCGGCAGGTCTCCCTTTAGCCACAATTCTGTAATCTCATCCAGAGATGGCATATAGCCCACGACACATGCAGAGGAAATGTTCAGATGCTCAGAAGGATCAGGGTCAAGTACCAGTGTCTGTGTCGACGTTTTGGCTTCCTCATTCGAGCCCGAATCTTCAACAATGGCGGCAACACCTCCAGCAACAAGATCCAAACAGTCGATTCTCGCATCAGCAATAGCCGCAGAAGCCACAGTGACACAGTGGGCAAGGACATTCATCATCCCCCACCCATCAGATCCAGTCAACGATTCTGCAGTCAACATATCACCCCACCAGCGATCATCTTCCCCTTCTAATATCATTATCGTGATATCGAGGCCACTCTTAGGCCACCGGTCACCAATTATAGCACCCCGAAGCGCATTTTCAAGGTGTACCCCTAAGTCTCTTTCGTTCATGTCACGTATATGAGCCCTCCGTCGTCGGGCAGCAAACGGAGCAAATTTGACATGTGCAGATAGCAGAAGGTTTGGAGAGAACGGAGTAGATCGAGGGAGTGGTTTTGGCCCATTGACGGAGCATATCAACTTTAGAGAAGAAGATGGTGGGATGAGAGATTTGCCGGCCGAAGCGTTAGAAGGATGAAGCTCAAAATACGCTGACCCAGACGCTGACGGTACGACCCCCGTTTTCAAGTCTAGAAACACACGTTAGAATGATAATTGTCCTCGGACCTGCTACTATAGAGAGCAACTTACATATTTTTCGCAGCTCTCTCGCCGTTCTGGTGCGAGGAGGGCGTTCAAAGGCTGTCGACTGCGACTTGTCCCCAGGGTCTGAGCAGGAAACAAACACCGGTGCCCGGGTCCCGCCAGCTGGGCCGTTTATGCGCCTTCTATCTGTCATCTCACGCGATCAATGGCTCCCGAATGTGCTATCAGGTATGTAATAATCTCTCTGCTTGAGGTTTCGTGATGTTTTTCCCGAGTGGGCCACTAAAGCTGTGCGGGCCTTTGTTTTCCCGGACTTTGCACATCAAAAAGCTCGATTTTCCTCCTCGACTTCATCTTTTTCTTTTCTCCCACACACAAACCGCGATCTCCCATCGCGAAGACCGCCAGTTGATGCTCTGGTGGCTTCATGATGGGAGATCGCGGCTCGGAATGATAGGTAAGCACTTGACTTTTCTTTTTTACTACACCGGCTTCGCCAATTCCTCTTATGATGCATATTTTAACCAGTTCTTTTGGCGATTATCAATGAGCCTTATTGAACATGCACTACCATCTGATTACTCCTCTATCTTTCTCATTTATTCGATCATCTCTCTCTTGACGACTTGAATACTAATGTATGAGAATAGTTCTAGCACTACTACCTCCAACGACTAATCTATCGAGATGCCAGATAACGATAAAATGTGAGTTCTACAACCAGTTCTTGCGCAATTTTACCCTTCATGATGAGAATCATTTTTCAGTTCTGCTTCTGTATTATCAATGAAGATAACAAATCTTACCAAATTCCTGATAACATCAACGCTCAACTTGCTATTTAATATCGATCCAGGCCATCGCATCTTGCTAACCTGTTCAGTTTGGTATTTGTAGGTAATACTAGTAAACGGCCACCCGAATTAATATCACAACAATATATCGTCAATTGCCTTAATGTGAGTTATAGCCTCGCGTCTCATCTCGTACCACCCACCACCTCCTTTATGATGATACCAAGTCAATCCATTCCAAGAGCCCGTCAGGGCAACCTCTATTTGGGCGGATGTTTCCAAGCTTGGTTTGATAATCCACTCCCTCCCTGATACCGGACCTGTCATCTTTCATAGAGGATAGGGATGATTGGTTGTGGAGGAAGGCAGGGACGTTTTCGAACCGTAGCTCAGTTACTGAAGCCCAAAGTCCGATCTTGATCATTGTTCTTTCGGCATTTCGTTTTGGAGTGTTGATAGAGCAGTGGTCTTGATTGGGGAGGGGATGATTTTAAACGGCTTAACTGACCTACATTTGTGCCTTGCCCTTTTGTACATGTCTCAGTACGAGGTTTCTTACGTCTGACCTTGAAGATCCTTACTGACTATTTGAAGTTTGTAAGTTGTGCATTCTATATAGACAGCCTCTGCCAGTTAGACCATATTCGGGATTAGCAATGAATTAAATACATTTACTAGAAGTCTACATCTCTACATTATTTCGTCTTATTTATCCAACGCGATATATCCATATCTTTTAGAATAATATGTAAAGCGAAACAATACCCGTGTATGTGTTTAATTGTATTCATAGGTCGTATGCTCTCATCAAACGCCCGATCTCATCTTATTTCTGTCTTTTTCTTCTCTTGTCTTGTCTTGTTCTCCGTGCCTTGTATAAATGCATAAAAAAAAACGTGAAAGATAGGCCATAAAGCGGATGTGGATGTCTGGCATTCATCGTGCATCAGGGTAGGGTATGAATATAGGAAAGGAGAGGACATAAATACGTTCAATCTTTAATCTATGAAAAAGGGCCAAAAGGGGGAGTAAAGGCCCGGAATCTTTGAGTAAGAGTATGCTCCAACCACCGACCATCAATGCTATTCCCGATAAACATATATAAGAAACACGGGTAGTAAATCCAGGAGGGCAAAGGAAAGTTGATATACTGAGGCCAGACACACTTGGGGCAGGGGGGGAGGGAGGGGGGCTATTTATACTGTATAATGATGTATTGAAGCTGTTGACGAGGTTGCCGGTGCCGTACGCTGTGTGAATTCAGGTTACTAGGGGGGTTGGATGCGAGCATCTCGGGGGCGATGAGAGTAATTGGCTGTCTGGCTCCGTGATGTCGAGAAGTCAGTGTGAGAAGTCTATTTCATCTCTTCGGTTTCGGTTTCGCGAGTTGGAGTAGCGGCGCCATTGGCTCTGGTCATGCTATATGGAGCCTGTATGTATGATGTTAACCACTACTCTAGATAGAGGTATGGAAATAGGTGACTTAACATACCAATACTTTCTTTGCATTGCATATTCTCCACGCGAGGTTTCGGACATTCCCATCGGCCCTGACAACCTCAGTCGCGAATTCAATTCCAAACCTAGTATATCATGTTAGCAAGTAATAGAAGGTTTATGGGTAGAGTAGATATACATTTGATGCACCGCATAGACCACTCTCTTAGCGTACTTGGAGTCGCTCTCTGCCTCCCATCCGAACGGCTCCTCGACAGTCTGCGGCGAGATGTCCGGATCTCTATCAAAGCAGTTCTGCACGATAGGCAACAACGCCGTTTCAATTGCCGTGGTCATATATCCATGTGGGCCAGCGCCAGTAATACCAGCGCTAGGAATCTGGCTGGGCACTTGGTCGTCGTCGAACTTGGGAATACGGATCTCGAAGGGCCTTGAGGTAGTCATAACATTGTGCTTGCCGTTATGGTGGTAGCGGAATTCGAACACGCCCTGGGTCCACCATAGCTTGTCGCCGGCAAACACCATCTGGCCGGATGCCACTTCATGGGAATTGGATTTACTTGACTTGCCGGACTTTTTGGACGAGTCGGGTTTTGAAACGACGGCGTCACTGGTAATCAGTCCCTTTTCACTGACGAGAGAATCGAATGAGCCTTCATTGGTAGCTACCCAGCGACCCCAGGAGGAGACCTTGGTGACTTCGCGAGATGAATTTTGGCCAATCATGTATAATCCGACCCAGTCCTTTTTGCTATGGTTCAATGGCGCGGTCCAGGTAACTTTGATAGGAGAACCGTATTCGAGAACCAAGACTTCGGACTTGTGTTCTACGTCGTCGGGTTGGGCGATACAGTCGTTTCCGTCAACGCAGAGGGAGTAGTCGTTCATATCGTAGCCGGCAAGATCGGGCTCAAGACGAGTGATGGTGATGCGAGCGGGATATTTGTGGAATAGCTCACTGGTATCCTTGACAAAGGTGGTGACGCCGGCGGCAAGCTTTGGGCGCGCGGTGTCAAGCACCTCCTCGACAAACTCAATTGATTCATCCAGGATCCGATCAACGCTGCCGTGCAGTTGTTTGAACGAAGGCGGAAGCGACCGTTTGATGCTACGTACCAACCCAGCGTCCTGTCGGAGTCCGCGGCCATACAGTTTCTGCATGTGAGGGCGCTCTACCAGTTGAATGAATGCGATTCCTAGAGTATGACTTAATAGGGCGAGGAAGATCATGGCGCGACTACTGGTGATCAACGCAGCGCCCCAGACGCCTGCTAAACCAAGGACGCGCTCGGGGTTGTTTAGGAATCGATAGATGCCGCTATACGTCAACTTGGGAGCCTCGTCGAAGAAGAAGTCACCGAAGAACCAGCCAAATTCGCCTAGGGATTCGTAGATGCTCACCGACGTCCAGATCTGCAGTGCGATCAGGCCTGCACCCAGGACGTGTTTTAGGATAGCAAGACCGTACCCCCAGTTTTCGGGCAGGGTGTACATCTTCCAAGCGGCGGCGATGAAGCTGGCATAACACAACGTCATGCTAAGATGATATGTACCTTTCCACTGGTTCCATGCTTCGTCCTTGGTCTCTCCGAACTTGACGAAATGCCGGGTCCATGCTCGACGGTGGGATTGGCGGTTGAGAATATAGCCTATTCCAACGGAGTACCAGAGTCGCCAGATTGCAGCGTTTAGGACGAAGAAGAATTGATATATAGGTGTTGACGGGGTGAGCATAGCGAGTGCGAAGAAGAGTAGTTGAATGAGGATGATCGACGAATCCGTGATGCGGTGGAGGTCGAGGTTCTTGACGCCCACGAGGTTATGGGTTGCCGATGGCAAGGTAACTGGCGATGGAGACGGGGTCGTGTCGCTGCTGTCCGATGGACGACGGCTTGACTTTTCATCACCGGAGACAGCGTGGGATTCAACGAGTCTCTTGCGCGGCGGAGGCGCATTGTACGTCTTTTCGATATGCGGGTTCTCAACCAGTACGAGGAAGGCAAATTGCGCAGCGTGTGCGAGAATAGAGATGAACAGCACCTTGTAGCTCGCTGCCATGAGCGAGATTCCGTAATATCCAGCATAACCGACAGAGTACATGGGATGCGGTGCCATCTCAAACACTCCATCAAAAGTCAATTCCTGGTCGACCAAGTAGAAGAAATCACCCCAGTACCAGGCGAAATCCTTGACGACACGATGCGCATCCAGCTTCACCCACAGATTGAACAGCACGAGACCCATCCCGACGATCCATCGAAGGGTCATGACCATAAAGTTCTCTTCGGCAGGGCGCCCGCCACATGCGATCGCAAACAGGCAGTAAGAGGTAAAGTCGCACATGAGAATCAGGTCGACGACCCTCCTGAAGACCAGCCAGGTGTTGTATTCGATCGGGGCATCTTCAAACGAGTAGTCTTCCGGTATCTTCGTCTCGAGCTCGCGTTTGATGAAGCTGTATAGTTTTGGATGCGGATTCTGGCCGGTGGAGGGGTTGACGAATATCTTGGTCTTGCGGGCCCAGAGGACCATGGTCGAGTGGTTTGACTGCATGTGCAGAAGCCATCCTATGCCGATATTGTAGGCAGCGCGCCAGGAGAGGAAGAGGACGGCGAAGACGGGGATGCGGAAGTGGGAGGGCAGCAGGTAGAGCAGGATGATGTGCAGGCCGATGATGGAGAGGACGAGGATGTCTGACAGGTTCTTTGGCTCGGACGGAGAGAGCAGCTGGGACACCATGTCGCGAGTATGCGGGACAGTAAAGACTACTCTCGTTAGCTTCTATATCAGTATCTATAGATATCGTCGTGGTCATACCTGTCCCGTCTGGCGTTCGGCCGATGGTCTTTTTCTTCGCTTCGCTGCCATCGCCATCGCCATCGCCATCACCATCGTCCTCAGACATGGCAGACGACTTGACTGTCTCTACTCCCTTGACGGCCTTTCTCTCTCGCAGCCCACCATCGTCTGGCTGGGCTATGGTAGACAGTTTCGCCATGTCACGCCGGTCCGTCAAGTCAAGTCACCGTCGAGTCACTGTAACGTAACAGCGTCTACTCTGAGTTGAATCTCGATGCGATCTCACTGATCACGGCCAAGTTGAATTGGCAGGTATACCGTCCTCTCTTCAAGGCGATCGACGGGAGTGGCGGCGACGGGAATATAAATAATCAAAAAACTCGAGTGTCGCTAACCGGCGCACGAGACCAGGAGAAAAAGAGGCTCGTATCCTTGCTGCTTGGCCGTCTCCTACCACATACACCACTGACACCACGAGAGACAGCGCCGGTCTTAGGATGGTCAATTAACGCAGTGCGAGTCCAGGGTAAAGTCCTGCTCGTCTACCCGCCGTACAGAGACTTGGAGGTGGGAATGGAGGCGGGGAGGCGGTTTGTGGGTTTGGCCGGCGATGATGTCAACACTGTGTACAGTATCTATCCCGGCCTGCATGGAATACGAACTCATAGGCTTCTACAGCAACTCGATGTACTCTGCGGCCTCAGATCGACTGCTAGGGTCTGTCTGACTTCCCGCGATCCTCTTGTCCTCCTTGTCCCCTTGTCCTCCTTGTGTCCTCGTCCTGGATGTGCTATTCGTCGTTACAATAGATCCTGGTGGTGATCTCTACCTTCTGCCTATACCTGGTGTTATACTACTCTTACTCCGATGATACTCTTATACTCCTTCTCTTATACTCTTGTTATACTTACCCTGGTGTAATACTCACTTCTCTCTACTCTTCTACTCTTCTACTCATACTTATATCTACACTACTCCTACTTATACTCTGATATATCTACTCTTTTCCTCTATGTTATGTATGAGGGGATGGTAACGGCGATACCAAAGTTACATGCATAAAGTGGTGTGTCTATCACATGTCTAGCCGATATGACCATACCATACATACATGATAAGGTATTTTTGATTATCAATCTTTCATTTTTCACAAAACACACGATATACACTACACTTAAGCATTACTGTCATTAGTCTATAAGATATCACTGTTACGGAGTACTGTCTAGTCTATTATAAGGTATATCTAAGGATACGTGTGGGATGGCGCCCTTACTGGGTGAGCCTCTGGAGAGTGCCAAAGACGCCCCAGACCTCGTCGCCCCAGAACCAGGTAAGCAGTCTGCATGCCGATAATCCACGTCTATAAGGATTATATTGATCGTCTAATGCTGTATATAGAGCACTGCCCCGGTCCGACGTCCTCGCAGGCAGGCCAGAGTGACGCCTGCGCCGGCTGCCCCAACCAGGCCATCTGCGCCGCTGCCCCCAAAGGCCCCGATCCAGACATCCCCCTTATCACCGCCCGTCTCTCCTCGATCAGACACAAGATCCTCGTCCTCTCCGGCAAAGGAGGCGTGGGGAAGTCAACCTTCTCCTCCCTCCTCGCACACGCCTTCGCGTCCAACCCCCGCTCCACCATCGGCATCATGGACGCCGACATCTGCGGCCCCTCCATCCCCAAGATGATGGACGTTGAGTCCGAGACCATCCACGTCAGCGCAGACGGCTGGAATCCCGTCTGGGTCTCGGACAACCTCGCCGTCATGAGCATACAGTTCATGCTACCCAACCGTGACGACGCAGTGATATGGCGCGGCCCGAAGAAGAACGGACTCATCAAGCAGTTCCTCAAGGACGTGGAGTGGGGGGAGATGGACTATCTGATAGTCGACACTCCGCCGGGCACCTCTGACGAACACCTCTCCGTCAACTCGCTGCTGAAGGAGTCCGGGGTCGACGGTGCGGTGCTGGTCACCACGCCGCAGGAGGTATCGCTGCTGGACGTGCGCAAGGAGATAGACTTCTGTCGAAAGGCAGGTATACGTATCCTGGGACTGGTCGAGAACATGTCTGGTTTCGTGTGTCCCAAGTGTACGCATGAGTCCCAGATATTCAGGGCCACGACGGGCGGCGGCAGAGAGCTGGCCAGAGAGATGGCCATCCCGTTCCTGGGCGCCATACCGCTCGATCCGCGGGTGGGGATGGCGTGTGATTTTGGAGAGAGCTTCTTGGACACGTATCCGGAGAGTCCAGCCTCGGTGGCGCTGAGAGACGTCGTCAGGCAGATCATCCAGCTCGTCGACCCTTAATTCTACACTGTATTCTTGTATCTTGCATCTTGTGTATTCTAGTGTTAGTGCATGGCGTGTCTCGCAGGACTAGTAGCGGAGATCAACCCTATCTTTATCGTACATATAAAAGATCGTGATATATCTTAGCCGCCGCCCAAAATAACCACGGCAAGGTCAAGGGGTTGCAAGGGCCGCATCCGCTCCATGGATATCGCCGTGGCTATGAATATCTCCCGTCCGTCGAGTCGACTCTGCAGACTCTGCAGACTCTTGCAATATACTTCTCGACAGGGTCTGGTTTCAATTCTCGCCATCGAATCGGCGCCATCAGCCACGCCAAGTTGTGCCCCCTGTCGCCCCTAATGGTTTCATCTCTGGCCGGCGGTTGTCCACCATCGTCGTTTCAACCTCTCGCTTCACTCCCTGGCCGGCAGACGTCCACAGAGCAGGAAAGTCACAGCGCAGCCCAATGGGCAGCCAAAGAGCTGGTGTTTACACCTCAGGATGCCGCCGGGGTGGATGCCGCGAGTTACTCCGTACACCTATTGGACCCTGTTTGCCTTTTCGACCTGCTTTTTCTTGTCTGCTTGTTCCTGGACCAGGGGCGAGAAGGGGCAGACTAGCTAAGCTTGAGATGTTTGACACTTGGATCAGTGTCGAGTTTATGCACCGGATTATAAAGATGATACTCTTCTACCCTTACCTTTCTTACCTTTACCATCCTTACCTTCTCTTACCCTTATTCTCTCCTTACGCTCTCTCTCTCCCCTACTCTCCTTATTCTCCCTCGTTTCTATCCTAGACGATAGACATAGACGACCTGCTGAGCAGTTCGCATTGGCCGGTCCATAAAAGTTCATAGACAACTCAGCCTGCGTCGAGCTGAGTGATATTGTCTTTTTTCATTGTTGACATTCACTTCTATCTTCATTCATCTATCTTCATTCACTTCTATCTCTTTCACTTTTATATCTTCTCTCACTTGCTTCTTCATCACTGCTATCTTGTGATATCTTCACTTACCTCTGGCGGCCGCGGTCTCTGGCCTCTCATTGTAAACACACAACATGAAGATGCATCTATCTTCCCTGCTGGTGGCTGCCCTCCTCCCACTCGCCTTCAGCAAGCCAACTCCCCGAAAGAAGTCGCCCGGCAGCTTCAAGGTCCATGTCGCACGAAGGTCGAGTCCGGAGTACATGCACGATGGCCCTACAGACTTGCAGAGAGCATACGCCAAATATGGACTCCCGACCACAGAGGACATGGATGGCTATCAGCCCAGTCCAATTGCCGATTTCGTTGGACACTCGAAGCTAGCAGAGGCTCAGAGCGAGGACGAGAAGGGCAAGGTAGAGAACAACCCTACGAACCATGATATCCAGTTCCTGTCGCCCGTCACCATCGGCGGACAGCAGTTTATCATGAACTTTGACACCGGTTCGTCAGACACGTATGTTCCCCTTACCCTGTATAGTATGCATATATATATTAACATTCCTTAGCTGGGTGATGAACACAAGACTGGACGAAGCTACCAAAAAGGACCACCATGTCTACGACCCGTCCAAGTCAAAAACCCACAAAGTGCTAGACGGCATCACCTTCGACGTCAAGTACGGCGACAAGTCCCATGCCTCGGGCCTGGTGGTGACCGATGTAATGGACGTCGGCGGCGCAACAGTCAAGGCTCAAGCCATCGGCCTACCCAGCAAGGTCGCCGCCTCTCTCGCCGACGACAAATCATCCGACGGCCTCGTCGGCCTGGCCATGACCAAACTCAACTCCATGCGTCCAACTAAACAAAAGACCTTCTTCGAGAACCTGTCTGAAAACCTCGACGAGCCCGTCTTCACCGCCCAGCTCAAACATGGCATGATGGGCTCGTACGAGTTTGGAGCCATCGACAAGACCAAGTACAGCGGAGACCTTGTCAAGGTGCCAGTCGACGACAAGAGTGGGTTCTGGGAGATTAGCTGCGGGCTCTACGCGGTCGGACAATTGGACAATATCCAAAAGGTCCAGAACGGGACCGGTTCCGCAATTCTGGATACCGGTACCACCCTCCTGATCTTGGACGACGAGATCGTCAAGGCATACTATGATCAGGTCAAGGGTGCCAGATACGAATCTAAGCGATATGCCGGCTGGGTATATCCTTGCAGCTCGTCGATGCCCTCGCTGTTCCTTGCTGTCGGTAAAGACCACATGGCCATCATCCCTAGCACGCTTCTTACCTTCCAGAACTACGGCCCTGACCCGGACACTGGTGTTGACAGTGAGTTTTAACCCTTTATCATCAGCATTGACACTTTACTGGATGACACTTACTAACGCTGAATAGCATGCTATGGTGGCCTTCAGTCCAACAATGCCGGCGGCATCCAGATCCTCGGCGACGTCTTCTTCAAGGCCCTCTTCGTCGTCTTTGACAAGCGTGGCCCTTCCATTTCTCTTGCACCCCATGCCTAGACTTCTAATTCTGATTTTCAGAGCGATCTTGCATTTTTTCTGGACAACGGGACGGTGTTTTATTCTTTTTTATCCTGTGTAGTTGGTCCACGGTACATGTGCCATTAAATTGAGCCAGACTTTGTAATAATGAATTTTAAATAGAGCAATGCTAGACATAATACTTCAATCATAAGAACAAGAAAGATATCACTGTTTACTATTACTATTTACCATTTACTGTTACTGTTTTTACTGTTGACGGGAGATTATATCTGTGCTTACATAATCAGGGACCCCTCGAAAATTACTATGACTGCAAAAACTTTTATATCAAACTGAAGAAAGGAAGAGAATCAGCAATTAACACATACCGGGCGTGTCAAGACCCAACCACCGCCTCTACTATTAGACCACTTCTTCTACAGGCTCAACTCAGTCTAACTGAGTTCCCAGACCTTCAAACTGCCGCCCCAAGGCTTCATCTCGTCTCTCCTTTGGGCATCAGCAACCCCGCAGCGTCGAGCAGTCGCCCAATCTCTCGCCGCAACGCCAGGAACATTCATTCGAACAGCTCCGAGACCAGGTTTCCTTAACTCAGCCACCATGGCGACGGCATCGGCTCCCACTTCTTCGCTCCTCTCGCTCCTCTACCGCTCATACCCAAAAGCAGTCCCCTCCCAGGCCACCGAAGTAGACCTGCATACCCTTACGCCTCTAATTTTCCCTACCGTCTTGTTCACCGATGCTGAGAGGGGAGAAATCGAATCATGGCTACCTACCATTTCGAAATTAACGGAGAGTTTAAAGGATAATGCTGATGTTGAAGCGGCTGGGTTGGGGGAACAGCTAAAGACCCTCAATACCCATCTGGCTACACGGACGACGATGTTGGGCGCAAAACCTTCTGTGCTGGATGTAGCTGTGTATGCTACCGTTGCGCCGGTGGTGGAGAAGTGGACTCCAGAGCAACGGACGGGTGAGAATGGGTATCACCATATTGTTCGACATGTGGACTTTGTGCAGAACGCGGACCTTTTTGCACTTGAGATACCAGCTGAGGAGAAGGTGGCTGTTGATCTGGATAGTGTGCTCGCTGTGCCTAAGCCAGTTGCGCCGCCAAAGGAGGAGAAGAAAGCTAAGAAGGAAAAGAAAGGTCCGGCCGGTGAGGCCACTGTTGTCGTTGGAAAGGGGAAGCCTGCTGAGGGTAAAGAGGCTGCCGCAGCTGCTGCCGGAGGAGAAGCTGGAGGAAAGAAGAAAGAGAAGAAGGAAAAACAGCCACGACAGAAGCCTGCACCAGCTCCGGCTGCACCTTTGTCTCCATCCATTATCGACCTACGTGTCGGCCATATTCTACGAGCTGTCAACCACCCCAACGCCGACTCCCTTTATGTCTCCACGATAGCATGCGGTGACGCTCCAGGCTCCGAAAATACCCAATTAGACGAAGAAACCGGCCTAACAGTCCGCACCGTCTGCTCAGGCTTGAACGGCCTCATACCACTTGCCGAAATGCAAGGCCGCAAGGTCGTTACGGTCTGCAACCTTAAACCCGTGACCATGCGAGGCATCAAGTCCGTTGCCATGGTTCTCGCTGCCTCACCACGCAACGACGACTCTCACGCCGGCCCAGTCGAGCTAGTCAGCCCACCCGAGGGCGCCGAGGCCGGTGAGCGCGTCTTCTTCGAGGGATGGAACGAAGGCGAGCCCGAGAAGCAGCTTAACCCCAAGAAGAAGCTGTGGGAAACCTTCCAGCCTGGCTTTACCACCTCAGACGGACTGGAGGTTGTCTTTGAGAGTGCTGCGGTGCCACAAGTTAGCGAGACGGCTGCCACCAAGCCGGCATTGGGCAAGCTGATGGTCAAGTCTGGCGGTGTATGCACCGTGAAGAGCCTTGCGGGTGCTACCGTGCGATAGACCATGCAACCTGTCCTGTAACTACTAGGTCTTGTCATCATCGTACAGGCCTCCGTTGTATAGACGGTGCGAGCTATGATTCAATGTTAACGTTAATGTCGATAAGAATAAAGTTAAGATGAATATAGCTGCTAAAGCTTTATTTCATTGTTCCTTGAATACTCCGTATACAATATCCTTGACGATTCTATTAATATCGGCAAGATATGCTAAAAATATTTCAATTGGAATATCGACGAAGCTAGGAAGCAAGGGTAAGCGTATTGTTGACTTTCCGGAAATTATGCATGGGCCGTGGTCAGGCTTCATGTCGCTAATTCCGCCATCCAATTTCCTCGGACTGTTAGTCCAAAATATCGTCATCTAAATACTCCCTACGGCCATCTGGTCGACATAGCCGTTTATGTCCCTTAGGGTCTTGACTTCATAGTCCGTCTCGGCCATTTTACTCTTCCTCTTGATCTCATCAATATCCGTCTCCCTCGCCCTGATACATTTCTTCCGTATAGAGGGAATTATTACGCCCGCTTAGACATTTCTTGCTCCAGGGACCAATTGTTCTCTAACTAGGATGTTGGCACACCTTAGCAGGGGCTACTAGCTTGCAATTTAATATAGTTAACTAGTTGGTTAGCTGGTTAGTTATCATAATTGGTCAACCAGAGCTTAGGCCGGAGTATTGTATATTGGGCCACATGCTCTAGCTAGGGTTTAGATGTTAAAGTGGCTTGCATGTTACTGCAATCAAATCTGTTAAACCCATGTGTGGCATTCTCTCCCCCCTTTATGTGCAGTGTAGGCTACACAGGAAGAGAAACAAGTCGATTACAAGTTTAAAATGACACTCCTACCCTAACAGAGAAGATCACAGATTTCAGTCCCCATAAATCTATGATACCATAAAAGTAAGGTATATGTTTTTAGCACGTACGAATGGACATCTGGTATTAGGAGCCTGATTGTCGGGACCAATACAAGGCGCCCCCTGCATTATACCCGCGCTCGCTTTGATGTCGAATGGCAAATATCCTACGAATATTCTGTGGGTATGCCCCAATAGCTAGGTCTCTGCACTATTCAGATAATCAATTTGACAGTATCGGCGGGATATTACTATTGCATAGGGATCCCAGGGACGCCTACTTCTACAAAGCTTTAATTGAATTTAAAGAGACTGGTTTTATCTGACCTTTTAATAATGGATGCGAATGCCTTTATTATTATTTATATCGCCTACCTTCACTGGTACGGAGGACCCTGGACATAGAGACTAATGAGGACCTGGAATAGTTAACACACATAGATATACCTTGACCCCTGGCCGGCTAGATAACTGAATGCGGAGGTAGCTGGGTTCATGAACACAGGAACAGCTGGGGTGTTGGCTTGTACTGAGTACTTATTGACGCTTAAACCCCCAGTTCAGGAGGTTTCCCTTACTACTACTTTAAATGGGGTATATCGCCATATTCCCAAGCAAGATCTCCAGTCTCGATATTTCTGTCGTCTCTTGAGGCTTGACGTTTCCTAGAAATCGCCTTCTACAACTCTGTTCATGATATTTCCTACGCCATTCGTCACAGTCTCACCACACGAAACCCGATCTGGGGTTGGGTTATCTACCGCTGTTCGTACAAAGACGAGAAACTATGGACCAACGTCCTCTCGGAATGGAATCAAGCTGTCGACCGCTCCCGCGCCGAACAAATCCTACCATCAATGGATATGAAGATAGTTGAAGACCCTTCTCTCGAACGCGCGAGTAAAGAGGCCATCTGTGAACGTCACTACGCCTGGGCCGGATCTGTCGGCGGCACCGCTGGCATCGCCAACTGTAGGAACCTCTGGCCTCCGCCTCGCTACCAATTCGCTGTCTACGTTGACGAGGGCTCGCTGAAGAGCGTGAAAAACCACCCTGGGCCGCCTCGCAGGAAGGGGAAGCGAGCCTACGCTAATCTGCTACATGTAACGAACCATATGAACAAAGGAAGCCCTGGAGCGAGCTGGCCAGGTCGACCAATGGTGAAGGAGCAGTGGTGGATGAGAGTAGAGCTGGATAAATTGCCTGTGTATGCGTATGGAACGTTGTTCGACCCTGCGAATTGGTATGGGTACTATAAGAAACCGCCGCAGGTATGGAGATATTTTGATTGAATACCTCTGGTCGCCGTTCGATGGCCAGCGGACGTCCTGCGAATATTATGAATATTACTCGCGCTATGGACGCTACCGAGGCAGGATGGGGCTACGTGATATCCCTGTGAATATCTTTCATGTTTATTATCTTTTTGTTCCTGTATATTAGGCTGTAGGTAACTTCTTAGTTATGCTCGTTTAGGTGGTGTTAGTTGATCAGATAAGGATATCTAGTTGTATCTCGACAATAAGACGTCATGCAAACTGAGCCTTCTTCACGCCAGTGTATGCGCGAAGACACTGTCAGAACCTCTATAGAACATCGGGAGTTCTAGCAACTTTCTTTGATATTCCCGTGGTGATAACATACCCGGACCCTTTGCTCGGGGCAAAGTGCTTTCGATATGTTCGTGTCTTTTGCTTCGAGGCATATGGGAAAGTAGCCGAGTTATAACCGTAACCTCCCTGATACCGTATGAAAGTAGGAGTCTCAATTGACTTCACTACTCCCGATCTCTCCTTAGCCAGCTCTCAAATCATTATCATCAGGGTCAGCGATATAACGAAGTACTCCGTAACGTGCTTCAACATAGGCTACATGTTAAGAGCAACCGCGTTTATCCTTTTGTTGGTAGACCTGGATAGTCTACCAAGACAAGGATCCTCCTTTTAGCAAGCAAAGGACTCCATCTCAATCCACCAGGGTATCCGACAGCGACAGGGGCGTCTCACTGTTCTCCACGCGTTCTTCACCGGTATCATCTGTAGAGCTGAGGACTGCTATACTCGTCATGGTATCTCATTCACCTCCGGTAGACCAGAAACACATCCGGACGGCCGCCATGAGATATATATAGAGAGCAAGCCGTTGTATCTCCTCGTATCGCGTGCTGGGAGAGTTCTCTGTGCCGGTGATCGCCCCAATCACAATCTCCTCAATGGACCCTGGAGGGCAGATCGCTGTGCCACCCGTATCACCGAGTTTTCACCAGGCTGACACTGACAAGAGAGAATAGAGAGAAGAGAGGATAGAGAGAATATGTAGAGAGAAGCAGAGATACTCCGTAGATAATAGAGGTAGAGGTATATAAGGCTGACGGAAGAACGATGATCCCTGAAACAAGCTGAACAAGAAAAAACCCGAACGAGACAACGAACAAGCATCGAAATCGGCGGATACTTGCACCAACACCACCACCACCACCAGCTCAAACACCCTTCCACGACAGACAGACCGACAGACAAACAGTCTCTATATAACAGTATCTGTCGCTACCGTCCGTCGGTCTGCCGCATCGTCACAGCGCTTGCTTCTGCGCTCGCTGATCTTCGTCATCGCCCCCTTGTCACCCTTGGCAACTTTGTCCAGGGGGCCATCTGTCCCTTCTTCTGCACCGGATACTCGCAGCGTCGTCGTCGTTCGTCTTTGCCAGCTGTCAGCATCCCTCTTACACATGCAGTTCGCACCGGAGATATGAACAGGCATTCAGCCTTCTCCAATGGCTATACCGCTTCCCCCAAGCGGGAGAGCGGTACCTTTTCAATCTCCCCCCATCGGTAAGTCAGAGAGAGAAGAGGACTCGATATAAATTTGATGGCGGAGAACGAACCGCCCTACGAAACCTCCTTGACGATGTTGTCCAAGCTGACACCGTGGCCGACGTCTTACAGATTCCAACCTCGCTCTCAGCCGGCCCTTCGACGGCGCAGAGCACTCCTCCAGCGCCTCTTCATAGTTGGCGCCATCTCGATATGCGTCTTGCTCTTCCTCTTCCCGTCATGGCGGCCCACGCTGATAGGGACCGCCTCCCTCGGCCTCTTCTCGGCTGCAGACGACTTTCAGCTTGAAACAGTACGATATTATGACCTCTCTAACGTCGAGGGTACGCCCAGAGGGTGGGAGCGAGAGGAGCGTGTCCTTCTCTGCACACCCTTGCGAGACGCCGCTCCCCATCTGCCCATGTTCTTCTCGCATCTACGGAACTTCACCTACCCCCACCACCTGATAGACCTGGCCTTTTTGGTCTCGGACTCGAAAGACGACACCTCCGGTCTTCTCAGCAGGTTGCTGGAAGAGTTGCAGAACGATCCGGATCCAAAGCAGCCGTATGGCGAGATTTCAGTTATCGAGAAGGATTTCGGTCAGGTGGTGAACCAGGACGTCGAGAGTAGACACGGTTTTGCGGCACAGGCTTCTCGACGAAAGCTGATGGCCCAGGCGAGAAATTGGCTGCTTAGTGCTACTCTTCGTCCGACGCACAGCTGGGTCTACTGGAGAGATGCCGATGTCGAGACGGCTCCGTTTACGATTCTGGAGGATCTGATGCGACATAACAAGGACGTCATCGTTCCAAGTGAGTTTTTTTCCCTACGGTCTCTCCCCTTTGTGTTGGTGATACTAATAAAATTCAGACGTCTGGCGACCACTCCCCGACTGGCTTGGTGGCGAACAGCCCTACGACTTGAATTCCTGGCAGGAGTCAGAGACGGCTCTGGCTCTAGCTGACACCTTGGACGAAGACGCCGTCATCGTCGAAGGATACGCAGAGTACGCCACCTGGAGGCCTCATTTGGCATATCTCAGAGATCCCTTCGGTGACCCTGACATGGAGATGGAGATTGATGGTGTTGGTGGTGTCAGTATCCTGGCCAAGGCTAAGGTGTTCCGTGCCGGTGTCCACTTCCCTGCATTCTCCTTCGAGAAGCACGCCGAAACAGAAGCGTTTGGAAAGGTACGCGCTCCAGCATCACCCTGCATACTGATCACGAGCCTAACCCTGTTTAATATAGATGTCCAAGCGTATGAAGTTCTCGGTGGTCGGCCTCCCCCACTACACAATCTGGCATCTTTACGAGCCTAGTGTCGACGATCTCCGACACATGAAAGAAATGGAGAAGGAGCGCAAACTACGGGAAGCAGAGGAGAAAGAAAAGAAAGAAAAAGCCAAGAAGATTAAAGAACAGTTTAAGGATGCTAGCGTGGAGTCCGAAAAGGACAGCGTTGCCGTACATGATATCATGCAGAAGGATAAGAACCAACAGGAACTGAAGGACAAGGAGGCCAAGGAGAAGGCAGCCAAGGAAAAAGCAGCCAAAGAGAAAGAGGCCAAGGACAAGGCCAAGCTAGAGACTACGGATGACGAGCCTCAGGGCAAGGCTGAGAAACCAGAGAAAAAGACACAACTCCTGCCGCCCAAGGAACAGAAATCAGACGACACCAAAGGTAGCACAGACAAACTAAAGGAGAAAGGGAAGGACGATACGAAGAAAGGAGAAGCTCCCGCTGCTGCAGCAAACGCGAAGGATAATAAGAAGAAGCCCGCCCAATGATCGATCGTCCGCCGCATTTTAGACCCCAGCATTAGACTTGTGAGCTCGAACCCCTACTCTCCAACCGCGATATTTGCTCAATTCATATCACTAACTTCGTCTTCAAACAGTTCTTCCAAAAAAAACATTCCTGGGTTTTTACTTTTCCCCCTTTTTCTTCTATTTCAGCAATTTTTTGTCTCCATCTTGATTATATCCTTTTTACAACATTTAAACCAGCAAAAGGAGCGCGAGGCTGGCGATCCCCTAGCAGTGTGATGCATATCACTGCGAGTCGACACCACTTTCTACTTCCCCTCACGCTTCCCTACCGCTGGATGTGGCTGATCTCCATCTTTTCATGTTCCCAATTATTGATTTATTAGATGATCTCCAACCATGGTGTTCAATTTCCATTTTACTTTTTTCTTGTCCTTTTATTTTTTTTTTTCCCGCTCGACGTGGCGCTACTCGCTCGGGCTCGAATGCAGCTGATACTATTATCATTCGGGGCTGTGACTGGTTCAATCTTAGCGATACTGTCTTGGAGTCGATGAAGCTATCGTCCCACCACTACGCTTTGACACGACGCCTCTGTCTCTCGACATTTCAGGTCATGGTTTTTCTCTTTGCTTCTGTCGTTTCCTACGACTCCGACTCGTGTGGCTGATTTTCGATGTATATCTATGTAAATCTTGTTGGTCTTTTGATTCTTTTTCTATCCTCGTCTCCTCGCTCTTAACTCCATGGTGTGTGTACGGAGTAATTGGGCTTTCACCCATCCCTCCGCCCATTCTTATATGCTTGCATGATCCCTCTCGTTCTAGCTGGTTGTTCGTCGTCTGCTTCTCGCCTGTTGGAGTCAATTTGATATCTTGCGCCTATCAGTCCAGTGGCACTGGCTGCTAAAATTAACTATCGTCTATTCACTGCCTTATGCACGAGCCGTAGTCACAAGCTGTAGTCACCCGTAGAGCGCATTCTCATTTCGAAATCAAATAGCTGGCTTACGAATGCCTCGAATGGAAAAATGTTAATGTACTGTTAGACTTATTTAAGCTCATCCAAGTACGGAGAACGTACCCCGCCAACCTCGTCGCGATCGCATTCAGCGCCACGCCCATAGTCAACCGGACCAGCGCTTGCAAAGAGGACCAATATACTAATCGAGACAGTATATATCTTTTCCTTTTTCCTCCCCCGAACCTGAGCAGTCACATCTTTCTTTATGCAGGCTTCCGTCTACGCCCCGGCGATGGTAGACAGGTAGAAAGAGTATGGACATTCGCTTCACGCATACGGAACCACAACAGCTATTCAGACTCCTCGAGCTTCCGTCAGAGCTGCTAGGCCTGCTAGAATCAGACAATCCTCCAGAGTACGTATATGATGTCACCTGCTCTCGTTTCCTGCAATGAAAACACCCTGGAAGTGATGAAATCTGCCTCCTGCCCACTTTGTATCCTTGTTCACGGTACCTTGATCGCGCTTCAGAATTTCCTGCTCGCTGCTTCAACATTCTAGAAAATTCCAAGGCTGAGACGTCCTTTTTTTTTTCTCTACACCTCTAGGCTGTACTTAAAGTCGTCTACTACATCACAGAGTCCCGCATCATCATCATCATCAAGAAGCGGGACAGCGCAGTCCGAGTTCGTTCATCTTTGTACACCTACAAAGACATTCTCGCTACGACAAGTTAACTCGTCCAATTCAATTTTCTTAATCAAGCCCTCGACGGAGAATTCAGCTACTACCAGCTCGTCCGGAGACACCGTCACGGCCATCGCGCAGTGCAAGTCGATGCTGGAAGTCCAGAAAATGGAGGCCGGAGATAGCGCACGGCTCGCCCTTTTGGCCGCGCTCCAGGTCTACAATGAGAGTGATATCCCTATAGATGAGAGACCCGAAGACGATGACTGCCGTCTAAGTACTTCGGAAATTATACAGGAGAGATCAAAGATCTTTGCTGATATCCCCTTTTCGGTTGCTGAGTGTGAGATGGCATGGACTGATATATGTGCCTTTGTTCATAAAAATAAAGAGACTGGAGTTATAACGTGCCATCGACCTTCGGCGAGAGCGAAGCTGATGGCGTGGGAGAAGATGGTGGAGGGAGCTACGCTGCATGGTATCGACCTGGGGAAGCAATTCCTTGTTGAAGACCTGTGGAGTGCCGTTATCGAGGAGGCCGAGCATACAGTGATCGATGAATACCCCTTTCCCAGAACATTGTTTGACGCCATCGTGCGTAGACTTTTGGATGATTCGTCAGACCTTGACGCGACCCTGAAATGTATGCTTGCTTCCCGGCTGAAATTATGAAATTTACGACCCATGCTAACAGACACTCTCGTTTAGGGGCAAATTTTGACCAAGACAAGACGGCTGCTTGGACAGGAGAAGTGATCCTGGAAGCATCTACATCTACTCCAACATCTATACTGAATCTTGAAGCATATACCAGTGACTGGAAGGATTTATTGCCAGAGCAATGGAGAGGGGACGCACATATTGACAAGTTGAATGTAAGTCTCGCTAAAATAAAATAAAATACTGCTTTCCTCCCAACGGTAAAAACATGCTCAGAAATGCTAACACGAAGCTGCTGGGGCTTTAAGAAATCTTGCTATCGACAGCCCGAGTCGACGACTATCTGTTTCAAGCCAAGCCATAGTTATTAGTACATTCATGAAAGGGAACACGAACGGAACGGAACGGGATGACTTGTGGAGGGCGAAACGGTAATGGATAATTGGGGGACCTCCGGATATAACAAATGAAACGACTTTCTCATAGCCTCTATAGCATTTCTGCGCTTCTCTAAACAATTGCAACAATATTAGAAAAAAAGAAAAAAAGGGGACGAAGAAAGAAGAATTGACTTCGACCGCCAACCCACCCTGGTATCTTTCGACACATTGCGTACCTTTGAGATGATATAAGATAGAGAAAACAAAGGGGATGACAGAACCCGTTAAATCATCAGCACCGTTAAATCGTCAAGTTAGCACCAGCCGTATCTCTCGTTCAAGTGCCACTCAACACTATCTCCATACCCATGCTGGTTGCCGTCCCACTTCAGACAGGGGATGCTGTCTTTCTCCCGGTGAGTTTCTACAGCGTTGGCGTCAGCAGTCAGGATGGCCTTTGTGACCAATGGGGATGGATTCCAGATCTCGACATGGTCCATCTTCCATTCCTGAGCTTCAATTTGGGCACGACGCAAGATGCCTGCCAGAGCTTCAACAACAGCCTCTTCCTCTGCTGGTGACGTAGGCTCTTCGTACTGGGTTCGAAGGATATACAAGGTGCAGTCCTTTTGCGTGGCCCCGTACTTTTTGTTCCAGGTCACGAATACCTTTCGGCTCGGGACTGCTGCACCTTTCACTCGGACTTCTCCCTTCTCTGAACGGAGAATGCGAGAATAGAACTCATCTCGGGCCCAGTGCCAGGACATATGGGCATAGTCTGGAGGGAAAGCCATGACGGCCTGGGACGCCATGGACGCCTCTCTTAGTTTCTGCTTGTGGTGCTCGATGACTGGTTCAGAGCACATATATTCATGCACATCCTCGCGGGACATATCCTTGACTATAGTCATGTCAACGCTCTTGGTTCTGCCGTTCGCACTCCCATTCGCCGTCTGAGCAGCCCCTGGAGCCGGCGCGAGAGTGAAGTGGGATGAAGGGTATGGGTGCCATCCATGCGCAGCATAAAAGGACTTGCCGATATCCGAGTACAGGACTGAGAACAGACACGGCTGTCCCTTCTCCTGCTGCCAGGTGTCTAGTATCTTGGCCAGTTCTATGATCATCCGCTTAGCATACCCGCGTCCTCGGTGCTCTGGCCGACAGTAGACACTCCCGACTCCATGGGAGATGACCGTCTCGATGTTCCCATTGTACGCCAGGAATGTTTGTTTGGCGATCGACTCGCAGCTGCTCAAGATAGGACGACCATCTGGAGGCAGGGTGCGGTCAACCAGGACCCAGCATGTCATACCGCCATCCTTGACCATGTCCTCCTTTATCAGGAAGTCCTCACGGGCGATATACTGGTCCATACTCAAGGGACCTTTCCACGCCAGCCCATTCGCGCGTATGCTCTCGATCCGCTCAGCCGGGGTGGCCACTACAAGCGTGATATCCGGCGAGTCTGAGCTGAGAAGGTGATGGTCGAGTGAATCCATGGTGGCGGCGTTCTTTTCCTTTCTTCCTTTGCGTACAATCCGATCTCAGCGTTGAGGTGGTTTTTTTCTCTTCTGCAGGCCCCCTGGTGCAAGATCTGGAGGGCTGGTAGGGTGAAACGAGAAGCTTGTTCTGCCTTTTATCTGCTGTTGGACGGGTTGGATAGATTGGCAGCCGGGGAGGTACCTGGGGTTGGAGAGTGTATATATAAACGAAGGCCGCGAGGAGGATTGGTTCCGATGGGCTAGAGAAATAAGCCTACCGGACTTATTCAGCATCCTTGTTTGCATGACGTTCTTTGGCTGGGAACGCCGAAGCATCTCTCGAGTTGGTGTATATCTACACGACGACCCCCTAGCCCCCTACGCCCGCCCACGCCCTTTTCCCACCACGCATTCCCCCCCGCGCCTTAATCGAAATCCAAGGATGTCTTAATACGGGTTTTGCCATCTTCCATGGGTCAAACTGCCGGCTGGAAGCGAAGGCATCCGGACGCTGCGAGCGCCAGAGTGGAGATGGAGATTCGGCCTAGAGGATGGATAGGTACTTGCCCCCCTCGCTAATTTGTATGCGGGGGCAAGTACCTATCCCGGCGATGACCGCATAACGTCAGGAGTGCTGAGATCCAGCCCTGGGATCGGACGCTGGGCAGGGTCCCGTGACGCCAGCACCGGGCTTTTTCTTCGTACCACGGTCTTACCGGCCGTCTTACAGCTAGTATGATATCCGATTTCTATAGGGCACGACGATGCAGCGTGATCAGGGTGAGCTGTTGGCTGTCAAATGATATCGCGGCCTATAACATCAGCGGGATCTCAGAGGCAGGGGACATCTCGGCCTTCGGGTGATTATCGCTCTCATTCTCTTAAAGTCGTGTATCGGTGGGAGCGGATTATGATTAAGGCTAGTTAGTCGATGCAGAGACTCAGCCAGCCTACGGAGGATTCCGTAGTTGTTTCTTCTATTGTTAAACTGCATTATTATATCAGTGTAGTTCAACTTCTGTGTATTCAACTTCTCGATGTAATATATTGTATGGTGGTTACAGATGGTACTGTCACGTGGTATTAGTTTGAGCCTGGTTCTTCGGATGTTACTCCTGAGGCTCTGATAGGTTGGCCATCTGTAGACTCGTTCTTATTTAAAGGGGAGATATAGAGCACTACAGACCATCCTTCTCGTGACTGGAGTAGTCGCGTGCGGTGGCCTACGGTATTCATACGTCCAGTGATAGGCCGCCTGCTTATACATGCCACCATGGATCCTCTAAGATTTCTTCCATGGTGGCTCTCTTTGACGGGTCAAGATTTGTCAGTCTTGACAGCATTCGCTTTGTCTCAGAGTCGAGATTGGGGTAGTCATTCTCCTCCCATTTCGAGAACCGCCCGGGACCAACAGGGCCTCCGTCGTCCATGGTCGATTCCGATATGACCATCATGACCTTGCCCCAGTCCTCATGCTGGACATGGGTGACTAGTCCGGCCGGGACTGGTCCAAAGAAGGATATCAAACGGCCCATGATCTCTAGCTCAGGCTCAACCCCATCCCTCTTCAACTGCTCAAAGTCCGGGTGCAGCGTTTCGACGCCGGTGGTGGTGAAGAGGCACTATAAGCATAAATTGGCAACATCCTTGTAGAATACACCTTAACGAAACCCATGTGTTCACTTACCACAAGCCCATAGGAAAAGACGTCGGATGCTTTGCCAATCCCCTGTCCTGTCTGCGCTTCTGGACTGCGCCACATTACATTCCCTAATTTGATTCCCTCCGGAAGTCGTAGAAGCTTGTCACCTTTCAGCTTCAACGAGCAATCTAGATCACCCAGCACCACTCTTTCTGGCTTTAGCTGACCGTGTTCATCGCGGCTATAATCAATCATAACATTGTCAGGTTTAACATCTAAACATGTGTTCGTCAGTTATAGAATTTTGGCCTGATATCACTGGTAGATGTATTACCAATATGTATCCAGTTCTTTGCATGAAACTCCTTTAGCGATTGCCCAAGTTCCCGTAGTATCCACTTCCTTGCCTCAATAGACAAACTCGGGTTTTTCATCACGAAAGAAAGTAAATTGTCACTAAAGTACTCATAAATAAGAACCTTTTCGGCTTTATTATCGTCAACATGCATCCGCAGGTGTCTATTTTCTGGAAACTCTTATTTGAGCTGCACTGATTGCTCGAATATCGAATCGGATACACGCTTTAGCACAAAGTTTCGATCCCCGGAGCTAAACCATGGGTTAACCATCATAAAAGAGGGTGTATGTGGGAGATTTCGGCTCACCGTGCCAGATAGACATTGAGATCCGGTCGTTTGGGATTATGTTTGAGTACCTTATCCCGAGCATACTTTCGGCCAGAGCGACCAACGAGTGTCGATGACATCCTCACGCCTCTAATGCAGGCGCGTGCAAGATACATGTTTGTCCTTGATGACCAGCCTGTTGCTTCAACTTTGCTTCAGGCTTTGGTTAACACTTACCTCACTGGGATTACTCATCAAAGAACTTAAAAGCCCTGATCACCTGATCAAGTCATGTGAGCTACTATTTATGTAACAGCGCTAGACGATATATGGACTAGTCTTATTTATGCAAATCTTGGCATTGAAATCGTTTATGCCATCACGTGATTAACATTTTCCTTCGACGTCGAAAGAACAAACAGCGACGACTTCAAGCCGGACACGAAATGAAGGCGAAAGAGATGATGAAAACTGGAGCTTTGCAAGAGATATCTATCGGCTGTATAGAATCTACATGTTGAGGCATTTTCTGACTCTCGCATATGAACGATTTAGCCATCCTTTCCAACTCTGGTTGTTTTGTTAGTCTCAACCGTGGATTACCCGCTCGTCCTCCCTCTCCTCTTACATCATACATTCTAGGGCCAGGAGGATATGCCGGATGCATCCTGAGTTAGCAAAGAATGTGCAAATATCTGCTGAAGTAACCCTCAACGCTGCCGGTGCAACCTTGATTCCTGCTGGCTGTTCGCCGGTAATCTAGGAAACGCACCAGGAAAGCCTTTGGCCTCTACCGAAGAGCGGAAACCTGGCTTGGGTCGACTACTTTTTTCCCAGGGTAACTTGGCCTTTTTTTCTTTCGCTCGGCTCCTTCAGTCATGCGTTATATTCCTTCTTCAACGGGAGGAGTTAGATGTTTCTGTGATCTATCTCTTCCTTCTACCTACATTGCCCTCTTAGTATTCACTCTAAGTCACGTACGCCCGAGTTTATACATTTCCACACGTACATTACCGTGCAATATTGCATGAGACGCCTTGCCATTTCTCCCTCTTCTATATAACCTCTTCCTTTGATTCTTCACGCACTTTATACGATGCATAAAAGCTTGCGTAGGCTGACATGCAGCTTGCTAGAAGGCCCTGCACCCGGCGACGAGATGAAGCGGAAACGTTCATCATACAACGATGACGTTGACACATCCCATTCTGGCGCGCGTGAAAAGGCCACACTCAAGGCTGGAAATACTGCTGGTGATCGAAACTCCCTTAATAACGGCTTCAACCCAAGTTCAAAGGGCCGTGCCTCGAATTCAAGCACGACACCAGAGTTCTTAACACAGAATATTCTCACTTTGTTCCCGGATATCTGCCCTGATTATGTTGCGACCCTTTACAAAAAGAAATCTACAGGAAAATCGCACCCATCTGAAGATGTCCTAATCAATGCTATCTTGGAGGGGGAGTCATATCCTACTTTGAGTGATACAAAACGGCGCAGACTTGCCGAGAATAAAGGCGAGAGGAAAATTCGCTGGGGTGATGGTGATAAAGTCAAGAGAGATTCACGCTATTGGAAATCATGGTAAGTCTATTTCTCCTACTTCTTTATCTCCTTGGGATCCCAGCCCAGGAATCTCCAGAACTCTCCGATTGCAAGTTCCGTAGCGCTTCTATGAAGGCTAGTTCCGTTTAGTCTTTGATTTATAGGCGGTTGCCGCCTCTTCTTCACTTTAAAAATTGTTGCCTTTGATACTCTGGTTGATATCCTGGGAGGATATTTTACCGGTTCTCAGGCTACCTATTCTAGCTATGTAAAAACGAAGCCTAACCCACTTTAGTACGTCACTTTTGAAGCTCGACTTTCCCCAGGTGCCACTGGCGTACGCGACCTATGTTCTGAATGAGAATCGATGTTTGTATGGAGCATATCTTGAGCTCGATAAAACGGAAGCTGCTTACGAAACTTTGAATCCTAAGCCGTATGCAAGGGAAAAAGTTTGCAATAACGCAAGAGATATGACTCAAACGGAGGGAAAAGACGTGGCTAAACACCATAGCAAAGACATAAAACGCGAGCTCCAGGATGCAAGAGAGGAACGGAGGCGACGTACAGGTATGAGTTTATACTTGTCTTTCACCTATCCTTTCTCATGACTGACATGTTTTTTAGTTTCACGAGCCCTAAAAGAACAGGAGCTTGAACGAGAAGCGAAAAATATTGCCGACCATGCTGCCATAGGCGGGCTGGTTGAATGCGGCTGCTGCTATGAGGAGACGCCTCTCAACCGGATGGTATCATGTAGTGTCTCAGATACCCATTTGTTTTGCAAGAGATGTATGAAGTCCAACGCAGAAAGTCAAATCGGCATGATGAAATTCGAAATCGTTTGCATGGACATGGGTGGCTGTGTGGCAAAGTTCTCCAGGAGTGCTTTGGTTGAATCCATTGGAGACGCCCTAGTGAACAAGATTGATGATCTTCGACAACGTGATGAGATTGAGAAAGCTAGCATTGAAGGCCTTGAGGAATGCCCATTCTGCGAATACAAAGAAATATACCCCTCAATCGAGGAAGACCGTGAATTCCGCTGCCTTAAGCCAGGCTGTGAAAAGGTCAGTTGCCGTAAGTGCCACGGACTATCGCATATTCCAAAAACTTGTGAAGAGATGAGCAAGGAGAAACGCGTACCAATGCGCCAGAAGGTCGAGGAGGCGATGAGTGAGGCTATCATTCGGATCTGCCCCAACCAAAAATGCAAAACTCCGATTATCAAGGAGTATGGGTGCAATAAGATGTGTTGTACGAAATGTAGCACACTCATGTGTTATATTTGCAAGAAGGATATAACTCAGGTCGGATACCAGCACTTCATTGAGGTACCATCGTGGGCTAATGCCCCAGTGACCGGCAAGTGCATGCTTCATGATGGCCTGACGGCGAGCAGACACGATGATGAGGCACTTCAGGCTCGTCAAGCGGCACTTGAGAAAGTGTTGAAAGAAAATCCAGACCTCAAGGAAGAAGATATTGATATTGAAGCCCCGAAAGCTCGCAACCCCCGAAGAGCTCATGATGCAGCTATACAACTCCCCGAAATTCCTTTCGACTTCTTCCCAGGCGTCGTACCACTACCAGGTAACGTACCACTGCCGCAACCACTGCCGCAACAACAACCTGCTCGCGAGGCTGTGCAGCCACGAGCTCGTAATTATTTGCCTCATCATCCGCCTCAAAACCAGCGCCCACAACCACCACTGAATGTGCCTATGCCTATGCCTATGCCTATGCCTATGGAACCAATGGCCCAGCTCGCTATGCAACGGCACGCACAGCTAGCAGCAGCCCAACAGCGTCTACAAGCCTGGCACCGTAGATATGGCAATGGGCCTGCTGTTCATCTTGATGCAGGGTACCATGCACTTGCACAGAATCAGTTAGACAATCATCAGAGGGGGCTACTAAATCCACAAGTCGGTATGCCGCTCGCTCAAGGATATATACATGCTGTCCATGGCAACAACAACCCTCTACACATCCGGCAAGGGCTCGGCATGGTGCTACCGCAGAACCTTCCCCCCGGTCAACCTCTCCATGCGCAAAACCCCATCCATCCATATCCGCCACAGGTACGCGCGCCTGACAACCACGGAAGTCGGCCTGGAACTGTACCGGCTCCTCCCACCGATCAGGGCTATGGCCATGCCCAACAGTTCGTCGTGCATTATGATCGCAATGGTCAGCTCCATGCTCAACCTTATGGGCGCTGATACTACTAGTGACTATCTAGTTTCTATTGTTCCAGTGTTTTTCTCTCTTTTTTTGTCCTGCATATAGACATACGGCGGTGTTACGGGCATAAAGAACTCTTGCTGTTTTGTTGAACTTATTTGATTGCATCCTGCTTCTGATTTTATCTTTACTAAGCTGTTGGATGAAGAACGGAGTTGTTTTCACCCCTTTCCTTCGTTCTCTTTTATTGTTGACCCGCCTTTTCATTACTACTCTTCTTACGGTCCGTTAAAGCGTTCGGACTGAGTTTCGCATGGCATCCCGGTTATTTGCATTAGGGCCTAGGCGTTTCTCCTGTTTTTCATGAGGCGGCTAATACTAAACATAGCATCTTTCCTTTTCCTTGGAAGGGGCATTTGGGCGTTCTATTGTAGTGTGGCTATGATCTCAATTCACACTGATGGCGGCATATTGTAATACAGAAAGGAATAGACACATCAGCGATATCATACCAAAACTTGAAATGTAAAAGGCATTAGATCTAATGTATTTGTATGACAGGTGTCTTATCTCAAGACAGGGCTAGATAAAGAAATATTATTCCGTTAATAGGTCAAGTCGCTGGCCTGTTAATGCCATTTAATGCATCGAATTTGCTTTTGGCCTCTTCAATCCAGACCTCGAGCTTCATTTCTCCCGCGTCGATGGAGCGGACCGGTACTGTCTTGCCATGATGTGATTTCTGCCCATCACTGGTATCCTGGCTGTTCAGCCTATCAAACGACTCTGGCTCCGCGGCTATCCAGAGTTGGTCGTCCCTGTTCATTCCAGCCGGTGCATCGGCGTCTGGCCGTAGAACGATGTGTAAAGTTGGTATATACTCATCGTCCGGAGGCAACGAGGCTAGCCTCGCACAGGAAGAGGTAAGCCGAGTGAGAACTGTGCGGAACTGCGCTTCTAGATCAGCCTGCGGTGGCGGAGGAGCTATACCTGCACCTCCCTGTAGACGCTGCTGCCTAGAGCTCTCAAACGGAGTGTGTATATCTGCAGGAGGAACCTGTGGCATCTGTGCTAGGTCAAATGTATACTTTTCCATCGGCCGGTTCGTTGACACTGATAGAATAACGACTGCCACCGCAGCAACGGTAGATTTGAGCAACTGGGACTCGACGGCAGCACAAGCGTCAGTGACCCAGCTGCAGACCTTTGGGTGACGTGACTGGCGAACTGGATGGTTGAACTGCCGAACAGACAGGAAAGTCGGCTGCGGGTATATGGAGCGCAGGTACAGTATCTGGTGTATGCTGACTGCGAGAAACGACGAGAGTGAAGAAGCCAAGGCCGCATACGTCTCCGGCAGAGGTCTCCGCGTGCGTCCATTGTCCGAATTGTCCATATCAGCCGGTCTAACCAGCTCTGCCATGCTATTGAAGAGATGTTGAGGTCCGATATAACCAGGCAGTCACTCCCTGGTCATTCCCCGTCGAGAACGCCTCTCTCACGCAAGACTGTAGCCTCTGACTAGCCCATAGAGCGGAGAAAGAAGAAGAACCCGAACAGAATAAAACACCAGAGACAAAAGGCGAAGCAGAGAGGAAACGCGATGTCGGTTATATCCATCACGTGACACCAGCGAAGCGCGTATATAAAAAGAAAAGCGAGAGGAAAAAGGAGAAACATCTCAGAGTCGACAACGTCCCAGGCAGAGACGACGATATAAAGGCAGCAGGACGCTTCTCGGTCACCTGGGCCGTCGATAATGGCCTTCATCATCACGAACCCCCCGCAGTCTCTGGCCGCAGTCCACATATCAATGCCAGGCCTAAACCTTCAGCCCCTGTCGCAGTATGGGTATGGGGGCTGGTTGTGAAGCCTGTATGAAGCCTGGATGTCATAGGGCGACTCCAGGCAACACCAGGCCGGCAGGGCGCTTCCAGACTGCCAAAATAGACCCTTACTCGTTACTCGTTGACTCTTTGACTTGTTTACGGTGTTCGTCTGGTGTTCTTCGTGTGTTCACCATGGTTGGCGAAAGTGATACCGGTATACAGGAATCTGTCTACACAGATCAAGCCGGACCATGTCAATCGGTCTCAGGCGGTTCATCAGACATCCCGCAGTGATTGACAGCGCATGGGATGTCTTTACAATACTGTCGTCATAGGAGTCCCTGGCTTGATTCATGCATGAAGCTACTGGAAGGGAATTCGATGCCCTAGGAGATGTTATGTAGACTGTAGACATAGAAGTAGAAGTACTCCGTAGATGTATAGTTAAATATCTACTTGTATGTCTTGTCAATTTTGTACTGATAGCGGGATTCGGCGTTAAAGGTTGCCCCGCCAAAAACGCCCTGGGTAGTTAAACATCTCGAACTCGCTTTATAGAAAGACATCGCGGTTCAACAACCAACCCATGCAAGGTCAACCCGGCCTCTTCTCTCCGCTCCCTGCTCGCTCAAGGCAGACAAGGCATCACCATGGATCAAGAGCTCGTCCAGCTTCTCTCTGATACCCAGAACGCCGCCGCAGACACTCGAAAGACCGCGGAGTTGCGCCTGCAGAGCCTCTATTCGAACGAGAACTTCCCCCTCTCCCTCGCCTCGATTGCGTCCCATAACTCGGTTCCTGTTCCTCTCCGGCAGTCTGCACTGGTCGTTCTACGTACCTTCATCAATTCGGCATGGTCCTCGCAGCTCGACGATTTCAAGGGCCAGGTCCTCGTCAACGACGCGAACAAGGCACACCTCCGACGCGTTCTACTTGAACTAGCTACCTCTCCGGAGCAAGATGACCGCAAGGTCAAGACTTCAGCGAGCCTAGTCGTCAGCCGTATCGCCAGTGCTGATTTCCCTGACGAGTGGCCCGAGATCCTGCCCACGCTGCTCCAAATTATCCCCAATAGCACAGATGTCCAGCTACACGGCGCCCTGAAGGTTCTGTCAGACTTGGTGGAGACTGGCTTCAACGAAGAGCAGTTCTTCAAGGTGGCTAGGGAATTGGTGTCGACGGTGTTCAGTGTCGCGACGAATACTTCGCGGAAGCCGATATTGCGAGCACTGGCCGTTTCGACCTTCCGGGCATGCTTCGACACGCTCGAGATGGTCATTGAGCAGCATAAGGTCGAAGTTAGGCAGTTTATGGACGAGGCGTTGAACGGATGGCTGCCATTTTTCATTGCTACGATCAAAGAACCACTCCCGACTATGCCGTCAGAAGAGGATGAGGCCAGTGACTCCCCGATTCCACAGCAATGGCGCGGCGTTATTGCGTTGAAATCACAGGTTGTCAAGGTATGTCCTTCAATAAAAGTACCTTTTTCGTGCTGTGAAATTGCTAACTTCAATTTAGACGATTATGAAAGTCCGAACTGTCCTGCCAGCTCTACTTACAACTCACAGCACGACTCTCTTCCACACCATCTGGACTGAGCTGACAACCATTCAAGACGCGTATCAGCAGCTTTACATTCACGACGAGAGACAAGGGCGTCTTGAAGATGCAGATAATCTTCCATATACGCTTGACTTCTTGGTATTGGAGGAATTGGACCTCATGCAGGCCTTGCTCCGTGCACCACCTGTCAGAATCGAACTAGAGAGTCAATTGAAACTGGCTGGAGCTACCGCAAGTTCCTCGAGCTGGCTGCCAGAGATGATGAAGCTTGTTGTATCCTACGCTCAGATTACGACCGAAGAGGAAGGCCTCTGGGATATTGATGTCAACTTATATCTTTCCGAGGAAACCTCTGTTACTGCCAACTACACCCCTAGAACTTGTGGCGGTGACCTTGTCATCAGACTTGGCGAGTGGCTCAAGCGTACTGCGGTTGATGGGCTCCTTTCGTACACGAACGGTCTCTTCTCCGACCCCAACACAGGGTATGTCTCCTCAAAAGTATTAAAAATCCACGTTCATTATAGCTTACCTTATTTAGATGGAAATACCGTGAATCTGCCCTCTTCATTCTCAACCAGCTACTTCGCGACTTGAGTGACGTGGATCAGACCATTTCCGTGGACTTGGCCACTGGTTTCAACGAATTTGTGAAGTTTTGTATTCAGCAGGATGAAGTTTTCCTTCGATCACGAGGGTACCTTGTCGCAGGTATTATTGCGCGAACGGCCGGGGAGGGCTTTTACCAGTCTGCAGTGCCGTATCTCGAAGCTGCCGTTAAAGGCATCCGAGATGACCCCTCAGAGGTCGTTAAAGTCTCCTGCATTCGTGTCTTGCAAGATTTCTTGCCCGCTTTGCCTGCAGCCACGGCAGCACCGTTCCAAGTACCAGTTCTGTCGATACTCTCAGACTTCATTTCCAGCCACGACCTTCGTGATTTCTCTGAAGGGGATGACCTCAAATTCACCCTTGCAGATACTCTACGTGACACCATCATGGTCGACGCTAACATCGTCCTCTCATCGATTGCATTAGACGTACTTTTCAACATTGCAAGTGCCGGTGCAGGGAATTTCCAGTTAGCCATGATCGTGACGGAAACATTCGAGCAGATCGTGCAACATATCGCTGTTCAAGGGCCCGAGGCGTATATTAGTCTGTGCGAGAAAGTGCTTCCTCCTTTGACTGGCGCCATTGATGTTGGAAACATGACACAGGAGAATTCGTTGACGAATTTGGCCACGGACCTTTTGCGAGCTCTGGCCGAGAATGGTCTAGAGCCACTCCCACAGGGCCTGATTGCGACGGTACTGCCGAAATTGAATCGATTATTACTCGGATCAGGTGACAGCGAACTTCTTCCCACCGCAACGCTGGCCGTGAAGCATATGCTGGAGCACGACCCAATCCAGTTCTTTGCCTGGCAAGACCCGCAGACTGGAAAGGGGGCAGTTGAAACTGTCCTTATCATCATAGATCGCCTTCTCGGCTCAGCTGTAGATGACAACGCCGCGTCTGAAGTTGGTGAACTTGCTGCGGAATTGGTTGAGAAGGCGGGTGCTGAGAAACTAGGTCCATATTTACCACAACTTCTCCGTGCTGTTGCCCAGCGACTGGCTACGGCAGAAAAGGCTCAGCTGATCCAAAGTCTTATCCTTGTTTTTGCACGACTATCTCTGATAAACGCTCGAGACGTCATTGATTTCCTCGGCCAGCTTGACATCAATGGCCAATCTGGTCTTCACGTCGTTCTGGCTAAATGGCTCGAAAACTCTGTCACCTTCGCTGGCTACGATGAGATCAGACAGAATGTCATTGCCCTGTCTAAACTCTACGAACTTGACGATCCCCGTATCGCCGAGATACAAGTCAAAGGCGAGCTCATTATTCAGGACACGGGCAGGATCAAGACACGCTCCCAATCCCGCAAGAACCCAGACCAGTACACCGTTATCCCAGCGCCATTGAAGATCATCAAAGTCCTCGTTGAAGAACTTTCCTCGGCATCGGGTGCTCGAGATATCCGAGGTGCTGCTGCTGGTGGCTTAGCCAGTGGTGAGCTCGATGATCTCGAAAGTGATGACGAGAATGACGACTGGGAAGATCTTCCATCTAACAACATCCTTGACCTCGGTCTTGGTATCACAAAGCAAGAGTTGATGGGTTTTGGTGCTGAAGACGACGATGGCTCTCTCGCTATGCGACAGCGAGATGATGAGACACAGGCATTTTTGACCCAGTTCTTCACCGAAAATGCTCCTAAGCCAAGATTCCAGGAGATTTTTGCTGCGCTGAACCCACCTGAACAGGGTAGATTACGGAGCCTGTCCTCTTGAAATTACTTCCCTTAATTTACCCGTGATGCAATACATGAATTAACGAAGTGTCTGATAAGGAATTTTTTAAAGATAGCATGAAATACAGAATTCCCCTTTTTACGTGTTTTTAACGAGTATGTTCGATAACTGCTTGTTATTTCAGGGTATCGATGTAGTGAAAATTTGCCTAAATAGTCTCCGCGTGCTAGACTATTGGGATGGGATAGGGTCCTGTACAATGCCCCAAACATAAGCCTCACTGTTATAACTATTCAATATAAAGACTAAAAGTAAGAAAATGTAACAGATTGGTAAAATTGACCGTCCTCCTTTTGCAGGCTCCGTACTCCATACATGGAGTACTATCGGTGCCAATCGTACCATTTAGAAACCTCATCGTCTCCCTCAATATTATTATCCAACCTTCTCCTAAATCGTGGCTTAACTCGTGTATCCACCCGCTTTGCAACGTCGTTGGCTTCAAACAGGCTAACAAGCTTCCTCTTTCTGTTCGTTTCTTCAGTTGGCACGAAGCTTAGACATGTTTTATAAATGGAAGCGCGGCCCCTTCCTTTCTTAGTCTTGCCGAGAACAAAGAATTCGGGCTTTTCTGCAAGAATAGCTGGAGTATACAATAGGTTATGTGAGCTATAGTATCGATCTGCCATCGTAAACGTGGGAAGCTTTGGTGGGTCGGATGTGGCCTTGGTAGCCCAGGCATCCCTCGCCAGCTCCATCGGGGTACTGCCCGTCGAGTTCTCCCGTGTAAGTAGATCTGGACGGCGTTCTAGCATCAGTTTAAGTAAGTATGTTTGTTGACATCTAACGGCGTTGTGAATGGGTGTATTTCCAGCTCCGTCAAGCAGTTCGAGATGAGTTTGTCCAGTGGGTTCAGCAAAGTCAAGTAGTAACTTTGTGACCTTGAGCTTCTCATCACCCACTAAACCTTGGCCACCTGCTGTTAAGCTATGTATCCAAGAAGCGAAGGGTGTAAGTGCCCCCGGCTCATCTGAGGAGCGGGCCGTAAGGAGGGAAGAGAGTAGACGAGGGTCCAGAAAATCAAGGAGAGTCTTGATCGGTTCCAACTCCATTGGATATAATTTTCCGCCATTTGGTCGGAGAAGTATGTGGAGGATGTTATTGCCCTTAATGTCACGGGCTTCCTGGTTGGCACCGGCATCGATGAGAATTTTGGCGAAACGGCATCTCTGTTTGGAGAAGGCGAGAAGCAAAGGTGTATATCCTTTGGGAGATTTCGTTTCAAGACAATTTGGAAGATTGTCTACGATATATTTGACGAGTCTCGTAGACTCGTCGTTTTCTCTAGACAGAATAGCACAATGCAGGAGAAGATCATCTAGCCCTTCGAGTTAGCGCTAATCATAACAAGGTATTATCATCATATATTAAACGAGGGGAAGACAGTGTGCAACTCACTCCTTAAATTGAGCCATTTTTGGATGGATCCCTCAATTCCATTGTCTATTTGAGCTAGCTTCCTCAGCCTCTTGTCTTGTTTGTTGGAATTTGCATAGTCCATGTAATGTCGTTTAGGGGCTGTACTGAGTAACCACTCTACGGCACTTAGGTTCCCATAAACAGCTGCCCGAAGAAGAAGTGGAGCTGACTTATCCTGTGCGGCTGTAGGAGCTTCTTGGCCAGCAGCGGCAGCCCAGTCCTCACGTTTCTTCCCATGGATTGATAAACCTTGGTAATATCGAGACTTGTTTTTGAGAACAATTCCACTTTCCTCCACAAATTTGTTGAGTGGCAACCCAGCTCCAGTTCGACTGATAATCTCCGCAAGGAATCGAGGCTGACCACATTGTATTGCTTTATCAAGATGGTGGTCAGATAATAAGGTATAAGAACCATTCTCCACCCCACTAATGACTTCAGATTGTCCAAGGTCAAGGAGGAATCTTAACAAGTCGATATTATCATTCACGATGGCATGGTCAAAAAGATCTGGATTACTCCAAACATTAACCTTGCAGTCTTCGTGGTCTAGAAGTAGACCGATCTTGCAAGGCTTTTGCAAGACTTGAAGAGGCGAAACGTTACTCTCTGCCTTGGTAGCCGTCTCGCCGATATTATCAATAGTGAATTCATCGCATATCTTTTCGCCTGTGATTGCAAGTTCGCCTTCACACGAAACATCATCGTTATCGGGATCGTTATCGGAATAGTCGCTTTCATTATCTGAGTCCATCCTAAAGGTCTTTTGAGCAGGAACCTCTGGTTTGTATTGTGCCCGCACAATTTGAAGAATGGCTTTTGCGACATCGAGATGGCCCCGCAGAACTGCCAAAGAAAATGGAGAAGCTCCGGTACTATCGCTCACAGCAGCTGAGAGAGGAGACATATCCTTATTAGGACCCCACATCTCTAACGTCAGTAATTTGATGGTCTCAAGGTCACCCAACCATGCAGCTTCGAACCTATATATTTATCAGCATCAGCAAATATATTTAACATAAAGATACACCCTATAGATAAGTCAAGACTCACAGTTTTATATAGCCTTTTTGCTTCTCATCTGATAGATCTGGAGCATTAAAAATGAATTCGATTTTGAATGGCTCGCGCTTCCATGGATTGTTAGTTCGCCACCTATGCATATATTCGGAACCATCAACATCTGGATATAGTTCCTTGAATGTTTTGGCCCCTTTCGCAACCAATGCCGACTCAAGAGCTTTAAAGTCGTGGAGAAGGGCTTCAACCGCACATTTCTTCTCTTCGAGGCCCTTGAGGTTCTCAGCCTCTTTTATCTTACTTTCATAGCTCTCCTGCTCCTTTTTGAACCTAGTATTTTCCTCTTCCAAGCGTGCCTTGGCAACACGCATTTGATAGGTCCCTTCTTTGTAGGGCGATAGGTAACTTTCATCACATTCCAAGGGCAATGGTGGTTCTGCGCCGGAGCTTTCCTTATAATCGCGTAATTGCCAGGTTTTAATGGCGACAAGATCTAACAGCGACTCTCCTTCCTTGTTTCCATAACAATATTTCGTATTGAGTAGCGAGTATCCAGAGGCGGAAAGGGTATTTGGATCAGCTCCTCGTCCCAACAGATGTATTGCAACTAGTGGTTGATCCGTCAGTATAGCAATTACAACGGGCTGCGAAACGTTTCCTTGGAATTGCGCTAGGTTTTGTTTCGAGTCCGAGTTTTTTAGGCTGTCCCATCGAAGTAGAGCGGATTTCATGTAGTTGCCAAACTCAATGTTTACCGATGCACCAAGATCAAGTAGTTTCGTAATGGTGGTAGTGTTTTTTGCCTTCACGGCGACTGTTAATGCAGTTTCTGCGATGGGATTGTAGCTAATACCATCAACAGTCACATGATCAATTGCCCTTTTGACGGCAGGAGAATCGTGTTTTGCAAGGGTATCAAATAGCTCTGGATAGGGTGAAGCAGCAAAATAGTGCAGCGGAGTTTTTCCAGTTATCTCTGCCTGGGCCGGAGTAGCACCCAAATTCAGGAGTACCTCTGTCATGTTGATAGCCTTCTCAAGAGGTAGTCGAAGGGGTAAAGTAAGAGGAAGGATTGCGCGCAGGCCCCTGTGAAGTTCCTTCAGCTTGATGGGAAGGAGTACATCCGCCCCATAAGAAGAAACGAGTTCCTTCACAACATCTGGATGATTGTGGATAATAGCGATATGCAGGGGAGAAGCCTGACTGTCCCAAGCTATGGCGTTGATATCTATAATATCTGGCTCAGATGCTTTGTCGTCATCAGGGACGTTGTCCTCCTCGACTTGCTCTGCGTCATCCTTTTTAACGTCAACAAAAGAGCCCGTCACGAAAGACATCTTGTCATCCGAGTCCTCTGCATTTTCGCTGACAATTTCTAAGTCATCCGCACCCTCCATATCGATATCTTTGACGTTGTTGACCGAATCTTGTGGATTTTTCGCATCCTTACGTAGCTGGTCTTTCTTAGCTTCTTCTGCTTCTTCATTTTCTGCACTCTTGTTGAGTAGAATTCGGATAATCTCGACGTTGCCACGTGCGGCTGCAAGATGCAAAGCCATTCGACCATCAGCAAGGCGTGCAATGAGCCTTGACCCATTGTCAACGAGGCACTGGACAATCTCTGGTGTAGATACCATTGTTGCAAGGTGTAAAGGAGTTCTTCCCGTATGATCACGACGATAAGGGTCGGCGTCCTCCTGCGCAAGCCATTCCCGAACCGTTTCAAGGTCATTATCGACAATTGCTTGGAAGAGCCGAGTGGTATTTCCGATATATGCCATTTCTATGTTTCTTGTCAGCCACCCTATAAAAATTGTTCCCAGGTATACTATGTGTATATTTACCAGTCCAGTCTGTTTCAGTGATGGGGTTGAAACTTCCGATTGCCTGCCTGCCAGGATCATCTTTGATGAAGGAGATCTCTCCCGATATGTAGATCTTGCTTTCCGCTTCCCATATCTCCTCTTCCTCTGGAGTAGTCGGCTTTGGGCAAGAACCACAGCAATCTTGGATAATATCCTTAACATCCCCAAAAAATACAGGGTGTCGATGAAGGTTAACGTCCCGTTTCTGATTGTTCCACTCAGCATTCAACAACAAGTCGTGTGTGTATAAAAGCTTCTCGATTTTTCTTGCGTGGAACTTCTCCCCGTATGGGATCGTCTGTAACGGAATAAGTATGCGTAGGAAGCAGTTTGGAACCACGAAAAGCTCACAATTGTATGATAATCAGATATTTCCTCTTCATCCACCCAATCTGCTACTTCATCTTCCCAATCATTTTTAATATTTCCTCGTAGTTTTCTCATGTTTCGTCGTGAATTGGTAATCAGAGGTGGGCGGCCACGTTCCAGACGTCTTTGCTCCATATACATCTCTCGATCACTTGGAGTTGGCAGCCGTTCTAGAACCAAGAGACGAGCCAATCCAACTGTCTTCATAAAGCTCCTCTCAAAAATTGTCTAGAAGACGTTATTAGCCATGTTTTAAACGCGGAGGCTAAGTCAATGACCACTTACAGGGTCAATGCGAGAGCGATCTAGTTCAGGCCAAAACACCTCAAACCCGCGATGTGAGTATTTTGATAGACGATTCTCATAAGATGGGGAGCGTCTTGTGAGGTCAATTCTATTCGCCTGGGTCATAAGAGCGGCGACTGCGCGAGGTGCAGCATAGACGTTATGGCCATCATAGGCCACACAGGCGCAATCAACGTCAAATCCAGTAACAATTTCTGCAATTGATTTGTAGATCCGCAAAACTATCTGGACATGACGAGTAGGGTATTGGGACACAATGGTAATGGTATTCTTCGTCCTGACAGATGTTGTTTCGTATAAGATTGAATCCTTTATCTTTTGTTCCATTTGTTTGATTTTTTCAATAGCCTGTTCTTCATTCAACCCGTAAATGAAGAGATCAACGTCGGAGGCAGGAGCGAATTTTTGGTGATAGAAGTGACGAAGTTGTCGCTTTGATTCATTATACTCTTCCGGCACTGGGAGAAGAGCAGACACGACAGAGCTTCCGGCAGCCACGACATTGCTCCAATCGAGATCGCTTAGAGAGCTCTCGGAGAACAGGTTGAAGTTGGTTTGGAACTCTTTAAACGTAGTCACGATAGCCGGAGAACCATTTGGTTTGCGATCCTCATCCTTGAGGGATAGGATATACTTGTCACTAACTTCCTTTGGCTCGGATCTCAAGTCTCGAGCCTGAACAAGGAGATCCGCAGTGCCATCACCATCGTACAATGGCACCAAATTGACATGATTGTCGGCCAACAGAGCGTTAGTAGGCTCCTGGGCGAAAATCTGGCGCAACACCGAATCGTATTCATTGTACGGTTTGAGTAGCTCTCCGACTGGGGTATCACGGTTAGATTTGATGTAGCTCAAAAGGCCAGAGTGTTTCGCCGGCACGGGAGGAAGGGGTGGTATAGAAGACATGGCTGAACTCGAAGCTGCGGTATAGTAACGAGAGATGAAACAACGATACGGAGAGGTAAGGAAGGTTCTCAATGGACGAATTGAACGGACTGAGCAAGGAAACAAGCTTGATGGAATAATTCTCTTCATAGACACCCATCAAGCGGCTTCTGCTCCTTTATATATACGTCCACCGCTGTCGGTGTTGTCGACCATCTGAAGTTTGGACCTTTCGCATCTTCCAAGGCAGCAATGGCCCTAAACCACGTGACATTGTTGGAAGCAGTTCGGATTCGTGGTTGCAGCCTTGGGCTAATGCATCAGGGGCCAGGGATTGGAGTATTTAGTGCCACGACAGCCTGGAGAGGACCCGGTTTTGAGTTGATACGACACCCATGATACGGTGTTTTAAGCGGGCGCAACTGAGACAAGGTTGAGGCTCAAAGCTTCCGTCTGGCAGACCATGCTTCCAATTCGCGAATAGGGGAAGGCAAAGTCAGAGGGCGCTGGAGAAGCTCGATGTATGTAATACCACACGGCTATATATAACTAATAATTGGCCCCGAATGTTATGTCTCGGCTAAAGCCGCCAATATCCCGATATGCTACTGCTTTGATGTCTGTACCTCGAAGTCTGTGTATACTCAAGCTGGGGGAGCCCAACTTCGATTGCCGATAGAGGGAGAGCCTGAGAATCCGCCATTCAGCTGGTTGCTATTGGTAGCTTCCATCAAAGGAATGTTGGGAGAGACACCAGGTTTCATCGTCGAGTCAGCGGTGAATTTATCAATAACTTTCTGGAGTGTATTCATTGCATCCTCCAAATTATCTTCTTTCCATTGCTGATGGCTGAGTTTGTCCAGGTTCTTGCCCACAGCCTCCCACGCGGCTTTGATCTTCTCCTTGTCACCGTCTTCCATTCCTAGAAAGGCCACGTTAGAGCTATTCTGTATGCTCTCCATCTGTGCCTTTGACTCTTGTTCTTTCTTGATATGTTCCATCAATTGCAGAAGTTTCTCGTCGGTTTCTTTAAATCGAGATTCAAGCTCGGTCTTCTCGCGAAGCGCATCTTCAGCCCTCCTTGTCTCGGCGAAGGACATTTTTGCCATTTCATGGATCTTATTAAAATCATCTGCGCGCATCATCTCCAATAGCTTCATAATCCTATCATCTTCCGTTTGGGTATCATTTTGTTGCTCGGGGCTGGGGGTCCCGTCATCATCACCCCCGACAAGCGAGTAACCATAGCGAATGGGTTTACGGCGATTCCTCGCAGGAAGAGTCCTTCGTCTCTTCGTGCCTGGTTCGTCATCTTGCTCGTCCTCTAGCTCTCCCTCAAGGCCGTTTCCTCCAAACGAGAAATGGCTAGCCATATCGCCATCGCTGTCAGTGGATATAGTGAAAGTTTGTTCACGGTGTCGACGCGCCGTTGACAGCTTTAGCCCCAAGTATGAATCGTCAGTCTTAGATCCAGTTTCTATCGTGAGACGGGATATTGTGTGCTTACCTGAGGCACCAAGCCTTTCTTATATAACGTCTGCATTTGCTAAGTTAGGCCTAACTGCTTTGAGGGTCTAATCCACGAAGGTAAATAAAGATCGGGGAGGTTAGCTACGCACGTCATATCTCAGGCGTGCAGCCTTTTCTGTACGATATGGGAAATATTTCTATAGACGCTGTCAGCACCTCCTCGCTTAACCATATAGCTTACTTAGGATTCTAATCCTAAGAGCCCGATTGGTAGGTAGTATGAACCTGTTGAAATTCTCCCCATGACATATCGCGGTTTTGAAGCCTTAGCTCAATAAACCTTGCATCTTCATCATTCCCCCAGATGCGCGACGTGCGACGTTCTGGCATGTTGACGGACCCGTCCATAGACTGGCGGGTCGAGGAACCTTCTGTCGCCATGTCGTACGCTGGCTATCCCCCGAGTTGACCAGTGTTGAAGCGGCAAAGATTGAAAGGTAGGACGCTCTCCTAAAGCGTATAACAGTTACCCTGGAAACGGGCTGGGCGCTGTAAGATGCGACTGTTCCTAACTCGACTCGCATCGAAGTCGTTCTTGGAGTCCCTTTTGGCGCCCTCGATTTTGGGGGCTATTTAACCATTTCCGCGGTCATGTGATACCAACAAATTTGAGCCTTCAGGAGTTAGAAAAACCTGGCCGGGAATTTGGTAAATCGGTGAAAACAGCGCTTGGTTGACTATTTTAATAAAATACATTCTATATGGATTGTGATTTGGCAGAGGTATCAGGCTTGTCTGCCGACTTCTCCACGAGTCTATCAATACTATCCTGGAGCGTAAACGTTATCGACTCCATTCCACCTTTTTCCCACTGGTCAACAAACATGATACTGCGAATTTTCGAGCGCACGACTTCCCACGCAGCTTTAACTTCTAGAACCCCATCTTCTACTTCGTTTAATTTTCGTGTAAATTCCTTTTTATCGGCGTCGGCTGTTTCTGCCTTTTCGCGAGTGCTGATAGAGCTACGACCACGACGTAATTGGCGAGGGTAGCTATCATTCTTTGAGCCTGTATCAGAGGAGTCACTATCGCTATCACCATGGTCGGCCCTACGACGAACTCTCGTGGAGCTAGTCCGTTGTCTTTTTGGGCTTCGATGTCTGCTGGGCCTTGGTTCATTATGGCTGTCGTGGAAGTTAAAGCTGTTATCCCCAAACGAGATATGGGTAGCGGCATCATCATCGCTACATATCGAATTATCACTAAGGGTGGCAGCATAATATTCAGATGGCAATAGAGACTTTTGGCCACAGGAGATATAAGCATTAACCATCGTCCGATTTCCATTTTTGAGATGGATGCACTAACCTCGGTGGGCGTGAAGCCAGCTTTCAATAAATGCTATATCCAGTAAATTTAGTCACCACAATTTGAATATTGTAAAAGTAGTGCGGCGAGACTCCAAAATGAACAGGGGAGAGCTAGAAATGAACGAACATTGTATTTTGAGGATATCACTCCTGGGTTATGTGCAGAATCACGATAAAATGCCTATACGGGTACCAATTGGCCGTACCAGTTAGTCTTAGAATTTTATACGCGTTTAACCACGACCACCGATTAAGATGGGGGAGATATGACCTGATGAAACTCCTTCCACGTCATAGTTGGATTTTCACGCCTGAGCCTGAAAAGTCTCTCCTCTTCATGCTTCCATTTGGAATACGCACCCCTCTTCCCACGCTTACGGGTACCAGAGCCCGCTGGGGAATTACCGGAGTTCGTGTTTGATCGGGGCTGAGTAGGTGGAACGGAAGAAGCAGACATTATCCTTCGGCGTACCCGATAGAAATGACACTTTAGAGATGAAATTGGGATGATAAGTATGTAGTAGCGATGATTTTCATTATCAGCGACTTGATGGTGTATTTTCTAACTGGTTATGTTTCAAAATGGGCTAGTTATGTTTGCCCCCTTTGGCCCACAAACTAGTTATCTCAAACTTGAAACTCCATTATTAACAACGCAAACAATTAATCCAACACACGGAGCAAACTGTCCATATTATAATACCTCTTTGTCAAAAAACTCTTCGCCAGGTCTCTAGCCAGGTCTCTAACCACTCTGAATCCCCATTCTTCTTGGTCTCCTCTAAATTATCAAATTGGTTGGTCATTTTGGCCGCTTAATGGTGGTCACGTTACTAGCCTATTTGAGATGTGACTAGTGCCCCTTGATATAAAAGCCGAGGACTATTAAATCCTGATATCAATATTACTCTTTCGAATGTCCATAGTAAATGTACTGAAAAAAAAAAAAGCGATATTATCTCCATGGCAAGAGTACAACATTATATAAAGTTCCCGAGCTCTTCTTGGACGCGTTCACGATTATACACATCACTGTAATTGACCGTTGGAGTGTTGGTTTTCCTCTTGGAGGCTGGCCTCCAATAGTTTGTCGAAAAGCCCTTCCAAGCCGTCGTCCTGCCACGTTTTAATCGAAAATAGCTGTCTGGCATTCGAGCGAAGTAATGCCCAAGCGGCCTCTACTCCACGACGCTCCGGTGCCGGCTTAAGAACTTGCATCCCTTGTTCTTTCCCAGTTTCCTTCTTTGCATTTGCTGCCTCTCGTAGTTCTTTGACCTCCTCTTCCATAGCTTTTAATCGCGCCTCAAGCTCCGTTTTCGCTTGAAGCGCGTCGTTGGCCCTCTTTGTTTCCGCATAGCACATTCTAGCCTTTTCATATATCTTAGCGAAGTCATCACCTTTCGTAATCTCGAGTATTCGACCAGTTCTGTTTTCCCCTTCTAAGCTCACGTCAGGGGATTCGTTGTCATTAATATCTGCACGATACTGGTGATCATTTGAAACGTCGTAATTAACGCTGTTGCGTAAATGAACGTCCCCTTGAGAGAGCTCCCGTCGTCGTTTTGAGTCGAGTCCGTCGCAAGGCGCTCCCTCCCCCTCCTGTGGCCGCTTGGTGCCACCATCATGGTCTGTCCCATTAGTTCCATACGATACGATGCTAGGTGTTTCATTTTCATTATTCTTAGGCTCGACACCAATGTCTCGGGCTCTAAATGATTGAATCTGTGTTTTGCCATAACACGATAACGAGGCGCACGTGAATATTAGCCTGCATATCTGTCGCCTACAATTGTGAAGATTTAGGATAAACGGTAAACACTTACCTGGCTAGGTATGTGACCTTTCTCCCTCAAGACCTTAGATAGATAGTTAGCTCGATATTCCAGAAGTGACTGGAGGTATAAAGTTTCATACATACCCTGAATCGTCCCCTCAAGGAGTCTAAAGTGCGGTTCGGGAGGAATTCCTATGAAGGCATTGATCGCAGTATTTAGTATATAATCAACGAAAATGTGATTGAATCACCTAAATGGAGCACCAACCCTCTGGAGCTTCGCGAACGAGATGCCTCTATGCGTGAGCAATGCGTTTATAAATTTTGTATCCTCTTCTTCTGACCACCTTAGCCTGTCGCCTACAGCGGGAGATGGTGTTTCCTTCATGGCGATCGGAAGATCTGACATATTAATATCTCTCGAGAAGTCCTCTCTTTGTCGAGATGAGAACCAAAACAACGTGGTATTGGGTGTTGGGCTCCGGTAGGATTGGAGAACAAGCAGTGACAATGTAGATGTAAGACTAGCCCGCAAAGCTCATCCCGAACTAGGTACATATACAGAGCGCTGGAAACGCGAAGTTTGAATATCTCGACCTTTCTAAAATGGCCAATCGAATGATCTGTAAGTGAAGTTCACGTTTCATTCTCCATTAGCCGCCCATGGGGAAATAGCATATAAAAAAGTACAAACAGGGGGCCAGTTAATTATTACCTGCACGTGATGATGTCTCCAGGGAAGATATCACCTCGACCAACAACGACAGCAACAACGCATGTTGGTTATATCCTTGATCGCATGGTTAGCATTGGTCAACTCACATTTATACCACGTCGCGTTATTTCTCAAATCCCTTGGACGCAGTTGTGGATCTCGTTGGATAATAGTTAACAAGGTACTAACTGCTCATGGTTAAATGTGGCTGAAGAGAAGTTAACTTTAGTACAAAGTAGGAGCTGAGAAGACAATTGCCAGGGAAGAACATAAATCCCACCTTCGCTGTTACGCCTTGAATAACGATTCGAATACATCTTCCCGGTGAACTGACCTGTTTCTTCAGGTGTTGTTCATCTACGACAGAAATAAAGGTGCGCAAACGGATAACTATAACCTCCAGGTTTTCGTATTCCAAGGTGCTGATCTTCCACACAATTATCAGCATTAATTATACGCCCCCACGACATTTTTAACAATATCTGATCTTGAGTGGCGGCAATCGCGAGCACTACTCATCATATTCAGTCACAATCTTGAGTCAATTCCAGGTCAAGAGCCATTCGGTTTGATTTCACGATGCCAGGCACCATGGGATTGAACCCCGCCACCACCATTTTACTTATCGCCATTGTCCTCGTCATCTTGCCCGCGAGAGTTGAGGCGTTTGGAGCTGGAAGTGAGCAATATCCCTGCCTCTACACGAAAAAGCTCAGGAAATGCATTCCTTGCTATACCGATATCTCCGAGACCCCTCCATCGAACTGCCCCTCATTGCGTGAATTGACACTTTATTAACGTTTATTTCAATCATTACTAGACATTGCATCTGTTTCCGCCGTCGAAGGCAAAAATTGGCGTCATGGAGACATCGAAGATGTTCTCAAGACACTTGCGTTTATTAAAGGCCATAAATGGACTACAAACATGGTGAAGAGGGTTTACTTTGGAAACTGGCTGAGAGATTAGTGAGTCTTCGTCTTTTATAATATATCCCACCAAAAATTATACTCTCAGTACCATTCTTGCATTGGCATTTGGATGCGGAGCTTTCTTCACCTTACCCGCGAAATCCAAGCTAATACCATAACTAACAATCTTACTGCTGATTTAGTTCTCAGGCTGTTGATGTTGGAACACTGAAAAATGTTCAATCAGACACAGTTCGTATTCTCGTGTGGGTTATGTCATTCATGACCTTTGGATATGCCACCGCAGAATTCGAAGTTACTTCTGATCGACTTGGCGTATATCGACCAGAAGAGCACATTGAGTACGTAATGTCACCTGAAAAAAAGGTTCATTTTGTTGGTTTGCTAACCTTGATATCTGTAGTAACCCAAAGGGCTATGCCGACGACGCAGATGCAAGGCAATATGACCCCCGCTTACGTGGCCCTATCCAGCGAGTTGAACTAGAAATTGACCATGAGACTGGTATGAAAAACTACATCGCCAATGAACGAGGAAACTGGGCTACGAGTGCCGGGTACGTGAAGTATAGCTTCTCACGAAGTATCCATTTTGCCCGTCAATACATGAATGGAGGGCATTTGTTCAAGGGAAAAGATGAGGATTTATATGAAGCTCTGCGATGCCTGGGTCAAGGCTTGCATACGTTAGAGGACTTTGGCGCCCATACCAATTACTGCGAGCTTGTGCTGCGGGAGATGGGTATGGTTAACGTCTTCCCACATACAGGAACTCAAACAATGATGAATATTCGTGGCCGTCATGTCTTTCCCCTGGTAACTGGTACTTTTGGTATGGTTGATTTTTTCCACTCCGTTCTAGGTGAAGCCACCGATCACTTTACGCAATCCGAAATCAGCGAGATGGATAGTACGCTTGAGAATGCAGAAGTGGGAAGCGCAACGGCTGGTTCATATAACACTTTGACGAGCTTGTTATCAAAGGTTCCTGGCATGGGGGATCTGATTTCCGAGGCCGAGAAATTGAAGGCACAGTCCCAAGCGCAAGCACACGCGAATAACAGTGCAGGATACGGACATGGAGCATCTAGAGGACTAGACGATGGACAAACTTATGGCACAACTGGGGGATATGACCAAACCACTCGTGCTTCTGCTCCGGGTGGTTTGCCAAACATAGACCCTCAAAAAACAGCAGCTCAGATTTATCCGATCCTCGTCTTCAGAGATAATGTGGTGCGGAGAATCTCTGCTGTTGTGTCGAAGATCCCCGGTCTAGAGTCTCTTGTGGAAAAGATTACGGACACATTGAGCGTGTTTATCTTCTCTCTCTTGTCTCCTTTCATTCGTCCACTTATAAAAGTGGCGACTTCACAGCTACAGACTGGATCAGCTGGAGTTATTAATAACTCCGAGAAGCATCAATACGAGCCATGGACGGATCCAACGTGCACTGATCCAACCCATTCGCTTCTTTCAAAGGACCATTTCTCTAACATCCTCAACGAGCCAGCTGGACACGTTGCGGCGGCTATTCTGAAATATGTCGTGCCTCGAGTGTTGTATGCATGGCAGAATGTTGATGTTCCCGTCGATGCTGTGCTCGCCGACTGCATGAAAGTATTTCACCACCCAGCACTTCGAGACATGAACAACGAGGCGCACCGGACGATGTTTGAAGCTGTGCAAAAATGGGCGCATTCTCGACGCGACGGGGGTGCTAACCTGGATACAGTCCTCAACGCACAGAGCGTAAGAGAAGGCAAAAACCATACTGGAGGCAACCCCCATATGCAAGGGAATGCACACAGTCACGGATCTGGCCATGGATACGGCAATACCGTTGGTGCTCCACAGCCTAGCCACGGTCAAATGTATCAAGGACATGGATCAGCCCACACTTACCAGTCGCAGCCACAGGCACACCAACAGCATCAGAACTACAACTCTGCACCATACGGACAGACGTATCAACAAGGTAGCTCTCAGTCTCAACCCCATGGCATCTCGAGCATCCCCGGTTTTTCTGCTCTCGCAGGCTTTGCTGGATCGGGTAATTCTTCTCATCAAGGGGCATCCCACTCGACAACGGGGTCGTCGGCGTCGTCTATTCCGTGGGATAAGTTGTCTCATCTGCCTATTCCAGGAGCATCAAATATAGGAAAATTGGGGGGGTTCCTTTCAGGGTCAGGGGGCCGCACTAGAGAGTTGGGCGACGAAAGCAACAGGGATATCGCACCCTATGAGCATCACGCTTCGCGGAGCACGACGCCGCAGCCCGAAATGGCCCCGCCAGCAGGATATGAGCAATACCACCAGCGATCAGAAGGATCCGGACAAGCCGTATATCAGCCTCCAAGCGAGGGTGCGCACACTTATGACTACTACCATGGCCCGCCGGGTAACAGCAGCGGCGGCGGGTACGGTCACTCACAACAGTATTAATTTGGAGCCGATGCTTCCTAAACGACTACAAGGTGGTGTCGCATGTGCGACAAGGGCAAGAAACGACCAAGCTATGAGGCTGAAAGGGCCAAGGCAAATGTTAACCTGAGATCCCGAACATAAAGTGCTTTATGTCTAACATATAACACTACGTACATAAGTACTGAACTCCGTGTGTCTAGAGCTTATTTATACATCTACTTATTCTCATCCAATGAAACGTCCAATTTTCGGATTACCCCCCTTAACTAGCGAGCACAATTGCTTTTTTCTCTTTTAGCGCCGGCCCTGAAGGATTCTCTGCTTGGATGGTTTCATGGGTGACCTAGCCTGCATAGATACATCTCCCCTCTTCGTCACTTATGTACCAAAGGTTCTGAAATCCCTGGCGTAAGCCCTGTATTCTATCTCATGTCTCAAACATAGCTCATGCAAAAATGCTACCTCAAAACCACGGTCTGCCTAACTAAGTCGCAGGAGCTTTACCGAAACAGCAGAGTGCTCCGAATCTTCTCCCCAGTTTATCATATAGCGTTCTTCTATACTCCGTATAGCATGCGTGTGCCCTGCGGCGTTTGAACACCGTATACGGAGTTCTTTCGCCGGATATAACTAACGCCTCTCTGCCCTCGAGTCGCATCTTTCGTTCAAGTTTTCTCAAGTTCACTAATACCTAACTGTCTACTCGTACTCATCCGTTCGTTCTCTACACTCGTTATACCTCATCCCATCGCTATCAAAGTAGTCACGATGGTCAAATCTATCTTCCTCTCAGCCTTTGCGCTCCTTGACCTTGCTGCGGCTGCTACCTCTTCCAGCAGTCCCTCTGCCAGCATTACCTCCATGGCCAATGCATCTCCATCTCCAACGCTCTCGATGTTTGTTGCCGAATCTAGTGCCGCATTCGAGCTGGACAATGTCAATGTATCACTGGTTGCAATTGTACGTTGTTGATTGATACTCCTGAACTCGAAGCATGCCTCTCTGCAGAATGATTGACTGACCTGCTCTTCGTTGATCGCTAGAAACAACCTCTGACAACTATCGCTATCTGCCTCACGTCGCTCGAGAAAGATGCTACCTGCAGCTCAGACGTCCAGCAGCTATATACCTTGGACGCTAGTAACACTATCGAATTTAACACCCAGTCCAGTATTGAAGGTCTTCATTAGTACGTTCACACTATATTCCGTCGACCAAGCGCGGCTCTTAGAAAAACCAGCGTGTGATATTAACATTCCTTCAACCTGCTAGCTCCAACCATGCCGGTTGCACGATAAAACCCGGACTCGCAACTTGCACCGGAGTAGCCAGTATTTCTGGCGCTGGAACCTCGACAACAACGACCATCTCCCAAACTTATTCTGGAAAGGATGTGACATTCATCCCGGTTACGATCACGGCTGGAGCTGAGAAGCTGGCCCAGGCCACTGAGAAGCCGACGCACAACGGTGTTCCCAGAATAACCGGTGTGCCCAACGCGGCCCTTATTGGCGGTGCTGCCTTTGTGGGTGCTGCATTCGCCCTCTAGGGAGCCTCGGTGGCATGATATAATCTACGAAACTCAGACTGTGTATACTTCTATTTGATGCGATATGCTTTAGGCTATATATAACTGTGGGATGACTGCTTGGTTTTTGTGGTGAGCGCACTATCAGATAAGAGACTATGTATATAATAACACAGGCCAAGTGCCGACACCGACGGGGAGATAAAGTAAATAAGCTTAAATTGTTTATTTCCGTGAATCGCGAACCATGCTGTTATCAAGACACCAGCCAAGATGGGAGGCACGGCTCGTGGTGTCGATCGTCGGATGATCATGATGGCATCGGCCGGTAAGATCGTATTCGATACAGCATAATATTGCATATCTAGCCCTGCTCGCTATATTCGCGATTAAATATTACAGTGAATGATATAATACAACAAATAAGGATCCTCGCGATATACCATTCCGCGCATCCCTGGGTTCCCCTTTCCATTTAGCCGTTATGCAGTGGGAACTCCTCCATGCGCCGTTCAACCAGAAGTCAATGAAAGAAAGAGATACAAAACAAGAAGCCATCAATGCCCGTGAAACAGTCGTGTAGGAAATTCGTCGATATAGAATGCAGTCTTCATAGCTTCGTACCCTCCCAGCCGCTATCGCTCGGTCGCCTTCCTCTCTGTGGTTCCGGCCCGGTAGCAGGTGGGAACCTGCTTTGTCCAGAGGATGGACCGTCCATGTCTCCTCCATTATTACTACTACCAGCAGCCGAAGCAGCACGAGCATTGATCGGTGTTCTCTGACTATGGTGTAATCGAGAATTCATGAGCAAATGGACCTGCATCCTGACAGTGTTGAGTCCAGCGGTGAGATGCGCCATGTCTTCTCTCACGCGTAGGTTTTCGTTCATCATCGATATGTTTGTGCGTGCATCGAGGTCTGCAACTGTGGTAGAGAGCTGTAGGACCTCCTCTCGCAAGGCCTCGTGGATAGACAAGAGATATGTGGTGGTGTTATTACTGAAAGGGGCCGCAGGGTTATTGGCAGGAGCCGATATCAGAGCGTCTCCTGATGGAGAGTTACTTCTCTGGAAGTCAGGTAGTGGAAGACTCGCGTTTTCGGCTCCAGGTTCCGCATTCGAAGCTAGTTGGACCCTTGATGGTGGACGTGTAACTGACTGCGCGAGTGTGGATCGTAGGCCGGCAATGTTATCTTCAAGCACGTCATTCTGTTGCTTTAACTGTCGAATGGTGGAATCCATTGTTTCGAGCCGGGCTGCTTGAATTTCCAGATATGGGCCGAGTCTGGCTAGCGGGCAGGTTTGTTCATGCTCCTCTAGCTCGAGCTTTGGTAGTCGCGCCACACATCCGTACTTTGAGGCATTGCATGGGACAGTTGCCTTTGAACAATGTTCTTCATGGTCTTTACGTCTGATCTTGAAGAAAGTCTCCTCACAATCGGGGCATGTCATCTTTATTTGCGGACACAAGCTTGTGGTATGTTCCTGATAGGACTAGTTAGCCAAGGCGTTTTAAACCATGTATGGAAGTGGACGGTGCCTACCTCGAAGTCAAGTTCCATGACAGACTCTCCGCATCGATCACAGTCAACAAGCGTATGCAAGCATCGATTTTCCGAGGCCAGGTACTTCTTTCGTATCTTCTTATCGCATAGTGTATCGGGACAAGTCATCCATCGGTAGTCACAATATTTATTGACATGAACCTGTGCATGCCCACGCTGGATGGTCTCCGTGCAACCCTCTTTATGATAGGGACACTTGACTAGTATATCATCACACATAGCAACGACAAGCCGCGGAACCGTCGTATAGGTTGCATTGGTGGGCGTGCGGCAAGTAGGACAGAGAAATTCGCTCGGCTGGGTGAATTGATTCAAGTCGCTTGAAGACTTGATGCAGGCATCCAGACAGCTCCGGCAAAAGATGTGGTCGCATCGTAGCCTGGTGGGTGTGATGAACGGGCAATGGCAGACCAAACACATAAGATTCGTATTGTATTCAGACACAGATTCGAGAGACCTGAGGTCCACGGAGTTGTCACCGGTATGAATCTCCATGTCGCCGTTCGAATCAGGGCAGTGACCAAGCCGCAACGAGATTCCTTGATCTGTAAATCGAGGGGCGACCGCGGGGTGTTTGCTAGTAAACTGTGGTAGGAGCTCGGGCGGTTAACAGGGTTCAGGCCCAGAGGAATGTAGACATGCCCTCGTCTGCCATTAGAACGAGGCGTAGGACGTGAAATTGTTGAGGTAGAAGCAGGTTGATGGCGAGAAACAGCGCCGGCGTTCCCTATCAACGCCAGAGCAATTGCCGTGGAAGGTCAGTTCAAGCCCGAAGGCGCTCGTTGCACATGATCCCGGCTTAGTCATGTCCAACTTCACGTGATATTACTTATGTAACACGCATAAATGTTAATCCGCTGTCTCTGTTGAGGTTCTCACGTGATAGTCTAATCCGCCGAATAAAAAATGTGCAGAACATAAACAAGCACATACGCCACAGGAAGTGGAAAACAGAGCTTCCCGTCCGCTCAGCTGTACTTAAGCCACTTGCCGGTCGGTTAGTAGTTGGGTGGGTGACCACCAGCGAATCCCGACTGTCGTATGTTTTTTCTTCTTTTTGCTCTATCTACAAAGCCCTCTCTCGTCTTTCCTCTGTGCGATGTTTTTTGTGCCTTTAGAGCTCGGATTAGTCAATAGACATCATCACGTGATAAGCGATAGATGAGTAATCATAGTCCGTGCATATAATCTAATACGGACTTCAAACGCTCCGCCAAGTTCCAGGCATCGTCCACCATATCAACCGTCTTTTGGATGCCAGAACTGACATTGAGAGCAGTGGCTATTCCCGTGCTACAGCCTGTTTTGTTATACTAATTCACATAGCTCTACGGAAGAGCCGGAACTGCCGGGAAACCATACCTCGGGACGCCCAAGGACGACTGTAGCTGAAACATTACAGCCTATTTCTTGACCATGAGCAATCCATCCCAGCTTTTCCTTCTGGCAGATCACATAAAGCTCTCTCTCCTCGAACGTCAAAGGGCGATTTCCCTTGAGCTCGAGCCTAATTCACAAGATGGGGAGATATCTCGCTCGCTGGAATCGTTGCGAGAGGGTCTAGAATCGGTTGAGAAGGAAGCTATGAGGCTGATATCAATCGGAGACTCGTAAGCTTCCATCTACATCTTTATACTGATAATGCGTTTCCTGAACTGACCTTTCTCCTGATAGATCTTCTGCCGATTTCAAGGAACAAACTAATGCGTTAAGAGCTCAATATGAAGACCTCTCGGCCCAGTTCCACGAGAATGACGAGAACAACCCGTCAGCGCTCCCTTCATCGTCAGTTCAGCCAAACAACGCCGAGCTAGCCGAAGACTTCATCCGTGCAAGCAGCACCCCTTCGATCCTCAAACACCCCACACCTCAACACCCAGTCTCCAAATCCGTCCGTTTCACCGACTCGTTAACCGCCAGTGCCGAAGAAAATGACCCCAACCGGGATGCCTTACTCAGACCATACTCTGACTCGCCACAGCCTGGCTTTAACCATTCAGACGCGTCAAACCAGGAAATCCACGATTACCACAGCCAGGTTATGCAGGAACAAGATGATCACTTGGACCGGCTGGGTGAGTCCATTGGACGTCAGCATCAACTTAGCATCCAGATTGGCGATGAGTTGGAAGGCCAGGTTGCGTTGCTGGATGATATAGATGGTCACGTTGATAGGCACCAGGGCCGATTGGATGGGGCACGGAGAAGCCTAGGACGATTTAGAGAAAAATCAAAGGGGAGTAAGGGTTTGATGACTATCATTGGACTGATCATTGTGCTGGTTATTTTGATCGTCATTCTCAAGTGATATATCAATACCCTCCCTCTTTCTAACTCCTGCTCTCTCTATCTCTCTCTCTCTCTCTCTCTCTCTCTCTCTCTCTCTCTCTCTCTCTCTCTCTCTCTCTCTCTCTCTCTCTCTCTCTCTATGACGATTCCCATGACACATACCAAGGGTAGCAGTCAACCCCTTGCAGCTTCCTTGTCCACCTTTCTTACTCATTATTCTCGGTACTGTCCATCTCGGAGTGTATTGCCTATATATCCTTACGGCGGCCCTAGCTGGCCTTTTCTTTGTTCTTTTTGGGGGTGTTATCTTGGGATGGTACCTGGCGTTACTCTACATCGTACATATCATTTTGCACATGCGTTTTATCGCATATTACCCATGCACATATATACCTTTCATAAACAACCGGTGTTTGTTTGTTTGACTCGTGTTTCACCTCGCATCAACGCGCAACATACCACCACTAGCTCCTCTAGATAAAACACTCGTTATTTCTACTCTCCCAACTTAAACTGCATCACCACAATATGCTACATTCTACAGATCTATGTAGAATCTATACCTAATGCTATAGGTTCTATATAAAGATTCTTGATAAAACAGTACGGGCCGCGAGGATGAATGATAGAGGTTGTTATACACCGCTTGCCTGGCTATCGGTTAGGCTCCAAATAGCAAATGTCCAAAATTCTAAAAAGGGGTTCCCAATCTAAAAACGCCTCAGCAGGCATCCTGGCTTTTTTTATCCGCAACGTCACAACGTTTCAGCAACGCCATTTCAATCACCAGTCCTGGTCCAAAGGATGTTGCAACAACATGATCTCGTTCTCTCCTGTATGTCCGGAGCTTGTCGAGCACCGATAGCACGGTCGGGCTCGAAGAGTTTCCGCGGGTTTTATATATTTCTCGGCTCGCCCGAAGCTGGTTTTCGTCCAACTTCATCGTCCCTTCAACCCCTTCAATGAGGATCTTCCCACCAGGATGTACCGCCCAGTCAAAATCGGCTACTCCAAGATGTCCGCCTGCTGGCAAGACCTGTCGTTCATATAATGGCAACAGCGTATCGAACATCGGGCCGACAGCCCCTATAACGTACTTTGGAACCTCTCGTGTCAAGACACTACGAAAACCTAACAGAATAGTTAACGTTCCATATACATCGAATCCATTGTTCAAAGGCGTATAACCAACCATGGGGATCTGTATAACATGCCAAATGCTGTATGGTATTCGGAATCAAGGCACTATCCCATTCTATCAATTCAAAAAGCGGTGCTGCTTCTATCTCTTTCAATGCTAACTTATTGCATAGGACAAACGCTGCCGCGGCATCAGAGAACAGCGCTCCAGCTATGTTAATATTATTTAGATCTGTGCATTGTTCGGCCTCTGCCAAGTCATGACGGACATTTGGCGTACAGAGCTCGCAGGCATATGCTAGGATGCATGCCGGCCTTCCACGCAGAGTAGCTCCGCATGCGATTTGAGCGGCCGCTCGCATTATGGACAGCCCGCCGGCACATCCAACCCCGTGGAGCAGCGTGCGGTCAGTTACCTCCGACAGACTTAATTTCCGATTCACTAGAAGGTCGTAGCCAGGGTTCCCCTGGTTCATACATGTTACGGCTATAGTGTGAGTTATTTGCTTTGCCGTAACCTGTGACTCCACTATAGCTTTTCCACAGGCTTGCACTGTTAGATCAACCCCATCTTGGCGAAATAGCTGGTCAAGGTCGGCGATTGAAGGAGGGATGGATTCGCATGCAAATCCGGTCTCAAAGGTCTGGATGGAAGCGCGGGTTTCTATACCCGTTGAAGCATTAATTTGAAGCAGCTTCCTAAGCCTAGGAAGTAGTTTTAGATCAGTTACTATCAATCTCGGGCTTACTGGACTGGCAGTTCGATATCTTACCCAGGACGTTGGACATCGTAAAAGCGTTCGGCGAAACAGGCCAACTTTTCCGGGACTAGGAGATAAGGAGGATATTGTGATCCTAGACCGGTGATGAACAGGCCTGGAGGCGGCAGTGGGACACTGCCATTATCAGTTGTAGGCATAATAGTATTATTGAGTTGGTAGGCAGCATTTCGTGTGTGGGATGGTAGAGCGTGGAGAAAATACGAGAACAGGCTACGATAGAGGGAGGAATAACAGGTATTTAACTAAATTGCCGGTTATAAATAGTTCGTTAATGAGCCAAGAGCCTCTGCTATTAAAGTTTCCTTTTATTCCCCGCAATGCGGCTGAATAGTGTAGGATATTTGGATTACTTGTAAACCATAATGCTGAGTTGATTAGCATAAAGTGCTCTTGACTTGTAGGGGGACGGTTAACTTATAGAGCTTGATCAAATGAAAAGCCCGTTTTTATATTAAAACACAGCCCTAGCAGTAATAAGCTGCTTAAGGGCATAGATATCGTAGGTACATATCAAATAATTGTAGAACCAGCTGAAATAACATGATTAAGGTTGTATTTACAACACATCTACCTACCAGAAAGACTAGCTCTATATGCCATACCCTTATGACTGTTTTATTCCTTGGATTTCTGCGTCAGTAGATGAATAGAAAAGTGGGAAATTCTTGATAAATGATCTAGATCTGTTCACAGATGCTCTGGTTCAGGTTCCTACCTATTCACCCTTCCAAATCATAGGTCAATCGACATAGTATTAACACTAGCAAACACCGCCATGGAACCTGCAGCCGTGGGTGACATTGGAGCGTAGTAAAATGACACTGGAACGGGAGTTACCGTGACTAGTCTCAGTGCAAGGGGGCTAGGGCTTTATGCAAACCCCTCAGATATATATCCCCTCGGAGATCAATTTTTTTCTCTCCCTCCCTTCCTCCTCCTGTTATCAACGCTCGAACACACACCAGTGCCTTTCATATCATTCTACTATATCGACTCTAGCTGGCGCCTCATGGCAGCACCAGTAAACTGGTCTGGTGGGAGATGGAGAGGCAAACCCCGCGGCAGCAGAGGCCGGGGAATAGGGGAAGCTTGGAGAGCTAATAGAGGGATAGGAGAAGGCGAAGGTAGACGCAGACCTTGTCGGTTCATCGAGTACGGAAAGAAATGCCCATACGGCAAAGAGTGCACCTATTCCCACGATGCAAATAACAAAAAAGTCGACAAACAGCAGCCTGCTAGAGAACCTGCAGATACCTTAAAGGAGCAGCAAGACAGAAGGGACTATAACTCATGGAAGAGGATCCTTAAGGTACCCCCGCAGCCGAACGATACGGCTACCATTGCGACCTTATGGACTGGTGCTCTCGATATCTTGAACGGGGCCGACCGAAACTGGAAGCAAATGCTTCCCCGAGACCTCGACGAAGACGAGAATTATGGCCGCGATCACATTCATACGCTGTTGAGCATGGTATCATCTGGCCGTGGCTGTGGTACCTTTGTCGCTCTGGCACAACCATTCCTTTCGGTAATCACTCATCCGGCCATGTTGGACTGTTTGTCTGTCGATACCTTCGTCGGAGGCCTGTATAATTTCATCAGCGGTAGCAATGGACAAAGGGCGGTAGGCTTCTTTCAGCGACTTTGCACCAGCCTTATAGACGCATATCCTACAGCCAAGGTCTCGAAACCCACGGCTGAAGACACCCTTTTGGCGATGGGAGCCGCCTTGCGTGAGGTCCTTAGGAGAGAACAACGAGCTGTCTACCATGAAGAGCTGCCTGACCTCGTTAGTTCGTTGGAACTCGCCGCGACAGCCCTCGAGCTCGATGAGACGTCGATGGTCAGATTCCAGGGGGCCATCAGCGAGATCAAGGCCATGATATTACGTGCTAGCGGCCTTCTTGGGGCTCGCGTTGAACCCGCCAGCGACATCTCAACCACCGTCAAATCGACATATCCTCGAGAAATTGTCGTACCAGGAACACGCCATGATAATGACAGCACCGACATAGCAAAGATCAAGATCCTTCCAACTAAAGATGAGATCCGAAGCGACCAACCCGATTTTCTGCCCACGACCGATCGTGACCAACCGCATTTTCTCACAGACGCAGTCGAGCGGCACCTTGATACGCTCTTCCGTCTGTTGCGGCATGACATCTTCGGCGAGCTGAAAGAGGCCCTTGGGGTATTAGTACACGCTATCAGCGATGATCCAACAGTACTTAGGAGCCCAAGGCCTCCGCTTGGAGTTATGCGAGCATACTCATACCCAAATGCTTACATTAGCTATGTTTCTTTTGACCAAAAACGAGGCATCGAGTCCCATGTGTCGTTCGACCAGCTCCCCACGCTTCGAAAGAAGTCTGCTTCTGATAGAAGCCGATGGTGGGAAGGCTCAAAACGCTTGGAAGAAGGCGTCTTGTTGTGTTTCGTTACTTTTGACTCTGGTAAAGCATCCCTCTTGTTTCTTACAGTAAGTAAGAAAGGGACAGACCACGAAGCACCTCACAGTCTTGGCTCACACGAGCGTATTTCAACAATTACTACCAGGCTTACTACCCACAACCAGGCAGACTTTGACTTGTTAACCCAGTTGAGCTGCCGAGGTACTCATGGAGCGTTGATTGAGTTTCCAGGGATACTGCTTGCAACGTTCATTCCTATTCTTGAGAACCTTCAGAAGTTGCAACGCTCCAGCCATCTACCATTCCGCCAGTGGATTTTACCTGACCCGTCTACGACTTCTACGGGGCCTATAGGTATCCCTCCACCGCTCTACGCCCGTGGCCAACGGTTTTCCTTCCCTTTGGATTCAATACTGAAAACCAAGGGTGATAAACTCTCTCTGAGCCCTAATGTCACGCTTGATGATGATAATATTATCAATGACCTTGAAACCCGGACTTCGCTTGACAAAGGACAGTGTAGAGCACTGATAGCCGGCTTAACTCGCGAGTTTGCGTTCATCCAAGGTCCACCAGGAACAGGTAAATCGTACATTGGTGTTCATCTCATGAGAGTTCTCCTAGCTTGCAAAGAGAGATCCAAGTTAGGGCCTGTGGTCGTGATGTAAGCTGTCCAATATACTCTATACGGTTGGTGACTAACTTTTTTTGCAGTTGCTACACGAATCACGCCTTGGATCAGTTCCTGGAGGGCCTTGTCGAAGCTGGTATCAAGAAGCTTGTCCGGATCGGAGGCCAAAGCAAGTCAAAGGCTTTAAAGGGAAACAACCTTCGCGTCGTATCGCGAGGCGAGGCAAAAACCAGAAGTGAGCGCTATCTAGCGGCTAAAACTTACGAAGCACTTAGAAATAAAGAGCCTCTTATTACAAAAGTCCTAGGCGCACTGCATGCGTCATGTAAGAGACGTGGTTGGAAGGAGCTCAAGGGCCATTTACAATGGAAATACCCATCCATATTTTCTCAATTTTCCCGATTCGACGAGGACAGCTTTAAGACAGTGGGCAAGGAGCCATTCGACGTCTGGAGTGAAGGGACGGCAGTTCGACAACCTGACGGAGGTAGCGCGTTGGGCGAGGTAATTACCACCTCTCAGGACCTTGTTCTTGCTGCCACCCAAAACGTTCATGGACTATCAACTCTTGACAGACATCGCCTAGTTGAATTCTGGGTACAAGAAGTTTATGAAAGCAATACCGATGAACTATTCGAGCTTGTGAAGGAGTCCCATCAACTGTACGAACGCCTGGATAAAATACATGACGAGGTCGACAGGAGAGTTCTCGAGACCGCGGATGTCATTGGCATTACCACGACAGGCCTAGCCAAGAGAATTTCCGTTCTTCGGCACATACCTACTAAAGTAGTTATTTGCGAAGAAGCCGGGGAAGTCATGGAACCTCATATTATATCAGCCTTACTGCCTAGCGTTGAGCATTTCATTCAAATTGGGGATCACCAGCAGTTACGTCCGCAGATCAATAATTACGGGCTATCGCTTGAGAGCAAGCAAGGTGAACTCTACCAACTCGACCGCAGTCAATTCGAACGGCTTTCTGTGGGAGAACCAGGTAGAGCTTCGTTTCCAGTGGCGCAATTGGATACTCAACGACGAATGCGCCCTGAGATTTCAACTTTGATTCGGGAAACCCTCTACCCACGCTTGATTGACCATGAATCCACAAAGAATATGCCTGACGTCGTAGGCATGCGTAAAAATGTATTCTGGCTGGACCACGAGAATATGGAAAATTCTCCAAGTACAGACCGGCATCAAAAATCGCACAGTAACGACTGGGAGGTGGATATGACGCATTCTCTCGTTCGTCATATCGTTCGGCAAGGCGTTTATAACAGCCACGATATTGCAGTATTAACTCCATACACAGGGCAGTTGCAAAAGCTACGAGCAAAAATGATGAATGATTTTGAGATTGTCCTAAGTGATCGGGATCAAGAGGTACTCGCAAGGGACGGGTTCGATGATGGGATATTAACACCTCCTGAGGACAACCAGATGGACAGTATTCAAGCGAGATCTCTTGAGAAGAAGAAGCTTTCCGAGTTCCTTCGCATCGCAACAGTCGATAATTTCCAAGGAGAGGAAAGTAAGATCATAATCGTCTCGCTGGTACGAAGCAACAAGGGAAACAAAGTAGGGTTTCTGAAGACGACAAACCGCATTAACGTCTTGCTTAGCCGAGCTCAACATGGCATGTATTTGATCGGAAACTCTAGTACTTACTCAAAGATACCAATGTGGGCACAGGTCCTCGGCATACTAGAAGCCAATCAATCGGTTGGGAAGAGCTTTGGCTTGTGTTGCCCTCGACACACAGGTACCTTGATGCAAGTCTCCAACCCGCTCGACTTTGAGAAATTTAGCCCAGAAGGAGGATGTCAACTTCCTTGCGACCGTCGCCTAGCTACCTGTGGCCATAAGTGTTTAGCGCGATGCCACTCCGACAGCATGCACGAAGTGTTTAAGTGCCCACAGCCTTGTCAACGTTTGCTCTCTCCATGCAACCACAGATGCGAAAAGGAAACATGCGGGGAAGATTGTGGACTCTGTAAGGTGAAAATAGACAATTTACGCCTTCCATGCAATCACTTGAAAGATGCTGTCCCATGTTATAGGGTGCGAGATCTTCACAGCATCAGGTGCAGTGTCCGCGTTCAGAAGAAAGTCCCGGATTGCAATCATGTTGTGGAAGTCCCGTGTTGTCAGGATGTATCCTCTCCCACTTTCAAGTGCCCTACGCCATGTAAAGTATCTTTACCTTGTGGCCATAGCTGCCCAGGAAAATGTGGTGAATGCAATCATAAGGAGCGAGCGACAAAACACCGAGAGTGTGACACTATTTGCGGGAGACGCTTTGGAGCCTGCAACCATACATGTCCAAGGGAGTGCCATGATGGTACGGATTGTGGGCCTTGTCTTTCCCCCTGCGAGGTAAGAACAATCCCAACTCATCCCCAAAAATAACGACCAACAGACTGTCGGTATCTGTGAACCCCTTCTGGTACACGGGAGAAACGAGCGGGCTCATATCCATATCCAATGAAGGCCTCTGCTAACAGATATAGGTTAAATGTTCTCATTCTCAATGCCAATTACGTTGTCATGAACCTTGTGCACCATGCGTTGAAAGCTGCACTTGGTCGTGCGAACACAGAGGGGATTGCGAAATGCCCTGCGCTGCACCTTGTAACCGTCTTCCATGCAATAAACGTTGCCCAAAATTCCTTTCCTGTGGTCATCAATGCCCAGGAATCTGTGGCGAGGAATGTGCTGAAGGTTACTGCCACCACTGTTCTGATAAACTCGACGCTCGAGTGGACTTTCTCGAGATGAAATCTTATAAGGAGATTAACGTTGATGAGAGCCCAATAGTTGTCCTTGGGTGCGGCCATTTCTTCACCACGGAATCTCTAGATGGCATTATGAGCATGGCCGAATTTTATAAGCTTGACCCGTACGGTGAATTCACCGGGCTTGAAGACATATCCGCGACTTTTGTTCAAGCCGTGCCTTGCTGTCCAGACTGCAAACGTTCAGTAAGGCAATTTGCCACGCAGAGATACAATAGAGTCGTCAACAGGGCTGTCATTGACGAGATGTCTAAACGATTTATATCAAGTGGAAGGGACGGACTCCAAGAGTTAGAGGAACAAATTGGTAAACTAGAAAAACAACTTCATGAATCTCGGGATGAGATCATGGAGCGAATCCGCCGACCTAATGGTCGCCGGACCTCAAGCGTGAACGCTGCCATGAGTCTAGGAATCGACGACAAATTGCGTGAACGACGAACAGAGTCTAAAAAGCTTGAGTCTGCCATTAAAGCGTTTCGCAACAATTTCGCCGACAAATATCAACCAGCACAAAAACTCCACGAGGCGTCAATCTGCATGGCAAGAAAAGCTGCTGTTGCCGCTTCGGCTCTTGATGTACAATTGGCAAATTTAAACTTGGTGGAGGCCACCCCAGCTCTCGCCCATGATAGTCGAATTATTATGGGTGGCCAAATGGCTCAGATTAAGACAGAGTTTCTCATCCTTGAAGACGAGGTTATACTGTCAAAGGCATTGAATTCAATGGGTAACGAACTTTCAATCAAGTTCCCTAGAGGACCCCCTAGTCTACTTGTTGCCCAATTCCTTCAAAAATGTGAAATTTTTATCGCCGAATGTGACGTTAAGAATTTGCCGAAGCTGAGTGTTGAAGTGACTCTTTTCTATACAAGAATTGCTCGTTCATTCGAGTACCTCTCACGCTCTACCAAAACAGACCTTGACAAAAGTGCAAGTTATGTTGGAACCGCTAATAAAATGCTCGAGAAGGCCCTTGAGGTCTGTCAGATACCATTCCACAATGCTAAAGGCTTGCGTGCCGCCGTGGAAGAGTCGATTCGCTACATGGCCAAAGAATGGTATGAAGAAGTTACACAGGAGGAGGTTGAAGCGGTTAAGGCTGCGATGGTGAGTGGTTCTGGGGGCATTGCGACTCATTCAGGCCATTGGTATCTGTGCAAGAATGGTCATCCGGTAAATTCGCGTTGAGCAGAGATTCCAACAGTTACACCATACTGACTTCTAGCTAGTTTGCAATCGGAGAATGCGGAATGCCGATGCAGTTGGCTACTTGCCCTGAATGCGGAGCAGTCGTTGGCGGACAGAACCATACTGCGGTCGAAGGGGTGACTCGTGCAGTAAATATGGAAGGCTAGGGGAGGTAGTGTAATGTGATGCGCATAACCTAGAAAGGGGGGCTGTTTACTTGGATTCCGCGGAGGGTTGCTATAGGCATAGAGTGCCTATGACTGCCCTCGAGCGACGTTGGCTGTAGTAGCATCATCCATGTTATCCATGTTAGGTGCATCGATCATTGAATAACTACGTAAGCATGCTCTTCTTATATTTTGCTAGCGATGGACGTATCTGAGAGGCCGAGTTATTTATATTGACCACTGGTAGAACTGGTAGAACTTAACCCCAAACTCCCCCCTTTTCTTCCTCCTCTTCTTCCTCTTTTCTTCAACATGAGAGATAACCATGGAAAAGCCATTTAAGTGTAGTTGATCTGTTTACCAGAAAGGTGACATCGGCATTATTAGGAAGTTGGCTCAATGTTGTGCATCAAAGCCTGACAGCTTGGTGATATCTAGGCTATATCAATGCCCAACGAACGATGGCTCCTAAGCGCATCGTATGCCCCGCTACTCACCAACCTTCAAGATAGACACAAAAACATTATCCGTCAAAGATGCTGGCCGAACTCCCGACGGAACTGCTGAGAGAGGTTGTCAGTCATGTAAGTGTTTCTTCACCCGAGTTAACTGGAGCTGTGAATGCTAATCTGCAAAAGGTGAACCGCGTCGACCAGAAGAGCCTCTGTGAGGTTTGCAAGTATCTTTGCGATGCCATGAGTCCACTGCTGTACAACTCTCTAACGATCTCGACGACACCATTATCGATTGATGGCATAGTTTCCAGGATTGAACGGATACCGCTCAAATGGCTGAAATATACCAAGGATATATGTCTTCGCTCTGTTAGCTACAAGGACCGTCTACAACGCTGCATTTATCCGCCCTACGATCCCGCATCAGATCCACAAGGTATCATTGACCTCGATCCATCCAGCAACTTGATGGTGGCCTTGGAGATCCTACTCTCGGCTGTACCTAAGGATGGCCTACGTGCGTTCAGGTAACATGCTCTTACAAGACTCATTTCATGCCTCCAATCTCTTACTCAAGATATCGACTAGATGGGAGCTTGGTACATGCATACCCAAGGGCCTTCTCTCCGGTGACGGTGGCCCACTAGCCAACCAACAGTGGATTGAAACGCTTTCCCTTAGAACAGGCTTATGTGATGGAGGTATACCGATGCAGTACACTGTGGATTTCGGTCGATTCCGGCACCTACAATCCATCTCTTGGGATGAGATGTTTGCATATGACACCTATGAGTCTATTAGAAAGTGCATTGCCGTAAACAAGGAGATCAAGGCCTGGGACCTAGGTCTGGCGTCTTCTTTATGGCGCAGCATTATCCCCCCATCACAGAAAGATTTCCGCTTTAGCTTCTTCATAGAGAAGGTGTTGGAGCTTCAGCCAGGAATGCAGAAACGATGTTTCCCTTCTCTCGAATCACTATGCTTTCGAGACCTGCCCCTTCGTGGCATGGAGGCAGAGCTGGCATACACACTACAGGTGGAGCGTCTGCGTACCTTGAAGCTCTGTTACTGCGCCGGATCTGTTACTTTTCTGGGAGTTCTTGCGGAGTCCAAGTCGGACCTGAGACTGACAACTCTAGAGGTATCCTTCTACAATGTGCATCCCCGATATGAGTTCGAGCCGTTTAAACATCTCTCCGTGATTCTTGCAAGATTCCTTGGGGGATTCCAAGGCTTAGAGAATCTATACCTTAGGCTTCCACATCTCTTTCTGTAAAAGGGCGTCGGCGATGGAATCCTGAACCACCGCTCGACTCTTCGACGCCTAGTGATTCACAATAGGACGCCAGAGAGAGATTTCGACTCTACCTATATCACAAGCCCTCCGAATGAACTTCAATTTCTGCTGAGAGATGCTTCACCAACCTGTCTTGGGGCAAGTATGCACTTCGAGTGCGTCCTGAATCCTCCATATTTCAAGAAGCATAAATTGAACCCTAAGTATGATGCGCCAGTAGGTCTTCAGCTTATCTATGCTTAACTATCTTTGCGCGCTCACCGAAAACTCATCCATTGCATATAGGGCTATCAATTCGAATGGGAGAAGTTATCACCACGGCCATTGTGCAAACTGCTGCATCTTTGGGTGACCGCCGATCCTATCAACCGTTTTGATGAAATCCGAAATTGTTTTAAAGGTGAAGGTAAAGACGTAGTCTTTGACTGCAGGGTAGGCAATGGTAAGCTGAATTCTCATTCCTACACCTCCTAGTTATGTTATGTTAACACTTTGCTATAGTCTCGCATCAGGCTGTGCAGGCCAGTATGTTGAAGTACTACTCATCACAAGATATCCTAGAATTTACACGGTGGGCATTTAGCGATGATGGTCTCCCCCAACTCCAGGTGCTTGCGTGGGGTTTTCTTCGGCGATGGCCACTGTTTTAATGTTCCCGACACGAAAAACATTGTATTTTGCAGAAGTGAACATAGTTTTCGACTCTTGACCCCAGCAGCGATTGAGCTGTGGGACCTTTTTCAGGAGAATATCGACATGTTAACATGGTGCCACGAGTGTTAAACTGCTATACTGCACCACCGGCAATATGGCGAGCAGGCAACTTTAATGCAAGAGAACAATCACCATGCAGAAAGTCAATGGTCACAAACGGATATAATTTATTAATTTAGAGCTTGTGCATAGATTAGCCAGCTTGGTATTTACATTTTCAGTAATAACTAGTTATCGAGGCCCGAAACGCTAGGTCCTCAATAAGGAGAGGAGAAGAGCCTGCTGCTGTTCATTTTTCAGTGTTTTCCACCTTTTCCAAAGTCAAGCTATCAGGGCTCAATCTCGCCCTTACTTGCTGACTCTCTCAGTCTCCTTTTTATGCACCGATTTTCCACGATGAATTTCTTTCTCCATCTCCTCGATTTCCACGCTATCTATCTCTCCTCTATCTGCTTTGACCTATGGTAGACAAGTCAGAATTGATGCATGTAAAAGGAATGGTAGAAATGTTTTCTGCAACTTACATCGGCTTCACTGGTGCTTGCCAGGTTGTTGTTCCATTTTCCTTGACCTTCTTTATGTCTCAACAGATGTTCAGTCTTCTCTTTCTCGACTTCCGAGGAGACTTCTTCTTTATCTCGGTCTATAATGATGTGTTAGAGCTGGGTCGATGAATAGATTAGGCTACACTCACGTCTGTCCCCCTCTTTCAATGCACGAACTGAGGCTGTGTTATGGAATAAGGAAGCTTGGTGGCGGTGGATGGACGATGGTCTGAGTCCTGTCCTGGTCACGGAGCGTAGTTGAAATCGCCCGCTCAACGAAGAGCAGGAGCGGAGGCTGGAAGTAAAAGATGGCATTGTGCGGTATGTAGTGATTGCTTATTGAAGCTTGGAATATGCGTTTTGGTTGTAAGTTGGTGTAGACGGTGTATATGGTGTATTGTTGAGGGACGAGTAAGCTACTGGCGGGTATCCTGGACTTATATATGTGTCCTGCCAACAGTTGTGTATGCCTGTTAATTAATAAAAGCCTGCTATTATGACGAGCTTTCCATGCATGGGTGGGATGTTTTCTGGAGAAAGATGGTCTAGCTATCTCCAACTTGTGACGTCACCGCAACTTGGCCGAGGAACTTCCAAACTGGGATGAAACATCACCATATCAACATCATATCAACATCAACATATCAACATCACATCATCATCATCAACATCATCTACATCTACATAATGAACCTTCTTCATAGATATTGAATGTTAGTCTTGCGAGTCGATGCCAATGGCTGATACATCCGGATAGATACATTAGACTAGAAGAAGCCTCGTCTAGGCTAAAGTATCTCTAGTCAGTTTGAAGACGAAGATACTATTCTAGCAAACAGTCTAGCCTCTACTATTAACTCCTCTAGCCGAGAGTGAATTTACCATTAACCAATGCCAGTGCACCGCCAATGTCTACTAAGATTCACTAGAAGAGCCTTTCCAGCGGCGCCAGGCCCGCAGCAGGAAGAAGCGGCAGGCTGAATAGAAGAGACTATTGAGCCACGCTGGATACTCCGTTCCCCGAGCGTCTGTTCGTCTGTTCGTCTGTTCGTTTATCCTTCGACACTCGCCACTCGTAGATATACGCCCGTAGATACGAAGTATATTCCCTTAGATATGCCCGTAGATAACCCCCGACCCTGATTTAAGATTGAACTATGTGGGCTGGCGAACGGCTGACAACTCTATCCACGGCCGATCTTACAAGGCGAATATAGGTATAGATATAGATTGAAGTAGATGAAATGTTCATATTGGTATTTATTATCCAACGACGCTCAAGTCGGCAATCTTCTTTCTTTCTTTTTCCTTTTTCCGATTTTCCAATCCATTTTTCATCCGAGGAATCGAAATTTTCTTTGGTCGACGTATCCAGCCATCCAAAAAGGGGATTAATGTCAAGTCAGGTAAATGAGAGGTGAGAAATGAAAGGGAAAACGAAAGAGAGAGATAGAGATAGAGGGAAAAAAGGTGAAATATGAAAGATGAGTAGCATGGTATGGTGAAATACACTTCCTTTCCCAAGACAAGGCGTAGAACAGTAAAAGACGAAAGAAGCGAGTATATATAGAGGCAGACCGACCAACCAACTGACAACAACCAGTACAACAGACACACCGTCCATCCATCCGACCGACCGACCGGCGAGTATATATATATCAAGGCAACAACACAGCAACACAGCACGCATTCTATCATCGGGGTAAACGACAACAACAACGACGAGTATCCAGTATCCGGTATCCAGTATCCAAAAAACAACAAGGGTGATATAAACAGCAAATATTTTTCAGTTCGAAGAATCGAAAGTCTTTTAGAAAGGGAAGCAATAAATGAAAACACCGACCATCCCTGCGTGCAACCGACCGTCCATCCAGTCCATCCATCCGTCCGCTCCGTGTATGTATGTATGTAGTAGTAGTAGTAGTATAAGTAATAGTATAGTGGCAGTTGCATATCGTTAAGTGTAGGTCGAATGGAAAGTTGCAAAAGTGAAAGATACACGCCGTCGCTCAGCCCGTTCACGAGAAGAAGATGTTAAAGAAAATGAGTCGTCGATTACCGAAATACGTATAGATGGTATAGTTGTTGTAGTGATGCAAGAAACGAGGTAATGAAACGTTAAGAACGAAAGACGGATCGTCATGGCGTCAAAAAGGGTGGTGAAGAAGGGAAAAAGAGTGAGCCGGTCACCATCTAGGTGGGCTGGAGACTCTCATGCCGGTACTCGGGTTGACGATTGGGATGGCATTCCGCGTCCTGACGGCGGCAGGCTGATGGATCTTGCCCATCATGGCCATGTTGTTCATGTTGTGCATGTTGTTCATGTTCATGTGTTGCTGCACGAGGCCAGAGGTAGGGTGAACCTGGTGTTGCAAGGGGGAGGAGTCTGGAGAGGCACTTCCGAGCGAGCTGCGGTCCGAGGCGGCCAGGGAGTGGATGGAGTGCAGGTCGTCTTCGGTGAGGAGATTGGGACAGAACTCGAGGTCGTCGTCGAGGTCAAAGGAGCGGCCGGCCTCGAAACGGGCCCTGAAAGCGGTGATGGCGGGAGCTTCGATGAGATCTCGCATGGACTTGACGCCGCGGAACTGGCGAGAGCCGGATGCGAGGGACGAAGGGGGTGCTGTCGACGGGGTGAGGGAGGCGGCAGAGGACGAGGCGGCGGCGTTGGAGGGAGTGAGCCGTTGTCGACGACGGTGGTGATGCTGGTGGTGATGGGACATGGTGGTCGCTGTAGCTGCTGGTAGATGGGTGGGAGGCGCTGGATGGTGTTGGTGGTGTGGGCTGTGATGGGAGGGCTGGTGGGAGAAGAATAGCGCGGACATAGGGATGACTCAGCGAGGAATTAGACGATTAGAGGAGAAAGTAGAAGAGCAAAGTGAAGAGTAGAGCAAAGAGTAAAGAGTAAAGAGTAAAGAGTAAAGTAGAAGATAGTGTGAAGGTGAAGGTGAAGGTGAAGGAAGAGAAGAAAAGGAAGAAGAAGACGGAGGAAGGCGGTGAAAGGGCGGGTTGCCCTAGGCCCGAAGGAGGATGCCGATCGTGGGATAGTGACTTCCACCACCACTTATTTTTATATGGGCGAGAAAGTCACTATCCACACCCTTGCATCATCGGCCACCTGACCTGCAGGACCAGGGGTACTTCCTCCTGTATACAAGTTTATATGGCGGGAGAAGTACCTACGTCCTCTAGCGCCGAGTTCCTGCCGTCCATTAATAGATACAGTTGGCGCCGACAGGGCATGAAAAGACGCAGAACGATGCAGTCGAAACACACTGGATATGCATGATCCTGCCCTCGAATCAACCCTTTCTACTCGTCCGTCGCTCCTCTCGCGCCGTCCACTGGCTACTTGTCCAGAAACCTCCCCCGCACATACCGTCCGATCGCCTCGCGCAGCCCTTTCTCCCCGTATCCCTCCCACACCTCATACAGCGCCACCATCTCCTGCGTGCTCTCCACCACGGCCTCGATCGACACCTCGCTGCCCGCCAGCCACTCCACAACCTTCTGCACCCGGCCCCCGTCCCCCATCCCTTCTCGTATGCCTGCAGCCATCCCAGCACCCGAACTCGAGCCTGTGCTGCTGCTGCTGCCCGCGCCCGGTTTGAACACCACAGCCACAAACACGGCCATCACGGCAATGACGTGCGGTGGCTGGAGCAGCGGGAGGTCCGTCAGGTAGCTGTCGTTCACCACCGACCAGGCCAGCGCGATCTCGTCAGAGGATAGACAGAGGCCGGTCCCGGTCGTGTTGGTCAGCGACGACGAGAAGTCCGACAGCGTCCTGTACGGGTGGTGGATGATGAGCTGCGAGTTGAGCTCGCTGATGAGCCAGAACTCGCACTCGCCCACTTTGGCAGCGTCAGACAGGATGAATTCTGCTGTTAGTATTAGTATACGGAGTATATAGAAAGAGATAGAGATACGCACCCGGCCATAGTCCCCGTGCTTCGGAGACGACGTACTTGATATGCTGGGGACACTCTTCCGTCTTGCAGGCGAGGTAAAAGGCCGTGGTCAGCAGTAGGTACGGGTTCGTCCGCCGGATGCTGACCCGAGTAAAGAAGCGCTTCACATAGACCTGCGCCGTAGCCAGAGCTTGCTGGCGAGTGTTCATCCGCTTCCCCAGCTTGATCAGTTCTGCCCTCGTCAGCATTCACATTGTATCGGGGACTCGAGCGGCCTACGCTGGTTGATGTAGATGTTGACCAGGCGGTGGTCGGGCAGGGGATATTGGGCGATGAAGGCCCGATCAGCCTCGTCCAGCGCCGCCCGCGTCTCTGCCAGCTGTTCGCGGTCAAACAGCCAGAACCGCCGCTGCGTCGAGGTCCAGTAGTTGGCCGCCATGCATCCTCGACCTCACATTACAGCCTATACCCAGGTATCTTCGCTGTTCTTCCTGTTCTTCCCCCTAGTTCAAGCTGTATAAAATGTAAAGTTGAAGTAGATAAGATGGATGACTAAGGGATGTATGACGTAAGCTCGCTTATCGCCAATCAGAAGAAGCCAAAACAAAACAACCAAGCAAGACGAAGAAGAAGAAGAAGAAGAAGAAGAGAAGAGAAGACGACGCTAGATAACGAACAACTACGATATACAAGTCGACGGTGAAGGAGAGACGCTGGTCACTGGCAGACTACGCCGATATATACTGCAACGCCGTACCGTCTGATGTTCAGCCCACTCGAAGTGCCATATAACTGCGGCCCGCACCGCCGGCAAGAGCCTGGATGCGTCGACCTGCGAGCTCACTCTTCATAGCTGATCGAAGCTAGGCGGCTGGTCCCTCGTTGATACGTCCTGTGACCGTCGCTGTTACTGCTGTTGTGGCTGCCATTGGACCGGGCTCAGTGTCGGCATTGTCTCAACCTTAGCCGGTACTTTTACCTTTTGCCGTCTATATCAAAAATGCCGGAGCACGGAAACGAGAGCACGCGTGAGCGAGACGAGCGCATAGAACGTCTCTGGGAGCTGCTGGATACTCGGAAGGAAGGACAGATTGATCTCAGGGGGTTCAAAAAGGGGTTGAAGCAGATCGATCACCGTACGTTCGCTGTCTTGATATGTAACTCTGGGTACATGTGCTGACCCTATATAGCCCTGAAAAATGCCGATGACCTGCTGCATGATATTCTCAAGGCGATAGATACAAGTCAGGATGGCCGGATACAGTATTCTGGTACGTTGACCCTGATGGCAATAAGGTGACAGGCGCGGTGCAGTGCTAATGGCCGGAGTAGAATTCCGCTCGTTCGTACAACAGGCCGAGCAACAGCTGTGGCAGCTCTTCCAAGCTATTGACCACGACCGTAACGGCCATCTCGACAAGACGGAGCTGAAAGATGCCTTTTCACGCGCGGGTATGTCCGTGCCGAACTCGAAGCTAGATCAGTTCTTCGAGGATGTCGATACAAATCGCGATGGGGTCATCAGCTTCGACGAGTGGAGGTACCTGCTCGCCCCCTACTCATTGACATAGTATCAGGTGCTAACGTTCGGCAGAGACTTCCTCCTCTTCCTCCCAGACACACATAACCTCCGCTCAGTCATATCCTACTACTCTGCAACCGGCACACTCAACCCCGAAGGCGACGTGCACATCAACAAGACACTACAGGGATCAGGTACAGCTCCTCACCTTTCTCCTACTACACCTTGCACCGCAGAACCAGTCCCAGTCATCAGTCCTCCTCATGCACGTCCTGCTCCTGTTCCGCCCCCTCCTCCTCCTCTCGACCCAGACCAACACCAATATTATATGTTTGCGCCTCCTTATAACGACCACCACGAAATAGATCAGGGACTGGAAGTAGAATTCCTTATCGTCCCTTCCCTCGTCAGAATATGGCTGTCATACCGCTACCTAGAAGAAGTATTGACCGAATCCACACCCCATGTAGGCTACTTTCTTGCCGGCGGGATGGCCGGTGTTGTCTCCCGAACCGCCACCGCGCCTTTCGATCGGTTGAAGGTCTACCTCATCGCACAGACGAATACGAGTAGCGCGAAGAGTGCGGCTGTCAACGCGGTCAAGGCTGGTGCGCCGGTCAAGGCAGTGGGGTGGATGTCGTGGCCTATCGTTGAGGCCACCAAGGAGCTATGGCGTGCGGGGGGGATTAGGAGTTTGTTTGCCGGTATGTCTTCCTTTTATTTTCATATTTATATCCTTGATACAGTACCAAAGCTGACGATGCATAGGGAACGGCCTGAATGTCGTCAAGGTCATGCCAGAGTCTGCTATCAAGTTCGGTGCATACGAGGTGAGACCCCTATATCGTTTGTGTATGCATGCACGAATCAACTGACCACTTCTGCTAGGCTTCAAAACGCTTCTTTGCCAACCTTGAGGGCCACGATGATACCAAGAACCTGCTTCCCATCTCCCAATTCCTATCCGGCGGCATTGGCGGAATGATTTCCCAGTATGTATCCCTGTCATTCAACTTGTATCTAATGCATATATCCTAACACGAGACCCCATAGATGCTGCGTCTACCCTCTCGATACCCTAAAATTGTAAGCTCCCTACATTTACCCCTTGTCCACCGTCCATCTCCTAACCTCTATAGCCGTATGCAATGCGAAACCGTCCAGGGTGGCCTACACGGCAACCAACTAATATACTCCACCGCATCCAAAATGTGGCAAACAAACGGCCTAACAGGCTACTTCCGTGGTCTCCCCCTCGGCCTCCTTGGGATGTTCCCCTTTGCCGCCATCGACCTAATGACATTCGAATACCTAAAGTCAACCCTTGTAGCCCGCAATGCCCGCCTAGCTCACTGCCACGAATCAGACGTACAGCTAAACAACTTCTCAACAGGAGCTATTGGCGCATTCAGTGGCGCCCTGAGTGCTTCCATCGTTTATCCACTGAATGTTCTGCGTACTCGATTACAGGCGCAAGGCACAGTACTTCATAAGGCTACATATACCGGCATCGTGGACGTCACTGTGCGCACAGTGCGAAGCGAAGGTGTCTACGGCTTGTTTAGAGGGTTAACGCCCAACTTACTAAAAGTCGTACCCTCAGTGTCGATAAGTTATATTGTCTACGAGAATTCGAAGCGCTTATTTGGCTTGTCGTGAGAATCGCGATATCACGCCAACTACTACCCTACCGATCGATACCCATCACCGTCACCGTCACACTTCCTCCTTCCATTATGCACTGCTTGTTTATACGTTCACTTTGCTTCGCATATATCCGGCGCGCTGTTCAAGGGCTACGTTCTTCGATTTCCATCTCATCAGCTACTTGGGTATATAATCCATCTACCAGGACAGTTCTATTTTCGCGATCTATCTGGCTCCTTCGTTGGAACCTTTCCTTTGTTCTCCTTCTTTCCTTTTTGTATCATGACCTACCTGTTGGTGATAAATAAAAAAGATAAAGATATAAAGGGCACTCAGCTGTGCCAAATTCGAGATACTGTGCCTTGATATAAGGTATACAGAAATATTCATAATTGACGTTCCTAGATTCCTTGATAACCTAAAGTTTTACATACTTGTTCATAGCATAACTACTAGGTAGTTAAATGACAACTATCGCGTATCTCTCAGATAATAAGTGACGATCACTTCCTAGCAGAATTAACCTCCTCGTCCTTTTCCATGATATCTGGCAGTGGCCCGACAGGCGTGATACCGAACGGATTAATCTGCCCATGACTCTTCGTATAGTGCTTTTTGATATGCTCGAACTGCGTCGTCTCTTTAAACGCAGGATAATCCCAATACAAATGCCTCACCCAGCGATGAATGGCAGGATACCCAGACCGGATATCACGTACATTCGTCTTGAAGTGCTGCACATACACGGCATCAAAACGGATAATCGTCGTGAAGAGCCTAATATCGACTTCCGTGAGGGCTTCGCCAAAATAGAACGGGGTAGAAGGGGAGTAGCTCTTGGCCAGGCGAGATTCAATTTTGTCGAGGGAGGCGAAGAGTGGTGGGATCGATTTCTCGTATGCTTCTTGAGTGCTGTGTGGTGTTAGATATCAAGACAAGGACTTCAGATAGTAGGAGACGTACGTTGCAAATCCACACTTGTAGACGCCGTTGTTCACGGTGTCGTAGATCCATTCGTTCTCAGTGTCGATGTCCTTCTCCAAAGATGCAGGGAGAGGGTCGACGGATTTATATTTCTCAGCCACCAGGTCGTCGAATTCATGATAGAACATGCGGATGATCTCCGAGCTCTAAGAGGCTGTCAACATCAACAATCCTAATCCATGTTAGTCAAGGGTTGCTCACCTCGTTGCTAACGATTTGCTTCGTCTTCGTATCATAGAGAGTTGGCACGGTGAATCGGCCCTTATACTCCGGGTCGACGCTGAAGTAGATATCACGAAGGTGGGAATAGTTATTCAATGGATCCGCTGTGACGTTCTCACCAGGCAGACTCTCATCAGGAGTAACAAAACGCCATCCTTTCTCTCCCAAATGCCAATGGACGGCTGTAAATGGGATGATATCCTCTAACCCTTTCAACTTCCTCGTGATAAGGGTTCTATGGGCTATTCATAGTTAGGTATCTCTAATCCATATATCTTTCTAAGCAAGGGAAAGGAACATGATATAACCTACCCCATGGACAAGCGTAGGAGACATAGAGATGATATCTGCCCTTCTCCGGCGGGAACTGAGCTCCTGGCTTGTTGGAGATCCAATTCCTGAACGCGGATTGTCCACGCTTGTACTCTCCGGACTTATCGTCTGGTCTAACCCAAGACGTGATCTTTACATCGTTTCCAGTCTATCCGAATTAGCAATTCATGCATCAACTAGCCCTGGGAACTATACGAACCGCCATCGTGGTAGTAGGCAGCGTCGACAATAATGTCTTGGCTGACGTCAGTGGGCTGATGGGCGTGTTTTTCAGACGCTGGAAGATGTTTATCGGTCGAAGGATAGAGAACATAAGATGGAACAGGAGGATGTTGAGCGATGGAAATAAAATACAGGAATGGAGGGGAAAAGCGACACTGATATATAGAACAAGGGAAGTCTACTGGTTGCACCAAGGCTCGATTACCAATGCTCTCCTAATGCTTGTCAACGCCAGGGTCTATTTGATTACAAGGCCATGACCGAGCATCACCAAATCATCATTATTTGACTTTCTCCTCCTTTTCTTATGAGAACCATGGAAAAACAGTTCAATACTTCAAATCTAGATGTTTTGTGGCTGTTTTTTCTGAGTTGAATACTCATTTCATTTTCTATCTATGATACCCAGGCCAGAACCCAAGGGTTAGGGCGCAGGAAAAGGAAATATATCGTGTCTAAATGAAGGTACACGGCGTCTAGGAAACTTCTTCACCACTGGCAAGACAGTTCTCTCACTCCAGGCTTGCCCCCGAAAGATCTCATCGCCCGTCTCACTCATACAAGCCATGTTCGGCCTCATTTTCCGGTCGTGCACTTGTAAGAGCCAAAGGAACCGATCTGAGTCCCGGTGCAACCATAGCTCTGGCCCTTCTTGATGCCGACGGACTGCTGCAAGCCACTGCAGTCCGAAGAGTGGTACATTTGGCATGATACGGAATCGCCGCCTTTCAATCCCACGCTGTAGGGACCGAATCCGACATTGATGTTGTAGCAGTGGTTGGGATCATCTCCATTCTTGAATTGATGGAGGAACGCGCCGTTGCACTTGCAATCCGAGCATGGATGGGCGTAAACGTCGAGTTGCCCGAAGACGGGGACGGCGAGGAGTGCTGGGAGGATAGCGATCAGCTTTGAGAATTGCATTTTGTCGATCCTTTTTCTCTGGTTAACAAGGTCGGTTGAAGATATCAGTCTCGCAGGCATGCAGATTGCGGTGATCATGTTTTCAAGGCCATACCTGAGAATAGAGAGGACCTTGGATAATTTGATTGATGGATACTTAAGATAGTGGATGAGCTTTTCAGAGATTGATTGACTGGATATTGCTAAGATTGCTGCTTGATACTTCCCTTGATTTGAGAAGGACTGGGAGCCCTTTTATATTTACGACACTCCCATTGCTACCTCATGGACCCTCCGCATAGAGCACTCCGACGGTGGTATTCTTTTCTCAATGGCATTCCTTTCTTGCCGAATAATGTTGACATTGAGGATGAACAAGGACGGACACGGGTAAACCCAAGCGCTCTATGGGCAGACCTAATACCCGAGCTATCTCGAAAAAGCCGCCCGCCAGTTTGATAGACATGTACGGAGTAAGTAAAAATAAAATAAAATAAAAAATAACATAGAAATATATTCTTCAACTGGAAGCGTTAGGCCCCGCGGGCTAACCTTTAGCCCGCTGAGGCTTGACTCGTTAGTCGCAGGCCGGTTTAAAATATAATGGGCTGATCAGTTCGAGGCTGGGATCACGATCCGGCCGGTTAACCGGCAGGTCTGTCTGTACTATCTATCTTCACATTGTTTCGCAGTTCGTAGATACAGATCTACAGAGTAACGTTGCTCAACTGTCAGCTTTCGTATAAGTTCGATCCTTCATGCATTGGATCCAGAGTCTCATCTCTACACTTCGGTTATTAAGTTGAGAATTGAGGTATAGTTCCGCAGAAGCCGGTTATCATCTGTAACTTCTAATATTACGTTCGTTATAACTCAGCCAGTAGTCACTTATCTAGCATTCTGGGGTACAAGGAGAAAACGCATGAAAAGAAGGCCAACTCCATTTTTCTCCTTTTCTCTTTTGTGTCTTTTTTTTTTCTTTCCAGTTCATGTTCCATGTCTACTTGTCAAGCTTCAACATGACATATGGGGCCTCGACTTCCTCACCATCAGGAGTTTCGGGATGTATTTCAACAATCACAGACTTCTGGTGATCGGGGATCGGTTTCCGGCTGACCTCTGCGATCAATTTGCTCATCCTGTTTGGAAACAATTAGCACTCGCTCCGTTCGTTAGATGCAGACAAATTAACTTACTTCATGGGAAGACGGTCCTTGACCTTGGCTGGAGGATAGAAGCTGGCATATAGCAAGCTGACACCAGAGCTAAGCATGACAATCTCCAGTCCCTGCTTCTTGAAATGATCCAAGAACTCCTGGAGAGTGACATCGTTTATTTCAAAGCGGTCCCACAGCTTGTCTAAGACAACCTCACCATCTGGCCCTTGGTACTTGGTCTTGGGGCTGGAAATCGGCTCGCTGAAACCGAAGAATGGCAATGCGATGTTAATAAAACCGTTCTTGTATCTTTCGATATCCTGGTTGTTATCAATTATTTTGTATAGCTCGAGGATAACCAACCCAGTGACCAGGGCGGTAGTAGTGGCGATGGCAGGAATGATCTTTCCGGCGATGAACTTGGTATTGTGACGATCAGCGGGTTCGATCTCGTAGTTCTCTGCACGCAAGTTGCTAGCAGCAGTGATGAAGTCGATATGGTGGTTCGTATCGTCGTCCTTCTCAAACTCAACTGGTTGAAGCTTGAATCCAGCAAGAGACTTAGGGTCGGGAAGCGAGCTGACTAGCTTGTTTATCTCTTCGTTATCATCAAACGAAGACGACTGTGGCTCTGGTTCCTCGTTCTCATCAGCCTGGATTTTGATACCGGAAGACGGGGTAAATTCTGGAATGATCATGTCTTCAGTAACTTTGCGGTAATAATCTTTGTCGGCACCGGGGTTCTTGATATCGTAGTTGAATGCATGGAGGTTTGCGGCAGCGATAATATAAGAGAGATGAGTATCGTTTTTGGAGTCGAACTTCAATGGAGTTGGGGCACGCTTTGGTCCAGACCAGAACAGCGCCCCGCTGGAGGTGACCGAGTCCTTGGGGAAGTTATACAAGAGCTGTTGAATAGCATTGTTGTAGTACTTCTCAAACTGATGTCTAGCCCAGACAATACAGTCGTCAAAGCTGAGTGGTTTCTCGGTAACCAGGAAGTCCCGGAGGTTCTCCAATGTCTGTTTTTCGGATCCACCTTGCTTCAATGTACGCTCAATATAGCCTGGCTGCGTAAGATAAAGGTTTGCAGCCTCTGGAGGCCCAACGAATAAGGACTCGAAAATATCTCTTGCCCAGGCAATGGTATGTTGAATTTGGTTGGGGAAACTTCTCAGGGTGCACATTGGGAAAGACTTCTCTGGTGGATCATGGGAGCTCGAATACGACTCAGTAAGTCTTGGGATGATGACCTGAGTATTTCCCTTGGTACCAAGAGTGCCACTTTCAAGAAGAGGCTTCCTGAAGAATACACAGCGTCTGTCAACATACGTACGGGCGTCGACGTTGTCAAGAGCATTGGTAACTCCATCGAGCTTGTTCCAGAAATCTTCATTGAAAACATGCTCGGAGTCCGCTCCAACTCGCTCCCTTAGTGCTGTGATCTTTCCTTTGAGCTCTGGGTTCATGGCCTGGACGGCTTCCGCGGCACAGTCGCTCTTTAGCTTGCCAACGTCATGGGAGCGGAACAGGAACTGTCGATTGAGATTGCTCTTCTCGATTTGGTCCATGTCGGTAACAGTGATTTGGCCCTTGGGACCCGTGCTGAGACCGATCATAGCCCAGTTCTTCAACATCTCGCACCCAATAGCACCAGCTCCAACAAGGAATTCGTTGATGTTTGCGAGCTTATCTTGGAATTCCTGTCCAAATACGGCGATTTGTCCATCATATCTAGAGTTTTTCGGAGCGCAAAGCTCTTCGGACCTCTTAATTGTGGTTGGGAGAGATTCCAAGGAGTCGAAGTACAGCCACTGGAAGATGGGGTTGAATTTCCCGGAGACAGCTTTCAGAACCTCTTGTGCAGCCAGACCACCGAAAAATGCTGCCATGGGGCACAAATCTCCTCTGGCCTGGAAACTCAGCTCGCGAATGAGCTTCTCATCAATCTCGATCTTGTCCTCACCTTCACCAGCAAGTTTTTGGACAAGAGCAATAACTTCCTTCGCATCCTCTTCATGGTGAGGGCGAGGAAGCTGGTTATCGTGGGTCTCAGCGAATTTGTGCAGTGCCTGGATACCGATATGGAGCTGCGCTGGCCGGTCAAACTTGGCGAAATCGGAAATAACGAACTCTGGCTTCTTGAGCTGCTGGCTGAACGGCTGGAAATCGATGAACTTTGGCATCTTGGCCTGGGTGAAGAGGCCACCGCCTTCATAAGTCCCTAGTCCGCTCACATCTCCAATAGAGAAGGTGTATGGACCCTTAACCGTAACCTTTCTAGGCTCTGAGTTGTTGAGACCTGTCATTCCACGAACTTCCGAGAAAGTAACGAAATCACCATCTTCAAAGCCATGCCTCGTATCGTCCAGAGCAGAGACCAATCCTTCCTCATTGATTCCTGCGATAATGCCACTCAATGGATTCTCGCCTGTCGCATCTCCGACTGTGAAATTCTTCCCAAAGTCGGTGAATATGTAACCAAAAAGACCGAATGTATCCGCAATAACAACGTATATCTTATTCTCGTGACAATATTCAGCGATAACGGCCTGGTCCTTTAACGATGTGCTGGTGAGAACAACGACCTGGAAGGCCTTTAGCTGGGAAAGGTCGTCCGTCAGGTTTTTACCAGGAAAAACTGAGACTGGGGTGTAGGCATTGAGCTCGGCAACACGAGGAGCGGTTACTTCAGCTCGAGGCTTGCCAACGTCTTGAGGTGTGAGGAAGAACTGCGAGGAGAGGTCGGAGATGGCGGCGGGTGCGGGGTCAAATAGGGTCAGGGATTTAACGCCAGCAAGGGCAATGTTTTTAGCTATATATCAATAGATATGTTAGCTGAATATATTTATGTATGACTCGCTGTAGATACATACCGATCTCGACACCGAGACCTTTAAGCCCGACGATGAGCACATTGGACGAGCCCATGCGCTTCATAGCTTCATGTCCGAGGACGTATCTGTTGGCATAACCTTGTCAGACTCATCATATAAAGCAGGAGAAGGTGTACCTACAGCTGTCTGCTATAGAGTGATTCATCAATCTCCCCATGTTTCGCCATCTCCACCACCGACTCAGGGTTGTCAATCTGCATCTTTGTGTCCTAGAGCGGGTTGAAACAATTCATGTTAGTCGAAGGAAGAAGAAGAAGATGTTGTAGATATAGTGGGCCTTGATATATTCCGAGTAGAAGGTGACATGGCAGTCGGTTGTGGAGGATAGCTATGAATGAGGGGCCTTACAGTCATGACTTTCTTGTCGTTTCGATCTACTTCACTGCCGGAAGCTTTTCGTTTCCTAATTTCCAGGTCGCTGGCGCGAGAGGAAATTGTGAAGACGCGAGTGAAAGCCTTGCTGAGAGCAAGGCCTTCGATATAGCTTGAGAGAAGGGTTCACACGCCGGGTTCAAGGCGATGTCTAGAGAAGTGCGGGGGAGCGATATCGATGTAAACAGTGAAACGCCCAAGCCGCAGGCCCGAGAACAGGTACTTTTAAGAGACGGGGGAGAAGAGAGCACTCGGAAACCACTTCTGTAGCTACGAGCGAGCGTTGTATCAACAGTTGTTGGTTGTTGCTTGCGGTTTCATGGCGGGAGGAACTTGGGATGCACTTTTGGTTGCCAGGCAGCTGCTGAGTAAGCACAGAATCCTATAGATGCATGGATGTTGATATCCATTTATATCTATGTTGATATCTATGAGATGATAGATGATATATACTAGTTGATATAAAAGAGTATAGTTTGAGGGTATCTAACGGTGTCCATAATGTACGGTCTTATCTAGCAGCTATACATGGAGTATCTTACACTACGTAGACACGACCTACTCCTTCGATGGAACCAAGTATCTCTCGGGTTGTCTTCCATCTCTTGTCATCTAGGCTGCATCATATAAGGTATAGAGTACTACTCTCTCGGTCCATAGCCTATAGTTAATAAGACAAGGCCTTCTCTGCCAGTTTCGACTGTCCATAGTCTGTATCATGTCCCCCAAGTCCCCAAGTCTCCAGAAACAAAGGGTATATATGTATATCTCCGTCCTCTGTCTACTCAGAAGCAGCGAAGAACTTTGGTATATCTGCTGTAAAGCACGTCCAAGGCGGTTGCTTCTTCCTATAAAAGAGGTATATGGTATCTCCTTCCAAGTCGTAGAAGAACAACAACAGCTGTTAGAGAAGGAGTGATTGATCCCAATAACAAGTATAAGATAGGGCTTTTCCACTTACGCTCTATTCATTTTCTCCTTTCCTCTCCTTCACCCGTCTATCAAGTTCCTCTAACCCGAGGACTATTCCCTGCCTTTCTCTCTTCTCTAGAGCCGTGACCATATCAACAGACTCATCCTCTATCACAGTCTCTTCTTCTGCGCGGCGAGACAGCCTCGTCCCAAGTATCCGGCCGACCCGGGAGTACAACCAGCTTCAAAAATGAACCTCAGCATTGACGGTACATTACCGCCGGGCGCGCAGAACGCAGACAGTGTAGTGACGACAGCCTCAAACACATCTGGTCTGTATGGCCCATATATCATCATCGGTTCGAAGCCATACCCACTGCAACATCGCTTTGCGACAGCGTCCATCTAATTTCCGCAAGTCAGAAAGTGGCAGGCAAGCTGAGGGGGATATTGACAATGTGAGAATCAAGGTAGGTGGGAGATGATACGGATATAAATTCTGAGCATACCGCGATGATGATTTTTTATAAGCCAGTTATTTAGATCCCAAGACCTACTCAGCATTACCAAATGAAATGTTTGGGAAGCTGACTCCTACTTTTTTTTTTTTAATACTTATACAAGAGCTATCGATGATGTCACGAAGCGCTGGATCAACAATAGTCCGTAGTAGTAACCACGGATGGCCTCGAAGATAGCACCGCTGGATGGAAATTCCCTGTTATTAAGGATTAGTTTAAGCTATTAGATAGAAATATGGATCATGCCGTTATGATAGAATCACCGATGTAGTAGAACGCATGGCGTAGATACAATATTTTGGTCAAGTTCCCGCGCAACAAAGTAACAAACAACAACATCAACCCGATAAACGTATCACGATAATCCGTCGAGGCTACTTGACGTGCCACAATTATCGACACCCGCTCAACGCCCGACATGCAGCAGTAGAGACTGCTGGAAGTGTCCTGGATGTGTCGGTTCGAGCTCCTAGGCTGCGGTATCTTGTTCTGGCACCGTCTGCGGTCTGCTTGGAGAGACGAGGTGCCCTCCAGGTGGCATTGAAACTCATCCTCTGGCCCGATACCACTGCTAACAATTGGAACTTAGAAGGCCTGGGAGGAATCCCCCGGACACAGAATGCTCCACGAGATCCTCCTCTCCCTGTCCGGTCAGCCGTCCCCTATCTTCGAGCAGCCAGCTAAAGACCGTGGAAGTGCCCAGGACGGTTTCCCACTCCTTTCGCCGCAGGAAAAGGCGCTCCTCGAACCAATTGCACGTTTAAGTCGGCTTCACGGATTGCTGCGTGTCCATTCGGCACATATATCTTCTTCTCACCCTTCAACCATCTGTCGGGCGGCGTCTACGACCATAGCAACGGAATATCTCGGTAGCTTTCAGGAGAAGATACTGGAGGTGGAACGGTCGATACTTGGTAAAGATGCCGGCTACGTTGGCGGTTATGGGATCGTCCCGCTTTCTACGGTTGTTGGGGAGTTCTCGCCTTGGGTACGGAAGATGGAATGGCTTTGGGATACCTCCCAGTTCATGCTCCCGTACGTAGCCAAGGACGCGAAGACGAAAGGGACGGCCGCTGGCAGCGGCTGTAGCGGGGCTGCTCTCATCGATTATCTTCGAACGGAGTCCCAGACTGGCTATACGGATGTCGAGGAGATATCGCTTGGTCTTATTAAAGCTGCGGAAGCCGCCTGGATGCGCCAGCTCTCTGTTTTCATACTATACGGACATCTCCCATCGCTAGGCCGCGAAGATTTCTTCATCCAAGAGGGACCTTCTAGTGGTGACAGGCGCGTAAATACGGCGGACTTTCAGCTTCAACCTGACCTAGTACCAAAATTTGTATCTCGGTCAACAGCTACCTCTATCCTATTCGTGGGGAGGTCTCTAAATCATATCCGGGCCCGTGGGAAATTCCCCGCGGGGGAAGAAGCAAAGCACTCCTCGTCTCAGATGACACTACACGGAGAGTTCATCCGATGTCTCTCTTCACTTACTTCTCCGATATCAATGATTAGCCTAGCTAATGCAATCTCCGAAATTCGACTCTCACTCTCTCACACCGTCCTTTCACAGCTCCTACCGCTACACAAGATAATGGAGGTTTTATCTCTGTTGCACAATTTTCTTCTTCTTGGTAGAGGAGAGTTTGCAATGGCATTGGTATCTCATGCGGATGAACGAATTTCGACGAAACATAAACGAACTTATCAGGCTACTTCTGTCGAGGAAACGCTGGACGTCCTGACACTCAAGGAGAGCGAAGTGTCTACGGTGCTTACCCAGGCCTGGACAGAATTATATTCCATCCCTAATGCTGAAGATCCGGTGGATGACGAGCTAGACCTGGCACGATCCTTGCTGAGGCTCTCAATAGAGAAAGACACTTCAATAAGCAAAGATATGAAGTCAGCCAACCAGATACTCACCTATATCTCCGATGTCAACTTTTCAGATATCTTACTTGGCTCTCCAACCACCCTGTCCCTCCACATCAACCCTCCCCTTGACCTCTTTCTGGCGCAATCTGATATGATTGTCTATTCAAAGATCCACTCATACCTCTTGGGTATTCGCCGGGGACAGATGCGACTCGGTGACTTGTGGAAACGGACATCTCTTCGAAGAGTTCACCCGTCTCCCTGGGGTCCGCCGATGAGCAATAAACCCGGCGGCCGAGCAAACCTCAAGCTAGGTCGAGAACGACAGAAGAAGCGCGCAGCATTGATGCGCCGTGTCTGGGCTTCGGGAAGTGCCGCTCTGTTTGTCTTTTCAGAACTTGGTAGCTACCTCCAAGGCGAGGTTATTGGCAGCTCCTGGCGGCATTTCAAAGGATGGCTGAATGGCGGACGTCCCCAGAGTTCCTCCGGACAGGGTTCTAGGCCTGGCACCGCATCTTCCACCAACACCCTATACCACTCCCATGATCCCGAAACTATCAATATCGCTCATCGTACATACCTTGCCCACCTTATCCAGTCCCTTTTCTTGACAGATGTCCCATTTACTCGCACACTACGAGCTCTAATCGCACACGTCGACCGCTTTGTCTCCCTACTCGGCCAATTACAAACCATCCAACAGAACCTCGACCTCGAGACGGACGAAGGCGTCTTTGACTCATTACAAGATTACTCCCAAGATGAGGCGAGAGTATGGGCCGAGGTCTCTACCGCACGTACTAGCCTAGAGAGATCCATGACCGACCTCATTGCCAGGCTACGCGATATCGATGACCATCGCATCACGAAGGGCGCCACATCATTAGATGCTAGCACTAGACACGTAGCGCCAGAACTTCGTTGGGTAAAAGGGAACGAGGAGACGTTACGTGGTAGACAGGAGAATAATATATTTGTCCCATGGAGAGCCGCGGGTGTTGATCGACTGCTAATGAGACTTGAATTCGGCGGGGCTAGTGCAGATGATAACGCGGCTGATGGCTTGGACTTTGGTGGGAACACGGTGTTTGAGGAATAGGCGGGTGAATATCATGGTCTTGAAATTATTATCTGGCGTCCATAGAGAGCAGGGAAAGGGACATTCGCGGAATGGATGATTAGACGTGTATCTAAGTGCATGTATGTTTTACGTGATATGGGTGAATGAGTCCTAACGAGTATTTTTAAGAGATATCCATAAACATTATGAAGCTTATATCAGATGAAAGTCCAAGATGTAATGAAAAGTACTATTGATAGCAAATTCTAGTCAATTTGGCCTCTATGAGAAGCTATGTACATAGAATAGAAGCAAGGCCAAAAGTGAAAGTCGCTTTATAAGTCTAAACTCGAATGACTAGACAATGGTAAAATGGACATGATCATAATAATTGGGTATCTGAAACGCTTGAATCCTCCAGAATATCTAGCAATATGTGAAAAGAAGTGCAAAACACACCAGGATACTGCAGTTAGCAATTGCTAGTGGTGGGTGCTGAATGGGTTATATGATGTATACAAATCTGGCACGGGGTGGTTTCTCCATGGTACCGCCTACAGCTGGCGACTTTGGAGCACCAGATCCCATCAGTCTCTCAGTTGCACCATCTCGTCCCTCAGCAGCGGATATAGTATCTTCATCGTGGTTTAGGACACCATTGTTAGCCACCGCGGCAGTACCCGCTGCGGCAGCTATGGCTCGCATATTTTCCCGCTGGAGCAGGATTCTCAGTGAAAAGGCGAGAACAGCAACGAGCAGCATGAATAGTGAGCAAACGGTCATTCCCTTAATATACCATGGCCCGTCTGTCTCAGGGTATAGTCTTGTACCAATCAGAGGACCGCACTGGCCGATGATATTCAGTATTGCCATGCCTGTCCCTTTACCTTCCCCGGCAGGCTTGTTATCCATAGTCCAGGCTATGATGATTGTGATGGCGGAGAAGAACCCGGCAGCAGCTGGGTAAAGACATACATATCGGATGAGGATATGAACCGAGGGAGGGAGGTAGGAGTGGAAGTAGCCTGTGAGAGCGATGGTGAGGTATGTGCTGGAGGAGATGAGGGCGAGGATGATGAGGAAGAAACTGCGGCTTCGGTAGCGGTCGGATAAGGATGCGGTTATAAGCACTACAACAAAAGCGAAGAGATAGGGAGGTGCAGAGAGAGCTTGAGAGGTGAGTTTTGAGTAGCCCATGCTAAGTGATGTTAGCACGATGCCATATGTGAAGATCTCAGAGATGTTCAACGTACTCGTGTAATATCGTTGGCAAGAAGACTGGCAGGGAACTGAATGCAACATTGCAGCTGAGAAACATGAACTATCTCGATCGTCAGTGCCACCATGAAGTATGAGGGTACAAGTAGCCCAATTTACATACTGCAGTGATATATGACTTTGGATCGCAGAGCGTCCTTCCGACTTCTCCCCAGTCAAACTTGGTCTTCTTAGACTCATGTCTAGGCTTTCCCACCCTAAGTCTGAGCTTCGCTACTTTCCGCTCTCTGGGAGTAAGGTATTTAGCCTTCCCTGGGCCATCTGGGATATACGCCCATGCAATAAACGCCACAATTATACTAGGAAACCCTTCGTACAAAAAGAGAGCTCGCCATGGAGCAATTGGGCCATTCTCACTTGCCCAAACAATCAACCAAGCCAGTGAACCGGCAAATGAGGTTGCTAAGGGGGCAGCACATAATATCATGCCCGTACGAAAAGCAAGTTCCTCCCTCTTGTAAAAAAAGGATAGGAAAAATGGGACACCGGGTGAGAAGGCTGCTTCTGAGACGCCTATCAAAGCTCTCAGAAAGACGAGTTGCCAGAACGATGTCACAAGGCACTGCATCGAGGCGAGGATCCCCCAGGCAAAAACGCAGATGGGTATGTATATGTGTGCAGGAATGATCTTGTACATCAGAGTCATCCATTCAAAACAGATGTATGTGACATAGAAGGACGTAAGGACCCATTCGTATTGCCCGGAAGAGAGGTTTAGATCGTCCATTAGCCCTGCGATTCGCGCGTTTCCAATATCTACACCGTATAGGTTAGCAACCCCCCAGTTATATGAGTATCTGGGTCCGAAGAAGAGCAAATGGCGACTCACTTGATCGGTCAAGGAACGAGAGCATGTATAGAAAAGCCAGGAACATGGTCAACCGGTTATCGAACTTCTTGATGACCCTAGCCTCCTCTTCCTGGGTAAATGAATTCAACGAGTATGAAGCGAGCTCCAGGTCGTCCTCTACACCACGCCCTGGATTATCCTGATATCGTTCATTATCCGAGCTATCCAGCCCGTTCTCAGATCCATCTCGTTCGTCATCGTCGCCCTCCTCCACGCGCGTATGTGGAATATCCGGCCTATCGTCCTCGTCAGGGATATCTGTTTCCAGCCTCTTCAAGCCCACGCCACGTCCGGTCATGCTCGTGGAGGTTATATCGTCGTTCCCCCATCCTGTCGTGCTCGAGTCCGGGGTTAATATTGAATCGGAGGAGAGTATGTCATCGGCGCGGGACGAGTGAAAGCCTTCGACTTGCGGTGGAATCGCCAACGGGCGACTGGGTGCTGTCATGTTGATTCACCTCCAGCTCCGCCGTATACCAGAGCCACCCAATTCATCAGGACAGACACTGCAACTCCAGTCAATCGGCGTCGCTGTGTGTGAAAATTACTCCGCAATATAGAGCCGGCTATGGGGTTAAATATAATCAGCTAGTTCGGCTAGTCTCATGTGACCTCCTGAATCCGTTGATCCCCTTAAATAAAACACCCTTTTGCCTCTCCCAGGCCATGTTCACGCCGTATTTCGGAGGCTGATGATGGGCATGCATCGTCATGGGGAGAAAAGGTGGGCTGGAGGCGGATGGCCTGGGGCATAACTGTTTCGGCTGTTCGGCCTCTATATCGGATGGAGAGATGTGTCATGGAGAAGCTGAGAAACGCTGCTAATATGCTATCCTAGTACTATCATTTGCTGGCTTGAGAACCACCAGACTTGATCACCAGGAGCATCCTGCCCATCCTACAGTGTCACGCATCATAAAAAAGACACCATCTCATGCATTTAGTTACCGTTTTAAGTCTGGCGGGAGGCCTATCCATGCAGTCTGACGCATATCTCCCCGCAAAAACGCCCATCGTCGAAGTCCCTCATTGCATCGATGTCTCGGGGAAGCATATTGGCCGCATCCGTAGTCTGCCTTTGGCTTCCGGGCGAGCCTATGGTCGGTAGCAGTCAGCGCGGCCACGAACGCTTCGACGACGGCGGCGACGACCTGGTGCTTTGGCTGTAGTCAAACACTGACCATGACAATAGGCATGGCGATCTGGGCACTCCTTGTCGGTCATATCAAATGACCTCTTTCGCCCTCCGTTCATCTCCACAATCTCGCGCTGGGCGATGTCGAAGGCTTGCTTGAGGACGGGGACCATGCAGTGCTCCGGGTCGTGGTTGCGTAGATGTTGAAGCGTGTTCTCCGCGCTATCTCTTAGAAATTTGGCGGCCTTGTACTTTGCATGGCCCTTGTTGTTTATGAACGAGTTATGCTCGAGTTGAGCCGTGGCAAATGTCTTCAACATGGCCGTGAGGCGTTCGTCCAGCTCCCGTTTGGAAGCACTAGACGGCGGTGTTAGGGGCTCATTCTGCTGGACACGACCAGGCTTCCTCGAGAATTCTGGTGTCGCGATTTCAGCCTGCGACTGTTCTGATTCTGCTCCCTTCTTCCATCCAGTAACTGTGAAATCCACGCATCATGATCAGACCGTGAATCCCAATTTCACATCCAAAATATGCCAAAAAAGGAACATACCATAACCAAGAATAGCGCGTAGTGCAATATTCTTGCTAAACAGCGCGTCAAGTTTTCCCATATCCTCTTCTCTCCTGATACCCAGTATCTCGTTTTTGAACAGCTCTATAGCCCCAAAATGAGGCAGTCTATTGCCATTGTTGGTGAGAATCAGTAGTGCCTTGTCATATACCGTGATATGAGCATCTTCGAACGCCTGGGAACGCGACCTGATCAGGTTGATATGGTGTTTGAATACGTGGTTGAAGAGTTCAGGGTAGCCAGGAGTCTTCGACAGGTGAATAACGGTGGTAGGTGTCTTGACAGATTGATATTGCTCAACGAGGGCATCTACCTCATTATCCAGCTTGGCCTGGCTATAGGCCCAGGAGTCGGTGTCCGCAGAAGACATGTTTTGAGCCAATACACGTTGATTTCTGATGTCAAACAGATGAAATTTGGTGAAATAGGGGAGTTAGATGAGTTCGGTTGGGTTGGCGCAAAAGAGTGCAGTTAGTGGTTGTGGTGGTTGTCAATATAGCCATCAAGAACGAGGGTGATATCGAGAGTCGGGAGAATATTAGCGACAGCAGCTCTCGTCTATGATAACCGTGGTCTGATACACTGCTTTCCATGTAAATATAATATTCGCCAGTTGTTCTCTTGGATATCAAAAGGGTAACAAATTGAAATCAGGAAGAAGCCGTGCTGGAGATATATCCGTCACGGGTCAACAGCCGAACTTCTTCGAGTCACCGAGGCTAACTGTATTGTAAAACAGGAATATATGTGTGCAAATTATTATACTATATATGAAATCCAATGCTCTAAGCTACATTCAACAGACTCGGCCCCAGGCTCCTAAACATTAAGTGGTGATACACGATAGCCGGGAGAGCATATATATAAAGCAACAGGTGACAGCCAAAATTTCAGTCCAGATAGATACGAGCTTCAAATGCCAAAATACCAAAAAAAGAATCGTCACGTAAAAATCATAACCAACAAAAGAAAGGTGAGATCGCAAGGAGAATAGGAAAAAAAAAAGAACTAGTTTCGTTCATCCCAGAGCCGTTCGATCTCCTTGACCAGCACGGATATATCGCTCCTCTCATTACCTTCTCCACAGTCACTCCACGCGCCTCCATCGCGGATGCACCAGAACTTATTGTCAACTCTGACGGTACAGCTCTTGGTAACACCGACCTTGGAGCTATGCTTGAAGCTCTTCCGCAACAGTGCCAGGCCGCTAGGTCCATGGTCACAATCGTCTTTGCCACGACGAGCTTCATCGCCCTCGTCGCTCTGGCGACTAGCACACTGGTTCAAGGCGTTGAAGCTGATTCCATATTCCAGCGCGCAGTCATGAACGAGAGCGCGGTCTGGTATATCCTTGTATTCGGATATCATGCAGTTGGTGAAACCGAGATATCGAACGGTTGGAGTAGTCTCATAGTTGGGACAGGAGTCGGCGACTCGTGGTGGGTATGGGAGGTTGGCAGCACACAGCATCAGCATATCTCCCACACACTCAGGCGGGCCGTGGAGGCAAGATACGGCCGAGGAGTCGTTCGAGGCTCTGCAGGTAAAGCTGGTCAGTTCATAGATCATGCCAACCTCACTTGATAACAGAAGTAGGGAGCAGTTGACTTACTCTCCGATAAATGAGAGCTTGAAGTCGACTTTGCTATGCACCTGCTCCATGGTAGGCACGACAAGTTGCCGCAAGCAGTCCTGCGCATCGGGACACTTGCTCATGATATGCGCTTCGAAGGGGACCTTCTTCGACCCTGTCGTGCCAACTGTCTGCTTCCCTGGTCTGGCGGCGGCTGCATCTTTCACCGCGTCCACGTACTTCTGGGGGAAGTGAGGTCTATGCAGCATCCCAAAGACCGTCAGGCAGAGACAGAGTGCGATCAAGCAGTGACGGGCATATGTCGCTGCTTTGGAGCCTTTGTGTCCATCCTGCTGATGTGGAACGGGCGGCGGGATAGTATCGTACTTCTCCTTCATGGTGTCTGTGTCTGATTTCGGGCGCTGTGTCGTTGTTTATCCCTGACAAGTGATGTCGCAGCAGGTCTACCGGGCGTCAAACAGCTGTCTTCGCAGGCATACGGCGCTTCTTCTGCTGCTCGACTTTCGCGTGATGAAGCTTGATGTCTTTCGATTCCCCAAAGCGGACGAGGGAAGTGCTTATGTAAGGGTACTTGACACGTGATGAGTTTGATGTCCATGACGATTTTATATTATTTGATAGAGAAAGACGAGAGAGTAACGGCACAGGGAGAGCAGTATTCTATGTTCTGTATGTTCAGTATGCTCTGGCATGCACTACAAGACCGAGAGCTGCGGTTCAGAGAGCGGTAGGATGCAAAATGTGGAAATGGCACTCCGAAGAGAAAACCCACCGTTAGTCCTATGCAAGATGCCATCGTAATCAACGACAGTGAGTTCCGATCCCTGCGGAAGGAAGAGCAGGACGATACTACGCTGTAGGTTTCGCAGTGAGCTATTTGGCTCGGAGCCGAAAGGGATTTGTGATATACCCTGAGTTTCCATTCCTTAACCTTCACTGCCGACAATTTATATTTCTTGGAGACAGGCGTCAGGTTTCAGTTGTTATCGACGGGTGCCTGGCATCTAGAAGGAAGCAAGAGGCATGGGTCCGTCCAGGTACAGCTCGGCTTCCATCAAGTTGGCCCCTACAGGCCGGCCGACCGGACGATGCAGAGAAACACACACACACATCGCTTACTCGGCGGCGGGGACAGAAGAGTAGACACGATGCACAGGCCGTGGGGCCGTTTCTGAAACGAACTGCTGCATCTCACGGCCCTGGACAGCAGCGGATATATGCACAGTTAAGCTTCCTGATCACCACCGCGAGACAGGCATCAGGCACAGCGTAGTATCAATCCTTCCGGCGGTCTGCCCGGCAGCGGGCGAGGAATATATCAATCGTGTCTCATGTGTGATCTCTGGAATCGAATCTTTCGAGGGGCTCCAAAGGAAAGGAGTAGGACATCAACTTCGAGACGATTGAGGCCAGATACGAATGAAGATCAATCTTCTTCAATCCCAGTCTGCTGGGCTCGGCGCAACATATAGATAGACCGTTCCTGGCGGGAAATCCCTGTAAGTCCCCGCCGCTAGGGCTAAAGCAACCGTTTGCCATAGCTAGTCGACGTCAGTAAGCAAAAAGGGCGAACGCTAAACAAGGACGGGTTGCGGCGATGATGCTGGTCGGGTTGTTGGCGGTCGTTGGACGCTGAATATCCCAGAGATGATCGCCCGGCATCCTTACACTGTAGCATTAACTTCAAAGAGGATCATTAAGGAGGTAGGGAGCGTCCTCGATCCCTGAAGCGCATCGATGTGGAAATGAAATGGCCGTTTGTCGAGTATCGAGGCCTATCCCTGGCACGCAAAACGGTTCTCGTTGGTCTTGCAAGGCTGTCGTCACATCGCTTAGAAGCCGTAATCCCAACTTCTATATGCTCCCGTATTATGTTATGTCCATTCGCAGTTCCTCCGTGCTCCTCCCCACTGAGCAGCGCCGGCGTATAGTTCTGTGGTCCGACCGATATTCCATTCCTACGCTACCCCAGGGTCACATCGTCGCCGATTCTCTCCCTCTGCAGGGTGGTATCGCATTCAAAAGGCGGTTGTCCTGCCTGGTTCGATAGACCGTTGTCTTAGCCATGTTCCAACCGTTGAACATATATATACTTTAGACATCTCTGCGGAACATTTGCTTTCCCCGCCGGAACGGTCTTCACGACTTCTATCACCATCTCTTCAGGCCAGTTCGAGTGTTTGATAGCTGGATCTAGATCAATTGCTGGGCACCTCATCCTGCATCGCTCCCCGCCGCAAGTCGAATTCTCACCAGCGAATACCCTCAGCGCACAAGCGACGCACACGGAGACCGCCTCGGCTTGCTTCACAGCTGACCGGGCGAGCTATACAACTCCGGGCTAGCCTTCGATTTACACCAGAACTAGCTGCGACCAGTGCAAGATCTCCCTCCCCGCGACACCTCAAGCTGCAGAGGACCAACCCACGCTCGTTCGCCATGTCCGTACACAGTGCCGGCGAGGAGAGTGACCATAACGTGGCCATGGAGCCGTTTGACGGAGAGGACGAGGACTCGATTGTCGACGAACAGGAGATCGAAGAGCAAGCGATGCAGGATCAGTTAATTGACAATTTCCTTGCGCCGCTCGCCGTCAACGATGCGAGGCTGTACCAGCTAGGCTGCCGCTTCTCGCAGCTCTACCTCGAGCTCGCGCGCACATCAGACCAGCAGTTCCTCCCCACGCCGGTGACGCGGCTGCCCAACGGCCAGGAGACCGGCCGATACCTCGCCATAGACGTCGGCGGGAGCAACCTCAGGGTCGCTTTCATCGAGCTACTCGGCGCCGCGACCGACCATCTAGAGACCAGCAGCAATGGCAGCGAGAGCGTCTCCAACTCCGAGAGATCACGTGATACGCTTCGAAAGGCGCAGAGACATCGAGTACGCCGGACGCTGGAGAAGGCATGGCCGATAGCAGCGCATCTGAAGATGGACAAGGCCGAGGATCTCTTCCTGTGGATCGGGGACTGCATGGCCGAAGTGGTGGCCGACAGCCTGGCTACGGACACGGCTAGCAAGGAGGCGCCAGAGGAGCTCGAGATGGGCATCACCTTTAGTTTTCCCATGATGTATGTGCCAATTCTATGCATGATATGTTTATGTGCCGATATCTACGATAACCTTATAGACGGCGAGAGGAAGCTAGAAGACTAACATGTGGTAGGCAAGATTCGCTCTCTGAGGCTACGCTGATGCCCATGGGAAAGGGGTTCGCCATCACATCAGACCTGAACCTAGGAAAGATATTACTAGCAGGGTATGATAGGCATACTCGACGGCCGTATGGATCCGATGAACCGTCTGCAAAGCGACGGAGGCGGTTTGCTTTGCCAAAACTGAAGATTGCAGCCATCACCAACGACACCGTTGCTACCCTGGCGTCGCTGGCTTACATGGTCAAGTCGTTGCCCAACAGCCGTGTTGCAATGGGACTTATCGTTGGCACTGGCTGCAATGCCACAATACCCATGAAACTATCGGACCTACACGAGTCCAAAGCCAAACATGTCTCCTCGCGGCATCCAGAGGCTACGGAAACAGTCGTCAACACCGAATTCACACTCGGCGGCGCAGCTCCTCCGCTTCGAGATCTAAAGTTTACCACAAAATGGGATATACAACTGGATGAGCAGTGTGCTCGTCCTGGCTTCCAGCCCTTTGAGTACATGACCGGAGGACGTTATATCGGTGAGCTAGTCAGACTGGTATTCCATGACTACCTGACATCGGTGTTGGGACTGGCCCCCAAGGCACTGCCGGCGAACCTCATCCAGGGCTATGCTCTTTCCACTGGCTACCTCTCAGGTGTCGTAGCACCTGCGCACTCTGACCAGCAGTTGTTGATAAAACTGAAAGCCACCTTGCCCCCACCGGAATCAAGCAGCTGGAACTGGGACATATATACCGCGCGCGCGTTCCGGAAAACCGCTAGAATAGTGCAGACACGCTCTGCAGGCCTCGTTGCCGCCGCCGTTGTCGGTCTTCTAGCATGCCAGAAGGAGATTCAGCTACGTTCTGACGGTGCTACCAACCCTAAGCGGTCAACAAATATCATTGTCCCGTCGTTTAATAATTCAACGGACACTATCACTAGCGTTTATCGTCCTGCCTCCACGACGCCGCAGGGGAACGGTGATCCGTCCACTCCTGGCGTGGACTCTCCGCCGTCGGGATGGCAGTCTGGCCCGGAAGAGCTGGTCGTCGCTTACACAGGTGGAATTATCCAGCATTATCCCCATTTCAAAGAAACATGTCAAGGGTTTATTGATCGTCTCGTCATCTGGGATGGGCCCCAGGAAAGCGGTAAGTCCGTGTTCTTGAGAGAAGCTTCCGATGGAGGAATCATCGGTGCAGGCGTTCTGGCTGGCATGGTCTCAACCACTTGATTATATCCTTTGTTTTGATTTACCATCTTGACGTTTACACATCCATTTCTTTTGCTAATCTTGACTTATGATGCGTTGGTGTTTTTTTCTTTCCATATATTCTTACAAAATGGAAAATAGAAGTGGGATGGGGTTTACCGCAATGTGCTCTTCTCCCCAGGTGTTATATGTGTTTGTCTCTAGTTGCTTGAATAAAGCAATATTAACTACAAGTTAATGCCACTTGGTGTATAACCTTTCTACCAAAGTGCTACTATCAAAGTTATCCACTAGCTGGGAAGTGAAGTCCAGTTGGATATTAATGCTCCAAAGGAGTTTTCCCCGAAAAAGATTTTGATTTCTATCTATTCTAGAAGGTCATGTGTGTTTTGCTTTTTATTGCTCATATCCTCTTTCATTCGTTGCTGTTGGTGTTCGTGTTGCACTCCGCCCCCTTTTTTGTGTCCGGCTAATAGGCCCCCTATTATTACCCCAATCTCATTTCCACATACCTCCGATCCCGTCTCCCTTTTTCGACGTCTTATTTGCTTGAAACTGCAGTACATCCAACTGCGGGATAATGATAGGTCAGAGTCATACATCTCTTGATGCCAGTCGCACAGTTATCCGGACATGGGACCGTCGAAGTCACGGTTGGAGTCACAGGGCACGATGACACTGGGCATGCCCGGGTTACCTTGGTCCATCTGACACAGGCTTTGTTCGTACATTTGGGATCAGCGGTACAGGAAGTTGATGGGTATACCTCAGTTGTGTGTGTATAGCAGGGAGTCGGAGCTGGCGACGTTATTCCTGGAGCCGTTGATGTTTCCACTGTTTCTGGGTTCGGCACAGTCTGAATCGTTGCCGACATCATGTTCGATTCCGGTATCAACGGGATCAGCGAAGTGGGCACTGTTTCTGAGTTCGGCACAGTCTGGATCGTTGCCGACAGCATGTTCGATTCCGGTATCAACGGGATCAGCGTGGGTGGTGGTGGCATCAAGGAAACCGAGGAACGTTCAGGTAGCATGTTTGTGCGGCTTTCCGGGTCTGGGAATAGAGGTGCGAGATCACTGCCTGTTGGCATCAGTGGCATACCGGGAACCACCGTAGACTTGTTGCCGTCGCTGCCTCTCACCGGGCGTGGTGGTTGAGATGGAATTGGTAGCTGGCTTGTAGGCTCAGCGCTGTTATGGCGAGGCATCCGCGTACCAATCCCGTGAAACCATCCTGGAGGTAGAAATTGGCCAGTGGAAGTCGAGCTAGTAGTTAAAGTAGAGAGGTCAGTTTTGAACTATTATGTGCTTTGGTTAAAGGCCTTGTCCTGGTTTAGGGAGTGTAAGAGGCCAGAAGTTGGGAGCGTAAATGCTATCAAAATTCAGGGGTAAATAGCTACCTTAGCATGGCAGCGGCCAATGCAATAACCAGAGTGAACTGCATTTTTCAGTAGATTAAGATGTTTCTCTTATAATTGAGCTGTCTCGTCACGATTCTTGTTTATGAAAGAGTAACTCGTAAATTTACCCGGCTGATGCAGTGGTATATATAGCTCTTGCCCTCTCCATGAACATAACATAGTATAGACATTATCCATGACGGACTGGATTATCAAGTGAACCCGAGGATAATACTGTTAGACTTTAATAATAGCCAGATGCCGGATGCGAGCAACTAAGAATTAAACCACGTCACCTCCTCATGTACTTGTATGACGCCTTTCTTTGTCCGGGAGTTCGTGCCTTTATTCATTCCACGATGGTACACATGGCCTGTTTCATCGAGTCCCTTTTCCAGCGGCGTACAGAGATTTGACCTACGCTTGAAGAAGCCCTCCCTATATTCGGGGGACATTATTCAATGGCTATCGGCAGTAGTCGGCGAGGATAACATATCCTGAGAATCTAGATCACGTCTGTCCTTGTTACTGACCCGATGCTGTGTGGCCAGGCCTGCCGTTAACGGAGCTGTCTAGTTTGCGTGTTCTACGTTCTACCGTTAAAATTGTTAATTATAAAGAGGTACAGCTGATGCAGGTTCCTGAGGAAGTTTAGATAAAGCTCACCGGCCGTGTCTGGTGGCGTTGTAACTAATAGTGCATGTGGCGTAAGGGTTCGACGGAATGGTTAGTATTTATGCAATGCCATTGAACATTGAATCATGGTGTAGCAAAAGCCATCCTGATAGATGAGTGGGGAGATGTGTGTTTGAAGTCTCTCAGAAGAATATTTCCATAATTAACGTCATTAATTGATTGCAACTATTCGATCTAGACTTGGGTAAAAACAGAAGGTAATTAAGGGCTCATCAGGAACTGCTGATAAAGAAATGAGCAAAGCTCAGACACATAATCAATTTAAACAAAGAACACTTTTTGAATCATTTCACATAAAAAATCAGGTCGTCTCTCGTTCATATAATCGCGTAAATCATATGCGTTTAAACAGCGGTCAAGGTTGGACCGATGGTTGGCGAAGCATGGCACGATTTGGTGACAGTTGGGCAGACCGAGGTGCAAGTTGGGCAGCCGTAGTTGACGCTGACGGTCTTGGTGGTTGGGCACTTCTTGTTGTGGCATGGAATGGAAGTGGTGACAGCAACGAAGCAAGGGCCATCACAGGCGGGAGTGTAGGTGGCAGGGCAGAAGGCAGCCCTGTAGGAGAGGGTTCTGGTGTAGCATGGCTTTGGGGTGACGGCAGGAGCTGGCTGAGCAGAGACAAGTGCGCTATTTCATAGTTAGATATATCTATTGTCGAGAATCGATCACTTCTCAGCTGGATTTACATACCTGCAAGCAGCAAGGACGCAAATAGCGATGGACTTGGAGAAGAACATGTTGATGATTTGGGGTGGTTGAGATGGTGATTCTCGGTGTTGAGGGTTTGAGGAGCTGGTGGTTGATTGAAGCTGAAGAGCTGAGAGAGGAAGAGTTGTCTGATTGTGATGATGTTGGTTGCTTGATTGTTGTTGTTGCTGTTGATGAATATTCAAAAACAAAGCAGAGAGGAGCTGATATATATATCTTTTGACAGATAGACACGTGCACCCACGGATGGCCGGCAAGTCAGAGATTTTTCTTCGTCCTTCGAAGACAATGAGGTTGGGATGCTTTCTTGCTCAGGTCTCATTCACCTGCATCGAAATTGATTGATGCGAGATACTGTTAAGTGGTGGGTATTTTTCCTATTTTAGAGTTAATGCAGCATCGATGATTTTAACTTCAATAATGCAAATCTCCCCTGAATGAAAAAAAAAAATTGAAAGAAAAAGAAATATATCCTTGTCACACTACTGTCGTGCCACGGCTGGCGGGGCAATCAAGGTATGGGTAGAGCTCATAAAGAGGTACGCTGTTTATCTTGTTTTGTATGCAGTATAATTCTCCGTGGCGTAGAACATCGGCAGCATGATCTGGCCTCATCAAGGATTCCCAGAGATGCATGCCAGGGCCGGATGTTTTACGGACCCTTAACCGGTTGGCCCGTTGAGCAAGTAACCGTGAGCTCTAGAAGCAAGAGGATGCAGTAGTGCTCGACTGAATTGCAATCCAGAATGAGAAAAAGGCATAGGCCATCATCGACCAGGGCCTCGGGTGTTGTAAAAATCCCGACGTTCCGGACGCACGAGCTAGGACCATGCGATATCAAGGCAAGTTCTGCAGTTGAAATTTGGAATTGTGCTCAAATCTTCCCTGGATATTGCTCTCGGAACTATCATCGATGCCAGCATGGGCCTGGCGAGATGTCCTTGGCTTAAAGAATTTTCCATCAGCCTCTCTGCATTCCCAGCAAGCCGCCTGATGTGCCCCTCCAAGGACCGGCGTGAGCCCACTTCATCCTATATTTGGTGGTGGTCCTCGATACAATTCACCTATATCAGTTATCCTTGCACGTAGCTCGGAAACGTCGGCCGTTGATAGCTTGCTTGGAAAGCGGGATGGCAGCTCGTCAAGCAAGACCCAAAAACTCAGCATCAGGTGCTTTTAGTCTTCATCAGAACAACGTCCGACAAGGCGATCAAGACTCCTCCATCATTCCACTTTCAAACGTTCTCTGTATGTTCTTCTCCTGCGCAGAAGTTGATAGTTGATGGTATAAAAAACAAACCAAGAAGGAAGAAGTGAGATATATCCATGCCAAGACACCGACGCCAAGACGAAAACCGGGATGCCAAGATGTATACTCACGTGATAACTTCACATGACTATGTAGCCTATCATCTTACATAAGCAGTGATATCGATATCAACTTCGACTCTGGGCAAGGAAGCAAGCGACCAGCATCTCTCACTCTTACGACGCTCAAGGAGTCAAGCTACATCCAAGATGAGTGCCCCAGCATACTACGAGCTGTATCGCGGCAGCAGGTACTACGCCCGCGATCACCGAATACCTCCCTAGAAGAGACACAGCTGACACCGTGACCTAGCATCGGCCTGTCCCTGACTGATACGCTCGATGACTTGATCAACGAAGGGCGCATCGAACCTCAGCTCGCCATGAAAATTCTCTCAAATTTCGACCGCGTCATAACAGAGGTCCTTGCCGATAAAGTGAAGTGCAAGCTGTCATTCAAGGTATGCGAAAAAGCAGGGGTTAGCTTAAGCGACCCGTCCTGCAGGTCCTAAGTTGAAGTCGCCGGCAGGATGGGGATGGGCAGCCTTCTCGCTTCATTTAATTGTTCGCTTGTGGCTGACGAGTGGGAATTAATTTTCTCTTTTGCCGTACAGGGTCACCTCGATACGTACCGTTTCTGTGACGAGGTCTGGACCTTTCTTGTCAAAGATGTCACTTTCAAGCTGGATGACCAGTCTACGCTACACGCAGAGAAGGTAAAGATTGTGGGATGCAACAGTAAGCGACCCGGAGAGGTATGAATGCATCGACGATGGATTGATTGCGGTTACGAAGTACTGCTTTTTATGCTATGGCAATGGGAAATCACCTTGGCTTATTCTCATACCCTATACTACCCAATCGGAGTTTGCACACGGGCTGGTGTCGTTGGGTTTCTTTGGAGTTGACTGGAATGGGTGTTTGGGACATTTGTTATGGGACAGACTATGATCATACTGGAGAAACAACTCCTTTTGCCCGACTCCATTATTGAGACTTAGGCTTGAATACATGGATATCTGCCAATAATGGTTAATCGTTCTCTCGTCCGTAGTCTCAGTTCTATATGACTTCGAACCGTCCCCAGCATCAAGATGCTGACTAGAGGTCGTCTACAGTGGAAGATTTAATGTTAATCAGTGCTGATGGTTTGGCTACTCTATGCTGTAACCCCAACAACTATCTGGTAAATGCAGATCTAATTAAATTGGCTAGAGACTGAAATTGAAGATATCAAGGTCCCTTCAACATATTGTTCATATAAAGGACTGGTTATGCCAAAATAAGTACGAGGAACACCTTCGCTTATTACGTGAACGTTGCAAAGCATCTGGTTTACTACTACCAAGAGACGAGGACAGTAATATACTTAGTGGCCAGGTAGCTAAAGAAGCAAGAGGGCAGAGTAGTCAAGACACGCTAGGTCTCTGGGAATAAATATAAGTATGATATTGACAGCATCGATATCTATATACGTCTCCTGCCAACGCTGCACTTTGTCTGCCTGGCGTAACTCCACTCGCTGCTGCAGTCCTGAAGAGACCTGGGTTATATGTAAAGGCGTCGCTCGCCGTCGCTTTCGCCAATATCTTCTTGGTGGTCGCCATACTTGATGGCTCGTTTCGATGTGACTTGGAGCCAGGGTCGATGAAGCTGCGCTGGGGGAACATTTGCAACCGCGAACCTGAGGCCAGGATTCGCGTCACATATATCGTTTCTCGGATGGAGGATAGGAATGCTAGCAAAGGGCAAAGATGCGTAGATAGGATCCCCCGGGCGGAAAGATGTAACATGAAGAAAGAATATGTAAAGAATAAGACTTCTACTGAAAAAGATTTCTATATATGCTCGTTAGAGTCCTCCAGTGAATATTATCCACGTCGAGTGAATGTCCATCTCGGTGCCTCGTCTCTGTTTCCTAGTCACTTCTCTCTCGTGAATGTAGATATCAGCAAAATGATACATCGACATGTTTATTCACAGGCGCTTATTTAGTTAACTTAACTAGTGAAGGATAGACTTCGATGACATCTTCGAGACAGATACACCAACACCAGGTCACAGCATACCCTCACGAGCACCCTTCAGGAGTGTAAGACGTTAAAGATGCGAGTATCGACAATAAAATGCCCCGAATTCTGCCCTGGGAAGTGGACGCGCCGACGCGAAAAAGCTCAACGTCGAGGCCGGCCAGGCGCGAGCTGGGAAGAGCACCACGGAGTTCGACGAGCACAGGACTGTTGACCAGACATCGTAAGTGTTGATCTTTCATATACAGTTATACAGGCTTATATCTCAAAGTACTACGTGAGTGCGTGGCTGACATATCTGCAGATAGAACACCGTCGACGTCGCCTGTCCGTGAACCACCGCCAGAAGAGTACGACGGACGATAGCATACACTCTACGTGCCTTATAGAAGCTAACATGGACGGCTAGGCTTATGATAGAAGGCCTCGATGCCGACGACCAATACATTATGGTGGAGGATGAGTTCCTGGCTACCGCGCAAGCCTTCACGGCCCACCTACACCAGGCCGAGTATACACGCAAGAAGAAGCAGGCCAAGGCAGAACATGCGACGAAAGTGATCAATATAACTCAGCAACGGCCTACGGATACACGAACACCCATGAGTAACGAGACAAGGAAGAACATTGAGCGTGAAGCTTCGGCTGCGCGGCATCAGGCAGCGCTAGATAAGATGAAGAGGGAAGCTGGGAGGCCGCTGGTTGACTCGGAGCTGGAGGATAACGTCGATGAAGGAGCGAGCGAGGAGGATCGCGACGATGATCCGTGGGTAGGGACCTCGCTGCAGCCTTTGATGGTGGCCTCGAGACAACCACGTCCGCTGGTGGGATTGCAGGGCATCTGGTCCTCTACCAAGGCCGCGCTGGGCTATTCACAGCCAACTGAGACGAGTGGCGCGCCGGGTAAAGGGAATGAGGCCACTCTCAAGGCTAGACCCAGGCCGGCTATTATCGATGACGCTACAGCTTCCAGCGACGACGATGACCTCGACGTGCAGGCACGGATAACTTACACTCCAAGTCGACCGTTGCGTACCAAGACACCTGCTGCCATCCCGCGCCCTCGCAAGGCTGCTTCACCTTCGACTTCGACTTCGCCTACAAGGCCCGGACCAAGACCTTCGCCTATCAAGCGACCACATGTAAACACCAGCCGTTGCCAGACCACGAGTGGATCACCCTCTAGTGCGTGCAGAAAGCGATCACTCCTGCCCACGCCGCGCGGGAGCTCGAGCTCGAGCTCGCGATTTGCAAAATTCTTCGATGAGCTAGACGAGCCGGCCAAGGAGCCAGGTCCTGGTCCTAGCCCTGCGAGACGCCAAGTTACTTCCGAAGGCATCGATCCTCCGCTTAGCCGGGTCAAACCTTTTACATCCCGGTCAGAGAAGACAGGGGATCGCGATCAGGACGATGAAAAGCTTCGAATCCAGCGCCTTGATCAGGTCCCGACCTTCCTATAGTTAGATTCCGATATAGTAGCGGGTCGTCATCTTCTTAGCATTCCGGCTGCATGAATATTTTTTCTTTCCTAGCTGTGATAGGAAGGTAATGGCAGCCTGGAGCGTGGGAATAACTTTGCAGTACGGAGTATGCAGCCCTTGACTTTTCCTACCCGGTGCGCTATTTAGCTCCTACACATATCGCCCTCCGCCCAGATGCATATGAAGTCTCGGTCGTGGCGCTGCTGGAATGAATTGCTGGTGATCTTGGCGATAGAGCAGTCTATATGCCGTCGGTGCTTGGGCCCCGACGCCGGCTAGGTGCATATCTCCGGTGGTCAAAAAACTCTGCGATATTGCATCCGTTCTGCGAGTAGTATACGGAGTAAGAGATTGGAGTTAGGAAGAAGTTTCATTTAACGATGTAGATACTGGTACAGTTCAGATTAATTTATTAGTTCCGAGTAGATGTCTAATCTATTTTGGATAATCCTTCAAATGGAAGCTCTTCAATTTAACGAATTGGTCGAACCCGAATCTGCTCAGCGTGACGCCTCTTCCGGAGTTTTTCCATCCAGTCCAAGCGAGATCCTATGAGAGCAGTGTATGTTAGAATGTGACCTTGTCCCTTTGACGTAAAGAGCGGTACGTGTGAATTATAAAGGGGGCCAGAAAAATGTATGCATGGGCAGGGACTCACCGGGCTCGGGTAATCGGCCCTATTGACAAAGACAGTGCCAGCTTCGATATCTTGTATCAGCTTCTCGCCCGTCGCGACGTCCTTTGTCCAGATACTAGCGGTCAGTCCCAGGTCGCTGTCGTTCATCAATCGTACGGCCTCTTCGTCACCCTTGGCCTTCATGACAGGTATGACGGGACCAAAGGTCTCTTCAGTCATCACCCGCATATCATGCGTGACGCCGGTCAATAGAGTAGGTTTCACAAAGTTGCCGGCAGACGGGAGATTGTCGAATGTGGCATTTGCGGGAGTTTCATCCTTTGCGCCGCGCTTGATGGCGTCCTCGATGTGGGATAGGATGCTCTCTTTGGCCCTCTTGGATATGACGGGCCCGATCTGGGTCTTTTCGTCAAACGGGTCGCCAACGCGGTAGCTGGCGAGTACTTTTTTGATCTCCTGGATCAAAGCATCGTGTACTTTCTCATGAACGTATACCCGTTCGATGGAGCAGCAGCTCTGACCGCTGTTGAAGATGGCGCCGTCAACGATCTCTGCTGCAGCCCAGGATACATCCACGTCCTCGCGCACATAGGCCGGGTCGTTGCCGCCCAGCTCGAGCCCGACGGTCACTATGCGGTCTGCAGCAGCCTTCTGGACGGCCAGCCCTCCCGCAACTGAGCCGGTGAAGCAGATGTGGTTGATCAGGGGGCAGCGGACGATGGTCTCCAGGTCCACGGCGGAGCCACAATGGAAATACTGCAGCACGTTACGGGGAAGACCTGCTTCAAGGAAGATCGAGGCCATCTGCTCGACGACCGTCGGGGTTTGTGGGGAAGGTTTAAGAATCACAGCATTTCCCGCTAATAGAGCAGGGATCAAACTATTGACGAGGATCAAGTAGGGATACTGTTCTCCCAGCGAGTCACATTTAGCATCCCCTCTCTCTTTGCCGTTGTTCGTCTGCTGCAGAGACGTGCGAGAGTGAGAAAATTGTAACTTACGTTCCAGGCGAAAATGACGAGGACGACGCCCAGCGGCTCCTTTTTCAGATATCTCCTGAACCCGGGCTCAGCGTCCCCGGGCAAGGCTTCACCCAGGGCCTCGCCCGCAATCCGATTCAGGTATTCTCCGCGCCGGATGGCTGTCGTCAGCTCGACTCCCGTGTAGGCGACCGGCCGTCCCATCTGCTCTGTGACCTCGCGAGCCAGCACGTCTTTCTTCTTCGCCATCAGGCCCAGCGCCCTGGCGACTATCTCCTGCCTCTGGCCGAGCGTCGTTGATCTCGAAAAGGCCCGGAACGCCTCCTGGGCCGCCTTGGGCAGCGCCTTGAGCTCGTCTCGTGTCACGCCCGCCCGGGTCAGGACGGGCCTGTTCGTGATGGGCGAGACGGTGGTCAGGGTTTCAGAGGCCATGGTGACGACAGTACGCAGCGGCGAATAGCTCTTGACTCGGGCGTTCCTCGTAAGCAGCGCACACATGGAGGAGAAGAAGAGAAGATGTCTGAACTCCTGGACGAAGCCCGCTTTTTAAAGATATCTGGATTCTGGTGGGTCAGGAGCAAGAGCCGCGTTTACCGACCTGCAACTCCGCGGCCTGTATATCTGCCTCGCTAACCGCGGATGCTGCATCGTAATATCGTAGCAGTGGCGCTGCGCCTCTGAGGTCCGTCAAGTAACGAGAAACCAACTCCCAGGGCGTTCCTCTCGCCCGCGTGCCGGACAAACGTTTCGGCATCCCGTGTCCACATGCGGAAACTTGTCGCGTGCCTCAACATCAATATACAACTTATCATCATTACAATATCATTACAACATATCAACAACGTATACCATACCACGTCTTTATCAACACACCACAATTAATATATATGCTATGATGCCTAGCTGAGATATATTATATACTGCTCGACTTAGGACTGCGTGTCAGGCGCACTGTCGATCGACCTGCATTCCGGCAGCTTCTCGCCCGTCTCCCAGTTTACAATCTTGCTGTTGCGGACCATGGCGTTGTATGTCCGTTTGTTGACGAACCGCCAGTAGCCAGCGCTGCGTCTCATCGTCTCCCGCGCCTCGTTCGCTACCAGCATTATATCAGAGCACACAGCGTCTGCAACTTTCATAAGCAACACTTTCCGGTCCTTGTCGTAACCATTCTCGTTCAGACGGACCCGGATGGCCAGCTGGGCCAGAATCTCCCGTATCATTGGCAGCTCCAGCTTATTGACGCCGCGGTAGTCTCCCTTTTCGCGCGCAGGGGAGCTCACTTTGCCGTCTTTGAGCTCGACATGTTTGGTGGCTTCCCTCTTGGCGGCGAGCTCCTGGATCTGGTGTTCTAGCTCTTGAAATCTCCGGATGCTGGCAACGAAAAAGGCATCTGCCTCTTGGGGGCTAATGGAGGACTCGAGATGGTTCGTGCCGTGAATCGCCTTGTTTACAAGCTCGACCGAACTCGCCAGAACGACTCCTGGCACAGTTAGGCGGTTCGCTTGACGCTTCATGTTCTTTGTCATGTCCTTTTCCAGCTTGACAGCCTTTTTCTCCGCTCTCCTGTCCTTGGCAGACAGTGTTCTCCTTAGAGATGATGGAGAGTCCCCCAGTGTGAGGAGGGCGATACCTCTGGCCGCCCTTACCACATTTCGCCCAGGAGTAAGGGGAGCTCTGTCAAAGATGGTCGTGTGGTTGGAGAACTTGCTACCACGAGACTGTTCCCCTCTATCGAGTGCATGGATTTGCTCGATGAGGGTCAAGATATCCTTGTGCCGTTTTCCGTGAAGCTCATTTGATTTTCCGCACCTGTTCATACGCGGTTAGCATGTATTAGAGGTACGTGAGGAATTAATATCCAAACTTACGAGTCGCATTTATGGCTATTTCCTATATATCACCGAGTCAGCTATGACATTCAATACATACACTCAACTTGCTGTCATCACCTACCGACATGGAACATTGTTTGGTGGTACCTCAAGCAGGGCTCAGCGTGCTTCCCATAGCAAGCTCGCTTTGCCTTTGGACTGTTGAGACATGTTCCGCATACTCCACATCCATGATCTATAGACCAAAGAAGATATGGATGTTAGCAATGTCTCGGAAGGGATTGTGGGGAGCTTTCATACAAAGTCCTGGGCTATCCTCCCATTTGAATATATCAGTCTTTAAATCCATTACAGCAAGAAGTAGATTACTTGGCGATTCAAGGCTACTTTAACAAGCAGGAGGTGAGAGGTAACGAAGCTAGACAAAGGTGTCTTTAGTGGTGAGAGAAAGGATCTACTCTCAGATGGGTTTGAAAACACTCAGCTGTTGCTTCCAGTGGTATGTGGAGTCTTGATGAAATGAGAACCTGGTATTGCCAGAGACAATTGAAAGACAGATATGCAGGTAGAGATGGAGAGATTAATAGATCAAGAATCAGAAATCCCTTTTCAAAAGCAGGCCCTGGTGGGCTTTTTAAGTCAAAATCAGTGAGAGCCTTCCTTCCAGCAAGACTGCCATCAGCCTACTAAATTCCCTCTATATACTATGAATGGAATACTCCTAGAATTCACTACTATTTTTCATTAAGACGAGTATGGTTCCTAACTGGTCATTCTTCATGCACTATTCTTTGACTAGGATGTTGAATTGGGAAAATTATTGTCATTATTAGCGCTTTTATCACTATAGCTCCCTTAAATGCGAAATGTCCTGCCAAAGACCAGTCACTTTCCACCGTCTCGATGTCTGGATGGTGGATTGTCCTTTTCAACCGCCAAATAGACGGCTTGGTATATGCTATATATCTAGTTACCGTCTTGGATTTCGTAGAGTCTGTGTTGGATGTTGTTGGGCTTTCCATCTTATCTGCATTTATGTCGGGGGCCACCCAACACATTCGAATATTGAGTGAGTGAGGATACGGAAAAAGGCAGAGAAATAACCGAGTATGAATGCATCGAACTATTGCGTCTATTGTCATTCCTCTTTGTTTTGTTGCCACTTACCTTCGTTTTCGTTACCTTGATGAGTACAGGATGGTTAATATAGTAGTCAAGAACACCTACTACAACAATGTATTATAATCTTGACTGGACCAGTGGAGTTCGAAGAACTACGTGAAGGCCTAGATCACTCCATTACTTTAAAGAAAGAGAAAGAAGAGGAAGCCTTTGCTTCCGCAGTACTCATGAAGTCGACTTAGCGGCTGCTTGCCACAATATATTAGTGTTGAGGAACAGCCCCAGGATTAAAGAAAGTACAGTAGTAGCAGTCATTAAAACGTGGTCAAACAAAACTGAAAGTACAATCGAAATACATCATTAAGAGGGGAGAGTAGCATTATTCCCGGTTCAGGCTGAAACATAAATAGCCAGGGGCTTGAGAAAGTACTCCGTACAGCTTGTTCAATCGTCACGTACGAGACGAGCACCAGCCCAGACGTATGGGTAGTTTCGCTGATACCAATTGACACTAAAGATAATAATTAGTAACTCTGTCTGTTAAGCAACGAAAGGGTAAACATACAAAGTAGAGCGACCCGCTAGTCGTGGATGCGTTGCCCACGACCCTCCAAGAACAATATTATGTTTGCCATCAAAGAAGTCAGCTACAACAAGGGGTTAGCTCAACGTTTTATCCTCCAGTTTGCATAGTATGCCAGCCCGGGTCACTTACCAGTATACGCCGGGTAAAGATCCATCGGCTTAAACCCTTCATGGGCTTGTATAGTAGAGCTAGTCCATTCCCATAATCCTCCAAAGTCGCCCTGACCGGAAAGCTTGTTTCCATTTTGGGTGACTGGAGTTGGGTGCCAGTGTGTGAACCCGACGTTACAACCGTCGAGATCAACATACACTGGCTCATGGGTACTAGCAGGAGTTTGTACCGGCTGGTGATCCGGGCAGCGCTTGTTCTGCACTGGCTCCGGGTGACTAGCTGCCCCATTCGAGCTGGCTCCCCCTATCTTCTTGGTCCCATTCGTAGTAGCAGTTCTAAGGCAAGTGTTAGTTCAGAAACAGAAAAGGGAGGTATTGTAGCCACTGACGTAGATCCATTTTCGTGATGGTTGGTCCCAGTGGGTGAGGTAAGTGAGTACTTGTATAAGCTCCTAACCTCCTCGAAGGTAGGAATCCTACACTTCATCCACTTCGCATACCCATTTAGCTCATCATGAGATGCAGCAACGGGCCAATCAAGTGCCCACTCTAGAGGTACTGGGCCAAAAACGGTACGGACCGAATATTTAGTGATGATATTATGAGAACCATTCGTAACGGTAGATTCGCCGCCAGCAGAACCACTCTCAGTTGAACGTTCAGCCCAAGACGCAGGAACCCGTTCGATGTTGTTCTCTTCGAGATATTTGGCGTATTCCTCATTGGTTATTGGCCTAGCCTTGGCCACGAAGCTTGGTACCTGGACTATTCGCTGCGGCTTTTCATTATCCCATCCAAAGGAATCTCTAGGGATCCCATTTGGCTCTGGCTCATCAAGGCCAATGGCCAGTGTTTGTCCTGGGATTTCGAACCATTCGTTAGGAACAGCCCTCTTAGCTGACTCCGATGCTAACTGTTTAAAATCTGGTCTAGCAGCTTCGGGAGGGGGCATGATGCTGCTGCTCTGCAAAAGCATGTAGAGGAACGTTTCTAAATGCATTGTCTCATGCTCGAAGCTAATCCAGATAGCTTCGCAGATCTTCCTATCGCCTGCCTTTACCCTTGGGTATAGGGACTTCACCCTCATCCTCACCTTCCGTTGATATTCTACCAATGTTTCAACTGCTGGCCATTTGTCTGGGATTGCACTATGGTCGTGGCAATGGTCTGGGTTGTCAACATCGGGGTCAATACCGCGCTCGAACATGGAATGGAAATTTGCCGGTTCAGTCGGTACGCCATCACTTGCGCGGGTAAGGTGCATATCTGGCTGATATTAACTCCAAAACTATATGATGATCAATGTACCTGGGATTGCCACCTACCCATGAACGCCGGGATATGACCCAGGTAGAATATCAAAGAGTTCCTCAGGTGGATCGGCCTGGAGAGCAAGTCCGTGTTAGGTACCATGGCGGTGGTAGCGGTATCCCACAGCTTCCACACTGCCTCAAACTCCTCTAGGCTTGAAACAACATCTTTCATATACTCTGCCCGCTTTGTTGGTAACTGATACGGCCGCATCATCGCAGTTGCGGACGACAGGATATGGAGATCTAGGTTGGAAGAATTACATGCTCATTAATATAGATCTGTATATAAAAAATGGAAGAAGCCTATGCCACGGTACCCTTGCCCCTTGCGGACTTGGCTGCGAATGGCAACGGAGTTGAACTTACGATACTTGTCGCCAAACCTCTGGGCTGGGCGTAACCCAGCTCTACTCCAGAGTATTTCACAATCCTCGTCTCCGTATTTGTATGCTTGCTCGAAGAATATCTTCTCTCCCTTCTTGAGATTTATATCCTTGATAACAAGATCGGTTAATGGAACATAAAATGCCCTGTGGCACCCTTGTACGGGATCAAATTCTCCTATAGCATCCCATTCTCCCGGTTTGAAAGCTTCGAACCCGAGAATGGTGTTTGCGTTGGACAATCCGTTAAGGTAGAACTGTCTTGTCACGCCTTTACTATCGTTGTAAGCTCTGAAAACCTGTTCAGGGTCCTTACAGGGATCAAAACCAATAACCATCGAATCCGCCGGCCCCAGGCTCCTTGCGAATCCCTCGAGGAAGCCAGCAGCTTCAGTTGGGTTAAAGTTGCCCATCGACGAACCTAAAGACATAACCCAAGTCGGCCTATTCCTATTCACGGGTTTATTGAGCCAGTCAAGTCCGTCATCGTAGGTACCCCAGAGGCCGCCACATTTGACATAACGATAGCTCTTCGACGGAAGTTCTGCGAAGGTGCGATGGAGCTCTTCCAGAGACAGGTCAAGTGCATAATATTCTACCGACTTTTTGGCTCGCTCAAGCTCATTCAACAAGATCTCGATCTTTCGTAGATTCCTACACTCGCGGTTAAAATCGAATAGCCGAGGGGAAGGGGGGTGTCAGGTTTCGCGGTGTTCGGAAAAGTGGTGGCTTCGAGGGAGAGAAGAAAACAAACCCGCTCCCCAGTTCAACTAATTGACAATTCTCAGGGATCAGTGCTGCGATTTTGGCAGCGTTTGTTTCCAAAACCTCAATCTCAGCGTTCGTTAGGTAGTATTCGTCCAAGTATGTGATGTCCTCAAATAATCGGAGCCCCTTCGTATCGTATAGTAGTAGCGTCGGGAGTTTCTTCTCTTCTGCCTGGAGGCCACGATAGATATCCTGAGCCAAAGAGCTTTCAAGATTGATTCCGCGAATGTCCACGATATCAACGTTCGATATGACAGCAGGTGACATGACGCCGGTTAGAGTCTCACAAGATAATATTTTAAAAGTAATTGGGGGATTTAGATGCTCTGAGGCCAGATATAAAATGGTGAGTGAGCTTAAATGGAAATGTCAAAGGGAAGCGAGGACCGTAAATATATAGATTGGCAAGGTAGATGTACTCTGTACAAGTGACACAAAATACTCGCAGGACCTAGGACCAAAATACCCGTACTAAGGTACATCTTTGAGCGAGTCCTGGGATCCAAGGGATCGGACAGGAACTGAGGAATCAAACAAGAACAAGGTTCGAGCTGACGAGGTAACATTGCCTAAAAACTGGAGAACCATTCCCCGATAATCCGGCTCGAACAGACGATGTCAACTGTCCTTGGAGGCCGCTTGAGTCATTTCGCGTCCCGGCCGGACGAAGATGTCATAGAAGGGCCGTGGGGGAACGACAACAACGCGGTGTTTCGGTATTTTCTAGTTTTCGCATGCGGCAACCCTGCAAGTTCTCCGCTGGCCAACCGGGCCAGGGACACTGATGTGCGACATCGTTGGTTGCTGATTTGTACAGGCAGGCCGATGCTAAATCCAGCCCGCAAGGAGGATCATCTGGCTGCTACTTGACCAACCACGGGCCCACGGCTATGACGCAGCTGCCAAGGTATCCTGCGCAAGGAACAACAGTTAGCGACGAGTCTCACTATCCAGTCAAGATGAGGGGTTTCACACGAGGGGAAGTATCCATGTATACGTAGCATTTCGGGTGGTCTAAGGAGGAGTTTATACGTTGAGATCTCGTACAAAGAGAGTTAAGGATGTTGAAGCTCGGGAAAGATGTTTGTTTGTTTGCTTGTTTTGCTTGTTTTGCTTTGTAGATTAGATAACGTTTGACTTGTTTGTACCTTTTGCATTGTCCCGCGCCCCGCTTGCATACTGTTTATTTAGTTTGCACGTTTGCACTGTTTATCAGGTTTGTATATTTGTATGTTTACATTGTTTGTTTAGTTTGCATGTTTGCACTGTTTATTTTGTTTATTTAGTTTGCATGTTTGCATGTTTGTCTTATCACGTGCTTTGCGTTGGACGTCTCAACATCAACTTTAAAGACTTCAAGGAGACGAGATATCCAGATATATCAAGAAGGCCATGAAGTGACGAGTATCTATCACGATGGTGACTGTTACGAGGAACTATCCTTCTGTGGCGGTGCTAACAAAGCCTGAGCCAGCTTCTGCGAAGCTCTTCAGGCTATCTTCACCTCCATGACTCCTTAGCTCAACTACAATGATGGAACTTCCCTTATCTAGGAATTTACCGGCCATTCCACCAAGAGTCACTTCTAGACAAAGCAGAAGCTCTTTATATACCAAGGCATTGTGCAGAGTAATGATGTCCACTAACAAGAAACCAAACAAGTCACAGGTTACAGGCGGCCGTTCTGTGTCCTTTACCCCGAATTCAGTGACGCGATGCGCCATTCCCAACAAGACGGCAACAATTCAACGAAGGAGCTGATAGAAATCTTGCGAGGAATTAACCTACAATCTAGCCCGGTCGAGCTGGCAAAGCTATTTACAAAAACCATCGACGAGCGAAACGCTGCCCGAAGATGCCTCTCTCTCGCACTAGCAACAATCCAAGATCTTGAAACCCACCTTGACGAACACCGATCGATCCTTATGGAAACACAGGCTATTCTCTCAGAACACGTACGCAGCGAGCAGGGCTATCTCTCGTTCCTCATGGCCGCCGAGCCAAGATGGATTCTAGACACATGGATATCCCTCCCCGCCAACGAAAAACTACTGGGTGTTGTGGAGTATAAATGGAGCCGAGGGGAAACACAACGTGCTTTGAACGAGCTATGTCTTGTGCGCAAAGGTATACCAACATCTGGTATAGATTGGATACTATGCCTGCTCATAGAAACCGCTATCCTTTGCTCATGTGATGAACACCTAGCGGCTCATTCGAATGCAGATGAAGCCCTGATTGCGTGCGAGGCACTGCATAGGGAAGGTAATTTTACCGTGGCTCGCGAGCTAAGTGGTATCGCAAACTTTTTGCATGGGAAGGTTTTCATGGCGGAAAAGGATTGGGACGAGGCGTATTCGGCTTTTTCGGAAGCTCTTTTCGTTCCTGGGTACCAAAGCAGGGCAAACGAACTGAAAGCTATTGCATGCAGAGAGTCTAATCGAGAGGAACCACAGTCGGAGTCTTCTTCTGAGGAATCGGAAGACTCTGCTGATAGTTAATCTATTCCACCATCCACTCATGCAGACGAGGGGCCTTGGAACTATCGATATCATTGTGAATACTTTTTCACCTTCCTAGTTGGATACAGATAATCGCACACACTTACGATATGCCGTTGGTATGGCTGAAAACGTCTCCCCATGTTTATTTCCAGTTTGTCAATGCGGCACACCCAAAGGCCTGAGCGAAGCTTTCACGTCTATGCCGACAGTCGATACTCCAGATGTTAACCCGAAATTTTCCCGCGTTCCTGTCAACGGCTCAGTTATGTCTTGCAGCCTCTGCGTTAGCTGACGGGTACTATTTAAAGCTAACTTGCCGTGCACGCTGAAAAGGCACGGGATGGTGAACCTAGAGAATAAACAAATACAACCGTTGACCTTAGCCACGAGATCCATCATATCTTAATATACGGTACTATGGACATGTAGTTATTCCGTAACTCTATAAACATTTGCCGTTAGGTGTCGACTATGCCGAACAGAGTAACTTACCCGCTAGTTCTGTCGACGGGAAAGGAGAAATGTCCAGGCTGCTCTACAGCTAACGCCACAGATGACCACTATCCCTATGGCGCCTGAGCCAGATCTCGACTAGAGAATACATCTAGTACTATTGCGGTATGTGCTTAGGACGGCCGCAGAAAGGCTTCAACTCGCGCTTGAGATCAGTATACGCAGCCACATTGCTTGGTCTGATAGACCGAGTTGGCCGTCCTGAGCAGAGTCGCCACGCGATCACCAGTCGAACTATTTAAAGCAGAAGATAAAGAATGCTAACTGGTCTCCTAGCTACATTAGGCACCTCATAACGTACATGAGCCGAGATAGCACGGAATGCACACGCGAGCACAGGAGTTTTGATATCCTCCGTACGCTCGCAGGACTTATATAGCGAACCCCCGAAGAAACCGGTGTCGATATTCCCGATATCCCGGGCCGCCTGAGGTTGTTACAGAATAATATACGGAGGACTCCGTAGCAAGATCAGCATCTCGTTGATGCCTCGGCGCTTGATATTCATCCAGAGATCGAAATTTCAGCCCCTTATCCTAACCTAGGTTTGGCCGAGATGTCCCATCCACTTCCCGAAAAGCCAATCGCCAGCAAATATAACATTCTGGAAGCCGGCTTCTCCAGACTCGACCCCTGCCAAATGGCTGACTCGTTCGTATATTTATACAAACCAATGGCAGCCCTGCTCCAGGCGTTCGGCTCTATCTTTAGCGCTTGTGGCTTGTACGACTCTCGTGTTTCATCGTTCCTTGCGCAGAGCTGCTTGGATGGCCGTCGACCACGGTTGATATGGCAATTTGTCGGCGACTGGGCGCTTCACTGGGAGATGTTATGCTCAGAAAGAGCCTACGACTTTGGCGCTCTCTTATAGGTGCCTGAAGGTTCAGCTTTCAAGCCTTCGCTCCTCGCTATGATGGGTAACATTCCGGTATACCCTAGAGCCGGACCATACGGAGTACACCCGCATACATGCTTCCAGCCTGAGGATTTCACCGGGCGTTATACTCATGGATACTAACATTTTTTGTTTTGTTTTGAAAGGGACTAGCTACAGGGGTTAGAAGGCCGCCTTCCGGCCAACCACTGACCATGCATATGGAGGAATTCAGTTCCCCCCAAATAGTGCGATCAGACCCGATACGAAACTCGCTTGCAACCGGATTACTGGTGATTTGTTTACCGGGTACGTGCTACTACGTAATGTGTTCACGAGACGGCTTTGTGGCCGCTCTAATAGGCGGTTTTCCTGCGCTTCGTTGGCCAACACCACCGTCGCTTGTCTGAGCGCGGAGGAGCTCAGGAGTACTCCGTACGGCGCTTTTTATGTTGAACGAAGGAGCCCGGCCGTGCCAACTCCACTCCGCGATGCCCGAACTCTGCGTGGAAGTTTGATATAGTACCCACTGGGGTCTGGGTAGAGGCGAAATGAATTGTTTTGCATCCCTGCCTATCTTCTACCACTCTATTCCTTGAATCGACCCAGAGAATACATGAACATGTTTCTTCCTTGACCTTCTCGATCGTTGTTTCTTTTTATTCATTTTACCCCAGCCAATGACTTCCCTGTTTAACAGCGATTTTCGACTCCATTCCTCCATGAGGTGCTGATTCCGGAAGCTTGCTGATCAACAAGAGTATGTAAGGATGGGATAACCTATGTACCAACGCCTGCATTCGACGGGTGAGTGATAAACCACCTTAATATATACTTCGAATATGCGCGCGAGGGTCGTCAGGTTATTGACTCGGCATCAAGCGCGAACGATATACGGCCTCGGATTCAAAGTATAGCAGTCCTTCGAATGAACAACGGACGGCTTCTTCGCATTGGTACGGACATAACCTTCGAACGCTGCGATATCTGATTTCTATCGGTTGGCGTTGCTGGGCTTCATGAGATGGGGAGTGTTGGCTTCCCTACGGCCGACGTGCCTGATAGGGGATTTGTGCTTTATATTGTCGGCACGGTACTGGTGGTTATTGCGGGACTCTCCGTTGCGCTTCGTTTAGTTGGCAGATATCTCAGAGATGGGTTTCGTGCAGATGACTGGACGATTCTTGGGGCGTTGGTAAGTATACATACTTTCAATTCCCGTGGTCCGTTATAGGTTCAATGTACTCATGTATACCCTCCAGGTCATCGCGATCGTTTTTACAGTAGTGCATAATATGGGTTAGTATTTACATCCAAGTCGTCTATCATCGAATTTCACTGATATCAAAGCAGGTATCGGGTATGGCCTAGGAAAACATGGTGTGGATATCCCGGAGGCGGACAAAATTGAGGCATTCAAAGTATGTACTCTTCTCTATTCGGTTGTTAACTCACGTCTAATCTCATGATAGTTACTCCTCGCTGCGCAAATACTCTTCAAGCTCGTTCTAGGCCTTGCGAAATTATCGATCTTGTTCCTATACCTCAGAATCTTCGTCGTCAACAAATATTTTCGATGGGCATGCATCAGTCTCATCGTCTTTACCAGCCTGGCAACAATCGCATATGTCTTTCCAACGATTTTCCAATGTCGACCGCTGGCGGCCTTTTGGGATCGCAGAATTCCGCATAAATGCATGAACGATCTAGGCATCTGGCTGTCATATGCCCTAATCAACATCATCACTGATATTTTGATACTTGCGCTACCTATATACCAAATCGTCCGACTGAACCTAGAGTTCCGGGATAAAATCGCGTTGATTTTTGTCTTTGTAGTTGGTGGATTGTGAGTATTCTCTGCCCCTATGATTTGCGGAACATCGTTGTTGACTATTTAATTCTTTTCTAGTGTTTGCCTAATAAGCATTATTCGCACTACAACTTTCCCACAGTCTGCGGAGCCAGTTGATGTCACATGTACGTATTCCCTAGACCAAGGGCGATATTTACTCCGTCGTACCATTTGCTAATTCTGGAAACAGATACCTTTATTTTCAACGCCATGTGGGCGACCGTCGAGCTTAACACCGCCATAATCTGCGCTTGTCTACCGATGGTTCGCCAACCACTCTCAATACTCTTCCCCCGGGTTTTTTGCAGACCATCACAAACCGCAGTCAAATGTCCCTCCAGTTTATTCAGTTACCGCTCTTCGCGTCATAAAAATAAACGTTTGACGAACCCTTCCCTAAGTATCGCCGCCAGCCTACCTTGGAACATGCACAACGGGGACAATGTTGTGACAACATTGGTAGAACCCGGACGAGATCTCGAACTTAATAGAACAGAAAGCGAGGAACGCATAATTGACATGGGCACGGTTGAGGCGTGCAATGGGGGAATCTTGAAACAGACAGCGGTATACGTATCTGAGTCTAGGAAGACTTGATGGGGGAGAAAACCTTTTTCATGCTACCACGAATTGTACATAGAACTACATTACTCATCATGAGATATTTCAAAAAGAATCAAAAACAACATAAAAATTATAAAATAGTCATATTCTTAGGAGCTCCCAGCTCCCATCCCATGGTGATCTAAAATTAAGAGGCAAAAATAGCATCCATTGTGTGAAATCATGATATTAACTGTAACCCCTGCTCCAAAGATCCCCTCACGTGGGATGATGCACTTTGTAGTAGCCCAACGATTGAATCCCTGATCGTAGAACTCTGCAAGGCAGCATACAGGGGGACAAGCAAGATCAGAACCCATAACCCAGCAACTTCAGGAACAAAGTTCCGTTTCTTCGGGTTTTCCTGCGTCGATGGCAAAGTCAGCTTACACTCAACGGCTTTTATACCTCTTCTGGGGAATCATACCTTGACAACCCAATCTGACCAACGAGGGAATAAACTTCGATACCAGTAATAGGACTGTGGCCAAGGGTATGTTGTGTTATTCCAACCCTTGTCATTCACGTACCACTGTTGTTTTATAGTTTAGTTAATAAGACACAAATATATCAAGCGGAGATGAACACAAATGAGGAACTTACCGATCGGCAGCCTGAATGGAAAACAGTCTTCTTAAGTGCAGCCTGAACTTTGTTGACGTAGAGGCTCTCAGCTTCTTGCTTTACCTCGACGGATGTGGCGTTTCCTGTAAGAACTGGCTTAAGGATGCGAAGAGCATAATTCACAGAGCTGCCAATGAAGTTTAGTTGTTAGCGAAATGATCTCTACTACACACCGGGTAAGAGATGGCCCTCACTTCTCAGTAGCCATTAGTGCTGATGTATGGCCCGTCCCCGAGTTGGGCCCAAGCAGCATGAAGTAATTTGGAAATCCATGCATAGCCGAGCAATTATATGCTTCAGGCCCGCCATATTCTCCCCAATGTTCTCCGACAGACTTGCCCCCACGGCCCAGGACTTCGGTATTTTGATCGAAGTATTTGCTAGTGTCGAACCCAGTAGCCAAAACGATGACATCGGCAGGGATGAACCCATCGCTTGTCTCAAGGCCATCGGGGACAATTTGTAGAATTTTTGAGTCCGTGAGTAGTAAGTTTTCATCATGCAGAGTTTCAAGATACCCTGTGTCGAAAATACGGCGCTGATAGAACATTCTATGTTAGACGGAGCATGATCGCCGAAAACGGGAAGCAAAGCAGGCCAGAAATGACCAATAACTAACCTTGCAGCCGATTTCAAAATCTGGGATAAGGATATTATGATATCTCTGAGGGGCGGCACTTCTCATGAACTTTTCCGTTCTAGCTCGTTTTTCCTCACGCAGTCTTTTAGCTCTTTCTGTCATATTGAACATCGGGAATGCCTGTTCAGCCCCAAGATAGACAAGAAACCGCTGAAGCCGCATCGTCAAGGGGATATTGCGGAATATCCAGGGCATATATGAAGGGTATACAAAGTTGATCGACGGCATTATCCAATGCTTCGATCGTACAATTTGCGTGAGAGACTTGGTCTTTTTCGCAATTGCAGGAACAATCTGCGTCGCCGTGCCTAGGATTGTATCAGCCACTTGCAATACCACAAGCATTACGCATATACTTAAGTATAGAGACTTTCACACACATCCATTCCCAACTACCACAACATTCTTCCCATCCAACGAGACGTCGTGGTTCCATCTTGCAGAATGAAAGATATGTCCTTTGAATGAGTCCTTCCCAGGGATATCACACAGTCGAGGCTCCACGAGTAGCCCAATAGCACTGAACAATACTTGACATTCATGGGTAGATTCCCGACCGGTTTCGACATCTCTTAAAAACAAGAGCCATCTCGAGCAATCCTCCTGCCAGACAGATTTAACGACTTCGGTAGAAAGAGTTATTCTCTCACGTAAATTGTATGCGTCAACAACGCTTTCGTGATACTCTCTTATTTCCCCTGACAGCGGCATAAACTTTGTCCAATTGGGATTCAGAGCGAAAGAGAAGCTATAAAGAGCGCTTGGGACGTCACAGGCGCATCCTAGGCTAACCGTTAGGGTTCTATAATATATTTGCTATGCATTATGCATCAGTGTTCGATATAGGTACCTGGATATGTGTTTGCCTCCCATGTCCCGCCACCGGCAGACCGCCGTTCAAAGAACCTGATATCATCAATCTTATACCATCTTTTCAGCGTCGCTCCCAGCGCAGTTGCAGACAGCCCAGCACCAATGCAAGCGATCTGGCTGTATGACGAGGGTCGGATCGAATCTTTAGTCGCCATACTGACTAGCTTGGTGAACGATTTTCCACTGAAACTGGACGCTGTCCCTTGTTAAGTATGGACTCCGTACATAGACCTCGGGCGAATAATTAATTATGCCGTTCACACCTTGACCCGCGGCATTTCGGGCCTTGGCTGGGGAAAAGGGGGCTGTTTTGGTGGATACGATCTAACGTTGTGCTAAAGAGCCGAATGTTAAGTCTGAACGCTTGATATGCATGTGAGATTTGCGGGGAACGGATGAATATAGAATTAGATGTAGACATCGTACTCCATGGATAATTGTTCGATGTACTGTACAGCCCGTGGGATCCTCGCTTCGGGCTTCGGTTATGGTGCTAGATGTAGATGGCTGGAAAATGCATTGATTGTTCTATTAGAGTCCCCAGATCTTGAAATCCGTCTACCTGTCATTACCACGTTCGTAGTATACAACGTGCGTTCATTATTTCCTTACCATTACAGGAAAATACTGTCCATGGGTGTACCCCAGATAAAGCTGGCCATCGCCATGCCTCCAACACCCATGATGCTTGCCATCAAAAAGTTAACAGCGTTATTGTCAAGAATATCGCTACCTGCCGCGATCCTCCGGCTCTCGTGAGCAGGGTCCGAGATACCGGCGCTGTCACCCGGCGGAGAGGCATGGGGCGACAAGGCGTTGGCAATATCCTCGTTCGTCCGAAGCGAGGTTTCTTGGCGGATAGGGGGATCTCCCGATATCCTAGTTGTTAGTGCGCCAGGGTGAATGAGAACCTAGCACGATCGTGTTAATCAAACATGAGCCAGGGCAAGAGCCAGAAGAGCCTCGACAGATGTAGTCGTAATTTTAAAGCGAGTCATGACAAACCTTTTGGCCACCACTTCCCTCAACAACCTTCCCGGTCTGCTTATCAACAACTGTGGCCTGCAATAGTCCTCCAAGAAGGCTGTCAAGAAGGCTTCCCAGCGTGCCCCAAACCGTAATAGCAAGAACCCAAAGGGCCTTCTCATTCCAGCTCCAAGCACGCCCACCGTCAAGACCATGCTTCGAACCACCAGCAATGGGCGAACCAGTGGGACAAAACGGAAGCATTAGAGATGTAATGCCAATTGTGAGAGCTCCTAGAGAGCCGGCAGCAACACCAACAAGAGTTATGCCACCATTTGTTCCAGGGGGAACCTTTCGAAATGTGGGCGAGGTTATAAGGCGGGGTGTGCTCTTAGACAGAATCCCTAGTTCGCTCGAATATGTATCAGCGGCAACAGCTGCGTAGGTCCTAAAGTCCCGTAAACCAGCGGTTGGTCAGTCATTGTTCGATAACGGCATATGTACACCGTAGAACCAACGGCACTCACGAAACAATTCCGGCCATGAGAAGGCTTTCGGGGCCGCCATATGGAAAGCATGGTACGTGATCGGCCTTATAGTATATTCGATAGACGTCCAGTAGGATCAGAATCGACGCAGCACCGGAGTTCGCAAGGACTTGAATGTGAGTCCGTGAGCCTTCACCTCCGGACGCCCCAGTGGCCGATATTGTCAAACGGGCTTTCACATCGTGTTTCACCTATATCGTAAGAATATCCCCTCGTTAGCTGCTTTGTTCTGAAGGCGGGGAAAGGCAGTTCATCCGTCAGCCCATACCTTTGTAACTCTCGTACCGCCCAAAAAGAAGACGATTAAAAGTGCAAATGGAACAGACGATGGGTGAAGTGCGTGTATTATTGCCGTGAGTGCCGCGAAAGCAATGCCCAAGGGAGTAAGCGATTTTCGCGACCAGGCGCGGTGTATCAGGAGAAGAGTCGCCGGAACCGCAATTATGGGTTTCATCTCGACGGCGTATCAATCAAAAGGCCAGACTTATAGACAATGATAGGACTCCAGGTAGTTTGGTGCCGTAGCCTTAGAGTGTGAGTGACTGTGATACTATGTCAGTGTTAGCGCATTGCCGGGTTCTCTAAAAGTCTTAGGCGCAATAAGTAGAGAGCCAGGTTCTTAAGCTCGCAATATGACTTATATATTCTTCATCTCCGAAGCACTGCCTCCGTATGAATAGTTAGCTGTGAAGATGGCTTTTATATAGCAGAAGTTGATGGACGTCGAGGTTGAGGCTTGGCAGAGGATCAACTTGGGATCAACTTTTGCTCCGTCTATAAATCTCCTTCACATCACGAACCTGAGCTTCTATACCATGTCTAGACTTGTATATATGTGATACATATTCAAGCTACCTGCTTGAACTATTGCTGACGCTCATATCACTATGAAGGAGCCTGGGGAGCGGAATTATTCGGATATCCGATGGCAGCTCATTCTTCTCGGTGAGTCCAATGGATCAAAACGAGAAATGAACTCCTAGTTACAAGGTCGGAAAGTTTTGATCGAGGATAGGCCTGTTCCGTTTCAGTGAAGCCCTGGCGTGGACTACCATATTCCCTTATGCGTTCCCCATGATGAAGTCGTTTCTTCCCGAGAACGATGCGCAAGCTGCGCGCGCGGCGGTTCTCGCATCTAGCACCGTCTCGCTTTTCACGTTTGGCGAATTCTTGACGAGCGTACCCTGGGCCAAAGTCAGTGACCGGATTGGACGGAAGTGGACTTTGATGATAGGCGTTGCCAGCGGCATCGTTTCAGCACTCGTCTTTGGGCTTTCCAAAAACCTGGGTGTTGCCCTTGCTGCTCGCGCCTTTGGCGGTTTAGCCAATCCGAATGTTGGTGTGGTTTCTACCTCTGTCGGAGAGTTGGTGAAAAATAAAAGGGATCAAGGTCTGTTTCGCATTCTCGGGTCATGATATGGGGCTCACATGGAGCAACTATAGGAAAGGCATTTTCGGTGGTGCCGTTCCTGAGAGCCCTGGGGTAAGTGTCATGTCCCCAGCCATCTACTTCTCAGGGTTAATACTCTTTATAGGAGTCTCATTGGGCCTGTAATTGGCGGTTGGCTGGCAGATCCTACGAACACAATACCTTCTATCTTCTCCAAGGGTAGTATATGGGAGAAATACCCATATCTACTTCCAAATTTGGTCGTGGTCCTGTCAATTGCAGGTAGCGGGCTGCTAGGGTTTTTCCTACTTGAAGAAACGCATCCTCGTTTTCAGGATAGTCGGAACGTTGGATTAGAGATGTCTCAATGGCTATTCCAAAAAACTAGGATTATCCTAGGCTATACTGATACCCAAAAATACACAACGCTATCTCCTGATGAGGATAGCGATATCCCGCTCCAGCGTGGGGAGGACGTCGAAATGTCTAGCGTTATAGAGCCAAATGAGCCAATCGAAGAGGAAAATGATTTGGTTACAGAGTCTAAGCCACCGATAAAATCAGCGTATACACTACAAGTCATTCTGCAGATTCTAGCAGCATCGATAATAGGCTTCCACAAGGTATCATCGGATGTTATCATCCCTATTTTCTTAGCCCAGAGTAACGAACCGACATCAGGCGGCAGGAAACGCGATTTTTTCGAGTTCACCGTTGGCTTTGGCATGACTTCCCCCAGTATCAGCAATATCCTCCTATCCCAGGCTGTGGTGGCAGTCATAGCCCAAATGTTCATCGTGCCAAAAGTGATTTCTCACTTGGGACCCTTGAAAGTCTTTCGCTGGGTCGCATTCATCTTTCCTTGGCTGTACTGCCTCACACCATTCACTGCCCGGCTGGACCAGCCGCTATCCACAATATTCCTCCTCATAGATCTTTGGATTAAAGGAGTTCTGATCAGCTTAGGCTACACAGCATCTAACATTTTGTACGTCATGATTCCTGCATTCTAATTGGATGCAAGTGTATGACTTGGAGCTCTACTAATGTAATAGATTGACTAACACGTCGCCATCCCCTCTCCATCTCGCGACTATCAATGGAGCTAACGCCTCGATGGGCTCCCTAGCAAGGTCTGTTGGAGCTGCGGTCTCGGGGTCAATGTTCCATCTAGGACTCCAATACCACGCTATTGGTCTGCCATTTTGGGCCTTGACCGTGGTTGCCGGGATTGGGGCTATACTATCTCGCTTCTTGAGAGATGGGCCTTGAGTTCTATGTACGATTTCTTTCAACAGGTAATAAAACTAATACCCGCGATATACGTTCGAAAGAGGAAACCCCCATATATAACACAAATTGAGCCAATAGCGCCTGAATATATGCTCTAGAATCATATATACGGACCATATCATCCAGCTCCAAAGGGACAATTCTACAGCTTGATTCCAGATTGTATTATAGCAATCTTTCCTCCCTTCGGACATACCAGGTTTCCGAGATAATCAATAGTAACTAAATCTAACGTCTCAGGCAGTATCCAATCCTTAGGCAAGAAGAAATGCCTTTTATACGAGTCCTCGTCGCTATCCAACTCCCATGTACACAGCCAGTATTGGTGATTGAGAAAGACAAGCCGCCTCTGGAAGACGCCTACTAACCGATTCACATTGCTGGAAAGGTGGAGCAAGGCTCTTCTTCGTAGCTGAACATCGTTTAAATCGATAATCTCCAGTCGCCTAGATGAATTGGAATGAAACCATGGATCATTATGAAGCCCACTGGCGATGACATAGTCAAGGACGAGGCAGTGGTCGTTGACCTGGAAGACATGCTCAAGGGCTTCCCGGACCCTTTTAAAGGGATGTATTGCTGTAGAGTCTGCTAAAGCCCCCCCTAAGGTGGTTCTATTAATTTCCTCCACGAGCGTCTCATCGTCCGTGCTTGTCGATGAGAGCCTTGGGCTCGGCACTATTAAGGGTGTAATTCTTTCCAAATTACTCCAGGAATAAAGATGCTGCTCGCTCAATTCTATACAAACCAGCAACTTACTGTCCTTGGGGTGATTCACCCATCGTCGGTGGTAGCTCCTATTCCCACGCTCTGCATGAACGAGCTTTTCCTTAGACTTGATGTCCCAGACTTCATCACTATGTGGGATAGAAATGAGTAAATATTCTTCTGATGAGCTGAACAGCACTTGTATCACATTCGTCTCCAGCCGTAGGTCAAGTAATGGATATACAGCCCATTTCTGGGGTGCTTTAGGCGTTGGCTTTCCGAGGCGTTTGGCGATAACTTGACCTGTTCTATCGACGGAAGCAATGTACTTCTGCGACGACGACCAGACAATATCAGCAACATAAGACGTTTCCGAGTGCCCATACAACTTTCGAAGCCTTTGTGCTGTCCGCGTCTCGTAGATCGTAACGCTTCCATCATCTTTCCCGACGCAGTAATACGGCAACCTGCTGCCGCAAGTCAAGGAAATGATTTCTAGGTCGTCACGATTGCTAGGAGAAACCGTAGCCTTCGAAAAGTGGTCAGTCAATGGCGTATATTCCCTGTCTGGGCCATCCTGCAGTGTCAATGCCATCGGCTCCCAAATATTACAAGCGTTGTCACGAACATCATAGAGCCGCCGCGAATCTGGGGAAAAGGCGACGTCTCGCACGAATCCCCCGTATTCCAGCCGGCAGATTAAACGGAACGAGTTTGTAGACCAAACGCTCAATATGCTGTTATAGTCACTAGTCAGGAGTAAAGTCCCATCCGAGCTGATTGCCAGTTCACGCGCGAATATGTGAGAATGCTCCATTTTGGTATCGTCGTCAATATTCCAGTCCATGAGCTCTGTATCTTGATATAAAATCAAAATACCAGCAGAGTCAGGTTTCCAGAGAACTGCATCTGCATAGTTATATACATCCTCCTCGCTCTTATTGATGTCCCCTTGTCGGATGCACCGCTGGGGTGGATATTTGTGGCGGCTGATGCGCCATATATGAACAGGAGGGCCAGGGTGGGCAATGGCGATTCGTTCTGTATCAGGGCTAAATTCCATGACCCTGGGAGAACTATACATAAATTTCGAGGAGCCACTAGCTTCAAAGCACCATTTTTGCTGCAGGGTCTCTAGATCAATGCAATAGAGGGTACTGTCGTCATATGCAATCAACAACTCGGTGTCATTCGACTTGAAAGCCAGGGACATCACGCGCCCTGGGCTTGACTTTGGTATCTTGTAAATCTCTCTGCCCGAACCGATATCCCAGATCCGGATTGTTTGAGTACCAGCAGATGCCAGGAGATTTTGGATTTTGGCTGCTTTAATGCTTGTCACCCACTCACCATGATGTAGCCTTCTGAGTTCCATGCATGTCTCAGAATTCCATATCACCAGCGTTCCGTTTTCACATAGTAGGGCAATGAAGTAGTTGTCTTTACAGATAACTTTGGATGGGGATTCATTCTCACCCATCGTTAACCTTGCCAGACGATCATCCCATTTGTTATGTGGGATGCCCGTAATTTTTATTGAATTTTGACTTGAGTGTTGAAAGGTCTGGCTCAACATTGACTCACTTGGACAGAATGGGATAATATATTTATAGATAGCGGATGGGCTTTCAACGAGATGAGAAGCGAATCGGCCAACTAAACGAATTAAATCATTAGACCATTGAATAAGCCTCTGGTTTTGGCTATGTTTGAAACTTGTCGGAATTTGAGGAAGACCCTGGGTAGCTCGATCTGTGTACGATCTAAGGTACTGAGCCGATCGAGTGATAGCCTGAAGATTGCCGGTTAGAGAGACAGCATAGATCCAGACCAGGGCGAATCGTGACAGAAAGTTAAGAACATTAGTCTGCAGCTCTTCTGATTCTACGCCTGCGGAACAGACGTGATAAGCCCAGTAGGTGATGGCGTATGATAGAAACGGCACTTCGGCATACGGATCCTGCAGGAATGAACCCCCAGCCACCCCGATAGTAGAGAGTTGAGACTTCCATTTATCATCCGATAAAAAGTTCATACACACATTGGCAATCTTCTCATGACCCTTGCTAAGATCTATCGAGATGGATGCATGCAAACTCCTGTTGACCAGAAATTGGAGGGCCGTCTGATGAATTATGGAAACGGTGGACTTCCTCATAATGACGAAATTCCCGCAAATTTGGCTGATGGTGGTTTTCAGGTTGTAAAAACCCCCAAACTCTGCTTTCAGAGCCACTGCGAGTTCATCGATGCTTAGGGGTTTGAAGGAGCATACCACCCATGTCAATATCTCCGTTGCCATTTTTCTCAGATTAGAAGGCTGGCTGGCAATGGTATCCATCATTCGTGCGTACATTAGTTCCATATCCTCTGGTATTTCTCCGAGGGCCTTCTCGACATCAACATCAGTATGCCAGTTGTCTTTAATTCTTTCCAAAGCGAGTTTAGTCCATAGAAAAGAACCGGAGGCTTTGGAAAGAACCTTTTCAATGACATTTTCCCGAGTTTTATCGTCAGGTAAGATGCCACGAATACCAGTAGATACGAAAGTCTGAATATCTTGGACGGTATCATCGATCCGAATCTCATCATGGTATACTCGACAGTCATCAAGAGTCAAGGCGGCTGATATTTCCCTCGTTTCTCGACTTACCAGTAAAACCCGAATGGGCGTCACCGACTTGATTCTAGAAATCAGTTTCACGATTGTGGCTGGAGATTCAGCTTCATCTATTCCATCCAAAACCCAGAATAACCGTTGGCCGAAGTTGCACCGAAACAAAATGCCTTCAAATAACTTCTTCCAAATTACATTGAACGTCTGAGAGGCAAACAGGAGGCCACTCTGCTGATGTACCTCAAGTAAGCGCTGACGAAAATCGTCATGAGCTTCCGCGGCTCTGAACGCGATTGACCAAAGAAAGTGCGAAATTGTACGAGTGCCACGCTGATCTGCTTTGAAGAAATAATATTGGCAAGATGCAGGAAAGTCCGGTTGGCGAAGATAGTTGATAATAAAACTGGATAATTTCGTCTTGCCAGTTCCTGGTGAGCCCGTCAGCCATAGAATACTTAGACCGAGACTGCTATCTGCAATCCAGTCTTGAAACCCCTTTTTCTCAAGTATCCAACGGCACGAGCCTGGCTGAATCCAGTCATGGGCCTCTCCTAGATCATCGCCCAGCTCCTCGATACCAAGAACGTTTTTAAGTGTCGCCGGAACGGGGCTTTTTGGGTCAATTATTTTAAGACGAGATCCTGCTTTGCATTGGCAAGTAAGTATTATGATACAAAATATTAGGACATCAACTTACCCTTTTGCTTCAAGCTGAGGACAAACGTTCTTAGCACATTCCTTACGTCCCTATAGTTTCCATCCTCGCGATTCAGGAACTTTGTAATCCCATTGTGATCTGCATCGAGCGGTGCTGAGATCTCACTAGGATATCCCAGAATAGCTGACTGTTTCTCAACCACCTTTTTGCATAAAATATAATCAGCAGTAGCTCGGTCAATCTCTGGTATTCATCTAACGTACCATCACTTTCACTGCTGGAGCAATGGCTGTCTTTAATGTTTCGTAAAACGAGACCAACTCAAGGCCACTACAAACATTTCTGAACTGTTCATTGATATCGTTGATGGATATCGAACCCTCCCCAAGTTCATCCACATAGATCTTAGTTCCAGTAGTAGGAGCAATGCGGAGGATGTTATTCAGGATTGATGCAAAGTTAGATCCTCGATGGGGAGTTCCTAAGAAGACGATTCCATATATTTGGGAAATAATGTGGGAGTACTGGTCATCAGTCTTTCCAATGATGTAGGCCTAAGAGGAGAATGAGATGGTTAGTTGACTACTTTAGTGTTTGGAAATATCTAAGAGGGAGAAAGCCGAACCTTTTTCACAACCAGGCCACCCATTGAATGGGCTACAAAAACAAGGGGATGCTTTTTCGTGTTAGCTATATATTATCGTATGGAGCAACACCACCTACATCACCAATCGGCCTGTTCTGTTCTCTATGCTCGTCATGATACATCTTGATTTGGAATAATAGGTCCTTCGCAAAATCCAGAGTGCTCAACACGCCAGCTTTTTCAGCGAAATGTGCATTGTATCCAAAGGTGAAGGCCCGAATATTTGATAATCCAGTCTCTGCGCCCAACCACGGCAGCCATAGATTTCTGACATCGCGATCGTATGACCACGTCCGCAGTGACGAGCCACCTAGGCCATGGACGAATATTATATCAACCAGGGGGTTATCGGACTCATGGATCAAGGTCAACCCCAACGGATCAGGAGAAAGCGAAAAAGATTTATAAAGAGCATCGTTGTGAGATATCGCGGAGTTTGGGCGGGCATCATGGTTAACCAGGGCCGCTGAGCCTGACCGGGTATCATTTGCCTCTCTCCCTGGTGTTCGCTCCGATCTTTTCCATCTCAGCTTCTTGAACTATCCCCTGGCAATTAGAGATGCTCTAGTTATACTACGGTGTGGCGAGAGAGAGAGAGAGAGAGAGCTTACCATTTTTCTGGTGCATGGCTAACGCCTTCTCCTGGACGTGGAACAATTTCGACTTTCCACGAATACAGCATCCATGGCCAATCCCTGCAAGCCACTGATCCCACTTTGCTTTTTACACAAGACCGAACAATGGGCGCATTCAAGTCTCCCGTAGATAGAAATATCGATATGTTCTGCATTAGATTACATTATATGGAGTAACTGGTACATCTAGCAAATATAGAAGCTATATGGAAGTCATCATAGCTTAGATGCTGATATAAACATGATAACCCATCAATACAGACATTGCGGCCAAGCTATATGCTGCTGCAGCTTGCGACAATGCTCTTGTATCGCGGGCAGAATTGGGGGTGCCTGACTGGGAGCTGGATGGCATCATAGTCGCCGTGGTTGACTCTCCAGCTGTGGTGGTCAGCGATGTGCTCATCGAAGTCGTAGTTGGTGCCGTAGCCGTTTCTCGAGTAGTAGTAGAAGGTGAAGTAGTCGTCGTGGCGGTTGTTGAAGCTGTCGTGTGCCCCGTAGTTGTAATAGAGACTGATATATCCGTAGGGGTATCTGTTGGGTCGGGGTTATTGACACAGTAGACAGTATTTTGGTCTAGGTTGGGACAGTTGACATCGGGGTTCAACTCCTTGAGTCTGTCAACGGTGATATGCCACCGCTTAGCAAAGTTCTCGCATGTATCTTTATCGTCACTCGGGGCTACAGCGAAACCGCGGCAGGGGGCTCCTTTGGCATAGGCCGCGCTTGCGGAAAGCAATGCCAGAGCGATGAAGGACTGAAGATGCATCTTTGGTGGGTTTTGTGGATTCTGAAGTAGTCCTGACGGGAATGAAAAGGTGAAATGTGTGATATAGTGATAATATATATGCACTGCAGCGTTGATTTCTCGCCTTCGTCTCAAGCTGCGCTGACTCTGGGTACAGGGGTGCATTAAATATGCAAGTGTGTTGGTACTGCGGCTAACACGGCCATCGAGGATCAAAGACGGCGCTGCATTTATATCTGCTCCGCTACGGGGCCATATGCACGGAAGTCGTCTGGTTGGTTACTCGGATGCAGGAGAGCAGCGTTTCCCCAAGATGTTATCAAGCTACTCCGAATGAAGCTTGTTGGCCGCCAGGAGGATCAACTAGTTGGTTAATCGTACCCCTGGAGTTTCCAAATATATCCAGCGATCCCACCTTGCTGGGTAGAATGTGACCTCGCCTGTCGTTTTGCGATCATATTTGAAGAAATTCGGGGGGCCAAAGAGCCAAATAATCCATTCCTGATCTCGTGGGAAGGCAAGAGGAGAATATTTCCAGCGTTCTGTGTTGTCCATAAAAATGTCTACTGATCATCCCCATGTCAACCGGCCCAACAATGTGATGCCCGAGGAGGATATCAAACCGCCCCGCGCATACGGGAGTTTTCCTCTGGACGAAGCTGTGATAGAGAGTGAGACATTCTACTCGGACAACTTCCTCCGGACCTAGTCGGTAGTTAGCCACTGACACTCTTCGGAGATAGAACTTCCAGTTTCAGGCTCCAAGGTCATCTCAGCTCACAGTTATGGAATGTCTCTGTGGGGACGATGTGCCAAAGTCATCACTGAGCTACCAGATGGCACGACGAAGACGTATTTCCTCAAGGCATGATGATTCTCAAGACTATGGTATGAATGTTGTTTCTCTTTACTGAATCGATGTCGAGAAAGTTAGGTCGCCGCGGAGCCAACTGCACCAATCATGTGTGAGGGCGAATTCGAGTCTATGAAAGCCATCAACAACGTCTTGCGATCCATCGCACCGAAACCATGGGCCTGGGGTAAATATAAGAATGAAGAGTGCTATTTCATGCTTACAGACTTCCGCGAAGTCGGACAGCAACCCCCGGATCCTGTCAAATTTACAGCACGGCTGGCCGAGATGCATAAGAGATCAGTTTCGCCAACGGGGAAGTTCGGCTTCCATACCACTACCTGCCATGGTACAATACCTCAGGCCACGGAAGTATGGGAAGATTCGTGGGCGGTGCTTTATCGCAAACAGCTAGGCCATATGTTTGCCATGGACCTAGAGAAACACGGCCCATGGCCTGAATTTGAGCAGCTCTGTGATTTGACTCTGAACCAAGTTATCCCAAGGCTTCTGGAGCCTCTTCAGAGCGAAGGAAGGAGTATAAAACCGTGTCTCCTCCATGGGGACTGCTGGGATGAGAATACAGCAACAGACACAGAAACTGGAGAGCCATTCATCTTCGATTCAGGGGCGTTCTATGGCCACAACGAGTATGATATTGGGAACTGGAGAGCGCCCCGGCATAGATTAAGTAGAGCGGTATATGTAAAGAACTACCTGCTCAACTTCCCTCCCTCTGAACCTGGTATGTGTCCTGGCCTATCTGGTCGTTGCTATGTTTGAAAAATATTGACGTGGCCAAGTGGATGATTGGGATGGTAGAAACCTGCTCTACTCCTTGCGGTTTAATATTGGGACTTCTATTTTGATTCCTGGCTGTAAGCAACGAGAAGCGTAGGTTTCGTTACTCCTACTTCCTGCGAGATAACCACTGACGCCTTAAAGGGTATTCGAAGATATGAAGGAATTGTGCCGTAGGTACTGTCCCGATGATCGTATGGCTCTTCAAAGCATCCTGTTCCCTAGACCGAGTGATACAGGCTCGAAAAAGAAAGGAGAAGGTGAATCAGGGGAAGAGGAGGTCAAAATTTGAGAGAAGTCGTACGTTCACTTTCATGCAAAGGGTTTGGGGAAGCAAACTGAGTATCTGAACTATGAAGCGTGTTGTTTAACATTCGAGTATGATCTAACAATAATCGACGTATGAAACTTGTAATAACCAGAAAAAAGCACCGATTCTTCTCCAGCTATAAGGGAAAAATGCAAATATCTTGTCTGATAAAAGAGACATGGGCCTAAAGATGAAATCCACCATGCTCTGCAGGTTCACAAAACCTCCATAGCCCTGCATCCTTCGCAGCAAGCTGTACCGCTCCGAGCTCCTTTTCAGTGACAGCCCTATTAATATCACCATACCGAACGGTCTCCTCCTCTTGTGCTTCGACCACATTACTACGTCCCCGTTTTTTCTTTCCAACATGTGCATCAGGGTGGTACTGCTCCATGATATGCACATACATATCTTTCGATACGTTACTGGCGATCCACCTAACAATCTCTATCCCCTCATCCTCCATGCCTGGCATAACAAGATGGCGAAGGAGAATACCTTGCTTCGCGATGCCATCCGCTGTAAAAGAAAGGTCCCCAACCTGTGCATGCATGGCCTTTATGCTCTCCATAGCCGTGGCGGTATAGTTGTCCGCCTTGAGTAGCCGTTTAGAAGAACTATCCTTCCATACCTTGAAGTCCGGCAGGTATATATCCACCAGTCCGTCTAAAAGTTTCAGCGATTCGAGAGAGTCGAATGAAGATGTGTTGTAGATTATGGGTAACTTCAGCCCGACCTCTCGTGCATGTAAAATTGACAATGCAACTTGAGGAACGACGTGTTCCGGGGTAACGAGGTTGATGTTATGAACATTTCCAACCTCTTGGAGTTTTATATACCATTCCGCAAGCTCCTCGGGGGTAAGGTCGAACCCTTTCCGTTGATGAGCGATGTCCTGCCCAATCCTTAGTTAGAGCGTCTAAGCCCAATATAAACATCGAGCACGGCATACATGATTCTGACAGAACACACATCGCAAGTTGCATCCGGAGAAGAAAACAGTTCCACTACCATTCCACCCTTGGATGCATGGCTCTTCTCCGAAATGCGGTGCGATGACATTGACCTTCACCGTTTCTGCACCGATGAGACAGTGGCCGGTCTTCTCATAGCGGTTCACTCCACATAGCCGGGGGCAGAGGTTGCAGTTTCGCAGATGAGCATAAGCCCGGGATCGCTTCTTCGCCGCATCTACAGAGGAGAGGAGGTGGTATCGCGGTATATAGGTATCTAGGAGAAATGGAGGGGCTAAATGAAGCCGTCGTCGAGAGGGGATCAGAAATCGACCTGCTTTGGAGAATATAGACGTAGCTCTGCCAATAGGCATGGTGCCTTGTATATATAATCTACATTTGAATAACACAATGCATGATATCACGATCTCTGTCCAGGTTTCAAGAAGTCGTTAAATATTTGGTCAAGTTCTTGCGGAGAAACGGTTTCTTGGCACACAAAGACACTTTCTACGGCGTCTTTGAAGTTTTACATTTTACACAGCTGAGATTTACGGCTTGGATATCATCAAGCAGGTAAAGGAGACCAACGATGTTATACAGTATCATGGATAAAATACATGCAGCGGGAGCCATAACGCTTCGATAGGGATACCCATAGCCACCAGCAGAGCTCTCACGAATAAGGATGAAGAATAAGAATGCTAGGGTTCTGCTCTCAGGCTCTGCTCAGCGGGTATGCTAACTCAATAGGAGGGTTGAGATCAGGAACAAGAAACGGCGGACGGTATACTCCGTACCAGGGCAAAGATGTGATGGTCAATTGGGATACAGCCTTGGTGCTGATTGAGTCCTGGTCGGCACGATTCCATGCCTGCTTACAGGTCTGCTGCCGGGTCTGCTCGCTGGCCTGCTCTCTGGTCGACTATCTGGTCTGCTTCCGGATGTTCCGGGCGTGCTGCTGCCAGAGGTTCTGTCTCCCTCGAGTCCGTCATTCCACTGCGCGGTGCTCTGGCTCGTCTTTGCCGTCTCTGCCTCCATCCTCCTTCTCTCCCTTTCCCTCTGCTTGCGCTGTCTCCTCCTCATGATCCAATACCAGTCTTCGCCGGCCATGCGTTGGTCTTTTCTCTCTTCGTCACTCTCCCATGGTTCATCGCCTGGCTTGGGTTTACCGGCGTTTTCTATGAACTCTCTTTTCGCCTTGCCACCGTCGTTGTATGACGCCCACATACAGTTCCAGCATGGGCCCTCGATCTCTCCCTGATACTCGGCGTACGGTTCTTGCCAGTTGTGTTCTTGCGCCTTGGGGCAGTTCAGGCCGGGTGGTTTGTCTTCGCAGGCCACCCAGTCGACGTCCTTTTCAAGTGCGCAACACTTGTATCTGTAGTATTTTCGGTAGCACATACTGGCTCTATGCTTCGACAGGACTGTTTTCAGGTTATTTTTCCTTCGTTATCGTGTGATGAGATCTGGATAAATGGTCAGGTCTAAATGTGATGTGTGGGGGATGCATCCTCGATCCTTCGCCAGCTCCCTTATATACCTAATGGATATGAACTGTTCCATGGTACGCCCCAAGGATGATGTCACTAAGGAACAGAATAACTAGAGAAATACTTTCTCTTACCTTAGATATTTAGGAACCACCGGGCGCTAGAGGAGACAAACACTGGATATCAATATCGGCAGGACATGTTTGATGCAGAGCACGAGGTAAGGCAGGTTGTCAAATGAATGATATTTGCCCATGTAGGTTGGTCGGTTGGGAGAGATATATTTCTTCAATCTTTTCCTTTTCTTTTCTTTTCTTTTCCTTTCTCTTCCAAGGCAGAGAGAAGTGAATCCATAAAGTAGGGGCAGTGAGTTGGGCTTTTTCTCTAGCGGAAAGAGCCTGTTGGTAGTCCCGTGATATCAGTTACCGGGCGTCTATATTTACTTCTATACAACTGAGATGTCACTAACACATTTGCTTGCTCTATATCTATGGATCGGAAGACGCTGGCCTATCATTTAACCAAACTCTGCGCTAACGATAGGCTGAAGTCACACTATCAGGGCAGCTGCATGAAGAATGCTAGCATAAGGGCCCCTTAGCGGGTGCGGCGTAGCGTTTTACAAACCCTAGAGACAAGGCGTTTACAGAACCAATGCGCCATTCAGTCTGATAATTGTTATACTTACCCCACTGATATCAATGCGAGACCAGGCAGCAAGCAGGAGCTCGTTTTTTACCCCTGGTCATTCAATGCGTTGATGTTGGGATGAAGCCTCTCTAGCCGCCTACGAGGCAAACACGGAAACAGAATTACTACTCGTCGATATCAATGCAAGAGGGGTTCTATCGCACCTCGTCGCGCTTCCGTCGCACATAATGGCATCGAGGCTCTCTTTTCTCCGATATTCCTGGCCTTAGATAGTGTTATTGCGTCACCTTGAGTGGCCAGTATACAGATGAGACTCCTGCAAACGGAGAAGACCAGAAGTATATAAGTAGTTAAACCGTCTGCTTTTCCTTTGACATATCGTGTAGGTGCTTTAAACAGGAATATTCTTAAGAAGTCTAGTTTATACACTGTAAGCTCTCGCTCCTCGCATCTCTATGTGATTCTGTCTGCTCAAATCCTTTCATGTATAGAATACATCTACCCGTCCACCGCGAAATCAAGATGAAGCTCCTCTGGCTCGTCTGCGCAACGTTCGTTGGTCTTTCCATGTCGGCGGCTGTTAATCCTATGGCTGGCAAGGAGATATTTAAGCGGGAGGGGCAAGACGTAGGAAGCTATATCTCAGTTTTATACATACTCTACTAACCTACGCTTTATCCAGTGGGGAAAACGCTGCCAGGCAAAGTGTTTCAGCCAGTCAAGAGACTGTGATCCATGGCCATATGGGTGTTGGCGCTGCTTTGTACGTTATAAGTCGGAGTTAAGACAACCTTTGGTCTGGATGCGAGACTGACATTTGATGAATACTAGAACGGACATTGTCTTTGATACGAGGGGTTCAAATGACCTTCGGGTATTTAAGAATAAAATATTATTAACTAGGCACTTGGGTTTTATTGCTGAAAATAGGTCAAGATTGTAGATTTGATAGGGACCCACTTGGCTATTTACAGCCTTTATTGTTTGGGGTTATAATACAAGCCTCATTAAACTAAGGAGAATGCCGACTTATAGTAAGGGGAGGCAGGAATAAAAGGCATGATATGCTCACAAAATAATACATGGAGAAAGAAGTAAATGTGAGAGGCAGGGGGGAGTGCCAAACAATGTACAAGGGCCGGAAAGGAGAAAAAAAAATAGAACACACTAGAGTTATCTTTACATCCGTCTTTCATGTCTTTTGTAACACCAAACACCTGTGAACACCGAGCAAACCAGAAGACCTAAGAGGTAAAGATAGGGATAAATGCAGGAGATGACCTCGAAATATGCAGAGCATTCGGAGATGTCTAAACATGGATGGTATACATCCATTAATATGCAGGATCAGAGTTGTGTATGCGAGTTCGGACGTAGCAGCCAGCATTCGCGGTATAAAACGGCAGCGAGTATTTAATGAGAGGTGTGATTGCACCAGAATTGGGTAGGGGGAGAGCGGGATTGAGGGCTTGGGTATCATTTAGGAGAAGAAGTACTGGCTTTCTTTAAGACGGCGAACGTCAAATTCGCCCTTTTTAGGGACGTCACGGAATGTCAAAGGTAGCCATACCCAGACAGAGCCAGTCGCTGCACCAGACTTTTTCGTCGGCTGTGGGGTCGCTTCAATTTCGGCATCCTGTTCCTGAACATCCTTCAAGTCAGGCAGGCCTAGATCAGCTTCTGCCGATAGAGAAGGTTCCGATGAGTCGACTTCCGCCTCAAGTTTACCCTCCAGCGTTTGCTGCTCTTCCGGAGAGGGAACATGTCCCATACCAGCAACACCAAGGGACTGGACGGATACCAGCGCTTCATCCGCGTGCTCAGCATTAGCGAATATACTTCCTGCGGTAACCATCTTACGGCCCTTTTCTTGTTCAGCTGGGTCCTCCGAATTGAGTAACTGCATCCGTTTGTACTCATCCACCAACTCATGGGTTTTGTCCGCCTTGGCCGTTCGTCCACTAGTCCTGCGAAGCGCCCTGATCTTTTTGGCAATCGTGGAGCTAGGTTTGAGTTGTGCAAGGTAAAGGTGGTTTGAATACCTAGCTCTGAATTCCGCTGCCAGTCGTCCAACGATGTCGTCCGAGTGCATGCGGACGAATGCATTACGTAGGACAACGTTCATCTTGTCAATATCACCCGCATGGGTCCAGAAGGAGTCATGGACGGCGGAGAAGCTAAGGCCAAGCTCGTCACATTTTATAGCGGAGAGCATCATATGTGTGGCATCCAGTGAATGGATAAAATTGGGTGGGAAAGCTTGCAGCTGCTTTCGTCGGTTGACTTCATTCGCTCCGCGAGGATCCTTGATAGTACAAAGTTGGATATTGGTGGGGATACTGCGGGTTTTGGTTTCCCTGTATGGCTGAACGACTGGCAGTTTCAAGGGCGTGGTCCAAATAACGGCGTTGTTGAACTTAACCTTCTTGGACACATCAGCCTTGGGTGACGCTTCCAACTCTCTTTGGATATCCTCAATTTGATCGGGGGTAAGGGATCGGGTGACACGATTGGCGCAATCACCTAGCCAGAACTGGATGTCGTGAGCTCCGCTAAACATAGAATTCAAGGCAGAAAAGATTGCACGAGAAACGTGGACCGCGCATTTTGAAAGTTCATCCGATTCCGCTAGCTCTGGATAGTGATCCTCAAGCTGTCGTCGAACTTGCCGAGTAGCACCGATGAAAGTTACACCGTAAACGTTTGTCATGACAGTTTGCTTGACAACCTTTCGGGTGATTTTCCCGTCAACCAACTTGGCAATAGGATCTCCTGCTTTGACGTCATTGGCAATAGAAGCCTTTACGTGTTCAGCAACCGCAGTATAAATGTCGGAGGGCCGATCGCCAGGCTCAAGGTTGACTTGTCGTGCACCAATCGTATCACCACCTAGCGCAGCATAGTGTTGTAAACCGTTGCAAGAGCCATCCTGGTGAATTGGAAGATGGGAGACGTATTGTGTTGGGTCAGGCAGGTTGAGCGCATTCCTCAATTCTAGACAGGCAGCTAGACATTGGAAGGGGTCGGCGGCCTTTAGCCACCATCTCCTACCCTTCAATCCATTGTTTGCGGAATCTAGGATTTCGTCGACGTTGTCAATGGAAAATTGTTCTCTTTCCTGGAAACTCGCTTTGTCGTATCCAAAAACGTTCGAAAGGTGGATTCTCAACCATCTGACTCCACTTTCACCGAGTACTCGTCCTTCACTGAAAAGAAGAAGGCCACGGCAGTTGTCAGCTCCCATCTGGTTAAAATAAGGAGGTAACGGGTACGCTCTTCCACGAAAATCCATGTTGTGGGGGAGATAAAATGACTCGTTCAGGAATGCTCGCGCGATCTCCATTTGGAAATTCAAGTAGCAACGCTGAGAGTGGTTACTCATTCTCTTGTTGTCGGTACGGGTCTTAGCGCGATAATAAGTCTTCACAGCTTCCCGATCGTCGGTTTCAGGTTTCTCAGGGTCGGTTAAATTGGGGTTCGCGGGGACAATATTGGCTATTTCCTCCCCGGAATTCCAGGCCTCAAGCATCACATCGAATACAGCACGGTTGATCTTCCACCCTGTTTTCCCAAGAATCGTTAGGCCTTTATAAACCTGTTCAAGGTCTCCACGGGCCGCAGCAGCTTTGAGATACTGCTTTTGAGCGTCATCGAATCGCGTACGAACAACTTGAACCGGCTGTGTCAAAAATCCACCTTCAGTGTTTGATACCCATGGACGTGGGGTTGAGACCATTGGGAGATGCTTCGCAAGTAAACTACCGGATGGTTCTTTTCGTAGCCTTTCCACAAGCTTTTCATGGAGCTGTACATATCCAACATTATGTCCCTTTTGAAGTTGGTAGACATGCTGGAACACACGTTCGTTTGTGTGCGTCACTGTTTCTGTCGCTGGGTCTGTGCGGGAGACGGGTATTTCAGCCGTATCAAATAGTATGGAGGCTAGGAGGGCGCCAATTTTGATCTCAGTAGCTAATGGCCAGTCGACAGGGGCGTTGCCCTCTATCTTTTTTTGCACATAGGCCTTGAACCTCCCTGTGCTGTTACCCATCGACATCTGTCGGAAGGTCCTATTTATGGACTGCACTTGGTTCTCATTGTCCGCTTCCTCGACAAGCGATTGCCTCGTACGTTCAATAACGTATTCTTCCCTAACAGCAGCACCGATATAACTGAAAAGCGTGCTCAGTTTAATACCCTTGTCCATTCCGGAAGTTCCAATAGATCCTAACACTGTCAGGACAGTAACTGCGGCCAACTTGGTTGGGCCAATAGCTATTAGGAATGGAGCGTATTCGCTTCGCTCGCTCTCTTTGGCTGTCATTGTCTTTTTCGACTCGCATCGTTTGGCAAGGTCCAATTCCTCTTTTATTTTGTCCAGAATTCCTTGGTACCATTGGTACAGGAATGCGTTTAGGCTTGCCTTCACCGTATTGTTATGCCCGATTGTGCCTTCACTCTCTTTTCTCCAACGGTTAATGGCAGATTCTAGGGAATCCTTCTCGAGCTGTTCTTGTCTTAGGCGCATCTTGTTCCTTTCCCGTTGTTCTGGAGTTCGTCCCCAAAGGTTTTTCGGTGCGAATTCAGTTGATGGATCAAACAAGGATAGCGATTCCTTTAGGGAACTAAGTCCCATACCCTTTTGATCCGTGTTGAGAACTTCGTTTGGTGGCAGTACAGATTCGTCCGTAACCTTGGGCTTCAAATCTAGCGTTTCATCTGGACCTGCCAAATCGGGCTCAGCAACGGCAGCGGGAGACTCTGAAACTTGGAAACAAATCTATTCCCTTCTGTTAGTCCTGACTCCTATGAATAAGTGCAAAATAATGCTGGCTTTTATTAACATACCTCAGAGAGCAAGCCAATTTCTGATTCCGGTAAAATCGATGACTGAAGTATGTCCTCGTGTATGTGCTTTGATACCGCCGACTGCCAATATCTCCGCACAGTCTTTTCACGTTCTGGGCCTGCTAGCATCCTCAAGCTCATCCGCAACATCCACGCAAATGTAGTAGCATCAGGCCTGACTGATAAAAGCCCCATGTCAACCTCAAACCATCGTTGCGCGTACCACACAAGATCTGGTTGTCGGTTAATGATCATGTAGGTGATGATGGAACGCAGATATTTGTTGTGGAGATTTCGTAGTTCTGAGGAATTTGAGGGGTACGCAGCAGCAAGGCGTCGGAGAAGAAGACTGGCACGTTTAAACATTCCAGCTGATAAGCTGACGTCGAAGTTGATGAGCATCTCGTCAAGATCACCGCCAATGCTCTTTATTTTCCGTAGTGAGGTCGGTTTCGAAGATAGTAGAGGGTTTAGGATGATGACAGACGAAGCATCTCGATCCATCGGATCAGTCGGGTCAGAGAGCGGAGGCCGCGAAGAGAACTGAGGCGGTAGTGATTCGGGTTCCTTCATAGGCTTATACGCATCCATGCCTTCAAACGGAATATATGTCGAATTCACATCGTCCATCGCCCCAAATCCCACCGTGGCGAGAGATCGAGAGGATGGACCGCCTATCGCCGCGGGAGTATTCTGTTTCGCTCTCCGCCGAATTGGTCCGCATTGTGTCACCAACTGAGATCGTAAAACCGTTGGGTATAGCCAAGGTAGCAATGGCCGCCCGTGGGAGAGCTGTAGCCTTTGGAGAGCATGTTTTCTGTGAGCTGCTCGGGCGAGCATGGTTGAGGTCGTGAGAGGACAAAAAGAGTGAATTAGAAACAATTAAAAGATAAAATACTGAGAAAACAAGCAAATAAGCAACATGAAGCTCTTCAATGAATAAAAACACACGGCATATAGAAAGAAAAGAGAAAGGGTTGACCGCATTAACCCCCTTGGACTCGCTGGCAAGAACTTGGACAACCTGAAGAACTCGACGATAAGATCAAAACTTTCTCAACGCAGAAAAATTTGTCCCTGAAATCACGTGGTAAAAATAATGCCAATAATAGGCTAGTCCAAATACGGAATATCAACGAGTGCACATTTCGGGCCGGAAGAACAAGACGCCGGTATATCTGTTTATCATGAAGACTATGGATAATTCATTCCTACTTCGTTAACATTAGACGGTCAGAATATGCCTGCTGCTGGATAGGGAACCCCTTAGTGTTGATATCGTCGAGCCTAGTCGGCCGGAGACCGTCAAATGTCGTCATAATGGTACGAACCAAATCTATACCATGGCTATGTCGCCGTCAACATCATCCTGGCCGATGCTGTCAGCCTGGGGTTTCCCGCCTTTCTTATAGCTACTGCTTGCCCTCCGTCTCTGCTGTCTTCTTTTCATAGCCCAACCAGTCATTTCCGGCCGCGTAGGATCAACCCTCGGGGCACTCATGCTGTCCAGGTAATCGTCTGCCGTGATTGCGGATCGGAGCTGATCGGGCTCTTCCAGACTTTCATTAAACATATATTGATCGTATTTATCCCATGATTCTTGGTCCTATCAATAGCAGTTAGTAAGAGCGAGAAAAGTGCGAGGAAAGAGCAGTTACATTTTCATCAATCCACTTGTACTTCTCCCATTTCTCGTCCTGGAATAGCTTTAGCAAGAGCTCATTGTTTCCAACCGCCCTGCCGCCTTCTGACTCTGCAGATTTGACTTTCATGTCGATTGCTCGTGCCTCAATCGCAGCACTTCGAGAGGTAGCATCTTCGTCCATATCTTTTTTTGCTTTCGCCATAGCCTTGCTCTTCACAGCTACCTCATCAAAAGCGTCAATATGGTGTAGCTGTGGCCGTAGTTGTACAACTGATTCCAAAGGCGCAAGATGGAGTTCGTCTAAACGTAGTCGAGTAGGTCAATGGTATGAAACACGCAAAAATCAAGTCGTAGAAATCAAACGAGGAAACTCACTATCTCGGAAAGCACCAAGCATGTAGACGGGATCTCCGTCAACTGGCTTCTTTATCCTCCCGCCCAAAACTTGTGTCGTCATCTTCACACCCGCCTTCTTATCCTCATCGTCCATATCCATGTACATATTCATATCGTCTGCTCCGTCCGCTCCTCCTTCTGCCTTTACTTTCCCGATACCGCCGCCATTGGAATTAAACCCCCCCGCCAATCCATGAGTTCCGCTTTCCTGTGTAATACGGCTCTTGGCCAATGCATTGCCATATCTCAGTCCCTTGGTTTCGTCATAATTAACCTGCGTGTCTATCGGTATGTCCATCTCTACCAGACCTGTTTTGGGCTTTAACCGAAATTCGAGGGGTTTTTGTCTCATGGCGTCATTATATGGTTGGTCAGAGGGGCGGTCGGGGTATTGAAGGAGTAGACGCCGTATTTGTGCGTCAGTAATGAGTATATCGTATGATGCGGTGATGGGGTCATCGTCTTCCTGGCCTTCGACAGCTTAAAACGTAACGATGGTTAGCTCTTTGTGTCTCTTGAGCACAGAGGTCAGATTGTTCGGTGCGACTTACGAGGCATTGTGGCGAAAAACAAACAAAATATATATTCAGTAAGGAGATATGGAGCTTCTAGTGGTTAATAAAAGCCCGCCCTATGCCGTCTCTATGCTGTGATCTCGATGTGAAGCTGCTGGCAATTTTTTTTAATTCTTATCAGTGAGCAAGAAGCTTATCTACAGGAGGGGACATGTATATTTATGCCAAGACACTAGTTAGCGCTACTTTATCTTCTCCTATAAAAGCACAATCTCATCTTAAGCCGTCTCATCAAGTCGGAGGAGAATGAATGCGATTTATCTCAAGGGACACACTTGACTTTTTGACTATGGAATGAAACCTCCCAATTATACCCCGAATGCATTGAAAAAAACTTAAATGAGAAAGAAAACATCGTGATGCTGGTATACAAAGTCGGAATTGGGCCGTTCCTAGTTCTATTACATCGAAATAAATGGAAAACCTGGACATGATAGATTGAAATTTGTTGAAAAGAACTGTGAATACCCCAGAGAGAGTGGTTATCACTCCTCGCCATCTTCTTCGGCAACCTAAGAGCACGATTCTGTTAGTAATTTGTGACTAGCGAGAAAAGAAGGATTGGGAAAATCAGCTTACCCCTTCGTGGAATGTCTTCCCTTCGGTGGTCTCTTTGATCACACCGGCACGAATACACCAATCACCGAATCTCTCGGGCTGCTCTCCGTCCGTGTTTCTCTCAAGAGCATATCTCTTCAGCAGAGTCTTCATGATCTCAAGGATCTCATCTTCCTTGATGGAAGAGCGGTATAACTTGTTCAGTCGTTGACCATGGTACCCTCCACCAAGATACATGTTATATGCTCCATATGCCTTACCTACAAAGGCAACTTCCGCAAGCCAGGGCCTGGCACATCCGTTGGGGCAACCTGTCATTCGCATAACGATGCTCTCTCTTGATAGACCGTTCTCTTCAAGATATGATTCAACCTTCGTTATGAGGACGGGCAGATATCGTTCTGACTCGGCCATCGCAAGACCACAAGTCGGGAAGGCAACACAAGCCGAAGATGAGAGTCGAAGTCCACTGAATGAAGTGTTGTCAAGCTTGTATTTAGCCATCAGTGCCTTGATCTCGGGGAGATCAGCGTCTTCGATATTGGAGATAATAACGTGCTGGTTTCCGGTCAGGCGGAATTCTCCCTTGTTCAACTTGGCAATCTCGCACAATCCAGTTCTCATAAGGAAGTCAGAGGTGTCTTCGATTCTGCCGTTTTCGATAAAGCATGTGAAATGGTTGAGGCCCTTTTCGTCCTTGATCCAACCGAATGTATCGACGTTGGACTGGAACTTGAATGGACGAGGCTCTGCAAATCGAAGTCCGTCGGGAAGAATGTCTTCTACTTTTCCCTTGAAAACCTCCACACCCATGTCATCTATTGTGTACTTTAGACGAGCATGTTTGCGGTTCTTCCTGTCACCGTTATCACGCTGTACGAGCATGATCTTCTCGCAAACAATGTGGGCTTTACTTGCGGGAACATAGCCTAACATGCTGCCTGTTCGAGGGTATGTCTTTTTGTTGTTGTGTGTGACACCCATACCGCCACCAGCGAGGACATTGAAACCCTCCAAATGGCCATCTGCGCCCTTGATAGCGATGAGGCCAATGTCATGAGCGTACACATCCGTGTCGTTATGGGGTGGAATGGCAATAGTGATCTTGAATTTTCGGGGCAGGTAGGTTGGACCATATAATGGCTCATGATCAACAACAGCGTCTCCAGCAACCTGTACCTTCTTATCGTTCTCATCCTTGAGCCAAATCTCATGATAGGCGGTAGTTGCTGGAAGAAGATGGTCGCTGATGAGTTTAGAAACGGCGTGGACTTCACGATGGTATGACGACAACTCAGGAAGACTGCTGCACATAACATTTCTGTTCACGTCTCCACAGGCAGCGATGGTGGTCATCAAAGCTCGGTTAATTGCCTGCATAGCAGCCCTAAGCTTACCTTTCACAACACCATGGAACTGGAACGTTTGTCTTGTCGTGAGCTTCATAGTCTCGTTACCTTGAGCGCTACTGATCTCGTCCATCTGCAGCCATTGCAATGGTGTTGCTACACCACTGGGGAGACGGCAGCGGATCATGAAGCTGTACTTTGGTTCAAGACCTTGGGCCTTTCGCTCTTCCCTCAAGTCTCGATCATCTTGCATATAGGTACCGTGGAACTTGGTTAGTTGCAAGTCGCTTTCAACAAGGGCACCCGTAGACTCGTCAAGGAGTCCCTCGGCGATAGTTCCACGCAGGTAGTTGGACTGGATTTTGATATCTTCGTTGGTCAGCGGTGCTGGTTCTTCAGGCAGACCTTCGACTTTATCCACTCCCAGCGCTTGCCACAGCTTTGGCTCCCATTCTTGATATCCAGTCTGGAAACCGTCTGGGTCCTGGTCATCGCCTAAACCTATATCTGCCAATTTCTTACCACCGAGGAAAGAAATACGCGCATCCAAATCTTTAGCTGGCTTGTTGTAGTACAGCTTGTCTTCCTTTCGAGGCCAGTAATGGCTATCACCGAGTCCAAAAACGGAATACTTGATCGAGCTCAAGTCAAGGTCACCCGAGTTCTTAACAGTTTCCCAGAAACCGCGTCCATTCTGTGGGAGTTCTCCCTGACCTGCTGTACTAGTAATCAGAACGATATTCTCTTCGGTCGACAGATCTTCGACGGGATAATCATCCATAGCCATCACCATGGTCTTGAGGCCGCGAGCTTTACCGCGGTTAGCCAGCCTCTTGGCCAGATTCTCGCCATTTCCATTATCAGAGGCAAACAAAATCGTTAACGGGGCACCGAACAACCCTTCTAAGAGCTCGGCATAGGAATCTTTCGCTGCTCTTTTCTGTAGAGCCCGAACTTCAGTACCATACGACTCAGACAAGCTGGCTGAAAATTGAGGCTGGCGGTTCATCAGCTGAGTGAGCTGGTTATCTCTGCGCAGGAATTCCTCGAGCTCTCTCTTGATTCTCTCTGAATCGAGCGAGAAGTTAGGCTCCCCCTTTTCGGCATTTTCTGGATTCCATCGGTAGAGTGGCCAGTACCCAGCTTCAACGGCTTTCTTGGTCTCTTGAAGGACGGTGAGTGCAGAGTCGCTCTCCTTATGATACGGGAGATAAGCAACAACGACGGAGGGGCCGTCAAATTGCTCTGCTTCCGCGATAGCCTGCAACACCTGGGTATAGGAGCTATACACGGCGACGGATGCAACGTATGCATTACCGAAATTCATCGCATAGAGTCCGATATCCTTCTTACGCCGCGTTGGATCGGCTGCGGTACGCTGTGAGTATGGTTGAGAATCGATAATTAACATATTGACATTCTCATTGGAAGCGAGAACATGGTGAACTCCTGAGTTTCCAAGATCATACGCCCATGCGTCAGAACCAATTAACCATTGAGACTCCTTGAAAAACAACTCTTTCGATCGGAGTAGCTGTTCGGCCGGGCTAGAGCTATCAGCTGTAAGGCTAGAAATGAGATCAGGAGCAATCTGGTTGGACTTGACAGGGTTTGATGCGTTCAGAGCCCATTTCGACAGCAGCTGTTTGGATGTCTCGTTGGCAAAGCCATTGGCACGAACTGCTTCCTCAACTTCCTGCTTGAGACGGCTGCGGCGTTCCTTTCTCGCGATAAGAGATCCAAATCCATATTCTGGGGTTGCAGAGATGGTAGCGGAGATACCCGCATCCTGCGATCCAAGCTGGTTCGCAACATACAAGCGGTCATTGAATGACTGTGTTAGAATCTTGGTGTATGCATTCTCGTTATCTGGTTGTTCAGGCTGGATTGACTGTGACAGACTCTTCTGGCCGCCAATTTCAAGGTTTTGAATGGGTGGATTCAGCGCTAGATTTTGGATGACTCCCTTAAGAGCTTGAAGGGAGGTTGAGGGCTCTACGAATCCAAGCCTGTAACCGACTAAAGTTGGCGCTGCTCTGGCACCAGTTGGTGGCTGTGACAAGCTTGACAGGAAATCAAGGAACGATGGACCCCATCTTGTGGTTTTTCGGACCTGTTCTAATATGGCTATGCGCTCGATGGAGTCAGGGATGGCCCTGAGGATCTGGTTCCCTACCCACGGCCTGTAAAGCCGGGCAGTGATAACTCCAACATCTTTAAATTCTTCCCTATGGCTTGGGTCGTTTAAGGTATCCAGGAACACGCCTGTTGAGCCAAATACGAACAAGGCAAGCTTCCCGTTCGCTGGGCCAGAATATTCAATGGCATGATACTGTCGACCAACACGGCTCGATAGGGCTTCCCAGATGTTATTAGTTATTTGGAATATGTCTGATGCATCGACTGGACGAGCGGTGACCGTCTCAACTGTTGTAGCCGAGGAGCTGGGGACATGGCTCTCCAGGATGCTCCCCCTCCGCGACGAGCCAACGGAAGATGGATCAACGCTATGAACAGCAGATTTTGGCGATAGAATTGAGAGTTCGGAAGCCTGGGCGATCACCGGGCCTCCGAACCCTTGGTCAGAGACAGTCGCAGTCCGTCCGGAATCAGCATACAAGGTCTGAGAAGTGCCTTCGGGGGAATGGCTAGCTGTAGGTCCGCCAAGCTCAAGGATATCTTTCACCAGTGCTGCATCTTCTGCTGCAACAGGTTCGTTCTTCTCTGAATTACTCAGATCGAAGAAATGAATCACTCCTTTCCCGGACCTCAGGGCCAAGGCATGTGCAGTGATCGCAATGTCCTGAGCCTCTTGTATGGTCTCCGAATGCAGGAAGGAGAACCCACACTGGCGAATGGAGCTTATCACTGAGAAATCGGCGAACTCGGCCGGCTCTAGATGTACGTGGATGACGATCGGGTAGTTCGCGAGCCTGTAAAGATGGGGTATCGAGGAAAGTAGAATCGCTGAACTAGTCGTTACGGAGACCCTCTGGCCATTCTGGAGAGGGTGGTAGGCCGATAAAAGGGGATCTTCATTGTGTCGTACTGGACGAATCTGAGTATAAGCCTGTTAGCTGCAACTCCATGAACCGACCCTGTTGGCAGGGGGTGTATACGCACCTCTGGAACGTTTCCAGAGACAGCTCCCTTCACTTGCTCAGAAGACAAGCTGTTTAATGCCTTTGAGAAGATGGAGTCTCTTTCCAGAGTAGGCTGTACAGATAGCACAACGCCACTGGAGAGATATGCCACCCTTGCAACTAATAAGCTCACAATCAGCATATAGATAAGAACATCCCTGCACAGAGGGGAAATCGGAGAAGCACAGCACTCATTCCTCGAGGAGAAATAGAGCCGTAAGAGACATACCAGCTTCTCCAGCTGTTGATAAACTCCCCATCTCTGCGACAATTGCTATTACCGAGTTCTCCGCCGAGCTTGAAGCTATAGATCTATATAGGCCAGTCAGCATGCGCAGCAAGGGTAGGAACCTAGACACCAACCACCCACGCTTGTCAATTATCGTCACCACCGACGTTCCAGGAGTGAATCCGACCGAAGAACTAAACGACCGAAGAGAAAGAAGAAAAAACCTCCCGCGATCAAAAGTTCGTCGAGCTTCGAGTTTCTTGATAAAAGCTGGAATCAGGTGACGTTGATCACGACATCGTGCAAACAGTGCAAACTATGACTTCCTTCTTTACTTCTTTACTTCTACTTTTCTCTCTCTTATATAGCAACTTCTACCAGTTACGCTCCATGACTTACTTATATCTCCCCCTTTATAGGCTGTTTCTTTGTATTTCCAGCGCACTGCATCTGTAATCCTCTGTCTCTGGAAGGATTCTCGGTCGAGAGAGGCTGAAGTCGCAACCAGGACTCGCCAGTGCGGCATTTGCCTGTTTTATTGCGTGATCATAGAACTCTGCCCTCGGCCCGTCCTACCACGATACAGAGCGATATCGCGATCTGGCTTATCCACATGCCAGGAAGAAATATATAGAGAGGGAGAGATGATTTGTCAACATTACGGCAGGATACAATTGCTCCTTTTCCTTCCAGAATACATACATATACATACATGCGTCAAGCATCATCGTGTGGAGCCCGCGCGGGATATATATAACGGCCTCCTCCATGGTATCTTCCGCCAGTCAAATTCCCGGCCCTTGTCCCCCGTTGACCCTCGCCCGTCCGACAGTCATGATATAGTAACCACACCATATCGCCATGGTAGAAAAGAAAAGAAAAAAAAGGATGTCCCAAAAACGAAAGATATATGGCCCGTAACGCCGAATGATAAAGCGAATGTAGGTTTGTAGCCAGTTCGCCGTGCTGTGCCCAGATAATAAAGTGAAGGCTGTTGATATGTGCAGTCCAAGCGCCAGTGTGTTGCCGTCGAATGAGCAGCTAACCGTCTGGTGCTTTCGAAATCATTATCCCGTCGCTGCCGCTATATGTGGCACGATAGGCGGTCGTCATCGATCCGTATAATGTCTAGCTTCAAAGAAAAGGTAGGTAAGAGTATGAAATAGACGGCGGTATCAGAACTCCCTCTCCTCGGGCGGTTGATACATCTTCAACGGCGGGACCGAGTTGGGTCGGTATGTCGATGGCGACTGGGGAGTAGAGTGAGACTGCTGCGTAGGCGTCTGAGGCACGACGATTGCCTGTAGCACACTTGGAGCCGGTGCTGGCGGGCCGGTTCCAGACCGTCGACGCCGTTCCCTCTCGACCGGCCCAGTGCTCTCAGTCGGCACTATCCTATAACTCGAGCTGAATCTCCTGTTCAGCCCAAACATCCAGCTATCGTCCTCGTTTTTATCGAACCAGTAGCCTCTCCCAACCGAGACCATGGCACGACCTAGTTTCCCTTTCCATCCCTGGCCATCGGGGGAGTCTGGTGTGAACGGGTTCGGTTCGAAGTCGATATTGCTGACCGTTGATGTGTTGCGGCTGTGGGAGATGGAGCCATGGCGGGATTCGACCGGTTGGTTCCTGCGGTGGAAAGAGTGAAGTTTCAAACACTGCCGGGCAAAGGCCATCATGATCAGGACAAAGTATAGCCTGACCGTCCACAGGACGCAGATGATGGCCAGACTTGGTAGGCTCTCTGGCTGCAGCATTCCATCCTCCAGGGCCGATGTCCTTCTACCACCGACTCCGTGAGATACCGCCACACCCTCTGCATCGAATCCCATCGTGTCTGGCGAGACTTGATATCGGCGTTGCTGTCGACCCGTAAACCCAGCCGAGCCAGCCATGGTCGAACTTCCTGGGCTGTCCGACGCAGCAGACGGCTCAGATATCATCTGGAACCATGTTACCGCAAACCCGGCAGTGTAAGCTGCGTTGACAACACTGTCAATGAGATAGAACCATGCCAGTGCCAGACACTGCAGCGGCGCCTGTTTCTTGATGTATGGCGTGAGGAAGATGGTCAGCCCCAAGGCGAGCATGGAATATATGTACATCGACAGCTGCACCGGCGACAGACTGAACCCGGTCAGGATGGAGAGTAGCCCGTAGAGCCCGATCAGCTTGTTAAGCAGCATAGATAGTGTTATGAGCGTGGCGCCTGTCTGCAGGCTCATGACGTAAAGAAACGACTACATAGTCAACCAGGTATCCGTTAGCACTTCGTCCAGCTTGATTCCAGCTCATCTTCGCATCAAAGATGACCGTCACGAGAGCAGTTTTCAGCGTACCTGAGGCCGCGGAGCGCGGAAGATCCGGAGAGAAGAGATGCCCATGATGACGGTTCGCGCATCAACAGTCGGTCGTTCGCAGCAACGGTCCACAGCGTCCCTTCAGAACAATAGATAGAAGTCGCACGGAAGAGAGAGAGAAGGGAAAAAGGGCATCTAATACTCCGTATCTGGTGGAGCATGAAAACGAAAATTGGAGAGCAGAGCGGTGGAATACCTCCGGGACGCCCGAGAGCGAGACGCCGATGCTTGGAGATTATTTAATATTAGCTATGGCCTTGCCCGCCAAGGGCGATCCTTCAATATGCCCAACTCGCTAGTTATGGCCTGGCATCAGCCTGACCTTCTACGACGGACATAATACGGAGGAGAGATGAGTTCCTAGTTATGCAGAGTTATGCGCCGGGTGCTACGGAGCGCGATACGGGAGGTGGAGGCGCTACTATGGATGAGGTCAGAGATGATATCGTTGTTAGGTGAGAAGGCTAGATACAGCCTGTTCGTCTTCGTCGTCTTGCACTAATTCACCGTCCAAAGATAGGATATGATACGGTACGGTGACGGAATAAAGAATTAACGAAGATATAAGCCGGCTATAAACACAGAGATGAAGATATTAAGCGGGAGATAAGATGCAGAGCTAAGTCAAGAAACCAGGTTCCCACGCCGGAGAAGCTCAAAGGAGCACAAAGCAGCAGTACGGAGTATTACAGCCTCAAAATGCATGTGGTCACAGATATATCGGGATGGAAGGGTATGGGATGCAGATGGTGAATAGCGGGTTTATCGGTTTATCGTTTATTGCTTTATTGGCGGAAGGCTGGGGTTGCGGCCCAACAAGGGCTGGATAGGACGAACATCTTCAGCATGCACAGGCGTCGTTGCTTACAGGCTTGGTCGGGTTGATGCTGACGTCAATCACTAAATAGGCAGACAGTTAGTATTCTGCTGATATACCATATTGTCAAGGCTGTGCAGGCGGGCGTACTCTGGTTATCGCTGTTGGTAGCCTCGCCTTCCATACCCGGAAGAGCCTGAGCTATCTTCTTGAAGAGGTTCTTAACGTTGTGTCCGAGCTTAGCACTCGTCTCGATGAACATCAGTCCGTTCTTCTTCGCCTCTTCCTCCCCTTGCTCTGTCGTCACCTCTCTCTTATCGTTCAAATCCGTCTTGTTGCCGACAAGGGCAATGATGACGTCGTTCCCTCGCTCGTCACGCACGTCGTCTACCCATTTCCGTGTGTTTTGGAAGGATTTGGCGTTTGAGATGTCGTATACCACTACCGCAACGTTGGAGTTTTGGATATAAGAAGGTATCAGGGAGCGGAATCGTTCTTGGCCGGCGGTGTCCCAGAGCTGGAGGCGAACTGTTCGGTCTTCTAGGTACATTGTCTATAGCCGGTTAGCTATATTCCCATTCTACTATCGTATCGTATGTCGGTGCTTTTTGCGGGCAGGCAGCACTATAAATCGCACCTTGGAGAGGAAATCAATCCCTATAGTTGCTTGGTACGTGTTGTCGAATGAATCGTACATGAACCTCGTAATCAATGACGTCTTTCCGACTGCAGGTTATCACCGTCAGTTCTCTTTATCTGCATGCTCTCGTTTGAAGTCCGTCAACGTACCACTCTGTTCACCGAGAAACACCAGCCTGCACGTCCATGGTCAGCAACCGTCTCAAACGAAGGAGAAAAACACAGCCAGCCTACTTGAACTTCTTCAACGGGTTCGAATACGACCCTACTTGGGACTGCGATGCCATCTTCGTTCGGTCGTTAAGGGCGTATATTAAAGGGGGGTGTCTGTACAAGCGGGCTCCTGATCATATATAGAAAGGCCAACGGGAGCGTCCAGTGTGTCGTCACAAGCAAACGGTCGTCATGAACTCGTAACCAGCGGCATCCAGGGTAGAAGAAACGTATATGAAGCCTTCTCGAGGGTGTCGGCGAAGGTCGAAAAGCGTAGCGCAACGAGGAAGAATAAGCAGCAAAAGCTACCGCGCTGTTCCAGCGGCCATCGCCCAATCAGGCCAGAGGTCGAACTTCAACTTTATTCTTCGTTCCTCTTCCCTCCCAGCAACAGCAACAACAACACCAACGAGCCGACAGCAACCAAACCCGACTCGCCGAACGAGCTCTATCCAGGCGGCCCTTTCTTCGTGCGCTTTACGGATCTCGCTTTCGCTGGCACCGCGTCGAGGCAAGGATGGGCTACAGCTACTACTACGGCCTGGGCGGCCTGACCTTTGCCCTCACGGTTGTCGGACTGTGTACGCCTAGGCAACATCCCGAATACCAGCGCTCAGATGGCTAATCTTCGTCCTAGATATGCTCTTCCATGGAGAGGGTGAAGCATTCAATGTGTGTAGAGTGCAGTGTTCCCTAAACCATACCTCGAGCTAACGTCATGTTCACAGGTCGGTCTCTTCCTTGAGACGGTCTCACCATACGCTTTCGCAAACATAGGCATTGCACTGTGTGTTGGATTATCGGTTGTCGGCGCAGCATGGTCAGAATCCTCTTCTTGGTCTCGAGTAGACTCAACCGTTCTAACCGGCTATTCTGCTCTACAGGGGTATCTTCGTCACAGGCTCCTCGATTATCGGCGGTGGTGTCAGAGCTCCCAGAATACGAACCAAGAACTTGATCTCCATTATCTTTTGTGAAGTTGTGGCTATCTACGGCGTCATCATGTCCATTGTCTTCTCCTCCAAGCTCGCATACGTACCGGAGGAGAACCTGTACACAGGCAGCAACATGTACACGGGATACGCGCTGTTCTGGGGTGGTCTGATTGTTGGATCCTGCAATCTCATCTGCGGTGTTGCAGTCGGCATAAACGGAAGCAGTGCTGCGCTCGCTGATGCGGCTGATTCCAGCTTGTACGTCTTTAAATGTTGACACCTACACAAGCACTAACACTAACATTACCCTCCTGTAGATTCGTCAAAATCCTCGTCATCGAGATCTTTAGCTCCATTCTCGGTCTCTTCGGTCTCATCCTTGGCTTGCTTGTTGCCGGAAAGGCGAATGAATTTAAGTGAACGCTATAATGGATCAGGCCATGTCGTGATTTGGCCAACGATAAATATACCTACCCATCTACGTTGGGGTCAATTAGCACCCCCTTCTCGTGTCTATTCTTTTTTTGGTTCAACAACATGCCGTTTACCAAGGCATGGGCGTTCGGTATCTTATTTTAATCGCATAAATAGAGTGCATTCGGTCAGCTTAGGCCCTGGCGGCATGCGGGAAAGGAAACCACCAGCTCCTTTCCCCGTTGCTGACGTGAGGGCTTGACATGTGGATGTAAAATAATAGGTTAGCCTTGTATTTCGAATAGCCAATACATCTTTTTTTCGCTTGAGATATGCTTCTTAACGACTGCGTTGCATTGAAACTATTAATAGTGGATGGTTTCGTAAGGTCAGGATCCTTGCTAGCTCTATCTACATGGAGGGACCCAGAAAGCAAGCACTTCTCCAACTTCGACACAAGATCAACCAGAAGAACATAGCTCTATACACGACGATTAACAAGACATAGTTGCTGTTACGATGGCCGGTCAACGCTTGAAAGCAGCTATTCTCATCGTCTCGGATACTGCTTCTCGAGACCACTCGACTGACAAAGTAGGCGGCGTTCTCACCGAGACCTTTGGCCAGCAGGGCGATCGATGGGACAAGCCAACCGTCGCGATCGTGCCAGATAACATATTAGAAATTCAGCGTCATGTTTCTAGATGGGCTGATGGGGAGGACCATTTCAACCTCATCATCACATCTGGCGGGACCGGGTTTGCTTTGAAAGATCATACGCCTGAGGTTAGCAAGCCGTCCGTCCCTCTGGTTTCATGGCTATAGAGCGAGTTCAACGGATGATTTTGCATTCTACTTCTTCTGTTATTAGACTTGCAAGTTGATACTGACGGAGAAGCTAGGCTGTCTTGCCTTTGATTCATCGACATGCACCCGGACTTGTGTAGGTGACCATATACAACTATATCGAAGAGGTAGACGCTGACGGTTTATAGGCATGCTATGTTAGCTACGTCGTTAGAGATAACTCCTTGTATGATTGCCTCATTTCTTACTAGCTGTCTCTATTTACTAACATAGGCATCTAGTTGCTATGATGGCACGACCTGTTGCAGGAATTCGACACAAGTCCATCGTCTTAACTGTTCCCGGATCTCCCAAGGGCGCAAAGGAATGTGTCGAAGCAGTTATTAAACTCTTGCCTCATGCATGTATTCAAGCTGCAGGGGCCGATTCGAGGACTCTACATGCTGGTGGCATACAGAAATTAGAGAAGGAAGCAGGTGTGGTGCCTTCAGCATCCGATAAAGACCATCACCACTGTCAGCATCACGGTCATGGTCACGGCCACGCTATACCCAAGGCACATACTACTTTAGCTGAGAGACCAAGCTCTAATGATCCCGCAGTCGGCCCAACTCGACGTTACCGGACCTCTCCGTATCCAATGATCTCCGTTGATGAAGCATTGAAGCTAGTATCTGAGTACACACCAGATCCAACAATCGTTGAAGTCCCCGTTGGTATCTCTCTGGTTGGCGCCGTATTGGCCGAGGATGTCTTTGCTGCAGAAGCTGTTCCGGCCTATCGGGCAAGCATCGTTGATGGATATGCGGTTATTGCTCCAAGCTCACCAGGAAATGGCAAAAGCACAAAGGGCGAATTTCCGGTAGCATCGGTATCCCATGCACAAGCTGCTTCCATGCCTCCACCATTGGATTCTGGAAGCATTGCTCGTATTACGACGGGAGCTCCTCTTCCAGATAATGCTAACGCTGTCGTCATGGTGGAAGACACCGTTCTTGTCTCAGCTACCCCGGACGGCAAGGAAGAAGCAGTTGTCGAAATCCTCACGGCAGACATCGAGATTGGGGAGAACATTCGTGAACCAGGCAGTGATGTCAAGCTGGGCTCAAAAATATTGGAGAAAGGAGACCTCATAACCGCTGTTGGAGGTGAGATTGGTCTACTGACATCCACCGGCACTAAGACTGTGAAAATATACAAAAAGCCATGCATTGGTGTACTTAGCACTGGTGATGAGTTGGTCGAACACGACGCTTCTGTGAAACTTACGGGCGGCCAGATTCGTGATTTAAATCGACCATCTCTAATCTCGTGTTTGACCTCCTGGGGGTTCCCAACGGTTGATCTGGGTATTGCAAAGGATACGTCCGGACATCTGGAAGAAATCCTCCGAGATGCCATGCGTGGATCATCACCTTCAAACCCCACGGGAGTAGATGTCATTATTACTACAGGCGGTGTTTCAATGGGAGAACTCGATCTCCTCAAACCTACTATCGAACGGCAGCTAGGAGGTACCATTCATTTCGGACGAGTATCCATGAAACCCGGAAAACCTACAACTTTCGCTACTGTTCCGTTCAAACCCAGTGCGTCTACCTCAAAGGAGAGAGAGACGAAGGTCATTTTCTCTCTTCCAGGGAACCCTGCTTCGGCTTTAGTTACGCTTAACCTATTCGTGCTTCCCTCGCTTCATAAGGCCATGGGATTAACACAGCGTGGTCTTCCAGTTGTCAAGGCTTCATTGACCCACTCGATACCTAAAGACCCCAAACGCACAGAGTATCACCGTGCCATTGTGGGTTCGTCGGAAGTAGATGGGCGAATGATTGCTACAAGTACCGGTATTACTGGTGTAGGACAGCGGAGTTCACGAGTTGGCAGTTTGGCGAAGGCCAACGCACTTTTGGTTCTTGAGCCCGGATCTGGCTCGATCGAGAAAGGCCAGTTAGTTGAGGCACTGATGATGGGTCCTATAGCTTGATTACTGGAAGAATTAGAGCCTGTAAATAACGATGTATCCGAAATTGATTGAAATATATATCCAGTATACTCTATCCAATATAAGAAAGCACATACAGTACCAAGAGTAAGTAGAAATATAAACAAATACCCATAAATTCCCAACCGAGTTTGTCTAAGATGCTCCTTTCAGCACCTGCATTGTTCCTTTTTTTTGAGTGATCAACGCCAGAGAACGCTAGAGATATACAGTTAGTTGATAATTATGCTATGTCTTCGCTGTTTTCCAGCCCTTCTTCTTTTCCGCCCTAAGAGCTAATAATGCCCCGTCCCTGCCCGGAACTCTTCCAATCTCCACAACAATAAATCGTACAAAGTCCTGCAGGAGCCAGTAACTGCTATGCGCACTGAGCATGTTAAGATACTGGATGTTCAATGGACCACCACCAACATTGAGATAGTAGTCTATTTGTCCGTTATCATTCAAGAGAGCCATGCGAGTCTCGGCAATTTCTTCTCGAGTAAAATCGTGAGTTTCCAATTCGATATTTGACGGTAGCTTGGAAATCGTAGCGGCGGCTCCTTGGGCTGTGCCAGGGACCGCGACACCAGTAGTGTAGGCTGTACCCCAACGGAAAACGCTGCTTATGCTATCGAGAAGGGAGGTCGTCGAGCTCGGTATAATTTTCGGTTTGAGCGAGTTTGCTAGGTCGGCATCCACCGCGGCGTTTAAACGGTAGGCAATGGGATCAGTATCGTTCATGATATTATATATATTGTCAACGGCGAGGCATCCGTATCTTCCAGCCTGGCCAGTAATACCACGGCCTGCATCCTCTCCTGGCTTTACTCCGGGTTTATTTCGACCTTTCCGCGGAAGGAGAACTGATTTGTTCAACAAGAGAAAAAATCCTACTGGACTGCCGCAGAGAAATAAGTTCTTGGTATCAAACTCGAACATGGCCTCGTTAATTTCCGTGGTCGAAAAGTCAATGGGAGGGAGAATGGTCGGTTGATGCGAAAGAATGTCCATCGCCATAACAGTTCCTAGCGAATGAGCAATGATATGCACATGGCCACGGGATTGAAAGCCAGGGTTATTTTGACACCAAAGCCGATATATTCGATTCGCTTCCTTCACCACAGCATGGACCATTTTCTGCTTGTGATGGGATAGATAGTATGGGATGTCAAGCATAACGTCACTGATTAAGTTTCGAACTCCTGGAATTGTGTCGGGTGTGATATCCTTCAAAGTAAATTGATTTGCATGCGGGTCCTCAGCCGCTGAAATGCCTCCTTCTGTGCCTTCAAGGGAAAGCGTTGTACGCCAATTCACGGGGAGAACCATTATGCTCTCTTGCTCAGGACGCATATGTGGCCATACAGCGTCGCTACTCAATTCAGCGTTCACGTCTTTCCGGAAAGCGTTTATTGCATGTGTGAAATGGAAACTCTCAACTCGTTCAGAGAGCTTTTGACCTATCCCATGTATGACCAAAACCAAGTCGCTTACGTCTTGCCTTTTATCTTCCATCTGACAAGCATAGCATATCTGTCGACGAGATGCGGTAGGTCTGGAGGCCATTTCGCGCATTTTCATGAAGTTCCTCGCGTTCGTAGAGACGAACTTGGACGGATGCAATTTATCCCAAAGTTGCGGGCTAAAGCCTCGAATGACGGGAATGCCAATCTGCCTGCCTTTCCGGACAGGACCAAGAGGTCGTCTCCCTCTTGCAACAGACGGTAAGAGGCTTGGTCGTAGAATTTGCGCTTCCTTTGCATTCACGTATATGACGCTGGAAGACTTGAACTGTCGTATGGTATCTACCTGGCCTGCCACACCGCCAGCAGCTTTATTTACACTGAAATCATGTTGCGGCCCTGGTTGCAATCCCTGTGTGCTTGCAACGGACATCATTTCAGGCGACTCATGTCCGGCCTTGCCTGCTCGCTTTAATACCTCGTTGGGCCACAGTTTGTATATGATTTTCTCTTCTGCCTCTGCGCCATTTTCCATACAGCTGTCGAGCTCGTCTTGCCATGTTTGTGTCCAGGGTTTCAATTCCATATAACCCTCTTCCAAATGGTTGGCAAGATCCGTTTCTACAGGAAGCATTGTATTCTTGTAAAACCAGGTTGCTCTAATGACGCTTGATATGTCGTTGACGGGACTCCAGTAAATTGGTTTCATCTGCAACTTTGGTAGCTCTACGAGATGAAGGCGTGTGGCGCCCACTGTCACTGTCACTCCTGTGTCAACTTCAGAACCTGCAGAAGAAGGGCGGGACTCCGACTTGAATGGTTCATCTCCAGGTTTCGACTTGACATCGCCATCTAGCTCTAGTGCTGCTGTAAGAGGCGGAGTTGAGCTGTTTCCTTCGTTTTGGGGGCGTTTCATTTGTTCGAGTATATCCTCATTCCCCCAAGCTGAGCTAGCAGCAGAGTCAGATCGGTCTCTAACGGGTGCTCGAATAAATGGAGAGCCAGTAACATTCGTATCTGCCATTGCTCTCATCCTCGCGTCCTCGCCATTTTGGTAGGGCGTGCCACAGCGTGTAGGTGTCTTAGGAGTAGACTGAGCGGGCATCTCCTGGCATTTCTGTAGCCTCTCGCTTGTTTCGTACGATCCCAAGGTTCTTCGTCGTTGCTTTGACGTTCCTGAGTCAGGCGGAGTGCCTTTTCTTGGGTTTGGAGGCGTTGAGCTAGCGGTGACACTGCCATCCACAAATATCTCCCGAGCACCGAGCGGACTTCTCTTGTTTTCTTTTCCTTCTAGCCGCAGGCGTGAAACCGGAAGAGTCTTGCTGTTCCTTATGAGCTGGCCGTCCGACCCACGCCGATTCCTTTGTATATCTTCAGGTAGGCCCCGGAGCTTCAAGGTACTTTCCCTGGAGCCCCGTTCCCTAGCATCACTCTTAGCCTCCCTCTCGAAATCGACTCGAAGCGCTTGCCATGCTTCCTCCAGAGCTATACTATCACGGCTCGAAAACGGTCTCGGGGGAAGCTGGGTATGCGATCCCGTTGCTGGAGCTGTGATAGGCGTCAACGGGTCGTCAATTGGGAGCGAAGATAGATAGAAGAACTGTGACCGGACGGTAGGCGGTGGAGGAATGACTTCATCTGGGCCACCCTTGATGACGGTGTTGCCTGGTGCCTCGTAGAGAAGGCATGTTGGGCCGTATGTATGCGCGGGAGCTGACATTTCGTCCAAACAGCTGTATTCGGTCCTTTTTCCAGCTAGTTATATTCAAGCGATGGTCTGCCTTTATATATCCGGGCAAGTCAAAGAGTTATAAAAGCAACAGCAGCTCCACATTCTGACATGGTAACTTCTGGCATCCTCGGCGTCATGAACAAAGCCATAGGCAGCAGAATTAAAGCGTAGTCTATTGTAGCTGTAGGAGCCAGGTAAGTTGTATCGGAGGATAAACCTGTCGTCCTTGATCCGTTCTCCCCAGGGTGAAGCAATGGGAAGAAGCCAGAAGAAAGAAGCCAACTCGTCGTTCTCGTGGTGGTTGGGAATTTAATGTTGACCTGACCCTAGCTCGATGACGTTGTTAACCTAGAGTCACGTGATGCCAACATATACGAACTGCTCGTTATGACGTTTAGAATCAATTCACGTATTAATTAAGCGCTATACATTAATCTCCAGGCCTGTTCTGTAATGGCCATGAGCCAAAAAGCAGAAACATCAAGGCAAAATCCATATCACAGCTTCGTATCGTACAACCTAAACTTTGAATAACAGGGCATCACTTTTTATCTTTTATCATCACCACCTTTAATTCAGGCCGCACGTTTTCCGAAAGAAGAGGGATGGAAACCCCGCTGTATTACAACATGCTTGTCACCAGCTTCCTTCAATAGCTTCTCCTGTGCTTTCTTCATCGTCGCGAGTGCGCTCATCTGTAGCTCCTGGAACGCTAGAAAAGTCACCAGTGGACCTCCCAGCATCTCCAAAATCTTATGCGTATCATGCATGTGTTTCCTAATCACGCTATCGGGGTAGCAGAATGTTCGAATGGCCATCTCTTTTGCCATTGCTTTCCAGTTATACAGCGTTGCGTTTAAGACCACGGTATTAAATGCACATTCTCCGTGGAATTTGAATGTTCGAAGATTGTAGACAATCAATTCACGCTGCGTAGCCTGGTCGAATTGGAACTGGACAACCTGTGGCCTGCTCTTGGAAACCCAGAAATTGGTAACTTTGGCGACGGACTCTGCGGACATATGGCCGGCCTGGTACTGGCTGATGAGGAATTGGTTGGCAGTGACGCAGATCATTAGTTCCATTTCGGAGTAGAGCTTCGCTTGAGTAGGCGGGTCAAGAGAAATCGGACATGTAGATCTGGGCAACATCTTGGGTTGGAAGGGATAGGACCCGGTGCCCGTCTGTAGATGCCAGTCCATATTAGTTAACAATCAGTGGTCAAGTTCTGGTAGAAACTTACAATATCTTCGACACGCTGCTTGATCTTCTCTCCGAGAGCCCTCAACCCAGGCTTTTTCTTTTCAGCGGGTACATCGTTGATATCAGGAGAACGCCCCAACCATCCATTTTCACCGAATAACTTCTTGTGTGGGGATCGTGAACGTCTTTTGTGCGGGTAGAAGTCGAGTTCGTTTTCCTCGTCCAAGTCTTCAAGCACCTTGACGGGTGAACGAGAGCGGCCACGACCACGAGGCCCATGGCTAGGTTCATTTCTCTGATCATGGGTCTGGGTGCTTCTCTGCCACTGCTCTTCAGGGGCTTCCCTTGGTGGACCTTCCCAGCCATTATAGTAATTGGCTGGATCAGAATTATCACGGCTCCCATAGTCGAACGATTTGACGTTTCCGTCAGACTTGGACTGTGGAAGGCGTCTACCATACTGGGTTGCATCCACAGGGTAGGAGTAAGCTTTTGGAGGAGATGGTTCTCTCTGAACCCGCGTTTCAGCCTCTGGTGGACCGAGCCATAGGCTTTGATGACCACCACTCTCACGCGAGTCTGAAGTACCGCTATATGATGAATGACTAAAGGGTATTAATTAGTATTAGAAACTTCTTTCTATATCATAAGCCAACGTTTCTCACTAAACTTACCTATCATACACAAGAGGAACATCCATGGTGTCCGAGGGATTGAATTTCTTTGGATCCAACGAGTTAACTGGGATTCCAGCGTCCTTTGTAGACTGGACAGTCAAATTCAAGATATCTCGAGTCAGTTGCCGAAATGCGTCTCTGGAGGAGCAACAGGGGGGGTAGCCTTGGGCGACTGAAATATGATCAGGATGGTCTTTCGATTGCAGGTTAGGTAGACTCGAAGAATGAGAATGTGAAGGAGGGTTAGATCTTTGTTGCTGGTCAGATCCAGGGATGAAATCTCCAGTAGCTGCGCGTTGTGGTTGTGAATTCTCCATATCTTAACTTTGTTTGTTTTTGGGTGGATGAGATGGAGAGTTCCTAGGCAACGCGTTGAGAAAACCAGTCACTCCTCATAGGCAGCGAATAAGAGACAGACTGGTGAATCTCTCAATAGAGGAATTAATTGAATTCAAAATAAGAAAGTAGAAGGATATCACAATAGCCATAAGGCTATTGATATCAACATGTGTTTTGATATTGTGGTGTTACGCGTAGGTTAGTATAGGGGGCCAGTAATATTAATAAACAATATCAGCCTAAGAAAACCTTTAGGTCCGGACCAGCCATAACGTACTGTGAGCGTAAGACCAGCTTGTACCACATCAACAGTTTTATATCTTTATATATTGTATGATAATTCCAGCACCCTAAGGAACCACCTATAATGGTTCCTAGCTCTTCTCTTCTAAAACTGTCCTGAGATGGTGGTGTAACTTCCAGTGTTGAAACAGTACATAGAGCAAACATCCAGCTTGCAAACTGTACTGAAAAAGCAGTGGGGTAATGTTTGAATATTTTCAAAGCAACCATATCTAGATTCTAGATAGCACAGTGGAAGCAGGTCAGTCTAGTTGCTTGGTCACTTAGTAGAAAATGAAGATGCATGAAGCTATTCCCTCAGTGTAAAGGAATATACTAGGATACAGCAGCCTAAATAGCTGTGATAGATATAGGTATAGCCAGAGACTTGTTCATGAATGATGGTTCCTTGATAGGGTATTCACAAAGGCATTGTCAGATCCCGGAGGTTCCCGAGGCCATCTTTGTCCAGTCACTATATTTGAGATGTTCTGAGGTCTTCTAGTTCAAATCAAGTAGTTAGGTTAAAGGTATCATCACTCTCCAAGTATATTATCAAAGTTGTGTCAAACTTGTTGAAGCTGCAAGTTGTTCACTCTGAGGTTGCGGTCAACTTCTGGGCTCACGTGACTTCCCGAACTTCAACGTCTTCAACGGCCACAACTTCATAAAAACATCATCCATCAGTCAACCCGCGCGAAGTCCCCTCGATCATTCTCCTTCTGCCGGCCTATTAATGCTTTGAGGTTTTCATCGTCACTATATCGATCCAACGCCATTTTCCTCCAGTCGTCCCAGTCCAGTTCTCCATCGGTACCACCGAGGGCACGTCGAAGTCCTTTGAATAGTCCCAGAAACCCATCCCAATCCGTGATAAAGTCATATCCACAACAAAACGCGAAATGATGCTGGATCCTACCGCTCCTCACAATATTGGCTAGCTCAGGGCGCCCTTTGGCTTCGAGCACCTGTGCAAAGAGAAGTTCTTCTTCGCCAGATGTGGTGACGCCGTCGTAGAAGTCTCCCACTGGGAAAAAGGCCATAGGGGAATTAAAGGCGATCGATTTTGGAGCCGTGTAAGCCCATTCCCAATCTATAATAGCTGTAACATTGTAGTCTTCATCAACAAGGATATGGTCACCTTTGTTGTCAGCGTGTTTCAGGTAGAAGTGTCCATCATCTGCAACACATTGGGAAGAACATATGGCATCGATGGAGTCCAAGAGAAAGAGATGGATAATATATGCATCGACCTCACGAGTCGCGTACATTTCATCTCGTAGAATCAGCCTCAGCGTCAATTGAATTGACTCCTTCAGGTATTCCTTCCTTGATGAACAAGGGCCAACAGCGTGTACCTCTTCATTGACACGCTCCGTTAACGATTCCCGAGCGAATGACACGATCACAGGCTCCCCTGGCCCACGTAAGGAACCCATTGACTCGAACGGGTATTTCTCCAGTTCAATAAAGGCATCGGCAACCTGGCTCATGATATTCTCCATTTGATTCTTCGAAGCGGTACCCCATTGTAATGACTTTCCCAGCATTTTTTCCATCAACACGTACCCTACACCTACGGTACTGTCGCCCTCCAGAACAAATCAAACACTTTCGGCGTCGGGATATTCAGGTGTTCAAGGAATTTCAGCGTATACACCTCGCTAGCTATGATGGCATCCCGAAGCTTCGGCGGAGGTGAGGTTGCATTCCATCGACGAATACGGGCTATCCAGCTCACGCCGTCATCAAACCGAAGTTCGACATGGTAATTCATACCGCCCATCACCGAGCTTTGGGTTGTCCTATCATACTGCAGGGGGTTGACGACCTGGCATGGCACTCCGTTGCGAAGAAGGCTCGCCCGGCAAACCAGAGCAGAGGTGTTAATTTTCTCAAAGAGCGTTCTCATTTCTTTTTCCTCTGCATTTCGAGCAGCAGGGTCATAGGCGGCTTCATCCTGGCAGTAACTTAGGCGACGATGGCTATCATATAGGATATATTTAGGAACTTACGTTCCACGTCGGGCACTTGTGGAATTCTCTTTCAACATGCTTAGAGCAGAGATGGCGCTCACATAGCGGGCACTCCCCATGTATTCGAACCGCAGGCTTCGAGCAGTCGTCGACGTCACAGTGCCAAATCGCCATCTGGACTCGTAATTTAAGGGTGGTTCAAATTCTTGGTATGGAGTAGACTAAGGTCTACCCTATTTATAACTGTTCATGCAAGCGCCACCATAATGTTGGATATCACATCCCCCTTGTAGGCGCACTAAAGCTAACTTGGGCCACGGGCCTATCAACCCTAGCATCTTCGTGATCTAATAGGTAATACGGAGTACCAAGAATCTCACGGCGGCAAAGCAGTTCACCGGCATCCGGTAGATCCATCTAATCAAGCGCATACTTGACATTTAAGGATACCCATATCATTGGCTAAACTACTCATGGCCATACAGCACTGTGCCGCACCCTGATAGACAGGCGATTTCGCATACACGTTGCAAATACCTTACAACAGGTACCCGTCAAGCTTGTCGAATACTCATACACCGTGAAATAGGCCCTTCCCAAGAGGCAACTTTCATTACCTACGCACCGTTTTACATCAGGGCTGCCTAGGGAAATCTATTGCTGCCCAGTCAATTCCGTCCTAGTCCATTGAAGCTGGCAATATTATCCCGTACTCCCCTTTCAATTGGATGATATCGTCCTGTGGCGAAGAGGATTACTTGTCGTTCTGTCGTTTATCCACGGGGGTTTAGCTTTGAGCCTCTCTGGAGCTGGTTAGCGAGTTAGGGTGGTAGTTGTAAACATTTCGGCAACGGGAAAAAGGAAATTCTCTCATGATATTGCTTATATTGTCCGGTCTATGGAGTAAATACTACGTGGTGGTGGTAGTCCGTGCAGACTCTACAGAATATAATTGAGTTTTATCCTTAGCTGTCGGAAAAAAAGGCGAACAATGGACCATGATTTGTTTTGCCTTTGCCCTCGTATATTTAACGACCATTCACCAATCACTGAGTAGCTCTTACTAATGTAAATATTTAATTAAGCATTGGTATAAGCGTAGCTATAAACCATAGGGCCGGACTAAGGACGACCTAATTTTGACACATAACTATATATTCCTGCACGACATCACGATGCGCCGCAAATTACAACTACCATTATAGCTACAACCATCACAAACAACCATCAATTTAACGCTGGAAAATGGTTGAACAAGCTGTACTCCGTGCCGGCGGCGTAATGAAGCAAATTCCTGTGGTTCAGCCCCGGCTGCCTACCCTAAGGATCCCGATGCCGGCCCCGATCGATGCATAAGATCCTCGTCTTGATAGGTATATTTAGGCCAGGAACTCAGGGATTAGTTGCAGATCAATCCATGCTGTGCTGACGCCTCCGCTGATCGGCTCGTCAGCACTACCGAAGCTAAATCAGGTTGCGCTGTATTGAAGCGTCTGCGCTACGCGGGCGACGTCGCCATGAATCCTTTGAATCCAGCACAATTGTCCAATTGGCCCTGAGCAGCATATACAGCGAAGGAAATTGACTCACGCATAGACTCGTATATGCCTTGTCCATGTCACTCGGAAATCCGGTGTCCGTGTCCATTCAAACGACCTTTTCGTGCCATATCTAACCGTACGACCCGATCTTGAGATACCTCGCCGATATATATACCTAGGCGGCCCGAGGACGGCCCTCCGGTTTGTTAGATCAATTCGATTCTCAGGGTCGCAAGCAATATGACTGAAGAATATTATGATATCGTGATTGTTGGTGCTGGGCCGTTTGGGCTCTTTTTATCTCTCTGTTTGTCTCGGTGGGGGTATAACGTGAAACATATAGATAACCGAGTGGTCCCCACCAAAACCGGCCGAGCAGATGGAATACAGTCTCGTTCCATTGAGCTGCTACGAAACCTTGGCCTGAAGAGTCAGTTGATGGCCTACAAGCCCGCGCGAGTCTACGATGTTGCTTTTTGGGACCCTCTCCCAGGCGGGAAGGGAATACATCGGACAGGGAACTGGCCCAGCTGCCCGCCATCTATCGACACGAGATATTCGTTCTCCGTTCTATTACATCAAGGCAGGATCGAAAAGGTATTCCTAGACGAGATAGCGAAGTGTGGAACGACAGTAACTCGACCAAGTACGATCGTCGGTTTCCGGAACGACGGAGCTGACCCGATCTATCCTGTGTCGGTTACCTTGAAGGGCCTGGACACGAACGTTGAACAGACCGTGCGGACAAAATATTTGGTTGGTGCCGAAGGTTCTCGAAGTTTTGTAAGGGAGAAACTAGGCATCAGGATGCAGCATAAGGACCCCATCGCTCATGTGTGGGGTGTTATGGATGGAGTCATCCGGACTAACTTCCCGGATATCAGGGTATGATATAAATTCCGATATGTACAGTACGCTACCGTGTTGCTAATAGAGGTACTAGACAAAATGTACTATCCATGCTGATAGTGGCTCAGTCATGGTAATCCCAAGAGAAGATAATATGGTTCGCCTATATACCCAGATTTCTTCGTCAACAGATCCGGACTGGGATCCTAAACGAACAGCTACAGTCAAGCAAGTGCAAGAGGCCGTGAAGCAGGCATTCAAGCCCTATCATATTACCTGGGATACAGTGGAATGGTATTCTACATACCCCATAGGGCAGGGTCTCGCAGAGAAATACAGTTTGGACCAGCGTATATTCATCGGCGGAGACGCGTGCCATACCCACAGTGTAAGTGTTTATATTCAAACCTCAGCCGGTGAATACATTTATTGATCACTTTTCTTTCTGATCAGCCCAAGGCTGGCCAAGGGATGAACGCTGGCTTCCATGATGCATTGAATCTGGCGTGGAAGATCCATCTTGTCGAGGCTGGATTCGCTAATCGCTCAATTCTGGAAACTTATGAAGGGGAACGGAAGTTCATAGCTCAACAACTCCTTGACTTCGATGCCAAGTATGCGAAGTTGTTTTCCCAGCGACTATCCTCGATCGAACCTGGCTCGAAAGAAGCCAATGAGTTTACCGAGCTGCATAAATCAGCAGCCGACTTCACCAGTGGTCATGGCATCGTATATCCTCGAAACGTCTTCAATCAAGGCCATAACCACCGAGCCAAATCACCGCTATTTATCGAGAGTGGAAAAGGGCTATTGACTGGCCGTGCTTTCCCTCCGGCTACCGTTACTCGCCACTCCGACGCGTATCATATAGCCCTCGAGCAAGCAATCCCTATGAACGGATCGTTCCGAATTTTTATCTATGCCGGAAACCCCAATAAATCCAGAGCTGCCTTGGCCGATTTTTGTCGGAATCTCGAGGAACCATCCAGTTTCTATTCCTCATACGCGACACCGGAACTTTTGCCTGATCCATACTTTGAGCAGCATAACCCTCATTCGCGATTTTTCACTCTTGCCGTAATATTTATGGCGGAGAAGAATGACATCGACGTTTCGAGGCTGCCACCCCTTCTCAAAGCATACCGTCACCATATCTACGTTGATGGCATCATCCACAAGAAATCCTCCGATGAAACGGGTTCTGCTCACAGAAAGGCCGGATTTGATGCTGATAAGGCCGGTGTTGTTGTTGTACGCCCTGATGGACATGTTGCCTGCTCAGTCCAACTGGAAAGAGGGAGTGGCAGTGTCGACGCTCTAGACAAATATTTTGCTACGTTTACGTCGAGAGCGTTCAATAGAAACCTCATGACTGCAAATTTATGAAAATGCCTTTTGCTTTGTTATGGATAGTCAAGTTCATCTCCCCATATCTCCAGTTAATTATACAACAGATTGCAATCGATAGTTAACCTAGCGCGCTGGTAGATAGTCTTTTACAAAATACTACGTTTTTATCCTTACATCTGCATTGCTAAAGGCCAAACCGCTTTTTTACGTATGTCGCGCTTGCAGAGTATACCGATGAGATAGGCAGATAACTTCATCTACCCTTGAGGAAGGAAGTCTAGGACTAGCGCTCCATTGCAACGGCATTTTAGTATCTGCCTGCCGCCATCTGGATATCTTTAATTGCCAATACTCATCGCATTTTGCTAAAGGTCCCTACCTCGTGCGCCAGGTTGCTCATGAGCAGCAACGCAGGTATTCATCCCTCAAGTTTTATACTTCTATGGCAAATCGCTTATTCCATCTAAAAATATCGTAATTACCGGAGATCCACTTATTTAGCTCCCGTACCTTATCTTTATTCTTATTCTCTTCTTCTTCTTCCTAATGTCTTTGCTACTCTATTGTTACTCTACATATCCTATCGTCCTAGACTTTATTTAGGAGGAGAAATTAGCCTGTCATCTCCGTTGGGGGCTGAGCGCTACTGACGAGCCACAATTATCGAGTAAGAAATTCATCTTGTTGGCTTAGGATGGTGCGATGTCTACCTACTTCTCAATCCTCTTGCAATACCATCCGCTATGAAGCCTGAAGATGCTATACGTCCAAGTTTTGAAAAAAGCCAAAGCGTCTATGAGCAAGGCTTTTGTATTTGGACAGGGCTTCACAATCGCGCTCGACAGGAACCCAGCCTACCCCGAATTTGTTTCCATCTGCAGGCCGCAGTTCAAAATATACCTCCCTTGGTCCATGATCTGGATCTAAAGTGTAGATATAATTGTCTCTACGCGATCGGAACGTCAATTTGGGGAACTTCGCGAGGGCAATGCAAGATAGCTCATGTTGAAAAAAGTCTTGAGCTACCAGTTTCCATCAACCACCCGACGCAGCTTGTTCTCTCTGAAAGCCGGGAGACGACCTATCAGAAATGGTTTCATCACGAAGATAATCACCTTTCTGTGCTAATATTGGCATGGAGCTACATATTCTCAGCGCGTTGGGTCGAGCTCATACCTGGAGCCGAGATGACCTATACTGAGAGGCACGTGGAATATGGCAACAACAAGGGAGACGAACGAGTCAAAGTCATGGTGGATGTAGGAGATATCAACGATGATGCAGCCAGATGGTGGGCAGCTGTTTTGTCTCCTAGTGAGGGATGGCGAGCTTCCATAACAATAGAGCGAACAAAATTCCGATCACCTTGGTCGACTGCTTTGGAAACAAGGGCGAAATTTACCCTTTCCTGCCACAAACCTGTCTGCCATACGTCAACTACCGCACCTTCATTCATCACTGCAGTTCGTTTTCTCGCAGACTACTGCAATCTACACAACATTGTTGACCAAACCCTAGCGGCTCTCTCTTCAACTGTGTTTCTTCCTTTGTTAATACGAAGAAAACCCCGAGATCATTTCCGAAACCCGATTCCCATAAGCAGCAAAGGCCGAAGCCACCCATATCAGAGACAACCGAGCAGAAGTCACCCAGCTTTATACTAGAGCAGATAGTGCCGGAGCTGGACAAACTATTAACATTAAGTTGCAACGTATGGGGTCTACGCTCTCTTTTGTCGAGTGTATTTTATGAAGTTGGCATACCTTACAATGCCGTAAGCCCATGGCTGCAATCTACGTTAGCTGTTCTCGACTCCGTGAAGGACGACCATCGACTTGCTCGTATTCTGATGAACCGAGTCCCCCAAATTTCTTTCCTTTGGCTCGGTGGTACGATTGTAGGTACTCATAAAAGAGTCCTCCAGGATGGTCGATTCGGCCTGATACCGATTGAACTCCATGCTGCATCATGGTGTGATGTCACACAATCATTTTCACAGGAACCTGTGTCCCAACCGCCAATATGCGGGTTGGCATTGGGATTGTCGAAGTGGTAAACTGGAACATCCTCTATGCGTCAAAACCACTATATCTGTCCATTCACCGGCACAGTACCCGGTAATAAATACGCCCATCAGATACGAATCTCTGGATCTCGAGGAAGAAACGACGTCAGAGAATGCTACACGAAATATTTTTGGCTGGCTCCGAACTGATGGATATCCCCCACGGGAACGAGGAATAAGTAACCACGAATGGGTCAATCTTGATGAATCTGATAATGAATCCCCACCCCCGAATGAACCACCAAGAAGCCATGCAGCCCCGGCTTCGAAAGCTGTAGAAGATTGGATACAACAGAGCATTCCGGTACCTGACTCAATAATGTATTCTTCACAGATTTGATCCTTCCTGCAATCTGCCCAGGCATCCGATGAGCAGGCAAACATTCAGAGCCACAAATGATAGTGAGGTCACTATATTTCTGATTTAATAACCAGCTGGCCGTTGCTCTAATTCCCTGTAGTTTAGAGGAGGGGAGTTGTTGATGTATTATCGTTTTACATATCCTTAAACGCAGCAGTACTGAAGAAACGAGCAAGTCGCCAAACACGGCTATGCGTTGGAGAATAGGTTCCTGCTGTTGCGTTGGTGGTATATGTTTTTTCTAATCCGTGTCTCTATCACGCATTAGCCATGCTCCGATTCCGCAAACTGTTGTTGGCGAGAAAGTAGAGGGAGCGAGGTTGGGGTTTTATAGACCTAGTTATCGGCTGACTAGCAGTCTGAGACTAAACCTTCGGTCCCTCTATCAAAAACATCTCCCACTACGACCAAACACCACGTCAACAACGCAGGCTATCAACCACCGCTTGAAAAGATGTTTACTCTTACTCTCTCCGCACAGGCGTCAGGGTACGTGTACTTTTCCCTCTCATCCCCCTGAGACAGGAGGATTTGGACAGCGTTGTATCATCCCCTCCGCGGGTTTACTACCCCTCCATATCAGACACCCAGGCCTCTTCTTCACTCATCACGAAAGAGTCGAGCTATGTTTACTGGATGAATCTTGCATGAAATAACCGAGAAACCTGAGTGCATAGGGTCACCGATATCCGTCCAAAAGATACCCCCGAAGATCCATACTACTACACGTTCAAGGTCCAGTGTACGTCCTGCCGCGAAGTACACCCCAACTGGGTGAACGTCAGTCGATTTGTGAGTTTACTATTTAGTTTCTGACTGCAGTATTACGGCTCTTTACTTTCTCTGTTTCGCCTCTTTGCGTAAGAGCTGAGGGAAGGTTAGCTCTGGATCGCGGTGGACGCATGCAAGTGTCTAAGCGATGCATTTGCCACATATAACCTGTCTACTTTACGATACCTGCTAGAATACCAAGCTCCATCGTTGTCTGATCGCCTTTACTAACAGTCTGATAGGAGCAAAACGAAGTACCCGGGAGCAGGGGGGAGGCCAACTTCGTCTGGAAATGCAGACTCTGTGGGGTGAGTGGATGATCAGTTCTGCATACACATCAGCCCCATAGTAAGGCAGAAATGACAGCAAGGCCTCACTTTGGGATGTTGGAACTGTGGAGAATTCATGATCTCGAACTGACATCTCCGGTGCCGGTAGAGGACTCACTCTGCCAATATAACTACCGAGCCAATGGCGTTCGATGAATCAAAAGAGTCGAAGGGCAAGGGTCAGAAGATCATCGAATTCGATTGTCGTGGCCTGGAATTCACAGAGTTCAAAGCAGATGTAAGGTCTTCCCGGTCAAACGTGGGTGATCGCTTACATGCTACATTCTCTTACTAATCCATAATATAGGGTCAATGGGAGGCAAAGGGTAAAGAGTCCGGGACAAAATTCAGCGAGGTGAGCCTTGAAGAAGGTGAATGGTATGATTTCGACGAGAAGCAAGGCGAGGAGGTGAGCATCACCGAAGTCAGCTGGGAAATCCGCCGAGCCTGAGAGCAGGGAGACATACCTCCATGAAGGCAGACAGTCCCGTCTTGCCAACGATGATGGAGAGAGTGTCCTAGCTGTAGTATTTTACCACCATGATTGTACTTTTATCTTCTTTCTTCTCCTCATTTTGCTGTGTATCAAGGAAAGCGCAGGCCATATTTATATCGCCGCTTTAAAGTCAACATGCGTATTACATAATCGTGATAAAACGGCACTTGAGCCAACCGGATAAAGCTAAAAATCAAATGATCGCGGAAGCTGAAGCTCGAAAGACGTTTTGAAGGAGGAAGAAACGCAGCAGCAGCAGTCAGCAGAAGATCAAGCGCCGTTTGACTGGACTGCACTTCTCCTGTCAGCCGTGATTTTTGCTATATACCGAAGAAGAGAATAGGCGCTTCCTCGAGTCCCGCAAAATGAGTGTAAGTGTCTGCCCGCTAGCTCTTGGGTCGTGTGGGATACCGAACCACTAATGTCAATTTCATGAATAGTTCGTTCCTCTCAACCCGCGGCCTATGGTGCAGTCTCTGTACGTGTTTATTCCTATCTGAATCGCCTTCCATCGTATAACTATCCCTGATGCTTGGTCTGGCGCAAATCATGATGCGCTCCAATCATTTTTCGTCCTTACGCTACCATATTTGAAATTGATACTGCACCTACAACTTCTATATCCTCAGTGATACCAGAGCCGTGCCTTTTACCCATGATATACTCATATGAGGAATGCGGATAGATGGGAACGGTGGATTCGATTGAGTACACTTGATACTAATGTGTGCTCTTGATATTAGAATTAACGAGGATATCGTCGTCCGTCTAAAATGGGGCCAAACCGAATACAAGGGCAGACTTGTCAGCGTTGACTCATACATGAACATCCAGCTATCACAGACAGAGGAGTTTATCGATGGGAAGAATACCGGTACTTTAGGCGAGGTTCTGATACGGTCCGTATATCAGCAGTTATCCTATCCATGCTACATGTAAACCCCAGCTAACGCAAACATTTCCTGTCATAGATGCAACAATGTTCTCTGGATAGCGAACGCAAAGGGCGTGGAAACCAAGGATGTCCAGATGGCTGATTCCTGATGATGAACTTTTGCCTTTCCTGCCGAGGGGCCATTCTGGAAACAATAATGCCGACGATCTACCCTTTTTTCTCCCTGTCTTATCTATTCCTTTGCAGTGGAATGGCGAATGGAGTTTGAGTCGAATTAAATACAAAGCCTCGGGGGACAATGAAATAGTCAAATGAAACCATACATTACGCGAGCCCATCCTACCCGACGATCGATAGGAAGAATGCCGGACCTGTATGTGGCGGTCTGACCTGGGAGGTAAAGGCGGCCGCAGATGCAAGTTCTGAGAGGCAGACTGGCGACTACATATAGTCAGTATGCAAGAGCTTTACCTAGGACCTGTTGCTGCTGGCGATATGGTGTTATTAATACTCCTTGTTTGCATACTCCATGTTCTCTCTAGCATGGGCGCTTTTAATGTCCTGCATCTCAGTCCCGGTACCACCATATTTCTTGCAATCCCTCTACACCGGCCCACGAATTAGATCGTAACATCTCACTCCACTACTCAGGAAGCTGTAACTAAGTAATAGAAGTTGATTCGGCGTTGCAGGCAGCCAGAGAAGAGGTTACTGGACGACTGGTTCCTATGTCTCCCATTCGGCACTAGTCTTTTTGTCCCTTGTGGTCCAACACCTAACAACATGCATAAGGGGAGGACAATAACATCGCCAGACTAAACCCCGGAGTCGCAATACCCCGACTCTAGATGAAGGAGCAGAGAAGAAAAGGATGCATATCAAAACTCGCACCCGTAACATTCTTCACTTGTAGGCTTAACTTGGACCAATCAGGTCATTATTTATATAATTTTCTATCTTGGCATGAGTGGGAATGAATGGATATACGTACCCCTCAGACAACGGGATTCATTACTTCAAGGCCTCACTCCTTCTTCTGCAACTGTACAAAGGAGATAGTTAGAGGCCTCGTAACCGGTTCTACGAATGTCAAGGATGGCCGACCCGTTAAGCATTACCGCCTCGATCGTGGGGATAACCGCGGTAGCCCTCAAGGCGACGAAGTCACTCTACGAAATGGTGAAAAGATACAAATGTCGTGACACATCATTACGGAGGCTTCAGAATGAGCTGGAGGATTTTACTAATATCTTAAACTCGTTAATCGAAATGTCTGATGCTGAGCCGTCAGTGTTGAAGCTTCTTGAAGGTCCTATTGAGCGATGCAGCCAAGTATGCTCGGAGTTTGAACAATCGATGGAAGAATTTGCTAGAAAACCAAAGATAGGGATTCTAGATTGGACAAAGATGGAATTTAAGAAGGGTGATATCAACGAATTCATAGACACCATTGGAGGGTATAAGTTAACTATCTCAGTCGGCCTGGGCATCATTACCTTGTAGGTCTGCAACAATTCCGTTATATATGCCTGAGACCCTACTGACCTTTCCTAAGGCGTTCCTCCACAAAAGTCTCATCCCGGGTTCTTCAAGAATTTGATGAGAAGATAAAGGACACAGAATTTCTCCTTGAGGTCCATTTACAACGAATTGATGAGAAAAGGGCGCAAATACTTGAAAAAAATATCCCAGCCAACATGAACTTAGACCTGAGAGACGAGAGAGAAGTGACGAAACAATGTCTTCGTGTTTGCGAAGACGCGAAGTCATATATGGATTCCTTAACGAATCGGGAATCGTTTCTACTACGAGAGGCGTCCCAGGCGCCCCAAGACTCTGCTGACGATGATACTCAAACCCTCTTCGAAGCGCAGTTACTAACACGCCAAGCTCTAGAGGGGAATCGAAATAACTTTGCAGAGATTATCGGCATCCTTCAAAAACGCCTAAGGGCCCTGGTCCTGGACGAGGGCCCCGGAAACGACAGGGAGAGAATACGGCTTCAGGAAGAGATCAGTATTTCGAAGCAGTGTCTTGAAGTGTGCAAGGTGGCCAACGAAGTTTCCCATCAAAAGATATACAGAGTCGGCGAAGTGGTTGCCGAGGGTAGCAGTGACCAGGTAGTGGTGAATACCTTTGCGGGCTTATTTATGGTCAAGAAAGCCTCGGCTAAAGACAAATCGGCGCAGTTGGTCGGTTCAATGTCTGATGAAGCTCTTAGAAATCTGACCGACAAACGATATAACAGTCGATTCGGAACTCCAGTCGTCGAATCCGATCATTTCGAAGCCAGGACCAAGAGCCCAACTCCTGACTTGGAAAGTCAGAGGAATAAATATGCCCGTTCATCACAAACCGAGCAGTCTCCCAGCCCAAAGCCGCAATATGATAGGGCAACTTCCAACGAGGTGCGAAAACGGGGCGAAGGACGGCGTAGCCGGCTTCGGGGGGACTTGGACATGTAACTTTTTAGGGCAAAAAGGCATGATTTCATCGTTGGTCCAGAGCCAGGCAGGGATCCTGGTTGGTGCCTAGACCTGGATTGTCTGGCTACTCCTCAGAGTGGTGGCCAGCTACTATATGAATTGCAGTTCATCCTGGCATTAGGCTCCAGCAACGTACGGGGTAAGCTATAGAATATATAACTTGCGTCCAGACTCACGTTTCCATGACCGAGTGTGGAGTTTCTCAGTTTTGCTGCCGGGCGGCTGGCAGGAAACGGCCTATTTTGTAGTTTTGTGACGTAGAGAAGACTTTGATCCAGGGGTAGTGGTACAACAGCCAGTGACAGCGCATGGCATAACGGCGTTCGTGAAAGGCCATTGGCTAACAAGCACCAAAGGGCCCCTGGCCTCGTCATTGCCCCGGCCTCTTATATAGAATTATCGCTTACCAGCCCTCTTTTCATCTCAGGCAGAAACGAGGGGCGAAGGCTGCTCGCTAATACCTCCTATATGAACCTATGGTAGATGGCAAAACAAAGATGGTTATCAGTACAACACCTTTAGTCTCACGACTCATGTCCACGCTCGTCTCGCGCCCCAAAGATAGACCTACAGAGGTAGTGGCTGATGATGGCGATAAGCTGGCCTCACAGCAAGAGGGAGTGCTGGACCGTGTTTTCCAGCTAACGCCAACGCCTTCGGTTATTTTGGACCCTTCCTTTCGCATAGTCGAAGTCTCGAAGAGCTATCTCGACTTTTTCCATTTGGCGCGGGAAGATTGTATCAATTCCAGCATTACTTGCATGGACTCGAGCAAAATTCCACTAAGCGATGGCAAATTACTGCGAGAGGCAATTGATCGAGCGGTCAGCATTAGAGCTATAAACACAGTGGATGAACAGCAGACATCCCCGGCTACGTGTCGTTCAAGCTTCCGCATCGTGCCTGTTTTTGAGCACGACGACTCGCTGGCTTATGTGCTTGTTGAAAGATGCAGTAAGAAGGAACGGACAGTCGACGACGTCGTCAGGGAGCAACTCGATGCCCCGGATACCTATCGCTCTCTGGTGGATAGCGTCCAGGGAATTGCAATCTTTATGTTGAACACTAAAGGCTGCGTCGAGACGTGGAATAACGGCGCTCGCATGCTGAAAGGCTACCGCGCGTCAGAGATTATTGGAAAACATTTCTCTATATTCTATTCTCAGGAGGACCAGGCCAAGAACAAGCCGGGAAAGGAGCTGCAGAAATGCCTTCAGGAGGGAAGACTTGAAGACGAAGGATGGCGCCATCGCAAGGACGGCTCCAGGTTTTGGGCAAACGTTGTGATAGCCCCTGTCTTCCATCATGGCACCCATATTGGCTTCAGCAAAGTCACCCGCGACATCACAGAAAGGAAATCGATAGAGGCCCGCATAATATCCGCCTACGAAGGGGCGTCGCATCTCAAATCCAATTTCCTAGCTACTATGAGCCACGAAATCCGCACTCCGTTGAACGGACTCTGCTCTGCTTCGGCTCTCCTGAGAGATACCCGGCTTACTGACGAGCAAAATAATTACGCACAAATTATAGCTGACAGTAGTTCCGTACTCCTGCAAATCATGAACGACATTCTCGACTATTCTAAGATTGCTTCAGGATCATTTTCAATTAACACAGATATAATACAGGTTCGCGAGAGCGTTGACACTTGTATACGCCACTTCCAGGACGTTGCAAAACCTGGCGTTTTGATCCATACCAGTTTTTCTCCCGATATCCCCGAACGACTGAAAGGTGACCCCGTGCGGTTCCGTCAGATACTACAAAACTTGGTCGGAAATGCGGTCAAGTTTACTGAATGCGGCTCTGTCACCGTCAAAGTAACCGTGCCACATCGGGATAATGCGACGCATTGCATTCGCACAGAAATCGTTGATACGGGCATAGGCATCAGCGCAGACTCGGCCAAACTGCTATTTGAACCTTTTACCCAGGTACGCCAGCTGGGAGGGAAACAGTACCAGGGAACAGGGCTCGGTTTAGCCATCTGCAGGAGCCTGGTCGAGATGATGGGAGGGACGATCAGCTACGAGCCCAATCACGATATCGAAGGCAGCATCTTCCGGTTCACTCTGAACCTTCGAGAGGTAGAGCTACCGCAGGAGGTGCACAGGGAGTCAACTCCTCCAGGGATGACTCCACTAGAAGAGATCAAGTCCATCTCTCCAGCCAAGCAGCTTCTACTGGTTGAGGACAACAACATCAACCAAGCGGTGATACTGAAAGTGCTGAATGCGCTGGGCTTTAAAAGAATAGATGCTGCGTGTGATGGCGAACAGGCAGTATCGATATTAAAACAGAAACCATTTTCCTACGATGTCGTTCTTATGGACATCAATATGCCGGTGATGGACGGCGTCACGGCCACAGGGCATATTCGGAACACTTTAGGCCTCGACGTCCCCATTGTCGCGTTGACCGCGAATGCATTAAAGGGGGACGCTGAGTCGTTTTTGTCAAAAGGGATGAATGGCTATGTTCCGAAGCCCGTGGATCGCGGCCGCCTGATCGAAGTTCTGTTGAGCATCCTCGTGTGATTTATTCGGGAGGAACGGCCGGCAGGTCGTCTAGCGATATCGACAGTCAGTCAATATCGGTCTACTTATGAAATCGCCATAGTTATCAACTATTCAGTTCCAACCTTTTTAAGCTTATTCCGATAGAAATGATACCATTGACATATATTTATTAATAAATTAATGCTAACTTATAACTTAGCACTCCATACTATATGGCGCCAATTATATTTCCGCACCTTTAATCTATTTAAAGGAAACGGCTTAGAGTCGAGACTTCACCGCATACGTATATCCAGCGCACCTCGGGAGCATCCTTAGAGAGCATATAGAGAGCATATAGAGGGTATACTTCAGCCCTATCTAGGTACTCTATCGTACCATAATGTTGCATAGTTGTAGATGTTCGAAGTGGTGCAAATAGCCATATATCCCAACTAGGCTTAGCGCTTACATAATATAGTGCCCTTGACCAAAAAGGGCGCGTCCATCCACGGACATTCGCTTTCTTCTTCCTCTTCTTCTTCTTCTCAAGCCCTGTTCTTTTCACATGTAGGGACGGTGATGAAGTACTATGCCGTGACATACAGAGAATGTACCACCGAGCTGAAAGGCTCAGGGAGGAACGTCTCTCCGGTATTCTGAGTCCTGAGTCATGTGCGAAGTTATAGTCTCGGGGCTACTCCCGCGAGCTTCAGGGCTTTTTTCCGATGACGTCACTATATTCCTCCTTCATAGCTGCTATTCCTCCTTCATAGCTGCTATACAACTGATATATCCAACCTCGATCTCATCCAAGAGTCGTCGTAAGAGGTTTATGCAAGTTCTGTACTCCGTATTTGATTCTCTATTCTAGAAAGCGTACTTTGCTCTAAGCTAATCATCTTGCTCGATAATCATATGTCGAGGAAGCCAGCTCCATACAAAGACCACAATGACAAGTCACTAATATTAAGAAAATATCTAGATATCCTGCGATATAGCAGCTGGCAGGCAGTTACTAAAGAGTTTCCTAACAAGAATGGAACAAAAGGGCCACATTACATCCAAAGGTCGGCACACATGCCAGAGCATATGACGAACACCTGGTCTAGTCAATGCATACTGCACATTCATCAATTACACTGCAGCCTGCATGCTCGGGATTTATCAGGTCGAAATGTCATGTTGCTGCCTTGGAGGCGAAGACATACACAGCGTACGTCGGCCTCAGCCACAGATGACATTTTCGGATGACAGTCCATCGAGTAAGCCACATTTATAATGATTCTGCAGACGGACTCCATCGACATGTAAGCCAAGCTCGGTAGTAAGGCACTCCTCGCCAAAGGAAGAGGCAAAAGTAGCTGCATAGAAAAGCGAGCGTGGAAGCTGTGATGATCTACGTCATTTGCTTTTCAGGTTCGGGTAAATTGTTGGTGAAAACACGACAGAGAGGATAAAAATAGCCGGGCTATAGTTGCCCTGTCTGTGGAATACATTCTGATCTCTGATATGCCACGCCCTGAATCGGAATATCGACGGAAGATGATGAGCATGGTGAAGGGCAGGCGATGGATGTAGAGGTAAAGTGAATAGGTCATGAACGAAACCCCAGCTAACTATAACAATACACCCCAGCGAGCATCGAAGCACGGTGACGTCCGAAGAGATAGCTAACTAATCGAAATGCATCCTTCTCTGCCCACCGATATACTCAGCGATCCCGGTCCCCGGCAGTGCACGTATGATGCTTGGTCAACAACACCATGTCTACTGGCTCTCCCGCCCAGGGGCCGTTGAGATCCCTGACGCCAGCCGAAATACACCGAAGTGCCCCCGTCGAATCGCAAGATGGGCTCTGAAGTCGGTCTAATTTCCGTCCAGAGACGGGCGGTACGAAAGAGCCAATAATGGCTGCTGGCTTCGATATCTTCCTCCCAACGAAAGCAGATCCGTAACTAACTCACATCTGGGGCATGAATTGCAGCTCGAAACTAAGGACTCCATACGTCAGTGGTACTATTTCTATTCTAACCTGGAGCGAAGCATGTTTGCTTTTTCGCCATAATGTTTCCTTTTCCCAAGCCGCCACAGATGCGTGAGATGAAGATGAATGATTGGGTTTCCATCACGCAACCCGCAGAAACTGAATTCATATTATATGCACTCTTCGGGTTTTGAAAGTGTTTCGTCGTCAGGCCCCACGGATTCGCATGGCATCGAGTCAAGCATGGCGGGAAGTGATACTGTGTGCGTTTCACGCAGCACACAACCTTCGGCATGGGACAAGGTCAGGAAAGGATAAATCTTGGTTCTTCCTCCTATTCGATGCCTCCCCACTCATTCGTCAAAATCGCTCAATGCAGCGTGTGACCTGATCAGCGGCTTTGCAGGCAAAAGCAAAGGAAGAAGAAGAGAGAGGCAGCCTTTAGTCGGGTGCGCCACACACGTCTCTTTCAGAGGGGTACTCCGTACGAGAGCGTGAGAGGCCCGTCCGGAACTCACGAGGGACAGGCGCCTCTTTCGTTGCTTTTTTCCCTTCGCAGTTCCTTCTCCAGCTAGCAGAGGCAGAGGGAAAAAGACGGGGAAAACATTGCGTCTCAGCATTCGCTGGTATACCGGGGCCGAGCAGGGCTGGCAGCAGGGCAGGGATAGGCGGAAGATGAGGATCCCTCAGAAGTAAATTGGACCCCAGGAAGAGAAAAAAAAACCAGAGGGGAGCATCATTGCAGTAGTGTGCTTTATCTGCATGAGCATGAACATCTGCATGGATAAGCGGAAAGCCTGCATCGACATATCCAAACGCCCACACTCCGCAAACAGGCAAGGGATAGAAGGCAGACGGACTCCGTACGCGCTCACACATGCATGGAGACACGATTCCGCATCCACACACACACAGCGTCCATCGCTGTATATTAGAGAGTCGATATAAGAGGCCTACTCGTCGTCGGTATCCATATTTTACGCATTTCTTCCTTTTTGCCGTTCTGAACATTCCGCAAAAAAATAGGGTTTTTTATCCACTCCTATTACTCGGCGGTTCGGGCACTCGTACTCTTCTTGTGCGTGGTGGACTATCGCCGCAAGTGACTTCGATACTATTTGCGTACGGGCTAGGTTCTAGTTTATTTAACTAGTTGTTGGATCCCTCCTGTCGGATCAGTACTCTGCAGTCACTCCTTTTCGTCGAATACATCTATACCTGGTCTCCTGAACATACTCTTGAATCCGCTTGAACATCTATACCAGGCCTCTTGAACATACTCTCGAACACTGTCTTGACATCTATACAACACCGGCATCTATAAACGGTTCAAAAATTGCAGGAGACACCTCGACATAGACGATAACGCTGTCCATACGCTCGCGTGCTCACATCCCAAAACAACATCCGTATCAAAAGTCGATAGACTAGACATAGAACGATAGTCAGACCAAAAAACACACACCATGCCGTTCACATCTCGATTCGTGGAGCTCTTAGATGCAGACCACGATCGTGTATCATCAGAAGACGACGTCCGACTCGACGAGATCCTAGCAGAGTGCGAACGACGGAGTAGCTCGCGCGCATCCACTTCCTCATCTTCAGTCTCGTCCTCATCCTCGTCCTCGTCCAGCAAAGAAAACATCAGCACTGCAAAGGAACCAAGACGGAAATCAAGCACACGAGACAAGCTACGACGGATGTCATACTTTGGGCCGCTGAAATGAAGAGCAGACGAAAAGTCCTACTTCCATACTTCGTTCACTCACGATATCTATGAATGCGCCCGTCCACCAATTTCGATTCGCGCTTTACGACTTTCTTCTTCTTCTACGGCTTATTGGCGGTTTCTATCTATAAAAGCCATCCCTTTTTTTCTCTTCTCATGATCAGGATTCACACTTTCTTCCATGTGCGATTTGATGGGTACACTGCATGCTTCCACGACTCCCGAGACCACGACCTCTGTATAACTCCAATGTTTCTACCCTACCTTACTGAAATTGTAATATCTTTTTTTCAGACCGAGATACCCCTTTTGCCCCTTCGAGACCGTTCCTCTTCCCATATTTTCTCCCTCACTTACTAGATAGTGAAGAAAAACATCGGAAATTACTTATATTCCACCCGTTCCACCCGTTCCAGTCATCATACCGTCTCTCTGATCTCGATCTCCCCCGCCGAACTATTAGATACTTACTTCCAGCCGTGTACATCTGACTGGTGACTCGGGCCCGTACTCCGTGCTCCCAAGGGGAAAACGGTAATCAGTCATCTGACTTAAATTGAATTTTCCGCCGTTTTTTAGTCTTTTCGCTGGGCCTCAGCGACCCTCCATCACGGCGAGACCAGTGTATTTCCCCACACGACGGAGGAATGACACACGGGCTGGAAGACGGCGGATGGGATTACCAACGCTCGTCTTCGTGTTCCGAAATTGCCCCTCGTCGCCATCGATCTGTGTTCTGGCCAGAGAGAGACAGAAAAAAAGGGGCTGCCTCTCGGACCCGTCAGCGACCTCGGACCCTGCGCGGCCTCAGCTTACTCGACGGCGGACGAGTAAGGAGTAAAGGATGCCCTTCTGGGGTTTCACCGGCTGCACAGGGAAGACGGTCTTAACCTCTCGACTAGTCCACCCCCGTCGACGCATCCATGGCAATAGTTGAGTCTGCTATGGCGCATCACTTCTAGAATCGACGCTCACGGCGATGCAAGACAGCCTGTTGATCGCGCTCCACTCTGTTCCGAGGGCGTTGTCGAGGTACCCGATCCATAACCAGCCATTTGCCCTGTGGACAAGTATCTATGCCGAGGGTCAGTCTTTGGCCTTAGTAATAGGTCCACAGGATGTTGAGGATTAGGTAATATCTACCCCTGAATCGCACAGTCTTGATCGTAATATTATTCTGTGCAGAGTTGAATTGGTTGAGATGGTAAGAGTAGAGTACGGATCCGTAGAGTGTAGGGTTGTTTGAGATCTTTGATGTCGTGTTGTCGTAGCGTGTTTTGGGAGATGCACGAAATTGTGCCTCAACGTAAACAACGTCCACAACGTCACACGGAGATTGATATCAGGACTCTACATACGGAGTATACAATCTGGCACGGTAGATAGGACGGGACGATATTGTTCATATAATGTCAAACACGCGACCCCAGTCTTCTCATCAGAGATCCGTATCAAACGCACCCGCGTCCGCGTCCGCCAGGTACTTTGAGGAGCAGCGGGCAGAGCTGTTAAACGAGATATCACTGGTAAGGTGTCTCCTACCCGTTGAAAGACATCTACTTGACACTACCAGTGCTAATGAGATGTAGAGTCTTGAAGGAGTACTACAAAACATCAACAAGTTTAACCGAAACCTCGAAAGCATCATAACGGTATGTCTGCATATTTACGAGATTTCGTATTCATGACTCCCTTACCTATTCGTGGTTATGCATATATGATGGGAAATTAATAGTCGTATAGGTCGGAAATGAACTCAGTGCGGTAGAAGGGCTATGGTCCCAATTCGAGGGCGTGATGGGCCGGAATGCCGAAGAGACAGGGAACGGTAATGGGAATGAGCATGAAGGGAGCGTTGAAGGTGAGGGTATGGGTAATCAGGACTCTCATCATGCCAGGGATGAAGGTGGTCATGATATAGAGGAGGAGAGAAGCAGGAGGCCATAATAACTCTTGTTATGTGATCAAGAAGTATGCAATTAATGAAACGGCTACATGACATCCCATGTGCAAGGGACGACTACATATTACATCCATATTAAAGGGAAATATTTGGAAATCGAAGTTTATTGCTTATAGCATACAGATACCGCCAGTTGAAACACCTTTTACCAGCAATGCATATCCCCCAGCGGGTCAAATTGAATCCCAAGACAAAAAAAAATGAAACATAAAAAATCGAGAATGTAGAGTCAGGTAAAGGAATAGGGAACAGAGAGATGACAACATGAATAAGGCTGAGCCGCTTTGCCACCATGATAAGGTACAGACAGGCTGAAAATAACACTGAGAAAAGATAGAAAGATAAAGAGTGACACAGAAAAAAACACGACGTCAGAGTACATATATCTCGTTCTGCCGTCATGTCATACATAATAATCATAGAGAAGTAGCCATTGGATGGATGGGTCAACGGGGTCATTTCACAATAAAATAACATCAGAATCTGCTGAAGAGAGAGAGGGGCAAGGCGTAGACAGGGGGTATGGTCGGGCGGGGGATGAAGATGCCAGCATCCTAAGTGAATAAACTAAAGGAGCTTACAACTTCTCTTCTTCACCTTCTTGCCGCCTTTGGACCTGGACGAGTCCTTTGAGTTCCAGGCGTTCTCTTCGATGCCTATGACGGTGTTCACGGCGAGTTCGAATACCTCGTCGACACCGAGCATCTGCTTGCTGCTGCATTCGACGTAGGTGGCGCCCATTCGCTCGGCCACTGCCTGGCCCTGTTGTGGACTGACGGGGGTCAGGCCCTGGGCTTTGAGGAAGTCGATGCAGGTACGGTTGGAGCGGAGGTCGGATTTTAGGCCCACGAGGATGAGAGGGGTGGTAGGGCAGAAATGGAGGACTTCGGGGTACCACTGTTGGATGTTAGTATGTGCATATAAACAACGGGAGAACAGGTGCATACCTTGTCCATGACATTCTCCAGCGAGACCGGACAGTCGATAGCGAAGCAGACGAAAAGGAGGTCGGTCTCTGGGTAGGATAGCGGGCGCAGTCTGTCGTATTCTTCCTGTCCTGCTGTATCCCATAGAGCCAACTCGACTCCCTTCCCTGACGGGTTATGTACGGTGTGAGTGATGTAGTTTTCAAACACGGTAGGCACGTATTTCTACCACGGATGTCAGTATTGCTTCCATGTCTGCTGCAAGTGTGGTGATATCAACTCACCTCTGGGAAGTATCCCTGGGAATAGCTAATTAATAGACAGGTCTTGCCGCAGCCGCCGTCCCCAACGACGACGAACTTCTTCGAGTATGAGGGCGGCACTGTCACGTTCGTCGTCTGCGAGACCTGCGAGGCCTGCCCCGACGAAACGCTCATATCTGTGTTGATGGTCCCGTTGCTCACTCGAGTGCTTTGGCTTCTGAGAGGCTTGCGTCGTGGCGATAGAGGGGGAGTCTTCTCGCTGAGCACGGACGAATGACGCCGTATATGGCCATGACCATATCGTTCCTCGAAGGTGTGGACAGACATTTCAGCTGGTGATGGAAGCTGAGATAGAGCCGGATCAGCGAGATAGCGGTCAAGAGGGAGACGAGTCGACAGTGAAGAAGGTCTGTACAGTAACAGCCGTGTGTATCTGATGAGCCCGAAATAAACAGCAGAAGAACTCGTGAGAAGAAGTTACACGAGAAGAAGAAACAGGAGAAGAGCGTCCTTGACACAAAAAAGAAAGACGGTCCCTTTTTTCTAGCCTGGCTTCGTTGCAGGTCGGCGTGGCGTTGGGCTTCAGCTGCGTTTCCTCTGCGTGTCTCATCCTGCCTGTTGTTTATGTCGATTGCTGCCATGGCAACGCGCGCTCTCTGTGCCGCCGGGCTCCAGCATCCCCTCCATCCCCTCGCATACCTCCCGGTATCTGCCTCTGGTTGGCCTGTCTGCGTTCCTGGACGGCCAGGGGTCGAGGTGATCAACCTTATCCGTAGAGCGATGGCGGCGATGGGATCTCATGGCCATTCTGTATACAGGTCAGACTCGGGGATAGCTGAGCAGGAAAGGTGTACGACGTAGCCAGGCAACGGGTCGGACATGGTAGACACAGCTGAGTACGGAGTATATATCCACTCGTCGCCAGTTATCCGTCAAGCATCAATATCAGTTATCTGTCGTGGATGTTAATGTTGTATAGATCTGGGAGATCTGGATAGACGCAGCCTCGGCTCGATCGAGATGGCGCCCCTGCCAAGCGCGCACACGAAGCGACCGTCAACATCGACATCGCATCACATCGACAGCGACAGCGACAGTGACATCGCATGCGGGCGAGGAACGAAGATACAGTGACGGACTTGGCCATGGGATACTCGATGGCGTTCCGCTGATCTGGTCTATACGCTCATTCCGTTGATTCCTCCGTCGTGCCTTATCTTCTCTTCGGAAGAGATCTGAGTGAACAAGGACAATGGACAAGGGAAAAGGGAAGACAGATGCTGGACTGAAGAGCCTCAACCATTGTACGTTCGTTATCCTGCTAATTACAGACGGGACTAATGGCTGCTAGATCAGAAGAAACTCCCGGCATGGAGATACACATTACGGCAAAACACCCTGCCGCTCGTTCGATGGGAGACTCCCTATCTCGCCTGGCTACAGGAGAGGATGCGCACTCCTTCGCTCGATTCCTGGTTTGCGATCACGGCTAACCTGGGCACGCACACGTTTTACATGGTCATGCTACCGATTTTGTTCTGGAGCGGGTATACAGGCGTTGGTCGGGCGTGAGTGAGATGCCTATCTACTATGTCAATGGGTGCGTGGATTAGAGCTGACAGTCAAGATTATAGGGTCGTTCATCTACTTGCGGCCGGCGTTTTCTTTAGTGGGTTTATGAAAGATTTACTATGTCTGCCACGGCCGCTCTCCCCTCCGCTACAACGAATTACGATGTCAGGGTCGGCAGCGCTGGAATACGGGTTCCCTTCTACACATTCGACCAACGCGGTGTCCATCGTCGTGTATGCGCTGCACTCTCTACAGTCGCAGACGGACCTCTCGCCGCTTACCTCGACCTTACTCCAGACCGGACTGTACATATACGTGACCTCCATCGTCATAGGGCGGTTATACTGCGGCATGCACGGCTTTCTCGACGTAGTTGTCGGCAGCATTCTCGGCGCACTGCTAGGCTTTGTACAATGCTTCTACGGCCCGACGTTCGATGACTATTTATTCTCCGGCGGGATACAGGAAGTGTTTATCATCTTCCTCGTTATAATCGTGCTGGTCCGCGTGCATCCCGAGCCTGCTGACTCGTGTCCCTGTTTCGACGATAGTGTAGCCTTCGCAGGCGTCTTCGCGGGCGTCGAGTTGGGAAATTGGCATTTTGCGAGGTCTATATACTCGCTTTCGGTGCCGACGCCGGGAACTGTGCCGTTTGACCTGCGGCGCATGGGCTGGATTATAGCCATTTTACGGATTGTTATTGGGGTGTTGAGTATTGTGGTATGGAGGGAGGTTATGAAGCCTGCGCTTCTGAGGTTTCTCCCGCCTCTGTTCAGGATTATAGAGCGGCTCGGGCTGAGTTTACCTAGACGGTTCTTCAAGCGTGCAACGTATGTATACAACCTTGTATATGTATGCCGCGTTTTACTAACAGGGCTCATAGAGAGTACAACCGCATCCCGAACCAGCTCAAATACGACGACGTCATGCCCAACGTCTCCGATATACCGTCCATGCTCACCTCCATCCGCCACCCACGACGACGAGCCATCTCGATCGGCCCCCAGTCCGAAGCCGATGCATACGAGGCAATCGCCTACCGCCAGCAACGCCGACGAACGAGCGCTGCATCGGAGAACCAACCACCTTCGCCGCTGCCAGAGAAGGGTAACCAGAGCCAGAACCAGACACCTACCACACGGCCTAAACGGGGCATATCGAATGCATCACAACCGCGATCGCCTTCTAGAAGCCTTGATGATTATGAACACATGATGGGAACGAGTGCACAGAGTTATGAAGAAGGAGGCGCAAAGACCGAACCCTTCCCTAATGGAAATATGACGAATGACGCGCTTGAAGCAGAGGAGGAGAAGGATATGTTTTCTAAAATCACGCCGCCTCGCGTGCGCTATGATGTAGAGGTCGTCACGAAGCTGATTGTTTATTCTGGTTCGTATTCCCGCTGCCGGTGATTGTGGCTGATACTAACTGTCTGTAGGGATTGGCTTGCTAGCCGTAGAGGGCAGCCCCATGCTGTTCCACTTCCTAGGGCTCGACTAATACTTTAAATGCATCTTCTAATGCATCTTCTAAATGTATAGTTAATAAGACCGTTATAGCATCATTAATAGTAGACATCAGTTACCTAGTTCATATAGTAGTATGTATGTAGTGGATTAAGCGCGCTGACTAACGCGTCTAACCAACAAGCGCCACGTGACCATGCCAAAAAAGGGTTTCCAAGGTTCCTCTTTCTTTCCTCTCCGCCTCCAAACACGCGTTTATTACCCCATTAGGGAACTGTCACTGCTTCACTTCCCATGCTAGACGCGGCCCAGCAGCTTCTCTTCTCCTTTTTCCTTCTCCGCGCTCCTTTTCCCTTCACCCCAGCTCTCTTCTTCTTCCTGGTAGTAGTAATCCTCTTAATGCGCGTCCTCTGTCTTGCTCGTGTTTTTTCTTCTCCTCTACTTCCTGGCCGGCACCGAAACTACTGCCAAAGGATATACCACAGCGCCGCTGCATTCTTTCTTAGTATACCTATACCCACCATACCCGGCCTTCAGAGCCTCAGTAGACTGTTCGCCTGGAGAGGACCGAGAGGGCGCATCCTTAGTATCTCTCTGCAGGCGAGTGGCCGGCGGAGTTGTTCGCCTCCTGAGTCTTCTTCCAGCTGCGTATCTATATCAGACTGCGCAGAGCTTCATCGTAAGTGTATAGTGCTGGTCTTTTCCTTTATCTCGTCTCTGGTGCCAGGTCGCCATAACAACATGTCTGGCCATATCTTCTTCCAGACCTCACTTTGCCCCTGACTACAACACAAACACAACAACACAGTCATAACAACACAAAGACGCGTTTTTCTCACCTCACTTTGACCCTCCTCACAACATCATTCCCCTCTCTCATCCTCTGCATCTTCACTCTCTACAGCTTTACAGCTCTGTCAAGTCTCACGTCCAAACCTGTTATCAAGCCTTCAAGCCTTTTATCACGTCTATCAAGTTCCATATCACGTCTGTCAAGTCTCATATCACGTCGTCAAGACTCATATCACTCTGTCAAGACTCATATCACGTCTCTCAAGACTGTTACTTCTCTTATTACACCCCTCCTTGACCATCTCAACAGCTTTAAAGCTCTGTCAGGCCTTCTATCAACCTCATATCACGTCTATCAAGACCTCAGGCCTCGTTTATCTCCTCCAACATCTCAGTAGCTTTAAAGCTCTGTCAACCTCATCACGTCCAGAAAAACCGTCTATCAAGACTCAAACCTCCACGTCTATCAAGACGCCAGACCTTACCTCGTCTCTCCTCCTTGACTATCTCAGCTTTAAAGCTCTAGCAAGCCTCCACGTCTATCAAGACTTCTACCACGCGTGTCACTCCTATTGTGTCCTATATCGCGTCCTCCATCACATCCTCTCTTCTCCCCTTCTCAAGAGCACATACTACCCTCACATCACCTTATTACAATGGATTCCTCCGACCAGATGGAATGGGAGCCTACCTTACCCCTCCAAACCCTTCTTCCACAACAGATTCTAACTGCTCAGCGCGAGCGACTTCTTGCTATCACAGGTCGACGCATCATGGGATTGACATATCCTAGCACCGCAAGCTCACACCGACCAACCCTGACCAGACGTATCCTGGAAAGGAGCTCTCCCAGGAGACAATGGAACAGAATCCTTGCCAGCGTCGATGCCAGCAATGGAGGAACGCAAAAGGAAACAGACGGCGATGCTGTAGACCTTTCCTTGACCCTGAACATGGTATCTCCTCCGGTAACGCCACGAAAACGCGTTATCGAAGAGGTCGACGAGCCAGAGCAGTATGAAGACCGCTTCTCGAGACCAGAAGCACACACATCTGCCCCAAATGTATGTTCTTTACTCTCATTCTCTTTATATCTCGCCCAGTGCGAGTGCTTACACGCGTATCCGTCCAGGTCATCGATTCACCGAATGACATTTCGATGGAAGATGTGTTCACCCCTCCCTCAGCTACGCAAACTCGGCCGGTCATTTGGCCTCAAGCTGTGAGTCTTCTCTTTTTTATATATTCTGCACTTTGACTAACATATATTTATTTTCAGGATACCCAAGCTGTTCAAGAAGCCACGTTCATAATGGGATCTGTCGGCCTCAGGAGCCCTGTTAGTCCCAGAACAGAGAACGTAAGTCCCAACTCCAAGTCTCATCATTGTGTCTTCTCAGATACTAACATTCTTCACCTAGCGTCCAAACTGGTTCGAGCTTCGCGAACAAGCTGAGGGAGGGGTCGTTGGGGGTGTCACGGAGACCGTAAGTGGACGTCTTCTATCATTAAATCAATATTTGCTAATATCTCCTCCAGAGCCGTTCCGACGTACCACTGCAAGTCGAAAGTCCAAGCCACGGGGCTTTCGATGGCAAGTTCCTTCTTCCGCATATCCCAGGTAGCTGGCCACTGTCCCCGCCAAGTTCACCAGCAGCGGTGCCAGCAAGCCTGCCCGTCCAGCCCTCCGCGCTCCAGGAGGCGCAGGACGCTCCTCCATCACCAACTTCTCGAGCCAGAGGGTTTCTGATGGCGGGGGGCGTATCTCACGCCGGCCCGGGAAGAAGGACAGTGGTGCCACGTCCGGCTGATGTCCCGATGACATCCCTGGAGCCCGAGTCCTCCTTGTCAGAGGTAAGTTACACCTCAAAGTGCATATATATCTCGTTTATACTGACCTTTTTATTAGACGACAGGGGGCCTTCGGTCCCTTTGCGACTTGCCAAATTTCGTATTGGACTTCTGGGGCAAATGGGTCGTACAGACGCGGGCCAAAGTCGTTCAAACAGTGAAGAGAAGGGCTGTAGGTGTCTGGACGCCTCAGACTTCTCGCGCTTCCCCCCGTGCTGTCGCCCACCCCCGACGCGAAGTCGATACGAAACGCGACAAGAAGCTCTTGGGCATGAGCATGGAGCAGCGACGTGCATTCCGCATCCAAGAGAAGCGGATACAAAGAAAGAAAGCGACGGTCCCAGTCGCTCAAGAGCTTCGCACGCCTGAAGTGAAGCCAATGCCGTTCGCTGCTCCTGCTCCTGTCCAGTTAGCCCAGCGAGGACAACCTCTCCGCCAACGATCGAAGCTCTCCAAAAGCTCGATCAATAAAATCAAGCCGCCAACGCCTGGTCAAGTCATTGCACCAGGCCGCGTTACCAAACAACGCAAAGTGCGGTCGGCGAGGGAGTCCTCGGAATTGAGGATACTGCGTCCAGGTGTCCTTCGAGACATGTCGGACAAGGAGAGGATTTGGAGAGTCCAACAGATGAACTTGGATTTTGTAACATCATCCCGGCCAGCCCAAGTTCTCGCGCCTGAGCCACAAGAAACAGTGTCACCCGTCGCGCCAGTGACACCAGTGCTCAGGGAGACCTCCGAACCTCCGCCACCTCCTAGTGCTTCGGAACCCCAAATTTCGCCTGGATCGTGTATCAAAAGGCCATCATCTGCCGTGGGTACGACTCCCATTGATGAACCTCCTAGAGGTGAATCGTATGATGGCTATGCACAGAGACCAGGCGAACCAAGCGCTAGGAGAGTACACTGGCATCTAGCCAGCACTCCACTCGGACAACCGGTTGTTGACATCCGCGTCTACGACCCCAGCGCTCCAGTTAGACCAACACTGCGAGACGGGGAGGACGACAGTCAACAGCCGGCCCGCGCAACTATTGACGACAAATCACCAGAGGGACCGTTCATTAAGCCCCTCAGCAGCAAATGGGACTCGCGTCTCGCTGCCGAGATGGCCCTTCCTGACTACCGTCAGGTTGGGACCACAATCTCTGGTGATCCCCTGACCCGTAAGGATTTTGCGACATGCTACACCCCGTTAGCGTGGCTCAATGACGAGGTGATAAATGCATACCTCGCAATAATCCTTGACTACGCTCGAAGGGCTTCGGGCAGTTCAGGGCGGCATCGGGAGCCCAAATACCACGCCTTCAACTCGTTCTTCTACTCTAGCCTCAGGGACAGAGGCTATGAGTCCGTACGGCGTTGGGCTTCCCGGGCCAAGATTGGGGGTTCAGCCTTGTTGGGGGTAGAGATGGTTCTCATCCCTATCCACAACCAAGCGCATTGGACCCTCATGGTCGTCAAACCGAAGGCTCGAACCATCGAGTACTTCGATTCCCTTGGAGGCGCCTCACGAGCTCATGTGAGCCGAGTGAAGGAATGGCTCCAAGGCGAGTTGCGCGACCTCTTCAAAGAAGAGGAATGGCGGGTTCTCCGGACAGACTCTCCACAACAGGACAACGGCAGCGACTGTGGGGTGTTCCTCCTAACCACTGCTAAGATGGCGGTGTTAGGCTTGCCCCTTTCATATGGGGCGAGAGACATTCCCACGATCCGTAAGAGGATCGTTGCCGAAATCCTCAATGGAGGTTTCGAAGGAGATTTCGACCCGAAAGTCGAGTTCCCTGTCAGATCTAGGTTGTAAATTGCCTGGTACCTGATCACAGCTCTTCCTGGAGGGAAAGAAGTCGAACCTGCTCCCGAGTGTGGTGGCGTTGAGGTGACGAGAATTTTGCTTAGGATTCATTTCCTCCGCGCGTCCATGCCCAACTTCTTCGGGGGCTCAGGGTGTGACTGTCCGATTATGGCGAAGAGGTTGGCTTTCGCATTCCTGGCAGTCGGGTCTCTGGCCCACTGTCGAGGGTGTGTAATTGTCTTCTTTCCTAGCCATTTTAGTTCAGTACGCTGCCAAGCATGTTTCTCGTCCCTCATCCTTCAGTATCCCAATTCTAGCTGGCGAGCATCCGCGAGGGCCCGAGGGTGAAAAGACTCTTATGGCAAAGGTACGGCAGAGACGACTACCAGGTACGCTCCTAGAGCCATTAAATCCTGTGTAGGCCTTGCAAGGCACGCTCTTTTGAGCCATTAAGACCTGCATAGGCGACTTTGAGGTACGCTCTTAGAGCCATTAAATCCTCCATAGTCAACGTCGATGCCAGTTGCCGATGCCAGGAGAACAGAACTAACCAGAATGCATTTGTGGAGTTTGGACTGGAGTTCTGCGATCCAAAAATTTTTACATACATATTGGAGTTGGAGTTTGGAAAAGGATTAGGATTGTTTCCGCATGGATATGCGGGTTTTGTTTAATCATGGGCGGCGTTATGGCTACGGCCATTAATCTTTTTTTTTTGCGCGCGTTTAGCCTGGAGTTGGTTGGATTGTGTTTTGATTTTGGTTTCTTTTTTGCTATGCTTTTTTTTATGGTTGCGCTGCGGTTGTATGAATAATAGATTTGATACGGATGAGCGGAGCGTTGCTCGTTTTAGCTCTCCTGATGATTGAACTTGATGAACTGATATCAGTTCCTAATAATGAAGTCACTGGTTTATTTCTTTTTGTTATTTGGTCAGGGGATAGGGTGTATTTATAGGTCGGGAGTCTGATGGACAAGTTGGGTTTCTCTATCTATATTGCAAGATTCGATTGGCGAAGACAGAGGGAACTTCCATATCGCGTTGAGGTTGGTAGGGATATTCCACGTTAAACGGGAAACGGAAGGGAAATATTTCTAGTTCGATTTAATTCATTCACTCTATGGTAGTGCTAAACAAAGACCAACATTCAAGTCGAATAACGCAATACTCACAAAGGGGGGACTTCTGCTTCACTCGTTCACGATGCACTGGCTATAAGTAGGAACCCAAGGAAGCTGTCGTTCGACTAAGAACGCAGTATCAAAAAAAAATTCCAAACCCGCATGCAAAGAACGAAAGCAACAAAACGTATCAACATGCTAGAAGAAAACATGGGAAACGGAAACCGCTCAAACGATTTCAGGGACACCTTTGGTTTTGACTCCATCAATTCGACACACTACCCGACATTTTTTCTCTTCCTCTTCCTCTTTTCCGTTCGGTTTTGACTCCATCAATTCGACACACTACCCGACATTTTTTCTCTTCCTCTTCCTCTTTTCCGTTCGGTTTTGGCTTTGGCTTCTTGTTCTTGGGCTTGCCTTTGCCCTTACCTTTGCCCTTGCCCTTTGGTTTACCTTTACCCTTCGGGTTGCCGTTTTGTTTCTTCTTGGGACGAGCCGCACGCCTGGATGGCTGGTTGGCAGTGACTTCGTTGATATCCTCCTCTTCCTCAGCATCGTTATCGTCGCCGTAGTCTTCATAATCGTCCTCGTCGTCGTTGTCAGCACCGCGCTTTAGATTGGGGTTAAATCGAGGCTTCTTCTTCATGCCGTTGATGTCGCTGGTCTTATTGTATGCCATCTCCACCCACTCTACGCCCATATACACCGCCGATCCAACGGTCATATTCCCCGTCCATTCACCACCATCGCTCCACAGGTTAAGAATCAACATGCTCGGATTCTTCGGCACGCCGTACGTCTTCGAAAGACGGTACTCGTCGTTGAAATACCAACGGCTTATATCTGAGAACCAGTCAAGTCGGTGGTCCCCCCAGTGCGTCCAGGGAACGGATATGTCCACTTCGTCGCTCGCACAAGGTATGGCGAGGTCGGTCTTGGGATCCCAGTCTGGTTGGTTAGCGTAGCGTACTCGAGTCGGCGGGTCGTTGGTGAGGATTTCAATGTCTGATTCGTGATTTTTGCCTTGATACGTGAACATACCCGCACATGCTCCCGTAGGCGGATGGTGCGTGCGGTAGCTGGCAGGTAAAATATCATGGGACTCATCGCTCTCCGTACTTATGTTTCCATTTTTGGTATTGGGGAAATATATCCAACCTGTGTTGGCGTACAGACGTAGCCGGACACGCAGAGAGGCATGTACGATATCCGTGTCGTGTGTCTGCACTTCGGCCGTGGAGGTGTAGTTTTCCATCCGCACACTTCGAAGGACCATGTGCGTTGACTCGTCACGCTCGTCGGTGCTATTACGCACCATAAAGACGTTATCAAGCGAGTTTCTGATCGGGACGGGGAAGAGCGGCGTCCCCTTCCTGTTCCAGTTCTGAACATCCCATTCCTCTATGAAGCGACTACCAGCTAAACTAGGGTGGAATTCATTGCTGTCAGCGTTGGGGTCGTCGTCTCCTCCAGCTTCGTTGTTGCGGCCTCTCGATTCAAGTTCTGGCGTGGAATCACCGGGTATGTAGCCTGGTATATCTACATGTCCGGCTGTTCCGGCTAGTCGATGACTGGAGATATCTCTCCCTTCACGCTTTTTGTCTGCAGCCAGGCGTAGACCTTGGTCCCGGAAGTCGTAGAAACGGTGATGTTTGAAGTATCCTGGGTCATCGCCGGAGACGACATAACAGTCGCAGGGATCAGGTGGGGATTTATCGTTGAGACCTCTGGTATGGTGGCGGTTTCTCTCGTCCGTCGACGTTGGGTCAGGGGGTAATACGGTCGCCAGGGTCAACGGGAGGAGAGCGCAGAATACTCCGCTTAGGGAGAGTAGACGGAGGCTTTTCATGGTCAGAGACGTGTGGTATATGTGAAGCAGAAGAAAATCTCTCCAGGTTCAGGGAGATTTCATTGCTGTGTGTTTTTGGTTCCCCTTACCAAGGTTGGGAAGGAACCGACCAGACGTCATCATTCGTAGACTGAAACCATCGTCATAATCATAGAAGGTCGATATATCTTGTCTCGTATCTTATCAACGTATAGAGTATAAACATTCTCCATGTTTATGTGTGGTCGTAGTCTTGATTTTTGGTATAACGACTTGGAAGGGTATTATATTATTTGTTGTAAATTATTTAGCATTAACATATCTTGTCAGGATATAACGGCAACGTCACCAGTAAAGAACGTCACCATCAACTCCTCGACTGATATGATATTGGTATTGATACTATCATATATACATCCCCTATATATATGATATATGTCTACGTAGTCTCTATTTCCCTTTTCGGCCTCCGATGGCTCAAAGAGGAAAAAGGTCACGTGTCTGTCTCTTCCGGCCGGAATATAGTTAACCCGATGGTCCGCCCTTTGCCCTTTCTGCCTTGGAAAACATCCTTGACTGCAGGTTGATATGTCGATGTTACTCAATGCTCTCAGGGGGCATATATTGAACAGCCTCCCTCGAGGTGACCATCATGCGCCTTGTGACGACACACTGCATGTTCTGCAGCCTTCCCTCTTCTTCTCTGTCTGATCATGATAGGTCCATGTGTTTACTAGAGAGATTTTAACTTTCTAAACATGGCAGGAGAACCAGGGAGAACGCTGAAGACCAGATACATATACATGTATGGCCATGGCTATATTCTATGACTTATACGGTGTATCACTCTACGGCAACGATAGAGAGGCTTGTTTATTTATAACATGGAGTTCTGTCCTGTCTTGACTGTTGAAGTTGCTACTGGCCTGTCTTTGGATGAGGCTGTCCGAGTTGCGTGTGATGCCACAGCCAGCCCAACGAGACCGCCTCACCCGTACCATGGCCGATGGCTGTCGTCCTATCACCCTCACCCCGCCGTCTTATTGCTCTAGATACCCTGCCAAGTAGGCTTGATACCCAAACCAGACCATACCATAGAGGAAGACCGTGACGACAGCGGAGTCAACGATATATTAAGAGATCGAGATCGTCTCGCTGAGCCTCATCGTCGATGCTCAGCCTTACCCAGTGGCGACCTTCTCGGCCCGACCGGATGGACACCCATGCATCGGGTAGGACCTCGATCCAGAGCTTCCCATGTCCCTGGCAGCTCCGTGACGGAGATTAATCTGGAATCGAGATGGACTGGACTCGATGAGTTTCAACCACATGACTCATATTATCAACTCCGGGCCTGGACCTGCCCTGAGATGGCGGCGTTTTAAGCCTGGCGACGATGTGCTAGTTCCAACGCCATGGATCTGGCTATCCACAGCTCCTATCGCTGGTCTGGACGTGATGATGATGAATAGTGATGCTCTCGCTTCACGCGTTGTCGTACTCTAGTCACAGTTCGAGGGTAGAGGTGTAACGTAATCCATCTATTTATTTCTCATGATTCATCCTGTCGTCCTGTCGCCCTGTTCTCGCCTATCATCTCGTCGCTGTATGGACTGTAACTGACGTGTAGAAGGATGACTCGACGCGCCGAAGCACGAAGAAGTCACGCAGTCATGTGTCACGTCATGTGCCGGTCATGTGCTGGTCATGTGCTGGTCATGTGTCGATCTGGTCTCAGGTCATGTGCCGTCCACCCACCCTTCTTGCTGGAGTTGGCCATGGTAAAATACCGTCACGCCACTAGTGCATACACTAGCGCCGATTAAAGGTGATACCGCCATTTGACCCACTCGGAACCGTAGGGCTGGTTTTGACCAATCGCAAGGAGCCCTCAGCCCTACGCGCCAATCGCGTAGGGCCTGGTGGGTCCCCCTGGATCTCACGGCCCACCCCTGATGTCAGGCTGCGTTTGATCATCGTTTGCTTATTCTGTCTATACACTATCTTTGTCTTTCCACGACTTGTTCAACATGGTCAAACAGAGCAGATAGCAGCGATGCTCTCTCTCCCGTCTCTACAGAGTATATCCATCTCTACATCTACGACTATGTCTTAAGATGGCGGAGGATGGAGGATGGAAGGATGCTCCGTCATGGTGAGGGGGTTTGATGTGCCACGGCGGCGCCGGGTGATGCAGGCGAGCGACCTCGTATCCAAGTTGGCGCCACGTAACTTGGCGTTGGAAGTGACTGCCGCTTCGGGACTAGCGCGCGCTACGCTGGCACAGGCCACCCCTGCCCATCCAGTTTTCTTTCATGCTTTGCGTGGAGTTTCATAGGAAGGCTGACTGCCGCCGCCCCTACTCCCTTCTCCCATACTCCTGAAGACACATACAGACACCATCGACATCGACATCAACATCAACACTATCGTTTGAACAGACGATATCATCGACTTGATGGACATACCGGTTTAGACTTCACCCACACAATAATATAACCCGATTGTCACGATGGATCTGTTGTCTTGTATGGTCTAGGAGCGGACGGTTTCCAGCCTATGTCGAAGTCTTCGACATATCGTCCATGAACACCGCCATCCGCTATTGACCATGACCACCATCACCACCGAACGAAGCCCAGTGCTCCTGAGAGCAACGAGCATGACGGGGGGTAGCCCCCGGTTGTCCCTGAAGCGCGAAATCACTCCTCCATCCGCCTCCGATCCGCAACTCCTCCATATCCACGAACGGTTAAACCAACTCGATGCAAAAGTCTTTGATCTCCGATCATCTGCCTTGACCAAGGAGTCCTATGTCGACCGTAGGAACAAGGAAGATGAGTTTCTTCGACGGGAGTTCGACCACCAGCGTGCCATCACGGCGTCCATCGAGGCCGTCGTCGGCAAGACTAGGTCGGATGTCTCTCAGCTCAAGACCCTGAAGACCGATCTCTCCTGTTTAGGGGCTGAGATCTTCCAGCTCCGTACGAGCGTCAACCACATCTCGTCAAAGGATGGTTTTCTTCATTCGGATATCACCCAGATCCGCACTCATCTAGATCAGCTCCAGCTCGACGTCCAACGTATGCATTCCGATGTATGCTCGGCAAGAATCGACGTCAGCGGTGTCCAGGCCTCCGTCAGCCAGCTCAAGATCGATCTCATGACGATGCAGAGAGATACTCGCCAGCAGTTCAAGCATATGGATCGAATTCGATTCAACTCGCTTGCAATCACCGCCCATGCTCCCATTACTCCCGTCCCAGTCATCCACGACGATGGCTCCATCAGATTTCCCGACTACTTCCCCAGAACGGTGTGGAAGTTTTGGTGCTTGAAGAAAATGAATAGGGGTGAGTGCATGTTCTCCCATGCATATTGGAATTTGTTTTTTCCGATACGTCTCTCTCCAAACCTGCAAGTAAATTAACCTTTTCTCTTTCTACCCCCTTGCAGCTCATCGTCTAGTTGAACTCGCCGAATTTTACCAGCTGGAGGGTTACCAGTACTGGAGCCGTATGGCTCTTCCTCATGAATCTGCCTTCCCCACGGACGGGTACATGAGCGATGACAGTGATTCCAGTGAGCTTCCATCGGACATCACTCGATCTGAGGCCGCACGTCTCTATCCCGAAGCCTGCCACCAGGCTCTCGCCGCCACGTTGGGTCTCGTATATTACAAGATCCGCAACGAGATGGGTGAAGGTCGTCATTCTCACCTCATGCCCGCCAACGTCGCTCCAAAACGCCACCAGGATGAAGTTGGATCCATGCACTCCTCTTCCAAGCACAGGAAGATGGCCCGTCGTTCGCAAGATGCCGTATCTCCTACCGCTGGACAAACCGGTGCTACCGTCCCTCACAAGATCGTCACGAACTACATGGCTGCTCAGACCGGTGCTGGAGATGCCAAGTCGGTTGTCTCCGAAGGCCTCGACAAGCTCGCCTGGAACATCGACCCGTCTCAGATTTCCGAGGAGACCATGTCCAAGATCTCTGATTTCGTCAAGGATGAGCCCAACGCTCTCTTCCTCCTCCAGGCTCTCGAGCGCGGCCGTATCAAGCTGCAGCCCAGCCACATGGAGCGAGGCCGCATATCTCCAACCGAAACATCCTCCAAACGAAGCTTTAGATCCGTCAGACGTGAAGCCAACGGTGCTGCGTTTCACGGTGTCGCTGAGGCTAAGAGTGATGATTTACAGAGTGAGATGAACACCGTCCCTACCGAAATCATGTCTCCTCTCTCGGCTACCAGATCGGAAATCGAACAAGATGAAGATGAAGACGGTCCGCCTTCCTCTTCTCCGCCCGAATCAAAGGAATAGCTATCAATACCATTATGGCGTTGGTGGTTATCCTGGCGTTTCCTTGCTGCATTGTTGCTGCATCGTTGCCTGATTTGTCTCTTCTTACACGACGGAAGAGGGGGTGGTCACGTTACTCATCACGTGGTGCATCGCCTCACTTTTATCAACTTCACCTCATCAACCTCCTCTACACAACATACAAACAACCCTCCATCTTCTTTAACGACATTATGACTTGACCGTCGACACTCAATGCATTTCACGGCGTTGTCACTTACATTTTACCCGGTACGGTACGGATCGGATCGGACCAGCTTCGGCTTTGGCTTTCTACGGGGCGGCTACTTTGAATTCTATCGCTTGTACACACAAGCCTCTGGACCTGGGATTGGGACTGGGATGGGAATTACATTGCATTCATGGATGGCATGGCTCGGATGGTTTAGGAGTTTCGTTCATACCCTGGACATCCAAACGTTTAACTCACCACCTACCCATCTCACTCGATGCTCAACGACAACCTCCCTCTCCCGCCTCGGTCTCGCAAACCCGCTAAATTTATCAACATTATATCAACCCTCCTATAACCCGCAAGTACATACTCACTTACCCTGATCCTTCAACCTGATAATCTAGACATTAGCGTCCCCATACTTACTATACCCCCACCATATCCTTCTTATATCTTCCCCATCTACCGTTGTCTTTTTGGTGTTTTCGGATTGGCGAATGGAATATCTGTTTGTAAATAACTATCATTATCGTGATAGGTATTTTAGTCTTATTTACTTATTACTTCTATACCTCGTTGCTTGTCGTGGGCCGTAAGTTCGATATATGATGTATGTCCAGAGTAGGTCGTCCTTAACCATGGCGTCCCTAAGTGGATGGTACCGTGGTTCATACAAGGTTAATGGCTACTCCCGTGAGGTGTCTCCCACTCTATGCTAGGTATATGCCACATAGTATCTGCGTGGTCGACAGCAGCCTTCATAGACATACTACATCGCTACTTGGGTCATAGTTGCGTGTCGTCCTCTTTCACGCTGTTTCCTGTGTTATCTCCTAGGTGTAGATATGGAGCATTGTTTTTGGCATTCTATATACCCAACGTTTAGAGGCAGAGATGATAAACGCGTTGTTACTTGGATTTATTTCTTATTTGCTCTTTCAGGTCTTATACATAGGTTGTCCTTTGGTTGCGTTCGTGCATCCAGCATTTATACCCTGATAGATAGGTGCATGACGTCATTTTTTTCGTTATCTATAACCATTCCATCCACCTGTCAACTAACCGTATCATCGTAATAAGATATCTAAGAATCAGCTAGAATGCTAACAGCACGAGTATATTCACTCTTCAGTCGTAGAATCTCAAAGTCCATGGACAAAAAGGTAGAATACTGCATTACATAATCCATGTTTGCCATGTTTGCCAACTCTGGACCTCGGAACTTTGGAGCCAACACAGCCGAACAACTGTACAAATAGCCGCCTATGGGCTGTTGTCGTTTGCTATAAGGATGGCATAGCCCAGAGCGATTGTTCATAGTGTGTGGAATATTATACACTCTGTTTCTACCATAAATAAACCCGTGTCTCAGTTTGCTCCTCGTACGCCATGTCGGCCGTTGCCAAAAAGCGACTGCAAGCTATCAGTCAGCAGCTCGTGGAAGGAATCCCGGATGCTGGCGAGTTTGAGAACATCCCTAGAATTCGGGAGGTTGCTCAGGACTCGCTTGAGCCGTAGGTTACACATTGATTCTCAGATGGCTAGAGGCTGATGAATTATCTTTATAGGAGAGTCAAGGGTAAAGTCGTCATTATAACTGGTACGCTATCTCCGCCAATATTCAAGTTGATTGCCTGCTAACGTTCTCTGCTTCAAGGAACGAATTCACCGATCGGCATCGGACGAGCAACTGCCCACCAGTATGCCCGCAATGGCGCCAAGGCAATCTATATCTGCGACTTTGCAAACACACATCTCGACGTACACAAACGGGAGATAGAATCCTTATATCCGGGCGTCGACGTTCATATAAGACAGTTCGACGCTGGAGACGAGGAGCAGGTGAAGAAGGTTGTTGACGACGTTATGGAGAAGTATGGCCGCCTGGATATCATGTTTGCCAACGCGGGGATCGTGGGAGCCCCAAAGTTATTTACTGAGGTTACGGGAGATGAATTTATGAAGACCATGGATACGAATGCTAAGGGGTATGTCTTCCCTCCCTCTATCCATTAGTGTAGTTACTTACGGGATCTATTTGCCACCCAAAGCCCCTTTCTAGCTACTAAATACGCTTCCGTGGCCATGAAGAAGACCTCCGCTTCCAAACCATATCCGGCCGGAAGTATCATACTGACAGCCTCCGTTGCCGGTTTGCGGTCCAACGCTGGCTCAACAGACTACTCCGCTAGTAAAGCGGCTGTCATCTCGCTCGCACAAACATGTTCCTTCCAGCTGAGTGGTTCCGGCATTCGCGTCAACGCCATATGTCCTGGGGTGGTAGAGACGGGCATGACGAAAGCGATGTATGACCAGGCGCGAAGCAGGGGGACAGAGAAGAAGATTGGACAGTTGAATCCGTTGATGAGAGGGGCCGTGTCCGATGAGATAGCCCGTGTGGCGCTGTTCTTGGGTAGTGACGAGAGTAGCTATGTCAACGGGCAGGCGTGGGCCGTCTGTGGAGGTTTGAGTGCGGGACATCCGTTTGTGCCTGGGAAGTTAGCCTAGGGACAGGAGTATATTTCTTTTACGACTATCTTTCAGCGGTATATAAGCGCCTTTTCTAAGAATGGGTGGGTCAAATAAAATGACAGATTCGGGATATGGATTATATTGCTCACTGGAAGCAAAGCGTTGAATATAGTATGGCCGACTCCGGTCAGATGCGCCCTTTATATTTATATCAAAACATAAAACCCAGATCGTGGGGCCAACCTCATTCAAAATATGACGCAACGTTGGTTTCCAAATCCTTTCTCAGCACTTCCATAACCTTTAATGCATTGACCTCGGCCAGCTTCTTCGCTTCTTCGCTTTCTTCCTCTTCATCCACTTCTCCCTCTTCCCCGGAACCCTCGGCTTCCTTGCCGTCCCCGTATTGAGTTATATACTGATCTTCCAGCAAGTATATATCTCCTGGTAGTTCATTCGGGGCGTGCTCAAGGGCGTAGAAGGTGGGGAACTCAAGAACTGTTTTCCCACGAAGGACGTCACCTAACGCCATTGATTGGTCTGTTATCGGTATAAGGACTGGAACTTTGGCGCACGTTTGTGGCCGGTGAAGGTAGATGTGTAGTTTCGAACGAGCAGCATCGCTGGGTGAAGGGTTATCTTTAGGTGTAGCTAGAGGCGTAGGGGTTAGTAGGGGTTCCGGGAGCGATACAGGGAGTGGTTCGCTTTCGACACTTGTCGATTGTGGCAGTGGCTCTGGGCTCAGTGTCCAAGTCGAAGATACATCATCTGGCAGTGTATCAATATCTGCTTCGCCATCATTGACACACTCAACCAGGCCAGCTTTATTTGTGTCTTCTTCCTCTGCAACTGTAGGTTCTGCCTTTGTAGCTTTCCCCGTGGACAGCTTCCTCTTTTTCGTAGGCCGTTCCGCTACCTTCTCATCTCCACGGCCACTATAGCCTAGCTCCTTCGTCAGCGGGAGCCGTGCAAGCGCTGTTCCAACACTAGCGGTGACAAGACACTTGGAGATCGTCTTCTGGCAGCCGGGGAATATCCACTCAACCGCCCAATTAAGGCATTTTTGTCTAATGAGGCAAATAAGTAAGCATAATTTCACTCCGTAAAACAGCTTGATAAACTTACTTCTTATGCCAATGGGAAGAATTCTGCTTGTTCCGTGTCATCCCCTTCGGAGCCTTGACGATACACACGCCACTCTTCTCTAAGCCACGCTGCAGCGGCACCTCGCCTCTGGCAAAGTCGTTCCGCCTCTTTGCCTTGCCCCCGTGGACATCGACGCCGGTGTCCAAGTCGATCCCCCGCTTTTCGGCATCGACTTCAGCGCGCTCAAGAGACCGCTCTATCCCTGTGATGAAATTGAAGTCCTTGTCGAATGCAGCAGGGGTTGCTAACTCGTTTCGTTTAAGGTATTCAGCAGGGTCCCGGACGCCAGAACATTGCGACCATAACTTGTGGCGTTTGGAGCAGGCGAGGGAGCAGGTGCGGCTCGCGCATCGAGGACACTTGTATTTCCGTGTATTCTCATGGCTAATCAGTTCACTATTAGCTTCATATAATCCTTCCTTTTATTAATTTTCGCCAGCTGTTTGACCGCTAATCGTGCCAGCTGTGTTGAGAATGGTGGGTTTCAACGTACCAGATTGCGCATAGCTCAGTTAGAGACGCCTCCTTGGCCATCGTGATATCAGTCTCTTGGTAGTGCTAGCCTTGACACCATCAAATATCCCGACATTCGCTTCTCCCGCATCTCATTCGCTTTTCATCCGTTTCTCCAAGTTGCTCGAGAGAAAAAAAATCGATGAGCTCATAATTATCATAATTATCGGCGGAACCGGAAGAACAGTTGTTCCCTTATCGATAAGGGCTTATCTAATCCTGACGTTTTCTCTTCAGGGGCAACGAAAAGATGCGAGAATGCATGATAGAAGAGCGAGTCTGGCCTCGCTGGAATCTAAAATAGATGTTATTAAAATAGACAATACGGAGCAAAAAGTGAGCTGTGTCGTCCGGGGAGGCCCTGGGCCTGGGCAGCTGGGCGTTAACGATGCTTGCTCGATCGACTCGTTTCAGATGTAACTTGGAAGCGGAGCCAGCAAGAGCTGACGATTTTCATCTCAGTCAAACAGCGGCCTTTCTTGAGCGTCGTTTGTATATTAATGAAAGGGGTCCGCAGTAGGGATATTGGAATTCTCCCTTTCGTCCTTTTCGCCTCAATCATCCCACTCCACACGTGCCGGGTGCTATATGACGGGGGCAACTATCACCCATGGAGAAGCCAGCCGTAACTATAACCGGTATGTCCCCAGAAAAACAGCCCTGGGTGGCTTTTTGGCTCGCTTCTGGCGTCTGGCTATGTGGCCATCTGGCTTCTGGCTTTTACCAGCCTGCGGAAGCTCCGCGTTCCACGATGTGGCAGATTGCTGAGTGGACCAGGGATCATCGGGGTTAATCTGAGCAATGTGAGCAGTAACAAAAGTCGGACGGTTGATACGTTATAATTTCCTGTGCTGTCCGACCGGTAGGCCGTGGCTCGAACTGATAACGGTCGCGTATCGACCTGGTCCGTCGCCGTCCTCCCCTGGGGCGCATTGTTGCTGTGATGGATTTCCGTTGTCCTGCAGTAGCCCCCTGCTCCCCTGCTCCCTGCTTCTCTACTCCTTGCTCATTGCTCCCTGCTACCCCTGTTCCCTCCCAAGCTTGCCCTTGACCACAACTGGAGAGGAGCCCCGGCAGCGTTGAGCCCATGTTCCTGACTAGCCCTCCGCCCCGATTGGCGAGCATTGGTGCAATTGCAGTAGTGCGGCGTCCGTGGGGCAGCCCTCGAGTTCGCCAGTGGCCCAGTGGACTGCTCACCGGTTGCCTATTCGCCGTCGTCTTCCTCTCCCTGGCAGCAAGATGGCCGAGAGTTCTGGTCTAAAAGTCCGTGGTGAAACCCTCGGGCCAATCCGTGATGCTGGAAATTTGAGCGGGAGGTAGGACTGGCACCTTCATGTTGGGCTAAACCTCCAGCTGGCTGTCATCGAGGAGAGCCCCAGGGAGCTTTCGGGTTAGCCTGCTGCTTATAGTGCCGTCCAGGTCGAAATCCTCTCTCCACTGCCCTCCCCCTGGCCGCGGCGCTCAGTCGATGCCCCTGACCCTTGTTCGTGCGTCCTTTCTCCTCGATTTCCAGTTTCGCCGTCCGTTTTCTGCTCGTTTCTTCATAATTATCCCTTCGTTGCATCGGTGACCAGTGGTGTTTGTTGTCTTATCTTCCGCTCTCACACATCATGGCTGGCGGGTGCTGAAAGATGTGTTTTCTTTCCTGATTCAATGCAGCCTGGAGCTCGCTGTGTTCATCGTTGACGGTCTACTTCAACCTGCAAATACTTCTCTCACGCATATAGCAAACGACCCCCTTACCTTCTCTCTGCCCAAGCCCGGCGAGGATCAAACAACCCCAGTTCTCCGCAGTGTTCTCGTGCATATAAGCCGTTTGGTTTCTCCGTAGACAAAAAAATCGCCGTCTGAAACGTGCCTGTATCACAAAAATTGGCCTGACTCGGAACTGTGTGTATGACCTGTCCGATCCCGATTGCATAACCATTTTTAACAGTGCTGTCTGTCTGTCTTGTCCCGCAAGGCGAACTGTGACGTTGCGGGACAGTTCGAATTTTGGGGCGTTGGATGGGATGCTGACCGCGTACAGGGAATCCGCCGCCAATTCTTTATATCGCCGCTCGCATCTGGTCTCTCAGGACACCGCAACACCTCTCCGCGAGCGAAGACAGCAGCAATGGCTCCCTCACTGCGAGAGCGCGCTTCTTTCGTGCGTCCAACTACTCGTGACCGGCCAGTGACCCGCGACCAGGCAGAGTCGCTCATGATTCCCAGCCGGACGTCGTCGCTGCACTCGAGGATCACACAGCCGATTCCCTCGACCCTGAACGTGAAGCCCGCGCAGAGGACGCCTAAGACGCTCACTCATGCGTACATGGTCTGCGGTGTTGGCCGTGAGCCGTCGCAATGGGTGAAGGCACCGCCGCCGTCGCAGGGCAAGATAGGCCATATGAAAGGAGCTGTTGGACAGTTCTGGCTCCCAGAGATCCTGGGCAGCAGTCCCAGACTCGAGCAGGATAACGAGATAGCAAAGTCCTTGCATTCTGCTATGCGAGTAAGTTGTTCTCTCGTTTTTACATATATGTATAGATAAACTGACAATGGCAGGCCTGTTTCCCTCACGATGTTGAGATATGCACTGGCAAGAACCAGCCACACTGTGTCCATCATTCGTTCGTCCTTCAGCAGGACTCGTCTCACACGCTTTACGGCATTGCTCTCAGAGTCTGGTCGCGAGCTGACGATAAGCGTGCGGAAACCATTAGGGACCTCCGCAGGAAAACTGAAACGAACTTCTACGACAATCCAGAGGAGACATACTGGATTCCTTACTGCCTGAGCTTCCTCTCTAGATACCCCCTATACAACCTCCTGGGTGACTATCTCCGTGGCATGTGGATCCATTGGAACAAGGCCACCAACCTGTTCCATGCAGAGGAGGTCTCCAGAATCCTCAGTTTCCCGGCTCCACGTCTCAACGATCTTGTGCGCATCGACATGAAGGACTATGCGCTCTGCTATCAATTCCCATCTTCGCCCACCGGGTTCCAGAACTTCGCCATGTGGCCCCTATTCTCTTGTCTGTCTATTCCTAACATCGTTGGTGTCATCGAAGCTGCCGTCTCGCCTACCCGCAGAATCATCTTCGTCAGCCACTATCCTGCTATTCTGACCGTTGCGGCCGAAACCATCCGTTACTGTGTTCGTGTGTACGAGTGGAGTGGTCTCTATAACCCCGTCGTTCACGCCAGACATGTCAAGGAGCTGGTTCAGGAACCCGGCCCCTATATCCTTGGTGTAACCACCGAATGTCGAGACCTTTTCACTGCTCCCACAGATGCATTGGTGATTGACCTGGATCGCAACTTCGTGCTGACTTCCAGCCCACCAAACATCCTCACCCAGGGCCAGAGGAGCAAGATGATCACCCGTCTTACCCAGGCTTTGGCTGGTGATGTAACTCCAAGTGGCCCACCCGCCCATCTTCGATCTGCCTACGGTGGAGGAAAGCTGATTCCCGCCGGTCAGATTATCGTTATGAGAGGAGAGATTGAGAGTGTTCAGGACCCGGAATGGTGGAACCAGGATGGCGTCATGGCCGTTATGGACCATGTCTGCGAGAAACTGGTATGTAGTGTAAAGTTCCTTGTGCGTCCCCTATACCAAGGTGAATCGAATGCTAACTGATTTTTATAGGGCCGAAATACCGGCTTGAAAGCCGTGTTTGGAGGATCTGTCAAGAAGCCGCTGATGACCAAGGTGTCCATGAGACACCTCAACGAGATTGTTCGTGAACGTAACCAGTACTCCAGAGATGCTCTAGAGGCCTGGCAAGACTTCATCAACCTCAAGGGCAGAATGGACACCGAGTTGACCAAGGTGACTAAACGCAACAATTTCCTCGTGGAGGAGCTCGAGACCTGGAAACAGCAGTTCCTCAAATTCCAGAAATTTGCCGAACAGCTCACCAAGGAAACCTCGGATCTCAAAGTCAAGATCGAGACTCACAAGCGCGAGAGTCGCCGTCTTACTAGTCTTATCGATCAGCAAAAGGACGATATCATCCGCCTTACTCTACGTCTATCTGGCACTGAGAAGCAGCGTGATGACGCACTTGAGGCTCTCGTGCTTCAGCAGGAGATTGCCGAAGAGTTGGAGCGCGAGAGGAAACGAAACGCCAAAGAGATTGCTGCCCTACAGCACACTAATACCACTCTCTTGCGTCAACGGGATGACGCTCAGCGTGTCGTTATTCACCTCCGCAGCCTCATCAACGGCCAGGCTCACCACATGGAACACATCGTCCGTTCCATCAGCACTGCACCCGAACTGTCCCAGTACATCGAGGAAGGTTACGAGCACGCTGCCGAGGACGTAGCCAACAGTGAAGAGGATGTTGTCAGCTCACTTGACTCTGCTGATAAAGCTATATCGGGCCTCAAATCTACCTCTCGCTTCGCAGGCAGCCGCTCCACCACCCCGACTGGCAGCGAAGACGTCACTTCCGACATGGAAAATCGCCTTCTAAACATCGAAAGAAGGAGACGCTCTCCCAGATTAAGCATGTCCGATGTCGCCGACAGGCACTTGCGCGACAAGACCGATGCCATTGCGGACATCATCCGCACCATCAGCGACCAGTGCGCTGCAGCCGTCGAGGGCCTACAGCTCGCCCAGGACGCTGAGTTTGACGACGTCCCCGAGCTCTCTAAGCACGGTGAAGGAGCAGGCCGCGGAGCCATTGACCTTGACCGCTCTCAACGTGGCGACGGAAGTGAGGCAGATGACAACGATGGTGCCCTCCTCAGCCCTGATGGTCGCCACTCTACCATCCCTCCTACCCCAGACCTTGTGCCTAACCGGTCAAGCACATCGATGTCGATGGCTAGTAGTTCCACAATCCAGGAGCGATCGAGTCAGCAATATGGCCCGGGCGAGATTCCCACGAAAATTGTAGAACATGATGACGAGCATGCTCACGAGACGGAGCAGGAAGATGAGAACGTCGGCTCAATGGGCAAGCAGTCCAGCGGTCATAATTATATCAGACCTAGAGCGTCGAATATTATCGCATAGATGCGATCATTCCCCTGCCCCTTTTACTTTTTCTTTTCTTCATTATACCTTTCGCACGTTTATATCTTGTATTTTCTAGCCTTGACTTGATATCGCTGTTTAGTTACCCTTATTCCCCATCTCCTTCTTTTTCGTTTCTTTCCATGTCCCCCGCGTACCCTCCTGTTTTATATATCACGTTACCCATACCTGAGATTGTACTCGTTTTCATATGTACTCTTCGCGTGCGCTTCTCTTTCGCCTTCTCTTTCTTTACCTACCTGCCTACCCTTCGAGTGGACCTCTCCCAGTCTCCTTCTTTGTCCAAAACATGTATACAACATGTACAGATATCCTTTTTTATCATGTACGCGCCCTTCATCTTCTCCACGGGCAACGTCATAGTGAGGGCTACTTGTAGCTCTCCCGCCTCCTCAAGATAGACTTAAAACCAATCTATTTAGCTGTTTTATTTCTTCTCAGCCTGTCACCCAACGGTGTCCCAATAGCTGCTCAGCTGCCCAACGATTTGCCGGATGTATCTGTAGCATCCGAGTAGCAAAATCAATTTCTGCCTCGGTTCTATCCCTTGTTTCTAGGAAAGATGTTATCGACGGAGTTTTCGTTTGAGCTACAAGAGAATCCACAACTTTGAGGTCATGGGCACACCTTGAACCGAGGAAGGTGCTAGGCCATGGTTCATCGAGACCAAACAGACGCTTCATCTTTGTCACGGACATTATTTTCCGCCGATATTCGTCCAGATCAGGCATTTTTAGATCAAGTAGTAAAGCCCGAAACCGCATCCTTAGGGACTGCGGAGAGTTAATATGCCGCTTAAAATATCATTGGGGACATTTTTACCATACTTACCAAAAGCCCTAGGTTCCAGATATCTGCAGATGGAACCCATGGCAGCTCAAGCCAAACTTCCGGGCAACGCACCGCAAACGGCTGGATAGGGAAGTCATCTGGAGCTTCGAAGACTAGTTGAAGTGTCAGTAGTTTGTATAGTTACGTCCGTCCTTTAGCGGCTCAACTTACCGTTTTCGAAATCAGCCAGCTTGACCTCCATATCAGGCTTGCCTACATTCGAAAGGAGGATATTTCTCGGCTCTATATCTGATAGAGAAACCGGAGTTCAAATATCAGCTAACCTCCCGCCGACCCTGAAGTGAGAGAACCACACATACTATATATTGTTTGGGCTGGCCGGATGAAACGCCTAACTGTTGCAGAACAGGAGTTTTCGTGCAGTACCAAGCGGCTATTTATATAACTAAACAGCCATCTCGAAAGCTTAGGCTAACTAAATAATTAGTTAACTAGCCTGGAGTCCAAATGATCACTCATCATTGAATGCATGAATTGCTTTTTCTCGTTGACAAGTTGCTGATTTCCAGATATTCTGCTCCATGGGAAGTCAGCGGAGTTTTATGAACAATATCGTTTGTATGTCAACTCTATTAAGGTTACTCCCTCTAGTTGAAGTTTACGACGACGTCCTCGATGCTCGACCTCACTTCGTCGACTTCACATCATACCCGCAGGTCACGAAGGACGGAGAAGGAGTGTATCAGCATAACGAGAACGATGTCAACGATTGGAGGGCTTAGCATCATGCCATCCTGGTCACCATGCAAGGCTGATGTGGTCGCGGGGTCATAAAAGTCGAGGCGTCGCCTCCCTCGCACCGCCGCTGGCTATAGTAGCAGAGTGTCGCGGTTACCACTTGAACTCTGCTTGCAGATACAGATAGATGACGCTGGCCCGCTTCTTCTCTTCTCTACTTGCACTATATAACTTATCTCTGAACGGCCCCACTGACAATGGCCGATCCGCTTTCCGTTGCCGGGAGTGTAGCAGGGCTGGTGTCGCTCAGCATACAGGTTACGGGCTCCATCGTCAAATTCTACGATTCATACAAAGGTCAAGACGTCGCTGTGGACCGCACAACGGGGAAGCTTAAGAGTTTCCTGAGTATGCTCCAGTATCTTCACCAGAGGATTCAGGAGCGTAAATTCCAGCCCGATGAGAAAGACCTGATTCAAGCCATTGAATCGTCAATTGAAAACTGTGGGGACCTCATCTATGAGCTTCAGGATGAGTGTGAAAAATTTAGGAAAAAGGCTCCGGCTGGTGACCTCAAGGCCGCCATCAAGGCTACCGGGCGTCGAGTGTCCTATCCGTTCAAAGAGAGTACATTGAAAAAACTTGATGAGGATATTGGCGAGATGCGAGAAAATCTGACATTTGCATTGAATGCATTACAGATTGAGGAAAATAGAAATCATCGAGAGGATATAGCGGACGTGAAGCTGGTTCTTGACCTTGTGAGAGCAAATCAGATATCATCGACGATCCGTGACTGGCTCAAGGCACCAGATGCCACTATCAACCACAACTCGGCAGTTGCCAAATGCCATTCAGGAACCGGCATGTGGCTTGTCAGAAGTACTAAGTTTGAGACATGGCTGACTGGGGCCTCTTCCTTGCTCTGGCTCAACGGCTTCGCGGGATCTGGGAAGTCGGTTTTATGCTCCACTGCCATCCAATACACATATCGAAAGAAACAAGCCATTCCAGGCGTTGTTGGGATTGCGTTCTTTTACTTTACCTTCAATGATGAAGCTAAAAAGGATGCCGCTGGCATGCTACGAGCGTTGCTGCTACAGCTGTCAGGCCAACTCCACGATGGCCATAACGAACTCGAGCGCCTCCATAGGTCCCATAACACAGGTACTCCCCCGACACAAGAATTGACCGCTTACCTCCGCTCTTTGATTCAGAGATTCCAGCACGTGTATATATTTCTGGATGCATTAGATGAAAGTCCTCGTTATACCCATCGAGATGAAGTTCTAGACGTGGTAACCTTGATCCAGTCGTGGTCCTTGCCAGGAATGCATCTGTTCGTCACTAGTAGAGATGAGGTCGATATCCGGAACCGTCTGAACCCTACCACCGATGAAGAAGAGGTTATGCGTAATAATGCTATTAACCAGGATATCAGCAATTTTATATCTGCCGAATTGCGAACGAATAAGGCACTCTATAAATGGGAGGCGTATCACGATAAAATACAAAAGGCCCTGATTGAGCGTGCAGGCGGAGTGTAAGCAGTTGATAGTGCCCCCTCATCATATTTATTAGATTCAGGCTAATACAACACGCAGTTTCCGCTGGGTAGAGTGTCAATTCCAAGCCCTCAAAAGTTGTCTACGGAGCGAGAAAAAGCTCATGAAGTGTCTGGAGGGGTTGCCACGAGATTTAGACGAGACTTATGAGCGAATGTTATGTAACATCGATGAAGATGCAGTTGAAGAAGCACGGCGGATGTTGACTTTTCTCTGTTATTCTGCCCGACCTCTAACAGTACCGGAGATTATCGATGGGATTGCAGTCAGTCTCGATGAGCCTGCGCATCTCGACCGCCAACGTCGGCTGGAAGGCGCTGATGACCTATATGACCTATGCCCTGGATTGATCAGCATTGTTCGCCCAGAAGATTCAACTGAGAGTGATTTACCCACTGTCAATATCGCCCACTTCTCAGTCCAAGAGTATCTCCAATCAGATCGCATTCTTGCACAAAAGTCAGGGAGATTTGCACTACAAGGTGATCTGGCCCATACGGAGATTACACACATCAGCCTTGTATATGTGATGGAACTGGACTTGTCACTGGATATGCCAAATGTGAAGTACCCGCTAGCTCACTATGCTGCAGAATTCTGGTATAACCACTACAAGGATGCTAGGAAACAAGACCATCTTGAAGGGGCTATATTAAGACTGTTCAGGCAAAAGAGAGAAAAATTTTGCGCATGGGCAATATTATATGAACACTTGAGTCCAGAGAACTTCCCTCATCCTGCAAGTATAGTTGAAAAACTTGGACAACCGCTCTACTATGCATCGCTTTTTGGGCTTACTCGAGTGGTGCAAGATATTATAGCTGCTGAATCAGGCAGCGGCCACGCGATAAAGGACTTAATCAATAAGCGAAGTTACTGCGATCTCACCGCGTTGGTGGTAGCATCAAGGGAAGGTTTCGCAACTATAGTACAAATCCTACTGGATAATGGTGCCGATGCCAATTTCAAATCTCGATATGGGTCCTCTGCCATTATCGCCGCGTGTGGCCGAGGCCATGAGAGAATAGTCCAGCTATTACTAGAGAGGGGTGCTAAGGTTAACCCTCTGGGGAGATTACAAAAGCCTGCACTTTACGCAGCATCCAGTGAGGGCCACGAGAATATAGTCCGGCTACTACTAGATAGTGGTGCCGATATAAGTCCCATATCAGGAATCTACGGTTCCGCTCTCAGCTCCGCGTCTTCTGGTGGCTATACCAGCATAGTCCAGCTACTACTAGATAGGGGTGCTGATATCAATGCTATGGGGGATCTGGGTACTGCACTTTACGTAGCATCATATCACGGGCACGAGAGTGTGGTACGGCTTTTATTAAACAATGGTGCTGATATCAATGCTAAGGGGAGATATGATACTGCGCTTTCCGTAGCATCAAGTAGGCATCATAAGAGTATAGTCCAGTTACTACTAGATAGGGGTGCTAGTGTCATCGCTACGGGGAAGCAGAGTACTGCACTTTATCCAGCATCAGATCGGAGCCATGAGAGTGTGGTACGGCTTTTTTCAAACAATGGTGCTGATATCAATGCTGGGGCGGAGCATGATACTTCACTTTACACAGCATCACTTAGGGGCCATGAGAGTATGGTCCAGCTATTACTAGAGAATGGTGCTGATGTCAATGCTATGGGGAAGCAGGGCACTGCACTTTACGCAGCATCATATCGGGGTCATGAGAGTGTGGTACGGCTTCTACTAAACAATGGTGCTGATATCAATGTTTGGGAAAGCCATTATGGTAGCGCACTTGGGGCAGCCTCAGAATGTGGCCATCTGGACATAGTTAAACTGCTACTGGAGAGCGGTGCTGATGTCAATGTTTGGGGAAAGCGTTATGGTAGCGCACTTGGGAGAGCCTCACGCTATGGCCGTGTAGGCATAGTTAAGCTGTTACTGGAAAAGGGAGCCGACCCCAATGCTCCGGGAGGGTATCTTTATAATTCAGCAATTGCGGGAGCAACAAAAGGAGGCCATCAGGACATAGTTGAGCTACTGCTGGATAATGGGGCAACACCATGGTCTTACTCTGTGGCGGATGAGTGAATACTCGTGTTCTGTAGTTAGATGTTAGAAACAATTTTATATCGTATTATAGATTGCGCTGGACCTCGTTCTCCTTACCTAGATCTCGACAAAACGCCAGAATTCAGCCTTATATAAAAGCGATTGACCAGTGGATAACATGTACTCTCAATTCTTGCTATCAATCTCCAAGAATGCGAACCATACCTGAGATGAGCATAAAATCAATAGTTGAGAGCACCCCAGCTTGACAGACGGTGGGAATCTTGACATCAACCACCCTCGGGTCTATTGCCTCACGCTATGAGGTAACAGAAATAACAAATGGCGGGAGAGACTCCGCCTGATGGCAACCGCAGTGCTCTATCGGGAGGACGCCACAGACACGATCAGCACAATAGGAGACCTTCTGGCCGACGCCAACGAAAAACGGAAAATGGTCATCGGAGGATATGCGATCAAGATGGTGATCTGGGGCAAGGAGGCGAGCACTCTCTGCCGTCAAGTGCTACAGCATCGATCGTCCGCGAATCCAGGGGAAAGGCGAAAAAGGGGACATCGTAGGGCAAAGACGAAAGCCTTCAGCCTAGGGACACCCTGCCAGCTCTGAACAGGGGACTCCCCGGCTCCGGGGGGAGCTTCCCATGCTCTCAAATCTGTGCTCCCCGTCCGCCCGTTCAGCCCCATAGCGCGCTGTCAAAGAAGGAATAATTGGCATTCAACGGCTTGGTATGCAACTTCTTGCAGCCGTTGAGCAATCCGCGTCCTTTGACTATCGAGGAGCCTGATCGACCTGTGGCTTGGAGAAGAATTCTCTAGAAGGGCGAGCAGGACGTCACCGCACCTTGAGATGGCCAGCCAGCGTCGCACATTGCATGCATCTGTCCCCAGGCGACAAATACAAGTTGAGCCGTGTGAAGACTATGTCAACTAGCGCTACCATTTAGGCTCGCCGGAGATCTGGAGAGCTCCAGCCTGGTGGACCAGGAGTTGCCACTAGCCGGCAGGATACGAAGCATAGTCGAGAAGCAAACATATCGCTAGGCCAACGTTCATACTGGTCCCTTGATGCGGCTATGTGAAGTTAGCAGACTTAGTTCCATGGCATATCAGACGCTGGGCTGGAAACCTCATACATCCCCGGGGCCAACTAGCCTCTTTGGCTCGAAATGAAGACATCCCCCTCCCCCCCTCCCCCCCGATGGCTTGATATCTGCGAATTGAACGGGTAACCGCCTGCACGGAAGCGTTGGAGAAGAGCTAAGACAGGGGGGCTAGCTTGCCCTGCAGTTTATAAAACCGACCATACCCCCCAATGGGCTGTCGCCTGCTGGCTGGAGGTGTTTCTGTGAGACTGTCGATATCTTCAATTGAGTATCCTTACAGCCGACATCCCTCCCCGGCCAGCTCTCATAGTGTCCGCGGCAAACTGCATATCGCCTGCCTCGAAGTAGTCAAACCGGTCCGCCGCTCCTCGAGTGGGAGAATTTTTTGTTTGAGATACCACCATCATCATGACTTCGGTACTGGATCTACTGGCCATGGCTGAACAGGAGCATACACCGGTGCTGGTAGCCCGTTCGTCGGTGGCTCAGACTCATGCAATTGAGATGCTGAAATTTCCGCTCCTCAAGATCCATTACAGATATTTCCCTCTCGTCATCTCCATCGCCAGTCTCTCGCTGCTTGCAACCGTCGGCTCGTTTAGTTTCCTCACATATCGACTTATCTTCTGGCGCAAATATTCTTCAACCTACTTTGGTTATAACCAATATATAATCCTAATTTACAACCTGATTCTCGCGGACATGCAAACGGCCGGCGGTGCCATCATTACCGCCCACTGGGCACGAATTGGTGCTATTCAGGGTGGTTCGAATACCTGCATCGTACAGGGCTGGCTATTCCAAGAAGGGATTCCAGCAAGTGGCTTATTCGTCCTGTCAATCGCCATACACACCTTTGTCACCGTCATTCTTGGTCGAAAGCTGGAGTACCGGACTTTCGTGTGCTGTGTGATTGGGGTATGGATGTTTACTCTCTTCCTTACCGTGTTACCTATTCTCTTGGAGGGAAAACACGCGTATGTGAATTCGGGCGCTTGGGTATGTCTACACTCTCCTCTCCCTTTCGTGGCTTATGCTGACTTTGAATAGTGCTGGATAACTTCGACCCGCGAGGACCTGAGACTAGGGACTCATTATATTTGGGTCTTCCTTTCTCAATTCGGCAGCGTTACCATCTATGTCATCCTTTTCTTCTACCTACGGCGCAAGGTAGCCCTCTCTGCGACCCTTAGCAAGCAGTCACAGGAAAAGTTTTCCCGTCTAAAGCGTGTTGTCAAGCTTATGCTTCTCTACCCCATTGCCTACATCACCCTCTCACTACCCATCGCGGCCTCGCGGATGGCTACGGCCGCTGGCACAAAACCTCCGTTTACCTACTATATCATCGCAGCAATGATAATGTCGACCTCTGGATTTGTCCATACGATTATCTATGCTGTCACTCGACGATCATTGATCTTGAACTCGGAGTCTACTCGTCGCAAGGGCGGAACTGGATACGGCCCTTCATCATCGCACCAGGGGGGAACAAATTCACAAAAGGATGTTGAGAACACCACCTGCACTACACTTGTCAGCAGCAGCACACCCATATCTTCTCCAACTAGCCCTATCGATGCATATAAGAAGATGTATCATCGGATAAACGGTTCAGCGACACCGTCGCCAAAGGCAGAAGCATTCGAGATGGACGGAGTGTATCAACAGACTACAATCTCCGTCGTAAGCAGACCTGCATTAGCACCGCCAACCAGAGACGGTGCATCATCTATCACGATCGAGTCCAACACAAGGCCTGCCACCTCCCGGCAATGGCCAAGACCCTGACATTCGGGTCTTGAATTCCTTCTTTTGATTAATTTTTTTTTCCCCTACGTCCTCACTCACTGACGAACCTTATCACTACGCTCTTTACTGATTCTTTGTAAATATTGATACACCCTTCATACATACCCTGGGCCTACTTACATATGACTTAATTATAATTGATAATTAACATCTCCAACCGAGAATTTCTTTCTATTTTTGCATGCAGGCCATTGATGTGAAGTGGTTGGCCGCACTTAACCAATAACCGGATCCAGGGCTGCCGCCTATCGCCTTGTTCAAAGGCGGGATGTGATATTGAAAAAAGCAAAGAGGAGCAATAAGCCGCCACTCTGATACTCCAAGAGACAGTAGCTGACGATCGTCAGATAAGGCTTAAATATTAAATTGTGGCACTGACTTCTGCACTAGTTAGAAGTGAGAGCAAGATGGTTAAATAGGATAGCAATGATTGCTTGTTCCACGGAGAAAAATAAGAGGTTGCTTCCATCTCCGAATAGGTGTGCTTTGACCAAACACCGCCAACTAGTGCATGCGATAAGACTATCATTTTAATCAGAGAACGGAGGAAACGAGGGGTCTGATTGCGAGTCATAGTGGTGGACTAATTTTGATCGGCGAGTGCTAATTAAGGCCATATCGAGGCCACATTAAGGCCACGTCGAGGTCAGGGTTATGTGGAATCAGTTCAACTCTAGCAGCTAGAACCTTTGGGACCTATTGCTATCCAATGCTACTAGACCTGAACATCAAGGGGTAAGTAAAACAAGCAGAAACGCTGCAAAGTAAAGGGACTCAAGCCGGATCAATGCTCCTTTGGCACACAGATGTAAATGGATACATATAGTAACGTAGATAGATGCGCTGGAAATAATCATGTACCTAACTCCCCTATACCCACATACAGTAGTTTAACAGCTGACTCGTGAAACGGAAGGCAATGAGTAAAACAGACTCTATCTCGGGGAATTAGAAATAAAATAACAAGGGACATAGCAACATTTTAACAGTAGTATGATATCGAAAACGAAAGAGGGGTATAAGTATTAAGCATAAATGCGATATTTTAGACTTTGCGGAAAAATAATAATAATAATAGATCGTTGGACCAGTTCACTGGCTAGGCGACGTTGGATTGTTTGCTCCACCTGCTAGGTACTCCGGTGGCACTTTTGGTACCCTGGGCGAAGTGGCTGTTTGAGCAATCGCTCGTTGCTGGGCTCTTAATAGCTCACGCTGTCGATCTCTATCACGCCCAGCGTTGTTGCCACCGGTTAACCGGCGCACACCACTTCGGATCATGGTATCCAAAGAAAACGACCCGGCTTCAGGATTACTGTTACCCATAACTGCAACGCGGGAGGTAGAGGACGACGGGTAGTGAAGAGTAAGACGATCGTCCGAATCTGACAACGTATCCTCAGTATCGTCATCAGAAAGGAAAGATCGCCCAATATAGCTGAGTTCAGGGGTGCCAGGGTTGCCATTGTTATTACTTGATTGCGGGTAGTAGTTACTTGGGGAGGTGATGGAGCGCGTGTGTAGCGATCCACGCCGTGGCTGCGTGGATGAAGAAGACGTGCTTAAGGGCGATGGGTGAATGGATGGAGCACCAACGCTGTTCGAATCAGTACGGGTAAGGGGAAGTCTAGAGTCGGCAAAGCCGTTGTGGAATGAAGAAGAGGAGGCTGTTCGAGCAAGCGATTTCCGCAATAACGGAGCAGTATGTTGATCGTATAGATGTGTGCTGGCGTCTGGGAAATCGGTAGTAGCAAAGTTGTGAAGGGACGCTCCCGAGATCGAAGGCACAGAGTGATTCACCTCCGTCTCTTCGAAGAAGTCATCCAGGCTGTCGAGCTTTTGTAACAAATCACCCATGTTTGTTTCGTTTCCGGTATCGACCGATTTCATCGTGTCGGCGCGGAATGGCAGGAAATACGAATCACCGTAGTCGTCAACGTGGAATTCCAGATCTGGTGAAGCTGGCGGTTGGCCTTCAAGTCCGTCTTCCTCGGCACATGTATAGAACACTGCATGAACGTTGTTTCTGGTCAAGTTAGACTGGGCGGCTGGGATGGGAATTGACCACCCTGTTGGCTCTGGGATACCGTATAAGCTTTGTATCCCTTCAAACTCCTTGCGAATAGCTCTTGATGACGCCGAGGATGCCATGCTCATACGAAGATGATGGCGCTCCATTGGGTTTCCAGCAACTGTCATAATGTGGTCAAGGACTCCGAGCGCCTGAGGGCAGAGTTCGGTATGAAGGAGACGAAGTAAGGGTGAGATAAGATCTGGGCCATGGCAAGATATATCTGGCCGACGCATGTCGATTTCAGAAATTATTGCACTGAGAATCCGCATGATGCTAATACGGAACCACGATGTGTTATTCGTCAAAAGCCCCATCAGGAATACCAAACTCTGAACATCCTGACTTGGAAAATAGTACATTGATATCGCGTTGACAATGTCGACCAAGAACTCGTCACTTGTTCGGTATTGTGCTTGGGAGAACGTAAACAAACAGTTCGATAACTGAGTGCAGCCTTGTTTCTCTGCAATAGTAGCAAGTAGGCTGGCATGTTTTTCGACGTTACTGGATCCCTTTACAGGGTCATATTCGTTCAACAGCTCAGGTAAATTCGCCCAAACTGCAAACAACAAGCGGTTTCCATCGCCAACCAAATCATTGTTCGGTATGGCAGCTAGTCTTCTCAGTACCGCGAGGGTTTCGTGTAGCGACTCTGATGACTTTAACCCTTTATAAACCAGATCCTGGATCCCACAAAATTCGCCTTCCCACTTTGGAGGCTTGCTCTCTTGCAGTTTGGCTGCCACGCTTTCGTCAGACAGGTCAATTTTGTCCAGGTATTTCTCGAGCATGGCCAGACTCTCCACAAATTCCCGCTCATGTATCGTATTAAGGCATGCACAAGTGGTCCAGAACAGCTGAGGATATCGTAAAAGGTCTTGCGGAGCGAGAGAGCTAATGATGACTTTTAGCGTGGTCAAGATCTCCATCGAAAACGTCTGGTAATCTGTTTCTTCTTCAGCGATTGTATTCGAAAGTCGTGCAAGCATGTCAGCAAGCATCCGAGAGTCGAGCGATGTGGATATGCATCTGAATACTTGGAACGACCGACAGGCAAGATGTCTAACAGGACAAGATGTCGCCCAGTTCAGCGCTTCTCTTGACCAATGGTCATTAACTCCGTCGTAAACGGCATTAAATATCCCTGCTACGCTGTGGGCAACATGATGCATGGACGATGGTACCCTTGTATCGGCAGCTTTCTCATCCTTCTCGTTATTATCTTCATATTCCCATATGACAGTAGGGTCGCTTTGCCGAATACACTCCACAAAATCTTCGATTGATTGACGCTGGGCACCTTGAACTTCGTTCTCTAGCTTCGAGGCGACCAGTTCATGGATTAGATGAACGAGCATTTCTCGTGCTTGTTCTCGTACGGTCAAGGTGTAGTGATCCCAGAATATAAATGCAACGTGGATGAGTTTGATGACACTCTCAAATCCGATACTAACTGGGGCAACCATCAAGTCGACTAGAAATATCAGAGATACTTGTCCCAATGATAAACCGACTTGTTTGTTCCCAACGGGCAAAATGGTACCTAGATCTGCAACGTATGGCAGGTTTGATAGATCGGTAGGAGCTGGAAGGGGTTCACGGCGCTCATGTACCATGTTTTTGGGCACGACTTGAAGCAAGAAAAATTCAATAACCTTGGAGCCCGCTGGGGTTGATGCTAGGAAAACAACTATTTGTTTCGCGTAGTCAACGAAGTTTTGTTCTCTTCGCTCCAAACAGAGGCTAATGATAAAATCAAGCACGAGTTGGACATTGCCAGCATGGGGACCAGTGGCAAGAGCCTGCCAAAGGGCTTGGACCTCGTTTGGCAGTACAGTTCCAGATCGAATGGTGATTTCGAAAAGGTTGGAAAGCAACATGTAAGACTTTGAGGTTGGGCCGCCGTTCGGATCTAATTGGAGTTCAATTGCTTGGACCCACGGCAGAATGGCTGCGACCATATTACGTTGGGTGTCTGGCTGGATGTTTTTGAAGTGGAGAGAGAACTCCGAGAAGATGACGAATGCCAAATCGGCATGCTGCTGTGCAAGTCGCTTCGAAGTTTCAAACTGAGCAAGCTTATACACGGCAGTTGTCCTATCCGAGATGCTGATATCAAAGTCTTGTAGCCGTGAGTTCTTCTGTTCCCGTTCTTCAATCGTTCTTAGTAACCGAGCAGATTTCATACGGATCTCTCTTTTGGAATTCCCAAGAGTAAAGAGGACAGCGCCTAGGATGCGCCAAAAGGCAACAGGGTAGTCGCTTTCTTCAACAACCACTTGTGAGAAAACTTCAAAATAGCTCTCAAGTGCCTTTGGTCGTTCGGATAAGTAACACATCTCAATACATTGCTCAAGTAGGTACGGGAGAGCTTTGTTGTGAACAATCAGATTTTTCAGTGCTCGTCGCCCAATGGCATGGAGTTTATCACTTTCAGTGTTGAGAATAATGTCAATCCAGGAGAGCATGCGTCTGATATCGAATTGGAGCGTCGCTCCGCTTTCCGTGGATATTCGTATTGGACCACCACAGAGTGATGCCATAGAACTCAGCGCAGCGGTGCGCAAATTCCGTTTCTCAATTTCCATTGCCGCAGTGCTACGCACTTCGCCATTCTCGCGTTGTCGTGCAATGGTAAGTTTTCGCATATTCTCTTCCCGAACCGCAATCTGGTTCTGATTGGGAGAATAGCCACACCAGTCCTCCATTAGCGAGAAAGCCGATTTCCGGGACTCGAATGGCATCCATCGCGATGGCTCCTTTGACCTTTTAATCCCGTCGAACAACTGTTCAAGTAACCCGCAGAAATGGAATCGAAGGTTTTGGAATTCCAGGTCATTCTGCACCTCGACATCGCTTAAGAAGATTCTAAGATCTCGAGTATATGTCACCATGTTATTCAGTATCCAGTCATCGTTAGACACTTCAGGGTCCTTAAGGAAATGGGACGTCGCTTTGTAGACATTGGTAACTTCTGTCCTGAGGAGATCTGTACGTCTATTCCGCCTTGGTGTGCTCGGGGTACGAAGATGAGTTCCAATACGGACCCTAGCTTCTTCCTTGCAAGTAGTCACAGCGTACTGCAGTGACTCTAACAATGTCCTGTATAATGCAATGTTGATAGAGCCTAAAGCAACAACAATGGCATTTCTGATCGAATCGTGCGGGGCAGATAGGAGTGGAATGACGAAAGCAAAGAGAGATCTTGCAGAGTTAATCTTATCCTGGCTTTGCTGGCCGGCCTTGGAAGCTTTTCGTGCGTGTTGAGCATTCGCCAGCTGACTTTGGGACTGGGCGCCCGCACTATTTAACGTAGTGCAAGCCATAATGAGATACAGCTTCCACTGTTCAATCATGACTTCTGGAGGCGTGCCACTCCTAATAATAATAGGGCGAGTCGGAATATGGTCGGGGGAATTGAGTTGCATAGGTGGAGGGCCCTCAGCGATATGAGTAATCTGTCTATGCATATGGACTAATCTAGCGCAAACAATTTCGCGGCCGAGGGTGACTGCGAATGGACAGGTGTCGAAACTTATCCGAATAAGATTTGGAAACACTTTTGCCCATAGAGTCGAGTCGTATGATACTTCGCTACTGCATAGCTCAATAAGAGTGTTATGGGCAATGCTCTCTTGTCTACCCTTTTGGAGTCTGCTTCGCTCCGCAACAGTCAACGATTCATCTTTCAGATCGAGAACCCGTTGGGAGTCCCCTTCCATAATACGGATAATCCGAGTATTATTCTTTCCTAGAGCTGTGTCGAATTCAGTCACAAGGCGAAGAACCGTTATGGCAAACGCACGAACGGTTCTTGATTGAGAACATAGAAAGAATAGCCCGTGGGACTCGATCTCCTCCACATGAGCGAGGACGCCAGATAAATCAAGCTGTAGCCCTCGAGCACCTGTACCAGTCTTCTCAGGCAAATCAATAGTAGCATCCTTGGTTTTCTGCCTTATTTCCTCGATCCATATCTGAATGAGTTGAACATATAGTTTTAACGTCGATTCGATATGGCCTGGCCCAAGCATGCCTTCATCTGACATGGTGGAATATCTGGCATCAAAGTTAAAGATGAAGCGGGCAAACCCGATAGCTACATGTTGGGCGTATGACTGGCGGGCAATGGATTTGAGCGACTCTGCGGATGATGCCGCGATGTTAGACTGTACGTGTGCGGTGCCCGTACATAGGAGGTTGATGAGGGAGTTAAATGGTATATGGTCAGAAAGACACCGGGGCAGTGCCTGAACGGCGACATGGAGAAGATCGTAGAACCCTTGCTTTTGGTCAGGGGTGTTGGCATGGTCATCACGTCGGCCAAAGCTAAAGTGTTCCGTGATGGGAGTCTTAGGCGTAACACCGCCGAATTTTTCATCGAGAGCAGCTTGTCCTCCGAAAGTATTGTCACATAATATAGTGATCTTCCCCAATATCTCGCAAAATCGGAGGTAATATTTTCGAGTATTTTCGTTCAGCTTAGCCGGATTGAATGGGAGCGGAGAAGGCTGCGGTTTTGGAGGTGGAGTGTTGGTACTGTATTGCGGCTCAGGGATGGATGCCTGCGGGGAGAAGGGTGAGATAGGAGATTGCTCAGTGACAGCAAATTCCTGTGGGAAAGGAGGTGGTGTCCCGCCACCGTTTTCTATATCTGCCATGATAGCTAGGAAAGAGCGGATGCCAATAACCATTTTTTCAGGCTCCATCTGTTCGATCTTGAGATCTTTGCCGGACGTAAATAGGTCGGAATTGACCAGTGGGAAGATGATGCTGCGGAAGCACATCTCTGGGTGCTTAAAGCCGATCATTCGGACTAGCTGAGTAATTGGTTCTGCAACTGTAGGTTCGGTGGTGAGATACGTTCTCCTTCCACCTGGCAGGACTATCCGAATCACTTCCTCCGTTTTACGGAGAGGGTTACTGAGAGGGTCAGAGTAACGGTATAGATATGTCCAGAGTAATCGACATATAGCCTGAAGCGCAGCAGCCCTGGTAGGGCGCTCTTTAAGCTTCGGTGAAAGCGCATTCACAGTCGGCATCCACTGAGAGAGAAACGTATCTCGCGGAGAAACACACAAGAGGAGGATATGAAGGGGGAAAGCACTGTTCCAATGCCGGGGTTTCACGAGGACCTGGGACAATCGAGGCACGAGAAGCTCTAGGAATTCCTTCCATTTGGACGAGGACAAATCACAGGCTGGATTGGCGGCGATGGGAAGGAGAAAAGTCTCCAGTATCTGGCAATACGCCTGTTTCAAACGTTGTCCGTGTGCGTCACTGAACAGCCTGGCAAGCGATTGCAGGAAATCACACGTTTTCCCCCACCCGTCTTCCGGATATACTCGAAGACGAAGATGCCGCAGTCCAAAAATCAATAATTCGGCTTTAGTTTCCGTCTCTCTGGCTGCCAGCATGCGTCCGTCTTCTCGCTGGTACTGAGCCAGCTCGGAAAGATACTGGTTGGAAACACTGGCGAAATTGCTTTCACTCATGATGCCGAGCAACTGTCCGTAGATGCGCCAATTAGCCATTCTTAGCGGTGATGCAGAAATTTGATCTGGATCGACGGCCTTTAGCTGTCCGAATACGATATCTTCTAGCCGATCTGCCATTTCTTGTGTGATTGCGTTGAGCGTGCTTTGGTTGAAGATCTCGATGAGAACACGGCATACGAGGTAGACGGAGACGGTTGCTCGTCGTTCGGTCATGAGTATATCTTCCTGCCTGTTTACTATAGGGATCGAAGCAGCCGGTGACCCAGCAGCATCTGGAACGTCTGGTCCCGGCTGTGGTGGTTCTGTGTTCCGCCGTACTATGGTCGACGAAATTGATGGAGGGGGTTTGGGCTGATGAGATGTCCTGTTAGCAAGAAATTTCATATATAGTATCTCGAAGCTCGAATAGCATTACCTGAGTCCAGCCTTGCTTTGCTGTGGCAGCTGCATCGCCCTTTGACTTCCTCCATACCATTATAGTGTCTATCAGCGGTTTAGGCTTCTGTTTCGCGATGTGGCCGAGGGCAGCAATGAGCTGGTCGAAAGTCGGGTCCGCTCCTGGACCACATACTTGTTCTACAGGCGCATCGAATTCTCCAATGCTCATGATACATTTGTTAATCTTTTCCTCCGCTTGTCCCACGAACTATATAACGCAGTCAGTATACAGTCCTATAAATATGGCATGTCACGACTAACCGAATTAAAGAGATGGTGGAGAGCATACTCTCCTACCGTTTTAGCTTCTTGGTTGGCATGTCCCGAACGGGACTTGCTGTGCGAGTTTTCCCTCCGTAGCTTTCCAGTGGTGATGGCTCGACGGTGAGAATGCTGACGCTCCAGCCCGTCTGGCCGGACAGTATCTTGTATCAAGGCCAAATGCGATCCCTGCAGGATATTTCCCACACCACCAGCAGGCGCCATGAACGTGGCAGGCGAGAAGTCACCATTCTCCCGCACGCCGCCGTTAAGCTTCGATTCAGGTAGAGCTGGCGCGAATCCAGCAGCTGAGATCATCTCGGGACTCAGAGGGCTCGACGTGGCGGGCGAATTTGCGAAACTGGGGCCTCTGGAATGCTGGATGCTTCCATGAACGATCGAGGCCTGGCGATGGTGGCCGTACGAATTCGAGGGCCGTCTCTCTAGACCTTCGCTGTCCGAGCCGATACCGGGCCTCTCGCGCTCACGCTCTCGTTCTCGCTCGCTGGTCGGCTCCGGGCTCTTGGAATGCGACTGGTTTCGTAGCTGGGTGTGTGGTTGCAGAGAGGCGAGGCCAAATCCAGTAGCCGCAGTCGCATCTCCCGGCCGACCTCGAACGCTAGAAACATCTCGACTATGTGGCGTCGACGAAGGTGGATTTCTCGCCGGAGCTCTGTCTGAGGGAGAATGGATGGCGGTCGTGTGCTGTGCAGCAGTCGACTCTTCAGGGGTATGAGCCAGGGACTGGCCTTGACCCGGCGGGGCCTGTCGCATCGAGTGCGGACTAGCTGCAACAATTGTGAGCAAGGTGCTACCAAGAGCGTTTCACCCATGAGGCCCGAGGACGGCGGACAGTGAGAGGCAGCGAGAGAGGGCCAGGATGGCCGGGAATATATAGAGGCCGCGGGTGCAATTGGGGAGGAGGGAGACTTACGAGTCTGCTGCATGATTTCAAGGCCCAGCAGCTGCGCGGAGACGGATATCAGCTATGCAATGGCCGTCTGCTCCCCGCATTCTGTGTCCGCTATCCATTCAAGTCTCGAGAAGGGGGAAGAAGGCCGTCGGGCGCGTCGGTGGTCATGGTCGTGGATGGACGGTGGTGATGGATGGTTGAAGTTCGTTGCTGGCGGTTAAAACGTCGTCGTTGACTAATCCACCACGGCCATGATCTAGGAACAGGTCAGTTTCTTCTCTTCTCTTCTCTTCTCTTCTCTTCTCGTCTTGTTGTCTACTGTCTACGGAGTACTGTCTATGGAGTACTGTCTACGGAGTACTGTATACTGTCTGTCTACGAGTGCTCGTTATGGTACTGCTGGAGATGGGTGGCTTACACAGGTCTACATCTAGGACAGACATAAGACAACAGGTACATCTAGGACAGACACAGACACAGGCACAGGGTAGAAGGATAGGAGAACAGAGAGACATAGGCTCAGGAGGCAGGATACGCTGATAGGAGTATACGGAGTATCAGACCTGGATAGCATACTCCGTTTCTGGTGGATGAGCTGGGATAGCTTCAGCATCTACGGCGTACGACCGACAGATTGATGAGAAGACAGAATACGAGCAGAGAGGCTCGGATCCCAGGCCGAACAGTAGAATCACCATGGATGCTGGCCTTGGATCCCTCGAGGATCGATGCTCCGACGAGGCTAGGAGAGATCTTGCGGACGGAGCTTTGTAGACCCCTGAGCATTTATATCTCTATCTTCTCCTTGCTTCCCTGTCTCCCTGTCTGCCCTCTACTCGTCTCTCCCTGTCCTCTACTCTGTCTACTCGTCTCTCCCTGTCTCCCTGTCTCCTATCTTCTCGTCTGTCCACGCTTACATAACTGCCTATGCAAAAGACCATCAGCCAGCCTTGATTTCGTGGCGCGAACAGAGAAGACGGAACAGACAGACAGCCCGGTGCCCGAGGAAATAGGAGAAACTAAAGGAGATATATAAAAAGAACGAAAGACAGGCCACCAGTGCAGCCGCATCCGCATCCTCCCACAGAAACATCCCGGCACGGCTAAAATATAAGCGGCCGCCGAATTGCTAGAGAAAACTTTCATCCGGAGAATCAGATAATTCGAGCATCACCCCATATTATTTTTCAGGAGCCGGAGCGCTGTTGAGAGTGCCCCTCCCGCTCGACGGTCGACCATTCTCTCCAACGGACACGTATATCAGATCGCTAGGCCCGGAGGACGAGCCTTGGTTGTACGGACGACGTTTTGCCCTGTCTTGCTCTGATCAGGCTCCAACTTTCTCGCATGGTTAGGCTTGACAGCGACAGTTGACATACGGTTATAGCGACGGTTACGACGGTCAAGATGGCGCAGGTTGACACTCTGGACATGCTCGTCCTGGCGGTGATACTCGTCGGGACCATAGCATACTTCACCAAGGGCACGTACTGGGGTGTTGCAAAGGACCCCTATGCCTCCACGTATGCCGCAACGAACAGCGCAAAGCAAGGCCAGACCCGAAACATCGTCGAGAAGCTAGAGGAAACCGGCAAGAACTGTGTCATCTTCTACGGCTCCCAGACCGGAACCGCGGAGGACTATGCGTCCAGGCTGGCCAAGGAGGGTTCTCAGCGATTCGGCCTCAAGACCATGGTCGCCGACCTGGAAGACTACGACTATTCGACCCTGGACAAATTCCCCGAAGACAAGGTTGCGTTCTTCGTCCTGGCTACCTATGGCGAGGGCGAACCGACGGATAACGCCGTCGAGTTCTTCCAATTCTTCTCTGGAGACGATACCAGCTTTGAAGATGGAGGTTCTCCCGAAGACCAGCCGCTCTCCAACATGCGATATGTCGCCTTTGGCCTCGGAAACAACACCTACGAACACTACAACGCCATGGTTAGAATCGTGGACAAGGCCTTGACCAAGTGTGGTGCTAAGAGAATCGGTGACGCCGGCGAGGGCGATGACGGCGCCGGAACCATGGAAGAAGACTATCTCGCCTGGAAGGAGCCCATGTGGAAGGCTTTGGCTGCAGAGATGGGCCTCGAAGAGAGGGAGGCCGTCTACGAGCCGACCTTCAGCATCATCGAGGAAGCCGACATGACACCCGAATCCGACAATGTCTACCTGGGCGAGCCAAACTCATCCCACCTCAACGGACGTAGCCAGGGCCCATACAATGCGCATAACCCATTCCTCTCGCCCATCGTCGAGTCTCGCGAACTCTTCTCCGTCAAGGACCGTAACTGTCTGCACATGGAATTCAACATCGAAGGAAGTCAGCTCAACTACCAGACCGGCGACCACATCGCCGTCTGGCCCACCAATGCCGGCCAGGAAGTCGACCGTTTCCTCAAGGTCTTCGGCCTGGAAGAGAAACGTCACCAGGTCATTCGTGTCAAGCCAATTGACGTCACCGCTAAAGTCCCATTCCCTCAGCCAACTACCTACGACGCCGTTGTGAGATATTACATCGAAGCCTGCGGGCCCGTATCGCGACAGTTCATCTCTCAGCTCGCCGCATTCGCTCCGGATGACGAAACCAAGAAGAAGATGATCCGCATCGGCGAGGATAAAGATGTCTTCTCCGATAAAGTGTCTACCTTTTACTACAACATCGCCCAGGCCCTGCAATCGTTCACCGAGAAACCCTTTACCGCCGTCCCATTCTCGCTGCTTATCGAAGGTATCCCGAAGATCCAGCCACGATACTACTCCATCTCCTCTTCGTCAATGGTTCAGAAGGAAAAGATCAGCATCACCGCCGTCGTCGAGTCGTTACGTGTTCCTGGAGCCGGCCACGTCGTCAAGGGTGTCACCACCAACTACCTTCTTGCCCTGAAACAGAAACAGCACGGTGAACCAAAGCCAGACCCATTCGGTTTGACGTACGCCATCACCGGACCTCGAAATAAATATGACGGCTTCCATGTCCCCGTACATGTGCGCCACTCTAACTTCAAACTCCCATCTGATCCATCCAAGCCGATCATCATGGTCGGTCCTGGTACCGGTGTAGCTCCGTTCCGTGGCTTCATCCAGGAGAGAGTTGCTCAGGCAGCTAACGGTGAGACCGTCGGTCCCACAGTCCTCTTCTACGGCTGCCGTAAGAGCACCGAAGACTTCCTCTACAAAGATGAATTCGAGGTACGTTACTATTCTGTCTATCTTTCTAACTTACCTACTTTTGCTAACTTCCTCTGTAGGAGGTATCCAAGAAACTTGGCGACTCCTTCAAACTTATCACCGCCTTTTCTCGCGAGTCTTCTGAAAAGGTATACGTTCAGCACCGTCTCAAGGAACACGCCGAACTCGTCAGCGATCTGCTCTCCAAGAAGGCCAACTTCTACGTCTGCGGTGATGCAGCCAACATGGCTCGAGAAGTGAACGTCGTTCTTGGCCAGATCCTCGCTGAACAACGAGGCTTGAAACCCGAGAAGGGCGAGGAACTCGTCAAGCATATGCGAAACACCGGCTCGTACCAAGAGGACGTCTGGTCGTGAACATCCTTTGCCTTGCCACTTAATACTTGCATTTCACATTTCCTTCTCTGCATGTTCAACCGGTAATCACTCCCCTGAGGATGAGAAAAAAAAAAAGGGAAAGGCTCTATCTGTTTATATCATAGATTCATGTCGGTCTCTAGAAAGGGTTTCCAGGGACGTCAATTGACTTGTCCAGTCAAATCCCGCAACACAGCCATCTTCGCTCTTCTCCTTGTTACGTCAAGGCTATCCCAAGCGGCTAATATTTGATTTTCTATGTTGATGCTTGGTTTTGGATAGATCGCTTTCTTTTTCTTCTTCGATTTTTATATTAGACTATTAGTTCATGAGTGACGATGGAGAAGCATATAAGGGACTATATTTATCTTTCTACTAGCTTTTTTAAAAACAAAGAGAATATATCTTAACTTGGTAAACTCACACCCTATTTTCAGCCTCTCTGCTTACTCTCGCTTTGTTAGGCTGGTGAGGCTGGCTGAACTTCTCGCTTCTCGCCTCTGGCTTCTCGTATTGATCTACCTGCGGACAGCTTAGTGTCCTTAATTATCTTCACTTGAAACTGGTTTTTAGCCGAGTGACGAGCTACAGAGTGAAGATCGGCCAGCTCAGCGTTGTTGTTATCGTCTTCCCTGAAGGTCATCGAGGATATTCCATGGCCTTTTCCAGGTTGAAAGATTAGCCTAAGGTTTCCATGGCGGAACGATCCCTTGCGCAGAACTTCAACGCGGCTTTTGACCTTTCTCCTTATTGCATTTTGATATAGGAAGTTCTACATGCTAGATGCTATCTCTAAGGTATGGAGGACACTGTATGTGTTAAGATCAAGATGGCTTCTCTAGACTTGCCACCTGGTAGCTTGAGCCAACATGAGGCTGTTTGTGATGATCTTTGTCAGGGCTTGGAAGCCTTAAGCAATGTTATCTATGTCTAGTCATGTCTACTTAGATATATACCCAGTCTTCTATATAGATAGAGGCCTCTACTTCTCAGCACCAGCACACATGACATATACCCAGATTATGTAACATCACTATGGATTGTTCCAATTCTTCCAGTGACAATGTCATCCATTGATATATACCCCTCACGCGTCTATCCATTGATATACATATATATATCCTCACGGGTCACTGTACTATATACCAGGATAGATCATACTCCTGGCTTCTGCTCCCGATGAATGGCCTGACAATAAGATATCTATACCTACACGCACATCCAGCGTCCTGTCCCGGATGATATGCATTCACTGCCAGCGTCCTCCTCGACGCTGCAGTCACTATGGGACGTCTCTCGTCTGAAGTCCCAGTCACTGCTAGCTCATCTTCATCTTCTTGCTGTCTGTCTGGTTTGTCTTTCTTCTTCTACCGCATTCTCGAGACCGCGTCTCTTCCTGCTGTTTACAAGCTCTTTCTGCCCTTCAACGTCAAAATTGCCTATTCGAGCCTATCCGCAGTGCCAGCTTCCTCCGCTTTGGCCGTCCTTTCTGCCCCTCCTTTGGCCTGACGTTCTCATAGCCTTTTCCCCTTCTCCCCGTCCTTTTCTCTTCTTCTTCTTCTTCTTCTCCTCTCCATCTTCTCTTCGTCTCATCAGAAGCATTCAGCATTCTCATCTCTCGTTCTGCTCATCTCGAGGTTATCGTCTGCATCAAGATCAGCCTGTTAACTTCTAGTCTTCGTTGTCCGTATCTCAGAGGCTTCTCTCGTTATTCCCTTCTCCAGTCCCCCAGGAAACCGTCGTTATCATCGACAGCCTCCTCTTTTACCCTGCAACTCTCAGTGTCCCTTTTATTCCATTCAGATCCCATCATCTGCACCATCAGACAGCCTTGCTTGTACGTTCTGTGTCTTTGCTACTTACCAGTTTTGTCATAGGATACTCGACGCTGACATGAAGGCCGTTGGGAATCTTAGCGGCCTTCTTGCTGGGTCTAAGCCGGATAGACGTCAAGGATACCCTCAAAACCGAGTAAGTGTTGACTCTGCACTTTATGTACTTGCTTCTTCAAAGTTATATGCCCCGTTCTTAGCTGGGAGCCGTGTTACGGTGTAACTTTATGAGACCACTTTATAACTAGATTCTAATGAGTTATTTATCCGGCTAGGTTTACTGGAGATCAGGCATGCAGGTGAAAACCCAGCCTGAAGCTACGGCTTCACAGTGCCAGGGGAATGGTTTTATGCCAGAGAACCAACATCATAACCCGTATGTTGGACCACAGGCCTATGGTCAGCAAGCTGGAGCTGCCAACGGTCTTCGGGACATGAATGGAAATATCTTGGCTCATCTGTTCAGCAAGATGGGATTCCAGAATCAACCAAATGGATCCAAGCCATTTCCCGTCAAAGGCGGTATGCCAATGCATCCTGGACCAAATGTTGACGTTTCTGGTATGCAACATTACCCCCATGGACAGTACATGATTGTTCCAAATGGATCCATGTTCGGTGGTGTCCCTCCAGCACCGCAATTTGGGCAGTTCCCACTGCGTGCTCCGGATCAAGGTAGCTCCCTCCACTGTATTCCTCCCACTTTTTACCCTGGCTTCCCAACCAACCCTCCATTTTCTCCGGACTGTATTTCTGGGTATCCCTGGCCGTATTTTCCAAATGGAGATTTCCCCAACCACGGAAATATGTCTCTTGATCCACGGACTTCTGTTGACGAAATTAATGCAGGCAGTCCCCATATGGATCTATCTGGGCCACAGGAATACTACCCTGGTGCTGCTCCAGCTGATCGTCCTCCAGCTCCGGGTTACATGTATAATACTCCAGCACCTCAGCCATTCCTTCCTTATCAGATGATGAAGAGCGGCTCGGGATATGTTCTCCAGGACCTCGATGCACTGGTCAAACAGGATCCTCCTATCCCACGTGCAGTTCCCGCAATGTGGACTAACCCTTCAGATTTAACTTTGGCAAAGTGTCTAGGGAATCGTGAAGGAATCACCAACGTATACATTCGTGGATTTCTCCCAGAGACTACAGATGAAATGTTGCATAATTATGCATCACGTTTTGGGAAAATCGATAGATGCAAGGCCATCATTGACTTGGAGACTGGGTCATGCAAAGGGTATAGTGTTTTTATTGTTTTCATCCGTTCTCCATAGCCCAACACTAACTGTTCTATAGATTTGGCTTTGTGCAGTTCTTCAGCTTCGATGCATGTGAAAATTGCATTCGTGGTTTCTTTCATCTTGGCTACCAGGCAAGCTTTGCACAGGTCAGTAAACCTCGACGATATCAAAAGTATACTAGGTGCTAACTTAAGTTTAGAAATCTCGCAACTCTCGACTTAAGGACCTTGAAGACAAGTCTTCAACAAATGTTTATTGCACCAATGTCCCAATTGACTGGGCTGAGTCGGTCCGTACAACCTACGCTACATATACCCTTCCCAATTTTATGGATCTAACCTTGATTAACATGGGTGGTTTAGGACCTTCGCCGTCACTTTGAACCTTTCCAGGTTGTATCCGAGAAAATCAGCCGTGATGAGAAGACTGGAGTTAGCAAGGAAGTCGGATTTGCCAGGTTCGATCTCATCCTAACTAATTGGTCATAGGATTGTCACTAACTGCTCAATGTAGATTTGAGACTCGGGAAGTTGCTGAGCAGGTCGTCCAGCAGTTCCATAACGTTGCTGGAAAAGACGGCGTGAAGCTCTTGCTGCGTTTCGCCGATACCAAAGCTCAGAAGCAACTCAAATATCAAAGCAACGAACGCCGTGCATACCGAGCGGGTGAATATAACTATTCAGTTGAACTAGTTAACAGCGCCACTCCATCTCCCAGCCTTCATCGTCTGCAGCAGGCAGCCTCTCATTTTAGTCCAGCTTCTCAAGGCAGTTTCCCTTCACCTCTAGGAGGTGTTGGACAAGTTTGGACCCCAGCAACGTCCATTTCTCCACCGTAAGGACTCCTATCTCCTTGTACTAAAAGATATAAACTAATGCAACTAGAAGCGGCCCTATGATGAACAAATCTATGAATGGGTTCCGTACTGGTTCATGGGCCTCTCGTCGGGTTCTCTCCAACACTGATTCCACTCCTAGCGCTCGCGGGCGGTTTGTACCCCCTAACAGAAGTCCATTGGCGGATGACCTTTCCACCTCTTCTTCGACTACGGTCCTGCCAATGCCACGTATGACGGGAAGTAAGTCGGAAAATTCAAGCCCCATGAAATCAAGGGTTATGCGAGCCAGCAACATGTCGCCAATTCCTTCAAGAAAGGAGATCATCGTTTCGACTCCACGCTCGTCTTGCTGAAGCTTGGGTCTACCCTACGAAGATAGGTTTGCTGGTCCATATCAAACGCATTCTTGCCAACCTACAGGCTTGGTCACGGAACCACAATAACTTCCTCGTTTCATTTTCTATTCATTGACTTTACGACACATTGATTTCCGTTTCAGTTTTACAGTATTCAGATAGCGAGGCATTCTGTACTGGAAGCGATCTGTTTTTCTTTTCTCCCCAATTTTACTCGTTTCAATTAGCAAATATTGCGGGCCAAGGACATGTATTTGCATGTATTATGGGATGTCACTCATGCCTATTTGCAGCCTTAGTTTCTATGGGATATCGACAAGCAGTCATACGAGTTACAGGCAGTGTGTCCCAGGCACGCATGGGCAAAGAATACAGTTTAGCTTTTACTCTCTATCCAGTTACTCTTGCAATAAAGTTATGTTTCAATCAATATTGTAGTTCCTCTATCTATAGTTGGAGATTTAAGCGTAACTTAAACAACAGCCTTATTATCTTGCCAGCCACACTTGAGTGAAGGGTTGTGGATACATGATAGCATCGATCTATCTATATGTAGTCAAGTTCTAGGTAGTCACAAAGAGGTCCCTTGGAAGTGACCGTAGGCCTATAGACCTCTCCTTTGTCCAGCTGCGTTACTGTTCAACCTCGACCTCGGGGAACTTGATTTTGACTCCCTAAGAGGAATATAAGTGAAATGGGCTCGGAAAGAAATTTATAGTATGTTGAACGAAATGATAGGAGACCAAAAATAAAAAGAAATCTAAAGTGCGGTGAAGAGGTCCAGTCAATCCCTCCCTAATCGCTCCTCTTCATCCTCTATAAGCTCGTAAGCCGGTCTATAGGCGTTTTTCTTCTCCCCAACCTCACCGCCGGCCTCTATCGACTTCCCTAGCTTCAACTTTGGGTTCGGATGCGTATCATTCGTCCCTCCTAAACTTGTATATCCCTGATCATAAAGCGGACAATATTCTACCCCTAAATGCTTAATAAACGCCCAAATCTCCACATAATGCCAATCAATCACAGGGTGAATGCGCATGAAATCCGGCCACCCGTGATCCGTACGGTCGAAATGCGTCAAGTTGCCACCATGCGGATCGGTACGCCGCGTTCCAACAAATATAGCTCGTATCTGGGGGTTGGAAGATAGATAGTCAGCGAAAGTGGAGCGGATTGTTGAGTGTGGAGGGTCGGTTGAGTGGCGAGATAGCTTTAGGTGGTAGGCCTGGGAGGATTGAGTGACGAATTTCTCGACAGAAGGGAAAGGGTGTTTTGGTTGAGCGTATATTGCTGGAATGGATGTTGGATGGGAAGTAGGGGTGTTCGATGGCTCGTTGGTATCGGTTGTGGCGGTGGAAGAAGCGGACGATGGACTGGTCGAGGCGTAGTGTGAGTGTAGGCTCGCGAGGAAGAGTAGGAGGAGAACAAGACAGTCCTTTCCGCCGTTGTAGGAGAGAGCGAGCTCGTGTATGGTGTATCGTGATAGGGATTCGCGGATGACCCCTAGAGAGATGTGGGTTTGCTGCTGAACGCGGTAGAGCAGTGACGAAGGGTCATGTTGTTCAGCGAGGAATGCTGTTATTTGATTATGCAGATTGTATGTCACTGTCGAAAGTGACGTTAGGGACGGTGGTTCTATTATATCGGCTGCATCCTTTGATTGTTTTCCGTTTTCAAGGGTTATATTGTTTCGCCTTGCAACTCCGGCTGGGGGACAGTTTTCATCACCGCCATTCATCTGGCTGGTCCGGCATGGTTCGGGCATTGTTAAACCTGTCCTGTATATGCAAATATACACAGAAATGGTCGAATCGGGGGAATATGTGTCGGGTCTTCAGCTAAATATTCACAATCTCGATCAAGGGTGGGCTGGTTTCTTCCCCACCAACGACGGCAAGTTTCGGCTTTCTTTCTTTCGTCTTGCTTCTAGAAGATATGAAGCTTGTAGCTTGCCGGTCCTCTTGTGAGAGTAGATGCTATATAAAGGGAAGACAAGATCGAGGAACTGTTGGATCCCCAGGGCGGAGGATACGGGGAATCGACTGTTTCGGTTGCCTCCCGCAGTTTTCTTTTTGGTTTAACTAGCTTTTTCTTCCGAGACCTTAATTAATTGGCGTTAGAGGCTAATTTCTTCGGATATAAGAAGCGTTCGACTGGAAAAAGGGCTCTGGTATTATGGCTTTTGCGCTATCTCTGCGGCGGCTTTTTCTCTCTTGCTCTGCTCTGGGGTCGGTGTATGTTCTGCTCCAGGTGCGACTACGTCAGTTGGCGGAACCGGCGTGGGATGGCTGAGTAAGCAGGAGAGCCGCAGCTTCGGTTCGAGTCGATATAGAAGACCAGGTATAGATCGGAAACATGGGACGGATGAAGGCGATTGAGGACGATCTGGGGCGGCTGAGGATAGATATTGAGAAGCTGATATTTGCAGGCAGTGCGTTGATGCCGATTTGAATCAAGTTACTATTCCTACATAAGAACTGACCACTGGAAGAGTAGTATCTATGGATGTTGATAGATGGCCCCGTCAATTGTTTTAGGATATCATATCCAATGCAAAGCTGGAGGTGATTATCTGATCCCACCGCGCCCTGCTGAGCCTTATGGTATGAGCTCGTCTATATGAGATGGAGCTCAAACGTTCAGTCATCGAGCAGCAAAGCTAACTCTGCTCAGCAATCCAGGATTTTCCAGGTATCCTCGTCCACCGTGTGGTATATCACACTCAGTCCCAGTAGCTCTTCGGCAGCCTTATAAACTTCATTTACATTCACTTGCATCAGCGGAGCAAGAACGTTCACATGCATTCCTTCGTTGGTCTGTCTGCTGTTGCTGAGAGCGTCATACAGCTTCCGCGCCATCGGAGACATTCGTGGTAAAGAGAGATTGTTTCCGCCCATGTCCATCGCACCTCCACCACTTTCGGCACCCGCTCCAGAGCCGCCAGCCTTTGGAGGTGGGCCCTTGGTGAAATAAAGATGGACAGCTGTCGCTTCGAGAAAATGAACATGGTATTCGTTGATATTCGTTATCGGGCGAATCAACACCGCATTAACTTGTCGTCGATCATTGAATGTTTTTAAATTGGCAAACACCTTCGCATATCCATTCGTGGTTACTTGATGAGCCCTTGGTCGCCCTGATTTGTCTGTCACGCCGCCGGCACCGCTGCCACCGCCTGTTGTGTCCATGGCCATGACGTCCATGGCCTCAAGTTCATCAAACGCATCTTTCTCTTCTGGAGGAATAAAATATCTCACATCCGTTTCACCGGTTCCATCGTCGAGTTTGTATGTGACGTGCGTTGCAAGCTTGTTGACATTTCGAACCTGGCCAACGAAGCATACTACGTTGATATCGGCGTTATCTATTTTGAAGGGTGCTTCTGGAAATGCCTGAGATGCATCGTTTAATTGTTTAATTGTGACTGGTCGTACAGATCTAGATTCGCCGGAATACGCTGCCTGTTTATCGTCTCAGTTAGCACAAGCTTATACATAACTCTACTCAAGAGCCTACTGTAAAGGTTTCATGAGCTGCATACCTTGGACTGACTGCTGGTTTCTCCTTGTGCGAAACCACCAGCTCCTTCTCCGCCACCATAGGGCGTTGACGAATAACCTCCATACCCATAATCTGCACGCGTATATTAGTTATCTGACGACAATTATTGACTGGAGCAATGCTTACCCATTGTAAGACTTTTTATCCTGATGATCCCTATAGAGTAACTAGTCCCACCGGTATTCAAAGTAGGGTAGGTAGTCACTTTTTTATTTTTCTGGTTTAATTGATTGTTTTCGCGTGTTTTTGACGCGTCGAGGGGAAATAGTCACGTGTTGATTACGGAATAAAGTTGTTCCTTACCGCACCATCTGGGAATTTTGCGTCACTTTTTGATAAAAAAATATATATATGAAGCTACCAGACGTTGCTATTTGATAGCAAGTCGAGAGATCTTTACTTGTTGGTTGGAGGCCATCTTATCTAGGGGCAATTAGACCCGGCGGAGCTATAGATTACTTATACCATGCGCCATTAATTGTTCTTTCCCTTTATCACCAATATTCTCCAAATTGCGCGACGTTGAGATAACCGATTGTGCCTCCGCTAAAATTCGCCCAAGATGCCTCACCGCGCAGCCTCTCCGGCTCAGTCGGAGGCTGAGTTCGACATATCGAAGAGTTTGTTTGCAGCCAACGATGATTCCGATAGGGAGCTTCCTTCGAAAAAGCAGAAGCAGACCAAGAAACCGGAACCACAAGTCCTTGATATGATGGCAGAGATAGAAGGGGAGGAAGACGATGGCGACGCGACATTTATTGCCACCGAGCAGTCATTGATGAACCGCAAAGCATCAGCCTTGAAGGGCCGGACCGTGAAGAGAGGCGGCGGTTTTCAAGCAATGGGTCTAAATCCAAATCTGCTGAAAGCAATTACACGAAAAGGATTCTCAGTTCCAACTCCCATTCAAAGTAAAACTATCCCGCTTTTATTGGATGATCAAGATGTGGTGGGTATGGCGCGCACCGGATCTGGAAAGACGGCCGCATTTGTTATTCCGATGATTGAAAAGTTGAAGAATCATAGCAGCAAGGTTGGCGCCAGAGGCTTAATTTTATCACCCTCGCGTGAACTGGCGTTGCAGACTTTGAAGGTAGTTAAGGAACTTGGCCGAGGAACGGATCTGAAGTGTGTGCTCTTGGTTGGAGGCGACAGTCTCGAGGAACAGTTCGGATACATGGCTGGGAACCCTGACATTATTATTGCTACCCCGGGTCGATTCCTTCATCTAAAAGTGGAAATGAACCTCGACCTATCTAGTATTCGCTATGCTGTATTCGATGAAGCCGATCGATTGTTCGAAATGGGTTTTGCAGCTCAGCTCACCGAAATTCTCCATGCGCTACCTTCATCCCGCCAGACACTCCTATTTTCTGCCACCCTCCCAAAATCTTTGGTAGAATTTGCTCGCGCAGGTCTACAAGAACCTACTCTTATTCGTCTGGACGCCGATAGCAAAATATCTCCGGACCTCCAAAGTGCATTTTTTACCGTCAAGTCAGCAGATAAGGAGGGCGCATTGTTGCATATCCTTCACGATATCATCAAGATTCCGACTGGGGAAACTGCCGCTGGAAAACGCGCTGCAAAGGAAGCGAAGCAAGAGAGCAGAAATCCTAAGAAACGGAAACGGCCAGAAACGAAGGGACAGGGAGCAAACAACATTCCGACAGAGCATTCAACAATTGTGTTTGTGGCAACAAAACATCATGTCGAATATATCGCATCGCTTCTTCGGGAATCTGGCTTTGCAGTCTCGTATGCATATGGCTCCCTGAATCAGACAGCCCGTAAAATCCAAGTGCAGAACTTCCGGGTTGGAATCTCGAATATACTGGTTGTTACGGATGTGGCTGCTCGAGGAATTGATATTCCTGTTCTTGCAAACGTCATCAACTACGATTTTCCCTCTCAGCCAAAAATCTTTATTCATCGTGTTGGACGTACGGCCAGAGCAGGTCAAAAGGGCTGGAGTTACAGTTTAATCCGCGATTCGGACGCCCCATATTTAATAGATCTACAATTGTTCCTTGGGCGGCAACTTCTTATGGGGAGAGCTGCTACAGAAAGCGTGAACTATGCGGAGGATATTGTCGTTGGTAGTCTGCCACGGAAGTCTCTTGAGAGCCATTGCGAATACGTGGATAAACTAATCAACGAGGACATTGATGTTGAGGGATTACGCTCAGTTTCTATCCGAGGAGAAAAGCTCTACCTGAGAACTCGAAACTCTGCCTCAGCCGAAAGTGCTAAAAGGGCAAAGGACCTCGTCGCTGCTGATGCATGGAGTACAATGCATCCGTTATTTAATGACGAGTCGAGCCAATTGGAAGCTGAGAGAGAACAAATGCTGGCCCGAGTTGGAGGGTACAAGCCTCAAGAAACGGTCTTTGAAGTCATGGGTAGACGAGGAGGGAAGAATGGGAATGAGGAGGCGGTAGAAGTGATGCGCAAGATACGTTCTGTTATGGAAAGGAAGAAGGTACGAAGGGAGTTAGCATCGCAGAGCTTGCCCACAGCACCATTGCTAAACGCGCAAGGGACGGAAATTGATGATGATAGTGATGGAAATTTGAGTGATGTCTTGGATGACGATGATGATGCAGCAGTTCAAGACCCCGATATGTCTCTCGCCGATGAATCAGATTTGGAAGTGACATTCTCATACCCAAAACAAGGGAAATCCTCTTCAAACCCCCAGGATGGAAATGAAAGCAACACTTTCCAAAACCCCGAATACTTTATGTCATACACCCCTACCTCTATCTCGCTTACAGAGGATCGTGGCTATGGCGTCCACACCGGCTCTAATTCCAACACCAACTTTGTAGAGGCATCTCGAGCTGCCACAATGGACCTCAATGGTGATGAGGGAGCTCGTGGCCTTGGCGGAGCGAGTTCAATTAAGCGTTGGGACAAACGCCATAAGAAATATGTCCTGCGTCAAAACGACGAGGATGGTTCCAAGGGGGAAAAACTTGTGCGAGGTGAGAGTGGAGCGAAGATTGCTGCAAGCTTCCGCAGTGGCAGGTTCGACTCCTGGAAAAAGGGGAAGAGACTTGGCCGGATGCCCAGGGTGGGAGAGATGGAAAATTCCAATCTCGGCAGTGCTGGGGGTATACCTGGTAGGAAATATAGACACAACAAAGAACAAGCTCCTAAGGCTGCGGACAAGTATCGTGGCGACTACGACAAGATGAAGAAGAAGGCAGAGGCAATGCAACAACGCCGGGAAGATGCAGGGCTGCCGACGTACGGCGGCAAGAAGAATGTCAAGAGTGAGTTGAGGAACTCCGAGGACGTACGGAAGGCCAGGAATCAGCTGGAAAAGAGAAAGGAGAAAAATGCACGACCTTCAAAGAGAGGTAAAGGTCGATAGAGGAACGACGTCCTCTTTTTTTTTTTTTTTTTGGCATGGGGTTCAATTCTGAGCCATACTACAACAATAGATTATACATATTATACAGCACATATCATATCGAATCCAAAGCTCTATCTCCCCAGGTCCAGCAAACCTCTGTCAACGAACAGCGAGTGGCACCCGCGGTTCTCAACATTTCCTTCTATTAACCTTCTCACTGTCATGCAGCGCAGCTAGCCCCCCCAGTTGACCAGGCCCTTCACCGTGTGACCGACTCGCATCCTTGCCCAAGAGCTTGGCTTATCGTCGTCTGAACAGTTGAATCACCTTCAGCTCATTACCCCAACCGCGGCTTGCAGGTGTTTATGCAGACTCGAGATATAATCCCTACCCTTCTTTTTTTAAGGTATTTCCGAAAATCACCCGGCTAGCCCCGGTATAGCTGTCCCGCAGGCGAGCCATCTGCGTCAGAGGCAAGCATCTGGAGAATGTCACTGTTGCAACTGGACCTCAGGGCTTCCACGTTGATCAACTTTAATCCTTATCAGCTCGCGGCGCTCGCGTGTCGTAGTCTAATTAATATACGGAGCAATTATAGTTTGCAATATTTCGCAACGTTGGGCTCGGCACGGCTTGTCTCGCGCTCGGATTTCCAACGTTCGTTCAGTTGCTCGACTCGAATATAACCTATGAAACGTCCCGTGCTTTCGGCAGTTCAATTTGGCAGACGATGTGAGGATAGGATGCTACATATTGCGGAGATCCCGGTCGATCAGATTTGACTTTTCTCCGGGACACATGTGGGCAATAGTCAACGTTAGGGCCATCCCAACCTTGTTTCGCAGTCCTGGGTGAGACTTTATTGGACAAACTGGTTTCAGAGTATTGCGGTATCGGCTTCGCTTGCGAGGAGATCGTTTCGATTCCGGAGGTGGGCCGATGGGAAGAGAGCCCTGGTTTGCTGGACTCATGACTTGTTCCAAGTAGACAAGCATCTCCCCTCCATGCCAGATACAGGGTATCGGACATCCCGCAAGCTGTTTACCAGGATATCCAGGCGACACGTCCGTATAGGTCATCTTATCAGTGGCATTCGTCAGGCTGACTCGATATCGACAGAAGGTTGGTTATATTTCCCTGTTCATGGAGCAGAGGAGGTCCCGGATCCGATCATGTTCCGCTATACGGAATGACATACCTCTTTCGGCTCAGTCTCTCGTCAACGTTTTATGTTAAGTATGTTGTTCCAACGACTCGCCAAAGAAGAAAAAGGAAGGAAATGAAGGAAAGGAAGAAAGAAAAAAGGAAGGAAAAAAGAAGAAAAAGTCTCCGTGTCCGAAAAGTGCTCCAACTTTGCCGCACTTTATTTGTAGGACTCGCATATATGCTCCGACGGACTTCACCAGCGTGGGAATGAAAGTACGGAGTAGCGAGAAGACGAGAGTCGGTCAGTTGGCGACTAGCTGGTAGCCCACACTGCCATCTGGGGGCCAAGCCAGGTTCTGACTTCATCTCCATATCTCCATCGGCGTTCATACTTAGCACGAAACAACCCACGGCAGCACGCACGCAGGCGGTAAGACCCGGCGGCACACTGGTCAACGGTTCTTCATATGTGTTTGAGAATCAGCCGCTAAGTATCTTCGTCCGCATGTACTTATCTCGGTCCTCGTATACAGCAGGCTTAGGTGCTCGTGAGCAGATGTGAACTAAACGCACTTGTCTCCGTCGAGCATGATGCAAGGTAGCGCGGGGAAAGATGATTAAAAGGTAATGGACCAGCTTGTCGAAGGGAGCGGCCAGGTGCAGATTGCATGTTCAACGTCCATTTCTGGTTCTTGCCGAGGAATAAACCTCCCAGTACGAATAAGAGTTAAGGCGACGAACGATGTGTTCCTCAGGGAACTCAAAGCAGGGAACTGGATGTCTTAATTTTGAGCAGCATTTCTCCGTCTGGAGTACTTTTATCCAGCTCCTGGCACCTTTTCAGCAATTAAACTTCTGACATGGTCCGGGTATGCAGGGGATAACCTGGAGCCGAGATGAACACCCGCAGAATGCCCGATTCTACTCGCCTATCACGCTCAACGCAGTGCAACATGTCGTATTGGAATAGTTAGCGCCGTTTCGCTGCCACTCGATACGCCAGCAACCTTGTCAATAAGTCCTGCAGGACGCTGAATCGAAGATAAATGAACTACTGGGGCATAAATTTTTGGGCAATTATTATGTGTCATAATGCCCTCCATGGCCAGAGCATTGGTCGTATGAGCACGAGATGTCAAGGAACCGCAAATAGCTCGCGCTTACCGCCAGCGAGGAAAGCTAGGAGGATGACCGACACTAATAGCTCCCCAAACAAAGACCATTTTGGAGGGCGCTAACTGTTCGATATTGGCGCCATTTTCAATCAGCGGTGTTTGACGAAACTTTTCTAGATCTCCTTTGAAGAATCCAGGGAGACAAAAGTAAAACTAACCCACATGGTCTAGCAACAAATTGATCCGAGCGGGCGATCGGTAGAGCTCACTTTAGTTGCGGATAAGCTTCTACCAGAGAGGCCAATGGGGTTGTTTTATATACGAGACATCCTAGTGATACCATGGAGCACCACGATCATGCATTGACATTTCCACCCACAAAACTAAATAACGGGACACAAACTCGGTAAATACCGGTACGCAGTCTAGGGCAAATTAGCCCTTGGGGCACCCGTCAATCCCGAAGCGAGAACCAAAGAATGAAGCAGCTACTAGAGAAAAAGAAGATTATACAGGCGCCGATGACTTGTTCACCGGGACTAACTATGGTTTATTAGTATCGTTTCAGGCCTTCGTCTCTTCTGGCCAGAACTCCATGGGGAATACGAAACCGCTCGGCCGGTAGGAGTTGGAGATCCATGATGCGGTGAGCGTTCTCCGTCTCTTTTGCTTGATCGGTTTTTTTTCCTCTTCTGATATGGTGGACAATATGGCACTAGACAGCGATACCCCAATATCTTTAGCCTCTGGTACCTTGGTTATACAATGCACGAAGCTAAGGCTCGACTATATATGCTCATATGTATGGCGTATGCACCTGGGCCCTTAAACTAATTGCCTTTCACGCCAAGTATTCCATAGTATGTACGGGGTATGTATTCGCCCTATATCGCTCGCTCCCACTTTTCAGTTTCCCGTGACGGAGAAGGGAGGGGCTGTGTCAGGTTCGGCATCAGTCAACTCCATAGAATGTTGTATCCAAAACGCCGCCGACCAGACTTTTGGTTCGGCCATTTCGCCGTTCACCCAACATCGGGCCCCTAACTGCGCCTGCGAGGGAATAGCCCATTCATATACGGAATGATTCCACCCAAGCTCCTATGCAGAGCTCCGCCCACAGTGTTAGATCAGCACAGAAGTATATGTACGGAGTCTTCCGTAGCCTGAGCTAGAGAGCGCCATGTCTAGCCTATCTTTTGGGATGGAGTGACCCGAGAGAGAGCTATTGGCCCCGCGTCGATCCCGTTGATGCCGACCGATAATCATCAATTGCCAAAAGGAAAGCTGATAAAAATGATCGAGCAGCCTCGTCCATTCATAGGTCCCGTGAAATTTATGCGCCTTGTACAGCCGTCCCTGGGAAAACGCCTTCGGTAATCCCACCCTGAAAGCGGCCTCATCTCCAATATATGGAGTACTCTACCTCGCCTTCATACCGCAAACGCGCATAAACACCTACTAATAGGACTTGAGACCACTTGGCATGCCTTATTGCTTCATTTGTCTTGGCGACCCGGGATAATTCACTGATTCCTCATGTGGGATAGACATACATATATATTACGTAGGGGGTAAAGGCCCTGCCCACTAAATGGAGTTTTGACTTACTTCTGCACAAAACCAGAAAAAGAAAGGAGAAGAAGAGTGGAAAGACACGAAATCGGACTTCGGGGATTAATTTTAGCTCACCTCATAAAGTTGGATCCCATGTCTAGTTCCATGGTTAGGGGCCGATCAGGCCATGGACGCTTTAACCGAAGAGGCAGGTAAATGAGCCACGGGCAAACTATTTGGGGATTTTTAGACCAGATCCGCTCGATGCGATGATAACGATACTACCATAACTATTAGCAAACCGGGATAATACTTAAGATTTCCTTCGGGAGTTACCCCAGTGGCACGTTGGAAGCCACAACATCGTGGCTCACCAAAGTCGTGCATACCTCGATGGTCTAGAGTGCTTTGCAGCGGGCACAAGGCAAGATCTCAGTGGGTTTCCTTATCTACTGTATGAACGGTACTCCGTATGGAGTAGTGGCACCTCGGATACGGGAATGGTTCTGGCCATCTCGTTGTGTCTAGCCGTTAGATCCTGTAGCAGTTCAATCCGTACGGAAAAGATGTCCCTATGTTACGTTGAGAGTGAGCAGCTGATACACTTTAAAACTTAAAAAAAGGGCCGGAACTGTGTGCTTCTAACCCCGAAGACATAATTATAGGGAGATCGGCACAGACTTTGGGAGAGGCTGGGGAAATGACAGCTTGAAGAACTGAGGGATGATACCCCAGGGTACATACCTCATCATGCCAGTCACGCCTTGTACCGGAGCATTGTATGTATTTGGCTGTATAATACGAGATGCATATCAAAGATCCATGTATACATCGTTGGCTGATTACTTGTCAAAAGTTAAATGCCGTCCCATTTATTTCCAATTACTCGCATCTCGAAGGCTCCGTTTAATTTCCGTTGCAGGGGTCGTGCTCGGCTGATATACAGGAGCAACTCCCTGGAGCAATTGAGCATAAGGACGGAGTAGGCCTATATCGCTGGCCTTCTATAACTAAAATCTAATTAGCGCTCTTAATTTGGAATATGGCGATCGCGACTGCATAGGATGTAGGGTGCAGTAATGCTTACTGTGCATAATGTCGTGTGCAAGCCCCCCCTTAGCTTTGGTTAAAAGAAGGGCGCCCAAGGAACCAATGTGGCCCAGTATGCTAAGCACAGCGATTACCACAATATCTATTCATTGA